TGTCCGTGAAGAATAGGTTTAACTTTATCCAACGGTATATATATTTTAACACGGTTCTCGAGAGCTCCAGACTATCTGCGGGCACTTTCTAATAGCCTAATTACGATTAGAAAACAGTTCTAACTTATTGAAAAATATAATTAAGAAATACGGTATTACAAATGACAATATCTATCACTTTAACGAGATTAAATTTACCAATAGTACTATCTCTGCAGTCAAAATCGTTACCCGGGCTATATCTAGCCGAAGATCTCTTTATAGCTAGAAAATCGAGAATAAGTGACGCTAGTTAAGATAATAAACCTTAGGGTAGATAGGTGTTACCGTTATATATTATTTTTGAAAGTGGGGTTTTTATAGAGGCCTGGTTTACGTTATGAAATATTTTCAAAACCTAGCCTTCTACTATTAGTTATAATCTACATAGTACACCCCCAAGCAAGGCTTAGCTGTAGAGATTAAATGTCACCTAAGCCAGTCATAAGCCTACTTTTTCACCCTATTTATATCGAGCCAGTCACAACCCTCTGTCTTTTCCTATTCCATGGATTATAACTTTTTTCCGCTAGTTATAATAGATATATTAATAATATCATGAGCTTTAAATAGCTCTGAAAAAACCTTCATTCCTATAACTACTTGCTAGCTATATAAAAGCGTGTTACTTACTAGTTTTTAACCCTCGACGGGTATATCATAAGTTATATATGAATTAGAATAATATAATATATATACTAGCTTATTCTTATTTATCTTATCTTTTATATCCCCTCGATATCGGCTATTTTAGCGTTTTTAGACGTGCCTATGGTAAGGTTATTAAAACGTAAGCTTAATAAAACCTAGCTAGGTTAGTATCGATATCTTTTTAGACACTCATTTAATAGTAAGAGAAGTAGAATTTATGAGGAAGAATATCTGAAATAGCTTCGCCGGCGCTAGAATTATCCTATTTAATCCCCAATACGTTACCCTAAATATTAGCGTTTATAGTATACGGATTACTACTACCCCCTATAGCTGACTAGCGAGGGGAGCGATTGAAGTAATACTTACCCTAAAAACGCCTTAGTCGCTAAAAGATCTGAGAAGGTAAGTATCAGCTATATTAAGAGAATAGCTCTTAATAACCCCTAACACCTAGCCGGTAATATAATTTAGATAGAGCGAGGGTATTAGATCGCGATATATAGCGTTACTCTAGCGCGTTAATAGATCATCAATTAATTAGCTACTAATGCCAAGGTCATGCGTGAAAAAAAAGGCGTACGAAGGCTCGATGAGTATATAAAGGGAGTTTGCTAGTTAAGGAAGCTTTATCACGTTTGAGAATTAAGGGAGATGTTAAATACTAAATCTAAGCAAGCTAGCCCTACGTCGCCGGTACCGATTCAGACTAATAAGAAGCGGCCGCGGCGTTATAGTTATATAAAATACCTAGGTATAACAGAAATAGGTGCCTAGAGAGATCTAAACAGCTTTGTCTTTAATTAGTTAATGTTTTGGTTAAGAAACAATATTTATCCCACCATAATAAGGGAGAGAGGGGGGGGGGGGGGGGAGGGTGCTAACCGCACGCTTACACTGACCACTCGGTGACCAGATACTTTATAGGTAATAACTTATAGTATAATATTTATTCGTTCTAGATACTAACTATCCTTGGTAATTAAAATAATGAATAAGCATAAATAGCTCCTAGTACGGTATCGAATCGTTTATTTTAGCTCTTCAGAACTTCTTTAACTAAAAGGTAACCGGATACTAGATACCCTATATATTAGGCAGAGTGAAAATACTACCTTTTATTTTATTTAATATATTAATCTTATATCGATTTCGTTATTTAGGATCAAAATAATATAATAGGTGTCATAATAAGAATATAGTTTTCAACCGCTAAAACATACTTAATTATTTTGAGTTTAGTTACACAATCCCTAGTTTTCTTTTCCTGTTTTAGTTCCCTTTAATATATCTATTAAGGGTTATATATAATATTACTTAAATTTCGTTAAGGGACTAGTAAGCCATTCCTATTCTTTAATAGCAGTTATCCTACTAGGGTCTATCCCTACGCCTAAGAAACTTGATTCCCGTTAATAAAATATATACATTAATAATTAGTTAAGATTCTCATATACGAAGCGAAGCCATTTTAGGACTTCTCGAATATATTTCGTATATATTTATAATCAAATAAGATAAAGTCTATAAGCTACGTAATAATAATAATGATATACGTATATCCTCGGAATATATTAGGTATGTTAGTTAATCTAAATAGTACTATAGTTTACTTAAGATAATTATAACGAGCTCCGAATACTATTTCTTACTTATAACCGTATTTAATAAGAACTATATAATAGGCTTCGTTTATATCAACTTCAGAAAACGAGTAGGTAAAAAAAGAAGATTAAAGCAAGTTATTGCTACTACGGTAATAGATATCTATCCTTAACTAAAACTCGATTGAGATTTTTATAATCGATTTATAGCCGTTAACTACTATCTTGCTTAAAATAAAGGGAAGATAAGTGCGCCTATAAGACTCTTTAGAAGTTTAATTCTTCCCCTATTTAGATTCTTCGTAATATAACCCTATAATTATTGTGGTCTTTCTATGGTATTTAATAGACCTATATAGAATTAATCTATTTCCATATACGAAAATCCTATATGATATTACTAATTTACTTAGTATATCGTCGAAATTATTCTCAACTCTTTCTTTTTCGTTAAGAAGCTAGACCTCTTCTATAAGCTTTGTAACTGTATAGGCTATCGTCTTGTTGTTATATTTACCTACCTTTAGAGCCGTCTCTTAACTAAGTAACTTCGGTATTAACTCTTTAGTGTAGTGGAGGAAATGTTTAACGCATGAAGCAGCGGTCTACGGATGATTCAGTATTTATGATGTACTTAAGGCCTCTTTACGCATTGAGAGCAAGATAGACACACTCTTCTCTTCAGACCACCCCTATTTGCTCTCCTTTCATTTAGTCCTACCTGACCTCCTGTTGGGGTTTGCCTATGCTCGTCTTACTAATATTGACCTGTCTGCTCCACCAGACTGCCATCGCGCCGTCCTTTTTTTCATCATGTGAGTATCAACTAGAATATACTTATTTTCTTGTTTATAATTATATAAAAGTAATGAGCGACTTAGTTATAACACCGTGATGTAAAAAATACCATCATAATAAGAAATTGATTTACTATTATAATAAATTTATTTAATGCTCTGATGTCTAGTTGTAAAATCATGAATATTTGAAATGTATAATAGAAGAATATGAAGACAGGATACTGTTAGAAAGAACCCCCCCCCCCCCCAACATGATAATAGATACAATTAAATTATTGTCATGATTAGTACATTTTCTGTATGTTACCGGATTTTGCCTCTCTCAGTGAATGCATCAAGTTCTTGACATTTTAATGAACCAGATGAACAATCAGACCTCGCCCCTGGGTTTTGCAGCCCACAAAAATTTAAGTTTTACCAAGGTATGAAGAAGTCAATACGCTCACAGGGTACCTGAATTTACTAGAGAATCCCTGGTTAAATCATGTACCTTGGGTGTCCAAGATAAAATGCGATTAAACTGCATGTAAACTGTAATGCGTTTCTTGATTCTAACCCAGAGTCTATGGACATGAGATACCTCAATTTAATATGCTGTCACATAGTGGGCATTGGGTACGCATTTTAACTAAGTCCAAAACATGTAGGCGAGGATGATGCATTTATTATGTACAATATGAGATAAAATACAGTAACCTACAGAAAACGTGCTAATCATAACAATAATTTAATTTAATTGTATCCATTATTATATTAAGAGGGAGAGGGGGTCTTTTTAACATGTGCCCCCTAAAGATATCTATCTAGTCAAGAAGTAGGTGGTGTTTCTCCGCATACGGTTTTACTCACTGTCATATTGGATTTTTACCACAGGATCTATGGACATTTTGACTTATATATAGAGCTGGCACTCCTATTAACTTCGAGGACCAGGTCTTTTTCTCTACTAGAGTATCATCAGGCATTTGAGACACGAATATTTACTTTCACCAGAAAACCGCCTGCATAGCCATTGTGATAACTAGCAGACTACATCCGTCTTTTGTTGATTTATTGACCAAAGATATCATAAATAGCGGCTATTAAGGCTATACTAACTAGACTCAGACGGCGATGAAGGCAAAGAGCTAAACAATACAATATTTACTGGAACTGGAAGGATTTTGGATAATTGAGAAGCTTATCTCAAAGTAATATGTAACAAGTTCAATTGTTACGTTGCGAAAAAATATACATGAAATGCGTGAATAGTGAACTGTTTGGAGTGTTTTACCGGGATACCAAAGCCATGACTTTTATTACATCAATAGATACTCACTTACACAGTACATTGCTGCTGATCATATTAATTTGTACCATGGGTAATCAAGAGATGAACAAACGAGATATTCAGACCAAAGTGGCTCAGTTTCAGCCTAGAGAGGTACACCGCATTTTATAGTAACGCCATACTTTTCCCCCTGGAGCCGTGAGACGTTAAACCTCAAAGTCAGGCCTGATTGTACCCATGGTAACTTAATATCGAAAGAGATAAGTATGACAATAGTCAGACCAGACAATGCCACGACGAAAGAATTCATTGATGATAGAAGTCTTCCAAACAACGCCGCCTAAATCGAGGGTGAACATGTGAAGGGTGTCGATAATAACGTTGTCCCATAGCTTCCTGAACATGGAGCTATTTCCGACAAAATCCAAACCAAAAGTCCTTGGGAAAGCTGAAAATTATGCGATTAGGCCAAAGGAAATAAAGCACATCCAAATCCTGCACGTAGTCGATAAAGACTTCAAAGTCAACGGCATGAAGCTTGAGCATCGCCTCTCCTTGAGAGATTGCTTGCATTGCCAATAAAGCAGCAGACAGAAGAAAAATCAGACCCAAAGATTCACTTGCGGGGCATTGAGACTACGTCTGGATAGTTACACCTTTGCGACCCATGGATTCATCCAGATGGAAACCGAAGACAAACCGGTAGAGGTCACGAAGCCAGGAATACTGGCCACCTTGCAGCATCGCCTGACAAGCATGTGCGACATCGATGGCACCTACCCGAGCTTGTATGCCGATGATCCTGAAGGCTGGATCAAACGACACGACTTTCTTATAATTCTTCAGCAAGGAAGTTTGCCAGGCTGCAGAACCGAAGGCATCAGAGGGAAGAGACTTCACAAACGAGGACAGGTTCTGGGTACCGCCACGTTGATATCCACAGTCGATAGCAGCCCTGGTGATCAGAATCTTCAACCGCGTGAGGTTGGGGTCCTCTGAGACGGTGGTCACAGTGTTGACCGAGGATGCCGTATGTCCCGATGACCGTGACTTCTCTGACATGTTTGATGAATTAGAGGACCACTTAGTGTGGGAACTGTGAGAATTACCGTATCCCAGAACGAGAATGTTGGGGATCGGTGCCTCGTCGGGGGAGATGGTTGCATCCTCAAAGATGGTTGTTGGGGTTTCAGGGTTCCCCAGTTGAGTCAGTGGATCATCCCCAAAATCAATATCTGACTGCTGAGACGCTTGATGGAATGCCTGTGAGAAAGTGGTCTGGCTTGGCCGGGGTGTCCCTCGATCGGAATTGCGCAAGTTGTGCAATGTCCAACCCTCGCGAAAAATGTCACAAAGCTCCCAGCATGCTTGGACCGCTGACCCTAGCAGCTCCTCATCCAGCGGCTTATCTTCTCTCTTGCTTTGGCGAATGCTAAACAGCATCTCAGCCAATGCCCAGCAAGCGCTCAGCAAAGAGTCAGTTTCAGTTATACGGGTCCGTTGCTTCATAAGTCGATGGCATAATGTGATATAGAAATCCAAAGTTCTCTCGCGAAAAGCATCAGGAAGATTCCGGTCGTGAGTGTTGTACAGATGATTATTCAGTTCAAAGCTGACCCGTAAGACCGAGTCGGAGACATCAGCGTCGCGGGTTCGGGCTTCAAATAATGCTTGGCAAAAATCTCGACAGAGATCCAAAGTTGGGTGAATCTGGGATGCATAGTCGTCGTCTCGTGTGTCATAGAGCTTCTGGCAAAGTCGCCAACATGACCTCCACGCATCCTCCTGCATATCATCACTGTATGATTTCAAAAGACGTTCGCGATGAATGTAACTGAGATTGGCCAGCGTATTGCATAGTGTCCAACACTCAGCGAGAGCGTCTCTCAAGGCATTGATCTCGGCGTCTTTGCTGGTTAGTCCTAAGGCAAAATTAGTACTTCTCGTAGCTGGAGGGCTTTCAATTGCCCTGGGCATTGTACCTTCGGGGATATCTTATCAAATGTTAGTAATATGACCCTTCAAAATCAAAGTGATGAGTACAGTACCCTCTAAACTGCTTGAACGAGTACGTCGGTCAAATTCCTCGAACTCGTGTATCGTCTGCGCCCGGGGTGTTGCTCTCTCCGAATAGTCAAATGTTGGGTCAACGGTAGTTGTCAGCGGAGGAGGTGATATTGGACTATTGCCCTATATAGATCGGGCTGTCAGTGAGGCACAGAACAAGGCTCGGAAGCTAATCACTTTTTTGATTTTTGCTGGTACACTTATTAGATTAGTTTGTTCATCGGAGCCAGACTGCGATTCGTCGGGACCCTCGAGCGTGGGCTGCATTGGGGCCTTTGCATAGATTCACCATTAGCCAAGGTATCGAAACAACACGCTGTAGACCGCGTAGCCAATAATGGAACCCCTACAAAGTCTCCAAACCCAGATGGAGCATGTATCACCGACTGTGGGGGTTCATCCTCATCCGATCTTGTGCCGAGGCCATGATTTGTATACCCGGTTTGGATCTATCCAAGCATCAGAATCAGATCCTACTCCAGACAGTCGTTCTCTAATCTGCTGCCATTGGTACATACGGTGAGCTCTGGCGGAGGGAATGTTCCCAATCCCCGTATTGCCTTTGCCGAGCTATCTCCATTTGTTTTGTTCTCATCACTAGAGTCCAAGGCCCCTGATACGATATTCTGATTGGTCAGACTGGGCGAGGAGTTGAAACTCTCAGTGCTGTCGAAGGAAACTCCATCAATAGACCTGTTCACAAATCAGTGGAGCGCAGTTTCAACACAAAAATGGGTCTTACATTGGGGCCGAGGAGGGAGAGTAGTAGGCCGGGCTTGTAGCATCGCGATAGGGTAGGACAGATAGCGGTGACCTGACGGCCATCATGCCCGAGAGTATGAACAGTGTTTCCGAAAAGAATGATGAATGATGAAAGATGAGAGGAGGAGCTGAGCCTGGCTATCACTTACCTGGGATTATACACGTGATGGGGGTTCAAGTAGCTCAGATGAAGTGCAGTGTATTGGGGATTTCACCCATTGCCAATATGAGAATAATAATATCGGATAAAGTAAAAAAAAAGTATCAATACCTGACCCTTGGCCGTGAAAGGTGTAAGCGCTGTTGTTCCCCATGAAGTATAGCTGGGTGCAGCCCCGCGTAATATGAGTGGCCGGTGGAGGTCCTGATGCATGTTCATCACGGCGCCTAAGTGTCGGTTATCGGTTGGAAATATCCGGCATAATATGTCATTGGTTGATCTGGGTTCAAAGTATACGCGCTCTAGCTTTAAGAGACCTGGGAGCTCCAGCTTCCCCTCCCCTGATATCTCACTATCATTAAGTATATAGATGCAAGACACCCTTGTTCTTTATTCCCAGGGACCATCGGGCAAGATATCTCTCTCTGAACTGAAATAATAAATAATCACGACACTCGTACGCTGAGTAATACTACAGACAGCAACTTGCTGAGCTGTGAGTTTCATTGAAATAGTAACAAAGTAAATCGCAAATACCTCCCTTGTACGCCATATCCCACTGTGCAGAGTGCAACGCCACCCTAAATGCAAAAACCAGAAGAACCAACTGCGGGGGACTTCTCTCATCTCCAGGGGCCTCGTTCGCTTATGTCCAAAGCCACCCCCACTCGACATAGCATATTCTCGAAGTGGTAATGGTCAATGGTGGAGATTGACTGAGATTGACTGAGATTGAAAGTCGCCGTGAAGCTCGTACGCTTTGTGGATGACCCTTGTCAAAGTGCGCCCACTTTCTTCTGACCGAGGAAAAGCACAGTGGTGGACGGTGGAAACTTGTGATGGTCGAACATAAAGGAACAGACATGACCATTGTGCATTCTTCGGCGGGAAGGCTTCGGCTTGAGAACGACAGACTGAAGTCTCGATTGATGAACCGACCGGCTTTATACTTGAGCCTTGGAGCGGTCCTTCTCGGCGGAGTTGTAGCTATGCATAATGAGTAAGAATTTCCAATGAAAGACACGGGTTTCCCTCTTTTGACGCACCGAAGGAGCTTTTCGATTAGATCCACGTGAGTCATGATCATTCGTCGGCAGCAGTACCGTTTACAGCCAAGTTGATCCATGGCATCGCTATAAAGCCCAATTGTCAGCCAGAAACAACCTTTGAAGAGGAGACTTGGCCTACCCATCGGGAACACCATCGTCTAGGAGCTGCAAGTAACGCTCCCAAAGGTCACCAACGACCTGCAATGACAACGTCAGTAAATGATAACAAGCGGGTTTCAAATGGGCTGTCTACCTTTCCGCAGGAGAAACAGCGAACAGGAATAATCATATCGGCGAATCAAGATGAGAGATGGAAGGCAGTCAAAGGGAACGAGGTCGCTATGAACCAGACTTTTTTGCGGAAGATCGCGAGTCCCGGCTAACCCAATGAGGAGGGCTGCGCTTTTCTGCCGACACTTCCCGCCTTATTTTATCTTTGGGAAAAAAAAGTAGTCCGATCTGCCATGAAGATCAACGGACTCAAGTTGCTGCAACATTGCTCTGATTTGTGAGAGCCATGAGCATCTGAGTCGCATTGCTTACAATCAAGCTCTCAGTCCTTATTTGACACCAATTTATCCGCCAAAATGCCAGCCAACCAATCAGCACGACACCAAAAACGATCTCGGCTCAGTGATGTAGCCTCCGAGAAATCTGCTCATCCTGATGAAGAGCGATCCAAGAGGCGCAGAGTCTCCGGGGACATTGGTAATCTGAAATCTCAGAAGGAGGACCCAGTCGATGAGGCAAAGGACGGTATCAATGGCGAAGCCCAGATACAGGACGTGGACATGGTGGAAAAAAGCCCCGCGCCGTGGTCATTCTCTCGTCCTGTAGGCGGCAAATATAACAACCTGGATCCAATCTTGACGGACGATGAGGCGTAAGATTCATTCTTTCTGAATTATTGAAAAACGCATTCTGACTCGTTTCAATCGCAGATATCTCTTAGTCGGTCTCGACACGGCTGTCCAAGTCTTTGTAACCGCCACTTCCCGCCTGTCGCGCACTTTGCAAATGGAGGCTGGTCAAAAGATCGTTGGATTCAGTATTTGTCCAGAAGATCAAGAAACCCTATTTGTTTTCACGTCTTCGGGCTCTATCAGCAAGTGGAATTGGAGTTCTGGAAAACGCATTACTCGTTGGGAAACTACCTCAACAACCGTCGCAACAAGTTTGGCCTCTATTGAAAACGAAGGAAACAAAACCACCATCTCTTTTTCCATCACATCGCAAAAAGATGGCAAAAGGCAGATTTCGATCAGTGCACTGGGGGACAAGAAGATTGAAGGCACCACAGTCCTCGAAACCAGCCAGAGGCTTCATAACATCAAGGTTACTCCTGATGGCCGCGTTATCGTTGCCAGTGATGGACAGCATCTGTTTATGGGTACCACAAGCAGCGCAGAGCTCGGAAATCTTGAGACCCTTCAGTACAATTGGCGTGAGGCCACCCTACCGGTGAATTCCACTTGTTTTGATATCCGAGGATCAGACTTGATTGATCTGGCGGTAGGAGAGAGTGGTGGTTCCATTCTGATCTATCAGAATGTTTTGAACACTCTCTTTGGCAAAGAAACTAGCGATAAGAAGTCTTCCCCCAGGAAGTTGCATTGGCACCGAGGATCTGTCAACACTGTTCGTTGGTCTAAGGATGGTATGTAACCCCCTGCCTAGCAACTAAACCTGAACGATAATACTTACTCCTTTTCTGCAGGCAATTATATTATATCAGGTGGCCAGGAATCAGTTATGGTTCTCTGGCAATTGGACACTAGTCGGAAGCAATTCCTCCCTCATCTTTCTTCTCCCATCTGCAACATTGTCGTCTCTACTAGCGGTAGCTCTTACGTTATCAAATTGGCTGATAACTCGATCCTGGTCATGTCGACAAGAGAACTGCAGCCACTTGCCACTATCACCGGATTGCAGCTGTGCCCAGACCTGGGAGGTCGAGCAGAGCCATCAAAGAGCTCTGTTGTGGCAAAGTTACACCCGCAGCAACCAGAGCGACTAATAATGGCTGTCCCGGCTTCACATCAGCTTACTCAAAATCAGAATGGCTCCCAACCTGCGAACGCGGCTGTGCTTCAGACATATGATATTCGTGCAAACTCTCATATCTCCCGTCAAGCTCTTGCACGAACCAATGCGACCACTTTGAGTGTCAGCCCAGAGGGGTCCCAAATCGTTGCACCTGACGTCAAGCACTTAGATATTGTGCATGACGCTAAATGGCTGGCTACAGTTGACTCCTGGGTCCCCCATTCTCAAGATATCGAGGCACTGGACCGCAGCTCCCCGAAATCGTCAGCTGTTCTTCGCCCCGAGATTTTCCTGAAGTTCTGGAAGTGGGATGCTTCATCCGATACATGGGAGCTTGTTACGCGTATTGACGGGCCTCATTTCACCGAGGGCCATCAAACAACCGTTCTTGGCCTAGCATCCCGCCCCGGTGCTCACGAGTTTGTGACCCTTGGATCGGACTCTGTTCTTCGTTTCTGGTGTCCCACTGCGAAATACCGCAGCGGTTTGAAGGCTAAAGATCAACCGGAGCAGAGTACCTGGAAGTGTCGAGGTTTTGTTGACCTGAAGGGAAGTTTAGAGAACGCCCAAGCTTCGCCTCTGGATGCAGCTAGCATGGACTTCTCGGAAGATGGCTCAGTTTTGGCAGTCTGCCTGCCATCGACCTCGGCTGCCAACGATGGTCTTGTTCTTCTGATTGACGCACGAAACTGTACTGTGCACTACCGACGAACTGGTGTTTTCCTAGGCAATCCTTGCTCAACAAGCTTTTTGGGAAGCCATTTGATTGTTGCTTCTACCCACTCGGTGGCCGTTTGGAATACCGTCGACGACGTTGTCAAGACCATTCAGTCCTCCGAGTCTGTCGACTTGCCTGGTGCGGGTAATTCACAGCTGATTGCCGTGAATGCGCGAACAAAATCATTGGCAATTGCCACTCGTGGCTCAAAACGTGGCAAGAATAGATTCCAAATCAAGATCTATGATGTCCCGTCATTTGAAGTGGTCTTCCAGGAGAATCTCAAGATCTCCCCAGTCGCGCTGCTCTCAGATTCTTATTCCGGTGACTACGTCGTCATTGACAGTGCAGTGACAGTGCAGCGACTTGGCTGTATGGACAAGACATCACAAAAGAGCCAAAACAACCAGTCTCGTGATGTCACTGGCCAAATTGACAGCGGACTTGCGACACTCTTCAATCGGGGGCAAGAAAGACTTCCTGCTCAGAACAACGAAGAACTCGATTTGTCTGCCCAAGCCAAGGGATTGGCCAGTGTCTTCGGTGACACTCCTGCTTTCTCTTTGCCCGCAATCGGTGTTTTATTCCGAAATGTGGTTCAAACACTCGGCTCTACTTGAAGATCGGAACACATTGTAGTCTTTTTTTCCCGGTGCACAGGTGTAGCGGCTGGCTGGGGGTTTTGTCATTTTTGAACATTGAAATTGGGAAGAGCGAACAATGTATATGTATGTAGTCTTGAAGCTTCCCCAAAAAAATAACCTCATGTTTTTATCTGCACTATTTTGTTACCTGCTACTACCTCGGTTCTGCTATCTCGTAACTCGCCTTTAAGCTAAATCCATGGGCGCGACAGGTATTTCACTAACGTCCTTGATTGATATTCAGAGTCATCAATGCAACATTATGGTCTCAAAACACCTTGGCATTTGCTCAGATCTGGCTCAGCGTAAACACAAGAAGCGCCTTTCGTCCGTGGACATGGGTCAAATAAGCATCCAATTCGTGGTCTTCGTCAATCGAAAATAGCATCTCATTCCCATCCTGATCTCTATCAACACCCTCAATTCGGGTGATGATGGAATAAGGATGCCTAGCGGCAAATAATTGCCTGAGCTCATCCACTGTGCGCGTGGCTAGTTTTTCAGGCCAGGATTTCCTAGCCGTCTCCTGAGACTGGCTCTCGGAACCAATTTGGAAATACACGGGGGTTGGTAGCAAAGCTGAGCTGAGCATGGGATCCACATATTCAAAGGCATTGCCCGTGTCGTGCTGTGAATTGGTAGAGAAGGATGGGTCGTTAGCAGCCTGGAGCAGAGAAGGGTCGATTTGCATATCACCGATATCAGTAGCCGTGATGGGGGCACTTGCTAGTGCCTGAGACGCCAGGGTACTAATCCCATTGCTAATCTCATTGCCCAACCCCAACATATTGCCCATCGATGTGTTGGTAGGTGTCGAGGTTCGAGACTGGGCGCGTGCTGAAGATCTCTTACGCGCCGGATCTCGCTTTGTCTGGTCATCACGAAGTCTTTTCATGACATCGCGACAAAGTACTTCCAGGGCTTTCAGTTTATTGCCGTGGTCTGGATCAGCTTGTCCAGGGGCGAGGATTCGTCGGAGTAGCTCAGAGTTCCCGACCCATTGCTCTTTCAATTCTCTCCAATGTTCATCACCGGCCTCGAACTTGCTCGTGAAATGATCTACCTTCAACGTCTCATAAAAAGCGTTTCGAATCTGTCGACTTTCCTCCGGATTAATGCCCAAGGCATTCTTCGCCTCGGCAATAGTCATTCGCCTCTCCAGAGTCCGCATCCGCTTGGTGACATCGGTACAAACAACATCGAGCGCAAGAACCTTTGCATCGCGTTGGCTAGGATCTGTATTGAACACTTGCTGAAGATGAGGAGATTCCTGTATTAATTTTTCTTTTGCCGCCTGCCATCTTTCTGGGCCAGCTGCCGTTTTTTTAATGAAGCCTGCTTCCTCGCAAATTCGCTGAAAATGATCTCTGGTCTGTCGGTACATGGTGTTGTCCAAGTTTAAATATTGTTTGCTTTCATCAATGGTCGTCTCCGAGGGGAACCGAGGAGGACCCGGAGGGTCGGCTGGCAATCCTGCCCATCCTCGAGTACGACGACGACGTTTTCGGGAAGCCCATCGCTCTGCACTTTCTGCCTTCAGGCGGTCCAGCCGCTCCTGGCGTTTGGCGATGGCTTCTGGGGACAGTCCAGGTGACTCGGTTGTTGGACGCTCCACATCTGGCTCAGCTGTCAAAGAATTTGGGTCGTCCAGAGCGCTTTCGACCTTGTAAACCTCCTGCTGCAAGGCAAGTAATCCTTCATCTTCTGGGTGGACCGGTGGCGCCTCGACATTTGCGTGAGACTTCATTCCGTTGGGCACTCGGAGCAGCCACCGATTCTTCGCGCGCACTCGCATCAACTCTCTCTCCTTTATCGCGAAGCCTTCATCGTTCAAAATGCGGAGCATATCCCGCTGGCTTGTGTTGCTTTCCCAAAGCTGTTTGACTCGTGCGACGAGCTCGACATTCTTGTGCGCCGGGTTTTGTTTAGATGGAAATCCCCATCGCTTGAATTGAGTCTGAAACGCTCGTTTGCTAAATGGTTGGATGGTGTTAGATAGTCTCCAACGCAATCAGGTCCCTGTGAAGAGCAACTTGCCTCGGCGCAAACTGATAGGCAGTTCGCATATACTCCATAATCTCCTCCAACGCCTTCTTTTCCTGAATGTACATCTGGAAGCAGATTTCCCGCTTACCAGCCCAATCGTACACCATGGCGAAGGCGCTCTTCTCCCGGGGGAGGTGCCTCTGGAGTAATATAAGAATCCGAAAGATATGGAGCTTATCAGGCGTTTGTTGTCGCTGCTGTACGCCGTAGTCTCTGGAGAAAGGGAAACGGGCGCGAAAGGCCTCGGTTGTGCAGTTTGGTGTCATGTGACCGAACACGGGGTTTTCGTAACTATGCGGATTCTTTCTGGACTTTGACACTGCGTCTAGCTACATTTCTCATGGTAATAAACATGCTCCTGAATATTTCCCCAGGAATAGTCGTCCAGCGATTTCCCGTGGTAGTCAAACGCCGTTTCGCCAGCTCATATGAGCAAAAGTTCCCATAAATCCATAAATTTGCAAGAAACTCCCAGATCAAAGACAAGAAAAAGAATCAAATCGCTCGCTCATTGAAACTATAGACCGGACGAGAGGGGGATAAAAAACAAAGGAAATGTAACTAGTAAACGACTCAAAGCTAACGAAGCTTCCGGACCTTGCGTCGAAATTTGAAAACTCGAGTTCGTAACCATGTCATGAAAAGCACCCATGTGCTCTTGGATTGGGATTTCCAGGACGCCGATGGTTCATTGCTCTCGTGGACAGTAGAATAACGTGGCTTTTCGGAGACATCCTCGGTAGACGGGGCAACAGGAGAAGTGAGATCATCCGACGGGTTGCGCTTCAAACGGCGCCGTGAATGTCTCTCCTCAGCTTTGATCTGTTGTTTCTCAAGTCGACGGTTCTTGGCGGCTTCTTTTTCCTCGAACGCCTGACGAGCAGCTTGTACTGTAGCTGCGCGAGAAATTGGATCAGTGCTTGTTCGAGTTCGGGATCGGAACACAAAGTCAAGCGAGGTCCGGGACATCGGGGATGCAGTATCATCCCGTGAGTATCCAAAGGATGGCCGGCTGGCGACATTGGTCTGTGAAATTCCTGGGAGACGTGTGAAAGAGTCGTCTTGGATCTGGAGTGATAGCCGTGGTGGAGCCGGGCCTGAGGGAGCACGTTTCTCTGGCAAAGCCACAGGATCAAGCTTGTCTTCGTCTGCCGATTCTTCCTCCAGCTCTTCACTGCCATGGCTCGATGCCTGGCAGGACTGACCCAGCGGTGGGGTGTAAGCCCGCGGCATTTGTCGCATGGGATGCACGTACTGTGTCCCCGGCTTACCAACACTCGAGCCAGAGCCGGTCGAAAATTGAGACGTTCCACTAGTGGATCGATTGTGGAAAACGGAGGGTGTCCTCCTGTAAGAGACGCCTGTCACCGATTCGCTGTGTCGTCGATCCCGCTCAAAGTTCATGTAAATGCCCAACCCTTCTTGTTCTGTAGAAGATCGAGACAAGTCGATCGAGCTGGATGGTTGATCATCTCGAGACAATTTGCGTAGAATTGGTTTAATATGAACCTTGGGGTTCGCTAGCTTGCTCTTGCTAAACAGAGAGTCAACGCCTTCGTAGGATGTGTTTGGTTCCGAGGAGTTCATCAGATGTGCTTCTGAGGTCGAAGGTTGCTCTGTAGATGTAGTAGCCCGCACGGCCAAGCTCGAGGCCATAGAGCCGCGCTTTCTGAGGTTGACAGGAGAATATGAATTGTCAAATACATCAGACGCGGGAACCCGGTCTTGCGAACTGTCGAGATCTTGAGGCGGGAAGATATGATAGGACGCGGCGCGTCCACCCTCGACACCGGGTCTTCTTGCAGGTTTGGAAGGACGCTTGAGCGACCCAGATTCGCCTGAAGGTCGCGATTTTGAGACCGGAAAAGCCGATTCATGGGCGTATTGCATGTCGGTTCGGGCCATGGTGAGAAAAGCGACCACGCCTTTCCTCTCAGCGCAGCAAACGGTAATTTAGTGTTGAATCGCGCGACGCATGGTTGTCGCAATGGGATTGACTGGAAGATAAACCAGATCAAGAAGAAGGAAACAGGGTATACAGAGCGGCGCCTGAGACCTAAAGGCGAGGATTGAAAGAAGTGGGTGAGACCATCAGCGGGGAAATACTCCGGGGAGAGGGGGGAGAGATAAGCGGGGATGAGATCGCAAAGAGATATCAAGCCGAGCGCATAAGTATAGAAAGATAGAGAAAGATAGAAAACCAGAGAGTAAGAAGACCAGAACAGAATGAAGTCCGGGGGGATACGAGAAAATGAAAAGGGGACGGCGGTGAAGCCGGAGACTGACGGATCCAGACCGCATGCGGACTTTTCGTACTTTGTTGCTTTTCTTCTTCTACTTCTTCTTCTTCTTTTTCTCTCTCTCTCTCTCTCCATTCGCTAGAGCTCATCTACACTCTTCCCTGATTGAGCGTTGACTTTGGATGGGTTTTGAATGTACACGGCTGAGAGCTCTTCGGAGGCTAGATCACCCACAGTCTTCTGAACTTCAACGATGACAAGCCAGAATGCTGCCCAGAATAGTGAGCGTATCAGTATAGAAAGATAGAGAAAGATACAATGACCGAGAGTATGAATCCCCAAACTCAATGAATCTCACACACTCTCTTTCCTCTCATTTTCTCTCTCTCCTGTCCTCTTCTTTTAGGGTTATACTAAATACACCCCCCCCCTTTTGGCTACTATCAGAACCATGTAGGAATTGGCTTTGACATTAGCGTCCCAACTTGCCTTCTGAGAGTAATTTACCCCTAAGAAGGCATTAATCAATCAATCATCGTTACTCGCCTACTAGCCCACCCAAAATATTGAACATTGGAGAAAACTACCGACATTCACTATGGCAACCTCTAGTTAGATTTAGTGCCGATTATCTACTAGTTAACTCCTATCCTAGAAATAATAAGTCAAATTATAGAGTTTCTTTGCCTGACGTATTCTATGTATTATATATAGCGGGAAAGGCGAAAAGAACTACCTATCACCTGCTTTTATTTGTCTCTAAAAAATGGGGGGCGTAGAGGGGTGGTGATATAAGCCCAAAGGGGTGTGTGTATTTAGCATAACTCGTTCTCTCTCTCTCTCTCTCTCTCTCTCTCTCTCTCTCTCTCTCTCTCTCTCTCTGTTCTCTTTTCTCTCGCCTCTTTTCATCTCTTCCTATCACTCTTGAATTATTCCATACCGCTAATATACACTCTTTCCTTTCATTTCTAGTGTCTCATATGGGTTGACTCTTCTCGGGTATAGATTGACTTCCCCCTGATCCTTTCTTCTCTGTTCCATATACATCAACCCTCCCCCCCCCTCTTCAGGAAGAAGCAACCCTATTGGGCCGATTGCCACATCTCTTTCATGCGTGTCCTTGTCACAGAGATGCAGCTGCCAAGACGCCAAGAAACCCCCGGGGACTAGTGGGAGACACCGGCTGCAGCCAAGAAGTCATATCAAATGAGCATCCCCCACCATGTTTGACACGCGCAGGTGGGGTTGAAATATTGGCCCTCTCCTTTCTTTTCTTCCGCTTCTCTCCTTACTTGTATTAGTACTATTGAAAGTGGTTGCCTGTTGTTCTCAAGCATGGGTCTGTTGTCACTACAGAACCTAGGGTTGTCCCTATTGATCTTGGTCGCCTTCTCTGGCCAAGCTCATGCCTTTGGCGCCGGTAACATCGCGTCCCTTTCCCGTCTCGAGGGCCAGAACTGGCGCCATGGAGATATCGAGGATACCCTTCTTACTCTTTTCCTGGCTCGAGTGGCCGGTGGCAAGAAGTTTAGCAAACTTGATGTGAAACGGGTGTACTTTGGCAACTGGTTGCGTGACTACAGCCAGGCAGTTGATGTGGGCACTGTCAAGTATGTTAGTGCCGAGGCGATTCGCATTCTGATATGGGTTCTGGGCTTCATGAGCTTTGGGTAAGTACTATTACCAGGCTTTCACTGTCAGAGTTACTGAACTGTCCCTTTAGCTACGGAACGGCAGAGTTTGAAGTGACCACTGAACGACTAGGATGCTATCAACCTACAGAACACATTGATAATCCCCTGGGATACGCCGAGGGAGAAGATGCACGTTCCTACGATCATCGCCTGCGTGGTCCTATTGATGAAAGACGAGAGCTTTCAATTGACCCTCGAACCGGTATGTTGTTGATGATGCCAGTATTATGAGAACCAATCTAATCCAACGCCCCCCTGGGACAGGCTTGAAACATTACATCGCAACAGAAGACATGGGGATTGATACTTCAGCCGCTTTGATTCGCCGCGTGCTTGGTCGCTCGATCCAGCTAGGCCGTCGCTATGGTCAGTCTGGAAACAAGAACGACCTCTACGAAGCTCTGCGACTGCTTGGAACTGGACTACATTGCCTGGAGGACTATGCTGCTCATTCAAACTACACAGAGCTCAGCCTGATTGAACTGGGAGAGACAGAGGTATTCCCTCATGTCGGACGTAATACTAAATTGGAAGTGGAAGGCGCCAATGACTATGTCTATCCAATCGTGACTGGTACATTTGGCGGTGTCGATTTCTTCCATTCGGTTCTTGGAGAGCTGTCTGACAAAACAATGCAATCTGAACTGCAGTCGCTGGAAGGTGTTATTACCGATTCTGAAAACCAAAGCCCATCGGAAAGCTTCTTGCAAGACTTACTGAGCAAAATTCCTGAAGGTCTCATTGGTAACAGCGACGATGAAGCTGGCCAGATGGATGATTTCAAGTCCAAGGCAGATGATGCCAGACACGAAAGCCAGAACGTCAGCCCTCGGGAACCTGAGGAATGGGCTCTTTATTTGAGCAATGTCCACAAACAGATCTACCCCGTCCTCGAGTGGCATGATCGACTGTTGAAACAGATCAACGAAGCCATTGAAAAAATTCCAGTGTTGCCGGATCTGATCGAACAAATCCAGGATCAAATCACAGTTTTTGTCTTTTCCATCTTGGCCCCTTACGTTCTGCCCATCATCAAACAGGTCAAATCGGAGCTAGAGACGGGCTCTTCTGAAGTTATCCAGAGCAGCCGAGAGCAGCAGCATATCGTATTCAACGACGATGATTGCTCAAACCCGACTCATTCGATGCTTTCCAAGGACCACTTCTCGAACATCTTGAATGAACCAGCTGGTCGTATTGCGTCCGCTATCGTCAAGTGGTCGGTTCCTCAGCTCATGCAATGCTGGGATGACGAGGACGCTGATGTTGACCGAACTCTGGACCGAATCATCTCCGGTGTTTTCCACCATCCCGCTCTACGCGAATATGGAAACGATGGAGCTGAGGATATGCGCCAGACCATGTTCTCGACAGTTGAGAAGTGGTGGAGTGAGAAAGGGGACGAGGAACGCGATGTTCTCCGTGAGCAGCTAAGCCGTGATGGCGTCTACGAAGGCAAAAACCATAAGGATGGCGTGCAAGATTGTGGACACGGGTGTGGTAAGCCACTGACCCTTCCAAGTCAAGGCCAAGGGAGTTCTGGCGGAGGTCAACAGTCCAGTAGCTCTGGTATTGAGGGCTTTGCATCTCAGGCCATTGGAGGAGGGGCTCTGGGTGGCTTGGTTGGTGGACTTGTGGGAGGAATGAGCTCAATGATCCTCAACGGTGGTAACTCTCAGCCTGGGCGGCAAAGTCCCGAGTCTCCAAAGTACGACAGTGGGAATGACTATGAGCGTCCATCTCACCATGAGAGCCACGAGCAATATGGTGACTCGTACAGTCAAGCACCGCCTTCTCGTCCTACTGGTTATGGGTATCCAAGCGACACAGGTTACGGAGAAGCTCCAGTTCACCACGAAGAGCTCCGTCCTCGTCCTGGCGGATATGAATATCAAAGCGAGACGGTGTATGGAGAGCCTCCAGTGCGTCGCGAAGCCTTTGGCGGTTACGCACCTCCACCCACCGACTACCGCCGCGAGGAGCACTATCAATATCAGTCAGAAAGCCAGGGCTATTACCAGGAAGAACGAAGAGAAACCTTCCAGCAAACCTCACGATATGAATACGGAGAGAGCCAACCCCCTGCTTTTGGAGGCATGGAACGCCCAATCTATGGTGGAGAATTTGCGCAGTAAGTTTGTTTGGATTAGCTTATGTATTGGATTTTCCCATATTGACTTAATGTGTACAGAGAGGCCGGTTCTGGCTATGGCAGGCCACAGCCCGGCTACAACGAGTTTGAGAATCCCGGCTTTAGACAGGAAGGGTTTGGCCAGCGGTTCGAGGGTGGCGGCGATGAGCACCGCAACGAGCGCCATTATGGAGATGAAGAGCGTCCCCGCTACGGTTCGGGCACTCCGAGTGGTAGTGATGATGAAGAGCGTTCTCATCGACACCGTCAGCACCACCACCATCACCACCATGAACGGTCTGGCTCAGATTCTTCGGATTAGAGGGCTGCAACATTACTGTCCTGATGTAGTTTGGGCCACTGAGATCGCAATGGAAAGACTTTGAAAAACATTTACCATTCCTTGACTTCTCCGGCTGCCGGCTGCTCGGTGCGAACAACCTTGTCGCAGTTGAGAAGGCGAAGCGGGTCAAGGGCCAATTTCAGCTAGAATGAGAACACAGATGTTAGTGGTCATGATTGATACGAGCAGTAGACGATGTTATAGGAACGGAGTAGGCTTACGCGGCGCATGGCATCCACTGTAGATTCACCCAACTCGTGTTCGAGGTAGTCTCGCTTGACAAGACCAACGCCATGTTCGCCAGTGACAGTGCCCTCCATCTCCACGGCACGCTTCACCATGCGGTGAACAACGCCTTCGGCTGTTTTCTTTTCGCTCTCATTGAACAAGATGATGGCTAATGTGTGTTAGATTGAAAAAAAATACCATACCAAGATACATCGTTCTGGGGTGCTTACCGTGGAAATTGCCATCACCAACGTGGCCACAGATTCCAGCCAACAAGCCACTCTTGGTCATGTCTTCCTTGGTAGCCTCGATGATATCGGGCAGCTTGCTCATTGGAACCGCGACATCTGTCGTCCAGACGTGGTCATCGGGGGTTCTCTTCATTGCCATGACACTCCATAGGGCCTGCTTGCGGGCACTCCAAAGTTCTTGCATCTCCTCTTCACCACGGGCAAATTCAAAGGACTTTCCTGAGGTTCCAGATACAATTTTCTGTACCATACTGACCTGTTCCTTGACTGCACCTGGGGTTCCAGTAAACTTGAAGAAGAGAGTGGGGGACTCCTGCCACTGGCGGCTGGTTGTCTTGCTGGCATTGATACACTTCATCTGGATATCATCCAAGATCTCAACACCGGCCACCGGGATACCCGCCTCCACAACGTTGGTCACGCACTCAGCAGCATTTTGGATGGAGCCAAAGCTTGCGACTGCAACACTCTGGCTCTTGGGCTTGACTGTCAGCTTCAGGGTTGCCTCTGTTACCAACCCAAGAGTGCCTTCACTTCCAATGAAAAGCTTGGTCAGGTCATAGCCAGCACTGGACTTTCGGGGACGCTGTCGAGTCTTGATGATTGTTCCATCAGCAAGTACAACAGTCAGCGAAAGCACCCATTCGCGCATCGTGCCATATCTGTATGCATTGGTTCCGGAGCAACCGGTTCCCACCATGCCTCCAATCATGGCCCCTGGGCCAGGGTCAGGGGGAAGAAAAGTCCATCCTTAGCGATTTCCTCGTTCAATTCCTCCCATCCGACCGCAGGCTGCACTACTACATCGAGATCCCGCTTGTGGAGCTGCAAGATGCGGTCCATGCGACGGAAGTCAATGCAAACACCACCTCTTGTGGATGCATAGTGGCCCTCCAAGCTTGTGCCACCGGAATAAGGGGTAACGGGGATCACTCGCTGGTGACAGACCTTCATGATCTTCGAGACCTCCTCGGTACTGGACGGATAGAGAATCAAAAAGGGCTTCTCGCCCTCCTTGGGGGAGTAAGACGACCAATCCGATCCGGCATGTGAGGCTAAATCACCATCTGCTGTCGAAACGTTGTCCGTTCCTAGAATCTCCACGAAATCGGCCCAAGCGGCTTGGAGATTGGATTTCGAGATGTTGTGCTTCGGAGCTTCAATCTCCGAGAGAGATGTGGTAGAGGAGGTGGGGAGGGCAGCAGGCTTAATGGAGCCTAGGTAATAAGCACCAGTTGAGAAAAATACCAAAGCTATCACCCCGTTAGCAACGCGACCCGCGAGAAAAGAAAATGCGAGTTTCCCGCCTACCAAAGAGCAGCGCGGCCGAGCGACCAGCTGGGGATTGAGTTTGCTGATACTGGGCGAAGCGCTCTTGCTCTGCACGTTCGCGCTTCAGACGCTGCTGGGTACTTTCGTACAATTGGCTCTTGAACGATTGGTTCTCTTTGGCGTGCTGAGCCGAAGCTCCAAACTGGCGCTGTTGCAGGAAGCGAATGCGGACGGGATCGGATCGGGACCGAAGATTGCGCATCGCCCCCTGCAGGACGAGAGCATTATATCGAACCATGATGCTTCGAAGTTGACGTGAAGAAGCGGAGGACGAAAGTGGAGGTCTCCGGAATCCCGACCTCGGGAAGACTTGGCAGATCAAGATGTCAGCAGCTCACCAGCCACAATGGCACATGCATATGACACTATGACTTTGTACGGTTTGTACGGTTTGTATGGTTTGAATGGTATGAAATGCTATCAATGCTAGGTACTGACATATTTGCTTCTACCGGGTGATTGAAGTATTGGAGTGGTTTATCTTAGGGAGTCTATACAGTATACAGTATTACAGGATCAAAGATGTACCCTAGGGTAAAGAACACATCATAGCCCATAGTTCACGTGAAGCGCAAAAGTTCTGCTCACTCTGACCTCATTGCCTCTTTGGGCTGGATTTGGGGTAAAGAATCCCGCGACGGTTAATTCCCTCGCGGCTAAAAGTCCCCCGGTCCACTTTGGGAGCTTCGGTGCTGTCGGTTGAATTCGAGGGTCATTTCTGCCGCGAGGGACGAGATATATTATATAAGGTATATATAGAGAGGGACTGGCAGGGTCACCGGGTTATTTCTGTCAATCTCTACATTTTATTATTCCTCTTTTCCTCTTCTCTCCCCTCTTCTCTCCCCCACAACTCCCCCCCCCCCCCACATTCACCCCCCCCCAAACATTCATCATGACTACAGCTCAGGTAACATTTATCCCCAATACCAATTCCTCAAAGCCCAGACTAACAAAAAGAATAGAACCTCTCTTTTGTCCTCGAGGGCATTCACAAGGTCAAGTTCGAAGACCGACCTATCCCGGAATTGAAAAACCCCCACGATGTGATCATCAATGTCAAGTTCACCGGTATCTGTGGCAGTGATGTATGTTCGCTACAAATCACATGAACATCGACAGCAGAAAGACTGACAGACCGATCAATAGGTACACTACTGGGAGCACGGAGCGATTGGTTCGTTTGTCGTCAAAGACCCAATGGTTCTCGGACACGAGTCAGCAGGTATCATCAGCAAAGTCGGATCGGCAGTCAAGTCCTTGAAGGTAGGCGATCGGGTCGCCATGGAGCCAGGTACTTCCTGCCGACGCTGCGAGCCCTGCAAGGGGGGAAAGTACAACCTGTGTGAGAACATGGTCTTTGCTGCCACCCCGCCATATGACGGAACCCTCGCCAAGTACTATGTTCTCCCCGAGGACTTCTGCTATAAGCTCCCTGAGCACATCTCTCTCCAAGAGGGTGCCCTCATGGAGCCCCTCAGTGTCGCGGTCCACATCGTGCGCCAAGCTGGTGTCAGCCCGGGCCAGTCGGTCGTTGTGTTCGGAGCAGGCCCAGTCGGTCTGTTGTGCTGTGCCGTGGCAACTGCCTTTGGGGCCTCCAAGGTGATTGCGGTGGATATTCAGCAGGCCCGTCTGGACTTTGCAAAGCAATACGCCGTAACCTCGACCTTCATGCCCAGCAAGGTTCCAGCCACCGAGAATGCAGAGCGCATGAAGCAGGAGAACGACCTCGGAGCTGGTGCCGACGTAGCAATTGACGCCTCTGGAGCGGAGCCCTCTGTCCACACCGGTATCCATGTCCTGCGCAATGGCGGTACCTACGTGCAGGGTGGCATGGGCCGCAGCGAGATCCAGTTCCCCATCATGGCTGCCTGCTCCAAGGAGCTCAACATCAAGGGTAGCTTCCGCTATGGTAGCGGAGACTACAAGCTGGCAGTCAGCCTGGTGTCGACCGGCAAGGTGGACGTCAAGAAGCTGATTACCGGCACGGTCAAGTTTGAGCAGGCTGAGCAGGCCTTCACGGAGGTCAAGGCTGGCAAGGGTATCAAGACCTTGATTGCTGGAATTGATGAGTAGGGATGTCTGAATGTTAGAACTTATTGAGGCAAGCGGGAGGGCGTTGTGATTTAGCTGAATTTTGATGAGAGATGACCCAAAATGTGCGAGAAGAAAGAATCAAGAGCTTTGAACTTGTATCGAGTTGAATTATGTCTGTAGAAAGGACCTCGAAAGAATGTCAGGGGTATCGTGCAGCTGGTAAAAGAAAGACCAAGTGTCAAAACATCGCCTAGAATCAGAAGAAGAAACAAAAGAAATGCAGGAGATCAACAGCAGCCTTGGTTCCTACGGCCGCCAGAGCCCAAGCGGAATACGTCCTCCCATTCTCTCATTCCACCTTTCCAGCCGTTCCCAGTGCCCGCTCTGCTCTTTCGCCTGGGAGCTCTGCGCTGTAGAGGCACGGAATTCTCATCTAACGTGGCTCGACTTCTGATACTCGAAGCATCACTGCCATGGCCGTATAGACCGCCATCACCGTACTGGATGCCACTCTGAGGGTCATCAGGGTCAATCTCTCCGAGCTCGATCTTGGTCAAAATGATGCGCGCTAGCCGGTTGAAGACTTCCTCCACGCCATCCCCAGTCAATGCAGATATCTCTACTGCAACGGGGATATTGGACTTGGCGGCCCAGCGAGAGGTCTCCTCCGAGCTCACATCCCGACCATCCGATATCATCGTCGCCGTCAATCTGGTCCCCGGGCCCAGGTGACTGGATCGAATGGAGCCGTTCGCATCCCAAGGCACAGACGACATTCTGCTCGATGTGCTGGAGGGGGTTGGAGGTGGGCGCATATTATCCTCGAACTCCGAGTGGGCATCCGATGCAAGGTCGGCCTTATTTCCAGCTAGGATCACGGACAAGTTGGGGGAAGCGAGGGCGCGCGCGTCCATCAGAAAGGTTGGAAGGGAGGCGAAGGAGGTGTAGGAAGCGACATCGTAGATGAGGATCGCGCCCGCGGCGCCACGGTAGTAAGACCTGGAGACGGATCGAAAGCGTTCGGTGCCAGCGGTATCCCAGAGTTGTAGCTTGATTCGGATCCGTCGCGCGCCTGTACCTAGTTTGACAATCCGGGACGCGAACTCGACGCCGATGGTTTGTGATGAGAGGACTCGCCCTATCCACTTGTCAACTTCCCGATCCGCTCAGCCCCGGAAGGAGTTGGCTCACACTCATCCTTGACGAATCGGTGTAATACACAGGACCTGGTTGGGCATCAGTGACTCCCATCGCACAGCACTCACGTGTCACTTTCAGGTGACTTACTTGCCAGCACCACTTGGTCCCAGAAGAATGATCTTGGCGAGGTAATCGTACATACTCCCCAGCTCCTACGTGCCATGAGGTCAGCCTTGTCGGGAGGGAAATGTGGGGGGGGGGGGGGGGGGGGGGGGGGGGACTCATACCTGATCTGGAGCCGAGGATGCGGCAGAGGCATTTGAAAGACCCCGTTGACGTGCCATGAGAGGCCTGAGATATGAATGAGAAGAGTGAAGTTCCAGGGGGAGGGGAGAGACCTGGTAGGTGCCCAATCTCGGGGTCGGGTCTACCGTCAGTTAGTAGTTAGTAGTTGGCAGTTAGCAGCATAGTTTACAATAGTTTCCCAGTTAGTGTGTCAGTAGTGAGTAGTGAGTAGTCATCTCCCACGACCAAAGAAAGTGTGCATATGCAATTATGCACGAACATTCTGGAAAGTTGCCCCAAGTGGAATGTGGCAGTGTCTTCGTATTTCCGAGGCTGAGTTCGCTTTAGACTTTGCGCCTTTGTTGTGCCCGGAAAAAAAGGGTCTTTCGTCATCTTTGCAACTTTTATATCTGACGCTTGGCTCTTTTTCTTTTTCTTCTCTTCGTCTTCTTCTTTTTCTTCTATTCGCCACTTCCAGACTACTCACATCAAGATCAATACTCAACTATAACTTGATCGTCTATTCGTTCATCATGAAGCTGACCTGGGCAACATCCCTTCTTCTACTCGCGACTAGCGTCACCTCCTTAACGATCCCTTCAACGGCTCTCGTTGAACGACAGGATTCGGTAGATACTGTCCAAGATATCTCCGAGTTTGTCGATCTCGAGAAACGACGTGGAGGTGGCGGCGGCCGTGGAGGCTCTAGCGGAGGCTCTAGCGGAGGAAGCAGTGGTGGTCGTTCGGGCAGCTCCTCTAGCAGTTCCTCGGGCAGCTCAAGCGGCAGCAGTGGCAGCAGTGGTAGCAGTGGTAGCAGTGGTAGCAGTGGCAGCTCCGGTAGCAGTGGTTCCAGTAGCTCCGGTAGCCGAAGTGGCTCGACCAGCAACGTTGGAGGCACCACATCCTCGGGTTCCGGCACTCGAGCTTCCTATGGCGGGGGCACTTACTATGCCGGTGGTGCCACAACTCCTTACCGGTCTGGTTCTCGTTCCGCAAGTGGTATTGCCCCCTACGTTCTCGGTGGTGCAGCCCTGGGCTTCTTCCCGGGTCTTTGGCTATACAGCGCCTACGCCTACCCTTACAGCAGCAACTATCACTACATGAACCAGAACAATCACAAGAACGAGTCTTTGCCTGTCGTCTGTGTGTGCCAGGAGTACTCTGAGTGTGGATGCGACAACAACAACAATAGCACCTACTACGAATCGCTCTTCAATGGCACCGTGCCTAAGAACTCCAGTGTGGTGCGTGTGGTCAACGTGAATGGCACTGAGACCATTTATATCAATGGCACTCTGCCCAATGGCACCACCAAGGCCGATAGCAGTGCGGCCACCTCAGACGCCAGCCCTATCATGACAACTCTGCTGCATGCTAGTGGATACTGGGTGACTGTTGCTCTGGTTGTGACGGCTGTATGGTCCTTCTAAGCCAGTTGAGATTGATTCTTGACATGAGTCATGACCTGACGGACGAATTTTTTTTTTTTTTTTCCTATTTGCTATGAAAAGGGATGATTGGGAGGTCTATTTTTGCTTTTTTTTGTTTTGTTTTGATACCCCGACTTGGGCATTTGTCCTCTGGTTTACACTCTGTACCAATGAGTGATTGTTATGTCGCTGTCGAATCAGCTTGCTTAGCTTGATCAGCTTGATCCGCTTGCTGATTCGCTAATCCACATCCACTTGAGATGAAACTAAACTAGGCTCTCATATCCGAAATTGGCAACGAGGCCGGACCACAGCAACATGTAGATTTCACGTAAGTTAAGTGTTAATTGTTGACGATAGATGAGCAGGCGAAGAGCGCAATGCGCTGTAACCCTACTACTCAACCCCAACCGACCTGATCTCCAAATTCAGCGCGACAATCGGTCCAACATTCCAATCGTCGCCGGGCCAAGGAGGTTACGTGATCTCCTCAAACGGGATAAGCGGCTGAGATTAACTCATTTCCTCCCTTCGCCTGGACTTCTCTCCTCTTCATCTTCTTCCTGTGTAAAACAGTGTCACTCTTTTCTTCCCCCAGACACGGGCTGTCGCATTCTTTTACAGCTCCATTCTCTCTTTTCTTTTCCAAATTTCAAATTATAGTATTTTCAAGCAAAACACCATGCACTTCACCAAGGCTCTTGTTTTCCTCTCGGCCATTGCGCCTGCTTTCGCCGCTCAAGCTGCTTCAGCTCCTGCTAGCACCCAGACTTTGACTCTGGTGCCCTCTGGATACACACCTCCTCCGTCATCCACCCCGACTCCCACCCCGACTTCGACCTCGACTCCAACTTCGACCCCGACCCCCGAGTCGACTTGGACCCCCCAGTCGTGTCCACCAGCACTGTCATCTCCTCCGCTGCCTCTCTCACCCGGATCCCCAGCTCCTCCACTCCCTTGGTCAAGGCCACCAGTGTGAGCTCCGGCATTGAGAGCTCCGTGACTCCCACCCCCACTCCCTTCAGTGGCGCAGCCTCCCTCCAGCTCTCTGGTGCCATTGCGGCCGGTGCTGCCGCTGTTGCCGGTCTTCTTCTGGCTTAAATACACCGCCATTGGTCAATTTGAATCACCGCGAATCGAATCTCCTGGCTTCCAGATCTTGACGATCTCGACATTTGTCGCTCCTAGTCAGCTTTAGCCTCGGTGGCTGGACTGCTAACCATTCGACAATGGTTCCACCTGACATCTCACATGTCTCTATTCACTGGATCTTTTTTTCTCTATATATTCTTTTCACTGATACACCACCTTTAACCTCTATTTCGACCTGGTTACGGTGCCTTTTGACGTGATTTCCGATCTACCGATGTTTATACCCTTCTTTACATTCTCATGTTCCCCCTTTTGATGTCATCCAAGCATTTTACCTTTAATATTTACTTTCTGTCTTGGTTGACCTTAGATTCTTGGTTTGCATTGATGCTTGCATCGATTTCTTTGCACTTAGCCTGTCAATTGACGAGTATAAGATCAACGAGTTTTACTTTGCTTTGGCTATGAATTACCCCGTACATTCGAACTTTCACATCAACTTGTATCATCGGCTTCTTGCGCGTATTCCATGTCCATAGATTGGAGCTTCTACTATATCCCCCTAGACCTTGAACGTGATAGGAACTCAATCGTTAGAACTTGGGAGAGAATTGAAATTGATGTTATCGACTACAGCGGCTCCAAACAGGATCCTGAAAATATTGTACAGAAAGCTATACTGGCCTATTCATCCTTCTTGAAGGTAGCCTCGTATCTGTAGCAAAAGTCAGCCAACATCCACGAACAGGTCAAAAAGACAACACATACCTCTTGCCTCGGAAGGCCCACAATCCCCAGTTACCACACGACACATCGTGAGGATCCTGGTCATTCAAATCCCAGCGCAGACTGCGGAAGATGTTCTCACCAGGCTCAAGCAGCACATCAAACTCACCGCGACACTTCTCGCTAACCCAATTGATATCACGTTCCATATCCCACTGTGTGTATCCAGTGCAGAGAATAGGGACCTTGGTCTCAAGAAGCTGAGGCAGAGTCTCCTCCCACTCATGCGAGCTGGCAGGGTGGCCCAGACCAGGGTGGAACAGCATGAAGCAATCAAGGTAAGGATCGAAAGGACCAAAGTACTGTGCCTTGTTCATGGTGTGGAAGTAGTCAACGTAAGTAGTGATCTTCATCTGACCACCGAGTCTGTCCTCGACAATTCCACCGAATGGGTTCTCAGGGGTGCGCTCGGGAAGCGGGAACTCGGTGTCCCGGTTTGCCATGCTCTCGGGACCGATGAAGATCAAGTGCAGTAGCGCACGCGGGTACATGTATTGCAGCTGCAGCCAGACGTCACGGGGCAAAGAAGATTCAGCGCGAGCACCCAAAATGAAGATTCGGACGGGGGGAGCCTTTAGGCGGAGACCCTTGACATCGGTGCTTTCACCGGCCTTTGGGGGGTGCAGGGAGTAGCGGAGGGCTGAAACGGTTGTGGTTAGTATTACCGCAAGAGACAGTTTCAGTTGGGTGGCAATCAATGTACAACTTACCGCTAATACTTTTCAAGCCCTCGGGCGTAAGACGTCCGCCGGAACGCACACCGTAGGGACTCAGCTCATGCAAGACACTGCCAATAGTCTGCGGGTAGGTGAGCATGCGAGTCACCTGGCGCATAGAGCGATCATGGTTAATAGCTGGAAACTCGCGAGTGTAAAGGTAGGTATCCCAATTTGTCATGTTGATAACGAAGTTGTCATCCTGAGGACCGGGGTAATTGAACTCGGGGAAGGAACGGCCGGAGTGCAAGTCGTGGTCATCCTCGTTGATTTGGCGGAGGGTATCACAGATCTCGAGATGGGCCTCGAAGTCATCCATCCAGTGGCCCTCAGAGCAGTAGACTGGTACACCGCAGTCCGGGCACTCGAAATGCGAATGGGCCGGGGCGAGGTTTGATTCGCTGGGGTCCTTTCTTGCTTCTGGGTCGTGCGGCGAGACCGGGGCGCGGGTCTGCTGGTGATCTGGGTGTGGACAGAAAGCATTCTGCTTGATGAACTCGGCGCGCTTGCGGATGGCGTCCGAGGGCGAGTACGTGAAACGGTGGAACAATTTATCTTCGGGCATGGGGGAGGCCCTGCTTGCGAGACCTCTCTGGGCGATGGTCGTAGGTGATGGCGTAGTCGCGCAACAGGAGTGCGCAGATACGGGCTTGGTTTGCTCTGCTGGCTTGGTGCCCAGCGATCGGCCATTACGATGAGAGCCGAAGCTTCGGATCAGAGACGGGGAGACTGCGCTTCTCCGTTGCGAAGTAGCGAGGCTTTGGAGGCGAGCCGGAGGAGCCGATGCCCGGACTCCTTGGCGGAGGACCTGAAGGCACTGGATACAGGTGTATCCTGCCATTGTGATGTCAATTGAGTGTGGAGGGGGAACGAGTGAGCCCACACCCGGGATTGTCCTGGGGATGTTTTTAGGCAGCACGTGACTGATAACGGTTGATAGAAGATCTGTCCACGTGAGTTCCTTTCTTTCGAAGCTCGACTGCAGAGAATCAACCCCATAACTATGCATTGCTTGCTTGCTTCAAAGCTTAGTTGATATTAATTCCATGACTCTTCGGATTTGGTCTTTTAAACTGAGAACATGATGCATTTTCGTAAGGGCACGAATGTCAAAGGCCCAGCCTAACAGACAACACGACGTCTAAACAACATATTCCCCGAGTCGCGTAAAAAGCTCAGTCTCCATGCGCTCACTATCATCTTGCTGCTCTACAATCTGGCCAATATCGTCCTCCCCAAGATCATCTTCCTAGGGAACCCGGGGCTCTGTATTGGCTTTCATGTTTGCAAGCACACACATCCTCAAATCATAGTTTCCAGGTCGGACTTGCATTGCTATAGATCAGCGTGGTGATATTAATCAGGTAATGCTAAAAAGCCACCCCCAATTGCTAACGCTTTGGGTATTGGATTTACATCAAATTTCACCTCATATTTCACCTCAAATCCTTAGCATTTTAATGAATCGGATAAATCATCAGTCCACGCTTAGTAACCCACCAAAAACCCGATTTTTGCCAAGGGCATAGCGAGAAGAGAAACAGAGGAAAGCAGAGGAAAGTAGAGGCGGTGGCTCAATGATGCATAAGTAGATAAAAAGCTTCGTGTGGTATATAATAGTCATTCTATGAGCCTAAGACAAGCCCATAGCCAGAGAAATGACGGTAATCCAATAACAATCTGATCATACGACCACGAGATAGAACTTATGCATTTATTCATGGTAACTGGAACTCTTGTACAAAGCAAAGAGAGAAAGCAAAGGGCCCTAGCAACCTTTTAGAGAGTCATGTCCCCGTATCCGAAGCAAAGTATCCCAAGGATCCATCATTGCTCAGAAGATATCCTCGGCTATACTCCAATCCTGAGCATCCCTGGACTCCCAATACTTTCCATTGTGAGCCCAGAACTCTTCACCAGTGACAGGACACTGGTCACGAACGAACCATTGCGGCGAGTAGATTTCACCATTGGTCTCGCGATCCCTGCGTCTGGCTCGCTGCTTCTCCTCAACACGGTGCTTCTCATCGGCAGCCAATGTATATTCACCATCTTCCATGGCACGCTGATCAGGACGCAATCTGGTATCGGTAGGGGGAAGCCAACTCGTCAGACCCTCAGGGAGAGCGTTGAGCGTGATGACGAATGGAGTCAAGTTGAAAGGCACGCCCGTGGGACGAGCATGAGCCTGCCAAACCAGGAAGGTCTTGGAAGACTCTGGATCCTGACCAGAGACTGGAGCCTCAAAGCCTGGTGTGTGGCGAGCATATATTTTGTCGTTCCAGCGACCACCAATACTCCACTTCGGGGAGCCCTCGCTATCGACAACCTTACCCGTTACCTGGTAGGCCGAGGAGGCCTTCCAGCCGCGAGGCTTGAAGTCGAGATAGCAGACCTCACCGGTGGTCCAGTTCTTGATTTCCATCAGACCGTAGTTGTCGACTGTAGGATTACCCGTGATGATACCAATGACTGATGAAGTCACCTTCTTCCAAGTGTAGAGCTCTTCTCCACCGGAGGAGGGTCGCAGCTTCAAAAACCATGTACCGAGCAAGTTGATATCGAAGGATTTACCGTAGAACTTGGATTTGAGAGAAGATTCGCCCTATACATGCGATGAGTAAGTTCTCATGGAGTGGAAGCGTAGAATATACTCACCCAATAGTCCCATTTAGGCGACTCAGCCCACGCAGCACCAATTGGAGGGTGGTGGCTGACTTGCTCCACGAAGAATCGATATCCCTTGTCCGGACGGACATACTCAAACGTTTCACCAAGCAGAGGGTTGAAGGGCTTCGCCACACGGCCAATAGTTGAGGCATACTCACTGGCAGCGTACGTGGCAACATACACCAGACGCTCCATGGAGTCAGTCCGATCAGCAGCAATATCGAGGAGGTCAGTGTATTCGAGATCCTCGGCCACACGCTGAAGCAACGAGGTTGGTTCGTTGAAGGACACCGGAAGAGTCATCTTCGTCATGTCCTTTCCAATCATGGATTTCAAGATACCCTGAACAATGGTGAGCATGCTATGCAACTAGGGAATGTCACTCAATACTTACCCAAAGAGAAATCTTAGGCCTGTCATCAGCATCCATCTTAAGGCGCTCTCTCACGGGCTCTTCGTAACCCTTGAAGGAAGGCTTGATGAAAGAAGACTTGACAGCACGAAGCTCGGCGCTCTCATCCTTGGGCTCTTTGACCTCGTGGTCCTCAGTCCTGTTGAAGTCTTCTACCTCAATCTCACCAGCATCGATAGCATCGAAGAATTCTTCACCGTCCGACTCTGAATTATAGAGACTGCTAATGTTGGAGGTTCTCCTGCTGAGAGCAGGCTTAATTTGTGCTGGCTCAACAGGCTGCTCTTCTTCGTTGGCCTTTTCTGGAGCACCGGCCTCGGTTTGGCTTGCTTCCAAACTCGGGCCCTCAGTTGGGACACGGGAAGGTCCGCCAATGGAACGACTGCTGCCAGTTGCACTTTCCAGGGCCTCCTTCAGAGCTCGCTTGGTCCGCTTTCGCTTCTCTTCAGACTCGCCCATCTTGGACTGCAGTTCTTCATGCTCACGAGCCACACGAGCCATGCTTTCTTCCCACATCTGACGAATGGATTCTTCTCTGCTGAGACGGGACTGCCAGTACTGGTCTCGGTCCCTTGAGATTTTAAGAAGGTTTTGCACCAGACCCTTCAGGCTGCTGACCGCAGCTTCATAAGCACCGAGAGCCTGTTCAAGGGCAGGATCCGCAATCGTCATTTCCGGGTTCTTGGCTTTTTCGGATTGCAGAGAAGCGGCTACATTTGCAAGAAGGTCCAATTGTAGCTTTGCGGACTGTGCAGTGATATTCAAAGCATCCTTATCAGTTGCCGGCATCTCGTGCTCATGGCTGGAAGCATAATCGACAAATTCTTCGTCGTCGTCTCCTTCAGGCGCAGTCGTCACATGGCTGATAGATCTGTTCATGTCATTGGGAGGATCATATGAGCCACCGTAAACGGAACCGTCTTCGTCTCCCCCCGGAATATCGAGGGTGGTGCGAGATGCATATGTGCTCAACCTCGTGCCACTGCTACTAGCACCTCCCAGAGATGGTGGTGCCAGACCCTTGGTGCTGGGCTTGTGAGAAAGACCAGATTCAGAAGGAGTGTCTGCGGCACGTCCTTCAGTCTGATCAATCTTAGCTTGGCGGAGGAGATCTGCATTCTTCGAACGCTGTCGCTCTTCCTCTTTTGCCTCATCTTTAGCCCACTGGATGGCATTGTTGAGAGACCAGAACCAGCGTTTTGCCTCGACAACATGATTGGCCTTCAGATGATATTTGACGGATGATTTGCCATGAATTTCAAAGCGTGTCTTATCTTGTGCGTCCATATTAAGTCTAGCAATTTTCATATTAATTGCACCACGGCAGGCAGATCCTGCGTCATCTGTTCAAGCAAATTAGTATGATTCACAAGATAAAGTATGAAGTCACTCGAGGAGACTTATGTGTTCAACTTACCCTGGTGCTTGTAATAACTCAAAACTCCATCCTCCAGAACGAACCAGCGCAGCTTGTACCCAGTAGTATAATTGGTCCATTTCTTTAGATAGCCTCTCATCTCACGGGCATCCTTGCCCGCTAATGGCGCCTCGCCAATAGAGGCACGGCCAGCAAGTCCCTGAGCATTGGTATTTCCAAGAATAGCCTTCTCCTGGATACCACGTTGAGCAATGACAGCAGCCGGAGATCTCTTCAAGAGTGCACGAGTCTTATCATCTTTGGTGACATCCTGTGGAAGCTTTCCCTTCTTGTCACGACGGAATGGATCAGCGCCATGCGTCAGAAGAATCTCAATGAGCTGCGCATCTTTATTCCTGGCACCCTCGTGCAGTAAGGTACCACCAGACTGGACGGTGGTCCGATCGGTAACCAACTCTTGGCTGTTCACATCCATGATACCCTCAACGCGAGGTTCCTCCAGCAGGGATTCCAGATTCTTGTAATCAGCGTTTGCGATCAAGGACTGGATTTCTTGGTTCTTGCTGTCGATGAAGAGAGACCGTGAAAGTTGAAGCTGCTGGAAGATCTCCGGGGTACGAGCCATATCCAGCGCCGTCTGACCTCGATAGTTGATAATGGCATCATTGATGAGCGGCCTGTTCAGCAATTCACGAACCAAAGGGCCCCGGCCCAGCTGGGCCGCAATGTGGAGTGGCGTGTTTCCCTCACGGTCTCGCGAGTTTATATCCAAGCCCTCTGCGGCGGACAACACATATTCCACGACCTGCGGCTCGGCGCATTGCAGAGCCAGGTGGAGGACGGTGGTTCCGTTCAGACCATTCACACCCTGTGGGTCTGCGGTATCATTGATGGCCTTGGAGATCGCAGTGGTATCACCGCTGCGCAGGATCTCGAACAGACGAAATGTGCGAACTGACTGCTCCAAAGACATGCTGCCATTTTCCATCTGAGTCAAGGAGGGCAGGTCTTCCACTGTGTCCATTTCCTCGTTGGACTCTTGAATAGCCGGGGGAGGACTCGGGTCTTGGGTTTGTTTGCGACGGCTGCCGCTACGGGTATGTTTCAAGGAGGCGCCATTCGAAGAGGCAGAAGTCACCGAGTTGTTATCGTCGTCCATTTCCTTGTCTTCGCCCTTGGATTTATCGCGGTGGAGGAGGGCAAGTGCTATGGCACTTCGAGAGCGCTTGTGCCTGGGGGGAAGCGGCATATTAGTATCACATGAAAAGCTATGATGCAACCGGGGCAGGGGTTCGAGGACAGAAGCCTGAAGTTGTGGAAGCCGCTGATGACATCGCCTCCTAATTGATAACCATGGATCAGGCACGGGTACTCACCCTTCGGGTCGTTCTGACATGTTGGAACTATTCCCAATACATATATCTCTATATGCACTTGAAGGGAATGGGAAGAGGAAATTCGAGGGGTTTGAGAGACTTTGTTTTGGGGGGGGAGGGTAAATGACGCTGATCTCTCCGCCTTGGCAACTCCAGGCCCTTGATGGCGATCGCAATCGCGATTGTACTGTAGAGCCCAACATTGTCAAGAGTATCTCTCATTATACACACACTTGCTTCGAGATTAAGATCAATCCGTCTAGAATCTATCACGATCAACTATCATACAATATCTTTTCTCCGCTTATCGAGTTTCTCCGCTGACCAAAACAACAACACTGCCCAATTGTCGCTTCAAGTCCTCCCGGCCAACATCGTGAGTATCTTCCACCTCACCCCACATGTCGGTTTGCCATTTCACCTCCAAGTTCGCGGCCTCAGCCGCCTCCTCAAGGCCAAACTTGTTCACGTCGTGGCGCTGGATGTGACGGAAGTTCTCACTCCACTCCGTCAACAGACGAACCGCGATGAGAAGACTCTTGGAGGCAAGGATGCCACGCTCAAGACCGGCCAGGTCATGAGGAGATAGCTCCGAAACCCAAGTGCGAATACTCTCCTTCGTAGCCTTAGGCTGAGAGAGAGGCAAGATGCTCTCCGAGTCAAGAATAGGAATAATCTCGAGACCGGGCCAGACCTTGGTAGACAAGAAGGCCATGATATCCTTGGCGACGCGCATTTGAATATCCCGTAGAGTCTCAGTACGCTCGACAGTCTCGTCCGACTTGCGCTCCAACCAGTGAGATTCCCTCCGCTCGGGCTCCCAGCAGAGAAGGGTATCGGTGTCTAGATAACGCATGGCAGTTTTGATGATTTGGCTTCGGGTGGTATCCATGCCCTGGGCGTCTTCGCGGGCAATATCAGCGGCACGGGCAGCGAGGGAGGTCATGGGGATGAGGTGACTTTTCAGGGCCTGTTGCGCGGATGTCATCACATCCCATTCGAGAGCAATGGCATGAGCGAGGTGAGGCTTCGTCGGAGGAATGGAGAGCACTTCTTTCGAGGGCGTTCTCACGGGTCGCTTGTCGAGCAGGACTTCGTACTCATCTGAGCCGAATACGTTAGTGATTTATCCAAAAGATCAGACTAGTCAGCGCAGAGACGACGTAGCCGTTATGTGCATACCGGGCTTTGCGTTCACATGGACATCCTTCCAAAAGCGCTTCTTGAGCGCGGCAGTAAGTGTGGGGGTGCGCTTTAATTCGGCCTCGGATGCTTGAGAATTTAACCCTGTTGATTCCTTGAACTCTGGCGAAGCATCCGGGGCTTTAGGAGGAGGGCCGTGTGCTGTGACGGGGTGTGCGACGGCCGATCTGAACGGCGATGAATGGATTCGCCGGCATAGCGACACGGGGGTGCTAACGACCGATAGCTGCGACCGAAGCGCGGCGCGAGGAAGAACCATTATGTACTGGATCAATCGAGTGAAGTTCAGTCGAGTAGATGGAAGGATGAATCCACTTGTTGGGGAACTTTTCGAGGTCTTGGCCCGCACGCGCCACAGCTTCACCTGTCTAACAACTCTCGGTGTCAATCACGGGTTCACTTCTTCTACTTCAACATTTTAGGCTTGGTTTTCTGCAGTATTGCTTCAGACTGACTAGGATGAACCATAACGAATTGTGTCTTAATTTTTTTTTTTGCCCCTCTTTCCCTCTCCTATTAGAGATTACCAGAGCAGAAACCAAGAGAAGACTCGAAAAGACCGCCCGCGCATCTAAGAAAAGACCAAAACTCAGGGGAATCAAAGCTGGAAGAAAGAGTCATGCAAAACGACATCCGCCCATGCTTTTGTAATTTACAGAAGATAAAAGAGGAGAAGAAGAAAGAAAAGAAAAATGATCCAAAAGAAAGGACGTTCAAAGGCCACTGTGCGACGAAACGGTTGTACATCTAGAAAATTGGTCGTCACGGCATTTCGTCATAAGGTGATGGCTCCTCATTTGATGAGATATTGGGGATAGTAAGGGAGCTTGGTTCGATCGGCGTCGGTTCGCTTCTTCATACGCTCGGCGTCGTAATCATCAGCGCCGTCTCGGCTACCCCATGTAGTCTAGAAGAGGAATAGTCAGTATTCAATGTGTCAAGGTGCCAATGTGCCAATGTGCGGAGAGGGTGGACAGGATCAAAGCGTTGTGATGCTGAGATATCATAGGAAGATATACGAGAGGGGGTCGCGCTTGGACGATACATACCACATTGAGTGTCATCACTGCATACATCTTGATTGCGCCGTGGAAATAGCCAAAGAGAATGGAGACAGGCAGCAGGAAGACATCGACCGGGTAGCGAAGATAGTGACCCAGGAGCTTGATCCATTTGCTGGTGAAAATCCACATGTACAGAGCAGTCATGGAGCGCTCATGGATCACATCTCCCCACTGTCCAGTCGCCTTGTGGCACAGCCAAATCAGTAAGAGGTCACCAATCAAGGCAGGCGGCGACAAGGTGGTCAAGTGAACCGCATAGGCACTCCACGGTTGACGGCTAAGACGAGACATTAGCAACGGTTCAAACGGGATATAGAGAATAGACCCCGAGTGCTCCAATCGGAGGGCAACTTACTACCAAATGTGCTTCTCGTGAAACATCGACGTCAGATTGCTCCGCCAATTACTTCTGGACCAGCGGGCGCATTGCTTCAAAAACCGGGGGTTGTCCTCCAAAGTGGTAAGCACCTCGGCCTCCGGGTGGTACTGCATATAAGTTTCCCATCCATGCGAGACCATCCAGCGGGTGATAAAGTTATCATCATCGGCGTTGAGTTGGTACTTCCCCCACCACCACTCTTCATTGGTGAAGGCATAGGTGAAGCCTTCGTTTTGCAGGATTCGCGTCCGATACGCAACCGTCCGTCCCGACATGCAGGGAAGACCACCGTCCACATGGGTGGTCGCGCCGCAGTCAAAGTTGCGGCGTTCCAGGTACAACGCGCCCAAGAAGCCCCAGAGTCGCTGTGAGAGGCTCGGTTCAATGGCGCGACGCAACCTTTGGCAGGTCACCACCCCACCATACTTCTCATCCTTTTCAAAGGGTGCCAAGATCCAGGGGAGCAGGGTCCGGGGCCAGCTCACGTCGTCATCCGCCAGGAGCGTAATGGCCGTTCGGACTTCAGGGATCGCCCGGGTCATCTGACGCCGTTTATTCGGGTGCATGACCGTAAACAAGCGAATCCGTGACTTGGAGGCTGGCATGGCACTCAGCATTCTTTCGGCCTTTTGGCGATTGGCCTCGATGGTCACCAGGAGCAATTCAAAGGGCTGGTTGTCCAGAATTGTGCGTATTGTTTCTACCAATTCATCGCCACAGCCCTCTAGTGTCGGGATAATCACCGTGACATCTTGCGAGGTCAATTTGGGGTTCTCCGGGGGAGGAATTGGCTTGAAAGTCCAAAAGGAGATCAGGTTGAGCACCAGGCGAGTATATCGATAGATACTGCGGGAGGCTGTTAGTCCCAGTTTTTTCTCTCGGAACCCCAATGGGAGGAGAGGGGAGGAGGAAGAGGAGGGAGGGAGAGGGATATTTCCCACGGGGGGGGGGGAGGAGGGCCGATACTCACAATAGCGCGACAAAGGCTCGCAGAAACGGAAATGCCATGTTCCAAACTTCGATACTAGAGGCAATTCGCTTCACCCAAATATGCCAGGCAAGAACGAATGTCAGGGAGACCAAGCTTCCAAGGAAAAGGAAAGGGGAAAAGGGAAAATTGAAGTACTTTGGGGAAAGCCGATTAAAAGTAGAAAAAGCACATGCGAACAATCAAATACCCAGAATATAATCCATAAATCCCAAAGGAGAAAAGACTAAAAAAGCTATGCCCCAGTCTCCGTTGTCGTTTTGAGTGTGCTGCAGGTGTAGTTTTTGCCTCGTGCGTCAGAGACCCTGGATCTAGATGGAGGGTGGGGGAGAGTGGTCTATGCATGGGTATGTTACCGTCCGATCCTATAATTCCAGATTTATAGGTATTTTCATATATATTTTTATCGATATAAATAGGGATAAATGGTGATTTTTGACAGGTCGGACTCGATTAGATTCTATTCGACCTGGAAACCGCTTGTGGGGAAGTGAGGTGTGATTGGACTGGCGTCGCCAGGTCGATCTATATCAAGGACCAAACCACCCTGGGCACATCCTGGGCACATCCTGGAGAGAAATCCGATAAGTGTGAGATACTGTTGGAACGTTCCCCCCCCCCCCCCAAGACGACCGGTTTATCTGACCACTGATTTGTGGAACAACCCCGACGGTCTCTAGTCCACCAATTTCTGACAATACTTCTAGCGCCTTGAAATTCCACAAAAAAAAAACAAAGTACTACACCACACGGCCGAATCGTCAAAGCTCCATAGATCGACCAACCGAGCAGTAGTATTGGGCGTAGTGGAATGCTGGGCGTGGCCCTCACGATGGATGCTTTAATTTTAACGTGCATGCCAAATGGTCGAAAATCACCACTGGTGCCGAACTGGTAAAACGGTAATCCTAGTGGCGATCGTCCAAATGCCCGTGCGACCTAGTTCGTACAAGCTCGAGTGGAGCTCGCTAAATTCATGGTGGCCTGATAACGAAATGTCTCCCCCAAACTCTCTCCAGACAAAGGCCCCCAAGGCAAAGGCAAAAGGGTTGGAGATGCCTCAAAGTTGGTGGCGTGAAGTGTAAAAGGGCAAAAGTCACGAGTGCCCAGGTGGCCGTGCTCCATGACTAAGAAGGCAACCGGACACCCTGGGACGCTGGGACGCTGGGACGCTGGGAAGCTGGGAAACCTGACATCCAGACATTCTGACAACATATCCCCAATAACATCACTCACACCCGGGAACTGGACATGGCGTACCGGTACGGAGTACATGAATGCCCACCATGTCCACCATGTCCACAAACGGCTGGACTCCTTCCCTCTCTGGTCGAGCACGGTCTTAGACAACCGCAGATTCGCGCCAGTATCGCGTTGGCGTCTAATGAGTGGCTTCCCTACGGCCAGCCTTAGCGGAATGGAGCACGGAGGATCCCACCTGCTGCAAAAGGCCCGATGTGGATATGACCACAATGATCGTCGAAAACTCTGGCTACTTGTACGCAATCGGGGCTGGTGTATTGAAACTCTCTAGTTCTCGCTAAGGCCCCTCCTGCACAGGCCGCAGTTCCGCGGGCTTTTTGCCAAACCCCGGGATGTATTTCCAGCTGCAGAATTTCCCTCTTGGATCAACTCTGCATATAAGTTCCGGCCGAACCGGGGACCGATTGGAAGAATTAGCCACGGTGTTAGGCCGATTTGCCAGAATGGGGAGTGAAACAGACGCGTATCTCGGCTGCACGGACATATATCCCCACCTCGGGAATGGCCGGACATAATCAATAGTTGCATGGTTAGCAGATATACTCTGAATGTATTCGATATATATTATATCGAATATACTGTACTTTCTAGTACGGAGTATACGAGAGAGAGTCTAGGATAGTCTAGTCTAGTCTAGCACCCAGGTGTGTGTGTGTGTGTAAATAGATTGTACGCATGTCAGATTCAAGGTCAGATATCGTGAACAGGTACTGTGTGCCGTGTCAAAGTATAACTAGTCGTTTGGGGGCCAAATCAAATGTCACGGGAAAAAGGGGCGATGACTTGCAGGACGATCAGACTTTCCCCCCCCCCCCATTTTGTCTCTCCCTCTTGACTTTCTCTCTACAACCGCATTGTCTGTTCTCGCTTTTACTACCCCTCAGCCAAGTGTGTAAACTGGAGACTTGAATCCACAGCGGGTAGAGCTCGAGTCAGCCATATCCACTTTGAAACTTTCGACGTTCAACCTTCAACGTGCGAATAATCATAGATCTTTGGTGGCAATGACTATGCAGGGGACCACTTAGGTACATGCACAGTACCACTGAAGGGAATTATTTCCATTCAAAAGAGGGCGCCAAGATGAATCCAACGCTCAGGATTCATTGACGGATTGAAGGGGTACTTTCATCCGAGCCATTCTGGCCACTCGCATTCCAGCGGGCTTAGCTGCAGCCAAAGCTGCAGAGGCCGCATCCTACTGCAACCATCGCTCTAGTCTCGGGATAATCACCGACTTGGGCTCCACTGGTAATTTTGGTTACTGTATTGATTCGGAGAACAACGGACTTTGATGTCCGTTCTACACACCTCTTCACTTCACGGACATCTGCTATATATGCCATCCAGTTTACACTTGGATGTGTAGCTCATCAATACTGCTGTCAGTGGTCAATCCTCGAGTCATGTCGGCCTCGGACTTAATATTGCGGCTCTGAAGTACGTGGACCGTCGCTTACAGCCTATCTGTGCGCGCTCCGACCCCCATCCTTTGTCCCGAGGTAGAGTTGAAAAAGAAGGAAATAGAAATTATATTATTAAAATAAAGTGTAAGTTATCTGACATTAATCTGAGTAGATTGTACCTCAGCCTCTAGCCCCGAAGTTCGAGATGGTTCTCCTGCAACATAGATTGCCAGGGAGCGTATATAGCCCTAACTCGACCATCCAAATTCAGCCCTCCGCGTAAAACCTCCTCGACATGCACCGTCCAATTGACTACCAAATATGCATAACGCCAAAGATCGCAATACGCTCGGCACGCATCTCATGACGTCAAGCCACAACTCCGGCTCGTTCATGCATCGATGCAGGAAGTGACCGGGGTGTCCTACGGAAAAGCGGCAGGAGATGCAAGCTTCTGTCTACTGCTCAAGAGTAGCGATGGGCTATGTCGCAGCGGCATGCACCTCGTGCTTCCCCCCGGCACTAATGCGCGCGTTGACCAGGAATCCTGATGTGCTGTCCGAGCAAAGAATCGAAAAAAGAAAAAAAGAAAAACCTTTCTAGAACCCATGCTTGTGCAGAACTCGTTTACGCCATATGCAGGTGCGTCTGGAGACTCGGCGTTGGCCGTTGAAATAGGCTGTGCAATGTCTTAGCCGTGGACTTTTATCAGGCCATCCTGGTTGCTCTTCCGGGCTTCGGACGTTTGTCTTACTTCTTTTTATAGATGTCTTGGGATTCCATCTACGGATGGCTCAAGTGCTCTTGGTCTGTCTTTGTAATAGATTGATAGTCAGCAAAAGAAGCAACATGCCATACAAAGTGCCTGTTTCAGCCCTACCAGATCGGATCGTGGTCTCTTGCTGAGTTTGGCAAGATGAGCAATATGGACTCAAGTGGCCTGTAGCCACTGTTTACTCGACAGGCTTCCATAGCCAGCCTGCAGGGTCAAAACAAGATTCGAAATCGACGCCACCAAACAACCCAATCGCTCCGTACAGGTCGAAATCGCCTTCCAGACCTTCTACGCCCCCGGAATCTGCATCCACCTCTTCATGCAGATTCCAGCCCCCGACCCTCTGTCCATCTCGAGTAAAGAAGATCTCCACCTTGCAGGTCTTTCCTTTGCCATCTACCCCGATATTCAAATTATCAGGAAGAGAAAAGCTCATGCCAAGTCCAACCGTCTCCCCAACCCTAAAGGCAGTAGTGAAATCCCGACCTCCAAAGGAATCATTCACAAATCGACACCCATCATCCGAGAAAACCCCCAATCCCCCCCGCTCCCAGCCGGGAGATCTCCACGAAGGATAAGGCTGAGCGGCGAACCCAATCGAAATCCCACTATCATCCCCGGCAGGCCCAGCCCTCAAGGCCAAGACCTTCACCTCAAAGTAAATCAACTTCGTCTGCTCCCGCACAAACGGCGAGTCCCTGGTCGGAAAGTACATGGGCAACTGCGTCATGATCACACAGTCCCCATTCCGATCCGCACTATGACCCCGCCAGCGGCCACGGGCCGTAGCCGTAACCTGACCTCGTAGTTCGCGTGGATGCACCGGTCTCAGATCAGATGCTTGGACGTCACTGTAGACCGCCTCTGACGGTGGGGTCGGCAACCACAGAGGCACGTTGTCGCAGAAGTCATGAGCTCTTTGAGCGTCGTCTTCGGAGGCGTTGCCGGTGCCTGACTGGAGGTAGCCTGTTATTGGCGGTGGAGGGAATGTGGCGGTGTCTGGGACTGCGTCTTGCCAGTTGTGGTATGGTGGTGGGTTGGCCTCTGCCTGCCTCTGATATTGAGTCTGCGGCTGGAACGGTGGCTGGCCGATCGACTGTGATGCATCGTAGCTTGGCGGTAGATCTTGGTTTCTTCTAAAGGGATTCATGGCTGCAGGGTACTTTGTGGAGAAGATGTCCGATCTGAAGATACTGATCTGGATTGATTTGCACTGATCCTGGGGGGGATGAGGAGGGGAAATACAAAGCTTGGTTCAGTTTTGAAGGTGAGAATGCCAAGCAGAGGCAGTGCCCGAGAAGGTTTGAAGGTCCGATGGTTGATTCAAGTTTCTCTTTCGGACATCTTTGAATCTGAGGCAGAAGACATTTCCAACTGGACTGGCTCGTCTTTGTGTGTCGATCTTTGGGAAATGGGATTTGAACAGGCTCTCTTGATTCTGTCACGGTGTATCTCGCAAAATAAGATATAAACAACAATACTTTAACAGCTTCCAAATGTGACTGAAATCTTAGTCGCATGTTGTTGTGACTTTTTCGTCTATAGAAATAGGAGATCACTATCTACAGTATGCCTTCCAACAGATGTCTATACCAGACAAAGTATGAGATGTCAACTTGGGAAGCTAAGAATAGGCCTGCAGGTTTCAGATGCAGTGGCCAATGCAACATAGCGGGCTTGAGAATTCCTCTCGACTTTGAACCTGTCTCTTTTCATCTCTTTTCTTTTTCTGAGTGGCCGAGAGGCCTTTGTCTCTCGTTCTATTTTGTACATCGCACAGGGCTTTTCTCCTTTTCAACTTTTTCACCCCGCAACATCTCTGCGATATCAGTCGTCCAATGTCATTCGCTTGCTTCCAATAACTACTCGGTCGCATTCAATCAAAATGTCGGAGCAGCCCCGCAGGTCACGTCGATCGTCGATCACGGGACATCTGAACCGCGTGTTTAACAAGACCCAGGAGGTCAGTACGGGAGAGCTACCAGATACAGAAGCTGATTTGACACTTTCTAGAAACGACACAGTTCGTATGGGGACGCGGTGCATTCGCCCGCGCGTCGGGAGCCATTTGCGCATGAAAAGGCAGCAAGCAATCATTCCGGGAACAGGCGCTCGTTGCCCGATGGCACTGGACCAAGTTCAATTTCCTACTCTTCTAGGAACTCTCGTTTGCCCTCAAATGGCACGCCGGGTTCTAGCCCATCAGTGGCACCAGTGGGAGTCCCTGAAGATGACACCCCAACACAGCCCATGACACCACTAGCCATGAACAAGTCCAATGATGGAGACAAAATCTGCAAATCTCCTACGTGGGATACAAGCAAAAAGGAAAAGCGGGTCACCAAGCGATTGGAGGCGGAGAGAAAGGAGCTCGAGAAGCGTTTGCAAGCCCTGGAGGAAGCCCAACTCAATGCAGACCACGGAATCTATGACAGGAACGCCCGACGACTGACCAAGAAGCAACCTGTCAGCACCTCGAGTAGATCGTCCAGCGCAAACAGGGAGCGTCACCGATCATCCAGCTTCTCGTCGCTGTTTAGGCGCTCCCGCTCAAACTCCAATGCCAGTGAGACTGACTTCAAGTCTGCCGATGTCAGTCAGCTTCGGACAGATACTAATCCCCCTTCTCTACCTTTGACGTTGCCAGAACGGTTCGGCACGGCCATTACGCGAGAACTGGCGTCGAAACACGGGACTTCTCTGAACTTATCGGTCAATCAGCAAAAGCAGAACCAGCAGAACCAGCAGAACCAGCAGAACCCGGTGAACTCGACAAATCCAATGCAACGCCGACTGGCCCTGCATTCCGCAGCCAAGTCTGATGATCTTCGCGAGAGTTGGAAAATGGTCGAGGCATGGAAGACCATGAACGATGAGAAGGTTCCAAACCCGCTAATGCCTGAGCAGACACAGGGCAATGTCAGTGGCTTGCCTAAATTCCCACGCGGCGCTCAAGGCAGCGAAAACACTCCCCCGCGTGATTTAGATCGTGAGCAGTTCTCTGCCGTACTGAAACACGACCGGAAGAGTGCTCCTGTGAAGGACTACTCTCTTGAATCTCAGACTCGGAATGATCGCTCACCCAAGGCTGTCAGCATGCCAATATCGAAAACATCTACACAAGCTGACCTCTATCAGCATGCATCACCTGTTCTCAAAGTTTCCACAGCGCGGCAGTTGCAGGCAATTCCGCCCCCAGAAACCATAGAGAGTGCATCAAGCTCGTCTGCTACATCAACCGCTCCATCGAGTCATCCTCTCGGCCTGATACATGCGAACTCGACGGGAAATCTTGTCAACCCAGTTCGATTGGACCCGAACGCGCATACCCAACCAAAGATCTACAAATCTTCCCCTCTTGCTCTGAATCCCGCAAACACAGATGACACGACTCAGAGAAATTCCAAGATTCCAAAGGCACCGACTATGCCAAATCTCCATGCCAGCGCATCGCAACAATCTCGACACCCCCCTCGGCCACTTCAGCCCGATGACGCCCGTGGGAGAAGTCACTTGTCTGCATCTTCTACTACCGCTCAACAAAGTAGATTCAAGGAGAACTTCCACGAGGGCCCAGAGTCACCTGAACCTCCGCAGATACCGGTCAAGAGTGAACGACGAAGCCAAGACAGCTGGCGGCAATCAATTGCTTCTACTGACAATGTCCTACCAAATACACCGAGAGATGGTACAGCTCCTTTCAAGGCGGCTGTTCGATCTCCTTTCCACTCGGGAAATTCTTCACCTGATGAGAAATCTCATACATCCAGTAAGGAAACCAAACGAAGATCGACAAATCTGTCCGAGGGTCAATCTGTTCCTGCAAGGTCCCCTCGTCGAAATTCTCACAATTCGAATGATATGACTGAGCACCAGGATAAGCAAAGGGGGCCCAGAGGATTTATTCCAGGGCACAACCGCGCACCGTCCTATACTTCTTCCCACGATGGGAATTCGAACTATGATACTGCGGACGAAGATGCACCTAGTTCTCCCGGGTTGCATCGCAACTCGCTGACTCGCGTGGAAACCAGACCCGAGGTCACCGTTGAGGCGAATCCCAAAAACATTCCTGCTAGTCGAATGCCCCAAAGTACTAGCCAGCCCGATAGTCACCCCAATGACCAACCTGATACTCCACTCAAAAATGGCACTGTGAGTATCTTGAAAAGGAGATCCCAAAATAACAACACCGCTCGGATACCCCAAACCATCGCCAAAATCTTTGTGATCTGCTGCCGTTGCAAATACTGGCAAGACATGCCCTCCGACGTCTACGCTCGACTTGCCTGTCCAGAGCGTCTCGGTACAGAATCGAAGCCTGGTCAATCCCGTTCAAAGAAGCATAATATTCTATCAGATCATGCTGGTAACCGGCGACACTCTAGCTCACAACCATTCGGCATTTCTCTCTCTCGTGGCTTCCAGGCTACTCCTGAGTTGCGCCCAGCTCCTCTTGCACCTCACAAGGTTACTTGCTGCTGGTGTGGTCACAACATGAGCCGGTCTTGTTGTGAAGGATGGACTACTATTGTCGAGATGCGCGAGCGTCATCATTGAAAGTCTATGATTTATTGATCTTCTATGTTTCAAATCAGACAGTAGGGATGATGAAATACTAATTTCGATACGATTGAGTCATGATATTACTATTAATCTTTATATCTTATTTGTTTCAAGTTAGGGAATCCGGACCCTTCATAGTTGTGGTTTCAGCCATGCCTTGGCCCAAATTCTTCTATGAATTCAATCCGATGTATGAATATTGCGGTGAGTTTCATTTAAATCGAAAAATCATGCCATTGACCAAGATTGATGCATGTTCTAGCACAATCGTATAGATCCAATCCACCAATTGTAAAAGTGGCTGGGATGACTCAGCAGGATGACAGCCACCGCTGGTTTTTTTTCTTTTCTTTTCCTCTCTTTCTTTCTTCGTTTCTTCCGCATTCCAACCTCTGCTCAAGACAACGTCTCTACAGAATATAATGTTAATTCTGATGGCATCTGTCAAATAATGATTCTCCTCAACACTAACAGCTTCAGATCCTACAGCCAACGATTCAATGACCTCCATCCCTCGTCTCACACCACGTCAGATTATATCTGCCATTTGCAACTTCGCAATCCAGCTGTCCCAGTCCATTTCTGGATATATTCAAGGGCCCTCTTTGAGGACAGTCACCGCAGCGTCACGTCTTGTGTCCGCGACCGACTGGAGCTGGATTGCGAGCCAGGGTTCTTTCGAGGATCCCGGTATATATGAAATTCATCAGTTGCCAGAGCAATAAAGGGCCTTCATAGTTCATGTTATACTTGCTCGAGTCTTCCCCTTTGGGGGTCAACTTAGTCTACGAGAGCATGACTCCTTGCGCACTACATTCATATACAAATGAAATCTATTGTTTCTCAGTACATATCCCGTCTAATATAGACCTCATAGTTTACTCTTCGCCTTCTCGTTGCCAACCACATTGACCACAACCTTTCCCCAAGTTTCCCGTCCACCAAGCGCCTGCAAGGCCTTTGGCACACTCTCCAGCCCAACAAAGCTCTCATCCTTGAACGCCGTGCCCCTAAATTTCCCCTGGGCAACCAGATCAAAGATCCCCTTCCAGACATCACCGACAGTGCCAGTCTCAAACTTAGCATACTGTCCCCAATGTAGCCCAACCAGGCTAACATTCTTCAGCAGTACGCGGTTCAGCGCAACCTTTTCAATCTTTCCAGCCGCAAATCCAATAACCAACAACCGCGCATTCCAAGCCACACACTTCAAACTCGCCTCGATCATGCCAACAGGGTCATATACAATATCCACACCAGCAGCCCCGTTCCCACTCCTGTTCTCCTTGCACAACTTCTTCACCTCCTCCGGCCAAGCCTTATTACCATAATCAATCACATAATCCGCCCCGAACTCGCGCGCAATCTGCCTCTTCCTCTCTGTCCCAGCAGTAGCAACAACCGTCGCCCCCATAGCCTTGGCAATCTGCACAGCAGCAAGTCCAACTCCTCCCGCAGCAGCGTGAACAAGAACCCAATCACCAGCCTTCACCCCAGCACGGTGAACAAGACCACCATAGGAAGTAGGCGCAGTCACGAATAACCCAGCAGCATCTTCGAAACTCCACCCGGCGGGCACGGGGAGGAGAGTATGCTCAGGGGCGAGGACGTGGGTTGCGTAGGCGCCCTGTGTAGCGCCGAAGACGCGGTCACCAACCTTGAAGCGTGGGTTCTTGGAGGAGGTAGGGAGGGCGGTGATAGTGCCAGCGAATTCGGCGCCGCCGATCCACGGCAGTGGTGGTTGATGTTGGTATTTGCCTTGGATTTGGAGGATGTCAAAGAAGTTTGTGCCAGCCGAGTGGATTTCGATGAGGTATTTGTCTGTTGACGGGGTTGGAGTTGGGACGTCTGTTACTCTGAGGTCCAGGGGGCCCTATATCTCTTAGTTAGTTTGAGGTTCGTTGTAGATGGTTGTCGATGGCTGGTCCGTCGGGAGGTAGAGATACCTTGACGTATTCGCTGACTTGGACGGCACGCATTCTGAGTGTGAATTGGATTGATTGTAGACTTGAATTCTGATGGAAGAGTTGAGAAGAAGAAGGTAAAATGAGAAGAAAAAGCTGTAGAAAAGAGCTGGGGGTTTTCCCCGCGTGAAAGATGCCGAGGTTGCTTCTCGGATAACTGAGGCGCTTGGCCAACACCAAGGTACAACGATTGTCTGTTCAGAAGCATTCGACAAATTCTATACACGATTTCCACCAGCAAAGAAGACATAGAGTACAAATTATAGATTCAAAGGTATCATTATATACAGTTCCTGTTTCAACGCCAGACTCAAGCAAATAACCACCCAAAATCGCACCGGGTATGATAAAACAAGACAACCACCCATAGTTCACATATTCAAATCAAAAAGGTATCAGGTATCACAGGTATTTAATAGTAAAAGAAACAAAAGAGGACGTCGAATCCCTAATAGCCAATGCCAGGGGGTTTCTGGTAGTGATCTTGACCCATATAAGGCATGATGGGAGCACACATCACCGACTGCGGACCAGATTGTGTATGAGAAGGAGACATCACTGCATGATGCTGGCCATGAGACTGGCCATGCATCTGCTTTCTGTCTGGATGCTCAGCCCGACCAGCGGGGTGTCCGCCCATGTCATACTGCAATGACATGGCACGTTTCCAGTTCTTGTCGCCGTAGCCATGGTGGTACTCATGTGCCTCGCTCTGATAGTGAGGGTACTGATGATAGACCTGAGCGGATGCAGGTGGCAGGTAACCAGATAATGAAGGAGCAATAGGGGCTGTAGAATGGGCGACGCCGCTGGGAGGAGTGATGGCCTCAAAGGGCAGTTGGTACCACTGAGCAGGGTTGAGGCCGTAATCGGCCGAGACAGCACGAGGAGGCCAGGCCATGCCACTGGAAGTGGTGTTTGCAGTGCCACCAGGGCTGGGCAGACATGATTCCGGAGACAGAGGGTAGGCGGAGCCGGCAGGGTAAGACGGAGCCACGGCGGAAGTGGTGTTCACCATAAGCGCCTCACCGACTGGGGAGGTATGGGCGTGGTCAAAGGATGTCGCGGTTGGACTGAGATCTGGGTAGGAGTGAGAGTGGACTGCCGAGCGGTCCGAAACAAGCGCATGCTCGCCCGACGGGCTAGGCGTGAGTTGCTGGGCTAGAGGCGAATTCCATTTGCCGTGGGGGTGGTCCTCTGAGACAGGGGCGTACATAGACTGGGCACCAGGCCAGTCATGGCGAGCTCTTGGAGGATCTCTGGGTAATGGGCGTTGAATAGAGGGTTTTCGGGTCACGTCTCTATCCGAGTCTGGCTCGGCGCTAGAGCCGGACTGAGTCTTCTTGCGAGTCTGACGAGATGGCTTGGTGACTCGCCATTTCTTCAGTCTGCTTCGTAGTTGAGTTTCACTGGGCGGTGTTAGGAATGAACCCTGAACGACGGACGAGATCAACGCACCTTGGATTGAAATCATCGGACCGGATCTGCTTGATAACCTGCTTCAATGGCCATTCCTCTTCCATATACAACTTTGCAATCAATGCTTTCTTCTTCTCCCATACATCCGACGAAATCGAAGTCTTCATTCTTCAGAGGACGGACCCAAGGACAGAAACGCACTGTCCAAGACAAGGAAGATGTGGGGGAGGGTAAAGGAAGGAAAGAGGAGCAATAAATAAGGCCAATGATCAGCGAAAGAAAAGAAAAAAAGGGGACAGGAAACGGGCGAGACAGGAATATAAGTATGAAGAGTTGGGGGGGAGAAGAGAAAGGAGTGGAGGCCGGGGAGGAGAGTATAGAGAGGTGTTTGTTAGGGCCAGTCCACTTCTCTTCCACATCTCTCTCTCTCTCTATTGTCTTGTCAACCCCCCCGTCGATCATCTAGATTTACATGACGATATGGAGCCACACTTCCTTGACGTGGTTATTACGGTGGATCTACGACGATCCTTGAATTACTACTCACTTGACATCTGCTTCACTATGCCCAGTCGAGCGCTTGGCGCATCCTAACAAAGCAATACCCAGAATCCAAATTGGATGGATCATCTCTGACACAACTCTACACGATACACTATATACACTTGAACCATGATAGCAACTACACAAATGACACACTATACCGGGCCTTTCTTTTTCTTGTTTTGTCTCGCCGTTCGACCTGTTCCATTTCAGTATGAATTCACCGGTATCAAGACCCGGAAGCTGGGCCCGGAAACCCAGACCCGGCACGGTCAGATGGAGACGTCGTGATTTACTGTGCGTCGCCGAGTGATAAGCCCCGTGTCTAGCTTCATCCGCGGAGTTGGCTTAGATCTTTTTCCTCGTGGTCGCCGATCATTTCGGGATTCCCATACCAGGCATTTTGTGGTTCTGCACCTCCCATCCACCCCCCCGGGAATCTTCCCTCAAATGAAGGGAAAGCCGTTGGAGATTCGAAACCTTATGACACTTGAGGCGGTACTCCGTCCTCCCTGAAATATTGGACAACCTCTCATGTGAGTTTCGGGTCACATCATGTGCCTGGAATCCAACTGGGCACGCTATCGACCGGACCCATCGTACTGGAAACCCTTCTCCAGACCTAACTTGGTCCGCCCTCTGTTGAAATCCGCTAAGACAGATGGTGTCTGGACTAGTGTCAAGCCCCTCATGGCTCGGGCCAATGGCTAGGGGATCCGTGGAGTACCGGTTCGTGCGAACGCCAATCGATCTGGCAACTTGATCGCCATGGATCTGCCCGGGTCCTCAATAGTGGATGTTAGCGAGCTCCACGTTTTGCTTGCCCGGAAAACCACCCAATAGAATTTCAATCAGACGCAGTACTATATACAATCAGGGCTAGTCTTGAGACACAGAACGTTTTGCTTGACGGAGATGCTGCACTGAACCTGCACGGTCCCGACAGGGGGTTACTGCGTCTTGCTTCCCCGCTGCTAATCACTGTTCTCCAAATGTCACATCCTTCACCGACCCCTCGGGGCTGAAGCTATGGTTCAACTTCTTCAATCCAAACCATGGGTAGAAGCTCCAACGTCGGGACTGAGGATCTGGAGAAATGCCGCCTTACACTGGGACCACATTGGCCAAACCTTATGCCTCTTCTTTGTTGGAGAGCGTCTCAGATGGACAAGGATAGTAACAGTCCCGCCCCGGCTTTCGACCCGCGCGGATCTCCAATCTCACTAACTCCAAGGCAACTATTCTACTATGTCCCCTTTGGGACATACAAAGAAAATCAAAAAAACCACCTTATGCCACAGGTTCTGGACCTGTCGAGAGAAAAAGCAAAAACAAAATAACACGCAAAAATGTCCGAGTGTCTACTGTATTATCGTTGACGGTTTATGTCCGCAATTTCCGCTCTTTGCTTTCGTTTGCCTTTCTTTCTTCTGTTTCTGCCTCCATAGGACCAAGGCAATTCTGGTTCAGGTTTACCGACAAGGCAAGCAGCGCCACCAGCGGTCCGCGCTAATCCCTGGCGGCTCAAGCCGGATTCAAGCCCGGGATATTAATGGGCTAGAGGATCTCCAGATCACCGTGGATCTCCTGCAACACATGGAGGTTGCCCAACAGGAAAAGCTCCAAAGCTTGGATCGCGGATCTTTCGCTCAATTCAGTATCCTCGTTGCAAGTTGCAAGAGCCCTACACTAATCCGACTCTGGTGGCGACCCGGTGGCGATCGTGTGGAGATAAATCTCCAAGAGCCAAACATCGTTCATCCCGGGGAATGCTCGGCGACATTGTCTCGAATCTCTCCAACATGACCCCATTCATGCAAAAGAAAAGACGAATCAAGTCGGAGTATTCGTTCCGCTAACCCTAAAGTCACGATCATATGCTTTCGCACCGCTCGTATCTCCGAGGTCCAAACGCGCCCTATCCACCATTCCTCCCCATATTACCGCTGTTCGGAGACAGCCTGCCGAGGCTGTTGGAACTTGGCTTTAGGCGGAGATCGACCGGGCCACGGCTCTCGATTGGAGAAGAGGCAGAAGAATAGGAGAAAAGCCTCCCGAGTAGATCTGCCGTCATCATCTCCGGCACGTTGCCTTGTCTTTTCGACTGGAACCATTCTATCTGATACACGACACACATGGATCACTTGCGGTGTGCCAAACGTACGTTGCATGTACTTTTCTTTTTTTAGGTTCTCGTTTTCAACTTCTCCTCGATGGATTCGGTACCAAGGACTCTTCAACACTAATGCTTGCACTAGCATTTATACTGGAACAGCCATGATCTCATACCACTATATTCCTGCTCTTGGCCAAGCATCCGGAGTTTACAATAGGCAATTCCCCTGCGGCCCACCCCGTCCATGAATATATTTGCTTCTAATAGACTCCAGCGCTAAACGCTGTAGTTCAAGCCTAAGCTTAGGGTCTATATTCCCGACTGCAACAGTGATCTACCCCAACAAGGGCCGAAGGCTTGGGTTGTGCAGACTTGCCCCGATCCACTTAACGAGTTGGGTAGCAGCTCCGGGTTAATTAAGAGTATTTGTCAATGGCGAGTTCTTCGGATGCTATTTCGGATATGCTATGAAGTCTATTTTTTTCTTTCTCCACTACTCGAGCATCTCCATACTGTAGTCATTCCAAATTACCCGTGGTTTAACCCAAAAGAAAGCCAGAACGGATGCAAAGTGAAGATGGTATAGAAAAAAAAAGGGATACTAATAATAAGTAGTAATTGGTCAATAATAAAGACAAGCTCAGAAGGAAAACAACGACATTATACAGACTAATACACAAGGTTTGCCTCTAACCAGGGAGGAGGTAACTATCGCCAAACAGGCAGGGCGCTCCGGGTTATTGGATTGTGAAACGGTGTAAGTGGAGAAAAAAGAAAAGAAGAAGCCATTGGAGCGAGAAATGCGCTCTCGTGACGACTTCCTAGCGTCGCCTCTTGAGATGATGCTCTTTGCCCTTTTTGGATTTCTTCTTGTTCTTATCCGGAGGCAGAACCAGGGGCTCATCCTTCATGTTCCACTCCATGAAGCGTAACAAGTAATCGTCGATGTGACCAGGTTGCACCTCCAATTCTGGGTCCTCGGTGGGTACGGATTGTGCCGGGGTTCCAGAGCCATCGTCCAGGGGCGTGCCGACTTGTGCAGGAGTCCCATGTGAAGCACTGTGCTCCTCGAAGTCGCCGTCGTCTGCATGCTCCTGTTCCTTCTGCGCGTTCTTGGCCGCGTCCAGATCCTCCTTGTCCTCTGCCTGCTCGAAAACGCGGGTGCCCGCGACGCGATTGCCGAGAACACGGTCCATGGCGGCACTGGCCTCATCCTGGCCGTCGCGCTCGTCGGTCTCGGCCAGGGCCTGGGTATCCAGTTTGGTGAAGTAGTCCGTGGTGAACTCGCCTTCTTGGATAATCACATCATCCAGCATTCGCTTCTGATTGGCCTTGCGGAGAATGTTGGACTCAATGGTGTACTCAGACACAAATCGGTAAATATGGACGTCCCGAGTTTGACCGATGCGGTGGCAACGGTCTTGACATTGCTTGTCCATGGCCGGGTTCCAGTCTAGATCGTAGAAAATGACCGTGTCGGCGCCCGTAAGATTGATTCCGAGGCCACCGGATCGACTGGACAGAATAAAAGCGAGAATACGAGGATCACTATTGAACCGTTCCGTAAGCATCTGTCGCGACTCGACCTTTGTAGTTCCGTCGAGCCGAAGATAGCGATGCCCATGGATATTGAGGAATTGTTCCAGAATATCAAGCATCTTGGTCATCTGAGTGAAGATCAATGCTCGGTGGCCGCCAGCCTTGAGGTCGCGTAACAACTTGTCCAGGCGCTGTAGCTTTCCACAATCATACTGAAGAAGTCTCTTATCCGGGAACGCAATAGAGAGGCGCATGCGTGCTTCATGGAACGGATCGTAAGGCTGATCTTTGCGGGTATTCGTCAAAAGCCGTGTCTCAACTGGAGTCAAGGCGGCTTCGTTCATGCCTGCAGCAACAGCAGCAGGGGTGACACAGGCGAATCTCTGAACATAACCGTCCATTTCCAGGGCTCGCTCTTCGACGGTCAGAATCATCGAAGCAAGCACTGAGGATCGACTCGATAACCATTCAGACATCGAGCGCTTACGCAACGGTGCATTGGACAGAGCATGTTCCTTGGTGCCAGCCCTGAGGAACTCGACGAGGCTGCTACCATAGATAGGACGGCGGCCGTGGCGCTTAGTTTCAAAGTAGAGACAGCGCTCTAGCTCAGCCATTCGCCTCTTGCGGCATGCATTCTCGAGGGATTCCAGAATGGTTTGCATGTTAGAGCCATCGAATCCCATTTCCCAATTGGTACGATTGTACTGGCGCTCGCGAAGAGTTTTGAAAGGTTTTATGGCCATGAGCCTCATACTGTCGTCGGCCAATCGCCGCGAGATATCTTCTCGAGATACGGGAGCGAGGTTGAGGAAATCCAAGTCAATCTTGGTGAGAGGGTGTTCAAACAGAAGTCTTCGCCGAACAAGGGATTCCTTGATATTGAAATCTGTTACCACAGAACGTGGCATGGCAAAGGAGGTAGAAATGGGACGAGTTTCAAAGAGATCAGGGTGGTTGCAAACTTTTCGTAGTTGCATGAGACAGTGAATGATAGAGAGGAAATTTCCGGATGCCAGCGTCTCTTTGGTTTGCGCCATCGACATAAAGCCATCGTAGAGGTAGCGCTGACGCTTAGAGAGCCGACAGTAGATAACATGCTCGTATTTGCCGGGCATTTGTTTCTCGACGTCGGCCTTGAGTCGACGCAGGATATACGGACGAAGAACAGTGTGAAGTTTGGTGATGACACCCTTGGCTTCTTCGTCCATCGTATCTCTGCCATGCTCCAAGATTTGTTCTACTGGACGGCGGAACCATTCAGAGAAGTCTTTTAGGTCTGCAAACCCTTCAACACCACCACTTGAACCATCTGAGGGCATCAAGAAGAATAGAAGGGACCAGAGCTCAGTGAGGTTGTTCTGCAATGGTGTACCCGTTAGGAGAAGCCTGGCACGGGATTTGAACGTGAGAAGGGCCTGCCATCTCTGTGATCGGAAGTTCTTGATGTTGTGTGCTTCATCAAGAATCATGTAATGCCAATTCCTTCGCTTGAGAGACTGCTGGTCTTGCAAAACGAGTTGATACGATGTAATCAGCACGTTCCAGGCATTATCGTCGGTCCACCCGCGGCGCTTCTGCTTGCGCTCTTCTTGGTTACCATAGTATGTCATGATCTTAAAGCCTGGACACCATTTCTTGAATTCCATTTCCCAGTTGAGCATAACACTGGTGGGAACGACTACCAGGTGTGGGCCCCAGACACCATGGTCCACAGCAAGATGGGCGAGTAGGGCAATTGTCTGAATTGTTTTGCCCAAACCCATCTCGTCTGCCAGAATACCGTTGATGTGATTGTTGTAGAGACCTGCAAGCCAATCTAAACCGTAGTGCTGGTATTCACGTAGGGTGCCGCGAAGAAGTGATGGAATAGGTGTCTGCATACCAGGAGCAGGCGAGTGAGATGTTATCAATGCCTTCTCAATAGCGGGCTCCAGCGAAGAGACAGACTCTGGTTCAGATGGTTTTGTGGCGAATGTTCCCGGCGAAGCCTCACTAGACAGTTCGCCGCTGGCTTGGTTGTCATGGACGGTATCTACCTCCATAAGCTGGGGCTGATCAGAAATGTCAGTCACGCCAACAGGGGAGGCTTCTTCGGCTTCTAATTCGGTGTTTTCCTCTTCTGTTGGAGTATCCATGGCAGGTGTTTCTCCGCCAGTGACAGGGGATGTTTCAGAGGCATTGACAATGTTGGAGGGCGTTCCATCAGGCGAGTTGTCTTCAGCCATGTTGCCTTCACTGGCTGTTGGTCCGATTGGAACGAGAGAGACTTCATCCTGATCCTCGAAGTCAAGCTCGTCATCATCATGTTCAATGTCTGTTCCTGTTTCTTTGGTGTCCTGGTCATCTTTGATTGCAGATATCTCTTTCTTCGAAAAGAATCCGAGCAAACTGGATCTATTATCTTCATCTGATTCTGATTCTTCGTCCGAGACCTCATCTTGTTCGGGATCTGCCTCTTCGGCTTCCTCCTCGCCATCATGAGGTACGGAGAGCTCCTTCTTGGAGAAGAAACCCATCAGGCCAGATCTGCTCTCGCCATCTTCATCTTCGTCCGAGTCCTCTTCTTCCGAATCATCCGCTTCCTCGTCACTATCACCCATATCATCGTCCATATCGGTGGAGGCATCGCTGTCATCCATAAGCACCGAGTCCACGTCCTCAAGATTGGTTTCTCCGGGAGTGGTTTGGGACTCGTTGTCTAGGGCAGCTTCTGGATCCATGGATTCGTTGGGGTTGGTCATCGCACTGGTGTCAGAGGTTATTGACATTCGGTCGGTTTGGTCATCAGGTAGGTTGGCGTATTTCAATCGGAGTTCTTCGGCCGTTAAGTCAGCGTCATCATCTATGTTTGCTTCGTCGTCTGTTGCAGATTCAGAGCCCGACATATTGCTTTCGTCATCTTCGCCTGAGCCAGACTCAGAGCCGGACTCGAGGTCCTCATCGTCACTCGTCGCGGGGGCGTCACTAGGTACTTCGCCTAGAATCTCTGATCGCCGCTTTTCAAACAACGCTGTGGACTTCTGGATCGCACGGTCAAGAGCTTGTTGATCTTGTACTTTGCGCTCCTCTTCCCAGCGTGCTAATCGAGCCCGATCAATATCGGCCCGGGTTAAGTCGAACATCTTCTGAAGATCCTTGCCTAATTGCTTACGCTTTCCGCGCATTTCTTCCTGTTGCTCGCGGAGAATATCCTCTGGGTTTTTATGACGTTTCCGATAGGCATCGGCACACCATTGCGCAAACATTTTGGCTGTCTGTCGGTGACGTTTGTGCTCCTGGACAAGGAGTTTGTGGAAGAAAAGCGCGTGGGAAATCAAATGATCTTGATGCGAGTATTGCGGTGGGGGCTCTTCCTGCTGCTCAGTCAGGTATGCCGAGCAAACCTCTGAGCTTAGCGGTCCACCAGCCTCTGCGGCTTCCATGATCTCGCGCCGCTTGTGCGCTTCTATTAGAGCTTCGTCATTTGATATCGTATTCGAGCGGTCTTCTTGGTCTACCCATTCCCGGAATGAGGTATACTTCTTCTGTGGAATATGGCCGGGGTGTCGAATAGGAAGAACAGGTTTGCCAACCTTGAGTCGCAGTCGTGGAACCTTTTGTAAGCCTTGATCTTGTTCATCGCCGTCCATGTTAACATCATTCGAGTCTCCATTGACTTCTTGCGCTAAGTTTGAAAGGGAATTGCGATCACGGAGAGAACGAGAGCTTGTCCCATTGGTACCGGGGGCACGAGGAAGCGTGGCAGAACTTCGGGCTCGTGCGCGCGAATTACTTGGCTTAGAAACCGGGGTCTGAGAGATTCGTTGAGGCTTGGTGGCCACCGCGCGCGACGATGGGGTTCTTGGGGATCCATTGGTCGTCTTTCCAACTAGCTTTCCATTGAGTTCGGCGCGTGATTGCGTCACGGATAACGGCGAGGAAGTAACCGGTTTTGTGCTATCGCGTGTGGACCTGCTATGTCCCTTCTGCCCTCCCCGTGTGTGTCTTTTGTCCAGCGGAGGTGGCGATTCGACAGGGGCCGCGTTGGTCCGTGAAGACCTGCGCTTTCCTTCAAGCAAGAACGACGTCGGACCATCGAAGCCAGCTTTCTTCCACGGCGGAGATGGTGGTCGGGGAGTTGAACGTGGCGATGCGATAGAATCCGTAATCCTACGTTTCTTGGATGGAGGCTCTTCGGATTGCGGGACAGCTTCGACTTCTTTCGGCTCGGAAGGGATCGATTCGGGGGGGACAGATTCCGTTGCATTTTCGACTTCAGACCCGGTCAGGGGTGTGAGATCGGACACAGGTGTTACGCGTTCATCTTGGGTTGATGGGCCGTCGTGGCTGCCGTTTTGCATGACTTGGAGTCGCGGGCGACAGGGGCCGGTTATGGCAGGTGACCCCAGTTATCCCAACAATGGCGCGGTCAGAGTAGAATATTTTGGCATCAGCGAGTAGGGAGGATTGAGTAGATATGCCACACGAAGTTTGGCATGCTTATCGGCACTGTAGCGTTGATGGCGACGGAAAAGGACGGGAGTTAGATGGAATACGTGGAGTGGTTTTTTCGTTAGAGCGATTAGCTGGTCGCGCCGCGCGTGGCTGCCTGGGAGCCTGAGAGTCCTGTGACTGGGTGCCTCAGGCTGCATTCCGCAAACCTCCATCCGTTCATCATCGATATTCAACCCCCTCTGCTCTATTGGCTGTCTTGCCTCCCTTGGACACTCTTTTGCTTCCGCTCTTTCAGCATCACAGTGAGTGCTTTGTCTAGATCAATCCCGTCTGTTGTCCTTCACCGTTCTTTTTCTCTGACGCTCAATTGCTCCCAGATGCTGTCTCAACGGATCCTAGCCCGGCGCCTCCCCCAGGTGGCTGCCCGCGCCATTGCTCCCCGCGCAGCTTTCTCTCAGATCCCAGCTCTCCGTGCTGCTGAAGTTGAAGACCCCCTCCAGGTATATTTATCTTATATAGCACCTATACGGTCCTCTCCGCCTGCTAGCGACGGCATCTAACTCCGACACAGAACAACAACTACCCCAACCCTCCTCGTGTGAAGCGGGCCTTCAGAGATCCCCACGGCGGCTGGTGGGACGCCCAAGAGAAGCGCAACTTCGGTGAACCTGTGCACGAGGACAACGAAATCCTCGGTGTGTTCAGTCCCGAGCAATACACTCACGTCTCCGCCGGCAAGGGCTTCTTCCATCTCGGATGCTTTGTCGTCGCTTTCCTTAGCGTGTGCGGTGTTGTCAGCATGTACTACCCCGACAAGCCCAGTGTTCCTAAGACCTACGCCGATGGTCTGGAGAAGGAACTGGGAGGGCCCAATGCTCTGCCGGTACGTGACCATACACATTACATCTGCGGAAATCTCGAGCAGACAAGCTAACACTGTTTTCTAGGCTCGCAAGTCCGGTGAGGACAAGTGGTGATTGACATCTGGTTTCTTTTTGTTGTTGTGTAAATACCAGTACGATTTTTTATATTCGGCGTCACTTGAGGGACTGGTGGTCGATTGGCCAACAGTCCCATGTTTCAACCCCGAAAAGCCCGATTGCATGTTCGGAATGAATTTGGATTTAAACTACTTTGGTCTTCGTAGACTTGCATCTGGAGAGACTGGGATCAGTAGAGGGACAAAGAGAACAGCCAACCCTGTCGCAGTATCAGCCTCCTTTGCGCAAAGGCTATTAGGAACCTGGGCATGATAGCGATACATGTGACACCCTTGCCTTAAATCGACGATCCCTTTTCCAAGGAGAACAAAGACATCCCCCTGGAACTATTCCTCCATATAGGGGCTGTAAACACTATCAGGTAGACATTGTTTTGGGCGCCTACGTCAGTTGGCTCGGGAGCTTTTTGTTTCACCTCCGCCCCTCTCTCCCCTTCAAACAATTATCCTCTCTGGCTTTGCGACAGCTTTTCACTTTGGGTTCTTTGAGAAAAGTGTCTTGAAAAGCCTCTATCGCCTGGTGTGGTCTTCCACTCCATGGTCCTGCATTCCAGTATCTTTTGATCTTGCAAACGTTGCACGAATTTAATCGACCATCACCCCATGTCGACAGCATCTACCCAATCCCGAGGAGTCAATCGACGGATTAACAGCCTCCAAAATGAGGGCCGCCATTCGCGCAACTCCTCTTTGTCGCGGCGCCGCCCTCTGAATGCCAACGTGGCATACAGCCACGCTGTTCGAGTGGCCTATCTCGCCTACCTCCTCCACCCTCGCTCCCGTCGCATCCAAAATGCCCCCGCTGCGCCGGCGCGGCCAAAGCGATCGTCGACTTCTATTCATGATTTAATGAGTGACTTTTCGCTAGTGAGAGATTCCAAGAGCACAAGGATTCCCCATGGATTCGTGTCCGAGCTGGAGAAGCGCTTAACCGGCGTGTTGATGGGAAAGGAGAAACGAAAGGAGTACCAGGATCACCTGGTAGTACGGACATTCGCTGCCTTTCTCAACACTCTGAAAGAAGATTCATTCCGAAAGCGCATGGAAAAGGATCGACGCGCTGAAGATTTGGTCCTTATCTTCTACTCGAATGCGATCAAGGAGCTGGGCAAAGGCAAGGAGCACGACGATGATAGTTGGAAACTAATGGTGGATCGTCACGTCGCTCTTTTCGTCCGACTCTTCGGTCTCATATTGAAAGATCACGACTGGTCGAAGGACCGTCCAGAGCTGGCCAATCGCCTATCGGTGCTCGAGAACAAGCTTCTTCTACAAGATCAGGATCTTATGGAAGGAAATGGACCTACGTCTGCGACAGAGGCCCCCGGTTCATTGAGTTATAATGTGAAAGACATGCCCCTGGTGCAGCATGTCACCAAGATCTTTGGGATGACAACTGCCCAAGCGCAGTCTGAGATCGATAACCACAAGTCCCTTTGGACGGAAAAGGCTGCTCTCCAGGACCTTAAGACCTATCAAGCACACCTGAATCTTCAGACTCACAAAACATTGTCCAGAGATGATTTTGAGTCAGATGACGGTTACGAATCTTGGAAGAAAAGCGAAGGCCCGGATCTTTCCCAGATGATGCTTGCAATCGTGCAGTCCAACCCAGAGTTGGCCAAGAGTACTCCTGGGTCTCTTCCTCAATTTAACCCTAATTCTAGTGATAATCCTGATTTGTCCAGAATTTCCTCTGGTCGAAGTGACAGAACATCCTATGTCATTGATCAACCCCTTGACCTTAGTGGTATTTCTTTGGATGAAACGGATGAATCTGATACTTATGCCTTCATTCCATCCGACCCCAGGGCTGTGTACAGATATGTTCTAGCCCAGACTTTGAGTCACGATCTACGAGATCGGGACCTCGAAGCTTCCCAAGCGACATCTGATGTGCCTTCAATGAAATTGTTTTCGAAGCAGTCCATGGAGATGCTTAATGAATTATGTCTCCGCTGGCGGATCCCCAACTTTTCCCGGGTCGTCTTGTTCCTTGATGTGGCTCAGGCTAAATTCGTTGACAATGAAATCGACCTCGATACCCTTGACTCGGCATTTACATTTGCAAAGGAAACACCCGCAGGACAATCAAACAAACGCAGTAGTTTCGTGGCTTCCACGGTCTTCGACCGGGCACGATGGACTGTTCACGACCTTCAAACTATACAAGCACTTCTGTCCAAGCTCCATGAGGCTTTGTTAAGAGAGCTGTACGATGTCATGATGGACTGTTTCGAGGCAAAACCACGCCCAATCGGTCCTGTGATGTACCTTCTCGAAACACACATCCGAATGGATCCGAACTACGTCGAGAATCCGGAGGATATCAATCGATTCTCTTCGTATGTGCAAGAAGGACTGGCCGAAAAAGCCACAGCGAAATATCAAAGTCTTCTTAGCCAGCTCATCCCAGTGGAATCAGAGGCTTGGGACCCTCAGCATGTCACCGAACTTGGAGATGCAATTACAAAGCTTGCAACAAAGATCCAGAAACGCTACCGCAACAATCCAGAGATCATGGGGTATGTCTCACGCCGTGTTTATTGGCACAACGCTAACCAACAACAGAGTTAATCCTCATACCACTCTATGCTCCAACGTGTTACCGATGTTTGCTGAAGATGCACATGAAATGGTCATTCGGATTCTCGAACAAGCCAAAGAGAGAGGCGAGGAGATTGCAATCGAAGATGGCTTCGATCTATATAAGGGGCTCGCTGCTGTCAGGCAGTTGTTCACACAAACCCATCCTGAGTGAGTTCTATTTTTCCTTCTTTTTAGAGCTAGAAGCTGACTGATGCAGCGCAACCTTCCCCTTCCATGTGGAGACTCTTCTTCAGGAATTCGTCTGGAGGTGGCTTCGCTTGACAGACCAAAAGGTCATGGATTGGGTTAGTCAAGCTACGAGACAAGACGCATTCACTGTTCGCGCTGAACGGACGGCCGGTATCGCCCCTGAAGATGATCGACACAGTGTGTCAGTGATTGATATCTTCCGATCTTTCAACCAAGTAGTTGAGAGCCTTGTGCAGCTGGAATGGGATGACGATCTCCAGTATGCGAAATTCATGACCCATCTCTCCAACTCGATTGGCAAGGGTGTTGCGACATATTGTGACTCCTTGGAGAAGATGTTTGCGCGAGAGCTGGATCGTCTCACACCTGAGCAAGAGGCTGCATTGAACCAAACTACACAGGAGAAGCTGATGCAATTTGCCAAGGATACATGGACAAACAAGGACAAGATCGAACCATTCCAATTCTACTCAGAAGTATGTGTTCATCCCCTTTCTCATAATCTAGTTTGTCTAACTTTCCTATAGTCCCTGGTGAAACTGAACAACATTGAGTATGCACTCGCACAGCTTGACAAGCTTGAGAACGACATCAATGTCGATGGATGCGCCGAAGTCATTGCGAGAAACACCCCTCCGCAGCTCAAAAAGGTCCGCAAGTCTACTACTTATGTCTTCACAATCAAGGTTGTGGAAGCAGAAGATTTGAAAGCCTGCGATATCGGTGGTGGCAGTGATCCCTATGTCGTCTTGACGGACGAATATCAGAAACGGATTGCCAAGACCCGCACCATCTACAATAATCTTAATCCCCGTTGGGAAGACACTGTTGATCTGACAACTCAGGGTCCTCTCAACATGATTGCCACTATTTGGGACTGGGATGCAGTGGGCGACCACGACTATGTCGGCCGCACTTCCATCAAGCTGGATCCAGTGCACTTTAGTGACTTTTTGCCGCGGGAATATTGGCTTGACCTTGATACTCAGGGTCGGCTTTTGCTCCGAGTCAGTATGGAAGGCGAGCGCGATGACATTCAATTCTACTTTGGCAAGGCGTTCCGTACCCTGAAACGTACGGAAAGGGATATGACTCGAAAGATCACAGAGAAGCTTTCTGCATACATCAGTCACTGTCTTTCTCGTCGGACACTGAAGTCTCTGCTCTCCCGAGGTATCAGCATCTCCAGTGTCTCGAGTTTCCTGAACCGCAATCGAGCACAACCAGCAGCTTCCGGTCCAACGCCAGCCGACGTCGAAAACGCCTTGGATCCCCTGTTCAACTACTTCAACGACAACTTCGCCATCATGAACAAGACACTTACGCCCGAAGCCATGAAGATGGTGATGGCCCGCTTGTGGAAGGAAGTACTTGCAACTATCGAGAGTCTACTAGTGCCACCTCTGTCCGACAAGCCATCTCACCAGAAACCCCTTACTATCCAAGAAGTCGACATCGTATCACGCTGGCTCGTGTTGCTATTGAACTTCTTCCACGCCATCGATGAAGAAACAGGCGAGGCAGGCGGTGTCCCAATCGACATTTTGAAATCGCCCAAGTATCACGAAATTCAAAGCCTGAATTTCTTCTACTTCGAACCAACCGAGAACCTCATCCGCACCTCTGAGCGCATGGCCTCGGCAACAGTCAACCGCCAACAAGCAAACCGCAATCGAGCCTCCGCGCCCGCACACCTAGGCGCTGGCGCCGGTCATGGCGGCTTAGGACTTCCCGCGGCCCGTCGTGGAAAGAGCATCATGCTCTCCCGCAACCTAGGCACCATGAAGAAAGCCAAAGAAGAGAAGCGCAGAGAAGCCCAAGCCGACCCAAACGACGACATGATCCTTCGTATTCTCCGAATGCGCCCTGAAGCCGCGGGCTACCTGCGTGATCGTAGCCGTCAGAAAGAAAGACTAGCTGCAGCTGCGGCCGCCGACGCCATTGTGAAGCAGAGTCTCATGGCCGGAGCTGGGAGTCGCATGAGTGGCATCATGCCACGCGCAAGGTGAAAGTGAATACGGAATTAGCACGCCTTGTATGTCTGCATTACTCTATACACCAGCAATGTTCCCTTTATGCCTCTTTCCTTTGTATTCTGTCCCATTACGCATGAACCTTGACCTTATGATTCCCATTAGCATCTACTCGTACCTACTCATATTACTTCGAATGGAATGGAAATGGAAATGATCACGATGAGCAAATATCAGATATCAATCAATACCAGTCAGGTAATGGCGTTCATATAAATTAGGTGACTTGATCCTGTTACTACTATATCCGTATCTACAAACTCTACGCTCAACCCATTCAGATATCAAATTTCCATTGTATCTGTATCTGTGTCTCGGTAAAAAAAGAGGATTCAATCAAGAAACAAACCCCCAATTTACTCAAGAGCAATGCACTCAATCTCAACGGGGACACCCTTGGGCAGCTGGTGAACAGCAACACAGCTACGGGCAGGCTTGTGCACGAAGAACTTCTCGTAAGTGGCGTTCATTTCAGCGAAGTTGGCCATATCAGTCAAGAAGACCTATACAAATCACGAAGCAGTCAGCAACAATATCCCAGCGACATGCATATTCCAGTATTTGGAAGAGGGGAACGGGGAACGCACGTTAACCTTGACGATCTTGGAGACGTCAGAGCCAGCAGCGGTCAGGATAGCCTTGATGTTGTCGCAGCAGACCTGGGTCTTCTGGCCAATGTTGCCCTCGACGAGGTTGGCGGAGGCGTCAGCGGGGATCTGGCCGGAGACGAAGATCTGGCCATTGGCACGGATAGCCTGGGACTATATTTTTTTTTTGTTAGGGATTGTGCTTTGGATGTGTCTTTTTTGGCGGGGGTTGAGGGTCAATTGTCCGATTTCGGTCATGGAGGGGTAGCTCGCAAGGTAGAAGATGGTGGACGTGAACATGAACATGAACAGGGAGCTGAACATGGACACCTAGGCTTTTGGGTATTAGGGAGAACGTACGTAGGGGCCGGCAGCTGTGAGAGGGTCTATGTTAGTGACTTGATTCCAAATGATTGTATTCCCGCGGGACTGTGTTTGTATCGCGATGATACCTGGACTTACGAGGGCAGGCTTCCTTAGCGGAGATGATGGACATGGACATTTTGGAGAGGAATTGAGGTCTGGACTGGATAAATGGACGAGGAGTGAGAGTTCGAGAGAGACACAAGAGACGAGAAGTAGGGCGCAGCATGAGGAAGAAGTAGGAAGACGATAAGTGCCCCGCTCGAGTTTCCCTCGGAGAGCGTCGCAGCTCCCCGATGAAGTCATCCGATCTTTATCTTTTGAGGATCTAGAATTTCTGAGAATTGTACTACGGGATATACTGTAGATATATATGGGAATCAATGATTGGATCACAATTGGGCTAATACAATACTAAAGAATATAAAGTCGTTTCGTCGTGTTCGCATTACTTGCCCTGCGCCTTCCAGGAACATACTGTACAAAGAATTCTTCGGATCACGATTTGCCCAGGTTGCCAAGCTGTTGCATAAAGCTGGCGGTCTGTTCGGCGGAATACCCAAAGAAGACGGGACCATTGAAAGTGATGTGAGAGGGAACGGAGGTGGTGGAAGGGAGATCGGGTTTGGTAGTCGGGTCTTCGCTGGCAGGAGCAGGGATAGGAGGAGCAGTTGTCTCATCTGTAGATGGGCCCTTGTCATTCTTGGGCCATTCCTTTGCCCAGTCTTTCCAGGGTCCTTCGGGCTCAGTCTTGGGGTGTTCAGCTGGCTTCTGGGCCCCGTGGCCAAAGGGACAACGCCCGGCAGGCTTGGCTGGAACATCAACACCGGTGTCAGCGACGTCGGCGGACTTCTCGGGTGAAGTATTGAATTGATCGGTCGAAATGGGTCCAGGGGCCAGGCCGGAGGTCGGCACTGAAGCAGGAGGAAGGTGTGTGACTGGTACTGAGATACCCCAAGGCCTGCTCGGAGATTCACCCACACGAACTTCGCGGAGTGGACGGTCGAAGTGACTCTGACGATTGTCATCATCATCATGATCAGGAGCTTCATTATTAGGAGCTCCAGGTGTCTCCGGGTCCACGTTCTCAGCCCATTTCTCAACACGTTGTGTAGACGCGGAGGTTGAAGACTTGCCCTCCCCGTTTTGGCAGTCGGGCAAGAACGCTTGATGTTTGACTCCTAGGCCGGCGATCATGCTAGTCAGCCCGCCATACTTAGCGTCCAGGTGTCGCATGTTCTGTGGGTTGCGTTGGTATCGGTTGACGCAGATGGCATGGCTCCGCGGGATTTCATGTTTGTGTCGTTCCACATATTCAGCGATTTCTTCTGGAGAGTGTTGGTCCAGGAATCGGATTGGGCATCGAGAGACGGGACAGGCGCCTTTAGATGAGGGAGCGGATGGAGTATGGCTAGAGCGTCGGTCCTCCAGCTCTGCTTTGATAGGATCGAGATGCTCATGCCCGCAGGTGGAGTCAATCTGGATCTTTGGAGCAGAGCTTCTCCCACTGGGGATCTCACTTCCGTTCTGCATCTTATTCGGTTTGGAAAATGGGCAATGCAGGTTTCCCTGGGTACCGTTTGTGGTGAAGTCTTTCTCCAGCGCAGGTGGTGGGGAAGGAACCCGCGCAAGGATGCAGGAATTGGATCTTTGAGATAGGCCATCTTGCGAACGGAGCAGAGACTTGCAGCCTTTGACCCCGTCCTTGATGGCCGCAGTGGTATTTTCGTCTACATTTTGGTGTGCAACGAGGGTCTTGATTACATCTCTGGAATTCAACGGTTGTTCCTCCACCCGAGGCTTGCTGTGTACGAGGCCCTGACGGTATTCTTCTTGCTGCGCAAGCAGTTTGGTATGAATGTCCAGTGCAGGAGGTCTATCTTGAGGAGGCAGTGTTTCTATAACATCGGAGTACTATTTGCGAGTTAGCGATTGTTTCAAAAAAAAACCACATGAAAACAAGCAAAGCAGTCAAAGTCTCATCAGATAATACATGTTAATCCGTCACCGCCACATAAGTGACTACTGATCTAGAGCTAATCAAAATTTCTCATCACTTGAGACTGAAAGCAAAGGCAAGGGGAATAGAAACTGAGAGAAAAGGGTGTATTTACCTCCTTGAAGACCTTATCCATGTGCTGGAACATCTCATTTTGTCTGTGAGTAAGTCGATAAACGGTTAGTAGTAAAGCATCAAAGGCCTTGCCCACGGCCTGAAGCTGATCATGTTGTGGATCTGGCTGCATCTCGGCAAGAGCAGCAGGTGACATGCTGAAGGTATTACAATCAGAAAAAATTCATCTGAGGAAGTGGCTTGCAAGATGCAGCGCCGACTTCAAAGTCATGAGAGATGGAAAAAAAGGAAAGCGGCTCCTTTATACGAATGGGCTGACGCCGGAAAAACGTGAAGCGAGGTGGCCTGTGCGCTGGGTCATGTGATGGGCTAGTCTGGTTTGGGCCATGTACCCAGGGTACCTACATAAGAGGTATTTGGTACATGAGCCTGCATTGAAGCTGCATTTACGTTGATTCTATGTAGAAAACATAGCATACTGACTGTTTCTTGCTTGAGGGGCTATTGTGTTATGAAGTATCAGTCAGCTAGGGTATCAGTCCTCGATTACTGTATCATTCAAAATGCTACCGTCATAACCTATTATGAGAGAGATATATATATCTACAGTACTCGTTTGATGTGATTTAACTCTATATATGAATATTTTAAGAATGTCTGATAAGAAATAGATATAAACGATCCAATCATTGCGTACTAAATCAGAGTCATGCTCAATGCAGAAATAGGGTAAAGGGAAGAGAGGTAGTTTCAACATGGGAAAAGGAATGACGGCGGACTAACTAGTTACTGCAGACTATTTTGCCAAAAAATCTTTCTGGCTTATGTAGCCACAAGTTGAAGCCCTTTCAACAGCCCGGCCGGGCTAGCTCAATCGGTAGAGCGTAAGACTCTTAATCTTAAGGCTGCGGGTTCGACCCCCGCGTTCGGCTATTCCTGAAACACCGTCCTCGAGTGAGCGTTTCTTTTTTTTTTGTTTTTCTTTTCTTCATTTCCATAACCTCACGTTTATTATTTCGAGTATAGAATCGAGTACTTTTTTTTTTTGTTTGGTAACCTCAGACCCCAACGCAGCCTGTCAATATATAACGTAGAGCGTGGCTTATCGGATATACAATACGTACGCTGCACAACAGAGACATGGCTGCATGTGCATATTTCCCTAGTACAAGCCACTGTGATGAGTTTCCGATCACGTACCGACACCAATCACGCGATTGGCTAGACCTGTTTGGTAAAGGCTGCAGCGCGTCCGAAACGGTCTCAATGGTCTGATCCAACATGTGCGAAGATTCGTCTGATCTAGACAAGCCACTTGACTGGGATTCCTGAGTCATTTCACCTGGCTGGGTGCCACCAAGAAGCCAGATGTCTAGACCTGGAACCCCCCAGGAGGAAAGGATTATCAGGTTACCACACACCCTGATTCGCTTGGCCCTGACCTTTCGAGGGGACTGAGCACTAGTTCCGAGGCGTGCATGAGGGCCATCGCAGATCCGCCGTGATAAGAATACCCCGTATGCGATATCACAGGCGAGGCGAGGGGCTGTCTCGATATCGATACGCTGTATAGATATAGAGAGGTAAGAATATAACACTGTCACAATATAAGAATATAACACGATACAAATAAGCATAGAATAAGAATAGAATCCGCGTTGCACACAGTTCTAGACCGAAGATCAGAGGGGCAACCCTCTGCTTATCAAATGTCGTCTCTATTTTTCCCCTCCATACCTTTTTTTTTTTTTTCTCATTTTTTTCCCTTTTTATCCCTCCTTTCCCCCCCCCTCAATCACGTCCCCCTCCTTTCTCTTTCATCATGTCCTCTACTCTCCCCAATGCCTCCCAAGTCGGACTCCCCGCCTCCGATGCCGCCAGCACCGCCGAACTCGCCAGTCTTAAGGTAAGACTGCGCGGTGCTCTGCGCCAGTTCCCGGACTTCCCCTCCCCCGGAATTCTGTTTGAGGATATCCTGCCTATCTTCGCCGACCCTTCTCTTCACGAGGCCTTGATCCGCTCTCTGGAGCTTCACATCCGCGCCAACTATGACCAGAAGCCCGATGTCATCGTTGGTCTGGAGGCCCGCGGTTTCCTCATGGGCCCCAGTCTGGCTCTGCGCCTCGGTGCCAGCTTCGTCCCCGTGCGCAAGCAGGGCAAGCTCCCCGGTCCTTGCGAGACCCAGGGATACGAGAAGGAGTATGGCCAGGATTTCTTCCAGATGCAGGCCGACTCCATCAAGCCCGGCCAGAAGGTCCTTGTCATCGATGACATTATCGCTACCGGTATGTGAAGATGGAATGCGCGCTCTTCCTGTCATACCGCATACTAATGGATTCACAGGTGGTTCCGCCTACGCCGGTGGTGAGCTGATCAAGAAGATGGGAGGTGATCTCCTGGGCTTCATTTTCCTCCTCGAACTCGAGTTCCTCCACGGCCGTGACAAGCTCCCCGCCCCCGTGTACACTCTCCTCTCTGGCCAGGCTTAAAGTTATACGCCCGCAAAACGCCCCCAAAATCTTTATTTGACGACCGCCATTGCCGATAATAATACCCCTCCAAAAGCCCGACCGCACCCGATCTTGCGGTGAAGCGTCACCCGGGCCAACCAGCCACAGGTCTTCGAGTCCGATCAGGCGATGCTCGGTGCCTTCCGACGTTGGAGTGCCGGATATCGGACACCATATAGAATAGCGTGAATGCAATTTGTACAGACCTTGTGTCTAGTCTCTATCCTTTGGAATGAACCTCCTCATAACCGCATCCACCCACTGCAGTGGAATTCCCAACCCCGTCGACTCCCGAATAGCTCTATTCATCCTAGCAATGTATTCAACCTTAGGCCCCGCAAGCCTCACGCACTGCTCATCCACATAAACCAAAACCGGCACCTTTTCTTCATATCCACGCCCGTCCCCCTCTAACCACTTCACCACCGCAGCCTCCACATACCACTTATTATAGGACCCGTCTCCCTGTTCCCGAGGCCGAACATCCACCCCAACCCACTCCCCCTGGGACTCGTCCGACTCCACATCCACCCCCTCATAGGTATCCAGAATCCCCTCATCCCCCGGATCCATGGAATAAAGAACCCCATACACCAAATCCTCCGGTCCCGAAATAGGAACCTGAGCCGCAATATCGGAATCCTGACTCGGGACACGCAGTCCCGCCGGGGGGAGGACATTGGCGTATCCAGCCTCGCAGATGAACCAGCGCCAGTGCGGGAGGGTTGCTATTGCCAGTGGTTTGGAGGATGATTCTGGGTCTACCGTGCAGCGGGATTTCATCTGTGTTGGAGAGAGGTTGGAGCCGTAGGCGAAGTAGAGATGTTTGGGGGGTTGATGTTTTGTTTCATCGAGGGGGGAGCGGGATTGGGATTGGGATTTGGTTGATGTGTGGGCTTCTGTTGGCAGTTCTGTTGCGGATGGTTTGAAGGGCATTTTGAAGGATTTGATGGTGTTTTGGTTTTGGTTGTTACGGCTGGTTTGACTGTATCCGAGGAAGTAACAGTAAAAGAGGAGAAAAGAGGGGATGAATGCATGTAAAGGTAAGTTAAAGGTAACTCAAGCTAGTCAAGTAATAAGTGAATGACTCAACAATCATCACATAGAAAGTCAACTTAAGCTACGTTACAAGGTATAGACTATAATGAACGTTATGGCATGGATATAAAGTTAACTCCACACAACTTCTACTTCACACTTAACAACCGAACCTTGGAGCCACCGGACTTATATCACCGAGCAGCACGGTCACTAATCACCGAGACTCCAAGCCAATGAACCGAGTCTATCACATACAAATCACCACTCGGGAATCACCCGGAAACCAACTTCCGCTATAGTTAGATATATCAACTTCAACTCAATTCGACACTTCCTCCATACACCTCCAGCAACTTCCTCAATACATCTCCAGCATTCACAATGGTAAACAAGCTAGCAATCGCCAGTGTCTCCTTGAGTCTCTATCCAGGCCATCTATTAGACGAGAAGATCCGCACCGCAGCCCAGCATGGCTACTCCGGCCTCGAGATCGTCTACTCAGACCTAGAAACATACAGCAAATCCCAAAACATCCCAATCCACACCGCAGCCCAGAGAATCCACCAAATCTGCAACGAAAACAACATCCAAGCCCTCTCCTTAGCCCCATTCGAGAACTTCGAAGGCGCAAACTCCCCCCTGGAAACAAGACTCCAACGAGCCAAACACTGGCTCGAAATCGCCCGACTCCTCAAAGCACCATACCTCCAAGTCCCATCAATCTTCACAACCGACTGCAGCCGCGACGCAGCCGTCCTCATCCACGAACTACAAGCCCTCTCAGACCTAGCCAGCGCCACCGAGCCAAAAGTCTCAATCGCCTACGAGGCCCTATCCTGGGGAACGAACCACTCAACCTGGGAAGCAGCGCTGGCACTCGTGAACAGCGTGCAACGACCGAATTTCGGGCTGTGCATGGACACATTCCACGAAGCAACCAAGATATGGGGCGATTCGGCCTCACCATCCGGGATGCAGATGAACGCCGATGAACGGCTGCGCGATTCGCTGCGTCGGTTTGTCCGGGATTGTCCGCGGGACAAGTTATTCTATGTGCAGCTGTCGGACGGCGAGCGGTTCGATCCGCCGTATTCGGCGGAGCACCCGTGGGCGTTGTCGGGCGAGGCGAAGGAATTTACGTGGTCGAAGCATGCGCGGCCGTTTCCGTTGGAGAAGGAGTTGGGGGGGTATTTGCCTGTCGTGGAGATTGCGCGGGCTTGGATTGTTGAGATGGGATTTGAGGGGTGGGTTTCTATGGAGGTTTTTGATCGGAGGTTGAGGGATGGGAGTGTTAGTGTTGGGAGTGCTGCGCAACGGGGGATTGAGTCTTGGAGGAAGGTTCAGGCTGCTATGGAGGGGAAACCTAGGCTTTGAATTGGATTGGATTTAATGGTGGGATATTGGGGGGATGTATCTCCGAGGAGGTTGGCTATGTTGAATCTACTGTATAGACCTAGGTACACGCCGACAGATACAAAACATGATTGTGAGTCTTCGTTTCGAGGGTATATGTATTGGTGTATATTCAAACAATGTTCAAGTTTGTGATTGGGACGCCTTGAGATCGCATGGTGTATCGTCTCTTGACACCAATGCCGCCTGCGTGGCGTAGGAGTTGGTATGTTTCATCTCCACCGCCGACCATAACCATGCTGATGAGGTAGTTGCGTGGGATGCCGCTGGCAGTCATTTGGGCCTCGTCGAGATGTGGGCGGATGAGGGTTGACTCGGCACGAACAGCGGCGATGGAGGTGTCAGACTGATATTTCGATCCTTTTTTCGTCTCGTTCTCTGGTGGGACATCGTCGTATGAGACAACAACAATGAGCTTCAAGGCGGACCGTGTTGGTCTGTAGGCGGCAACGTTGCGTAGCTTTTCTGAAAAGGTGCAACCGCCACGCTTGATAACAAGCACCTCGTGATTTTGAGCAACCTCACGAAGAACCTTTTCGTCACAGATTTCATCAACAAAGTATATACTTGACCATGTGAGACGGCTGGTAGACGGGTTGCCAAGTACTGACATGGTGACAGCATCTTCAGTATCCGGGAGCGGGCCCGAACCAACCCCGGTAGCAATAGAAGCAGGGAGACTCAGCCGAAGCGGTGCGGCCTCCGTCGGCTCGTCGCGCAGCAACGAAGAAACCGAGTTCACCAGAGACGATAGCATGGCCTTTACAGTTGAGTCTGGGGAGTCGATGATTGCGGCATCGTCGACAGAAGAGGCGGGTCGGTGGGCTCCGAGATGGGAGTCCGACGGCTGCGGATGTTCTGACGCAGAATACTCATCTGGCGGATGAGTCGAATCATTGCGTCGGCGAGCGGGCTCTGGAAGAACGTCAATGACAAGGTCTAGCATGGCATTGTCGCGGACCCGAGTGAAGTTCGGATCATAGGGATCGACGACATCAAAGGTGATCTGACGAGAGAGATATACCTTCTCATCTTTGCCCAGTGGCACATTATTGATCACCTGCACCCGGTATCCGTCTGCGTCTTCCCCAGTGGTGGGTGTTGGGTCCTCCAGCCGTACATCCTGAACCATACTCAAACGGAGCCCTCCGATTGTTTTCACGAAAACTCCGTCGCGGACACGTTCCAGTGCTCCAGATCCTAGGTTGACGCCACCTGGAAGCGATGGGAATGAGATGTCGAGTGTGGGTCTGACGGCCATTGGGGCACTCGTAGCATCGAAGGGAACCAGCTGAGGGGGAAGTGTCCATGGGTAGAATGTATAGTTGGTTGGCGAGGTGAGATCGGACACAAATACACTTTGATGTTCAGATGAGTCTTTCAAGATAGGACCCTGTGCCACACCTCGACTAGGCATCTGATCCAAGCGAGCCAAAGTGGCAGCGTGGAAGATATCCGAGCGAGATGCAGTGGATGATACACCAAAGAAAGGAGACGGGATAATTTGACAAGTTCCCTCTGCAATCTCCTGACCTGCTGGTGGGGGCGAGGCTTGACGATGTTGCAATGTCTTCTTTTTAGGAATGATGAGAGGGTGCCCTTCAGTATTGAAGACCCAGGGTGCATCAACCCTATTCAAAGGATGATCCTTGTCGAACAGCAGGAAGAGGTACTTGGCTGTTTCACCAATGAAGAAACTCTCCATTCGATCGATGAGTTCGCCAGTCAGAACATTTCGGATGCCAGCCCAGCCACATTTGGTCCAGCATCGCCGCTTCAGGTCACTAAGAACCATTTCACCAACATGTAGATACCAAGGATCCTGGGTGGCCCGGTAAATGTAATAATTGGACTCGATAAACTCTGGCCGACCTCCGTACCACGGCATGCCGTTGTCAATATCGCCCGTGGCCACGTTCCACCGCTCAGGAATACCCGAGTAGCGAGTCCAGATCGCGGTAGTCAAAAGATGGAGCTGGACAGCTTCATCCAACTTTCCATCTAGAGCGAGAACTCCTGGATAGAAAGCACTCAAACTATCAATCCAGAAAGCTCGGGTGGCACCGGTGATTACATCCCCTACAATAAGATGGGGATGTTGATAACCTTCACCTCGGAACAGATGGCGGTTGATTGACGTGTGCGATTCCTCCCATACCTGTCTGAAGGCTTCCCCTGTGTGCTGATAGTCTGTCAAAGGATCGTAGTATGAGTCCAATGCCGCCCAAGGGCTTTCGGAATTGAATGGCAAACGCTCTCCTTCTGACAGAAGAACATGAGCCTTGACAGCATATTCATAGAAACTGTCAATGCCCGCACCAATCTATCAAAATCAGTCTGTGGTCGTCGCTCAAAGGAAGAAAAATACATACTCCGGCCCATGGTCCCACCCACTTGCCCGATTCAACATCAATGCCAAATCCAAGCAGTCCAATGTCACTCCGACGGCTCCAAACCGCCCAAAATGCTCTCTTGCCCAGATCTTCGAACCGGCCATCACCAGTGAGGCGGCTCAGCACGGTAAGTTCGAGGACCAGACTACCCGCACCAGCACTACAAGTCTCAGCAGGTTCCGAGTTTGTTGCAGACTTGGGTTTTCGTTTGCGCGAACCGCTCTGGCCATTAAAATTGAGAGGCGCATTCTCATAAAAAGGTATCCCGTGTCGTAGGTTGACTCGGGGGTAGGGGAGACCGGTCTCTGTGTAGAACGCAGGGAGTAGACGGTGTGCCAAATCCACAGCGAGTCGAAGCAGTTGGCCATCATAGATGAAGCCATTTCTCCATTGAATGCCGTGATCTTTCTTCCCAAAATGGCTTTTATCCCATGCACTTGCAAATGCGGCGTCCTGTGCCAAGGGTTCGTATCCAGTAATAGGGAGCTCGCCGACGGCAAAAAGATGAGCACTGAGCAAACCGCCTGCATAAATGTAAGTATAAGATAGTCACAAGACGTCCAGCCAACGCTATCAGCCATGGTAGAGGAACGTACCCAGCCCTCGAATCACGGTCTCGAATAACTGCACCTTGCTGTCCAGATCAAAGCCTCTCGACCTTTCACCCTGACCAGCAGGGCCATACGAGCCATCGCCATATAGCCTAACAAAATCCTGAACACCATTTTGGAAATGCGCCAAGGCACGCTCGCCACTATCCGGACTTGACGAGATGATTGCCAACGATGACAGGCTGTCAATCAAAGTCAAGGAGTAATTTCCCAAAACATCATTATTCTCCGGATTCTTCTCGTCGCGAAACAGAGGGCCGCAGGTCAGTGCGCGCAATTCGTCTTCGGGGAACGCGTATTGCATGTAGTTCTCGAAGCCGTGGAAGAACATGCGCTCCGTTTCTTGCCTGGATAAGTACGGAGATTAGAGGTTGAGTCTTTCAAAAAGGAGTAAACTATACTTGGAAAGAAGGACTCTTACCGTAGTTCCTTTACTTGGCTGTCTCTCATGCCATGGGCAACACTGAACCACAGGAGGATGGCGCAGAACACCATCCTCCCGGCGAAGCGGAGGGAGGACATTTTTCAGCTCCGTCACGCTTCACGGGGAACTGAGTGCAGAGCTCATGGATGGGAGAGGACCAGAGGACCTATGACCGTTAAAGTAGAGAACTCGGTCACTCAAGGGTGAGGGTGGAGTGTTTGGATACGGCCAGATAAGCCAATTTAGGGGACTTTTTTTGCCGCGCCCATTGCATCATTCCGCTCTATATACTTCAACTTTGGTATGCAGTTCCCCTTGTTTTTGTGAAAATAGCCACAGTGGATTCTAGTGTACAATTCATCAGTCCGTAGGGGACCTAAGTTGGTGACTTGCTAGCTATTCTTTGGTCATTCCCTGCCAGATACGTACGGGGACATCAAATCAAGCCTCGACCTCTGGCTGGTCTTGTGGCTCTTGGGCGAGAAGTTTTGTACGTCAATGTGTTTGAAAAGATGAATTTGACGCCCGCTTATCTTCATTATAACATTATTATGACATATGCTCACCTGCCCAGCTCTCCAAGCATCAGGTTCCGATCGGACGAGCACGAAACAACTGCAACAAGTTAGAAACCGCCCCAAGCATATACAGTAGAACGGTATAAACTCACTGATTGGCTCATCGTTGGGAGAGAAGCGCACGTCGTTGACAGTGCCCTTGTGGCCGGGAAGCTTGTACAACAATTTTCCGGTCTTGGCCTCCCAAACAACCACACTCCGATCACCGCTACCAGCAGCAATCTTCTCGCCCTTGGGATCCCAGCTGGCCCGAATAAGGTTCTTTTCAAGTCCGACGGGAGCACCATCGTACGTCTTCACTTGTCTGTTGGTAGGGGCGAAGGGACGAATGTCCCATGTGCGAACTGTAGAGTCGTGGGAGTTGGACAACAGAGTCTGTGAGTCTGGCGAGATCTGTAACGAAGTGATTGTATCTGTGTGGCCGGTCATAGAGTAGACCACGGCCTTCTTCCGAATATCCCAAGCGTGGATTGTGTTATCAATACCTCCACTGTAAATCTCATTACCTGCCTCGGACAAGGCTACTGCAGTAATGGGAAGCTCAGTCTGGAGGTAATCCAGAGCATCTTTTTGTCGAGGATCCCAGATACCGATGCAACCATCGTCACTGCCACTGATTAACAGTTCCTGTCCTCTCTTGCTGATATCGAGACAATTGATGATCTCCTCGTGGCCCACGTGGCGGCGTACTCGTTCGCCTGTTTCGACATCCCAGCTTCCAAGAGTCATATCGGCGGATGCTGAGAACAGTGACCGGGAATCGCGTGACCATTGGAGATCTAACACGGCTCCCCGGTGGCCGGTCAATTGACCATAATTTTCGCATTGTCCGTATGTGTTCCAGAGTACTATTCACGAAATCCAATCAGTAACCTCTTCGGCGAAATTGGGACAGGACAGATCAAAGCCAAGACATACAAATGGAACGGTCCATGGATCCGGAGGCAATGTGTTGAGCAGTAGGGTCGAATCGCGTCGTGAATACTTCTCCAGAGTGACCTTTGTTTATCCCATTAGCGCATGTTTTAGATTGAATTGACAGAAGCATTTTACCTGTAAGCTCCATGATGGGAGCATCGAGCCCGCTCGTGCGAGGCACCTGCAGATTCAAATTAGCCATTCTATTCTTCCATATCTCTCCAAGCTTCGAGTATGATAGTGGCGCATACAGATTGGACTAGAGCTCCATTTTGCGACGAGCCCTTGACCAGTGCGGTTCCCGCGTTGAGTTCGGCATCGGCCTTGCTCCTCTTGACCACGAGCTGGTGGGAGGTGCCGAAGCCCTCAGGCGCTGGACGTTTCTCGCCGGACATTTTCACAAGCGCGCCTTGGGGTATGCAAGAAATAAAATGAAGGATCGTGGAGCAATCGCGACCTCAAATGTGGTGGAGAGCAAAAGTTCCACGGCGATGAGAAGCTGCGGGAAGAATGATAATCCCATCCTCGGCGGTGAGTGGACTGTGTACATCAGCCACTCCAGCAATCACCGAACTCCCCGCAATCACCATTGATCATTTGTTGACTGTCGCATATATCTGCGCTGGCTTGGGTGCTTCTCATTTACTTATCCTATCACTAGCCACGGTTCTCAGAGTGTGCTCCTGAAGATGTCGACCAACAAAACCTCAAGAATAGGAGAAGAGTAAGTAGAGTCGATGCTTGATCTGGATCTGAATATCCTGCTAATTATTGGACTCTCCTTAGAATATGGAAGTTAGTCAAACTACGAGCCCTTATAGTAGAAACGAGAACCGATTCTCTATCACTCGACTGCCTTCTGCTCGCGAACCCAAGCTAACCAGCTATTTCACTACAGAACAAGAGTCGATAAAGTGAATGCCGAATTGGTCACATTAACCTATGGAACCATTGTTGCACAGTTATGCCAGGACTACGACAGCGACTACCAGGAGGTCAACAAGCAGCTGGACAAGATGGGATACAATATCGGAATGCGCCTAATCGAAGACTTCCTGGCCAAGTCAGGTGTCGGGCGATGCACCAACTTTAGAGAGACAGCAGATATGATTGCCAAGGTGAGTGTCATGATCCCAGTCAGTAACGGAGATATGACTGACCTCTCGACCAGGTTGGCTTCAAGATCTTCCTCAACGTCACACCGACGGTCACGAATTGGGCAAGCGACAACAACCAATTCTCACTTATCTTTGAAGACAACCCCCTAGCAGACTTTGTGGAGCTTCCAGATGATGGACGGGCACAAGATGAGCTGTGGTTCTCTAATATTCTATGTGGTGTCCTCCGAGGGTCCCTGGAAATGGTAAGCACTCCCTTGAACTCTCAAATCGGACAAGGTTCCTTTGTGCTGGGTCCGATGGCTGACCCGGAATACAGGTTCAAATGCAGATCGAGGCACACTTTGTTAGCGATGTGCTGCGTGGAGACGAGACGACCGAGATGCGGGTCTCACTTGTACGATACATCGAAGATGAGATGCCACCGGAAGAAGACTGAAAGGCGAAATGTGCATTAGCACCTACATGGGCGTTCTAGGGAAGGGTTTTTTTTCTATGGTTCTATCGGGGGAATTTATCCGAGTTCATCGGCCCCTAACACTTTTCTTTGTACGCCTGCAATTACGCTTTATGATGTATCGAGGTATCTCTGAAACAGCCCGCCACGCGATTTATTACTGGCATGGCAGGGGCACTTCTTCATACCAAGAAGTTTAAAACCAAGGAAAACATTAGCAAAAGTAGGGGCTTGCGATCAGTCGAGTGGAGCTAGCTCTTCTGTACTAGTTGCATAGTCGCTGAGATACATCGACCTAAAGGACATATGACGTTGTATGGTATTGTTCTTCTGGGCTTTGTTACAGTGACCTGGCGATGATGCTTCCAACTACTACAGGCTCAACATTCTTTTAGCTTCTTCTTGACCTGATCTAGAATATACCATGTGATAATTTTGATTCCATTTTGAGTTGCTTCCCCTAGGTGTTTATATGCTTATGTATCGGGGAATGCCATCAAGACTGGAACGATCATATATTTTAGTGTATAAAGTGTTCCATAGTATGATCATCTATAATTCAACCCTTAAGCATACCCCGAGAGCGAATGAACGATGCCACTTCATAGCCTATTTCGGAACAATTTGTATATACTGCCACATAGCTACAAAAGTATTCTAGGTAGTCAAGGACTGAATAGAACCTCATCATGGACCGAATACTATCACCTATAGGCGTCGATATCAAGACGATGCAAGTAGCACCGTACCCGTCAGGTACTGTCATATAATACCCATCGCCCCTCAACTTCTCTACAGATCAATTTCTTCTTCTCCCCTTTCTCGTCCATTGTCCTATCAACTCTTCCGATTTCTGGGATCGGGCAATCTTCTCAATTCTTGTAGAGTGGCTTACTCTACTTTTTAGACTCCCGGGATCCATCGCAGGGCCCATAGGTATCATCTCACCAGTCTGACTTTTCTGCCTCCTACTTTTTTTTTGGCCTGCTTGCTTTTCAGCTTTCTGTTCTCGGTCTCTCTATTTCTCGGTTCCCATCTAGTTTCTAATATTCTCCCAGACGGTGGTTATCAGATCGGTGCATGCCCAGAAATACGCTTGACAGCGCCATCCCCAGCCCCGACCTCCGACCAGGTTGATCCGATCCGAACAAGCGATTCTCCCGCAGAACGCAGAGAGTACCCCCGGCTCTCTCTCAATCCGTCCCCTTCCCACTGTGAGATCCACATCTCTTAAAGACTCCCCCTATTCTTAATCTGCACTTTTGTTGCCTTTGGGAGTTCGTTGTTTCTGGTATCTGGTTTGGGTGTTCTCCTGTCTGCGATTCTGCCCGATCGGGCTTGACTGGCGCCCGCCCCCCCCATACCAACCACCTCGCCTGTGCGCTGTTTCCGCCTCCTTGTACCTCCGTCATCGCCCACTTCCTCTACATCGCGCATTCACCCCTGCACTTCGCAGAAATCTTCTAATACCCGGACAAGTGCTCATCACTTTCTTCAGCACATCGCCTGCGCCTTCGAGCCTCGATACCCTCATTTCGATACCGTCGCGTTGGTTCTCTAGACAAATCCGTCACTAGTGACACGGAAAACTTATCGTCCGCCGTCTGATCCTACGATATCCCACACAGCCGGCTTGCGCAGTAACGTATACGCGTTGCTGATTCCGCGAGTCTTCGTTCCTGTGAAGCGCTCACCGCTTCGTCTCCGTCACATTCCCACGCGTCGCCTATATAACCCCGCGGCAGGCTAAATTGCCTGAGACGGTGGTCGCGCGTCGGAATTTCGTCGCGTTCAATTTGATCTTCCACGAAACCATAGGCAAGGGTGGCTTCAGTTCCACCGTTAGCCACAATGAACCAGATGAATGTCGGAATGAACCCCGGCGCTGGGGGCCCAGTGGGTGGAGTTCCCATGATCAACAATGGATCTTCGGCTTCCCGTAACGATGGCACTATGAATAACCCCGATATCATGATCAACAACCTCAACACGTACATTTACGATTACTTTTTGAAGCGTGGCTATCACGACTGCGCTCGCGCACTCGTGCAAGATGAATCCATCAAACTCAACACCGACAATAACCCGAAGACTAGTCCTGGCAATCGGCGTGATGGTGACATGAATGGCCTGGATCCAGATGCCATGATGACTGATGGAAAGGATGGCGAGAAGATCAAAATCCCTGATGATCTCCCTCGCCCAAGCCTCCCCAGCGAAAGCCCTTCATCATTCCTGTTAGATTGGTTCAGCCTCTTTTGGGATTTCTTCTGGGCCCAACGAAAGAAGGGCAACAGCAATGATGTCCGACAGTATCTTCAGCACAACCAGGTGCGTGAATATTTTTCATAAGCGGCGTGGATCACTCACTAATCCACATAGAACTTCATGCGTCTGCGGGAACAGCAACATAACCAATTCATGCGACAACAGCCTATGATGCCTGCTCAACTAAATCAGCTGCGAAGACAGAACGGTGGCATGGTGCCTCCTAACCTGCAGAAAACAGTGCTGCAGAACAACACATCTGGACTGTATGCTCTATTCCACCGATTTTCCCCATGGCAGGTGTCGAATTGGGGGAGGACGCCTTACTAACATGATTCTCTGTAGTTCGCAACAGCAACAACAGATGGCACAATTCCAGAAGTCCCAGCAACAGCAAATTCACATGATGCAGCACATGCAGCGGGAGCAATCTGATATGGAAATGGCTGGACATCGACCACAGTCACCTGCCTCTGCCGACAACGCTCCTTCGCCGTCGAAACGCCCCCGCCTCGAAGGCGCCGTCAACGGACAACAGCTCGCACCGAACGGTCGTGGACAAGGACAAGGAATGCCGGGACAGCCTAACCCGCAGGCTATAATGATGCAAAATGGTATGCAAAGGGGGTTGACTCCGGCGCAATTCCAGCAGTATCAGCAACAAGGACAGGCTGCGCAGCAGAAGAATATGCAGGTATATGCTCAAAACTTGGCCTTTCATCACTTTCGCTCAGCATCGAATTCCCAGGGTATCTCAAATGGTGGTATGATGAATCCCGGTGTCATGCCAAACCAGACCGATATGGTGGGGATGCCGGATGGCCAAGCACTATATCAGATGAATGGTGATTACTACGGCGCCGGTCAGATCCCCCAGGTTCGGCCTGGTATGCAGACACCTGGCCCTCAGCACGGTAACCATGCGCTCCAAGATTATCAAATGCAGCTTATGCTGCTCGAACAGCAGAATAAGCGGCGCCTGATGATGGCTCGTCAAGAGCAGGATAGCATGGCCCGAGCTGATGGTCAGCCTCCAATGCCCGGTCAAGGTTTGCCACCTGGCACTTCTCCGGGCAGCAGGGCGGGCGCTTCTCCCAACCCCAGCGACCAAATGAAACGAGGCACGCCCAAAATGCCTCCCAATGGACTTCCTGGCTCACCCAGCGCGGCCGACATGTCCCAGCGTGGATCACCCGGATCCATGAATCTCAATGGTGGTCAAATGCCACCCGAAATGGCTGCTCAGTTCTTCCCTGGGCCGAACATGCGCCCTCCCAGCTCTAACCCAGCTTTCACTGCAGCTCAAATGGGGCAACCGATCCCGGCTAACGCCCAGCGTATGCCTGGTGGACAATGGCCGCAAGGGCAACAACCGATGCCTATGCAGCATTCACCTGCGGGCCAGCCTCAAGCTGGAACCCCCAGGAACGAAGCGCAATGCCTCCGCCCTCTGCGCCACCCGTCACAGGCCCCAACGCTGGTCGTGGCCAGCCAGCATCCCCCCAGACCGCCGGCAATGCTCCGCCTACACCTCAACAGTCTAACAAGGCCGCACCGAAGGGAAAGAAGGACACCAAGGATACCCGCAAGGTTTGTTTTTCTATGCTATTGAGTTGTCTGTTTCTGCTAACTCCAAAATCTAGCGGCCTACTAAAAAGGCTGCCGCCGCCGCCGCCGCTGCAGGTGCCACTCCTTCCACCGAAGCCGCAGATACTGTGCCAACGCCGACTCCATCCACTCCAGTCACACCTCAACATCCCAACTCCTTCAACAAGAATGGAGCCAATGGGGCCGCTCAGGGACAGCCCTCGGCACCCGCTCCCCCATCCATGGTCCAGCCGCCGCCTGACCAATCTCAACAACCTTTCACTGACCTCAGTATTCCTGATGTATGCTCTTTCCAAATGTTTGACAGGTACTGGCACCCAGAACATAGACTGATACTCCATAGGCTCACGCATTTAACCTTGACTTCAGCGCACTGGAAAACCCCGACATTCTGGAGAACTTCGACTTCGACACGTTCCTCAACACCGATGCCGATGCCACCGGATTTGGCTTCGACCCTAGCATTTCCTACTCAGCCGACGGCGTTGAGACAGGCGCCGGCGACACATTGTGAACGTGTAAAAGTCTTAACGGTCCTTCAGGTGCTTCACCTCCAATATACCCTTGTTTGTACATTTGATCATTGCTCTAGTGCGTTTGCGCGGATACTCGACCTGTTTTGCTTCTTGTCTCTCAATTGCCTGGATATGTGTGTTCGCGCATGTGTTTTGGTGAGATTGGCGTTGGCGTATCCTGTTGATCGCAGTCCTCTCATCCTCTCCCTTGTCCGGGAAGCCCAGCAATCCCCAACCATCCACCAGGGGGGACTCGCTTGAACTGACCGGAGCTCGTTCTGTATTCGAGATTAGTGCACTGTGACCTACGAGTTTTTTTGGTTTTCTTCCTTTCTTTTTATTATTATTATTATTACTTGTGGATGTGGTTACTTAATTCTTGCTTCGTTGAGTCCCTACGGGCAAAGTTGATACTCTCAGTTCAGTATGAAGTCCAGTACCTTTTGGTTGATCCAGTGCACTTTCATCCTTTCATTTGAAACGGTTTCCTTTTTTTTTTCCTCTCTTGTCACCAATCCCTCTCTCTTTTCTGATTCGATCATTTCCTCCAACAAATGCGGGACGTTTCTTCCCTTTTGCTTTTCATCTCTTTTGTCACCAGTATCAACATACTGGCCGTGGAAAATCTACCTATTCCACTTCGAATCCAATAAAATCCAAGCCTTGTGATTTTCTTTTCTCTTCTTCTTCTTCCTCACTTTCCTATTCAGCACTTGGTATCAACCCTACCAATCCATAATCATTCCCTACAGGGACTAGGGATGGGAACAAACAAAGGACAAAATCAAGAGCAACCTCCAACCCCCGAATCCTGAGCCCCGAGATCCGTGTGAATGCTAGCTAGCCAGCTAGCTGTTGTTGCCGTCACTACCATGATATCTGGTAACGTTATGGTCTGGTCTGGTGTTGAGTATGGGTACATGTATATGGAAGTCGATTGGATTGTGAAGGCGATGACTGATTTGAAAACGGATTTGGATGTTAATCTAGCAGACCAAGAGTTTGTTATGCGTGATGATAGCGTTAAACCATAGTTTCTGGCAAGGAACATTCATGAGTTGATTGCACGCTTGCTCTAGTAGACGGCTGTTGCACTATGAATGAATGAATGTACCTAACCTAAGTGGTGGAAGCCCTGGAGTGGACCTCGGGAGAGGATGGATGTACAGTCAGCTGTGCTGTGTTAGCCCTATATTTCCCTTTTGGGAAATATTTTTTTTATCCTCCTTCTGCAATACAAAAGTCATGCATGTGTCTCTGGTTCAACTTATGAGCTATGAAGTATCGTGAAAGTATCTACTTGGGGACTGGCTTCTAGACATTCGTATTGAAGTTGAACAATGAGCTAGAAATTTCAGTTGTACCCGTCTTACGATTCAATAGAGAAATAAAAAAAAGAGAGCAGAGATTTCGCTATCAAGTCGCTAATCATACATGATTCAAGTTCAAACAGAAATTGAAAGAAAAGAGCAGCAGGGTATCAATCATGTATCCTTCAAAGGATGAAAACTTCATCCTGAATTTCAAGTGTTTCCAGGGTGGCGTTGCATTCGTCCTCCAGTGCTTGTAGCACGCCCAGCTCCTTGGGATATCCACAATCATCTAGGCCGGCATCCTCTTTTGCTATATTCAGGATGTAGAGAATCAAATGCTTGACCCCGAGGGCCATAGCAGAGTCATCATTGGAGGTGATAACGTATGCCAGATGAATGGGGCTGGCACGATTCAGATATGGGTGAGCACCATTGAAATGAGCAACCACTGCGCGTGCCTGAGCAGGCATCACCGGAGCTGGGATAACACAGATTTCGGGTTGGCCCGCTTTCAAGACATCACAAATCTCTATACCGGGAAAAACCGATGTCAGTCAATGTCAATCCCAAAAGACTTGCTCAAAAATGGACGAGAAATGGATCGAAAGTAATAGATCCAGAAGTGACCAAACCGTGACTAAAATGAGAAGGGGATGACTTACTTTGCATGATCATGGTGATGGAAGCTTCATGGTCCAATGTACTGAAAATATTCGCAATAGCCTTCAGTGTTGCCAAGGGATCATCGACGGGTCTGTCCTGTGCCTCAATAGGTACAAATCGAGTACCAGCTACAGGAACCATGTTTGAAACAGAAGCATGGCAATCGTGATCATTTACATTGCTGGCCTCCGAGGCATTGGACTGAGCAGGAGCGTTGAGCTGGGCAAGAGCATTGGGCTGAGCTGGCATATCGGACTGAGTAGAGGCTGCCTGTTGAAGCTTCTGAGCGTTTTGAGCCTTCTTCTTTGCACCCCTGCTTCTGGATACTCTGGTATTCGTAGGCTGGGGCTTAGCAGGAGCAGTAGATTTGGGCTTAGCATTCGGCTTCTTGACCCCCGCGTATTGATTCGCAGCGGTAGGGCCACTCTTCTTCGGGGCAGCGGTGTTTGCGCGAAGAAATGAGGCAATTTGCTTCTGGACGGGGAGAGTTACCAGAATCGAGGATTCCTGGGGCTGAGCATAAGGAAGGATCTGGATGTCGCTGCCTTTTTCAATCATAATTTCATGCACTGCCAAGTGAGCAACAGTGTTTTCTGCCTCATCACGCGACGAGACTGGTTTCGTGATACGATAGGGCTTTCCGTTGACGTAAAGGTCACAGTACCATTTCCTGCCGTTATTACTGTAAGGCTGATACCCTGGCCCTGGCCATTGCTGCGAGATACGGTAATCTTGGAATACCCGTTAGATGTTGCTTCCCAAACAAGTTGATCAAAATGTTTACCTTCAAGAATCTTCATCCAGTCCCAGGAGGAGTCCGTGGGCCCATCCATGGGCTGAGGTGGGACTTTCCACAACATGTTGAATACACGCAGCTGTTCAAGAGCTTCGCGACAAACCTTGGCTCTGGTTTCCTGTGGTGACTCGCCTGCTGGCTTGATCAAGATGGTGTGCCCCCACAATGTCAATTTGACCCCAATTTTTCTTCCATTCACGCCACCGTATCTGTATTCAAAGCGGGACCGCAGATTGGCCAGGAAGTCTAGCATGTTGAAGATGAACAACACATGCTTGTTCTTCAAGGTTCTCACGACAATTGAGCCTAAAGTCTTCAAGTAAAAGTTCAGTCAGATGCTTGCATGAGAAGTCAGTGAACAATATTACTTACGTGAATATGACGCTCTGAATCTGTGGGGTTGTGGTGCAAGGGACTGTTGGCAACGTTCAAAATCTCATCTCGATTCAATTGAGCCAAAGGATCATCTGAAGCAACCAGATGAATTGCGGCTTGAAAAGGAACACCTGGAGCACTGGGATTACCCAAAACAGAAGGGGAGCTGTAAGTTGGGATGCTGCCCCAGCCGTCCAACGCCTCGTTGAATTCATGTTTTATGCCTGGAGTACTCTTGCATCCAGGGCCTGAGGGCGCGGGACCATCCAGATTCAGCCCAGTCCGGTTAGAGTAGGACACAGGTGCAGGAGGAGAAAAAGAAGCCACTGGCTGTCTTTTAGCTGGAGTAGCATTGTAAGAAACCCCCGAAGAAGGACGTTTGAAAAATCCTGTAGAAAGCTTCTCTGACTCGTGGTCACCAGCCAAAGTAAGCCTACCAAAAGATTTGCCATCAAAAGAAGGTTGGTGGTTCATGGTAGGTTGACCTGAGGTGTGCTCGCTCGCTTTGTTGACCGAGGAACAACCGATATTAAGGTCGAGGTCAGACTGTGTTTTCTGACCCAAGCCAGAGCATTCTTCTCTCTCACTCATGGCGTAATCACGACGGATATTTGAAACCGGCAGCTCCTGTCTACCTGGCCGATGGACGAGCTGGGTTTCACTTTGAGAGGTACCACGAGCAGAGTTCAGCTCATCCAGCACCCGCTGAAAGAACGATGGGCTTTCATTACCTTTGGCCAATGCAGGCCGTCGCTGTCTAACAGGCGGATCAACTCTAGCATTAGCCAACTCAACGTTCACAGGAAGGGTCACCACAAGCTGCTGGCTTTGTGCCCGCTGGAATCTTTGCAACTGAGAGTTTGCTGTCTGGGTCTCGGCTCTCTGGATTCCAGCACGCAGAGAATGGACTTGGGACATCTGAGCCTGCGCCGAGTCCATGGACACCTGGTTTCCCTGGTTATCAGCCATCAGAAGTCCACCCAGCATCTCCATGCCTGGCAGAGTCGCGGGGGAGGATCTCTCTCTGGATCCAGAGATTTGATCCAGAGACCGCAAGGACCGAGCACAGAGATGCTGTTGCTGGGCCTGTCGTTCCTGACCAACCGAGTTCTTAGCACATGGCTTACGAACGAAACTCGTGTCTGCTATACCACAGCAATTATTAGCCAGCCCATAAACCGACAAGGTTGCTACATACCATGGCCAAGACCCGCGACACTTTTGATAGCAGAGGCTGCAGGTGCACCTGCATTGGCCATCAAGCCGCCAAAACGGCTCGAACCGCGAGCAGGGCCTGAGAATGGCTCTTCTCGAAGTGTGCCAATGCAGGCGACGGCAGGCTGTGCTTTGTTCAGAGCAGGAGTATCAGTAGTAGGGACATCAAGGATGTAGGTTGGAGGTACAGGCAAATGACCTTGACCTCTAGTCATGTCGAGGGAGGCGGTAGAATCGAGAGTCTCGGAAGAGGGACCTGTAGAAGAGAAGACGACCTCAGCAGATACAGTTTCAGTAGACTCCGTTCCAGTAGCACCCAGAACATAACCAACAGCAGAGGAAAGAGAAGGGCGAGATGACGCAGAGTTATCATCACCCGAACGCGGAGGAGAGGACATATCAGAGATGTCTGTTTCGGGCATGGACATGTTTGGGGCGGAGTTCACCATGAGAAAGGAGCTCAGACACGCAAGTCTGACGATGAATGATGGAGATATTGAGAACAGGAAGGGAATGAAAGTTGTGGGTGGAAGAGAGAAGGAGAGAGGGGAGGAGGGAAACAAGAGAGAGAGAGAGAAAGAGAGAAATGTCAACAGTCCCCCGGTCTGTTCTTTCCTGAAGGTGGTGACAGCCTATCAAAATGGCCAACTTTCACCTTTTCTTGTAATTCCTGACTTGTGGTAATCATTTATTTCTCTATAATATCTAAGTAGGAAAATCTGGGTACTTGAAAGTCAAATCGAGAGCCAAAATTATACACTAGTCTTGAGGCTTTTGTGTAGAGATTATCCAACACTGCAGGTTCATAGCCATTAGACTAGGATGTGTGATCCGTAATCCTAGAGAACAACTACGAAAGACAAAGAATGAATAGTAACAGACATTGGAAAATCCACTATCAGCTAAGAATACAAGGTTATGTAGACGACAGAAAGGCAATCATGGAAATCTCGTCTCCAAACCAAGTCAAGTAATCGATTCCTCATTCTCCTGGTTCGCAAGAGCTCTCTCGGCGTCAATGGCAATCTTGACCTTCTTCATGATATCCTTTTCCTTGGTTGTGTCCTGGCTGGTGACAGCGTCGACATCCTTCACGACTTTCTTCTTGCTTTTGATCTTCTCACTGGGACTAGCTCTAACCTTGGAGGCTGGCAGCTCGGCGGCATCCTTCTCGGTAACGGGCGGCATGCTTGAGCCAGAGACGTCACGGGTGCTGGGCTGCGAGATCTGACACAGGGCAGAGGTGCGGCGAGTGACTCGACTGTAGCTATCAGAGCGTGCTTGGGCGGCGGCAGAGGGCTTGTTTGCGGGAACAATAGACGAGGGGGTGTTGGAAGGTGCACGGGTGCCCACGGTGGGCAGCTTGGTAGGAGTGAGAGCCTGGATCAATTCGTTGTACTGATCCTCATCCATGGCGGCGGTCATGCTGGGCTGTTTACTGTGCTCGTAGCTGATGTCAGTCATACTCGAGATGGCACGGCTGCTGGTGGAGCTAGAGGCGTAGTCTGGCATGGGGATATCTTCGCGAGAAGATCGGGCACCGCGTGAACGCCAAGCAGTGTCATCGACGAAATTGTCCAAAGCAGGCTCAGCGTATGTGTTTTGTCCCTCCCAGCGAGGTCCCCGTGGATAGTCAGTCCATTGAGTGGAGGGAATAGGGAACCCTCGGTGAGGAGTCCATGCATAGCTCGATGGATGAACAGGCTGGTGGCTGCAGTTGAAGGTTGCGACATTGCTGTTGCTGGACTGGCTGCTAGAGTTGACCGTATTACAGTTAGGCTTGCTTGGAGAATGTCCATGAGGATCACCAGGTCTCTTGGTGTTGCCATATCCATTTCCTGGGAAGTATCGGGGTACATTGCCCGATGGCAACCACATCTTAGGGTTAGGCCAGGCGATGCTAGAGAACTCCAAAACATCTGCAATTCAAATTAGCAACAAACCTATTCAACGAGCAACAAGATACTTGCTTAGGGGTGCATGTTGAAAAGACATCGCGACGACATCCTTGTAGCGCTCAAAAGGAGGCGATCGGTTTGGGCGAGAGAATCCTTCAGCAATGACGACCCTAATCCGACCCTTCATATCATTAATATCCCAATACTTCTGGCCGAGGACCTCAGAGTGAAAGGGAGGGAAGCGCATCATGTCAGGGTTTCCGTCTCGGTCAAGCTCTATACATTGTCAGAGGTCAAATACCACCTAACGGGGAGGAGATCGGACGATTAGTGAGCTCTGATGAACAATGTCAGCATATTAAACTGCCAGCAAGAAGGATAGAGTACATACCAATGATGTGCGGCCAATCGGTTCTCTGACCGAAGATAGCACCGCTGAAGAATATCAGTCAGTTCACGGAAAATACCAAGGATTCAACACCCACGCAATGAAATCACCATCCACATAGACACGAGCTTCAAAAAGCAAGACATCCTCTGGCTCCATATGAGCCTCGATTGAGAGACTAGGGCGGGGCTTCTCCCAGCTATGCACCGAAATTCGGAAACGATTGTCAACAGGCAGACTCGGGATGAATGTTGTCAGAACAGGAAGCTGGTTGCAATGGTCAGAACCAGGGTAGTAAGAATGAGGGCTCTGGTATGCAGTTCTGTGCAGATTAGGAGAGTCCACATCCTTAGCCACGAAGCATTGAGTCTTAAACTCCTGGATGGGAACCCTGGAGAGCTCTGGAAACAGGAGCACATCCCAGTTGCCGTAGCGCATCTTGAAAGGCAAACCCGGGTTGGAATGTGGTGAGTCCAGTGGATGAGATAAAACAGTGAATGTGATGACTGGATGCACACACGAACAAACCGGGAAAGGAAGAAGGTGCGAGGCAGCGATCAACGAAGCGGCGAAGGAAAGAGAAGAAAGATGAGCTGGAGGTACTTGGGTGAACGGCGAAAGGTTGCGGTGGAGGAAGGTACCATATGTTCCCCATTCCACCGATGCCTCACTATACATCAAATAGACATTGCAAGACCAAACCAACTCTTTCTATTATTTCTGTGACAAGATGCAAACAATATCCAAGACTTCAACTTGAAGAATAAAGATTCCCTCCCACGAAGCGCGAGTCAACCAAAGAGTCAACCGAGCCCTAACAAGGAAACACCAAGACACAACCAAGTAGAAAAATAATCTAGATGAAAACAGTTCGGAAACCATGAGGAGCCAACACACACAAACCAAACCTCTCTCTCCATGATAGGAATTACAAGCAGCGTAGAAAATAAGGTATTCCAATAGATTGATCGCGGACAGCATGGAAGGCAACAAACATAACGATGAAAAAGATCCGAAACCAACCGCCCAAGGCCAACAAAGCGCCATACCAGAGAAAGGCTCCATACTACATGAGCAAAAGCTCGAAAATGTTGAATCTTGTCCACGGGACCAGCCCTTGATAAGTCCGTAGGTTTGTCGTTTGGCGGCTTGAGCAGCAAAGAGCTGATGCGGACAGGAACAAACCAAAGAGAGATTGGAGATGGCAGCAACAAAATGCAAGACATCAAACGAGAGCACGACATAATTGCATATCACATACCAAGGGAAATTTAAGAATCGACAAACGCTGAGGCGCAGCGAACAGAGCGTGTTGTACAAGCCCGTCAGTCTAACAGGAATAGAAAGGAAATAGCAAAAGCGCAAAGCGACATCCCTCGAAGCGAACATAATTCAATTTAGCTGCTTGGAAAAAAAAAAAAAAAAAAAAAAGACAACAAAGGGAAAAAAGTGTGGGGGGAAATGGAACTTTTCGCAGAATGCCTGCCCAAGGAGTATCGGGAAAAAGAAGCGCATAAACAATTCGGACTTCCGTTACACGCAGACAAAGACCCATGGGGTATTCAAAACCCCAGCAGCATAAGGGCAGAGAGACATCGAAAATAGAGTTAAAAAAAAGGAGAATAAGATACGAAAGAGCGCATAGAGGGGAAAGAGATACATAAGAACAAGACAGATATCAGCGGGAAAGGCAAAGCTCAGATCTTGCTAAGATAATAGCGCTCACGTAAAAAGGAAATGCGTAGCACAGGAGACACGATGCTCATCAAGAGCTATAGCCATGAAGGCAAAAACCAGGGAATCACGAATTTGTTATGACACAATAGACCCGTCAATTGAATGGCGCAGACAACTCCTGCCGGTGATCTCAATCAAAAGAAACGCTCACTGGAGAGTTGTGTCAGCCGGCCGCCTGCTTAAGAGTGATCCGGGATCGGGCTGCCAGGGTGACTGCTCACCTTCATGGGGGCAAAACCGCCATACTGGTGGGCTGGGGGCATGCCCATGGAGGGGTACATGGGAGGTGGAGGGGGAGCAGGGCGGTAAGGGCTGCCGGCAGGGCCGGAGTTGTTCTGGGAGCGGCCCCAGCTCAGGCGGACACGAGAGTTACCGATGGGGTATCCCTGCATCTGGTTGATGGCCATCTCAGCGGCGTGGCGCTGGACGAACTGGACGAAGCCGCAGCCCTTTCCAGGAGGAATCTTGACGTAAGTGATCTCGCCGAATCCCTGGAAGAAAGAGCGGAGCTCATCCTCGGTGACGTAGCCAGAGAGGCCACCGACGAAGACAGTGGTGTTGTTGGGGTCGGTGAACTGGTTCATGGGCTGGGGAGCACCGTAGAAGGGCATGGGAGGACCACCCATGGGGGGATACATGCCAGCGGGGCCAGGCATACCCATGCCACCACCGTTGCCAACGCCGGGGCCCTTGTTCTTGGGGGTAGCGGTGGAAATACGCATGGGGCGGTTGCCACAGTAGACACCCTGCATCTCGGTAAGGGCGCGCTGCTGGTCGTTCTCATCGGAGAAACGGACGAAACCGTAGCCACGGGACATGCCGCTGATGGGGTCGGTCATGATCTTGGCGGACTTGCACGAGGGGAAGCGGCTCTGGAACAGCGAAACGAGAACGTACTCGTTGACCTCGGGGCCGAGGTCACCAACGAAGATGGAGTACTCGGGACCACGGTCATCGCGGCTAGATGGATATTAGTACCAGGTGAAAATACCAATTTCGGACGGATGGACATCGTGCTTACCTGCGGTCAGCGAGACCACCACCGGTAGCCCAGTTGAGCTTGAAGACTCGGTTGGTGTTGGGCATGGGAGTACCGTTCAAAGAAAGAGCCTTGGCAGCGGCAGCAGGGGAAGCGAAGTCGACGAAGCAGTAGCCAGCATTGCTCCTACTACCAACATTAGGAACGTATTCGAGGGTATAAGAGAGGAATGTAGTGTCTTACCCAGAGAACTTGTCGCGGATCATCTTGACGTTGACCTGCTCACCCATCTGGAACCAAAGGTTGCGGATGAAGTTCTCGTCAATCCAGGGCTCGAGCTCACCCATCCAGAGGGTGGTCTTGCCATCGGCGCCCTGCTGGGAAACGGGGGCAGCGTTGGGCTCACCAGGAGCGGGTCCCTGGAACTGAGCGGCGGAAGGGTCGGCCTGACCGGTCATGGTGGTGTCAACGGGGGCCGGGGCGCCAGTAGCGGCGGGATCCTGCTGAGGGAAAGATTCGAAGTTGTTGAACGACATTTTGAAGCAAAAAGCAAAGTCCGAAAAGTCGATGTAAGAAGATAAATATCAAAGCGACTAGAACTTCGTGGAGTCGTAAGGAAAGACTGGCGTAGGATCAATTCGTGATAAGCCAGGCAAGGAGAGCGTAAAGGTCCTGGATGAAGCGATTGTTAGATTTCTAAAGCGTGCAAAAATAGATTGGAGCAGTGCAGAAACGAGAAGTGACATGCGACAAGACACAAAATCAACAGCCAGCGGTAATCAAAACGAAAGAAGCGATGCGAAAATTCAGAACAGTCAAGGGAAATGTGTAGATCGCAAGTCTTTCCCAGCGCAAGGTTCAGCCTCAAAAGCGGCGCCAGAAATCGCCAAGACCAGAGCTTCGGGTAACATTTGCGGAAGGGATCGATGGGTGGATCGGCCGCAGACGAACGGGAGAGCAAGAAATTCGAATGCGCCAGACGAAAATGGTATCTTCATCCGTTGATACTGGCGATGGCCATGCGCCGGCCGTTTCCGTTTCCGTTTCCATGTCCCAGTCTGTGTGTGCAGTCTGACGTCCGAATGCAACCGATCCGTTCACGACGGCGATTCAGATGACCCGGTCCGGGGCGCTTGGACATGGGCGAGGCGCGACGGTAGCATGGCCATTTGCCCTCGGGCAGTCGTAGTCGTAGGCAGAGAGAGATGGAGGGCAGGGTAGAGTGATGAGGGGAGGATGAAAGAGGCACTCACCTAATATAAAGTCGCGAAAATACTAGAAATGCGATCGCAAAAACAAGTAATCGGCAACAAGCACAACTCCCTAAAGCAAAATCCGCGAAAAACGAGATCTTCGAACAATAGGAAAGAGGGGGATGGAGAGGGGAAGAAGAAAATGAAGAAACGAAATCTTGGAGGGAGGGGGAAGTGCGAATACCAGTACAGAGGTATTTGTATTACCCAGTATGGTATTGGAGTATTTGGACCCATGGTTCAACTTTCGGTTCCAAGGTTTCTCAGCTGTTGCTGTGAGCTCACTGCTGTTGACTATACACTATACGCTATACACCTATACACTGGTAGCTATAGCTGGAACTAGCTACAACTAGGTAATATCTATAACTGATCTCTCTACTATAAAGTACCTCCCCCATGCATATGCGGGCTTCTCTCCATTTCTCTGAAGACTCCGCCAGATCCCGAGTCCTCCATCTCGGTGAAAGGCGCCCAATAAATAGTACCTGATACAAGGGACCAATGCATGAAATCTGCAAGGACCTGTCGCCCTCCTCGCAATGTGACTTGTCAACATCCGTGGGCCTTATCGTCATCGGCGCTGATGTAATGTTCGCTAGTCGGTACCGGGAAAGTGCCTATACGAGGAGTTGGGTACCTAGTTTATATTAAGCTTGCTGACAAGAATGTTCATCTCGTAGCTCTTTGCCTTTACATTTCCATTTACACTTTGTACAGGATATGCACTCGATACATACAAATCAAAGGAAGCCCCGCCACACAAGCATCGAACCATGGAACTACACGTCTCCTTTTTTTTTTTCTTCACGTCCTTGCTGCAGGCCAGTGTGCCTCTTCTGGAATGCAAGGTTCTCTCATCCATGTAAGGACAGCAGGTCATAAAATGATCCTATACGTCACTGTCGAATAATAAAGGGAACCATGGGGCGCTCGTATTAGAATTACCCGCAGAGATTTCATGTGCCAAGCGGCTTTCCACTTCGGTACGCGACGCGTTTCTGTATGGTATTCCCGAAGATCTGGTTCTATATACAATGAGGTGCAAGGGATTTGGGAGGTTAAAGGCTAAGCCCTTGCATGGTGAGACACTGTCGGTACTATATTAGCGTTCCAACACATATCCGGGGGGGTAGGGCATGCCCTGTTCCAGTAAGTGAGCATACCAGTAACAGTATTGTATTCATCGTTGGAACCATGGAACGAGTCTTTTGGGGGGAGGGTGTCCACCCTCGGATATCAGAGCCTGATATCTGGCATGTTGTATATACCCTTTGAACCTGCGGGAAACCTACATGTAAGCCTGATCTTCTTTGTTAGGTCCAAGCACTTACTGTAGAGTCAGCCCGAGGCTGAGCATCGCCCCCAGGACTGACTAGCCTTCCCCACTTTCAGGGCTCATACCCACTTAGTTCGGGCTGTTCTGTCCATAGAGAGGGCTAAGACTGCAAGTGACTGTTACGTGAATTCAAGGTATGGAAACACTGGTCTTACAGTACTACTTCAGCTGACGATGGTTCTGGTGAGCTGCCATTTTACCTGCCCGACTCCACTACGGGTTTTGTATTTTTTCTGTCTTTTGTTCGGGTCTCGGGTTTCAGGTTTTTCTGACTTAAGAATAGAAGTTTCTAGAAGACACATGTGTCTCCATATGTACGAAGTATGCAGTAGAATCTAACCTGTGGGACTTGTCGTCTGCATCCAATGGCCTAAGCTTTGATTTCTAAAAATATACTCTTCAGCAATCTACAATCTATACTGTAACTTACAGTAGACCAGTAGATAACGGAGAAACATCAGGACGAACGTTCCTCTAAACTCAACACGAAGGTCAAACTTCGATACTAAATGACAATATCCCATCCAGATACAGATTCAACAATCAACACAAATCAAAGCCCACAGCCTACACCCACATCCCTCTCCTCAGCCACACCAGGATCCTGCTCCGCAAGCAACATCAAACTGTCCTCATAAACCCTCGTAGCCTCCAGCATCCACGGTTCCTCCACATCCCCATCCTCTTCCTCTTCATCATCATAATCTCCATTCCCCCTACTAGACCCGAGCACAGAAAAAACCTCATACCGGGTCATCTCCGCCAAACTCCGAATGCGGACCTTCTGCGTCTCGGTCGCCAGCGACTGACCAATCCGAGCACCCGGAAGAGCGGCACCCGTTAGTGGATGCGTGCCTGTGCATAAAGCCGCGAAGATCGAGTCCAGTTTGTGTAGGATGGTTAGGGTTGGTTGCGGGTCGAAGGGGAAGCTTTTTAAGGAGGTTTGCACGATGCCTGCTAGCGTGATGAGCGTTTCTGTTTGGATTGAGGCTGGTTTTGTTAGTTCCGTTATATATTTATAAGTTATACCATGTACCATATATGGTATTGATAGGTGATGTTGTGATATTGAGATGATCACAAATAAGAAAAGGATCATACTCACGAGTCGCCGAGGCCCAAATCATGTCAACCAAATTATCCACGTCAACGACGAGGTCTTTAAATCCGTCATATCGGCGTGAATGGATTGGGGTATCCGGTGCATCCATGCCCATGTCAGATTTCATTTTGCGGTAGGTGACTTTTTCGATTCCTGTGCTGAGACGGCCTCGGAGCTGGGTTTCTTCCTCCGAGCCGGAGAGGATGGGCGTAGTTCGCTGTGGAGGAAGATACAATGGGGGATTCCATGGCTGGGCTGGGACGGGTGGTAATTCTATAGAGATATCTCCGTTCCTGGTTCTTTCGCTATTTTGGGTTCTGGTTTGGTGGGTGATTGGGACGTCTTCAAACTCGATCTCTGAGTCTGAGTCTGACTCTTCTTGAAGGGGGATGGGTGTCATTGGTGGTTCCTTGAATCCTGGACAAGGATGTGGGATGTTTGGATATATTTTGGGTATTTTGAGGTGAGATGGGTCGATGACGGGGAGAGGTGGTTCTCTGGTAAACTTCAATGTTTGAACAGACCCAGTTAGGCTATGTAGATACTGGACTCTAGCCGTTTCTGGGAACCGAGGAATCTCAGAGGTATACAGCTGTGCATGAATAGCTCAGATCTTATACTCAGATCAGAGGTGGGATGTCATGCCAAGCCTTGGTCTGTGCGGGAAATCTGACCTAATTCGACCTTTTCCTGGTTTGGGGCTTGGGCTATCTAGAAGAGACTGGACTCTAAACATGGCTTAGTATGATCAGTTGGACATCCTTGGATAGAGTTAGAAATACTGCTAGATAACCAGAACCTGCTGTGGCTATAGCAGAGTGCTTGGGTGGTATATTATATATACATGGCCAAGGCACGTAAAGAGCAACATTGCTATAGAAAACCATCAACAATACCGTCGACTCTACGATACTCAAGGAATTGTGTGATCGCGTCAAAAAGAAAAGCTATTTAAGCACCAACTCAGATAGCCATGATGTCTACATGACTCAAATGAGAGCCAAGAATTGTATGCAGATCACTAAATTCATAGATAATATGATTGTTATTGAGATATGTATGTATTCAGTCAATCCACCTGTTTCAATCATATATCAGCAAATGAAAGACCAGAAGAAGAAGCGAAAGAACGCTAAACACAAAGCTCCATGTCAGAAGGTGAGAAGATTGTTGATATGCTGGTTTTTGAAGTCACAGCCTAACAGCGCACTAAGCGCGTTTTGCTAATATGGCCCCAGCGTACTCATCCTTGGAGCAAGAACCCGTAGAAAATAGCAAAAGAAACAAGTAACTTACATGTACATCAGGAAACCTTGAAACTTTTATCCTGTCCACGAAAGACTCCCCAAACGCCATGCTATCATGCATACTAGATCACTCAGGCTGTATCAAAGTTAGCACCACCCCAAAAACCGAGCTAAGAAAAATGAAACAATAGGAAAAGAAACTCACCCGAATATTGCCCCTCCGCATCTTAAGATCGTGCAACTTCTTCTTATCCTCATCAAAGCGCCGAAGCAAAGCATTCTGCCTCTCCTTCCTCTTCTCCCTAGACTGGAAGCGATAGAAGTCCTCCAGACCCTCCTGCTTCTTCTTCTGGCGATCAACAAGCTCCTTCATCTCCTCCTCCCTCGCAACAGAGTTCAACTTAGGACCATGCGAAACAGTAATGAATCCATCCTCGTCCGGCTCGGCGAATCGCTTGCTCTCCTCGCGCTTGCGAGCTTCCGTGACCGCCGCGAACGTAGTCATAAACTCGTTCACGGTGCGGAGCAGCGCGCCGCGGTCAGGGTACTGGAGACGCTCGTGTGCAACGTAACGGTTCAGGCCGAGGGCGGGAATGCGGTCGCTGGGTAGGTCCTCGCCCCAGACGATGGTGGTGCCGCGCTTTGCGGCCTTGATGGTTGCTTTGAGGCTGGTTTCCATGCTGGGTTTATCGGCGAAGATGACGATTGCGTGGGCACCGCTCTTTTGGAGTTTGCGATCCCAGGTTGAGGGGAAGTTGATATCGTCTAGGTAGGTTTGGTAGTCGTCTGCTGTTACGCGCTTGCGTTTCTTTTTGTTGGAGTTTGTGTCTGTGTCTGCGGCCGCTGAGCGCTTTTTTGTTGTCACATCTTCGAATTGAACTCGCTCAACGCGGCCTGCTGAGAGTTGTGTGCCGAAGAGGTGGCGAATATGCGCTTCTGTTGTGTCGATTGGAACGTTGACGATAAAGAGGGAGCGGGTGGAATCTGGGTCTGGGATTCGGGGTTCATGGGGGCGGACGTAGAGATAGTGTGTTGCGGGCTTGGGGAATGTTGGTGTGTTGGGGAGCTGCACGGGCAGGGTCGTGTACCCTTCCACTTGCACAGATGCGCCCTTCATTTTGATGAGAGGCCGGTTGCTGGATTGTTGCGTTGGTGGAGCGGAACTTTTTTTGCACTTTTGAAGAATTTTGCCGCTCGTCGGAGCGGCGCCAAAGGCGGTGAACTGTATGTTAGGGCTGCCACGGACTATTGAAAAGTTACTAATAAGATAATTTAAGGTATAAAGTAGTAAATGGTACAGTCCCTAGCAATAAGCTAGTTATTTCTGGAACATGTCACCTCAGGGAATTTCATCAATATTCCGCATCGTTGAGGCCACCTCAAGCCTTGTCAGGGTCATTGATACCACCGTTTGTAATGATATAAACTGCTTCGCGCTCAGGGCAGTCTGCCAAAAGTTAGACAAATACACAACCCTAACAATCTAGGAGCATACCGGGAGAGTCCTGGATCTTCGCAACTCGCTCCTCGCCACGACCTTTCCGAAGAAGCACGCGAGTAGTCGAAGCATGAGCAAGAACATGTCCACCGACAGGTTTGCGACCATCGGCACCAGCAAAGAGAGAACTAGCACCGGGGTCACTCTGAACTTGGTTTGTCTGAGAGAGCTGTGTAAGTCGCATGCAAAATATACCAAACAGGAATGAAAATGAGGATGTAATGATACTCACCATCAAGACACAGACATTGAACTCTGCAAGAAAATCCAGTAAGCACTCAACCTCGAGACAGTAGAAACCGAAGAAAGAAAAAAACCTTCAGCCATATGAGCAAGCTTCATCAGAAATTGATTCAACTTCTGCTGCCGATCCGCCAGCTCCCCACGCCCGCAATAATCGACCCGGAAGCAATTCATGATACTATCAATAACAAGCAAGCGAAAAGCCCCACCAGAAAACTCTCGACTAAGCGTATTCAGAAGCTCAAGTTGATGCTCACTATTCAGTGCGCGGGCGTAGGCAATATTCTCCTGCGTGGCTTCTGGATCGACGCCGTACCGCTCTGCAATCTGGGCAATGCGCTCTGGGCGGAATGTACCCTCCGTGTCGATGTAGGCGACTTTCCCATTTGCCCCGCCTAGTTCGGTGGGTAGCTGAGCGATTACAGACATTGTGTGTGATAGTTGGGTTTTGCCACAGCGGAATTCACCGAAGACTTCACTTATGCTCATGCTTTGGAAGCCGCTGGAAGGTTTGTTAGGGTCTATACTTGGGCCAAGGATGGCGGAGAGGAATAGAGTACTTACCCGCCGAGGATGGAGTCGAACTGCTTGCTGCCTGTTGAGATGCGGACGACCCTTTTGCGTTGATGATGCAATTCCATGGCAGTAATGAATCCCGATGTAGAAGGCTGTGGGGTTTCTGGTTAGATGCTGTTTCTGTATCCTTGTATAAGGGAAGAGGATAGCGTACTAGACATTTCTGAATGGCCTCTTTGATTTTCTCAACCTTTACCTCGCTAAAGCCTTTGATCTTGAGGAGTGTTTTGCGTGTGGCGCCGTGGACGGACTGGATGGTAGTAGTTAGTGGAAGACTTTAGATCATGTCTGTGGGAGAGATCCAATACTGACAGCAACAGTATAGAAGCCATTGGCTTTCAACTTGGTGATGTCAGCTGCGCCAATTCCATGAGATTGGATTGCATCGATGTCTACGATGAAGAGCTGTAGCAAATTAGAAGGGCTGGTTAGATTTGGGGGTTGTGTGTGTGTGTGTGTGAAGTCAAGACTGGGTTGTACCTCATCGCCCTCAAATTCATCGCTTGCCTGTGAGGCTGGCATATTGATCAGATCCAATGATTGATGCTCAGCAACGATAGATCAATGATGTATCGACGATGGGTTGGGTTGATGGGATTCGATGAAGGACGAGAGAGCTTGGGAGTCACAGAGCCGAAGAGCTGTGCACCAAGTCACGAGCTCACGGCCATCACCGTCTCAGCATAATACAGTTACAGTAGAAAATAATTGAAATGATTCTTTTTGACTCTTGAAATCTTCTCTGCACCGAGGACTCTTCCCAAGGCCTTTCTTCCACAACGTTTTCCCCGAGTCCAAGCTTTCCTCCCAGCTTCACCGATCTCCATCATCCTCATCCTCTCTGTCATTGCCATACTTCTTCATCTCTCCTCTCCTTGGCCTCATCCAGGAAAACCGCAACCAAGAGTCGATCGAATGGAATCAATCGAGAAAGATAATCCGTAAGAGATCAATAGGACGCCAATCGTAAGACTTGAGAGCGAAGTCAAGTCAGAAGGGACTTCGTAAACAAAAAAACAGGAAACGCTTTTTCTGTTTGTTCGTCGTATACATGAAAGGGGGTAAAATAAATAAGAAAAAGAAACAAAAAATCATAAGAAACCAAGCGTAAGTTCCAAGTTGACATAAAAAGAGAAAATTCAATAGCTGGTTTTTTGCCGAGACACCAGACCCAACCCAAGAAGGTGGGTTTCAATATATGCAAAGGAAGAAAATGGAGGAGGGAAAGGAACGTGGTTCAGGGAAAGTGACCGTGATACAGAACCGAGGAAGAAAAAGGTAACTAGAAATTCCCCCTAGAGGAAAAATGCGCGGTGGAGAGAAGCACTGTCAGCCGATTTATGCGACAGGGGTGGTAGCAGCAGGAGCCGCAGCAGGGGCAGCTTCAGCAGCAGGCTCAGTAGCAGCAACAACGGGGGCAATGGCAGCAACAGGGGCAGCGACGGGGGCAACAGCAGCAACGGCATCAGGAGAAGCCTCGGCAGGAGCAGCGGGCTTGGCGGCACCCTCGTTGAGAGGGCAGTCGCGGGAGATGTGACCAGCCTGAGAGCACTTGTAGCAGACCTTACCGGTGGAGCTGAGAGGGCCACCATTGGGAGCGGTGCAGTCACGCGAGATGTGGCCGAGCTTGCCGCAGGCGTAGCACTTCATAGCCTGAGCCTGGCAGTCACGAGCGAAGTGGTTGGGGCCACCGCACTTGTAGCAGGTAGCGGTGCGAGGGTAGCCACTGAAGCCACCACGGAAACCGCCGCGAGGGCCACCGGCGCCACGACCAGCGGGACCAGTAGGGACACCGGTAGGGCCGGCGTTGGCACCGGCACCGGCACCGGCACCAGCAGCAGCGGGGGTAGGGCAGTTACGCTGCGGTTGGGTCAGTCATGGTTGTCGGTTGGTATGCGGAATGGAGGGCTTACGGCAAGGTGACCGGGCTGGCCGCAGTTGTAGCAGCGGCCGTTGGAGCCGTTCAGACGGAGAGTGGGGCAGTCAGCCTGGACGTGGCCAAGACCCTGGCAGTTGTAGCACTGCTTGGCTGGGTGAATGTTAGCAATCGGAATTTCCAACGAGTAGGATTTTGCGGCATAGCTTACTCTCGGTGGTACGGGGAAGAGGGCAGGCGCTGGACTCGTGGCCTATATGGACGATTAGAAGCTGTTGCGGTGGAAGGACAATCCAAAGTTCGACATACCGGGCTGCTTGCCTGTAGTATTAAGTTAGCATATGATCATATCCAAGGGCAGATCAGGGCACGTACAGTTGTAGCAGAGACGCTCAGTGGAAGTGCAGACCTCTACCGCGGGATTAGTATGAACCACACGACCAGACTACTCCCTACTAACCGGCATAGTGGCCAATAGTGCCACACTTGTAGCATGCGCGACGTGAGAGCATCATGTTGGACGGTGTCTGCTTCGATTGTCATCAGCCCTCTGTCGAGATATAGCCGCATAGCTCCGGTGAACGTCGTCTCCCCTCCTACGGGTCATTCAAATCTTGGTCACAGTAAAGTCGACTATTCCTTCTCTTGTTTCCAGAAGCAACATGCTCTAGCATCGCAATCCGAGCCCTGCCCGCAGCATTGTATACCCGTGGCGCTCTTGCGCCCAAAAATTCAGACCGAAAGAGGGGAAGACGTAGATCGGCGGGGGATAACAACGGCGCAACGCAAACTCGAAGGATCCAAACCTACTGTATATAAGACTCTGCGGAACGTGGGCTTTCTAATAGGACCTTGTCAGCTTTTTCTGGGGAACCTTGGAGGAAATCAAGTTCGTCGAACTCCGAAAATCGCGAAAGGAAAAAAAAAAGTGGAACACACAAAAAGACGTCGAAAACTGCACAACTCACACTTCTCTCTCCCAAACTTCTTGAATCTCAATAATATATAACTTATTCAATACCAGAACACACAAAAGGAAGAAGGAGAGAGAAAAGTGGAAAAGACCATGCAAACTCGTCAAACGCTTTAGCTCCCGGGCTTTTCCGTATTGCGTAAGGTCGATTCACGTTTATTTACTTCTATACTTCATTCCACACCCCTACATTCTGTATCCCTTAAATGACAATGCAATTCATTTCTTCGTGAGATCCAACGGATCCATTCATCTTATCTATTCTTCTTTTTCCAGGAGGGCAGGGGCCTTGATCTCACGGCCCTTGAGGAATTCCAGGTTTTCACCGCCCTGTTGAGATAGGTTAGAGAACATGCGGACGGAAGATAGGGGAATATGGGGGAGGAGACGAAACATACGTAACTGATGAGAGGGGAGACTTCAATACCAACAGCCTCAGCCTCGGTGATGACAATACCACCGGCAGCCTCGATCCAGCGCTGGCCCTGGGCCATGATATCGGCCCGGCTGGTGTCCGCATCGTCCTGACCAGTACCACGGGCATTCTTCAGGGGCGAGAACTCGTCCTCGCGGCGCACCTCAATGCTGGCGAACTTGTTCAACGGGGTCATGGGGAACACGTCAAAGACGAACTGCTCGAGCTTGACACCGTTGGGCTTCTCAGGCTTGACAGCGTCACCACTCTCGGGGTTCACGCAGCCAATCTTCTTGCGGGCAACGTGGTGGGGGAGCTGGTGTGCCCAGTTCTCGATAGACTCGAGGAAGCGGAATGAATAGTAGTGGTTGACAATGTTAGCAGCACGGTACTTGAGCACATCAGGCTGCTTGGGGTCCTTGGCTTCTGCGGTCTCCTGGTCGATCTCGGAATATTCAACGACATCGGGCTTGCCGTTCTTCAGCAAGATCAGGCCAACAGACTCGGTAGCGTTACGCTTGCGGACCACCTTGGTGGCAATGTCGACATCCTTCTCTGCCGAGAATCCAATGAAGATGGGATCGGCAACCTTGACAAGGCAGTTGTCAACGCAGTAAGCGTGAATGTGCTTGATGCCACGGCGACGCATGTCTTCGCGAACGCCGGAGACCACGAGGGCCTGGTAGATACCACCGTTTCCATCGGGAGCAACAGCAGCCTATATAGATGTTAGAAAATCATTTTATCCAACTCCAACACTTAATTATACATACCTTGCCCTTAGACTCGAGCATGATCTTACCCTCGTTCGAGATACAAGGCAGCACACCCTGCTCGAAGATCATAATGTTGCTCTCCTTAAGACCAAAGTATTTGTTGTCGGCGAAGAACTTCTCGGTAGGCTTGCGAGTAGGTCCACTGGTCATAACGTACCAGGGAATAACAACGTCAGCACCACCATTGGCCTTTTGAGCCAGCTCCTGAAGCTTAGCAATGCGCTCAGCCTGCAGCTGGAAGAGAGATTTCTCGCTCAAAAGGCCAATGTCGAAGCAACCCTTGGGGGCGGAGCTGCCGAGCCGGGTACCCTGCCCACCAGCCATCAACACAACCGCCACCTTGTTCTCCGCGACCTCCTTCAGGCCTGCATCATACCACTTCTGGAGATCTGAGGGGTCGGAGTCGAGAATGGAGGCAGTGGCTACGTCAGGCAGGGGCTCGAGAGTGGCGGCGGCCTGCTCGGCCTTGGGGGGGTTCAGAGCCTTGTCGGCCAGCTCATTGATCCGGGTGGGGTCAAAGTTGGACATCTGGTGGAACAGCTCTGACTTTTCGACTGTGCTCAATTCGTCGACAAAGGCAAAGACATGTCCTTGTCCAGCATCAGTATACTTCTTTTGGAGTGTTTGGAATTCCTCGGCCGAGGGCTCGCGGGGAGTCTCTACTGCGGTGCCCTGGATTTTTCCAAGGACATTGGAGACAGCATCTTTAATAACACCGGCCATGATGAGGGGTAATTGAATAAGAGAAGAGGAGATAGGAGAGGAGAGGAGAGCAGGAAAGGGGAAAAGTGGCGAAGAAAAGTAAATAGAGCTGCGGGGGTCAGGTGGAAGCTCTGATTATGTACTCTCACCGTCTCACCGTACTTACACTAAACATGTAACGCAGCCCTGGGGTCCAGTTTATTTTTAGGGGCCTGCAAAGGCGAATAACAGCGAGTACCAAGAACACGAATGAACTAGCGAATGCCGGGTAAGACTTATCCACTAATGAGCGGGGCAGTTTCTACAGTGACGGAGGACAGAGTACACATAGGGGGGCTCTGCATTACATTCATTTATATCAACATGGGATCGCATTGTCATCTGCGACGATCGCGTTCGTAACGAACTCGTTCCCGGTCTCGGTTGGTTCGCGAGTCTTTGTCTTGGTCCCGCCGAGGGCTGCGACTATACGATCGACGACGGTACCGATCTTGATCTCGATCTCGTCCACGGGGGCTGCGACTGCCTCGATCTCGGTGAGAATCGCGAGGTTTGGGATTGTTGTCCCGGGCATCAGCAGCATTGGTCTTGTTGCGCTTGTCAAAAACCATCCTGTATCGCGCATCATCCTCATCTCGAGGAGCGTGGTCGAACTCTCTGTATTGACGTTTCGCCTCAAGATCGGCCACACCACCAAATCCACCCCTCTGTCGGCGTTTGGTGACAGTGGCGTTGCGCCAGCTCTCGGACAACTTGGACACCTGCGTATGCATTAGCGTGAAAAATTTTTATAGAACAGATGACCCGAGGAATCTTACACTTTGTGAGAAATCAACGTGGATCCGGTGATCATCAATTAGAACACCCTGCATTTTGAAATAGGCCTGTTCACAGTCTTTTTGGTCCTCAAATTCAATAAAGGCATATTGTAGACTGTCGCCGGTACGCTTGTCCCGAATAACCTCGCAGGACAAGATGGTTCCGAAGCGACTGAAAATTAAGTTAAGGTCCTCGTCTATATTCACATTGATTAGCATTTGCCTTAGATGTAGAAACGCGCAACAAACCTTGTGTGACTGGATTAAGCTTGCAGACAAAGAGAATGTTTTCGGGTGGTTTGACATCGGCAAAAGGCAGATCACCTACCATCTCCAAGGTCAATGCCTGCGCGCGAGCCTCGCGCTCACGGCGCAGCTTCTCCATAGCCTCTTCGTCCATATCATCATCCAGGTCTTCATCGTCTGCGATTCGAACAGTGGCCAGTTGCGCTTTGGAGGGTACCGGGCTCTCGGGCGGCTCTACCAACTTCGGCGGGTCGTCAAAGGGGTCATCCAAGACTGTGGTGTGACGAATACGAATGTCCTTCAACGGCCGACCTCGGTCATCGATGAACGAGTCGTTGATCTTCTCCAGCACATCAAAGCCCTCCACGACCTTGCCGAAGATCGCGGCTTTCCCATCCAAGTAATCCAGATTATCTCCCAGAGTGACAATAAATTGACTTGCCGCCAGTCGCTGTTCAGGGTCATTGGTCGCGGGCACTGTCGCCATGCTCACTGTGCCCCGTTCGGTATGCTTCAGTTTGCGCGGTACCTCGATTGGAAAAGTGCGCTTCGACGGTCCGTCCAGCAGACCCCAGATCGAAGACCCGCCATCACTCTCGGGAGCATCAGGGCCAAGGGGATCACCAGTTTGGAAGGTGAAGTTCTTTTGGACGCTGTGGATAGGCGAGAAATTGTAGTACTTGAGCTTGCACAGCTTTAGGAAGCTAGAGACAAAACACTTTAGTTTCTGTTCAGCACGAGCAAGACGTGGGAAAGGGGCCACTTACTTCTCACAAGCCTTGGGCGACTCATCGACCAACAGGTCGATGACAATATCACCCAGCGAAGTTTCCAAAAGCGCACTCATCTTTGGGCTCGACTGGTGAAGGTTGAAAGTTCAAGATTGAAGGGACGAGCTTGGACCAATGACACAGCGCCAAGACAGAGAGCCTCTCTATCAACTTCCCTTCTGCATTTCTACTCTTTCACTCTTTCTACCAATTTACCATCCTCTCTCTCTCTCTCTCCCCCTCTCCATCAATTTGTACTAACACATCTAGAACAAAAAATCAATAATGAAAGCAATTAATGGCAATCCGCCGACCAGCTCCGGATGGTCCACCCGGGGGCCTCGTGCAACGGTGCATGTCAATCGAGCATATCTTCCGAGTGTCCCCGTTGGCGGCTAATCTCTTTCTAGACTGTCATGCAGATTCCTATTACTCTGTCTCTGGGAGCTGTTTGTTAGCCTATATCCCTCATGCAGCAGCAGGCCAAGCCAAAAGACCGAGGGCTTGCTCTTCTTGGCATGCTTGTCAACAGTGATAACTCCAGTCCGCCTTCTTGTTCTTTCCACCTGGGTAAAGATCATGGTGTTCTCTTCTCTCATTCTGCCCCCCGAGTTGTTCCACAGCAGAAACGTTGGGGAGCAACGGGCGGCCTCCTGCATCTAACATCTCCTGGATAGAGCCACACACGTGGAGAATCAATGAGCCAGCCTCTTCGATCTGGTCATTCCAGTCAGAGCCCGGTCTCAATCCCAACATGTGTTTCTGGCGTGTCAGCTGAAGCCTCTTTTCTCTCTTCGAGCCGTTTCCTAACTTCCCCCCGAATGCCGTGCATTCTTAAACCTTGGAGCTCCGAGAATAGCTCCCAGGGGCCTGGATTTTGTATTTGAAACCTGTTGATCTAGCTCCTTTTTCTCCTCATGTCTCCATCTTTTTTTTCCCTAGAGCACCCTTTTTGTGTCTTGTAACGCAAACAACAAGCCCACCCTGAAAGTATTCCAGAATCTCGTACTTGGTCCTCTCCCTATCGATCAAGATCTGGGTGATGTCAAGTACGTAGATCCATCACATACGTGGTTTTTCTTTTCTTTGTTTCCCATTTTCTGGGCTGAAATTGCTTTTTTCCCTGTTACCATTTTTATCTAGCTGCCGGAGCGCTAAAAACCGAGCCTGATCGACAGCATCCTTGTCGCCGATCAGATTTTTAGATCGTGAATCCTTGCCAATCTGTTTCCTGGAGCGCGCTTGGTTCGGGGAAAGTTGTCGCGCTTGTGAAGTGACAGGTGTCATAACATGTTTTTTGTTTCTTCTGCTTCTTTCTACAAGACATTTGCCTGAGACAGCGTTTGCTTTCTTTTTCCTCCCCCCTCATTCTCTTTCTTTGGGGCCTCTATGCGTTTGCCAGGCATCCAACACATTGCCATCAAAGTCGTTCCAGACCTCGACAATGGCTTAACGTCTCAACGAGTTCGGAGTGTTTGTTGCATAGAGCTGCAGCCACACCAATCGGTTGGACTATCGAGCAAACATTTCTGTTCTTCACCGGACGCCGGACATCCTCCCCCGGATCGGCATCAGGATGCTTTCTGCAAACAGTTGGCCGGCAGTTGCCCGTTTCTTCCATTCTACCGCGGGGGAATATGGAGATGTTCCGAGAGTGCAGAGTACAGGAATCTCAATTCCTGGGAGTCTTTTCCACCTTGGGCAGGCCCTGGCAGTTCTGGCTATTCTGGTAGCAGAGAAAAGGCCCCAAACCGGCTGAAACACTGCCTACCGGAGCACTCTCCTGTTCTCCATCAGGTCATGTGTGACGTTACCTTGTGAAACCAAAGTCTTTAAAATGCCGGGGGCAGTCCTGCTAGCTTTTCATGCCACCTCTGGGGCACCGGGCAATCTGGATTGGACGCGGAACTTTGCATGACATTCCCCCTTGGAAAAAGAAAAGAAACAAGAAACAGGCAGTGGGAAGTAATTTGATAAGAAAACAACGTACTTTGGGGCTGCCTGCCAGCTGTGTATGCTAGAGAAATAGAGAAGCGAAATATCAGGGTAAAAAAAAACAAACAGGGGCAAGTGGTTAGGGCAATCACACCGATTGTTACCAGAACATGGCTTAAATCGAGCCCTACCTCCCAGAGACATCTTTCACTTTCTCCCTTTTCCTCATATTTAGCCTCACTACCTATAAATATCTCTGGGAGTGAAACTAGACTCCTTTCTTTCTTCTTTGCTACGTGTTCAGCAATGGATCTTTCATATGAGAATCTAGGGCTAGAAGCCCGGAGTAACAGCCTCTCTGGGCCACGATCGCGCGTAATAAAACAAGATCCCAATGCTGAGCGTGAAGAGAAGCCTCGAAAGCAACGAAAGCGAGCCCTGGTTGCAGTGAGTTGAGTTCCCATGAAAATACCTGCTTTCTAACATTATCTAGTGTACACGATGCCGGAAAAGGAAGATCAAGTGCAACGGCGATCTCAACAACGGGCTGGCTTGTTCAAGCTGCCGTAGTGTTGGATCAACAGAATGCCAGTACATGCGAGTAAGTCACTGCTGTATACAGCTGATAAGAAAATGACTGACTGGACGTGTTCCCAGGTTCATTCCGATACTCCAGAGGAGATCAAGAAGCGCTTAGCAGGTCTCCCTCCAACATCTTCAGCTCGCTATAGAGTATACACCGGTCATACTCCTGAAAGGCAAGCTCAAATCTGGATGGACTCTCAATCCCGCCATCCATACCAAGACTATGACATGGCTATGGACGGCAACGTCCATTACGACGAGCAATCCAACTATTACCCGCAGTACATGCTACCCAGTACCGGGAACATGACTGGGAACATGATCGACTATGGGACCTGGGGAACGCGAACCTGCGACCCGATGCTAACCAGCCGACAATCCAACGGCGACTTGTTCGAAGGGACAAGCCTATCCCAAAGCCAAGCCCAAGCAGGCTACGGCTTCAACATGTCCCAAGGAATACCATCCGATCCGAACCAGTCATCAGGTGTAAATCAATCCTTCTCAGACATGGAACGCACACTGCCCACACCTCCAACCTGCCGAAGCCAGCCCCAACCCCAAGGCCAGCCCCAAGCCCCCGTCACAACACTGTCCACCCTCCCTGAAGGACTCTCAGGCATGAGCCTAGCCACAGACCCCAAGAATCCATTTTGGAACTCGCACGCCAGAGGCATGGCAATGCCAATCGTCCCCAGCAACGGCTACACAAGCCCCCGTGTCAAAGTCAACACCTCAGAAACCGCAACGCCAACACCAGACTTGGCATTCGGGTATATGCCCATGGCCACGACGGAGGATACATCACCACCACTCCCACCGGCCGCCTCATCAATTTCCTCATTTGCGACAGGGAACAGCACTTTATACCCAGTCCTCGACACGATAGATGAATACCGCAACGACCCTGACCACCGCCTCACATACAACGCCTTCTCCCGCGACAAGAGTTCCAATTCTCGATCCAATTCTCTGATGCCTGACTGCTCGCCTTATTCTTATGGATATCGCAGTAGCGAGAGGAGTAAGGCTCGTGACTCTGCGAGTGCCAATGAAACCCGTTGTTCGGCGCCAACGCTTATGAATGGTTTGCCCTATAGTCGTGTTCGGCATCCAGAGCATAACCTTGCTTTGCCATTTGATCTCCTAGCCGATCCGTTCCCTGAGTATGGGCGTGTAGAGAGTGTGACTCGGCATCCTATTTCACCTTTGGGTCATCGTGCTGCTTATTAGTTAGCGTGTGTGTGTTGTTTGCTATTTCTGTCTGTTGGGAGTCTTTGTGTGTGCTATGTCTATGCTGGGTACTTGGGCTCAGCATGACTTGGCTGGTGTTCACAATGTCTTTGAATTTCTTTTCCTGTTCCCACTTTTTCTTTGTGTTTTTTTTGCGGCTGCTCTCTTCTTTGGTTGTCGCTCTCTTGATTGGTCTTTTTTTTCCCCATTGCCTAAGATACACAAAAGAGATACCCATATGGCCCCTACTTCTGCCTTGCTCAATGTAATATGTTTTCATATCTATTATGTTTGTCTTTTCATGTCTTGTTAGGTTGGTCTTGGTTTGTTTGTTTCCCTCTTTTCCTCTGCTGGACTCTTATTATCTTTCAAGTCGGCAGTCGGATCCACGACAGGAACGGTGCAATGATACCTCGAAGGAAATCTTGACGTTGCGCGGTGGGCTTTATTATGTGGGGTTGATTTACTGCGCTTCGAATGTATGGTTGTGTGTTTCTTGTTCTTTCATTTCTATTCTTTTATTACTATAATTTCCTTCCCCTAGGACTGACTAATAGCTAATATTGAGTCAAAATGACGAGGCTGCGACTTTTGATTCTTGTCTAGTCTATACTTTCTAGCTTGATGGGCAGAAGGATTAGAAAATGGAGTCTGCACTGATAGTTCATACTTATATATCCATCTACACCCGCTTGTCTTGTCTCAATACAGCGACTAGCAATAATAAAACAAAACATGTTCTCCTATCTACCCCATTACGTCGATCACAATACCAACCACCATGATGAAATGATAGAGTCATAACCAGGGAAATTCTTGATCCGATGAACAACCCGAAGAGAAGAGTAACACATTCATCCATACAATTTCCATTCTTCAGTCATCCACCTAAACTTGTCATTTCGTGGGCGAGGAAAGGTAAAAGTGACACAGAGACACAACACGACGTGGTATATAAGTTACAACCCTGCTGGGATCATAAGATACATGCACCATGACGAGATAGGCAGGATTCTTTTCAATTGGTTTTACACGTATGTCTATATCTTGCAATATGGCCAGTGAGCATAGCACATTACATGGCAGGTTTTATATACTGTACTAGCAGAAGACAGAGGGATATAAAGTAAACCCCGGGCAGGCCGAGTTCAATCATGCCTGGATGAATAGGTGATACATACTTGTTTCTCCTGCATGAGGGTACCAAGAAAGGAGAATAATATCTAAAAAATGAGGAAAAAGAAAAAGAGAATAAAAAAAAGAGAAACCCCAGCCTGTGTATCATGTCTCCTGCCATTACACAGCCGCTCCAGCCGAGGGCAACACACGCACATCCACCCATTACCCTGTCTAGATGTCAGAGTATTTCCCTGTCTGCAGGCTGTGATTTGGAATTTAGACCCTGCATTTACAGGATTGAGCAGAGGGAATATGAGGTCTTTGCATTCTATGATGAAATCTTCCTTTTTTTGGCTGTTGAATTTACAACGTGGACTTCGAATATCTTGATGCAGAGTGAATTATGGCGGGACTGGGATGTGTTCAGAAGCATCGAACAATCTATCGGGAATCAAGCAGAATGTCGTTGAGATGTACATTTAGGCGAGGAGCTGGGCTGATGGGCTGAACAAAGTTAGGTCTGGGACATACGTGCTTTACCTTCAACTTAGGGCAAGCCACCTCCCGGACAAGTGGTGGATATACATCTAGATCAGTCCATACAGAGACTGGGGAGGACATGGGGTATGTGGCTTAGGGTACCGGGGGACACCGACTACGTCTACATCACGACAACCAGATTGAAGAACAAGTAAATGTGATTTCATCCCGGGTCGAAGCCCGGATTCTCATAACCCTGGCTGCCTTGGAAAAGAACCGATGACCCCAAAAAACATACACGAAACCACAACACTGACGCCCTTTTTTAATCCGGGGGATCGCCAGGCTTTTTCTCCAGGGGATCACCAGCCTCAACAGCACAGGAATAAAAAGAGTTTCTGCAATCTTCACCATTCAAACGGGCATCATTTTGGGGTTTAGTCTGATGTTCGCCGAAAAAGAGAAGACCTAAACCACTCTCCCCCCACACACCTGACCACACCTGTGTTCAGGAATCCAAATCCAGGTGGGAAACTCCAGAGCCATAGACACCACCCACTTAATCTTTTCCCATCGCATGCCGCCATTATCGGTCCATGTTGATTCGTGGTTGAGATAAGCGATGCGCTTAGTCCTTGCTCTTCTTGGGGCCCTTGACCTTGGCGATACCACGGAACTTCTTGGAGCGGTTCTTCCGTTGCTTGCCTGTGGAATGTATTAGTAGAAGTTCGAGAAGCAATCAGAAGAGGGATAAACGTACGCTGCTGGCGGGAAGGCTTCTCGATCTTGTTGGCAGCACCGACACGGACGAGACGGTAGTGGGGCTCGAACTTCTTCAGGGCCTCGGAGGAGTCGTAGACCAGAGCGAAGCCAGTGGACTTGCCACCACCGTACTGTGTGCGGAAACCGAACACGGAGACCTGGTCCTTGTTGGACTTGTACAGGTCGGCCAACTTCTCGCGGAGCTCGTCCTTGGAGACGTTAGGGCGGTTGGGGTGGAGGACGTCCCTAAATTCGCGAAAGATGTCAGACCGGTGTTTTCTTCGTAGAATGATTGCAATGTGCTTGTGTGTTCCGATGTTCTCTTTTTTGTCTGGGTGTTGTGTGGTCGTATTTCCATGTCGCGCGCCTTTTTTCGAAGATTCCACCACACAGATCCAAAATCAAGGGGGGAAAGGAAGGGGATTCTTACACGACCATCTGCTTGCGGGCAAGCAGAGGGTTGCGGATGAACTTGCGAGTCCGCAGAGTAACGGGAGCGTCGGCCATTTTGGTGTGTGTTGGATGGAGGAAGTGTCGACGGGGTCACTGAGGATGTCGAACTTTCAATTTTCGTGTGGTGTGGGCTCGGCTAGGGTATATACTAACCCGATCGGGCAAGTTGCCTTTGCGCATGACTAATCAGACCTCAGGCAGACACATGAGTCAGCAGGTCATGCCCTTGCTGACCTCATTGCTGAGTCAGTCGTCGGTTCTCCCGTCCAATGATATCGTGCGCTTCATCTTCTTCAATATCAAATTACCATCATGGCCGACATAATTCACAAATTAGCTGCACAGTTCTTCCAGCTGGTGGATTTACAGCACCTGGCCCTTCCACCAGGGTCGGTACTGGTCCAGCCAGAGGTTCAAGCTGCTATATACGAGCACATGTTCAACGAAACTACGGTCTTTCCTATCCCACCAGCCAACTACCGAAGCCGAGTGCTAAAGTTGATTCTCTCACATATTGAGGAATCTATAACTGACCCCGAGGAGGATGTATGCACCCCAATTGCCATTGTACTTTTCCATTCTATATTCCCCTTCACTTCATGTACATCACCTCATCGTTCCAATGAAAAACCGTCATATTGATATCCCACACCATTAACCTGCCATCTAATCTTGTCTTAACAGACAATCAATGATGATCTCATGGAATGCTGGACCGAGCTGGTCTGCCAGCCAAAACAATCTGCCGTTGAGCAGGCCCAGCAACTATCCTTCATCAAATACACAGCACCATCCGAAACAGAAACAGGCTCACACAACCAAACCGCAAAGACCTCAAAATCAGTCATCACCTCTGAATCGCGCGGTCTAATCCTCTCAGCTGGAACCACCGGATTCCGCACCTGGGAAGCAGCCCTACATCTAGGATCCTTCCTGGCCTCCGAAGCCGGCGAGGCTCTCGTGCGCAACAAGCGAGTCATAGAGCTCGGTGCTGGCACGGGATTCCTGTCATTGGTTTGTGCGCGCTTTCTGGGTGTGCGCAGTGTTGTTGTGACAGACCGGGAGCCTGCTCTTATCGATAACATGCGTGAATGTGTTCCGCACAACCTGGACCCGGAAACTGGGAAGTCTATTCCTATTTATCCTACTGTTTGGGAGTGGGGGACTCCACTCGAGAGAACGGGAGATCTTGCCGGGCTTGATTCTGGGGATGACGAGGGGCAGGGTATCAAGTTTGATGTTGCGCTCGGTGCTGATTTGGTGAGTAACGTTCTATCCCTGGGTGAGTTGAGCTGCTATATACTAATGTGTTTAATTCAGATTTATGACACCGATATTATCCCTCTGCTGTTGTCTACTGTGCAAGACCTCTTTGAGAATTACCATATTGAGCATTTCATCATTGCGGCAACACTGCGCAACGAGGATACCTTCCGCACGTTTTTGAATGGATGTGGTATGTCTTCGTTGTTTTTTTTATTGAATTTGGCCCAACGGTCGTACTATTCCCGTGAGCAACCTGCTAACTTTTACAGAAACAAACAACTTTGCCGTTGAGACCCTTCCATTCGAGTCGACTTCGTCACAGGATCAAACAGGCTTCTTCCATTCGACCAGCATCCCCATCCGGACGTATCGGATTTCGCGGAAATGAACCCCGTCCGCCATCTGTTCATATCACGAGGTAACGAATACGAATAGAATAGAGAATATAAGATCAGGTGAATGATTAAAAATTAGCAATCATGTCTATACTGCTACAGTGTACACCAAAGTTTACCTTTTCGGAGATGGACAATAATATTGAATGTTTGATCACAAATCAGTTCAAGGTAATTGGGTCATTAGGTCATGGAAAGAACACCATCGCACTAAGTAGTCCAGAGAATCAAAAGGACCTCATCTAGACGAAAAATATCTAGAAATCCAAAAAAAGAAAAAGATTGCAAGGGTATCATGTCGCAATCGCACCAGCGCCATCCAAAACCAGAACCGAAACGAAATGAAACGAAATCAATAGATGCAACAATGAAACTCAAGTAAATGCAAGACAGCTATATGGAATGCAAGATCAAACGAGCGTGATCGCTAAAGAACAGGATAGTGTAGAGTAAAGATAGGTTGGCCCTTACTTGAAAGTCTAGCGATCTTCTTCGGCTAGACTCTCTCGAAGTAAGTTCTCATCTATGCCCTGTGCATGAATGGCAATAGGCGCCGCGGGTGGAGGGCGCAGCCCCATGATAGGACCCTTTTGGTTCACGCCGGGGAATCTGAAGCGGAGAGCCATTGGGTCAGGAGTTTTTGATATCGAGGAAGGAGGGGCTGGTGTAGGAGGTGCTGATGCTAGTGCTGGTGTTGGTGTTGGAGCCGGCGTTGGCATCGGTGCAGACTCGGTCGATGGATCTTGCACTGGGATATCAACCTCGCCATCGGATGAAACGGGCGACATCCCCCATCGACCTAAGACCCAGCCCCCTACGCGCCGACCTAGGGTTGGCTTTCGGGGGCCAGTTGCTGCGGTTGAAGCTGTGCTGTTACTGTCGGCGGATGTAATGGATGATGCATCGGTTGACTTGTTACTCTTGCTGGTAGCCATAGAGGCAAGCAATGATTGAGATGAATATCCAGAGCTTGCTGAGCGGTTGGCTATGATGGCGGGGGCGGAGATGACGGGAGGTGTGGAGACTAGTTCGACACTGGGAGAGAGGATGCGTTGGGGGATTCGCATGCCTGGGTGCCAGTCTCCCATTCGCAGGTGGCGGGTGTTGGGTGTGTGAATGTCCATACCTGCCACGGAAACGGAGAGCAGGCTATCGTGGGATGTGGATCGCCGGAGTGATGATGGTTGTACCTGCATGCTGAAGAAATCATCGTCGGCATTCTTTAAAGATTCTCGACGCGAAGACGATTGGAAGTAGGACCCTTGTGGAGATGGCTCAGACTCTTCTGGGATGGCAGGTTCTCTGGGAATGTTATCACTGGTGTTCAATTCTTGGCGATTGTACAGATCATCGTCGAATGATGAAAGATCGTCTTGAGAATCATGATAATCAAAGTCGCTAATTGGTTGGAATGGCATATCAAGAGCCTTGAAGTTCCTGGCTCCCATCACAGGAGATGAGAACACTGTACTATCAGGGCTCGTAGCTTGGGAAAATTCAGCACCACGTTCGACACGATCAAAGATCGACGATGTCCGGAACGCAGATTGCGGAGAGCTTGCCAAAGAATCTCCTGCATGAGATTGAAGTGACCAGCGACGCGACTGAGGTGGGATAGAGACGGAGGTTTGGGATAGAATGGTAGACATGGATGAACCGGAAGATTGGGACCGATGAAGGGTTCGTCGAGGCGATTGCCCCTGCGCCGAGTGCAATGCAACCGGGCTTCCTATAGCGGGTCGTCGCTTTTTCGCGCGGCGGTTGATTGCGGCCTTCTCCTTCTTTCCGGGCGTATGGTAGTGATGATGATGGATGTGGAATTCCTGAGATACCCGGCGTTCCTTTTTCGCTTCAAGTTCTTCACTCAACGTTGTGAGTGTAGTGGGTTCAAGGCTGTCTTCTTCATCGACACCGGCCAGCGGCTGATGAGACAAGACTTGGTCCCGCAGGTTCTGCACCTCCTCGTTCGAGGTGTTAAGCATCTCGCGTAGCTCCATAATACCAACTTGCAGATTTGCGTTGTCTTGTAAAATATCCTTGACGAAGCGCGAGACGACAGTTGTACCACCGGCATTGCGCTTCAGTTCGGAGGCAGCAGCAGCACCTTTGAGACGGCCCGCTGCACTATCCAGCTCACGCTCGACAGCTCTCTTACGCTCCATGCGCTCAATTACCTCGGTGTGTCGCTCGCGCTCTTCGCGTGCTTCTTTCTCAATACGATCGATCTGATCATGAAGGTCACGTAGGGTCGTTTCGGCTTTCCTCCATCGCTGCACTGCCGACTGCTCGTCCTCGTGAGCCATATTAAGACTCTCCTGTAACTTAGATTGCTCCGTCTCCATAAGCGCAAGTTGCGCCTCAAGATCAGCCGCACGCGCCGCAGCAGCGGTCAGTCTCCGTAGTTCGGACTGCGTGTTCTCCAGATTCGAAGTGAGAGTCCTGGCATAACTGTCAGACTCGGCGACAGCCCTGTTCAAGCTATCGAGTTGCTCGAGTAAATTGCGATTCTCCTCAATGATGCGCGAGTTCTGGGCCTGAACTTCTTGCTTTTCGCGCTCCAGACTATCAACACTGGAGACTAAGCGATGGCGGTCCTCCTCCGCCTCAGCCATGTAACTTTCATGGCGGTGAAGCAAGGCCTGTAAAGCAAAGGTTAGCGATGACGGCCCAAAGCAATCTGCTTTGGCAGCATAATCCAGAAAAGAAGTCATGACGGACGCCAACGCAGAGAGAAAGAATGGGAGACCGCGACTCGGAGTCCATGTCAAGATCACGCGAATCGACCCAGTGTGATGTGTAGAGATAGGATGGAACAGGTCAGGTTGACCAAGAGAAATGAAGAATGGAGAAGGAACAAAAGCACCAGGGTAATGTTTTGTGAGGAATGATGAAGTGATGTATCAAACATGCACGATCCAGCACGCCGAGGACTGGGCGTCACACGTTGATCTACAGTACATTTGGGCAGAAAAAAAAATATCGAAAAAGCAAACGTACCTGGCCTAACCGCGCGGCAGTCTCGAGATCTTTTTCCAGACCCTCCAGAGCTACATTGTTGTGCTCAAGCAGGGCACAATCATTGCGACCACAGCAGCAGCGCAGGGTGGTGGAGGTAGAATGGGTTGGAATGCTGAGGCCCGAGTCCGAGCTATGCGGATGAGAATCCATGAGAATGTGACGGTGACCCCTTGGGGGAGCAAAGTGTCCAGGAAGAACGCCAGATCATCAGTACACCTGCAACCTCTTGCAGCCCAGGTCTCACAGATGTTGTTAGAAAGCGGAGAAGCTGGAGATGAGAAGCGGTTCGCCCCGAGCGGTTCCTGGATTATGTAAGATGAGGTTCGGGACGTGACTCAGTCAACCCTAAGTGAGGAGGTTGAATATTCCCAACGTTGTACTTGATCAGGATAAGTACTGTGCGAGGATCGAAATAAAGATCCTCGACAAGGATGCGCCTCGATAAAGAATCTCGACAAGCCGCCCACAGGCCCACTATCCCGCAGCCTATCATAGTATCAAAGCATGGCGATCACACCTTTATGCCCAACCCAAGTATGCATATGCACCTGATGGCGTTGTCGAGTCTGTGGCAATATAATATCAAGACTGATAGTGTGCACCTAAAAAGGGAATATACTACAAGAGAGGAAGATCAAGGTAGAAATATATCATGGGTAAACTTTAACAATAAATGATGATAATACAATGTTCTTTGATGAACAAAAGCGGTGTATAAACTACGTGTCAGCAAGGGAGAAAGTGGACATCAGTATCAAGGATCACTCTGGGACATGTATGGACACATGCGGATGATAATAATGATGATGATGATGATAATAATGAACAAGAGGACTTCAATATCAAGTCTCACTCAAGAACATGGCTAGACAAAGAAAGATGGTGATCACAAATGAGAACTAGCATGAAAGAAGAATGACGCAAAAAAAGCGACAAAAAGTCATCGCAGGTTTCGACCGAAGATCAATCGGCACTTCAGTCAAACCATGCGATACGGAAGGGGCCAGCCCAGAGAGGGCTAGTGGTAGTATGGATAGAGGGACAAGAGTAGAGGATAAGAATAACCACTAGACCGCTGGTCCGGCGCACCTTACTATGACCAGTTTATTTGCCATGATATAGCGTGATCAGTAACAGTAGAGCAGGAGCCAACCAGTTTGACCTGATTCAGCCTGACCGAGCCGTTGGACTGACTAGCTAAGGAACGACTGGTACTCAGAGCCGTGGCTCTTGAAGGAATACCGCATCATGTCCCACTCCCAGGGCCAACAGCTCCAAACCTCCTACCAAGCTACATGCACCAGCTCACGCCCTCATGGTGGCTGAAATGCCATACAAAGCAAGCACTACGAACAGGTCGCAGCAAGTCCTAGAAGACCACAAACTGGTCAAACCCGACAAAACCATGAAACAAGCAATCATACGTCAGGACAAGTAGTAAATATCAAAACCCAGCCGAACCAGGAAGTAATTCAAACCAAACTCGAACAAGATCCTAATTGCAATCCCTCGCTCGCTTCCAGCTTCACACAAAGCACAGAGATCAAGACAAGGAGAAATAACAAGAAATTGAAAGAATGGGAAAACATCCCGGGGAAACAAATAAAGAAAGAAAGAGGAAAAAAAAAAAGGACAACCTACGACACGCTTGAAACCGGAGTATAAGTTAGACCAAGCCAAGCCAGACCAAGCCAAGCCAGACCAAGCCAAGCCGAGTGCAAGCTGACCCAGACTAACCGCTAACAAGCCCAATGCCAGTCAAAAAGCTAAAGCAAAATGTCATCACGAACATTAATAAACGCCCCAGCGCCGCCGTCTTCACTGATTTCATTGACAAGTACTTCTGTCTGCTGATACAGGCGTTCCAAAGCCGCAGCAGAAGATTTCCCCAAAGAGACAAGGATGGCCGAGTTCAACTCCTCTGCTACGGCGACACGACCCGACGGATCGAGGTAATGGCCGTGGACGGAGCGCTTGGGGTCGGGATACGCAACGAGGGAAAAGATGTCATCGAGTAATTTCTTGTCGCCACCGTTATCGTCGGTGGGATAATCGAGACGGAGTTGCTGGCCGTATTGGACTGCTTCTGTGAGGAGCTGGTTGAATTGGGCGACTGCTTCTGGTTCTTGGTCTTCTGTCTCCATGCCGTCGGTCCAGGGGTCGTCGTTGCTGTCGTCTAGTTCCATTTCTTGGTCGAAGACTGCGTGTTCGTGGGAGAGGGCTGGGGATGCTGGGCGACGTTGCTTTGAGGGTGCTGTGGCTGCTGCTGTTGCTGCTGAGAGTTCGTTGGGGCGGCGCATCATTTCGAGGAATTTGCGACAGCGAAGTTTGAAGTGGATTCTAGGGTGGTCTTCTAGGACGTCGGAGTAGTAGGCCTTTGTGTGTTTGAGAGCTTTATCGATATCTCCGTCAAGGATTGCGGAGCGGATTTCTGGCGGTGTGAGATATAAACTCATACGAGTGAGGGAATGACTTACTGTTTCGGTTGATAGCTTCGCGATCTTCTTCCACTTCATATTTCTTGAGTGGCTCGCTGCGAGTATTCTCCAACGCCATTGTCTCGGTGGCGACCTCTTCTGCAAAGGCGCGGGCTGTATCAACGTAGCCGTCATGGGCCAGGAACTGGGCTACTAGTTCTTGCATCAATGTTGACTCGTCAAGCGGTGGTTGAAGACTAGCGGTATTTGTAGCGTTGATCTCCGATTGAATCGCCATTCTCTCTTGCTATGCGGAGTCAGCATGTCACTTTCAATCAAGCAGCAGCACATACCCTGACCATGCCATCAATATCAAAAACGAATGGCTCCTGTCCAAAGTTCGCTTTCAGATGTACAGTTGGCAGCTTCTTCATCCCGACAGACGGATACAGTTTCACATTACGGAGTTCATGGAATGCGATCCCTAGTCCAGTCAGTATATGCCGGTCTGATGGCCAGAGTGAAACATACCCAAGAAGATGCCGTTCTTGGTGAAGAACGCAGCTCCCGTCGAGAAATTAACACCACATCCTACAGTATCACCAACACCAAAGGTCGGACCATATGCTCGGCCAGTTCCTTGGTTCTCGCCAAAGAACGATTTTCCATCATCACCATGGTAAGCCCAAGATTCCTGCTCCCAGCCTGGAAGTCGCTCTACGTTCGCCTTGGGGCTAGAGAACCCAATGCCAATCATGCTAGACATATATTAGCAAGGAAGAAGAGGTAAGGGAAACGAAAAAAAAACATACCCTTCCTTTGGCTTAGATTCGATCTTCACCTCAAAGTAGTAGATCCCGCACTGTGGCGGCATCGGGTGATCAGTGCGCAGGGCGGCAGCTTCATTATCATGTTTATGGACCGGACCAGCATAGCGAACATCCAGACTATCATTCGACAGCTCCAGCGCCGAGCATTTATCATCGGAGCTCCATTGCGTCGGCAGCGGCTGCAGCGTATCGGGGACGGGCGGTTCCTTCTCGATGATCTCATAGGTCATTCCACGATGGGACGGCGCCATGCGGGGCAAGTGAACATTGCTGGACGAAGCCGAGAGCGGCGGGTTCGACGCCGAGGTAGACGCCGAGGCAGCATCGCGCTGTTGGGCGACAATCTTGGCTCGATGGGCGGTCTCGAGGCGGGCGATGTAGCGAGAGCTGCGGAGGTAGGATGGGGTCACGAAGCCCGGCCCGTCGTTCAGGCCTAGACTTGAAGGGATATCGGAGCGTAGGAAGCCGGCATACTTGCGGGAATAGTGTGGCAGCGAGTCTGGCGATCCTGAGTTCCTCCAGGCGGAGTTCATGTGCATGTCTGCATCCACGCCGGACAGAGTCCGGTGGACTCGGGTGTCGGAAGGTGGGTAAGGGATTGGGTGGGAGTCGTTGAGGAGGTGAGAAAATGAGCTGGAGGCTGAAAATGCGTTGCCGGAGACTACGGACGCGTAGGAAGAACGTCGTGGGATAGAGGAGATGGGGTATGAAGCTCGAGCTCCACCGGATGGGGGGATGGGCACATCAGTCATGATGTTCGCGGGTCCGTCGCCCCCCAAATGCCACGCTACCCAAGGCCACTTTGTGGTGTTCCGTTTCTGACCGATTTTGCTGGGGTTGACTCTCTCTAAAATGAAGTTAACTCGGGAGTTCAAACATATGATCTGCTGAAGGAATCAGTGCGCAGTCATCTGTGGTCAGCCCAGGTGCGTGGAAATGAGATGCAGTTTAGAGACAGTCCGAGTATGTGCGTGGAGCGAAGGTTGATAGATCCGAAAGCAGCACAAGCTCACCAGAAAGAGGGGAGATGTCACGAGCCCCCGGTACTACTGGGAAGTACATGAGAGTCACCTCTGGCTATACGTGTATGTGTGTAGAGACGCCTGTTATCGCGCTAACTTGTATAGTATTTGGGCAGATATGGCCAGTGACCACAGTACCACCAGTCTACAGTTATAACAAGAGTTAGATCCTCGCAAGATGTTACCGTATACACAGATAATACAGATAATACAGATATGCCAGAGCAAGAAATATCCTCATAGAGAATCCCAATCCCGATAAGTGCTATGATACAAACCCTAACTGATTCGGCCTGCTCGCCGACATAAGCCTTGAACCGATTCCATTCCCAACGCCAGACCAAAGCCACCCGAAGAAAAGACAAAAAGAAAATAAGAGGGACAAAAGAAACAGTGGGATCTAATATACACAGAAACAATTTGAACCGTCACGTGCATACACATAGGTATGCTCATAGACATACTTATGCTGACAACGTGCAGCACAAGCTCACGCTGCCATCGCAATAGCCGGTGACGAAGGCGCAACCATATGCGAAGCCGGGGTGAGGTCGCCGTCTCCAGAATTGCTCTTCTCGCTGGGTACGGCGCTGCTACCGAGCGTGTCGGTGCCCGGGGCTGTGAGCATGGCCTTGGTATCGCTATCCCCGCTCTCGAGGACAGCCACCTTGGTATCGATCAAGTGGTCCGATTTGTCTGAGCCGGGCGTGCGCCATGACGGTAGCTGCCAGAGGATGCCTGTGAAGCTTCTCAACTGCAAGGGCTTGCGCTCCCACTTGCGACAAGCAGCCCCGGTGCGGTCGAGGGCGCGCAGGCCGGCGTTGATGGCGCCAGTGTTCGCTTTAGGTCCGAGACGCTGGGCGGCAGGGAGCTTGGCGACGTCTCCTCCTTCCTCACTGTACAAAAAGGAGTGTGTTAGGATGGTGTCTTGGCATTGCAGGTATACACATCGTGGATTGAACTTACAGCTTGGGCTTCTTCTTTGGGCCTGGGCGTCCTCGCGACCTGGCGCCGGGTTCGGTTTGTCCATTTGTTCTCTTGTTGCCGGGTTTGGGACCCGGAACACCCTTCCGGCGTGGCGTGTCGCCTGGAGTTGCCTCTGTGACGGGGGTCGAGTTCGCATCGTCGGAGCCATTGTCGGCGGATGAGGGTCGGATCACGGGCAGTTCGGTCGATGAAGATGGAGAAGGCCGTTCTTGGCCCTTCATGTCAGGTGTATTTTGGTTCTTCTCAAACTGTTGGAGGGCGCTGGCGGATAGCTTCAACACGACCGTCAAGGAGTTGGAATTCTTAGCTCCCTTGGAGCGGCCATTTGTAGGGGCGGGCATGGATGATGGGGGTATCGCGGTCGGGGTGGGGGAGGTAATTGGAAACGTGGGTGTGTAGACAACTGGGTATTCTCTCTTTTTCTCTTGTAGATCTCAGGGTTGTGCAGATAGTGTATATGGAGTTGGCGATGGAAACATAATCCGGAGAGTAGGAAAGGGGGGGGAAGAGTGGGAGATGAGGGGGAAAAAGAGCAGACCAGTTGAAAGGAGCCGAAGAAAAAGGCGAAGGGGAGAAAGGGATGATTTCCATATTTTCGACTCGTTGGAAGGTTGAAGGCTTCGGCGTCGTACGGTCATTTACCACTTTGTTGGCACTTTGTTGCTGGCCAGTCGGGGCGATTACAGTAACCGTACGCTCGACTTTATTTACTCTCTTCTCTCTCTTCTTTCTCTTGTGCCTCTGGTTTCTTGGGTTCCTGGTGTTTCTCTTTTCTTTGCTCATTGCAACTCTGCCTGCTCAACGATCGACAAAGGTCAAATACCAAATATACAAAATACAACCCTAAACCGATGATGGATCTCATTCCACCCGCTGCATCCCGGAACTGGAAAATGGCTCACGGCCAAGTAAGATTACTGATAGATTACAATTACACACTGGAAACGGTCACCGCGGGAGACCATTTCGCAAGAGCCACACGAGTCCCAAGTCACGAGTCACGAGTCAAGAGTCAAGGTCGCCACAAGGGCCACAAAGTACAAATTACGCGATCTGGCCAGGGAAACCGGAACTCGGGTCCTGAACTCGGATTCTGAGACTCTATACAATCTACCTATGTACATTCACTCCAGCTGATTCCCACTCTGGCGTCGTTCTACAACTTGTGCCACGGCCCGTTGCACCTCGGGACTAGACCGTACACCAGCAAGGATCAGCCCTTCTTTCATACCCCGTCGGAGAGTCGACACACTCTCACGGTCCCCGCGGAAAGGCGCCTGACCGAGCTGCATCATCCGAGTAGCTTCGTCATCAACGGCCCGAGACAACTGCACCAACTTCCCAAACTGCTGCACGGTCTGCGGGGAGAGCTTATCGCCATTCCCACTGGGCGCAGCTCTGGCGGCGGGCGGGGCGACCTGCGAGATGAAGATGTGGAGCATGATCGAGGCGCGGCGGGCGAGGGTAAGGATCTGGAAGGGAAGGAGGTAGAAGGATTGCTGGGGGAGCCAGGCTCGCAGCGCAGAAGGGAGGTAGGCCACAGGCATGAAGACAGCCTGTGGGCGCGTAATCATGGCGAGCTCAAGGGTGAGCAGGGCAGCAAAGGTGAACCAGCGCCACTGTAGACCAGTTAGTGGGAGCAAGCTGTCTCGATCGGCTGGGACTCACGTAGCGTCCCCAGTTCGCCCACCAGAGCCAGTTCAATACTACCATTGTCGCAAAGCCGCCTAGGTACTGGGGGAGCACCGATCGAGTTAAGGAAGCCATGAGGAACTCGCGCATGGTCTTCTTCTCGCCCCAATTGAACATGTCAGAGCCCAGGCGATCATATGCAAACCGCTTGACGGGGTCGACTAGGGTTTCCTGGGCTTGTCGTAGGTATAGGAAGTATGCCTCGCCTTCGAGGCCGACTTTGTCAGGGTGGTACTGAGCGGCGAGTCGCCGGAATCGCGACTTGATGGCTCGTTCATCGGCAAATGGCGACACCCCCAGCACTTGGTAGTAGTCACCTGCCATCTGGACCTGGTGGAAGGTCTCATACAGTGTATAGAGGAGGTAGCTAGTGATCACAAAGATGAAGATGCGACGACGATGGCGTTCGAACTTGGCTGATTGAGGCTGCGGCCGAGGCTCGCCAGCCCGGATGGTCATGCCATAGTAGACACTTTGTAAGAAAGATGTGACATACTATTCAGGTCAGCTTCACGAAGCCATATAACGTTGTAGCTCCGCAATGCACTTACATTGGGAAGAACAGCCCACCCAACAAAGGGGAGAAGTGATGACATGCTGTAAATCACCACCTTCAGCAAACCATTCCAAAAGAAACCAAAAAAAAGAGAGCGAAAGACAGAGAAACCAAGACAAACAGTTGACGCCAGTTGTACAGTAACAATGGCCCCCCGATATCCAGCTCCCACCGTCACCGCCCAACCCACCGCCTTCCAATTTAGGAACAAAGTCAAATGAAAAAAAAAAGTTCTCGATTCAAGAGAACATTCACATTTAATCCAATCCTCCACATCGACCCAAGCTCTGTGGAGCGTCCAATTGCGTCCCACAATGGCAGTAGACGCAATGGATATCGACCCTCTGCCCCTGCGCACCGCCGAGGCAGAGCGCAAGCGCAAGAGCAAGAAGGAAGCACCCGCATCGCCCTCCAAGAAGCGCAAGCAACAACCAGCAGCCGACGCCCAACCCAACCCCAGCTCCCCCTTCACCCTCACAACAGCGACACTCTACCTGCCTCTGTCGCCCATCTCAATCTCGCCCACGCATGCGCTGGCCTCGCTGCTCGCCGAGCACCTCTCGCCTTTGCTCTTGACGTACTTCCCCCCGCTGAAGGGCGTTGTCATGGCCTACTCCAATGCGTCTATCTCCAGTCGTCCCCCGTCTGACTCTTCACGGCTCGCTTCTGATCCTAACCCTCAGCCGTTGACTCTGGCCACCACTGCGGACGAGTACGGCGTGCTCTACGTCTACCTGACTGCTACTTTCCTGGTCTTCCGTCCGAAGCGCGGGCAGATCCTGGATGGGTGGGTGAATGTTCAGTCTGAGGGATTCCTCGGTGCGGTCGTTTTCAACTTGTTCTCTGTTGGCGTGGAGCGGAAGCGTCTGCCTTCGAATTGGAAGTGGGTTCCTCCTGGCGAGGAGGCGGAGACTCCTGCTACGACTGATGAGGACTCGGGGTCTGATCAGAGCATGGCTGGGTTCGATGCTGAGAAGGAGATGTTCCAGCCTACTTCTTTGGCTGCCGAGGAGACTCCTCTTGACGGCGAGGAGGAGGATGAGTCTGCTCACTCCGGGTATTTCCAGTCTGTATCTGGGCATCGGGTGCGTGGCTCTGTTCGCTTCCGTGTTGTTGATATCGATGTGATTCCTGGGTCGGAGCGGGACCGTGGGTTCCTCAGCATCGAGGGTACGATGTTGTCTCCAGAGGAAGAGGAGCAGCTTCTCGAGTCTGAGCGTCAGGGTCACTCTCTCCCGCCTTCTTTCTTCTCATCACCTACCAAGACCCACACTGTTCCTATCATGAATGTGCCTGTGTCGGAGGCTGACGAGGTTTCGGTCGTGGATGTGCACCCAGACAGCCCTAAGAAGGAGAAGAAGGAAAAGAAAGAGAAAAAGGAAAAGTCGGAGAAGAAAGAAAAGAAGGAAAAGAAGTCCAAGTCCAAGAAGACCGACTAAGATGTTAAGACCACTGATATTTGACTACCTCCTGGGGGCGTTCCGGTTCCATTCCCATGTATATGCAATTGAACATTGAACATCGAATTTACTATTACCACCACTGCGTTGCCTTATTCTCTATACCTCTACACCTTCACACCTTCACAGCCAAAACATCCCCACCCTCCTGAACCTCCTTCTTCCCCAACATCCTCCCAACCCGCATCAACTCCGCCGACTTCACCATAACAGGATCCACCCCCATAGTAGCAACAGCAACAACCACCTCACCCTTCGTATAAAACGCAACAAACTTCCCCTCCCCAGCCTCCCTAACCACAACATCATCATACCCACCCTCAACAGCCCCATTCCCACAATACCTCAGCTGCGCCCCCAGCGCACTCCAGAAAACAGGAATGAAAAGCTTAACAGGAAGCGACGAGACAGGCGAGTGTCTCGCATGCACAATCGCCCGCGCCGCCGCCCGTCCCGCATTCTGAGCCACATTCCAGTGCTCGATTCGAATCGGGCTGCCAGCACCGCCGGGAGAAGCGCCAGGGCCGGTGTAGGGGTATGTAGCTATATCGCCAACCGCGAAGACAGAGTCGTTCTCGGGAATTGAAGACACGAGGAAGTGAGAGGACGTCTTGATTGAACCGTCTTTTTCGAGCGTGATGCTCTGGTTGGATGAGAGGAAGTCTGTTGCTGGGCGGACGCCCACGCCTAGGATTACGAGGTCTGCTGGGAGGGTTGGTCCGTCTTTGAGGTGGACGGCGCCGACTGAGGAGGGGGTTGAAGCGGATGGGGTGGCCTTTTCGACGCTGGCGTTGAGCTGGAAGGTGATGTTGTTCTTTTCTAGGTTGGACTGGAAGATTCGGCCGACTTTGTCGCCCATTATTCTTTCCATGGGGGCGCTTTCCATGCCGACGATTGTCACGTTGTGGTCTTTTGAGAGGGCGTTGCCTACTTCCATGCCGATGAAGGAGCTGCCGATTACGACGATGTTTTTCTTTGCGGTTGTCTTTGTGTTGGCGTTGGCTGCGGATAAAATGGCTTGTACGTCTTTGATACTGCGCAGCGTGAAGATATTGTCTAGTTCGCCTTTGAATCCGGGCAGTGGGAGCGTGCGTGGGATTCCACCTGTTGCCAGGACGAGTTTCGTGTAGCTGAGGTTCTTGCCGGACTTTGTGGAAACGGCCTTGGAGGCAAAGTCCACTGAGGTGACTTCATCTGTAATGGTTTCGATGGCAGCCTCCGTGTACCATTCTCTTGGACGCCATTGGATCTTGGTTGGGTCGGCGATTAGGGCTTTGGAGAGCTTTGTTCGGTCGATTATGAGGTCTGGTTCTTGCGAAATGATTGTTATTTGACCTGGGTATTTCAGTTCGCGGAGGGCTTGGATTAGGCCTAGGGTTCCGCTGCCACTGTTATTGTGTTAGTATAGGTCAGAGAATCTTGGTTGTATAGTGTTACTCACCCTCCAACGACGATAACTTTCTCTGCGGGCTTTGACACGCTGCATTTGACTACAGGATTGCGTTGTCCCGCTTTGACATCTTCCTCCCTAGCTCGAATGTAGACTGCGTTGTCCTTCTCAAAGACTTCGAATTTATTCAGGGCATTGGGCGCTGGGGCATCTTCAACGTCTCCGGTTGCGACGCTGAAACAGGCTAAGTATATAGAGTTAGCTAAGTGCTTTTTTTTTCTTTTTTTTTCGCCTTTCCATTGTGCCTTGAGATTTACAAATAACCCCAGGACAGACAACCGGGATACAATCAAGGAATAGAATCTCACCTCCATGCCAGGGACAAGTAATCCTGCCATCACTGGTAACAACACCATTCTTCAGAGGCGCCCCATAATGGCTACACCGTGGAGAAAGGGCGTGCACTTCCTTATCAAGCTTGACGAGAAGGACTTTTCCATCGGGGATGCCCTCAATCTCGAACTCGGCTTTATCAGTGGAGTTGAGGGAGGCAAAGGAGGTGATGTCCTTTAACTTGTATTCTTGTGCCATGTTTGATGCAGACGTAGACGTCGATAGATGTTTAGAAAATATACTTGGAGTGATGGGAGAAGAAGAAAAAGCAGAGGAAGAAGTCCAAGAGAAAGACAAATGCGAGGCAGAGCGGGGGAATGTAGATGACGAGAGATGACAGGCCCAATGGCGTCTACACCGACTTTGAGATAGAAGGGAGGGGAGTCTTTTTTTGAGGAGCATTTTCAAGAGAAATGTCTTCGATAGTGGAATAAACTGTAAGCATGACACGTTCCAATGGCTGAGTGCTTCACTCGTCTTGAAGTATGAATTGTGGAAGTATACGCAGATAGATGACATCACGTCGAGAATCGTCCCCGCCAATCAGAGGCAGGGTTTTGTCACCAAAATCCTGTTCTACAACTACCGCAGACATTGCAGAAACATTGCAGAAATAATGTTTGTTCATTGAAAGAAAGTAATATCCAGGGGAAATGAGTGTGCAGTCCTGGACGCCGTCGCTCCATACATGTAAAGGTCAAAATTCCAACATCCATAAATATAAGCTATGTGATAGGGAACAAGTAAACAGCCTAGAATTTCCGAGACTTTCGTCGCTTCTGCCTGGAAGGGCTGATGCTCACTTCTGTCATCTGCTGCAGTCGTCCCGTGCCCGTGGAAGCTCTGGTATTCCGACCCAGGGATTGAGCGAATTGGTTCTTGGGTTGGAACCGCTCGGATTTGGAGCGAGACTGAGACTGATCAACGTTGTCGAGCTCGGGCTCGGCATGAGGTTCGGGGGTTGCATTGGTGCTGGAAGTAAGATCGACCAGTTCTGACATTTGAGAAGCAGGGATTTGGGAGGATGAGAGAGATTCACGGAATCGCTGGGAAAGTCGTAGACGGGTGGAGGCCGCTGGGGGTTCTGTTTCGAGAGAGGGAGGAGTTGGCTCAGGTTTGGGTTGAGCTTCCTGTTGAGCATTCGGTGGTGATCTGGGAGAGCTCGACCAGCTTGGTGATAGAGATCCATGACCGAGGTCAAGGTCGAGATTGGAGTGATCCATGCTGTTTTGCACTCGATCATTACTCCAGTCTGTTCCATAGGTTTCCTTGGGCAATGGAGCACCTGCATATTCATCTTCATCTTCATCTTCATCTTCATCTCCATCTTCATCCCCATCTTCATCCTCATCCTCTTGCACAGGCGAGTGAGATTCTTCAGAATCTTCGTCATTGTTCTCTTCTGCATTGCTGTCATCTTCATCTTCATCTTCATCTTCACCTCCATACTCTTGGTTCTCATCTTCATCCCCTGAATTAGACGTGCTTGCTCCCAACTCATTCAGAAGATCTTTCCACGACTGCGAAGAGCTAGTTGGAGCAACCCCACGGTCTTCTACACTGTCATTGATTGCTGCAAATCCATCACCACTCATGCCAATAATAGAAAGAAGAGACCCGGATTGCGGACCACTCTCCCCAGACTCGGCAGGTGGCACAAGGTTATCATTGACAATCTGGCGATCTTGCTCCTGCTCCTGCTCCTGCTCTGGTGGCTCCATATTTATAGAGGTATCCTCGAAAGAGGGATTGGCTGACACAAACGACAAGAAAGAGGGATCATCTTCAGGGTTGACCATGGCAGATGGCGTTTCACCTCCGATAAGAGTATGGCCCTCCAGATTGCCATTTTCAGCTGTAACAGTCAGCCCCGGTGTTGTTGGCTGCCAAGATCGAGCAGAGTAAAACCCAGTGAAAGAGGGAGACGCGATTGGAGGAGTAACGCTGCGTGCCTCCGGCCCATTATCTACCTGGATTTGAGGCACAATCACTTCTTCAACGGTTTCCATTGCTAATGCTTCGGCAGAAATCCCAGGAGACCGACGAGGCGATTGAAGATGGCTGACTTCGTTGCCGATGGTCAAAAACGTGGTTTCATCAATGTCAACATCCATGTCAGCTGGCAGAGCTTGGGGATTCGGCACTGATTCTGCTACTACAGAGACACTTGAACAAGTAAGCGTGAGCCACAATCAGAGGTCAAAGGTTTAATTGACTGACATGCTATCTTCTTGAGCATTCTGATTCCCAGCTTCTGCCTGAGACTGTGTTGCCGCTTGTAGGAGCTTGGGGTAGTTGAGTTCTGCGAACGAGACCTCACGGTGACCATCGTCCTCCCCTTCATCCTCATAACCAGGCATTTCAAACTTGTCGTATTGACGGGGCTCGTCATCCTCTGAAAATTCTGGTGCTGGTCGACGGTCTCGCTTTGCCAGTAGTACGGAGATCGTACCATCTTTGCTGGGAGATTCAATCACCTCTGCGACTCGGTACTCGGACATCCTGGGTTGCCAGTTTGTGTCCTTGGACATTTCGAGCTGTCGGAAAGCAATAATTGCCCCCTTTTTCAACTCTTTCTCATTCAAAACGGGGACTTTGTTCACGTCACTAGGAAGCTCAGGGAGATCCTCGTCGATACCGGCGTTCTCGACTATTTCGGCTTCAGCGTCATCATAGTTGAGTTGATCATTGCCGTCGCCTTCACCGGGCCAGTAGCTGTCATTTCCTCCTTGGTAGTATTCGTCGTGGCCATCATATCCTTGGTAATCTTCATTCCCCTCCTCGTACTCTTCCTCTTCATAGACTTGAGCGCGCTGCTTTCTCTTGCGCTTCTTGCTTCCGCCTTTGGCCTGACGGATCAACGCATTGGCTTCTTGATCCCAGCGCTGAACGAACGGATAAGGAGGAGCAGTCAACTCAATTTCGGGATAGACACATTCGACTGCACGGACAACGAGCTTGTTCTCCCAGTCGTCGTCGGATTCATCCTCATCCTCATCCACATCCATATCTTCAGCCTCTTCCGGTTCTGGCTTCTTCCCGATTGCGCTGAATTTAGCAGCAAGTCTTCGTCGAGTTTCTTCCTCGTCTTTCTTGGTTTTTGGAGTTCGCATTCCAAGAGATCCAAAGAGCATGCGTCGTGAGCTGGCAATATCAAGGGTACGTCGGCTTGATGCTTTCTCTGGCTCTTCTTCGGTTTCTGTTGCGACGGCTACTGATGCTGGAATATCAGATGCACGACTTTGCGGGCCTGGAGGAACATTTTCCTTTTCCGATGTCTCATCGACACTAATTCCGTTGCCAGACGCAAGATCTCGGAGGAGTTTCTGTCGCCTGGCTTCGAAATCTCGCTTTTCCTCTTCTTTTCTTTGTTTCTTGGTAGACTCCTCAAGAGTCTGAGAAGATTGTGCCACATCAGCAGGGCTTGGAACATACCAGCCACCATTATTTTCTTCCCATTCCCGAAGCTCCTCGAAGTTTGCATCCTGATGTAAAGCTCCCATCTCCTTCAGCTTGGACAGACGACGGCGGAGCTTGAAGCGGTTGTTGCTCTTCTTGGTACGAAGGGATCCTTGGAATGGTGGACCGGCTACAGGCTGTGGTTGAGCCATTTTGGGCGGAAGAGCTTCCTTTTCCTGTGCCTCTTCTGCATCAGAGTCTGATTCCGAGTCCGAGTCCGAGCTCGAATCAGAACTAGAGTCTGATGAGTCTGATGAATCTACATCAGACGAGGCAGCTGGCTGGGCCTGGGGCTTGGATGGTTCCTTCTCCTTCTCCTCCTCGGAAGACGAATCATCGGAATCACTGTCTGACGATGCAGAATCAGAATCGGAATCAGAGTTAGAGTCGGAGGAAAGGTTGATAGTCTCGGGGAGTTGAGGTTGCGCGATGTTAGGGAGATTGTCGCCCTTGTTGAACCTCACTGCTTTCGAGGTTCTTGGGGACGAGTCATCTGCGCGGGAACGCTTGCTGGAAAGCGATGAAGGGGCCAGCAGTGACCCTTTGTGGACACTGTCAGACGAGGTTGGCCGCTTGGTAGTGGATGCAGCACGTAGCGGGTGGCCACTGGCAGTGCGAGTCTGGTTCCTGATATCAACAAACTGAGAGGGCTCTTCGAAGTCTTCTTTCAGGGCTTGAAGCTCGCTCTCCAATTCGTCTTCTTCGATATCGGACATTTCTGCTTCGCTGTCTGTCTCTGCGGTGTGATGAATGGGATGACGAATCACTGTTCCCATGGACTCTTCGTGTTCGGGAGGCATAATAGAAAGCTCCTTTCCAAACCCAGTATCTGCAGGCGGCAACCAACCTCCATCGCCTTCCTCTTCGGCATTTGCCATGTCATTCTGGATTTCCGGGGGTGTTCCCAGCCAGAAAAGACGCTGCGACGTTTCTTTCTTGGTGGGATCGTAATGGCAGGTCTTGTGGAAGTAGTTCTCTTCAAGTAGGGTGAGCCGAATGGCACACCATCGACAAGGTGTTTGCCGTCTGCTGCAATCTGATGACGACCACATAGACGTCGTGCCCGAAGGTCTGCGAGTTGAAGAGCGCGAATACTGCAGGAAAGTCAGCCAGCCATTTCAAGATATAAAAGCAAGACAGGAATTATAGGAACGTACACAACCTCGTCTCCATCACGTAACAGGCCTTCAACCTCCATAAAGTGCAGGCACTCAGAGCCAGCAACCTCAACAACATAATCTTCAAGTCCCCATTGACCGCTAAACTCCGCATCAAACACATTAGGCTCTGTTTCTAACGGGACAACCTCATTCACATCCTCAAGCAGCTGGGCGACTGTATATCCACCATTTGAAAACGCGATGTTGGGGGTGCGAGAAGATGCGACAGCGGCAGCCGATACCGCGCGCTGGGTGCCATATTCGCCCAACACAGAAGTAGACGACGTAGTCGTCCAGAGAATGCGCGTAGCCGGCAGGCCATGACGCGAGATAACAAGGTGGAGACGCATGGTGGATGAGAGATCTCAAGCTAAATCATTGACGCGGTGAGGACTCGATTTTTGAGCTTCGAGGTTTTCAGGTCGGAAAGTCAGGAGGGGTTGCTTCGGGTGGGGATCGAACTGGTTGGTCCGAATGGGCAGAGAAGTCAACTATAATCAGAATTCGACGTCTAGCATTCCACACGCACGGCAAGGGGACTGATGCATTGAGGAAGCTGTTGATCAGAAGATGGAGCTCAATCGCGTGGATGATACGCTAGCCCTTTTAGGATTAGCGTGACTCATTATGAGTTTTGTCGATCTTCAATCTATACGAACCCTAGGAACTTTCAGCTAGGAATAATAACACTGGAAATTTGAGATGAACTGTAATTTTTTGATGATTCTAGTCATAATGATATAGAGTATAGACTTGGATAACTACTATAGATCGAAGTAATGTGGATGCTCGAAACGCCTTCACCTATTATGCATTTTAAAGATGGCTCAACTGAAACAATGGGGTATAGTTGAAGGCAAAAGGAGAGCTATCCCCATAGATGCCAGCTAGCGTATGATCGAGCCGAAAATGTGAAGTGGGAGCCTTTTCACTGCCTCCCATGTATTTGATCCAGACTGTGGTGGACCGATTCGCAACCAATCCAGTGAGCCAAGGCTCACGATGGGAATGAGGGAATGAGGGGGTGATGATTGCACAATTTATCGAGGTGATGGGAGGTTGGGGATGAAGAAAAATACATCATCAGCCCATCGGCCAGAATGGTAAAGATCAAAAGCCATTCCCGGCTGCACACCTGATTACACGTAGGTTGCGAATGATATCTAGGTGGCACCGCTGCTCGAGCTTCGGGGTACGGGTTTCCGACTGGGAACACCCAAGTTCATAGGACGGAGGTTATTCCGCGAAGGACGGCGTTCCACAGCCTGAGGCGCATTAAGCTGGTTCCCAGCGACAGGTTCATACTGCGGCGGGCTCTCTTCATCAACGGTGTTCCGGGGAACCTTCATCATGCTCTGTGAACGTCTCACAGGCGACGCGGGGGGTGATCCAGACGGGGATTCCGGCGGGGTGGTGGGTAGCATATCAAAGGATTCCGAGGAGGAGCGATGTTCTCGACGACGGGGCGCTGAGAATCCTTCTGCTGCGGGTCTATCCTCTTGATTCTTACCCATTGGAGCTGCGGGCTTGACATCAGCTCCTGATTCCACTGATGTCCGGGAAGAAGAGGAGGCATCGGGTGGGTGATACTCGCGGCGTGGCCCATCTACTGGGCTCAGTTGGTCGGCCATGGCATCCTCATAGCTTGGCGGTGCATCGTCGTACGCATCGCCTGAGTTGACGGGTACGGGCTCGCCTGTTGGTCGTGGAGGCATGAGTGGTCGGCTGTCCCCGGATTCTACTGGCAGACTAGGATGAGGTTTTTCTTTGGAGGATGATGGTTGGAGAGATGCTGCCGCCATTGCATCTAGGAGAGCTTGGGGCGGAGCGATTCCGGAGAAAACCCGGACGGGCATGCGCAAAGGAAGAACGATGAGTTGAGGCTGTGCTATGGTGAGCCAAGGACAGTCAAAAAGAAAGGAAGCAACTTACCTTCATCTCATAAGCATTTCCATGGGTCAAGCCAACTCGAACCTCCAATTCGTAGCTCCTTTCAATGTTACATGTCTCAAATGATGGCGCAACCGAGTTAGGTAATGTGATACGATTCCATAGGTTCGAGTCAATGGTCCAATCAGTCCCGACTGCATCGTCTGGCTTGCCTAGAGGTGTGTTCATATTGCTGCGACTCATCAGGACCCAAGAATTAGTCTCGGTCCTTTTAAGACCATGAGCCAAAATCTTGGTATAGGAAATGAGCTCAATCTGCAACATCTGGAGGAAGATTATGTCTGACCCGTCAGTAAGCTTTCTAGCCAGAAGACGGAGTGGGACTGATTCATTGCAAGTGAGGATAGATGGATGCGGGAGTCGAGCATCAAGGGAGACACGGGGAGGTTCGGCATAAATTTCCTTGAGGGCAGATGGGCCCCTTGAGAAGATGCTCTTCTTCTTGGTCCCGCTTTGGACTTTGGAGAACTGATGTTGGCGCCTCGCATAGGTTTCCTCGTTGGGATTCCCAGTCCGCGGCGGTTCAATGGGGAGAAAGTTTAGTGGAACAACCTGACAGATTAGCAACTGAAAGGCATAAGACCAAGAATTGCACTTACCGCTCGAATATTCTCCTTGTAGAATTGTGGCCGAATGATTGTGGCCTTGACAAAGTACTTGATATCTGCTTCACCGGGGAATCCACTCAGCGAAGGGGGCAACGTTTTCCTGACATGCCGGTTGGTATCTTTAGCCACCTCGACTTTCAACCCGTTGAAATTTAGATTGGTGAGCATGCTGTTGTGGCTGCTACATGAATTATTAAAAGGAAACTAGTCGGTGTTAGAGCTAGTCGGCTATTGCGGGACAAGCATCTTACCTTGAACTGGAAGGGATACTCATATGACCCTGCAGCAAAGGTATATGAAGTCGTTGGAGAGCCATGCTGCATCACAGCTGGCGTAGGAAAGACTGTGGCCACTTTGTACAAGATCTACATGCCCGATCAGCCCAGCTCCACCAAAATTGTATATTCCACCGATAGACGATGGCTAAAGCATCATACCTTATGGACCTCCAGCTCCGTCCTCTTTTTGTCCGAGTGCACATTCTGAGGGTTCCTGGGGCCGGATAGGCGAGTGCGACTCTCACATTCCAATTTGACTTGTATTCCACCAATAGCTGCCTCGGTCGGTAGCTGTAGCACGACTTTGCCGGTCAAGAAGTCCAGATTTGTGTAATGGGTATGGCGACTGTCTAGCACGATCGTTGCGGACATGGCGGCGGCGCGCCCGGGCCCAGGCGGGGCACTCTATTCGGTTGGTGAATACCCTTGAAGGCTTAAAATGAAATGAGCGGGTGCCGACGAAACACGCGACAAGGACCAATTGTCGGGATGGTCGGGTGAGGTGAGGTTCGGCGCGGTGAGGTGGGATGTGAGATTGGGGGGAATACGGATTATATGCGAGGAATCCCGGAATGACGTTTTGGACGTTCGCAGATCAACTGATCGCCAAGTTACAGATTCAGGTGAAAAATGTATAAAGAAAATTATATAAATTAAGAGTCAAACCAGGGACTTATGCTGCGCCTCAGGGTCACAGCCACAATTGACATACAAAGAACGAACTGCTCACTCGGGTCAAGTATAGCTTCAGTGTGAGCTACGAAGCATCACCACATATAATCTACAGCATTTTCCGAATATTCTCTAATTGCAAAGAGATCATATCTATTCCAATGCTCCTGTCACATAGAGCACCACAGTCATGGCGTACGAAGAAAAACAAGAAATGGTATCGTGAACTCGCTCCAGGCACCAATATTTCCACTACCAAAACATCCGAATACCCGATCCGCTGCAACTTCAAGCCACAGCAGGGCGGAGGAGAATCCAAATATATCCACAATTGCCTAGACAAGTTCAGAGTCCTTCCTTGGCCAACATGTCTAGGTAGCCAAGTTAATAAGCTTGTCTCGATGAGTCCACTCAGATGACATACCTGCAATATCCAAGTAGAATGCAATGGCGTTAAATCTGCAGAAAGGTCAGCCTAGCCCTAGAATAATGTTGCTGTCTACTGACTTTCGTCGGTTGCCTGTCACCTCCCCGGCCAGCCACTTGAGGCGGTTCGTCCAGTTGATTAGATCCAGGTGGCTCACGCCCGTTAGAGTTCCCTTGTATCCTGTTTCACCTCCCCAGCGGCTACTGGAAACGCTGACTAGACCGTCGTTGGGCCCTTCTATATTGGAGAGGATTCGATGCGACAGTCGAAAGGCGGACCAGATACTTGGTTCAAATGCTGCGCCATAGGAGAAATACCTGGATTATAAGTAGGTGTCATAGATGTAAACATTATCAAACTTACCTAACGTCATCCACATCTGGAACTTTCGGGTTGAAGGTCTCGGTCATGTATTTTCTAGTCAGTTGTTCAAATGCCCCTGTTTCGACCTTTAGCCGGTTGAGGGCGTAGTAGATCTGAGGTAGTCTTTCGGCTGTTGAAAATTGTCAGCAGTTAAGGAATTTCATGGCGAGGCTTGACAAACCTCCAATCTGGTCAAATACATAGTCTGCCACGGATGAACCTAGCAGAAAAGGTGAGTAAAAAGCTATCTCGTTCCCGGGCGCAGTGCCAACCTTGATGCGGCGATGCAATAGTAGTCAGTGACAAGACTTTAAACTTCTCCGGTTTAATTCGACTAATCATATATCGTGAATCAAGTCCACTGAAGCCTCGTATTAGCGTGTGTCCGAGAAACGCCGGGGATCAATCTCACCCCTATTCACGTATAAGCACCACCTATCTTGAAGAAAGGGAGAGATCTCACCATGCTATGTCTATAGAAGTATCAGTCAGAACATCTCAATCAACATAATAGAGGACCACCAACGCAATGATATTAACATCTTTCCCACGCGCACCGACTTCAATGTCTCGAGCCAATTCTTCAGCTCGAGCCTCAATAGACCCCGATGGGGGCACGGTAGCAGTAATGACTTCAATCCCGCGCGCTGTCAGGGCTTCTTTTATTCCGCGCCAGTATTGGACACCGGGGAGATATCTCCCAGCAAGTCGCAATTCATCAAACCCCAGCAGGCCATGTGCGAGAACAACGGGGTATTTGGGCGCATCTACCACTGTTACCAAAAATTCCAGGATTGAATGGATGCAGCTTACCGTATTTTTCTCGGATCACGGAGTATTCATCGACAATCACTTTGCCGTGGTCTTCTAGGCGCGGCTCAAGACTAGGACTGGGTCTGTACGGGGATGTATGATATCGTCTGCTGGTTGGGCAGGCATATGATGCATATGTTACCGTTGGTATCCCGAGTCTGCTTGGAATTGGAATGACATGTCTCATTGTCTCCCGAGTGTGCAGATAAGTTGGTGATCAAACTCCCGCGCGGAATGACGCACGGGAAACATTGATATCTTGCCTCAGGCAGAACATTTTATACTTCGCTCTGCCACAATCGATTTGTCTCTTTCTGATGCGATCGGAGGAATTAAATTGATAGAAATGGATCTATGGTTTTTGCTGTAGCTATCTCGACAGATTTTGATATTCAAATGTCGTATTGATCAGGGAGATACAAGACCAGCGAGCTCATTAGGACTGTGCTGATGGCTTGCAGTGAATTTCAAGAAGAACCGTGGCCATTGACCCAGGGCTACCATGTACAAAGGCCCCAAGAGACATTATCGCAGAAAGACAGGTGAATCCAGCGCTGAGGAAACCAGATGAAATGATATTGTCCGAACTTGGATATCGATGAACAGCCACGCAAGTGCAACTTCCCCATAACGAGCAAAGAAACAACAAAAATATCTACATTATGCCTTAATCTTCTCGGGAACCTCGGGCTTGACATCAGTCGTCACGCGGAGGAGGTCCGCAACGACCTTGTCGCCCTGCTTCTTGCCAGCGTCCTTAATCTCCTGGAGCTTGACTTCGGTCTCCTTATTGGCATCGTCTTCGGCCTTCTTGAATCCACTCGAGTGCTGACGAGTAAGTTAGTACCATGTTTAGCAGCAGTCTCGGAGGAGTCTCACCTCAGTCTCGAACTTCTTGTACTCCTCTTCCTTCTGGCTCTTGTATTCCTCAATTTCCTTCTGGGCCTCCGACTTGGCGTCCCTTATCCGCTTTGTGCGGTCTGTATTATTGGTGGTCAGCATGGTCGACTCCGGGATCGGAAGTTCAATAGCGTACATTCTCTGGCTGAAAGTGACGTGACGTATTAGTATCTGCCTGCAACGACGAGGGGTAAGTGAACTGCACTCACCTTGCTGCACAATCTTCTGGGCCTCTCTCTCAGCCTATCAGTCTGGTTAGTATCCCACCCGCTCAGGCCAACAGCAACCAAGACCTACATCGAGGAGGGTCTGAATGCCCGCGGAGTTCTGAGCCGACTGTTCACCGTTAGCAACTGACCACCAATTCTAAGACAGGCGACTCACCATATTTGCGCAAGACCTCGCAGCTTTAAACGTAGAAAATAGAAGAGATGGCGCTGAACAGGAACGATTAACGGCGAGTCTGGAGCTCCGAGTCCAGGTCGATCGGAGCCACGCAGCGCCCCCCCAAAGCGGTGGGGGTTCTGCCCACACCTACCGCCTGGGCTGATCGATAAACTGATAATCCCCGACTCATTTTCAAGACCGTCAGACCATATCATTGTCTTTGGGTTCATTGCTGGACCGACGTGTGGGCTGCTCAATTCTCAATTTCACCATGTCTCGCGCATCAAAGTTCACATTGGCAGCCACCGGCCTGGGCACAGCGGGCATCGTCTGGTTTGTCCACTGGGCACAAGAAGCGGACAGGGCGGTATGATACAGCTTCAATCTTTGTATCGAATAAGAGACTGACATTATTTTTGATTGGTAGGCTATGCACAAGGGTGTCGAACGTGATATGGAAAAGCAACGTCTTCGATTAGAGCGCCAAGCCGACTTCGAAATGCAAAAGGCTCTCGAGCAGGAGTATCTCAAACTCCAGACGGTGACCAGCACAACGGGCGGCTCAAATACACCCAATCAAAATACCAGTCCGGGGTCATGAGGTGGAACATTACGGGACGCGCTGCTTCGATCGGATCATTCTGCCTTTGCGTTGATCTGGATGTGCTTCGACGATATTCACTATGTCAGTGGATTGCAATTATCGCCTGTGTGCTGATGCATGGGCAAGGAGTTTATTTGTTTTTGGGTGCATGCCATGCTGTACAAAACTTGGATGTTGTGGTGTAAGATATACCCCCATATGTACTATATAACATGAAATCGTCTCTCTCCTATTGTGATTCTATTTCGAGATATTTACACAATATTTACACAATCGTAGTAGTTGGACCCTTGAGAGAGCCTGGAACTGTCAGGCGGAAACTAACATTCCAATGATGTTGGGGGTGTATACATCGAGTGACTGGGGCATCTTGATTTAAACTTGAAACACCGCTCCAATTAGGAAGTCAGTGGACAAACAAACTAAGACCAGCGAATAACTTTCTAATAATAGCGTCAATCGGTTGTGTTTTCTTGTGGAAGACAATGTGGTCAAATTGCCGAAAACGGTATTCCCGATGCGGATGTATGAATTCATCCCGTCCAGACCAACCCACCAGCAATTCAATGTCTCACTGGCATTTCATCTTTACTTTTCTATCTATCATGACCGCCCCGGCACCCACACGGTGATGCCGACCATGATTCCACCTCCAATGACGATCAAACAACGACCCTTCCACAGCGTTCTGATAGTTCTCTCGGTGATATGTTTCTTCTGGGTTTCGATCAAAACTTACAGGAATTTGGCTATTCCAGAACCCAAATACCCTCCAAGCAACAATGCGCGGAGAGTTGCCAAGGTTTCCATGCTATATGGTGAGACAAATCACATGTACGAGAGGGCACTCCAAAGTCATGAACGCCACAGCAGGAGATGGGGATACCCCATGCATGTTCTTCGGGAGGATATCTCAGTCGGGTTCTGGAACAAGCCAAGTTATCTTTTAGCGCTGGTGATCAGCGAACTGGCAAAGCCAGCAGGCGAGAGAATGGAGTGGTTGATGTGAGTCTCCTCCCAGGCCGGTCACCTCTCGACAACCACTGACTGTTACAGGTGGGTCGACGCCGACTCAATTATACTTAACAATGATGTCCCTGCCGAGGTCTTTCTTCCTCCATCCGACCTCAAAGATATCCATCTAGTGACCGCCAAAGACCAAAACGGGCTCAACACCGGAATCATGTTCATGCATGTCCACCCGTGGACAATAAGCTTCCTGACTGAAACCCTTGGTTACCCGCTCTTTCACTCGAAAATCGATCTTGGTCGGTCCGCAGACCAAGAAGCCATGGGCCGCGTGCTCAACAAAACAACAGAGGGTCCAGCTGGACAGGGTTACGCCAGTGGGGTCGCGTACCTGCCACGACCATGGATCAACACCTATGAGTGGGATTGGGCTTATGAAGGCAAGAGAGGGGGGATCTGCTTGTGCATTTCCCAGGTCTTGAGGAGAGACGTTGGCCGCATATGGCTAAATGGCTGGATATTGTTGAGATGACCCCTCAGAAGTGGAATCTGCCACTCGAGAAGACGGGGTATCTTACCAAGACTGCGGCTTATTGGTCACAGATTCGCGATGCAAAAAACAAAATTCGCATCGGGGAGCAGGTCGTGCAGGCTGGGAACGCCCGGTCATCTCCAGAGATAAAGCAGGGAGTTGATGCGCTCAAGAAAGTCCTACTTGAAGACTCGGATGAAGTGGATCGCATACAGCAGCGAATTTCAGATCTCAACACTTTGCTGGAGCAGAAGACAGTCTAAGACTCGATTGTTTCCTTGGGGGATCTTTTGTTTTGAATTTATCGAATTTCCTATCGGACAATACTAGTGAGAAGATTCGGCGAGCTTTTATGAATACTTGTTTTCAAAGATACCATGATTGAACGGACCAGTATGATATAAACAGAGTTCCCATTTAGGAGTGCGTAGTACTTTCACCATGTCTTCGTGCTTTTGTCCTGACCAATGACTGAAGTATACAAATTTCATTAGCTGTAGTTCATTGGTAGTTCAATGGTTGTAGTTCATTCATTGGGTCTTGTCCGCCTTATAATAATGTGAGTAATCAACCAATTTATAAGTCCACTTTTCAGTTCTCCCGTAAATCAACTGTAGTCCCAATGCCCACTGAAGTATATCCAAGGCTAAAACGAGGCCGGCTATAATCGGAGGCCGGTACCATTCCGGCCTCCGAACGCTAGGGAAGTTTAAACTTGGCTTATCGTCCAATCAGAAGCCGGCTTTGGACGATCGGGCCTTGGCACGGCATGACATATAGAGGAGACATCATGACTTGTAGAATGTTCCTCAGACAAATTTCCGTAATAGGTCCTCAATAAGTGGTCAATTCTATAGTATAAGCAATTTTTAACATCTGCCGGGTCATTCGCCACCAATAAATCCAGCCAACCCGAAGAGAAGGCAGACAAGTACCTATGGCAGCTTTCTACTGTATTGGGCCTAGCGCAACCCCGTGACTATGCCCTACGCTCTCTCACTGGGCCGTTGTATACTTCATTTGTATAGACAGACGAAAGTCGAAATGTCTGGTCAGGGACAAAAATGGCCGTGGAGAGTGCCTGAAGTATCCTCCATGATAGATGGAACCCATTTACATCATAAAGCAGGCGATGTCACCTGTCCCACGCTATTCTTTATCTCTTTCGTAATGGTGGACTTGAGGCCGGAATTGATACCGGCCTCAAAGTATTATAAGAATCTGCTCCTCACCCGCCCAAATCCTCGAGTTCTTGTTCTCCTCATCATCCTGAAAGGTCTTTTGACTTGTCTTTCCTCTTTTTTTCCACATTTTCCTTACTATCCAGGTTCTTGACTTGATCTTGGACCTTCATCTACCTTTACCCATCTATCCAACCTCACTATCCCTCCCCAATACCCAAGACAACTTGTCTCATACTTGAATATTGATCAATTCCACCATGACTCGTACTCAAGTGCCCTTCCCCTCCCCTGCTACCCTGAAGCGGTTCCCTCACATCCACGATGACCCTTCAGGCATCTCCCACTCCCTGGACCCCTTCACCATCACCACCAAGACAGGCTTCCTGCCCTATGAGACTGCCCCCACAGAGCTTCCCGAGGCATTCAGTGCATTGCTGTCCCTCGTCAACCGTCTGCCTGTCGTGAGACTCGATGGCAAGCCCGGTCTGTTGGCTACCTACGAGCTTGGCCCTGCCGTCAAGGCCGAGCTCACTGACCTGACCGACGAGGTTGAGAAGCTTGTCCTCCCTGATGGCTCGCCGGACCGCTTCACTGTTGCTGCTGTCTTCCGTGATTATACCTTCCTGGCCTCGTCCTACCTCCTTGAGCCTTGCTGGGAGCACTGGAACAAGGACCCCGAGGGTGGTTACGGTCTGGGTCGTGATGTTTTGCCCATGGCTGTTGCTCGTCCTATGTATCGCTGTGCTGAACTGTGAGTTGACTCTCGCTCGTATTGTCTCACCTTATCTTGTATAACCTTGCTGTCATCCCTATCATTTTATCATCTAATACTTGCATTTATTATGACATTGCTAACCATATATCAGTTTGGACCTACCACCTTTCATGTCTTATGCCGCCTCTTATGCTCTCTTCAACTATACTGTCGCCGACCCTGCCAAGGGCCTGAGCGAGTACTCTAACCTCCGTCTCATTCGCTCTTTTGAGAGGGGTCTTGACCCCAAGAGCTCCGAGGCAGGCTTCATTCTCACCCACGTAGACATGGTCAAGGAGACTGGCCCCCTGATTGCCGGTACTCTCAAGGTCGTCGATACGCTTGAACAGCACGGATCCCGACAGGAAATCAACGACGGATTCCGAGAGATCCTGAAATCAATGGAGAAGATCGAAACTTCCATGGAAGGTAAGCCACCAGACCCGCGAGCCACCCAGAAACCACACTCACACATATAGACATGTGGGGAAACTCCAAGCCCTCCGAATACCTCTCCTTTCGCGTCTTCATTTTCGGAATTACCAATCAATCGATGTTCCCCAACGGCGTCATCTACGAAGGCTGCGAAGACGACAAGCCCCTCTTCTTCCGCGGCGAGAGCGGTGCCAACGACAGCATTGTGCGTACCAACTCGCCGGTCCTCCCCCAATCCAATACTGACCATCCTCCATAGATCCCGCTTCTCGACCACCTCTGCCAGATCCCCATGCCCTCCACCCCTCTCACCAAAATCCTCCACGAGTTCCGCGCCTACCGTCCCCTCCCGCACCGCGAGTTCCTCACCTACATCCGCGAAAAGTCCGAGGAAATCGGCGTCCAGGACTACGCTGTGCAGGACTCCGAGACGGCAGTGCTCTTCCTCCGCACCTTGAACCATGTTCGCAGTTTCCGCTGGAGACATTGGCTCTTTGCGCGTGAGTACATCATCCGCCGTACACCGCATCCTACTGCCACTGGTGGTTCTCCTATTGTTACTGTGAGTATTGCACCAGCCCAATGCGTCAATAAAATGGAAGCATGGATCCTTGCATATCTGTTCTTGCATTGTCTGCGTGATCACCTAGCTAATCAGTTTATGACAGTGGCTTCCCAACCAGCTCTCTGCAGTCATGGACCTCATGGTTCGGATCTATGATACTCATCTCGCGCCCAAGGACGGTGTGACTAGTGTATCGAACGGTGGTCAGGATTTGATTGCCTCGCATCGGAAGCAAGTCGAGCCTATGATGGAGCTGGTGAGGGATCAGCGCGAGAAGCTGGCGAAGGAGGTTGAGCGGTGGTGCCAGGAGCGGGGAGTTTAGATTTCCTTTTTGTCCTTCTGTTTGTTCACTTACTGTATTGCTTTGCATTTCTTAGATTGGGAATACTATTCACATTTACCCTGGGGGGTTAACGTTATGCCATGAGAGATATTCCTATCTGCGAGCTACTGTAGAGCTCCAAGACCGGTCCTATCTAGTGTCACAAGTGTACGACAGAAGATATCTCCATCCAGTGTCCATCCACGTCGATGTATGACACTCCCGCTTGGAGCTCTCCCTGGCGTATTCGGAGTTGTTCTACTGGCTACAGAATCACTAAATTGCTGATCCGCGCTGGATTTGACTTTGATTCCTGTCTCAGCTGACCGTCTTGACCGCATTTCTGTTCCTGAATCGGCCAAGATATCCGATATCTGTTGACGTTCCTTGCCTTTGCCCTTGACCCCTCGATTCTACGCTCGCCACACATATCTAATAGTCAAAAACAAGAGGATGCAATGAATTGTGCAATGAATTGTGTTCATGAAGGGAACCAGCCCCCTATCCAAACAAGAATGCAGTACCCTATTCACAGGCCCTCGACTCACAAACAACGCCGTAATGCTTCGCCATTCACATGTCCAACTCGTTCATCCATTTCGTCCATATCCATATCCTTATCAATCTCCATCTCCATCTCCATATTATCCATATTATATCCACGCCTGTCCCTTCATCACTCATCACTCATCACTCCCGTGTCAAACACAATAGACACTATTCCATCCTCGGCCACTCCAACACCAGGTTGAAAACCCCCCTACAATCGAATCAATCGTTCTTGTAGGGCGCTCTCCAGGAGCGAATGACCACCATCAAACAAACCAAGTCCACCTGCCGGCAACCAGTGCCAACACCATCCCAGTCCAAGTCCAAGTCCCAGTCCATCTTGGCATTCCCCTCACCCCGCACAGCACCCAACTCAACCGAAAACCCAACCCAGCACAGCACAACATTAACATAACACAACACAACATAATATATCATATCATATCATCCACATAACTTCAATAATCTAACCAAATAATCCTACCGCCCAGACCCCTTCTCACTCGAATACCCCGAATCAAGCCACTTCCCCGCACCACTCGGGGAAGAAGGGCACCCGCGAGTCGAGTGCGTGTCGCACACGTAGCCGACCAGGACGGTCTTTTCTTGTACGGGGTGGTTGCGTTGGCCGTAGGCTTGGCAGGGGTCAATGGAGTGTTGGAAGTAGAGGCATTTGCAGACGGAGTAGCGTTCGACGACTTTGTAGCACATTTTGTTTGATTGGATGGATTGATTGGGGTGGATTGGATGTGATATGTGGTGTATTGTATTCCTGGTGGAGGTATGGATGGATGGATGGATGGGTGGTTTGAGTTGAGTTGAGTTGAGTTGAGTCTGATAGGTATAGGTATGATGATGGCGATGATGATGGCACAGTCGAAGGTGTATATATTAAAGAGCATGAAAAGCGACCAAAAGAAAAGAAAGAAGCGAAAAGAATGGAGGACAAGAGAGCAGCGAGGGAAACCGGGAAAGAAGTAGAACATAAAAAGAAAAAGAAGAAGAAAAAGAAAAAGAAAATCAGACTCGACAACTGAGGACTGAGGAAATGACAGGCGGCAAGACCGAGAAATCAACGCCGGACATGGGGGAGAAAGAAGCAAGTAGCAAGTAGCAAGTAAAGCAGGATAACTGTCAACATTACCGGGCCTGTAGAAACCAAACGGGGAAACGAACCGAACAAGCGCAAAGAATCTCAGCCCTACGGCCCTACGCCCCAGGCAGAAAGAAAACGGGTCTGGATCCATACCATCCATACCATGTATAGCTATACCATACTAGGAGTTACCATACATGGAGGGTGATTCTACTCTGTTTTCCCTCTCTTCCCTCTACTATACTCTCAATACTCTTAATACAGTACACAGCTAATATAATACCTTGACTATACTTGGTCAATCTAGTGACACACCTTCAGCTACACTCCAGACCCCAAAGTCAAAGAGAGCCTCCTTCACCGGGCTAATATGCCCCCGCCGATCACCTGCAGTAGGGCGGAGGAGCCGCAAAGACGGTGAGAAGACTGGAGGAGGGGGGCGCGGGGCACTGAAGACTGGACTGGACTGGACTGTAACGTACTGTATGTGTAATAGTACATGTGCCCTGCGTGGCTAATCCACATGGTAGCTGGTCATTGGTGGCTGGTTACTGCTGCTCGGCGATACAATAGAGATAGAGATAGAGATACGTAGGTGGTGACTGAAGTAGTAAGTGTGGTTGGTAGGGCTTAGCTTTCAGGATGGATTGGGGCGTCCAGTGATAGTGACTATGACACAGCCTCTTTACTCTTTTCTTTTCTTTACTATAACGAGATACTATACTATAGTTAATAATACCTACACAGCCCAGTCCAGCCAACCTTAATCCCAGACACAGCCACAGCTGACAACCTATATTAACATGAACGTTATATTGTATCCCGCCGAAAGACTCCGCACACCGCTGTTATTCCCAGCGAGCACAGTGTGAATACCAGTAACGCGGGATCGGGGTTGCTTCAGGTTGGCGGTGTTGGGGTTGTGGGTTGTGGGTTGATCTTGTGGAGACGATTAGGCTCCCGCATTCTTTGGTTTGGCTCGCAGTACAAGTACGGAGTATTGTATAGTAACTTAAGTTGACTATACTCCGTACGTGGTAAGTTATAAATCATTGTGGGTGGGCTATTCTTGCATACTGTACACATGCATACCACATACCATACCGGTACTGTTAGAGTCATAGGGCTGAGAAAAGTGGAGATGGATGGGACCTTTTGGGATAGTGCGTTATGTACAGTACAGCAGTGCAGTATAGAATAGTATTCCGTTATAAGTTAGTTGGTGGGTGTTCTATCCTACTGTACAATGTTGTAGATGGGATGCATAAGACGGTTCTGATAACTGATTGGTATCGTACACGAGAGCCTCAAGGGTAGAGAATGAATAAGGAGGACAGGAAGGGCCACAGACTCCAGAAGAGAAAAACAGGAAAAGAAAAGAAAAGAAACTCCGATTTAACAAGGCCCCCCATGTACTGTATTTCCTACATCTTCAGCTCTCATCTCCCATTCCATCCCATCCCATCCCATCCATCTCACATCACAGCTGAACCAAACTAAACAGACGACCCCAAAGCACCATGACTCAACCCCCTGGCCAGACCAGAACGCAGCATGCGCAGGATATCCTCGCCTTTAGCCGACTCGGGCAAACCAACGCGCCAATCCCAGCCCCGGTCACCAACGGCAGACATGTCGCTGGGACGGGGGACGAGAACGCCCGACCCGCTCATGGAAGCGGGCCCGGAAGCGGAGCCCGAGCCTGAGCGGGTGCGCGCTGACTCGAGCATGCCATTGCCCATCAGGGAGAAGGTCGAGGCGTTGAAATTCGTGATTGATTTTTTGAAGAGCGCGCGCGGGGAGGGGGGAGCGCAGGACGGGTCGGAGGTGGTGGTGGCGAGGAGGGTGGAGCGGAAACATTCTTCGCATTGAGCGTAGACGCGGGGGGTGACGGTTTCCAGGTCTTCGATGGCGGAGAGGATGGTGAATTGTTGGGAGACTGTGAGGACCGGGGTTGGTTCTGGGTTGCTTTGGTTAGTATTGTGCTGAGAGGATGGGCGTGGGGTGGTTGAACTTACGGCTCACGAATACTAGGGCTTCGCCGAGGAGTGCTAGTAATCCGTCGACTTGGACGGCGGAGTCGCGGTCTGGGTCGTAGAGTCCTCCGTAGATATTATCGGCTGCACTGCCGATGACGGCGGCGAGGGCTTGCGCGGCGGCGCGGCGGCGAGCTAGGGGCTTGTAGCGTGGTCGCTCGCCTTCTTTCAATTCGGATTCCTCGTCACGGATCTCGTAGAACCGGCGCAGGGTTGCGTAGCCGCTGAGGTAGAACTGGAGAATGCGGGCCGCTTCCTCGTCGATCTCGGCAATCGAGGACAAGCATGCCTTGGGTTCTTTCATCATGGATAGGAGGTATGAGTCGAGGTCGGCCGTGGCAGGGTATGCGCGCGATTGGACCAAACTGTATGAAATCAAAAGATCGACGACTGACTTGACCTTGCGGCGGCTCTGAGCACGAGCGTAGCACACAAGAGCAAGACCAAAGTTCTCTGACTTGGAAGTCAGCATGTCGCCGAATCGCTCGGAGACTCTGCGTCCCTGGTCCTCCAAGTCAAGATCCGAGCAGAGAACTACTAATTTGTCCAACTGATCAGAGTTCTCCAACGGAAGTTTATCAACAATTTCAGAGACGGCCTTCTTCATCTGGTTGGTATCGTTGAGTCGGCTTAACACCTCAAGACCCAACTCCCATCCTTCACGGCTGCTAGTCTCATTCTGAATGACAGGAATTTCATATAATCCAAAAGCATAGTCGCGGAGGATATCGTCCTTGCGAAGATGGCGAGATGGAGCCTTGTTATCTTGACCGTACGAGAGAACCATCAAGTCATTCTCTGACAAACCAGGGAACCTCCGTTGTCCCTGACTCGACTCAAACCAGAGTCCTTGGCTGGCGATTTCCGCAACTGTAGCAGCAATGCAAAGTGACCATCTCTGGATTAACTCCAGCACGCCCTGCACATTGCCCTCGAAGACAGACGCAAGACCAACTTCCACACTGCTCAGAGAGTTGGGCTGGAATCGGCTGCCGGACTCGCTCGTGACGTTGCTTGAAGCTAATGCGAGACGGCTGATGTAGGCTTCCCGGTAGTTGATAGTGACCGCACGGGTCTGCTTAACCCTGGGTCCACGCGAGCGCAAGAAATCGCCGCCGAATAAACCAGCATCATATTCCATGTCTGCGCCGTCATCGTCCTCGCCATCCCACCAAGCCGTCAATGCGATGGTTGCCTCCACCCAGTCCTGAGAATGAGCCTTGATGGCTGCGGGGTCGCCGAGAAGGATTCGGTAGATGGATCTCAAGCTCTGGTAGATAGACCAGGGGATACGGCTCTCGGCCATGCGAGCAGATTGAGTGAATGACATTGGTTTCTGGTTCAAGTTGTTTAATCCAAAGTTGATTGCCTGGAATCGGTTATCCGGAACTGGAACAATGGATTCGTCTTTCTCCTCACCCTCTGCGAATTCTTCCAGCTCAGTGATAGATGTCACAACTCGTCTCCGGTACGCAGACCACTCCGCGCCATCGACGTTCCAGTTGTCCAATTTTGATCCAGGGCAGGAATCAAGGATCAGAAGGGCTCTGTTGACCTCGCGCTGGATGTTTTGCAGCTGCGCGCCACGGTACCCAGGCTGTTGTAGTCCGTCCTCCAAGGCTGAGCGGGCATAGTTGAAATCCGCAGAGCGAAGAACCTTGGCCGCTTCGTCCAAGTGACCTCGCAGCACTGATGCAGTAATGATATCCCAGAAGTTGGACGAGGCAGTCGGGTTTGGTTCCACATATCTCAATTCCTGCAGACCCTTCGTTTGAGGCGCGTGGTTCTCATTAAGCCACTCAAGCAGAATCTGGGGGTAAGGCTTGGGGTTGCTGGATCGGGCCAAAGCCTGCACCATGCCTAAACCCATGTTGGAGGGGGATTGACGTGCAGGCTGGTTGATTTGAAGTAGCAACGAGGCAATGAAGCTTGCTTTGACCAGATTGGGAGCCTGATCTCCGGGTCCAATGCCGGATTGCGCATTGTATGGCCGACTAATTCCGCTGTGGTCAGCAGACGCCTGCCATGTTGCTGCCAATTCTTGCGATATATCAGCCAACACGGCATCGAAATCCACATGTCTTTCTTCCGCAGCCTTCATCTCATCGGCAAGTTTGCCAAGGATATCCTCCGTGGCGAGAATCATGTCGCTCGGTTCTTCCACGGCGGGCATGCGGGTCCGGGAAGCTAGGTTGTGCAGAATAGATGGCATGGCGGACGCCTTCTTCGGGGAAAGCTTAGCCTTTCGGGGCGACTGATTTGTCCAGTGTTCGTCGAGCTTTGGCCGCTTGGCATCGCTAGGATTCGAGTAGATGGGTTTGCGCTGGGCGGGAGCAGGAGCGGGAGCAGGTTGCGGGTTTCCAAACATCGAAGTGAAGCTAAAAGGCTTTGGCGGAGCTTGAGAAGTCAAGTCCATTTCCTCCTCCGCTTCCTCGACCTCTTCCTCCTCTTCCTCCAGCTCTTCGGGTTCCATTTCTTGGTTCTCCTCCTGGTAATCGCTCATCTGCGACGACGCAAATCCATTTGAGTGACCAAAGTTCATGAAGTCGCCAGATGCGGTTCCATTGGATGCGACACTAAAGCGAAGATTCGACGCGGTTGTTGGTTTAGTCGAGGGCTGGTTACGGGGCATAGGAAAATCGGTCGAGCCAAACGAGGAGCCGAAAATGCTGTCATTTGTATTGATGTTTCCGGATTTGGTGAAAACCGAATTGTTGAATTTGTTCGTGGAGAAAGAATGCTCATTTCGTGAAAATGCCATACGCGAGCCACCTTCCGTCGCTGTTGGCTGCCCTTGCGGTGTGAATGACTTTGTGCTCGACGGCGGCGGACCAGCAGGAGTTGTCGACCCGTTACTCCATAAGCTGCGAGAGCGATCTCTCTCTGGGGTCTCTGGGGGACTAGATTCGTAGGGTACCTGGAAGGACATCGTGACGGGAGATATCACAATGGAGAAGGATGGGCAAGAAGCATCCGCGAAAGAATTGGGCCGCAATAGCTCTGAGGTTGGGAGAGAATTGCAATCAATGAAAGGGAGTGTTGTGCATGAGTCAGAGGTTCGATGAGGACTTGAATAAGAATGGAGCTCCCTCGTCTCCGAGTTGGCGTGTTTTCACTCTCAATTTACTTTCTGCATCGACGCGACGGCGAAAGTTCTCAGGCAGCAAGGCAAGAATATCAGGTGACTCTGATACAGTCATGTGCATGATGGTCATGTGACATGTCATCGCTCTGTGTCACGTGGTCAGGGGTCCCCTTGCATCACGTGGCAGTGCATGGGGGCCAAACCTTCATTGGACACAACAGGCCACCAAGGCTCAGCTTGTACGCTGTACAGGAAGGGGCCTCGATGATCTCGAGACGTAGCAACCTTGGCGCGGCTGAATCAGGAGATTGCTGGTGGTATATGTTTTTATATATCTATATATTTATATATTTATATGTAGACTGTTCCTCTACATGCTCAACCCAACTACAGTACAGACACACTGCACCATGCCCATGATATCCACTCGATACTTCATTAAACAGAGCCTCTTCCGGCATCACTATACAGTGACCCTCGCCGGTGATAGACACCTCTACCATGTCCATAACTCCCAGTTCACACCCGGCAAACCGGATTTAACCTTGCACCAAAGTACTGACGCCAATGGCCCCGTCGCGGGGGTTGTCAAATTCCGACATTTCTCCAACGATGCAGAGATCGGCCTTGGCGACCCAAAACACGGCGCCAAGGAAGTCTTACATCGAGAGGGATTTCTGAAGGCCGCCTATTGGTTCCGCATGGCGGTTACAGGCGGTGTTCAGACCTTCACTTGGAAACGCACCCACTCTCTTGGCTCTGGGTCCGAATGCTATAAACTCGTCGCGGGGAGTACGCAGACTGTGGTGGCTATTTTCTCTGCGGGGTCTTTAATGAAACGAAATGGAAATCTGGATATCTATGCGTCGTTGGGTGAAGCGTTTGATATGATGACCCTGCTGACTGGGATTGCACTGGTTGAAAAATCCCGACGGCAGACAGCCAGTGCAGGAGCTAGTGGAGGTGGAGGTGGAGGTGGAGGAGGCGGTGGAGGAGGTTGTTAGCCGAGGTGTTTCATTCTGTTTTTAAAGCTTAGGCATCGAAATCTGCCCCCTGGTCTGGAGGTTATCAGGTGGAGAAATGACTCGATCGATTCCAAGTTCAGCATCTCGGGGGGCGCGAGGCCCCCGAAACCCCCGAGACATGTTTCACACTAGACAAGCCTTTTTTTTCCCGTTTGATCGACAGGGTTTTATTATGTAATCCTATACAATATCCTGTTGCCTAAGTGAACAAAACTTTCCAGAGCCTCACCTTAACTTCGATTTGACGAAATCTGAACAATGGCCGATTGACATGGCGCTCCGACGACCACATCGGAAATCTCGTCACGGCTGTGTGGAATGCAAGAGACGACGAGTCAAGGTAACACCAAGGACCTGGGTATTCCAAAAAAAAAAACAATCAACTCATTCTCTCATAGTGCGATGAGACCCGGCCCTCATGTACCAACTGCGCCAAGCGCCACGCAGACTGTGAATATGAGTCGGCCACCTCTCTCCTCTGGGCGAATGAAGAGGCCGCCCGCTCGCGCGCCTCGGGCTCAGAGAGCGGCCAGCAGGATCTCGGGACATCCCCCACTTCAATGCCAGGAACCGACTCGCTCGGCCTCCTCAGCCATCTCGCAAGTGCATCGTCACTGCCCAGCCCAGCGCTGAACATCTCCGACCTCGAGCTGATGATGCAGTGGTGCAACGCGACCTACCACACGCTCTCGCGCAACGAGCGCACCGATCCCGTCTGGCGCACTAACGTCCCAGAAGAGGCTCTCTCCCACCCATTTCTCATGCACGGCGTTCTCGCCGTGTCGGCTCTCCACCTCGCCCGGACAGGTCCAGACCCATCCAACCGAGCCTCGTATCTCAACCGCGCAGTCGCTCATCAGAATCAGGCACTGGCGCTGTTCCGCGAGCTCCTCGGCGATGTCAACGAGAACAACGCGAAAGCCATGTTCGCCTTCGCGGGAATCGTCGTTATCTACACGTTCGGGTTCCCGCATACCCCAGACGCGCAGGATGCATGGGCCTGCGTGGACGATCTATACCAGGTTCTGGTCCTGACCCGAGGCGTGCAGCAGGTGATCTATGCGCCGCGCAACTACCGCGATTTCCTGCGAGAGAGCAACTTCGGCCCCATTCTGCAGGTGGATGAAGTCCGCGGCGTGATACCCGATGAAGCGAAAACCGCTTTGCAGCGGCTCTACGATGCGAATGAGGCCTATGCCAGTGCTGATCGGCAGGTTTACCGGCTGACCATTGAGAATCTGGAGGAGATGCTGAGCTGGGTTTATGGCGGGATGAGGGCCAGCACTATCGCCGGGCGCTGGGCGATCCGCCTGCCGGGTCGGTTTATGGAATGTCTACGCGAGCGAGATCCCTTGGCGCTCGTCATGTTGGCGCATTACGGCGTGCTTTTGACTTTTTTGGAGCATCGTTGGTGTTTTGACGAGTGGTGTGTGAGGATTGCCCGGGCTGTGTGGGCGATCTTGGATCCTCAGTGGAGACCTTTGGTTCTTTGGGCGATGAAGGAGATTCTTGGAGTTGATTATCTCGAGCGGCTTTGATTGATTTTACATATACCCAAGCGGTAACTGAGTTACCGATCTTCAAATAAAACTAAACTCCCCCCAAACTCCGATCCCGTTTCCCAAATTCCATGCCCGTTAACTTATACTATAACATCGGCTTCAATCTTGCCCATCCGAACCACAGCCCGTCCCCGGCCAATAAGGTAATTCACCTCACTAGGATGAACAATGACAAAAACAGCCATGAGCATAAACATCAACAACCCATCAAAAACATAAATAAACGCCTCGTGGCTCATCACATAGCCATACGTGCCCTGGATATACTCGACAACACGCACAACAGACCGAATAAGCACCAGAACACTGGACCCCTGCAACGCCCACATATGCTTCCGCCACGGAAACTGGTTCGCAACAGCTCTAGCAGCAGCATCCGCTCGAATGCGAAGCTGGAAGACCAGCGCACTAACGACAAAGAAGCCAAAGAAGATGATTTGAACGAATAGACCGCCGATAATGACGTTCTGGCCTGTGCTCGAGGAAGAAGAAGATCCAGTCACCATGATACCAGCACCTGGGAATGGTTAGCAACTGAGCTCAGGAACCAATGGTAGACAATTTATTGAGAGAGGTATCTTACCAGAAGCCTGCATCAAGAAACTCAACACATCACCCGCGACGAAGATCTTCGTCATCCATGAGACGCGCACTAGCGCTAGTTTCTCGCCTTTGACCATTACCACTATCCGTCCGAGTTCCATGTAGATGCTCGCTGCGAAGAGGGCTGGTGCGATCAGGAGGAGCGTGCTTTGCATGACGAATGGTCCCAGTGTCCAGTTTGGGGATTGTTGGGCTGACATTGCGCGGCCGATGTAGCCTATTAGCTCGACTGGGGGGTTGTTAGTATATGTATATGTATATGTGCTGAGTTTGTAGGTATAGATTTTGAAGAGGCAGTTTTGGGAAGGGTTGATCTTACAGTATCCACCAATGACTAGTGGGATGAAGAACCATGTTCGTGTGCGGAAGAGGTAGAATGTGTGTAGGAGGGTTGTTACTGCGAAGAGGATGATGAAGATCACCGCTGCTGCAATTGAGGGGTTGTATGTATAAGCGATCCAGTCGCTTCTGGAGACCATTTTGATGTGGTGTTGTGTGGTGTTGTGTTGGTACTGGTTGTTGGCTGGTTGTAGGGGGGTTGTAGGCTTGAAGTGTACCCGAGTCAATGGAGATTGAAAGAGTGAGATGAATTGAAGTGAATACAGATGAACCCTAGAGCAGAATGGTTGACACTTATATATCCACTTCCTTCGGAGTTTTCCTAGATATAAAAAGATCGGGTCTAGTGCAAGGCTGGTATACTGTTCGTATACTCGTACTTATATCCCGATTCAGCTAGATCATATCCAACTAGTCCGAATCTGGAACTAAATACGAGGATACGAATCTCACATTTTCTTTTCGCCTGTTGTACGCGTCCGTTTCAGCTTTTACATGTAAGTGGGTATTCTAATCTTAAGATTTCGGCCCTAGGATTTAAAATAGGCTTGGCACGGCTGTAATTGGATGGTTGTTTGCATGCAAGTACCGGGTAGGCAGCAGTCTGCAGGGTCCAACTACAGTATATATCGCAATTAATCTACCGGAGATTCAAGCTTCACACAACCAGCCCATGTTCAAATATTCCCATCTATGACTAACTATAACTATAACTTCGCCACCTCCCCATTCTCCAAAACATATCGAAACCTCGCCTTCCCCTCATGCATATCCTCCAAAGCCCGATTAACATCCCTCATAGGCCTTCTCTCAACCCAAGGCACAACCCCCTTAGCCGCCGCCAAAGCCAACATATCACGAACATCACCCGGCGACCCAATATTCGACCCAGTAACCTTAACCCCCTTAGAAATAAGCGACCAAGCCATAAGCGGCGGCAAAGCCTCCTCTGGAGCTCCAACTTGCACGAAAACCCCATCCCGCTTAAGCAGCCTCAAATACCCCGCCAAAGGCATATCATGCGCCGAGACCGTACAAAGCAACACATCAATCTTCCTCGACCAAGCCCTCTCCCACCCCTTCTCCTCCCCAGTCGCAATGAACCCGCCGGCACCCAACTTCCCCGCCTCAACCATCTTAGACCTCGACCTCGAAATGCCCACAACAGAGTCCGCCCCAAGCGCCCTGGCAAACTGAATCCCCAAATGCCCCAGCCCCCCAATCCCAATAACGCCCACCGTCTTCCCAGGCCCAACGCCGTACTTCCTCAACGGCGCATAAACCGTCACGCCGGCACACAGCAACGGCGCAGCCAGATGGCTGGGCAGCGCATCCGGGATCCGGAACACGAAATGCGCCGGCCCGCGCCACGCCTCCCCGAACCCGCCGTAGGACTTGCTGCGCGCGCTGTCGAGATACCGCCCGTTGTAGGTGCCCGTCATGCGCGCGCAGTAGCTTTCTTGGCCGGCGGCGCAGGCTTCGCAGTCCGCTTTGAGGCAGCTGCTGCTTTGCGCGCCGATGCCGACGCGCTCGCCGATCTGGATGTCTCGGATTGAGGGGTTCGTCGGGTGTGTAGGCACTTGGGTGCCGATGCGTCGTACTAGTCCGATTATTTCGTGGCCTGCTACGCAGGGATAGTCGGTGGGGCCCCAGCCGGAGGATAGGGTGTGGATGTCTGTGCCGCAGATTCCGCAGTGGGTAATGGTTATTTCGATATCGGTTGGTTCGAAGGGTTTGGGGGTGTAGGTTGTGTAGGTTAGAGGTGTTTTGGCCGAGGTTGAAACCCAGCCTTTGAATGTGTCGGGCATTTTTGGGTGGGAGTGTGTAAAATGTAAACTGGATGGTAGAATAATTGGAGAGGTAGTATGTGCTTTGGTAGGTTTATGGTAAAGAAAAGAGGTTGTGAAGAAGAGTTAGGTTTACACGATTAAGAAGCTTCAAGCGTGCGGAGACAAAAAAGTTACCGAGGTTGAGCTTAACTCCGACTCCACTAAATGAAAATATGTACAGTATGGGGGTATCATTACCGGGCTACGCCCATCAGATCATCGAGCTCGTCAGTGGTGAGGGTACTTCGTCGCCGGTTCGCCGGTCGGGCTTTTTCTGGACGACTCCTCTTTCGTGATTCGCGCTCTTTTCGTTCATTTTGAGCTGCGCGGGCTTCGTCTTCGACCGCCGCTAGCTTTTGAGAAACACTCAATTGTTCTTCGTTGGCGGGCTGTACGAAATTAGTCCTGGGAATCTCAAAGGGGGTTCTGTTTGCATACTTGATGTGTGTCTTTCGTTTCGGTCTTTCGCCTTGAGGACCTCTGCGTCACGGAAGACTCGGGCTTGTATGCCTTGATCGGCAAGGTGTCGTCTCCTGGGGTCGAGATAGCTGGTGAGCCTTGTAGACCGGGTGTGAAAGAGACTTTTCGGGCACGCTTGGTCATGGCATTTTCACTCCGCTCCCTCAAGGCTCGGTCTGGTCGCTCGGGTACTTTGCGAATCTTGGACCTAGTCTTTGGTGGTTGGGGCATTTCGGGCTCCGGTGCTCTGTCCGAATTGCTGTCTTCCTCGTCCTGGTCTTCCAGGATTGTCGGAATGGGGTTGGACTCCTGCATACTGTCCTCGTTTGAGTTGATACTGAGATCAAGGTTCATGCCACGCTTCAATTCTTCTGCCTGGATCGAGTCTCCTCCATCTGTGAGGCGACGCTGCCAGCCGCCCATCATGGTCACGGCCTGTTTCCAGCGGCTTTCCATCTTGACCCAGCCTTCCCTCAGTCGCTTGATCTCCTCATCTCTCGTCTCAACTTCTTCAAGAGGAACGAAAGAGGGGTTAGTAAGAAGTGTCCGTAGATGATCCAACACGGTTTCCATTTGAGTAGACAGCTCTTCGCAGGAAGTCGGAAGCGAAGTAACTGGCCCCGGCTTATTCGGTCCTACACTTGCAGCCATGCCCCCCTGCTCATTCTCACTCTTCCCATGGTCCGGCTGCGGAATGCCTTGTAAATCCTTCAGAGTATGGACAGTGCTCCGCGCAAGCTCAATCAGTGTATCGTTCTCATCGCTGAGGTTCTGACACAGCTCAGTCAAAAAGTCGGTCGTTTCCTGTTTCAAGCTGTACCCGGGATCATTGACTCGATCTCCTCCGCTAGCTCCGAGTCGCGATCGATCGGCTGCAGGGTTGATGTTGATTGTGGTGACAGTCAGACCCTCGCGCTTTCCCCTTCGTCTCTCGTCCAAGTGGGATTTCAGCCTCTGCATTTCCAGATCTCGTTTGCGAATATCATTGGCGCATTGTGCGCGCACTTGCTGAACTGTACTCTTCATGCGTTGGACCTGTTCTTTGAATCCTCGGATCGTAGATTCGACGCTGGAAAGGTTGGACTTCAGTGATCGTTCTTGCGCCTCTGTAAGCGCTAGCGAGCGCGTTAACTCTGCAGATTTTGTTTTGAGCTTTCCCTATGAGTAGACAAGCATTAGCCCTGGCCAGTACACAAGAAGAATTGTGCGCCTACAATCTCCATCGTTTGCTCCGCCTCGGTCGCTTGCAACGTGCGAATAGTACTGGATAAACTCTCGCGGTGCTCAGCTTCACGCTAGAATCTGTCAGTTACCATATCGCTGCATGAAGCGCATCGTACGCACGTCTCTCCTCAGCACCAGATCATTCACCAGGTTGATCACCCGGGCCATGGTACCATCCGTCCCTCCCTCTTCATTTTCCGGATCGGCAAAGTCAATCGGCTGGCCACCTTTCAGTAGGCCCCGAGCCAGCAGGATGTTGTTGACATATGTGGAGGCAGCCTCCAGATTGTGCTCCATTTTGGCGTCGGAGCATTTAACGAGATGATACCGAATGAGGAAGAAAGTAAACACGGCAGCTACAGGGTGGGCGGTGGACCAAAGACGCAATTTGGATTATTCTGCCCGTCTGCCTGAATTTGAGGGCAACAATAGCTTGGCAACCTGCTCAAGTTGAAAGATTCGGGAATACTTGACCGTTGAAGAAAGACTTCACTGAACAATATGTCTTGGTTCACATATCACGTGTGAAGAAGACCTAAACCGAGAGCTCTCTGAGGCTCCAAGACGCTTTTGGCTGGATTCCGCTTTAGTTAACGTTATCTCTTTTATCTCACTCGCCCCACAACTTCACTTTAGCACATCTACTCTATTTCACGATGACCGCAGAAGCCCCCAAAGGGCAAAGGGTTGACGCAAATAAAATCGACCAGGAGAAGGTTAAGTCTCTGAAATGTGCCGGCCAGAAGGCATTCAAAGCCGGTGAATTTGAAAGCGCCGTCAACTCCTTCACACAGGTACGCCCTAGCTTACCCACTTCGAACTAGCCGATAACACCTCAATTAGGCATTGGCCGAGAAAAAGGATGACATTGCATTGCTGGATAATCGCTGTGCCGCCTATGGGAAGCTGAAACAGTACAGCCTGGCTCGCAACGATGCTAGAGTCATGGTGAAACTGGCACCGACTGATGAACGTGTAAGTTGCTCAGTCTTCTTCTGTGATGTACTTGTATTCTTACAATTCTCAGGGTTATCTTCGTCTGGGCCAGAGCTTATGGCTAGAGGGTAACCTCGTGAAGGCGGTTGCTATTTACGAATATGCCCTGACGAAGCTCGCGGAGGATAATCGAGGCCTCAAGGTATGTTTACATCTCATGCAGCTCAAATCGCATCACCCACTTTTCTTTTTGGCATTTCCATCAGAAAATTTGCATTCCTTGCTAATTAATCTACATAGGCTATCAACCATATGCTTAAGAAAGCGCAAGACCAACTTGCTGGAGGAAACCGACGCGACCCATTCACGGTGTTGCCATTAGAGCTTGCAGAAGACATTCTCAAGAGCCTCACTTTCAAGGAAATTGTGTAAGTTCCCATCTTTCATTTCTCCTTCATCAGCTCATGTTAAACAGAGGAATTTTACGCGTCTGCAAAGGATGGAACCAATTTCTGAGGGGAATCCCGAGCCTCTGGATGGATGTCAACCTAACAGGTGCACAAAAACGCGTCCCTTGGACGTCAATTAGAAACTATATCCACCAATCCAGGGTGGCGCTCACTCATGCGAACATTCAAAATATTGTGCCGGCCGCTACTCCAAAAGTTCTCGACATGTTGAGCAGATGCCCTCACTTGGCACATCTACAATTGCATGCTTCTCATGAGAATCCATCGGAATTCTACGCCAAAATAAGAAATTTTAAACGCTTGAAGACCCTTGTCTGTGATATTAGACTCTCTCACACATGCGTGGGAGGAATTCTATCAGGTCTTCCACTGCTTGAAAAGGCGGGTTTTCATGATATTTGGGAGTCCAGCCAGGATGGCACCGCAGTCTGGCCGAAGTATCTCCCGAACTTGAAAAGCCTCTTTATTGGCTCCAAATATAGGGGTGCCAGTTATATCCCATTCCTCAATTCGAGCGTGATTCCAGGGCTCTGCTCGGTGAGATTATGTACTTTGATAATGTCCATGCCCGTGCTTACCAGATCTTAGGAAACACAACCCACTTATCCCAACCTGGAGGAACTTCAAATTGAGTGGGAACCGGTCAGATCAAACTCGTTTGTTTTTAACACCGTACAAGATGCGGAAACTCTGCCCCCGCTTCGTGAGCTGGTCCTTCACGGCGCGCGAGTTCGACCCAACTTTTACGCCAAGCTCCCCAAGTCCATTGAATCCCTGCGGTACTACGGGGGCTCAGTAGAAAGTGATCTTCCGAACCGGAATGAAATGGATATCGCCGACAACGAGCTTCTCAACTTGAAAGACCTCATTTTCGAGAATACACCCTGGGTCACCGTGAGAAATCTAAGACTTTTCACGTGGGCCTCCAACGCTCCCATTGAAACCCTTCATGTCAACTACTGCCACAATATCAACGCCGATGATCTGATCTCCAATTTCATCGACGACCATTCGGATAACAACCCGCGGTTGCGCAAAATGACCAATCTGGGCGTCGCCGGCATATCGGGTATCGATGATACGAGTGTCCGACAGATCTGCACTGCACTTCCAGATCTGAAAATCCTCGAATTATCAGAGACCAGTATCACTGGCTGTACTATTCGCATGTTGGCAGATGCCAAGAATGACGATTCTGCTATGGCGAATCTCACTGGGTTGATTATCAAACGCTGTGACGACGTTACTAATGATGCCATTGACTATGGACGGGATAAGGGTCTTGTGATAATTAATTGATAAACTCACTTTAGCATTAAGGGTCGGGATTATGGGACTGGGGTTATGAGATTGAGATCAATCTGATTAGCTGGGTTTGGGATATGCAATAATAATAGTGTGATCCATTAAATTGTTAGCACGCGGACACAACGATGCGGGAATTAAACTGACTATTATCTTATCTTGACTTCTTACTCTGACTTAATCATAGCCGAAGTCCTTGGTGATCGCATGTCTGGCGGACAACGTACTCCCAAGTCAACAACCCTTCCGCATAAACGAACAGGAAGTTCCCCATATTGAAACTGGTTTCATGGAGTGGTGTCGGATGATGTGTTGATAAAGCCTGCTTCATTCCCGAAGAGCGTCGCTCTTTTCTAGCAACTGTCTGCATTAACCATTTGAGCGCCCTATACACCGGCGCGGTCTATAGTAAGTTCAAAATTCGCAATGTCCAGCGATTTCAACGGGGGAGCTACCCTCCACTTGGGCAGTCGCGTAACGGAGGCTGTGTAAGGCCTATGTACGTCAGGACGTAGGGACGAGGAAGAACGTAATATCTTATTCTGAGCCTGCCTGCGCAGCCACGCTGACAGGGTGGATCAGTTTTGCCATTCGTACAGTGGACCACGATAAAATCCGTGACCTGCATGATGTCGGTCGAGACATATAGGCCCTCCACATTATTTTGGGTCATTCGAGAAGCAGTGACACGCTCAATACCGAAGATGTCGAAGACATTCATTCTCGCGATAGCCCTGATCGGACTGGAGACCTTCCGGGGTCTAGTTGGATTTGTACCTTTTCTTTGCGATGCGTCCGCACAACCGTGTAGTATGTATAACGGTGTCCTGAAGATTAATATGCACGTTTGCTCGTGTGGTCTCTGCTCGAGGATCCTGCGGAGCGTGTCTCGTGGAAATCTAGGAATCATATGTCTGCCTTCTCTCTGATCGTCGAAAGGTTTCCACCGGCTGAATCACTTGGTTGGCTTGTTCAGTGCTCGGATCACGAAACTGAGTAGCTCGATCCTGGACCTCTGTCGAATCATCGTAGGTTCTCTGTTCGGCTTCAAGTGCTAAAAAGGTTCCTCCAAGAATTTGATGCTGCCAATAAATTCGTCTTGTTTAGCGTCTTTTAAGTAGTATATTTTGTATCAAATGTTACTCCTTAACACTGCACCAAACTCTTGTCATTTGAATGCATCAGATAAGTCACCAATCTTCGCCTATTGTGTATGTAGCAGCTCACATAAAAATCGACTTTTGCCATGGTCAATGCGCACTAAGGGTACATGAGTCTGCTAGCAGTCCCTTAACTATATCATGTACCCCGAGTGTATACAGCAGGTGTCAAAAATCTCTTTCTACTTCAGGTAAAATGTGATAAAGCTGGATGTAAACTTTATTTTAACGGAATGAGCCTAGGGACGTGAGATACATAAACTTTGATGATTCATCTAATGCACGAAGATACCAATGATTTGGTGCAATGTTGATAGTAAACTTGGATGTAAAGAATAACACTAGAAAGCTCTCAAGTTTGACTAGTTCATTAGTGGCATCAAATGGTGGCGGCTTTTGAGTCCTGCCATATTTCATATCCAAATCTACTCCTACCATGGCATCAAATTCTTCATATCTTCATGAATCAAATAAATCATCAGCTCTGGACACCGGAAGAGCAGAATAAGAGGTTTTAACCTCAATGACTCATGGCTATTTGACCGGTCCCCGGCTGAAGCAACACCATGCTTAGATTCGAAGCTCGGTCCGACGTTTCTTGCCAGGCAAATTGGAACGGCTTTGTTCACACATGAAATAAGAGGCCATCTACTTCTTCACGTTCGTCACTGTTGTCTTCGCATTCTCAGCCGCGGCCTGTTCCTCCACAGCATGGGAAAATGCGCACCGGGAACCAGTAGTAGCGGCTGCGCGATTCGCTGGGGAGGTATAAGCGCAAGCCTCCAGATACAGATCGAGGATGACATTCGAAATGAGCAAGTTCGCACATTTGCGATTGCGCTCCGTGCAATCATCGCAGCGACGAAGGGCCTTTCTATTCAGATCAGGTGACGACACACTTGCGGCAAACCTCAAATTGTGTAGGTTCAGGTATGCGAGACAAAGCGAAGTCGCCGCATGGCTAAGCCCACTGACGCCAGTCGTCTCTTGGGGAATGTGATTGCCTTTACTGCAACCGGCCAGGCGGCAAGTCTACTCGTCTCTTCTTATTGTTCAGATGTCGCAGCTAACAGGATGATAAATAGGTCGGCACTGTTAGGTTTTGCATCCCCTGAAGTCCTTGTTCGGGACATATGGGTTTCGAATCTCAGCTGGTTGGCAACTTCACTGCTGTAAGGCTTACGCGCTTGCGACGTATGAAGAAGATGCTCTATTCGACTGAGCTCTGATTCCGGCTGTATACCGTGCAAAAGTCTGCCTACACTTTGGTTGTTAATTCAATCTGGTCAATTCTTTGGATGTGAATATGAAAATTATTTGTTTATTGGTTGATAATATGCTTCCAAATGATCTAGTCAAGTTCTAGCATCAATACTTAGTGTACCAGCCGAATAACATCACGAAAGAGGTCCAAATCCGACTCAGGCTTTCCATGCTGGACAAGCTGTGGATAAAGTCCAAAAAGCTTGCATTTCAATAAGAAGCAGGCCATGAGAAATTAAAAAAAAACATACAACAGTAAGGATTCGCTAGTGGTCACCCACCTAACTACTAACTTACCGGCGTGTGGCTTAAGTACGGCTGAGCGGACGGGAAGCCCTGTTCTCCACACCCTGTGGTCGTATGTGCTTGGTTCAATGCTAAAGCGAAATATATAGAATCGATTGTAGTGCCAGTTGGCTATAGAATGGTTGAGAATCAGCCAAGTCGCGCGACCACTGAACTAACCCCTTTAGCAGACCCAAAGCAGAATGCCCTTGAATTATAACCCTATACCTAAAACACTCGATATCTTGGCATTTGTATATATCTTTAACCTTATAATTTGCCTCGACCGCCTCACATTGTCAGTTGAATCAAACTAATATTACAGTTTTGGGCGTGAGTATCAGGTCGTCACTATTTTACAAGATTCTGATTATATCTACCCACCAGGCCTTATTTAGGCTTAGTCCATTTGAGTGTATTGATAGCCGGAAAGCGAGGTAACTCATTCTAGAAAGTAGGCTTCAAGCGCTAACTGATCTTACGGTACTCGAAACTTCAGATTCACATGAAAGCATTATGGTCGATGATCACATTGATCAATTTACTAGAATCGAGCATCTTCATGGTGTCTATAGATAGTCTGTATTGTCTAATCCCCGGTCTATGGATACTATAATCACATCCAAAATGATTAATATGTTGGCAACTGGCTCTGTGTAACGACCCATTCCATTGCCGTCAAAATCTGGCGCAGTTCTGATCCTTCGCGCGGAATATCATGCCCAACGGTATGTTCCAAAACTCTCTGCTTTCCGGAGTTGCAGAATGATTGAATTAACATACTAGTATCTTGGATTGCAGAGAAATCATTCTTTCCACGTATATGGAGAGCAGGAATAGGTAAACGCGCTGTGCATAGCTCTGGGTGCAACACGCAGGGGATTTTGGACAACGGATGATCCAAGTAGAAACTGCGTGGCTCGCGTGTAATGGACACGGTCGAGTCAAGCAAATTCACCAAAGTGGATATAGCAGACCGGGCTGGCTCTGAGAGCTGCGCAATCTGATCGTCTTCACTAGAGTGGATCCGTGCTTCATCTTTGGGATCGAGAGAGCCAAAGAGTTCTTGCAAGTAGTCCGAATTATCCGAGAGAGGTATAGTAGGGGAGAAAAGGACCATGAACTGAAAAGGGAGTGGCTCGTCTGGTTCTGTGATTGCGTACTCAATCAAGTAGCCGGCGATGATCGCTGCACCCTGGCTGAAACCCAGGACTCCGTCGAATGGACCATGTTCGATTATTGTTTTCTCTAAAAGGGCATATGATGCGCCTATACTCTCGGGGTCAAAGTTGCGAGCGTAGCAGAAATACGGTGCAGGGAAAATGGTTTCGATGCCTTCACAGTCCAGGATTCTTGGTTAATATCGATTCATGAATCGAGGAGACATCGACAAGAATTGGCCTACCTGGGGCAGGAGGACAGGTCACCTCGCCAGACAAATAATGAAACTCCCAGCTCACGTCGGCTTGCTTTTTCAATCCTGACAATTGATATTGCATCACCTCCGGATTGGTTCCGTACCCATGAAGACAAAGGACCTTCATGATATGATGTAGATGATAGATTAATTTAAAACAAGGCAAAAAACGGGCGAAGAAAGAAATTCATCTATTTCGAAGTGCTGGAAACAGATGCGACAGCTACCTTTCTATGAAGATTTTCCGTCATACCATCTACAGAAAGCTGAGGTGTCGAGGCCGCGCATCAAGGACGCCTCTACATGCTCACGAGAGGTACTGTACAAGTTACACCAATGACGTATGAAGAGTATTACACGACAGAAAATACCCTGCATCATTGATAAGGTGGACAAATGACAATCGAGCATTTTTGAAGTGCATTGTGCTGATCGGAACGTGCCTGAACGCGGTGTAGCTTTGTATTATTCTTCAACCCGCGCTAGACGAGCCGCAGATCGGAAATCAAGTATGCGGGCGTATATGTATCATCCAGGATGTATCCACCTCCTTGGAACAGACCGAGGGCTTTGAGAGTAGAAAGGATTCTGCTATGTCTCATCTGCCTACTATGCATTCATACCTAAGTGGATATCTGCAGATAGCCCTATTGCGCAGTACCCTCGCATACTGTGCAACATGCCATGTATCCACACAACATGAACATCATGTATTTTGTCCTACTGAGGAACTTCCAAATCCTATCAAATGATTCTATTGTAGCGGTTATATGCATAGGTCTCCCGAAATAGCTTTACTCGGCTTCAACACGATACACCAGTTTGTATGCTCGGACTTTGCCACTCCGAAGTAAATCAAGCCCCTTGGGAATGCCGGCCAACCCACCTGATTGTAACTTGAAGGGATGCGGACGGATTTGGTTCGCATGAAGTACCGATTCAACAACCTTTGTCCATTGCGCTGCGTATGCGAAATTGTCTGGTTTCCCATCAACAGTTTTACCGCGCATCTGATAACGATCACCGATCATTCCATATGCCATGGAAACTTCGGTGTCGACATCCGAGCGGGGACATCTAACATCCAATAGCGCGTTGTAGCTACCCCCGGCCGAAGAGATAGCGTCCGCGCAGAGACCTGCAGATGAAGTTGTCGAGACAGTATCGAATGCAATCTCGAGTGCATCATCTGTGGCTTCTCTGATCTGGTCGCCTGCATTTGTATCGTGATAATTGAACACCATATCGGCGCCTCGGTTACAGACGAATGGTCGATTTGCGTCCGAGCATGTCGTAATGACCTGTAGGCCGGAGAGCTTTGCGAATTGGATTGCCAAAGATCCGGTAGCTGTAGCCCCACCATTGATGAGAATGCTGTCTGATGAAGAGTCCGTCTCGTGCGAGGTCAAGTTTTCTTCCTGGGTTGGCATGGGCAGCTGCAACGACTGGTAGAGATTTTGTCCAATCGTCATCAGTCCCACGCCTAGTGTGGCAGCTTCTTCGAAGGACATGAAATCCGGAATCCGCAGTTGCAGATCTCCCTTTGCCACAATGTAATCTGCGAATGCACCTCCTCGGGGCTGAAGGAGGTTACATCCATGAACAAAGCCTGCAACTCTATCGCCTTTCTTCCAGGCTTTGGACACCATTGGGCCCACATTTTCCACCACTCCGGCGTAATCACAGCCCACGGTGCAGCCGGTGCAGTCTTCAAGATAGACATGTTTCCAGTCGGTGGGGTTCAATGCCACTATTTCTGGTCAGATCGAGAACTGACCGTGGAGAGTACCTGAGCTAACCAGCCTTGTTCTGGACCAGGATATACCCATCTGGGATATCTGGTACGGGGACATCTTGAAGCAACATGTTGCCTTTAGATTCGACGATGATAGCACGTGAAGTAGACATGACTTGATTGGTGTATATTAGAAGAATATTATCTTGAATCAGATTTGACGGTGAGTTCAGAGGGAGCACTATTGCCAGAGGCTTCAATTTATGCTCGATATCCTTGATCTGCAATGATCTGCTTTGGGAATTATTGCAAGGACTATGACTCAATGAGTGATTTCCATCTACTGGAAGCACATAGAATGCACCAATCTTACCTTCATTGCCACCGGTTGAAGCAAGATGTTGACCCAGATAAACCGAGTGCAGTAGCAGAACATATGCTATGCAGCTGCCGTGAAATATCTGCTGTGCCACCGGCTATTCTCCATTCTATCGGCCAATTTATGGAATTATAACCTGTTATGACGATGTTTATCTAACCGGAGAGCGTTGATTCCAGTTACACTTGATCCAATAGACAACAATAGGGCTTACCATGCGCGACTGAATTATGCAATGGTCTTGGGTATAAGACCTCGAACGACACTCGAAAAAAATAACCCAATATCGTCAATCCGATATTATCAAATATATAACACTATCAGATAGAGAAGCCAATATGTCTATCGGAGAAGAAGAGAAGCAAGGCAATGCGTCAGAGCCCATTGCTGTGGTTGGGATGAGTTGTCGCTTCTCTGGAGAAGCCAACTCAGTTGAAGGATTTTGGGAAATGTTACGCCATGGAAGAGTTGGCCATGGACGGGTTCCCTCAAGTCGATATGAAGCATCTGGCTGGCACCATCCTAACCATGAACGACAAGGCGCCGTATGTTTCCCGCAATACTCAATTTGAATGCCAACGTGGTCGATGTGATTTGTCTAATCATCAGACTATCTAGATCAATCATGACAGTGGTTTCTTTCTAGAAGAGGACCCGTCACGCTTTGATGCGCCGTTCTTTTCTATCACAGCCAAGGAAGCCGCGGGTATGGACCCAGTACAGCGTCTTCTGTTGGAGATAGCCTATGAGGCGTTTGAGAATGGTGAGTTGTGATAATTACTAACCTTTCTTTGGCTCATCCTTTGGGAAATGACTAATCGAATAATATTACAGGAGGTGTGCCCATGGAGGATCTCGTAGGCAGTCGCACAGCTGTGTTTTCTGGATGCATGACCAACGATTACGAACTACTATCAACAAGTGATATTCATGATATGCCGCATAACTCTGCCACCGGAAATGGCAGAACCATGTTGGCCAACCGACTTTCGTGGTTCTTTGATCTTCGCGGTCCAAGTGTGATGCTGGACACGGCCTGTTCTTCTAGCTTGACTGCTGCCCATCTCGCTTGCCAGGCGCTCCGGGCAGGAGAATGTGACAAAGTAAGATTTTTCTGCGTTGTTATTTGGTTCTTGGATTTATGGAAGACCTCTCGTGGCTAATACGATGCGCAAATCGAAGGCTTTAATCACAGGTGCAAGTCTGATCTTGTCCCCGAACTTCACTCAGCGACTTTCATATATGCATATGCTGAGTAAAGACGGTATCAGTCATTCGTTTGATGCCAAGGCAAATGGTTACGGACGAGGTGAGGGAGTAGGAGCTGTACTACTAAAGCCCCTCAGCGCGGCTATCGCAGACAACGATGTCATTCGAGCTGTGATTCGAGGAACTGGCACAAATCAGGACGGGCGAACGCCTGGTATTACCATGCCCAGTCGGAAATCGCAAGCAGATCTTATCAGAACGGTCTATGGTCCCAATCTATCATCAATGCGAGAGACGACGTACTTCGAAGCTCATGGGACCGGGACTGAAATTGGGGTATGTATCGTTGAAGACGACTCCGGTTGATTCCTTGAGAAGAGAGAGTACACATACTTATATAATGTGGTGATAGGACCCGACTGAGCTTTCGGCTATAGGCGATACATTTGGAGCTTTACTGACCGATACCGATGAACCTCTCCTTGTTGGCTCCGTGAAGAGCAATATCGGACATACTGAGGGAGCAGCAGGAGTGGCAAGTATCATCAAGGCAGTGCTCTGCTTGGAGAATGGCATGCTGGTGCCCAACGCAGGATTTGAGAAGATCAACCCACGAATCCATCTCGACAAATGGCGCATGCGACTTAGTGATGCGGCTGTGCCGTGGCCCTCAAATCGCCCCCAGCGTGCCAGTATCAATTCCTTTGGGTTCGGCGGCAGTAATGCCCATATTGTTATAGAGAGCCTTTCCACTCACTTGGGCCGTTCCTTAGCACCAGTCGCTAGAGAAGTCGAGCCCACTCCGCATGTGGTTGTCTTTTCCACACAAGACAAGCCGGGTCTAGCACGACTGGCTCTAAAATGGATCTCGTTTTTGAAGGCAAAAATAGCAACAGGTCAGGATATGTCTTTGAGGGACATTTCTTATTCCATGAGCTCACGTCGCTCGTTACTGCCTTTCCGAAGTTTTGCCGTCGCTAGTTCTCTTCAAGGGCTGTGCGATGCATTAGAACAAGACCTTCCACTTTATCCTCGTGCTAGTCGCACTGCCCCTGCAAATTTGGCTTTTGTTTTCACTGGCCAGGGAGCCCAGTGGGCCCAAATGGGAATCCAACTGCTTCAAGTTCCGGTATTCAAAGAAAGCATGGCACGCAGTCAAAAGATCTTGTCAAGCCTGAACTGCCCGTGGAATCTGGTTGATGAATTGCAGGCCGACAAAGCAGCCTCTAACATGAGCCAGCCTGACAGGAGTCAATCGATTTGCTGCGCTTTGCAGATTGCGTTGGTTGATCTTCTCGCCAGCTGGGGGGTTCACCCTAAAGCGACCATAGGACATTCCAGTGGTGAAATTGGCGCGGCATACGCAGCAAGATTTATCACGCATAGTGATGCTATTCAAATCGCATACTTCCGAGGAGTCTATTCACTTCAGCTTTCTCAGAGTGAGCGAAAGGGCGCCATGATGGCAGTTGGACTGGCGGCTTCGGATGCTCAGAAATATCTCGAGACTGTTCCTCCTGATAGCGCTGTTGTGGCATGTGTTAATAGCCCCACGAGTGTTACCCTGTCGGGTGATGCGGATATTATCGAACAACTAGAGAGCCAGCTCAAGGCAGATGGTTCCTTTGCTCGAAGACTGCAGGTTCATACGGCTTATCATTCTCCGCATATGCGTGTATTAGCCGACCAGTACGCGAAATCTTTGGAGGGTATCTCTCCTACCAGTGACCCTAAGAGCAACGTGACTATGTTCTCTTCTGTGACCAAGAAGCAGCTGCACGCGGAAGACATAACACCGGAGTACTGGGTAAGCAACATGGTTTCTCCTGTGGAGTTTTCCGCTGCAGTGTCCCAGCTAGCTCGAATGACGGAGGCGGGAAAGACTCGACGCCGTGCGGTGGCAGTCAAATGGAGTGCTTTCCTAGAGATTGGTCCACACGAAGCACTGAAAGGACCATTTAATCAGACATTGCAGTCTCTTGGTGCCGGCGGAACCCTCACTGCCTTGCCATATCAGTCCTTGGTGAAACGAGGCACAGACGCGCTGCAGACCTCTCTACAGGCCGCAGGCATGCTCTGGAGCATTGGTTCAACGATTGATATGGAAGCAGTCAACTCCAGTCTCAACCTGATGACGCCAAAACTTCAACGCAACCTGCCGTCGTATCCCTGGAACCACCAATCCTCTTTCTGGCACGAGCCACTGGCATCAGCTCGGCTTCGTCAGCGCAAAGAGCCTCGTCATGATTTGCTGGGAGTTCCATTCGATTACCAGAACGATATAGAGCCACGGTGGCGCAACTTTTTGCGAGTGTCTGAGACCCCCTGGCTGTCTGATCACGTTGTTGCTGGATCCATTGTCTTACCAGCTGCCGGGATGATCGCCATGGTAGCCGAAGCGGCACGTCAACTGTCGGACCCGAAGAAGCTGATGGAGGGAATTGAGTTCAACGATATCGCATTCAAGCAAGGTGTCGTGGTTCCTGACAATGACCGCGGTCTAGAGACTGTTGTACATGTATCTCCCCATCGAGGCGTTCCAGGATGGTACCAATTCGGTATTTTTTCGCTACCAGACGGAGCGTCTTGGATTGAACATGCCACTGGATCTTTTGTGATGCACTATGATGACTTAGGTGTGCCTTTGGATGGAAAAGAATGGCAGCGTGTTGTCGAGCGCGTGCAAAACACGCAAGCTATCGCATCAAGCGCTGAAATCGAAGATGTTTACAATTGGCTGTCTCAGACAGGCGGCGTTACATTGGGACCTACCTTCCGATCAATTGCAGATGCTGCTTTCTGCGACGATACTCGTTTGTTGATCAAGGGTGTCGTACAAGATACCCAGAGCATCATGCCATACGAGAAAGAATCTCAATGCTTCATGCATCCAACTGCACTTGATGCTCTTCTTCAGGCTGCCGTTCTGTCGTGTTCAGAAGCACTTGGAAACAATAATGCCAATATCCCCATTGGTGTCGCGAGACTGTATCTTCCAACCGACTTGACTCTGAAGCAAGGGGATACATTTGCCATTCATACAGAGACCCACTCGCAAGATGGTGTATCTCGATCGACTTCGATAGCATCGGATCCATCTTGGTTGCAGCCGCATGTTGTTCTTCAAGGTATTCAGCTTGGCCGTGTACCTATGAGCAAAAAGACTACCGACCAGACTGGCTTGGGTTCCGGTATCAGCCGATTTTCTTCCCTTTCCTGGGTAGAACATCTTGAAAATCCAGTTTGGCGTACTCTAGCGGCCGAGTCCCATCATGATGCGTTAGAACAGTGGATACGGCGCTTCTGCAACATATATGGCGATGCTCGAGTTCTTGTCATTATAGCAGCTGAGCCTGACAGCTCACTGCTATCGCGTTTGCAGTCATTTGCGCCTCATGTTCAACAGCGACCGCGCCTACAGGAGCTGACTTTTGCTCATGTTGGTCCTGACGATATAAGCGAAAGCGATAGCGCGAACATCCAACAGCTGTTCCCTGGTTCTATAATGCACCATGTCACTTCAATCAATGAGCTTACCCCAGAAATTCTCGGTGAGAACCTCTATGACGCAGTGCTGGTGAACCAAGCAAATGCGAAGACTGCATTAGATACCAGCGCTCTTCTTGAATCTCTTGAATCTGTCACCGAACCAGATGGATGGTTGGCTATTCGAGCACATGCTGGCGAAATGGATCCAGTAGACTGTATCCAGCGCTCACAGCAGTGGAACGCAAGAGATACCATTCACGTTGGGGATTACGCTCTTGCCCAACGAACAGCCACAGCCGCCAAGGTTGATTCCACTGTGTATCTACTTACGACAAGCCTCGATGTGGTGAAAACCCCTTTGCAAGCCATTCTTGAGCAGGAGTTATCTGCGTTGGGCGTGACAGCATCTCCCATCAGCCTGGAGGACATGAGCGATCTTTCCGGCAAGACAGTCATTTCTTTGATCGAGTTCAACAATTCTTGGGTGACTGAATGGTCTGCCGAAAGCTTGTCGCAATTCCGCTCACTGTTGCAGGCGAAATGTGTTCTGTGGGTCTCTCCAATTCCTAAAGAGGTTGAGAATGCACACTCAGCGGGTGGGTTTGGTGCTACTACAGGTATTCTTCGCACTTTGCGGAATGAGAAACCTGGTATTAGACTACCACAACTGCAATTCAACCCTGCTGATGCGAACGGTGAAAGTGGTCTGGCACAGAGCATCTTGCAGGTGTTACAGCTCACACTTTCCGGTGTCTCTCGTCGCAATGTGGAACTTGAGTACCGTTTAGTGAATGGTTGCCTGCTAGTTCCCCGGGTAAAGGCTACGGAGTTGGTAGACGAGGGAATGCACACCATGGTTCATGGCCCACGACCCGCACTTTCATCTCTTCCTGAGGACTCACGCGCGCTACTCTTCCAGGTCGATTCTCAAGACTCCCGGAGTGGTCATTGGGTGGAGCACTCTGGCTTCAGAGCTCCACTGCCAGAAGATCAGGTCGAGGTTGAGTTGCAACTGCAGACTATCAGGGCGCCTGGGACTTTATCTAGTAGCATGCCCGAGGCTCAAATCTCAGCATTCGAAGCCGTCGGCATTGTTCGTGAGCTCGGCTCAGAAATTGATGGTCACCTTGCGATTGGAGACACTGTCGTGTTGCTAGCACCCAGCCCGGGAACAATGGCGGGCATGTCGACTCGGGTGAGGTTACCACCTTCGTCCATGGTTAGGTTGCCAGTCAACCTATCTCCGACGCAGGCGGTAACCATGCCCATTGCATACACGCTCGCATATGCCAGCTTGTTTGATGCTGCACGCCTCGGCCCTAACTCATCAGTGCTTATTGTCGGGCCGGTCAGCCAAACCCTACAGGCTCTTATCAATTGCGCCCTGGATGTCTCAGGCATTCAACTGTTTGTTGCAGTTGAAAATGCTACTGCTGTCGAGAAGATAGCTTCGCAGTTCTCTATTTCCCCTGACTACATCTTCACTCTCAATGGAGGCCTAGATGCGAGTGTTCTGTCAAAGACAAACCAGAAAGGTGTGACGGCTGTCATCTCGTGCTTTGGAGGCTGGATCGGTCGGGCTGCCGCACGCTGTTTGAGTCTGGGAGGTCATTATGTTGATCTCAGCTCCAAGATGGGCGCTACAACACTTCCAGCTTCATTCTTCTCGCGAAGTTGTACCTTCACTGCACTGAATCTCAATAGCATGTTGCAAAGTGATCCTGAAAAGGTCTACTCATACTTCCGTCGCGCTACCGCTAAGCGAAGACCGCATCACCATTTCGATCCTGTCAGCGTCTCTCCCGTCGCCGACTGGGCTGGTGCAGAAGACCATACCCGACAGACGGGTGCACGATCGGTCGTTGATCTTCAAGACACTACTCCAACTCTTGTTGTACCGCCACTCCCAGAAACTGTTGTTCTCTCTGCGCAGCACACATTCGTCCTCGCAGGTGGCCTGGGAACACTTGGGTTGGCTCTGGCAAGAAGCCTTGTTGACATCGGCGCGCGTCATATTGTAATCTTGTCTCGCTCTGGAGTTGTCCGAGATGCTCATCTACCTCTCATCAAAAGTCTGTCAGATGATGGGTGTCAAGTAGATATTCATAGCTGCGACATTTCCAGTCAAACAGATCTTCAGGCATTTGCTTCTCACGCCGAATCCCAGAACTGGCAAATCAAAGGTATATTGCAGTGTGCGACCACACTGAAGGTGCGTTACTAACCACCCCTTGAGCTTTTGTTAAGATCTAATCTTAAATAGGACGGGATGTTTGACACAATGACTTTCGATGACTGGACATATGGAACGAAAGCTAAGATCTGCGGCACGCTGAACTTACATCAGGTCTTTGCCAACGCAGATCTGGACTTCTTCATTACTCTATCATCAGTCGCGAGTGTCATCGGCAATATGGGGCAAACGAACTACTCCGCCGGCAATGCCTTCATGGACGAGCTGATGGTCTGGAGGCAAGCTCAAGGCCTGTCAGGAAACAGTATTAACATAGGCCTTGTTCCGGACGCAAACGGTGTAGGCGACGTGGCTGAGTCCCCCGAAGAACGCCACAGCCGCTACAGTCATTTGGAAGGAACGAAAATCTTCACGCACGAGATTCAGACCTTGGTTCAATTCATCCTGCAGCGTCGCGCTCGGGTACCGGCACAGCTAATCGCTGGAATCACTGATGATTTGACCCAAGATGGAGGAGCTGTGTGGCGCTACGACCGCAAGTTCGATCATCGAATCTGTCTTGTTCATGAGGAAACTGGTGCTACTTCTGCGCAGACCAGTACGCTTCTGAAGAAGTCAAGCTCCATGGAGGAGGCTGTCCAAGTAGCTACTCAGGCTATGCAGGAATATTTGGCGGCAGCGATGGCCACAACTGCTGATACAATTGATACAGAACTTCCCTTGTCAGCACTAGGTGGTGAGTTGGTCTCTTTGGTAAATTCCTGGTCTTCGACTTAATAGCTAATTTTCTGGCAGTGGACTCTCTCAAGGCGACGGAATTGCAAAACTGGGTTGTGCGCGAGATGGGAGCAGAGCTATCGTCTTTTGAGTTTTTGGGTAGTCAGCCGCTGAAGATGTTGTCTGAGACTATCGCAGGTCGAAGTACTTACGTTACTGTTGATTAGATATTGAATTATAGATAGAGGAGGTACTTAGGTAGCTTGACTTGAAATGCATGCGAAGGGTACCAAATAACCGTCTGTTATTAGGTAGACAGTCTGCCAAGTGGTTGAGATATAGATAGCAGAAGTGAGGCACAATACCATATCAAGCAAAATCAAATAATGGTCTTGTGTCTCCACTGTCGTGTAAATCCATCCCCCTTCTCGATATCTCGACCCATAGCGGAAAAGTAATGTCCAAACGGTATGACGGGTGTGTTTTAGGACGGGAAATGGAGAGTGAATTCTGAGTCGTACGGAGCGCGAGCATGACCACCGTCGGCGGTGCTTGCGTTGGAGGTGGTGTAGGTCGAGCGGTACCGCCGTTGACAGTATTTGTAGCATACCTCCACCAATCTGCATAGGCTGTATGCATTGATGCCGAGGAGAATTGCCTTGTAATATATCCAGTACAAATCGCACTCTGACTCATCTGATGCCATCACAGCGAAGGTGATACCAAGGTGTGTTGGGAAAGATTTGGAGGATGAAAACTGGCCGCAGAAAGATAGAGGAGGGGGAGAAAAACAGAATAAAAACAAGGACGTTAGAAACAAGTCATATATGATCTTGGGTGGTAACCGCTTTCAAGGTTCTTTGATGACGATTGAAATGACATTTGTTGAACCTCGGAAATCTGGAGGTCAAACCAATAACCCCAAAGCCTAGAGGCTCAAAGTCTCATTCGGTCATGCAAAGAGGCTAGAAAAGAGAGCACAATTCCAACGGTGACCTGTATGGTTGGAAACATCCATACGTTGTCTCTGGGATGAATTGTGAATGTTGACCATACATTTTGCACCTGGGCAGTGTGAACAGGCGTCCTCGCCTAGGTTGGATGGAAAATGTTAGAGTGGAAAGGTCTAAAAGGCTGTCAAATTACCATATAACATCTATACTATAGTAACTATGTCTCTTAGCTTCAAATAAAAACTCTTATCCCTCTGCTGTAGTGCCCTCAGAGACCATTCCCTCGCCACTACTTGGTGTGTGGTTTGCATAGCTTGAAAACGACGAATCAAATCCGGCAGTGGGGGTAATGTGCGTAAAAGGCGTATTAGAGCTGGCGCTCGATAGGGCAATATTGTCGACTAACTTCTTATTGGTTCACCTGAAGCAGACGTTGAACCTATCCAGGGTTTCAGGGCAACTATCCCACTCAGTTAAAGGATATCAAGATAAGCAGGGACTTACATGATTTGTTTATTATATAAAAGGGGGTTGGGAGTGAGTGTTGGGATGATGATAGGGTATATCGCCTTAGTTGGATATATATCACTAAATGCATTTCATTGTTATGGGGGGAAAATTCTGGAATAAGAACAGTGTATATACGTAAAAAGACTGTATAATGCGTGCAGAAGAGAGAAAGAAAGAGAAAGAGAGAGAGCAAAGAGATATCTACACAAATATGATCACATGACCCAATATCTCCACTAATTGTTTATGATCTAAAGTACCCAATTTTGGAACAAGTGTACATACGCTTGTGTAAGGCCTTGGGATAGTAGGTGAATTTATGAAGACAGTATAACATTGGCATACACAGCTGACACCAGGCTATTACTGTTCATATCTATGATTGCAGAATAGAGTCTACAATGGAGCACTTCATAAAGCAGTAGATTAATTCTGATACTTGCAAAACAGACGGGAGGAATAAGAAGAGGATAGCAAGCAAAGAAGGGAGCTATCTAGTCTGCTCCGGAACAGCTGACCACTACTCGCATCCCCAACAGTAGGTACGTTGACCTAGTTTAGCAAATAATCAAAGAGTAAAGCTTCCTCTGGAAGCAATCCCAGCGGCGAATTTCCAAACATTATTCACAATCGAAGTATTCATCTGAAGAGCTCTCGCCTCCAGAAAAATCGTGCCAGATATACGCATCATCGATTGAGTCGAACTCAAGGGGCTCATCCGAGTCATTTGCAGCCTCTTTCAGCCTCTGATAATGTATTCTCCTGTCCAACTTTCGTCTAAGAGAAGACCCAGCCGGGATGAGTGACTCGGTAGATTGTTGAGCTCGATCAGATTGCGTGGATGGCTCTTGTGGTTGTGTCGATGGCACAATCATGGCCTCCTTCAATATATAAACTAATAAACTGAAGGCTTTTTCTATATCCGCCTGAGAATCGAGTGTTAAGGTGACAAACTAGATTGCATTAGAAAAAGCACCTTTAACCAAGAGACACTTAATAAATAAGCATACCGAGGAGTCATTATCTAGTCTAACAAAGTGAAAGACTCGCGAGTCTGTTGCAACCCCATACAACGGACAATTTTCCTTGTTTGCATTTTTGCGATGGTGATAAATGAAACCTTCGACCAAGTTAGCTTAAAAGTAGTCTAATATAATAAATAAGTTGTATAGTATACTCACCTAAATATCCTAGTACTTCTAAAATTCCCTTTTCGGACGCCCTAAACCTCTGATTTTGGGCCACGATAACATTCGAAGCGGCTTCGTCTTCGTCTCCGTACCATAGGGCGTAAGATGGGTATCCTGATAACTTAACGGCCTCGCCCCTATATTTAACGGGCCCGAATGACCATTTAGGCTCATGGGTGATCTCTAGCAGTCTTCCATCTTTAGAACGTGATTCCACTGCTATATTGAACGCCAATAGGATGAAGTTATTCATCCTCCAGCGCATTATCGCTTCCGCGCTTGTTTCATTCCTCAAAGCACCGTCAGTCATAGCGAGACTTTTGACTAAATAAAGTCAGCGAGGTTCCTGTCTCCGATTTCCCTTACTTACCCAACATCTCCGGCACGGGAACAATAGGGAAAGAACTCAAACCCTGATCATTCTTGGCAGGCGAGAGGGACAGTACATGCTCGACTTCAAAGGAATTCAACGACGACAGACGAATGGAAGGGACTTCCTCATCACCATCGTACTCGCGCATCAGTTGATAATATTGGCGTAATGAACACTTACCCTGGGCTTTGCAGAGTTCGTAAATGGCGTAGCTCAGCTCCATTGCTGTTGAAGGAACTTTTTGCAAGTTTCCAATGCCACTCTCAAGATACTTTGAGTTGACTAAAAATGAATGACTCAAAGAAGCTGATAAAGAGGCGGCGCTGAACCAGCGGAGTAGCTGACCTCGTGACCTGGGCAGTTGAAACTTAGGTCAGAACCTAATGTCACCTGCCCAGGCGGATTTGCCTGTTGACATCAGCCCAATACATCATTCAAATATAGGATTGAAATAAAAAGTCTACTGCTAGAATTTCTCATGTAACTTGAGCGGATCTAGATAGTCTTTTGTGCCACATCCGTATTGCCAATTGCAGGATCAGCCTTGATCTCTGCCGCATCCCAACAGGCTGACCTGTGGAAACTTTCCCTTTTTGGTGAGCGGCCAGGATAAACCTTCCGAGTGACGAAGTTTTGCCAGCGGACATCGCTGAGGACCGTGCGCAGAATTTCCTCTGAACCTCATTTCCCTCTCTCTTTTTTTTTTTCTTAGCAGACTCACAGAATTCAATGCGTTGTCAAAATCTTCTTTTCCATCCTAGTTTCATCAAACCTTTGTTGCCCCAGTGACTAAGGATAGAAAACGGGCTGTTTGGCCGAGTTCTTCGAGTCCTGCAGCCTACCGCGGAGCGAAGCGCCGGGTGGATTAGTTGTGAAGGGTGATTTTGACCAATCGCAGGTTTGTTCGTCGATCTTTTTGTGGAACCTGGATTCGGCCCGCTCATTTTCCAGTAGACCATCAATCAATATGGAAGATGCCAAAGAGGTCGTTGCCAAGCATCGCCGGCATGGCTTTGAACAATTAAAACGCGTTGTGCGAAAATTCCTCGAGAATAATATTGACCGCCGTCAGCTGCAAGAAGCGACGGATCAAATTGACGCCTCGGAAATCAAGTTTCCGACGGTTGCTATCACCACGTTGAGTGTGGAGGACGTTCAACGATCCCTCCAGCTTGAACTAGATGTTGAGGACGCCGAGATGCAAGGCGTGCAGCCGCTCCCCCTCCCTCCTCACCTCAGTATACAATCCAAGACATGGATTAGAAGGGAAATGTAGCTAATTGAATACAGTGAGCACCCTTGGCCTAATCGAAAAGGCCATTGGTAACTCGAAAATCAACGAGGCCAGCGCACGCTGGGTTGTAGATGCCGTCATCCTTCATGCGTATGAGGCGGCAACCACTGACATCAAAAATGCACAGCCTTTGAGTGTGCAATGTGAACGGACCTACCAATTCGGCCCAGTGATACTGAACCGCAAGAAGGTCATATTGAGTGGCCGACCAGACTACAGTGTCTGGTACGGAGAGAGTGAGGCTTTGTGCCTCAATGTTTTGATTCTTAAGGCAAAGGGGCCGCCCAAGGCGACAAACCCGATTGCCCAACTGCTCGGGTACATGGGTACGTATCTCAATGTCTACATTGGTTCCTTTTTTTTTTTTTTTTTTTTTTTTCATAAACAGCTAATTAGTAAAGGCTGCATTCACCGAGCCCGCAAGTCAGAGGGCAAGCGCAACTGTGGGGTGTATGGAATGGCCTCCACTGGCGAAACTTGGACTTTCCTGAAAATCAGCAACGACTCCAAGGTAAGTTCAAGCCATATCAGCCAAGACCTGCACTCATATATGTGTTAGTGGACAGAACACCCGGTTGCGGGCCGTCATGGCCATCTGGAGAAGCCATTTGGCTTGCTTGTATGGACGTTGAAGAGGGCTGCTGCTCTCTCCACTTCCCATTCTAAAGAGACCTCCGCTGGAACGGATGATAAGGTGGGCCTGTGCCCAATGGATCTTGAATCGGCTGAGTGAGAAAGGGGCAGTGTACCCCCAGTGTACCCCCCGTCGAGCTTAGCTCGAGCTTAGCTTGACCTAGGCTCGACATTAGCTTTACCACCACTGAATTATTTATAGTATTACAATTAACGAACCATTGCCGCTGGAGGCAGCCCGCAAAGTGATTATAGTCCTGTGAGGTCAACGATGTGTTGTTGACTGTGCATCATTAGGGAAGGCGAACCTCTGTAGACTGGTTCCATTTCGAGTATGAAATAAAAATAAAAATAAAAAAAAGCAAAAACAAAAAAAACCCCGAGCGAAGACAGAAAGCACCAGCAGGACCCTAGGCCTAAAGGCCAACTATATCAATGATAAGTTACATCGAAAATCTCAGTTGCGCCACCATCGCGAGGATCTGGTCGACCTCGGCCCGTTTGTTCTCGGCAGTCCCTGTTGGCATTAGCTCCTGGATTAATGGGATCATCTGGGGAGCATTCTCCTGGCCGATTGCGGTTCTGGCGGCCGCCAACTGAGTCCAGTCAATGTGGACACGTACTTGGAGCTGTCTTAAAGCCTCCTGTATCTGGTCCAAGGCCGCCTTTGTGGCCTCTCGCCAACAATGAGAGACCTCCCCCCCCGAGGATGTTGATGATCGGGGGGTGGCTTGCTCACCGACAGGCGGTTGATAGAAGTCGCAGCGCTTCTTATTCCCGTTCCACTGGCAGTTTGCACACGCCGTGACGGTACGGGTGATGTCGTGGAACCGTACGCAGTGGGCCAAGGGCCATTCCTCTTGAGGCAGCTCTTACACTCTTGCTCTGCCAAATTGCCAAGAACCTGCATCAGGATTGACTCGGCCTTGGCGGCACTGGTCGAGACCCGCTCATCCAGTTTCTTTCCGGTATACTGGGTTGATGACCGCTGGGCAGGCTCACGTCGGGAGGGGGCCACAATAAGTAGCTCCAGGCCCTGCGTTTTGACAAAACCGCCCGTCCTCGCGACTTTCCAGGGGAGCTGTTTGGCGAGAGCCGCCCACTCACCCGGTGGGAGTTCCTCACCACCGGGTGGTGCTTGAGGCACAGTCAATGGTGTGCCGACAGTGTGGTGGCTCGACGACTCGGCGGGCGAGCTTGTATCATATCAGTTGTCAAACAGTATGGAGGAAACTCACTAGTTCTCTAGCTCCGGCGCCCGTCCCTGTGCGCGATGTTGTATTAGCGGCTGCGCGCCAGTAAGAGGAGGCCGCGGCGTGTACGAGGGAGGGGCTGCATGTTTGGTGGGGTGTTTTGACCCATATTGACGGTTGGTGAACTTATATACGCTATATTAGGCTCATATATCTCGCTTACCTATTTACAACCCCACACAGAAGCGTTCTCGCGGCTTTTTCCGTAGCTTATATTTGGGTGTTCACTCTACCCTAATAAACTATAAAACATTAAAATGAACTATAGCGTTAGTTAAAACTTATATTTTGGATATCTTGCTTGATTTCCTCTAGGAGAGAGCGAGAGGTTTCTCGCTCCTATCTTGAAGTGAAGTTGATAAAGTTTAAATAAGCAGCTTTCTAGCAGGGCAGCTTTTTCCTTATTGCGATCTAGTCCTCTATAAAGGATTTTAAGAGCTGCGGAGTTAGGTCGGGTTCGTCTTTAGAAAAGTTGACCTTAGCCGCTTCGTTTCGAGAAAGTCTCTACTATAATAGTAGCCTGTTAACTATAGAAAGATAACCTTATAGAGTCTGGTTTAGAACGGAGTTCTTATGTTTTTTAACTATAGTGGGTGCTAGCTCTTTATAGTATATCGTATTGACCTCTTATTCCCTCTCGGTCTAATACTTATAAGTGAAGCTACGTGATACGGCACGTGCGATACGCTTATCAAGAGCCCCTTCAAGATCTTTTAGGAGCATAGTATTAAACGCTAGGGGAGAAAATAATTCTACGACAACCTAGACTTAGAGATCAAGTTAACACTAATCACCCTAGCATAAGGAAATATGATAAGGGATATACTATCACCCTATCTTACCCCGCTCTCACCCCGTTCTCACCTCTGTCACTCTCGGTCTCTAGAATTCTCACCCATATCACCCACACTCACCCTAAGTCTTCTTTTTAGCCGTTTTAACTTTTAGGGCTCGTTAAGAATTGACTGCGTAGAGTAATGGGCTTAAGTACGGCTGAGCGGACGGGAAGCCCTGTTCTCCACACCCTGTGGTCGTATGTGCTTGTTTCAATATTAAAGGGAAACATATAAGATAGACAGTAGTAGGTTTTGCCACACTTAGGGGATATTCACGCTGCTATATTATCGGAGACCTACTTCTACTTGAAACGGTGTGAAATCTCTAATACTTACAGTATATGAGTTTTTTATAACTTAACCATTAAGAGGGCGATTAGAGCATAAGGCTGCCTTTCGGGATATAGTTGCTGGTTTTGAAGCTTTATTGAACACAGGAATATATTGACAGTGATTTTGCTATCATCTAGAAACACTCAATCAAGACCAAGATAGAAGTCGAGTTCCAATACCTTCATTATACAAGGATAATTCGGTAAAGTTACACTGCATCATTCATTAAGAAGTTGATGCCGCTAAGCACGTCACTCAGGAAGTTCCCGCTTGGTGGTTTACAGTCTAACGCCCAGAAGACATGGGGCAAGCCGATATAATAATCAAGCTTTGTTGGAACACTGCAACATGGTTAACAAAACGTAATCACAACGGAAAGGAGAAGCTGCTACTTACCCGGCCTCCTTTAATAGGCTGTGCATCACTAGGCCATCATCACGAATGGGGTCAATATCACACACAACCAAGTATGTGGGAGGGAAATCATCAATGTGTTTACTATTAATGATAAAGAAATCTGGATCGTCGGGGCTTGCACCAACGGCGTCTGGACAGTAGTTAGATTTTCTGAATAGATTGGCATACATTCCGGGAACATCCACATACCGAAGAATACATTCATAGCAAATGCTGTGTTAATCGGAGCGTCTGCACAATCCGTGAAAGAACGATACTTGTCATCATATTTGCTAGGGACCCGGGCAGGATGAGTGGTGATTGGAGCCAGAGCTGCGACACCGCGGATTTCAACCTTTCGATCCAATGCGACGAGCTGATTCGCCAAAGCAAGTGCAAGATGAGCTCCCGCACTCTGGCCAATCGCGAAATATCTAGCTTGGTCACCATTCAGCATAGATGCATTGTTCCATGCCTTTTTAGGTTAGTATCGCAAGACTTAAATGTAGATTGAAGATTTTAGATGGGACCTACCCAGGTCCAGCCCTCTAGCACATCTTGAAGCTGCACTGGGCTTTTATGCTCAGGCGCCCGTCGATATTCCACTGAGACAATAATGCAAGGAACATGTTCAGATAACAATTGGCAGATACCGTCCTCGGTTTCCACGTCGCCACAACACCATCCACCACCATGAAAGTAGATACCAACGGGCAATGCGTTTCCATCCTTATTAGGAGGGGTATAAACCCTAGCGGCAAGATAATCCGTGATTGCGATATCCTCTTGTTGAAGTTAGTGTTATCACAACCGAAGCCAAACTGGCGTACTTGACTAGTCGGGCACATACCGATTTTGAGGTGAAGGGCCCTCTTGTGAGAAGCATTTATCTGGATTGAGAGAGCTTTGTATTGTTCTCTCATAGCCAGTGCATCACCCGAAAATTGTGGCCTTTGGCCGAGAGCTTGCTCGATCTGCTCAGTGATTAGACGAGCCTCAAAATATCAGAGTATGGAATGGACATACCTCGACCCATGATTGTGACAAAGCTAATTTCATTCTTGATATAGGTAAGCAAGCATATATGGAGGTGTCAAATATTATTGACTGTGGGCGATATTTTCCTTTTAAAATCACCTTAGCCCTAAATCAAGCCAAGTAGAAATTTTGGATGAGTTATATTCCCCGAGGCCGAGGCTTATGCAGTTTACTAATATATGATCGTCAGATCCGAGCATATCCTGTCCTCTCGAAGCCTCGGCACATAACAAAATAACGTTGTCACCGATGAATAATCTCCATCGGGACCCGGGATCCACTTTCGGGGAAAGCTAACAATAATCGATCAACTTAACACAAATTATGCGTAGGAAATTTCGGGCCGCAAGTATCCGGTCTCATACTTTAGTAGGACATCATAGTAGATATACAGTACTAGAAATCCGGGTTTTTCATTCCATCTTCCATACCTTTCTCTTGGTTATTCTTAATTAAGACCGGAGATCCTCACGTTTTCACACTACCGAAAAGAATAAGCACTAACAAGGTTTCCTTGCTGTTCGTGAGGATAACTATCCGTAATAATGGCACTGGCTCGCCGAGAGACTCAGTTCAACGCTCGCGATGGAACCACGCTTCGGGGCTGGCTCTATCCTCAAGGCGAAAAGTCTCCATGCGTGATCATGACACACGGGGTAGGTGCTTTCGTTACTCTATTCACTACTAGGGCAGAAAGAAATGCTAAAATCATTTGTATATGACTAGTTGGGCGGCGTTCGTCATTTATGGCTCCCAGCTTTTGCCGCTCGCTTTCATGATGCTGGCTACAATGTACTGCTCTATGACAATCGGAATTGGGGTGACAGCGATGGGCTGCCGCGCCAGGAATCTAACCCGCCACTTCAGCAAGCCGACTACTATGACGCGTTCAATTTTGCGTCTACATTTCCTAGCGTGGATGCTTCACGCATTGTCTACTGGGGGACGAGCTTTTCTGGTGGGAATGTCTTGCACGCCGCTGCTGCGGACAAGCGCATCAAGGCTGCTATCGTGCAGTGTCCTGCTGTTTCTGGGGAGACCCGATCTTTAGCGTTCAAGGACCGGATCAAAACTCTTTTGGACAATCGCAGTTATGCCACTGGTACTGAGCCAGAGAGAATTCCTCTCATTGCAGATGGCGTAGCGGCTGCTCAGAGAGGGGCACCAAATGTTATGTTTCCCGGTGTTCATGCCTATGGACATGTGCGGGAGTCGCATGAATGCGGAGCGGTATGGGAGAACTTCATCACCACTCAGACGCAGGTGAATATGCTTCTTTTTGAAGGGCAGGCAATGATTCACCGTATCTCGCCGACTCCACTCCTTATGGTTATTCCGGGGAATGACGAACTCGTCACCACATCATCACAGTTGGCCGCTTATGAAAAAGCAAGGGAGCCAAAGCAAATGCTTTACCTTGAAGGAGCGGGCCATTTTGATATCTATACGGGAGATTGGTTTGAAAGGAACATTACGGCACAGTTGGAGTTCTTGAAGAGGCATGTTGGTCAACCTGAGAATGTTTGATAATTTTCCTGTTACGCAGTGTTAGTTAATATATCTATCTTCTCTGTTCGCTGGCGACTTTCCACATTGATACAATAAGATAGTTTATGGTAACTTCGCGATGGTGATCTTGAATGAGAAGTGTAGGTTTAGATGGGGAGGCGGAAGCAGGTTTTCCGAGTCGACTGCAGTACAGTCTAAACGGGACATTGGTGAACTGAGGAATAAGTTAGTTAGAATTTGGCTCTTGTTAGGGCAAGTGATCGTTGTTGTCTGTTGGAGAAATCAAGGAGAGTAAACTGGGGATTGGTGACTGCAATTTTGTTTTGAGTCTACAAGTGAGCAATTCAATGGGGGTATTGAAATCGATGATGAGGTATTCCACTATTCTAGGACGCAAGGGATTTGAGGTGGTTCAATTGATCTCTACCGCCATTTGCTGATCTGATTTAGACTTGTTATATAGGAGATATTTTTACGTCAAGTAACAGAGCAGCTGAATTCGCAATATGATCGAAATATTCCATAAAACTTTCAATGTATTGGACAGCATGCTCTAGAAGTATGTACAGGTAATCACATGAGCATGAGAATTGGACCAAAGTCCCTTTCTATCAAAAAAGCCTGCTTCTAGCGACATTGAATGGCCTTCAGTCCGGTAGCCACCCACAGCCAGGTTATTTGCCAACTCCTGATTCTCTCTCTGTATTGATTGGGCTGAATACAACTGCATTCTTGGGAAAATGAGGCTGAAGCGGGTAGGTATCCCAATACATCCAAACATGCCGGTACTGTAGACCCTCAGGAGTCTCTTCAGGGCCAGTGCTGGGCCCTATTTCGCAGGTCATAGACAGGGGAAGGCTAACAGTTGGCGAGCCAGCAATATCGGAACCGGGAGCCCAGATGTGTCGAGTAACCCGAGCAATGAGATGAACGGTGTCGTTTTCGTTTTCGAGTTCCCAGACTGCATGAAAATCGTGTTCCAGGCGAGCAAATTCACCGAATAACTTCACAATCCATGGCCATATCTCCGCGCCATGGTAGTCGACACCGTTTTGGTTATGAAAGATCGCATTTTCAGCATAAAATTGGTGTTTTCCATGAGCGGATAGGTCGGATTCTTTGATGGCAGATGCATATGCACCGTAGAACCGCTGGGCTGGAATTTGTGGCCCCTTCGCAGCCCAGTCGGCACCGGAAAGGAAAGATGTGACTCGAGGAGGAGGCATAACGACTCTAAATCAAGTAGAGATAACTAGCTGCTTGTCATTCTCAAGACTTATCAGAGGCAATGAAGTGTCCTCTTATATTCCGCCTTCCTTCATGAAGAGCTTCCTAAAAATGTAGGAAATATACGTTTTTCGGCAAATCGGCAGCATGCAAGCACTAGCTTGGATACTCTGTTTGTTGTAACTGGAAATTCGATTTCGAGAACGTTATCGAATGGATCATCAAGACTGGTACTCCGAGGCTTCATGGTGTATGATCTGCATGATTATTGATTATGAAGTCTCCCCTCGTTTGTCCTCGGCATCCAAGGGATTCTCTCTTAGTCCCGATTCCTACGGCGAAACTCTGGTTGCCGCTAGTTCAGATGTGGATCAGCACTGACGAATCATATTGTCTTGCCGGTGGAGCAATCGAGATCGGACATGTTTATTTCATCGCATTTGTCCCGAGGTAGCGGTCTTTCGGAGATTCAATTGGAGATATGTTGCGAATGACGTTTTGGTAATGGATCACTCTATCAAAGTAATAGCGAAACTGTCACCAGCATTTTGATCACATGGTTTTTTTTCTATTTCAAGTCCGACTCGCACGGTTAAACGCAAACATTCTTTCCATGAAATCCCAACACGTCCAACATTCCAGAATGCCGCTCAATTTCAAGGTCTTTTTCAGCAGACGCGACAGCGCAACCCGAACTGGCCCCGCGGGACATGATCATCTCAAATGGGTTCCTACGAGCTCTACTTTGATTTATGGAGAAAAGAAGGCGGTTCTAGTTGACTCTCAGTTGACTCTCGAAGCGTCTCAGGAGCTGGCGGAATGGGTCGTGGCTAGCGGAAAAGATTTAGTCGCCATCTTTATCACTCATGCACACGGCGACCACTTCTTTGGAAGCTCCAGTATCGTCAAACGGTTTCCCGAAGCTAAAGTGATCGCTACACCGGAAGTGGTTTCCCGCATGGCATACGAAACATCCCCGGAAAGGATGGCAAGCTTATGGAACAAGCTGTTTTCTGGGCTACTCCCTGAGAATTTTGTTGGAGCTGAGCCTCTAAGTGAAGACGCGTTTGAGCTAGAGGGGGAGAAGTTGCAGATTGTGAATCTGGGGCACACGGATACGGATGAAACAAATGCCTTGTGGGTTCCATCAATCGGACTACTCGTGGCAGGGGACTGTGTATACGCAAACACCCATCCGTATCTGGGCGAGTCGGGAACAGAAGAGGCTCGCATCGAGTGGATAAAAGCATTGGACAAGCTCGCAGCTTTGAACCCTACAGCAGTGATCGGGGGCCATAGCGATCCCAGCAAGCCTTTTGCTCCTGAGGCCATACAAGAGACCAAGTTGTACTTGGAAAACTTCAACCGAGTTGCAGCAAAATACACCAAAGCTGAAGATATTTACTCGCAAATGTTGGAGCTATATCCGGAACGACTGAATCCTGGATCTGCCTGGGCTGGAGCACTTCTCGCCAAACGAGATTGAAAAGAATAAATAACGCTTGATACGCCGTGCTTTCTACCAGTCCGAGATTTTAGCGCTCAAACAAGCTTCTTATGGCTTTTCTATTGCTCAGCGTCTAGGAAATATGGGAAGGAATAAAGGGCGCGTCTTTTATAGTGTAACATCTTTGCAGTTATTCGAATTACAGCTGTTGTTTATTAATACGCTATCCCCTCGCCTGAGGCAACCTGCAGCGTGATAATATCCCAATTCTATGTTTATTCATTCATTGTAAACCATCTCTCAATATAATGACCTATGAATAGAGTCATCTTACTATCCTTGTAGAATTATTGCTCACATATATGCAGTGTATATATTGAAAATTGGTGTCACGTTGAGAAGACCCAGCTTAGTGGGATATGCTTCGTCTATATCCCTGATAGTCACTAATAGTCATTGAGTAAAAAGTAAAAGATTGGCTGTACATCATCATGTATATTGCTCTTAGGAGGGACTGTACACATAGTACTTATGTGCGCGTTGAAACTGGTCATAGACGGAATCCAAATCCTCAATGAACGAGAACAAAAGAGAGATATTGATTTAATAAATAAAAAGAGCAAAAACAAAAACATACAACAGTGAGGATTCGCTAGTGGTCACCCACCTAACTACTAACTCACCGGCGTGTGGCTTAAGTACGGCTGAGCGGACGGGAAGCCCTGTTCTCCACACCCTGTGGTCGTATGTGCTTAGTTTGATAGTAAAGAAAAATAAGTAGAACAGTTTTTCACAATAGCATTTTAAGGCGAATCTCGCCCCGGATAGTGTGGTTGGAGAGCCGCTTTATCGTTAGTTATCATTACCTTATACCCTCCGCCTAAAACAATGAACATCTTAGCATCTACACAAGTACAATTAGAAGTGCCATGCAACTAGGTTTCTTGAAGTTATTTTCAACCGTGAGGTCTGCCACGTCTACCGTACGTTGTCAATATAAGTACGCTGTGATACCGTACTAGACCTCATGAAAAATATGTAGAAGTCAAACTTCTTTATTCCTTCTACATCTTTCGGCCGAGCAAGTAATCAGTCGCTGGGCATTGTTCATAAGTGAGGCCAAGCCGTAAATTTGAAATTGCTGTTTGAAAGCCTAGTGGGAAATATTAATGGCGAAGATTAATCGAACAAAGATAGCCATCACTGCTGAGGAATTAGACAACCTGGTCTGATCGGGCTGCTTGCAATGTTGTCAAAGCCGTGAGGAATCTCGATCTAAAGCTGAGTGATATAATACCCTAGTATGAAGTATCCTCTTCGTGTCCCAAGTAATAGCATTATGACATATGCTTCGATTGGGATTTCGCAATATTTTCTCGGTCGTCCCTGTCTTGAGTTCATCACTGAATTTTATAGACCAATCTCAGATGGCAATAGACCGGTCTAAGATGGCACTAGGTACATTCTCTAAGATACAAGTTGTGATATATGCTTTATATGACATAGAACAGGGAGATTTGCTGCAGTGATTTTCTCTTAACATTCAACATTTTCTCATATTGCCACTCAAACATGGTAATCTTCCGCTCCTCAAACGCAGAACTTCACAAAGCGAACTTCCGCGTTATGAGACCCCAATACACTTCTTCAACATTCTCGATAGACTCGAAGATCATGACCATGCATCAAAATTCGCGAGCGTACTCAACAATCTGAGACTCACCGAAGTAGACCCCCATATCAGGCGAAGTCTCCTCAGCCGCCCAAAGCAAAACTTACACCTCCCGTAGCCCCAGCTTTGGAATTTGCGATTCTCCTCCTTGTGTTATCCTTGCTCATGTAGTGCTCCAACTTCTTTTCATACCTGGTATAGTCTCGCTGGTACCTTTCCTGGTCTTTGTATTTTTCTCGACGAGGTGGGCTTGGCTTTATGCCATCAAAGAAGCCAGAGCCAAAACACATTTTGATATGAGGTTGTGAAGGGGTTGATGTTTGCCGGCTTGATACTTTCTCGGCGTTCCTTATCATAGATGAGGAGAATGAAGATTTGTTTTTCGTTAATTGTACTAAGTGGTAAATTTATATTAATTTTCCAACACGGCCTGCTTTGCCCTAGTCTTGGCTTCGTCATAAGGGCCAAAATGTGGCAGTGGTCGCTGGGGCCTAGGCGGGGCTTTGATGGGTCTCTGTCAGCAGATGGCCACTCAGCCTTGTATTCAGATCTCATGAATTGCTGAGCTGGACGATGTAGTGTATTAAAGGTAACTGAACGGAACAGAACAGGGTAGCTCGTGGTACTCGTGTGGCCTACCAAACGTTGTGTTGGCCGTTTGAACAAGGAAGTAATGTTTTGACTCAATATTATCCAAAGAAATATTATGGAGCAATAGGCAACTCCAAATCAAAATGATAGCCAAAACAAAGCAAAAAAAGGGCTGCCGCCAGCGGTCCAATGTCAAATGCCCGATATCCCATTAAAACTCGACACTTTGATGAGGCAGCCAATGACTCCTCATATGACCAACACAATGGTTCAATAATGCCGGAGAAATATCTGGCAGTAAAATTGTACAAAAAGCAGGTAAGCGACGAAGGAGTGAGCCTGATTAAAGACATTCTTGGCATACAATCTTTGAAGTCGGGAGCCAAAAACGGGACACGTTTTCTCTCTCTCTCCCTTAGCCACGAAATTGGGCTATTTCGCTCCCCAAATTTCAAATTTCAGTTGTTTTATCCATGAACGCATCAACGATGCAACCCGATAAAGCCTGCTGCAGGTTCGCCACCGAAGCCATCAGACCGAGATATATATTACTTCGGGGGAGGGGAGAACTTCAAGCACCTTTTAAGTGGTGGTATTAGATATTACAAAGCATCAAATAGAATAGAGGAAAGATCAATTTGCGATAGTAGATTCAGATGTTGTCGTTCAAATCATGACTTTCTTGACCGTTCTGCAGTTGGGGCGCAACGAGAGGACAACAGCAAGGACAACTTGAATTTACAGGACGCAGACTATGCAGCAAAAACAGGGATAGAGCCAATGAGAGGTTGAGATATAAAGAAATATATCATTTACAAGAGTCACTCTTGTTTGATCCGCCGTCTTTGCATCCATTCGTGCAATGTTCTGTTATCGTAATTTTTCCGCCTTTCTCACAGTAGTAGAGGAAGTAATCGTAGTTCCAATTCGGCGAACTATATCCGTAGGCATCCATAGCGGCTAGTATCTCTTGGTGGTAATCGCCTAGTATACGTTAACCTCATTCAAACGATTGATAAAGCGCACAATATACCTTTGCCCAGAAGACTGGTAGAACAATATGAAAGGTCCGTTTGGCAGTTTTCGGCAACTGCTAGACATAAAAGGATAGAAAAGGTGGGTAAAATGAGCTTCATGGTTTGTGATTGAAAGTTCACGTAAGCGTTGGTAAATTGTTTCAAAGGTTGATTCCAAGAGTGAAAGGCAACGGCTACTATGCTTATAAGTTATCACAAAATTAAAAGCGATATGTATTTTGAAGCCCCAATGCCTTTTCTAGTGTTGGCCCCTGACTTTAGGCCAAGTGAATATAAATAGCCGTCGTAGTCTGTGAAGTCTGCCTTGCTCATCCTTGTTTCACCTCAATAAAAATCCGGCGTGGGTTTTTAATACCCCCGGAACCATGAACTGTGCTAGTCCTACACTAGTTCACTTTGAGTTACTAGGCCGTATTGTAATTTACTTTTTGTTGGGTTGCACCAACACAGGAGCGAAGGAGTCAGCCTCTCCCGAGATCAGTTCACCGAGGGTTATGAGGTATCTTCGCCAAGACATATGCATGTGCCTGCACCTAGTCAAGAAAAATTGAAAGTAAAAATGCAGATAGAATAAAATCAAAACGGTACATACGTTAGAATGAACTGCAGAAATAGGCAACTTAGAGTAAGCTAAAATGTAAACAACACCTCAATGCCTTAAATTAGACTAAACGGCTTTGATATCAGTCTGAATTCAAGCCAGAAGTCATTCCGTTGTGACCTTTTGACCAAATTTGGTAGCCCCAGATATATCTATATTATGGTTTAAGCAAATGAATTTATGGCAACGATGTTTAACTATGTTAAAAGGCTACGATGCAAGTAGGAATGATGACCGGTACGACCGTACAATATAGATAATCTAACAATAGATTACCGAGGTGTTTAAGTCTGGAGATTCTCATTTGTATGAGAACCTCCTTATATACCAGAAAACTCTGCCTTAAGCTAGTCCTAATTAGATTTCCTAGGTGATGAATCACTGCGGTTGCCGTCATGGCTCATTTATGGCATAAACTATGGCCGGCCACCATAAATCTCAACAAACTACAACTCAGTAAAATAGTTGAACTATTGTATATTAAAGCATCAATCACGAAAAAATCCCATTCATTGAGTAAGCTATAGCCTTGCCCCGCCGCAATTGCTGATAGTCTAACTGTCACAGTAGTCGTTGTGAGGCCCATCCTGGCCAACCTGGCAGTAAGTGTTGCAGTCCTTGGCGAATGTAATATCATTGGGACCGTTACACCTGAACAGCGCGTAGTCGGCATTAAGGTACTTCAGATTCTTGGTGCCGAACTGGTTCTCCATGGCCGTCTTGACATGAGAATGGTAGTCGCCTTTTTGTAATTGTCAGTGATTGTTTGGAAGTTAGAAAATTTGTGATAAATCCATGATTTGTGATTAAATCGCAGATGACGAACCTTTTCCAATGAGGTTATAAGCGCAATATTTTATCCCGGTGTGGCAATTATCGGCACTCGCAGCGGACAGAAAAATAGCGATAGCAACGAGACTAAACTTCATATTGGAGATTCAGCTTTGAGAAGGAAGAAGGAAGTGGATGTGATTGAATGCTCGTAAAATAGAATGGCCCAGGACAGTAGATGGGAACTTGGTGATTTAAATACGATTGCTATAATATAAGCCGTCGCGCCCTTCCACAAAAGTCGCCAAGAGAGTTGTATTTCTCCCTATTTTTAGGTGCGGGTAAGCGAACACACCTTTAGTAGGGATGAAGGCCAGAATGTACCAACAATGGGCCCGGCGCCTGTTTCGACCATTGGCTTTCTGCACTTCAGAATATGCCTTGCCTGATTTGAATGAACGGGTTGTGTATCATGTTTCATCTTGAGGTCGGCTAGCTCAATATCTGAGGCTGAGAGCTCTCGCATTCCTTCTGGCTTTTGTGGCTAATTCGAGGAGGATTCGCCCAGACACGCAGTATCCTCAAACTACCCCGGGGGCCGATCCCTCAAGAAATGGGTCACCAAAGGATTCCTTCCGCGGGGCCAATACGTTCAGCTTCTCTAAAACAATAGATTCTGGGACGGCTACAGGTCTTAACCGAGCTGGGGGCCTAAAATCACGGTGAGCGTGAGAAGACTTTGTTGGAGGCTGGGATCGAAGAGCCGCACCAGGTCAAAACCGCAATGATTGCGGGGAAACCTTTCAAGGCGCTCAGTAAACAGTAGTAATCAAAGGAAATATCCCATACGCTGATAACTTCATCTCACGTTGGAAATTGGTAATGATACTGTCGCTCTTTATCGAGGGAAAAGCGACGATCTTGAATTTATCTAGACTGGCGTGCGTAGTGCTGGATAACGAAAAACATATGATTGAGAAAGTTCAAAAAGCTTTGGACAAAGGAGGAAGAAAAGAATATACGAATTTCAAAGGATGAGATAGCGATATTGTTTTAATTTGATGGGAAACTAGATAGAATTGTCTTTCTTCATTTTCCTCTGGAAGAGTACATAGCAAGCAACCAGAGATCAAAGAGAGAGTTAAAAAGACAAAAGATTTTAACACGGCTTTGGACGAGAATGTTGGAATTGATTCTCATATCAGAAGTATCCCGATTGTGGTTTAAACCTTGCCACTCACAAGGCATAATTCATGCTTCCACAAGATTCCACTTTATCATAGTCCAGGGCAAATCCCGCATGGTGAGCTGAGATCTTGAATTTGACGTAAGGGTTGGTAGTATCATCTCCGATGATGCCGTAGTAATTGCCCCAATCAGTCAGACTAAAGGCAGTCTCTGACCAGTCCTTCGCAATGGCTTGGGCAAATGTATGGATGCCACCTTCTTCCAACTTAATCTTTCGATGCACGCTGAATGAGAACTTGAGACCTGGCTTGGAAAAGGTTTTGCGCTTGTTCAGCCTGGATCTATCCTCATCCGTCAAGACTTCATCGAAGTCATCTAGAGCAACAGAAGCCTGACCGTCGCTGTAATGATTGATTGCAAAATCCACGGAAGAGTTGCCATTCTTTGCACCTCGAATTATAGAACGATGCGTAAGATCTGGCTCGTCGTTGCTTCGCTTTCGATGCTTCAATGACGAAACATCAACGTGCTCCACAGTTTCAAACTCTAGGCCTGTAGCAGACAAGCCTCTAACCAATCTAGTGTGATAGTGGGTACCAGGCAAGCTACGTTTAGCCTGGTTCTCCCCATCAGCGGCCGCAGCTGCTTCGTCAGACACACCTGACGTCGCGAAGTCACCCCCGCCGAAGGCGGCCGATACCGCTCCGTTCACAATAGTCAGGGGATCAAGATCATCTGCCAAAATCATTACAGACGCGAGCGTCATCCGCCCAAGCCAGTTGACAATTTCGATGCTTTTGCTGCACGCCACACCGGGGAAAAAGATATCACATATCGCAGAAGCCACATGCGCTCCGCCCTCTATCCAAATAACCCTTTTCCATCGTTAGCTTGGAGTTCATCATGTAAGTACAGATTTCAGGTAAGGGGTAAACATACGATAAGCCGTAGCCCTTCCATCTCGCCTTGGCTGTCCTGTATGTCTGCAATCGAAAGCAGTCGGAGAAGGCCCGATGTTCCAAGATATCAAGCGAATGCTCCTCTGGGTCTGGACTCCAGAGTGCAAGATTTTGCGATTCTTCTTTGCCATCCCGTGCGGAGTCGTTCCAGACATCGCTCACAGCGCGGGATAGAACTATATCCGATGAGGTACGAAGAGGGGAAGCGTCTGTATCGACAGGGAATCCTATTGTAAACGAGACTAAGGCAACCAGAGCCACGAATGGGAATCTCATATTGAATGAAGGGTGTGGCTCGGAGTGTAAACAATAGAGTTGTTAAAAATGCTGACAATACATGGCAGCGAAGCTCATTATTATATGTAATCGACAGTTGGCACTGATTATCTGTCTCTAAACTAGTATACCTTGATATTTCTTTTTGTTCCTATATTTGGGATAAACTAATGCTCGTAATCCTTCTCGGACCCGTGTACGCTGAGAGTATGCCATGGCCCTAAGAGCCTTGGCAAGGCGTTTTTCATTTTCTGCATTCTTCATTTCCTTTCGTGTTTTGACGGGAAAGCCCAACACCAAGCTACTCCATCTGATTGGCCTATTACATTTCGGATCCTTTTGTTTCATGTAGATTTTGCACACCTTGGCGCCCTCCTCTGTTCCTTGTCTTGTCAAGCATCTGATGAAGGAACGACATGCCCCCCGCCCCCACCCAGGTCTTGAAGTACAGCGCTAACTGCGAGGGGGCATATAACCTTTCCATCGAAACATTGTCTCTGTATCTATTCCTTGCTAGTCACATCTTTCAATATTCGTCCCGCCCCTACAACGAAATTGCCGCACTATGAGCTTGGTTGAGTCGAAGACAGTTTCCTCTCAGGTGGCCCTGAAACCCACACATTCTCCATCTCAGCACAGGTCTAGATTCATATGTATTGTCGAGACCATGGATGACTGGTTGAATTGGTTCACACCCATGTAAGTTATACCTTGCTCCATTCGCAACTAGACTGGGCTTGAACTGAACTTGCTTTCAGTGCATCGGCTGCGTTCATGGTCATCCCACTAGGATATTATTATTCCTGCAGGTACATCCAGGGACCAGATCAGAATGAGCACGAGACATGCAGATATCCGACTATTATATTGGCGGTCATTACCGGGGTCTTTTGGCCCGCTTTCTTCCTTTGCATGCTTACGAAAATCATTCTTATTCCTTATTACAGGGTTGTGGAGCCATCGACATGGGAAGAATCATGGTAGTAGTTTGAGCAGGGAGTACGCTGCAAGACTCGGGGAATGAACGATTGGTTTCGATGATTATTTAGCAGCAATTAAGATGGGATATGTAGCCAAACCTACAATTGACACTTTGCACTAGGCTCAGTACTGAGTATTGTGACACGCGTTTGAGGAGAAACTACCTGCATGTTACATAGTACGGTAACTGAAAGCATCGGCAGGAGCCCCAACAGGGCTCTGGCCTCTATATGCACCATTGGACAGTCATTTCCAACAAATATGTAGTTAAACTCCCAAGACTTGTTACGGTGGGGGCATGTCAGCTAACACGGTTCTCTCATCCGACAGGCTCCAATGTAGGATTGCCTCGGTTGTGGGGGCCGTGGCCCAAAATAAATCAAATTCGTAGGCTTTTGGGGCTGAAGGACTAGGCTTAGATCAAAAGCATGTTCCTGAGAGACGGGTGCATGCTATCTGAACCTTCCAATCAAGAACGATCCGTACTTTCTGATTCATATTCCCTAGACTTCGGGGGCCAGAATGAGGAATAAGGCTGTGAGAGGAAAGAAAAAAGGGATATAGAAGGATCTCTCAAGTTTGAGATATCCTAGAACTGTTTGATCCCGGGGCCGACGCTTATGGAGTGGCTTGTACCTGGGGAGACCACGCCCGGCCCTGGTGCACCCATTCTACCTACAAATATCAGTCCTGCTTCCCACTTTTTTTCATAATCTTTGCCAACCATCCGCAACCCAGGCCTCTCACATTTTCAAGCTGCGGTAGAAAGCAAATCAGTTCAAGATGAAACTCATTGTTCCGGCAATCGCCCTCTTTTCGTCACTAGCTGCTGCCGAAAACTGCCAAAAGGGCCTGGATTATTGCGCATTCACTCTTATGGGTAAAGGTAATTCATGAGCCATCCCTAATTCTTTGCACGATTTTCAACTGACTGGCGTTGATTCTTCATAGGGGATTACCACCAGGAAATTCTCACGGCCTTGAAAAAGTCCAGCCCACCAATAAATCCTGCCATGGTGAACTACGACTATTATCTTTACCGTTGCGGAGATAGTGGCAAAATTACTAAGACTGAAAACTGTCCTTACGGATGCAACAATGGTGGTAGCGATAAATCTGATTATTGCTAAGAAACGGAGCAAAGCAGATGTCATCAGACATTAAGACACACATTAAGGAGAATATGGTACTTTGAAACGTTCATTATTGCGTCCCTGTATATACGCTCCTCGAGTATCTTCAATATAAGTGTCTCAATAAACATCTTTTTGAGGTAAAGTTAAACAAAACAGAGTAGAAGAAGGCCTCTAGGCGTTCGATATAAATTTCTGAGTCCGGTCACCCTCAGGCGTGACTAGCATGTATATGTATGTCCTAGTCTCACCCGTATCACTTAAACTTACTCTAGAGTGCCGTTAAGGTTCTAACGGCGCTTTAAGAACTGGCCATGCAGTAAAATTGGCTTAAGTACGGTTGAGCTATATTTCACTATGATGCACGAACTGCCGCTTCCTGAAATACTCGTTCTCCTAGCATACACACATAGCCATCCAAGAGCATTCATCGAGGTGTACGCTGTGATCGGTTTTCAAAATGAGAAATATATAAACTGGGAGCCCTCTTAACTAAGTGGGGGAAATCCTTTCTTGAGCTTGAGAGGTCAGAAAAGAGGGTTATGGAGGGGCGAACAAACGAGGGAAATAAAACAGGTAAATTATTCTGGTGGCCACGTCGATAACGCCGTAGCCGAGGGTTATTTCCAAGTGTAGAAAAGCGGTCTTCGCAGCTTGAGCGCAGGGGAATCAGGGGTAAGAATGCTGAGTATGTATTGTTTGAGTGAGATCTGTTCCCAAATGAGATATATATTGAAATGGGAGATGCTCGATGGCAGTCTGGTCAAAACAGACGGGTCGACAAATGGTGGCAAGAAAACCCAACAACAAGTCAGGTCTGTGAGCTCTAGACAGATGATGCCTATCAGGGATAATCAGATGCTATATCAAGGAGCATAATGATCATAAATCTTGAATCAGGAAATGAGTGGCATTCTTGTAAGTGTCTATCATTCTCTACAGTCGTAGTTTTCCTATGTCCCTTCCTTGAGGACATCACTGCCTGAGGCAATAATCATACAAATCTCGTGATTTCCCCACTACAATATATGATATTTATATCGACCCATAGACGTATGAGCCATGGCATCAGTAGGTAAGAACTCTGCGCTCACTGCAGTAATTTGTTCATCGGAGGCCAAAAATGTCCGTTGGGAAATCGGCCGCTATGCCACTTCGCAGCGGAGAGCCTTGCCAAAATACGTAGTAGAAATTAAGATCTAAACAACGAGTCCTCCAATACCACGAGATCCCACTTGCTATTCCACATGACGTCGTAGATCTAAATAACAGAGTCCTGGCTTTGAATCATCCCATCTGAGGCCTTCGCCTTGTCATTTCTAACCCGCGCCTGGAAAGCCCAATCCTCCTCCGCTCCGCGAACAGCTTTGAGATAACTTTTGAAATTATGAGACATGGTAACAACCTGGCGCAGATGTTCATCTGTTAACTCAGGAATACGATTGCCCTCGTTCTTCGCCTGGAAGCATGCCAGAGCAACGGCCGTTTGGAAGGCTTGGTTACATTAGTATGACCTCGGCGGCTGAACAGGCTCGATATCACTTACCGTTTCGTATCTCACGACCATTCCATTCGAGCACGCGAAGATCCTTCTCCCGACGGATATACTCCTTAGCATCATAGCTGCAACGTATTTCCTGGCCGTCATTCTCATGATTCTTGCTGAGTTTTTCGAAATAACCCTTCCAAATCTTCTGTCTGGACTCCTCATCGAGTGGGTCGTATCCCATCTGGACATGGATTCGTGACAGAAACGCTTCATCGAAGCTTCCAACACGGTTGGTTGTGAGGAAGAGAATTCCTTCAAAGTAATCCAAAGCTCGAAGGAAGACTAGAAGCGAGTCAGACTTAGCTGTTCACTTTAAAATCTCAAGGGGTCAAGGTTGACTCACCAGAGACGATGCTATTTCGCCGAAGATCGTGTGCGGAACGTGTTTCAAGATACACATCGGCTTCGTCAAGAAGGACAATGGCGTTCCAGTTTCTAGCGTTTCTGAAGAATTGGAGTAGATTCTTCTCTAATTGCTCTGGTTCATGTCCCAAGTCTGCCGCAGTAATACTAAGCAAAGGCCGACCGGTATACTCCGCAACAGATTCTGCGCCAAAAGTCAATTAGCAAGATTGCATCCGAATCATTTTCGGTAAACATTGCTCATACCGGCTGTAAGAGTCTTTCCTGTACCCGGAGGGCCATGCAGTAGCAAGATTTGACCTTCGCCCTTACCACGCACAAAGTCAGATGAGAACGCCTGTGGGTATGTTCCATCGAATATATCGCAAACAGCCTTGATCATCTCCTTGTTACTTTCCGGCTTCAGTACCAAGGATTCAATCACGTTTTTGTCTATCCTTGGATCTCTCAGACCAGAAACCTCCAGGATATCTAGTTCATGTTAACACTGATCAGTCTATTGGCCAGGCTAGCAGCAGTAATACTCACCCCAGACACGATCCTTCAATATAAATCCATAAACATGCGACCAGCAAAGTAGATATTGATGATCAGTTAAGTTTTTTCGGGACTTGAGATCAATATCATCATAGTCATCAAACGAACGACGCTCCATGCTGGTCTGGCGTAAATCTCTCGTCGCGCATGTTTTGCATCGGCAATGTGCAATACGTGTTCGCTCACCCAGCTCAACATCATAGACATTACTCACTGGAATGATAGCGTTTGGTTGCTTGTCAACACTATCTAGAGTCCATGGCTGACTTGTGTGGTCCACAACAACTCTCGTTCGGTTGTACTATGACCTTGTTAGAGTCGGAAGCAACGGGATAAGGAAAAGTAACAATATAAGTTCCAACTCACAGTGCGGATGCCTTGCAGTTTACTCGGACCACTATACTCATGGAAGGAAGGGGCTTTCACCATGTTAACGAATCGCTTTCCTCTATCCACCAACTGCTGATATAAAGGGTACTGTGGGTCTTCATTGACGTGGAATCGGACTGGGAATAAAGGCAAAGAGTTGATCTCGCACTCATGATCGAAGACAGGAATAAAAACCGTTTTAACAGATCGGGTCAAATGCTGCCCATCGAAATTGAGATTCCAGACGTTGACCTCGTACGGACTTGAGCGTTCTGAGCGAGAATGCCATTTGATTCCACCCTGAAATGACTCAATAACGTAGGCATTTAGCGTTCCGTTCTCTCGAACAAAAACGTCTGAGCCCGGCTTGAGAAGGTGCCAAAGAATGGTAAATGTTGTCTTCGGAACTGGACCGCCGTGGAGCCGCTCACTATCCTTCAAGCGAATCTCTGACAGGCTTTCAAGGTACTCATTCAAAATCCCAATATGTTCTCCACACATTTGGCTATACTCCTCGTCATGATCATTCTTCACCACATCCCGATACTGAAGAAGCTTTTCTCGGTAGTGGTAAAGATCGACGAAGGGGTACACAAATCGTCCAATGTGGAGATCAGTGCGGAATGGTTTCTTAGGCCATTCCTTGGGAGTGAACTCATCGGAAATGGACTGGAAATCAATGATGGCTTGAAGAGCATCGAGAAGGATCGGTGAGATAATGTATAGACAGGGACTACTAATAGTGTCAACCATTCTTTTGTCAAAGTCCATAGTATGTGAGTCACTAAAATACACCTCTCTGTGCTCTTCTAGAACATTGTTGTGACCATGGATGTCGGAGTTCGTAATCAGTTTGATTTTCTCGTCTTTTCGCTCGGTTTCGTGGCGTCTATAATCACCGTCTCTATCTGGGACTAGATAGGTTGCCACGTATACGATGCTGTTCATGACTTTCTCTTCGGCAAGCGTCTGCTCTTCATTTCCAGCATCTGAAGCAGGTTTTCTTGCCTTCCGTTTGGCAGATGTTCCCTCTTCGCTCTCAGAATCTGAGATGCTGCTCATGGCCTTCTCTTTCGCAGATGTCACACTCTCAGTATCTGAGGTGCTTTTATTTTCCCTATCGAGTATTTCTGAACGAATTTCATCCAAGATGTAACATCTATTGAACTCGATTTTGAACTCCCATCCTGGTGAAACCAAACTCTCCCAATGGCCACTGAAAACAGTTGTGCATTCAGGCTTCAGTTTGATGATCGAGTAGTTTGCACCCGGGTAATTTCCCTCATCATCAAGATCCGCCGCAATCCATTTGGGAACGAAGATATTGACGAATATTGATTTGACCAATTTTCTCACACCCTGCTAAGAGTCAATATGAATAGAGGAATCATACTTTTGTAGAACTGACATCCCAGGTTTTAGCAGCCTCGTATGGAAACGTCCAGCGAGTGCCCACTGGATCGACATAGATAATATATGGCTGATCGTTCTTGCTTTGTGGTGTAGCAGAGCTATCACTGACATCAGTCGGAACGTTTTTTTCACTCGTCGTGGCTTTATAATATTCGTTGCCTTTTCTTGTTGTTGTAGGCAATTGAACTCCTTGATCAATAGGGAGCAACTTTTCCACTGTGGACTTTCCTTCCCCTTCTGGGGCTTTGCTTGGGTCGGCCGCATGGAGGGAGTCCTTCTCGATTTTTTCGGCTACGTGAAGCCAGAAATTAGCATATTTGAGGAAAGGCATTGGTCATTGCCATGCTTACTTATCAGAGTATCGTCATCTGTGCTTATAATGTCTGCCTCCGGCACATCATGCGGCACAGTATCCGTAATCTGTGCGCTAATCAAGACAGGGTCTTCCATAATGATTGACATTTATCAGAATGGAGAGAGAGAAAATACTCCTCAACATATAGGGCCCCAAGAGACTATTTAATAAGTAGGTCTCGACTTGTAGCCGCCGACGACCAAAAGTACTAAAGCCGCCCTATTGGCTAACTGTGGTGGCATGCATGTGATGGAAAACGTCCGGACAAATCTTCGGGGTTGCGTTATTGGGCTTAGAACAAGTATGAACCGATTTTCAGGTACACTGGGAACAACTCTACAGTAAACTGCCATTTCAATAGAGGGCATTTTGGTTGTTCTGTGATACCTCATCTCGCTTTAAGCAGGTTCATTCAGGCTGATATACAGTCTCACTCATTGGTTACATACTGTAGCTGATATTTATTAGTCTGCTTGCGTCTCAGCCGACGCCTCGTGGGGGCCGTGGCCCGCAGTCCCCGCAGTTCAATTAGTGCTGATATTTGATTTTGCGCACATACCATTGAGCGCATATGTTGTAAGCGAGTCTGCCGGGCGACCTTTGGGTGATGGTACTATTAACAAGTTCAAAGCTATAGTTCAGTGAATCCTCTGTAATTAGAGGGAGACCCCCATATTCCTGCGAAAGACATGCAGGACTTTCCATGCAGGCATTTTCATGCCTGACTCAGACTAATTAACTGAATTCTCACCCGGATATAATATTCATGCATGCACGTGCGGCACAGCTTGGGCAGCCAATATGTACATACAGCCTCGCGCCGTAAATTCTAGCCCCCACTTACCCCTCTAACAGCCATGTCTGTTCTTTTGGAGCAACAGGCGGAATTCGCAGTCTGTGGTCCTCCGTTTTGAAATCTCTGATTAAACAACAATTCGTTTTTTAAAATCGGTGGCCTCTTTCGGGTTTCAGCGATTCTAGAAAATGAGTACAATACAGGAACCAGCAAGACCCGCGGTCGTGCGTCAGTTTATTTCCGAGCTTAAGCCTCATTCGGACCTAGCTGTCCAAGCAAGGTCGTGCCAAGAGGACATGGAGATGGAAATTGAATTGAAAGAGAAAATCCGAGTCGATAGAATTTACTATCAAGAGCCCATCGAAAGGTATTTTACATGGTCCAGATATAAACTGAGGATACTAACCGGTCTCAAATAGCTCTTTTACCGGAGTCGAGATTGCCCGCCAAGCTCTTGAAGCCGAATGCGACAAGTTTTTCAAATCGCAAATGAGGGAGGAAACCGAGAAGAAGAAGAAGTCGAAGGCTTGGCGAGTATTTCATCACAACAACGCTACGCAGCAAGTGGCGCAGCAAATTAGCAAAGGTCGGCTTCTAACCGTGGACCAAATCACAAGAATCACGAATGAGCTCCAAGAGGAATGGAGACAGTCCAGTAGCAAGGTGAGCAGCTATACCACTGCAAAGAATGAAGCATTGAGAAATTTGCAGAACGAGGTGATTTACAATGCATATGCCAGGTTGCAACGAACTTTAATAAAGTTTGCCAAATGCTTGATTCGCACAAGCAAATCTTCCAATGTTTTCCCAGCCAGTCAGATTACACATCCACTCTCTGTGGTGCTATCACCATGATCATTCAGGTAAAGCATTGACGGAATACCAAGCAATCCGTATACTGACTGATAAAATCCCAGACTTCCCTTACCTACTCTAATACCGCAGAGCAGCTCTCATCATTTGTAGCAGACCTGTCCGAGCGAATCTCGATTTGCACAGCGTGGCTCGATCTGTACCAGAAAGCAGCTATGAAACAGAGACTTACGGAAATATATGAGCAGTTCTTCCGTTTCTTTATCAAAGTGGCCTCCTGGTATGCGAAACCAAAGGTGAACAAAGTTCTTGATTCTTTGAATTCCAACCTCAATGAAAGTTATAAAGCGGTAGTCAATGATATTCAACGGTCTATTCAACTTCTCAAAGAGCAGGCCCAGATCGAGCACGCACACGAGACCAGCAATTTTCGCAAAGCAATGACGGAATCAACAATATTCTTCAAGGCAGAGCTAGCAAAAATTCGAAGCCAGCGCGATGTGGACAGTGATCTCGGTTGGAAAGTATGTCAATTTCTGGTGGAACAATTTGGCTGTGAGTTATGTCTCCTCTTGGTATCAACAGGACCCACGCTGACACTTCATAACTTCAAGCATCTGAAAGGGCCCATAATTTGATCGGAACATCTGGAATACGGCTCAACCAGGCCGCGTTGATAGATTCAACTGAAGCCACCGAAGCGCATACTTCTGAATACCTCTGCACAGAGAGTCATAACAGAGCCGAGGCCGAGGTACTATGCTCACACCTCCAGGAACTAGTTGACCAAGTGGAAGCCGGTGACGGAATCAAATCAGCCATTCAGGCAGGGCGGCTCGTCACCGAGCCAGTAATTATCCACGCGCTGCGGAAATGGACCATGGCTTCAACGGGCGAAGACCTCATACTCTGGGTTATAAGTCCATTTGAGATTGCCCCACCAACAAGTGCCGAGCTTGTTGCCTACGGAGTCATCTGGTCTGCAGTTCAAGCCAAGGCGCAATTTGTCTCATATATTTGCGAACGACCTCGACCTGGTCAAGTACCCGGATTTCAAGGGGCTGAGGATAAAGCTGCTGTTTTGGCTATGGCATATAGCTTGATCATGCAGCTCCTTCAATTCCATACTCCGGACGATGAATTGCGAGTCCAAAAAGAGATTATTGATCGACTTACGCGACCAGGTGAGCGTTGGAGCTCTGCTTTGGCGCTCCTCAAGTGTTTGTTGGAAAACACGCCCACACTGCGATATTGCATTATCTCGCGGATTAATCTCATTGAAAACAATGCTCGTGAGATGTGCAGAGAGTTTGTGGACATGCTTTTCTTGCATGTCAGAAACTCAAATTGGCCGCTGCGAATTCTGTTCACCACGTCGGGGCAGTCGAGGGCACTGTTGGAGACCGTTGGCCGGGAAAGTAAAGTAGAATCTAATAACCACATTCACCAAAGAAAGGGGCATATTCTTTATGGTGCTGTTCAGATGCCTGGGTAATATCACACTGTGATGAACCGCAATAAAACAAGAATACGATTTGTCTGCATGGGACCTCTCATTTGTTTCATGTTCTCCATGAATAGTTCATTTTAATATTTTCTGTTCGATTGAATCTGCTACATATGATAGACTTCACGTACTCTAAAATTTATTTCAACCGACTTCACACACGGCTAACTCCTTTCTCAGGGTTAGAGAACAGGAAAAGTCACGATCTCCCTTTCGCGTCCAGCAATCAAATGCAATAAATGGATATAAAAGGGGTTCTTTCTTAAAGTTCCACGCGCTGCTCAGTTAGCCATTTTTTAACGTATCAAGCAATTGTCCAGCCAATTACAAAGCCTAAATTTACTCGCCGAACTATTAGTCAGCTTTACCAACTTGGATACCTAAGATATAAAAGGAACTCAATGTGTATCATTTGCATAGCAGGATAACCTTTCGTCGCATACTACAAAGTCGGCCTTCATAGGTTTTGTCTGTGCTGTGTTGCTCGCTTACCATTTCATTGAAATGTCACAGAAGCAATGCTTGGTAGCGCTTTTCTCCTGACGACTTGCAATTTTCAAATACTTTTCGGCGAATAATATACTCTCCTTCCCATAACATGGACTTTCGTCGGTGATGTATTGAGATCGGGTCTGCAATCCACGGTGAAAGTCCGAACTACGTCACCCTCATAATCGGACAAGCTATTGCCGGAGTTGGAGGTGCCGGGATCTTCTTTGAGACTTTGATTATCATTGCCAAATCTGTGCTTCTATCGAACAGGTTAACATACACGGGCATTAGTGGTGCCGTATGGGATATAGCAATTGTGGTTGGCCCTTTACCAGATTATACTTTTGCGTGGGAATTTAATATTCTTTGAGCACTCCGTTGCCATCTTTTTTTATCAAACTCCGAAAAACCAGTCTAGCTCAGGTCTCTTGGCGCTGGTTCTTCTGTAGTATCAAACAAAACCCTACCCAGTGATTTTCTCGGCGCGAGATAACTTTGTTTCAGTTAATCTACTCTTTGGCCCCGTCGCCATCCAATCGATTGCGGGTTTTGTCTCACGGCACCCCGCGAACTGCGCAATTGGCTAAATCTGTGCTACAGTACGTCCTGAAACTGGTGCGAAAACCTTCACTCTTTGATCGATTCTCTAGCCCCAATAGCTTGACGTATATTGCTTTTCACATGAATTACATCGGGTCTGTACATTTTGGTAAATTAAATGCATCCGAGACCTCATTACCCAGCCTCAAAGTCACTCAAGAATAAGATATTGAAGTAGGAACGACGCGATGACAGTCTGTTCGAGCAGACAGGTCGATGCTAGCAATGGGGAGCATAGGCAGAAGGCTAATAAGAGGCCAAATAGGAGCACGTGGGGGTGGTCTCAAGAAAAGGATTTGCCTGCCCTCTTCTAGAATAAGTGGATAGGTCTTATACACATCATATATGCTGCATCATCCGTAGACCGCTACTTCATACAGTAAGCAATTCCCCCACTAACTTACAGTATCTTAATCTTTTATTACAAGTGGTCGAGCGAAGATGGCGCCTAACCTGGTCCTTCAAGTGTTATTTCCTTTATTTTCTTCCCCCACTGCCTATGAGTGTGAGTGTGTAGCTAGTCATCGCCCTTAATGACTGTCAATTCCAGGAAAAGTCGCGGTCGTTTCGAGACGACCAGCCGCCTCCTGGCTCAAGTTGTGAATGAGGGGCTGGCAACCGCGACGGTCAAAACTTCAGGGCACATGAACCAGAAATATCTCATCTTGACTAGCCATCAAGAGAGCTCCGAGAACCCTGAACGCTGGGTCAAGGTTGGGCTGCTGCCGGATACCCACTATGAACTCAGAGACGGTCGAGTGATCTCTCTGGTACGACCGGGAAGCTTCAAACCGGTGATAAGTATCGGAACGCTTTCTATCGAAACCGAGGTGCTGGAACCGGAGGAAATCTTCGAGCACATGCGTCCCTGGCTGTTGAATGTGGCAGATGAATCTCTACTCCAGGAGATTGGGAGAGAGCTGAAAAACTCTAGTGATAACCAAGGTTAGTAAGCCCACTAAACTAATTATTATGCATCACTAACAAGTCCTAAATAGAGAAATGGCTCGAAATTAGTGACGGGATGGAAAGAGCAAACTTCGACTCGTCCTCGATAGAATGGGAGAGAACCATGGTCTTTGGCCATCCCAGTCACCCGGTAGGAACATTCGATAACAACCAGGAATTGTGTGCAAAGACTAATAGAATTTATTTAATAGTATCACCGTCTCTGTTACGCACAGGCTCCATTAAAGCCTCACAGTCCCAACGCTCTCCCTGGGATGTTGACACCATCTATCGCATTTGTATCCGTTCTTCGCATCGACATGCATCCCTCAGGTTTTTATGAAGAGACAATGACCCCTCTTCTCAGGACATTAGACATACCTCAGCCGAGTGATGATCGATTGGTTGTCCCCTGTCTCGTTCAACAACTCCCGGCCGTTAAAACATATTTTCCCAGCGCCGTGGTTGTCAAAATCATTGAGGAATGTGTAGACGCGCAAGCATCCATGCGTACCTTGACTAGCCGTCCAGAGCTAGGGTTTCCATATCACCTCAAGCTCTCGTTGGCTTGTAATATCACATCCGCACTACGGACAATTACCCCATGGAGTACGATGGGCGGTCCAGTGTTCAGCGAACTACTCGAGCGATTCCTTCCTCCGGACTTGTGGGTATTCCGGGAGATTGGCTCTATTACAGGGAGTCAGTCGGACTTTAACAAAGCCAAGCACTTTTCCTGTATTCTCCGCGATAATCTGGAAACAAAAGCCCAAGCAAATGATGAAACACTGATCCTGGCTGCTGCATTGGCACAACATCCCCCAGAAGCCAAGACTTCTTACGCTGAGAGCTTGTATAATTTGGAAAATGTTCAGAAAAAAAAGGATTGGTTCCGAAAGTAAGTATTTCATACTGTAACCACACACCTTGCGGGAGGGATGTTGATATTTTAATATAGATATACCGCATGCTTGTTCAAACTTACAATCCCACCCTTACTACAATATGGAATTGCGCTTAAGGCGCATGGCCAAAACATCGTTGTGCGTGTCTGTCGGCAAACTGGAGACATCAAGGGATTTGCAGTACGTGATTTTGGTGGGATCCGATTACACGTCCCGACGCTCCGAGAATATTGTGGCGGTGGGCTGGATGCGATTCCCTCGGGGAGCGCTGTTCTGACCAGTAATCTACATAATGCGTGGTCCAAGGTGCATCACTCCTTGTTACAGAATCATGTCGGGTTTTTGTTGAGTGCTTTGGGTCTCGAACAGCAGGGAGGATGGACGATTGTGCGGGAGGAACTCGCAAATGTTCTCAACCCCAATGAAAACATACGGGGACGGAAACTCTACGATTTCTTCGTGGCAGATACCATGCCATTCAAGTGCTTTTTGATGGTGCGAATGGAAGGAAAGTACCGTGATGTGAGTGATCTAATACGACGTCCGTAGTTTTCATTGGCTAACTAGAGTGCGGGTCTAGTATGTGGAAAGAGAGCTACCAAATATCGTGGCTATGAATTCTCCCCGGTGGAAGGAGATTCTAAAGATGTATCAGCCACGATTACATCGTACGTAGATCGTTCAATAACTATGTTGATTGATATATAGTACTGTAATGGAGACCCTTGATTAGGTCTATCGTTAAGATAACCCTGCTCAGGCTGTTTTCTGGCAATGATGCAACATATTAAGCTTTGTCGTCAATCGAACCTCGCTGATCATATTTTGCCTGTGATTCACGTAGTACTTGTATGTACTTAGGGTGGCCAGTTCAATGTTATTTGCAAAGATTCTACCGTGAAGAATGATAACTGCTCATTCCCCGCTCTATAGCCGCGATCTGCAGAGCGACAATCGGAGCAAATTGCCTCGACCACATAAAACTGCCCGTCATATACCAGAACCCTGGCATACCAGTTGGTCTCCAAAGCTATGAGGAATGCGTCAGCCATGTAAGACAGTGCTGAGCTCAGAATCTTGACTTACACCATTGCGTTCTTGACTCTCATTCAAACCGCAAATATCCCCTACCTTGTCCCGAACTTCGGGCCCCATGATACGCTCAACTATCTTAGTACAGAGCTCGAAACCCGTGGCTAGAATGATCATGTCAGACTCGATCTTCGTGTCATCACCCAGGACGATCCCATCGGGGTAGTATTCTTGGACACCCGACTCGCATCTCTGCACTTTGATCTGACCGTCGATAATCATCTGACAGGCTCCTTGGTCAATGTAAAAATGACCTGTCTTGAAGATCTGATGATCTATTATACTATCCCCACCATCTCCTCGCTTCACTACCAATCCAGCCTTTTCGAGCCCATCCAACATGACTTTGTCTTTCATTGACATCATCTGAGACCCTCCAACGCTGAGGGTGCGCACAACGGGGATTGACAGTGAGTTTCCCAAAAGGTCAGCATCTTCGGTGCTCAACCCAGGAGTTTTCCACAGTGGTAGCGCAAAGTCTTCTAGAGAATCTCGAGAGACGACAAATATCTTGCCACGTTGCACCATCGTCACATTCTCGGCTCCATGGTTGACGAAGTTCTGGGCAATGTCGTGAGCGCTCGTCCCAGATCCAATGATTGTGATCTTTTTTTCTTCAGATCTGGCACAGCAGCAGCTGACTTATGTGCCACGGTGTGGTAAATTTGACCCTTAAACGATTCCTCGCCCGGGAAATTAGGACGAATTGGAATATCGCTAAATAAACCCGTCGCAAGTACCACATGCTTGGGGTTGATGGCTTGTACACCGTCCTTTCTCACCAGCTCGACTGAGTACCGTTGCTGAGATTCATTGTATACAACGTTTGTTGCAAGGGTGCTGTGCTTTATGTTGAGACCCATGATCTGCCCATAGTGCTCCATCCATTTTATGACATGCTCTTGATCGAGATAGCGGGGCCAGTTGGTAGGATATTTCAGGAACGGGTAGTGGTCACCGAACAGAGGTGTGTGCAATTTCACTGTATCATATCTGGCTCGCCATGAGTCTCCAGGTCGCTCTGCTTTGTCCACAACCAGATATCTGAGACCAAGTTCTTGCAGATGGGCGGCAAGTGCGAGGCCAGATTGACCTATATTCGATTGTTAATACGTTGACCTAGTGTGTGGATCTATTGCTGGCTTACCTGCTCCAATTATCAAGACTTGCAAAGCGTCACTGTGAATGTCTGGTGTTGAAGCTTCATGGTTAGAAGCACCAGAAGTTCCATCAACCTCCTCCGTCTCCTCCGTCTTCGCCGTTCCCTCATCAACCAAATGTTCAAGCATAGTGAATACAGTCCATGCCTTCCATTGATCCGGCTCAACATTCGCCAGCCTCACAATACCTCGTCCATCGCCGAACTTGCTTTTAAAGCTAAATCCAGACTGTATGAACTTGAGTCCTCCCAAGTCTTCCAAGTGCGGCTGCAATGCACCAGGTTGGTCAGCTTTGAGCTCCGTAAGCCCAGCCTCCGAGTTGCAAATGTAGTTGCTTATAGCCTCGGCCCCATTCAAACTTGTGATATCCCACGAAAGAGATATGAAATCTCTCCACCACGACTCCTTGTCTAAAAAGTGGTCCAGTGCCTCTTCGGGTTGACCCTTCTGTAAGCTTTCCGCGAGAGATGAAAGCCAACCACCCGTAATTGTGGCCGCATCGAGTTGTTCCGGCTTGAGCGATGGGTGAAGGGCAAGTGGTGGAAGAGGAGCCAAAAGAGGGAATTCGTCAGACATAGTGAAGTGGTATGATTATCTGACGAAACTGGCGGAAGGAAGAGTTGAAATAGATAAAGAGAGACCCCTCCATCGTTTTGCTAGTGGGTGGCCTTAACGCAGCTGATCATACCTCCGGGTAGATGGTTGGCTGGTTTTTGGCCCCATGGGCTGAGCTATATAGTACTAAAATATTAGCCCGAGCCATCCCGCCCCTCGCGGACGCATGCTTACTAGATGCACGGGAGCGGGAGAAGAAATCGGCACACACCCTGGGCGAATTGGAACATCCCAGCATGGGTTGATAGGGACACTGCGCCGAAGTGTACACGGGTAGCCGCGGGAGGCATCTAGGTATGAAGAGCGCGCGCAGATGCACCATCTGCCTTCCCAAACCACTATGTCCTCCCATATATCCCTTTAATATCCTATATCATATAAATAGGCCCCGTTCTTAGTCCTTACTTCAGCCTCAATTGCTGCTTATGTCGTTCATAGCCAAATGGGGTTAGATTAATTTGGCACCGTGGAATCGAATAGCGAACCGAGGGACGTACTCTCTCAACCCTGAACCGTAGTCGTAAGTTTAGTGAGTACCTAGCGTTTTCTGGACTGTACTCCCTAACCTCGGGATCGAGGCCTTCTTAGTCGTTATCGGCGTTAGACTTAGCGCATTAGAACTAAGCAAGGACGACGGTCTGATATATAAACTTGGCCACGTAGCGGATGGCCTGAGCGTGGTTAGTAAGCGTGTCGTAGTCGGTGGCTTTTACCCTAGCTCCTCATAGCTAGTTAAATAGCCGTTTGCGGAGATCCCCGTACGTCTCACATTAAAGTAGGACACGTTTCGGGGTTTTAGAGCCCTCTCCGCAGTGGCAGAACTAAGTTATATGGCTAGGATTCGCTGGCTTATCTTCAGGCTAATGGTCTACCTCATCTACCTTGTGATATCAATATATTGTACGCCCTAGAAGTTTGTATTGAGATCTTTAAGTCAGACTGAACGAACATCGACATGCTCGCGATCAATTTTCCCTTTATAAAATGGGCCTAGTTTTCCCATCCTAGCTTTTGAATTTTTTGAATGATCTCTTTGACAGTCTGCGAACCATTATTCATAACCAGAGACCATGATGATGTTTGTATCTACATTCGTGGGTTGAACATGACCTTCGTATATATTTGAGTTATATTATTAATACCAACACGTTTGGGTCATGGCTATTCTCAGTCATCCAGTAAATCCATGAATATTGAAGTGTTGCCGCGCTTTCTTCGCTAAAAGATCAGTCAGAAGAACTGGCCGTGTCAAACGTGTCTTGTTCCAATTCGCAGGAGACGATCCATCGCCTCAGCTCTTTACGCTGACAAGCGAGGCTGACTCAAAGATTATAACTTTGTCTAGCTCTATCCGGTAAACTTGTTGTCTGACATCGTTCGTAATGGGCCATGATTGGCCGACAAAGTCTCATCCGGTTCGCGGGGTAGGTCTAGATTCTTGGCCTACAGGAGCATAGGTGGGAATTGAAATCGGAGCCTCCCGATTGACGGCGTGGATCGTCCCTTAGCTAATTTGATGTATTTGTATTGAACCTAGAAGAGAAGGGTCGCCTTATAAGTAGGATTCGAAAGAAGGGACCATTCCGTCAACAAGGAAAGTGAACTTCGCAATTTCCCCCATGCGAAATATCCTTTCCTTACTCAGTTGTGACGATGGATCCATTTAGCTTGACTGCTGGAACACTTGGGATCGCTGGAGCAGCGCTACAGAGCATAAATGCTTTAATCCATGACATCAAGGCTATCAGAGATGCACCCGACGTATTGGCATCCCTCAAATATGAGCTAGCGGCCGTAGAGGCCATTCTTCTGGCCTTGGACAGTGCACAAAAGACCTCTAAGCTTGACCACCTTACGGACGATGCGAGACAAGCACTAAAGCTGGCTGTTACGAATTGCCAAAAAGCGTCTGACAATTTCGGTATGAAGCTGGCACGATGGACCAAGCGCTCGGATGCAAAGATGCGCGCTTGGGAACGTGTCCATCTCGGCGTCTTTGCTGAAAGATCTGTCGAGAAATTATGTCAGCAGCTCAACCGCTATGAGTCCACTCTAAACATAGCAATAAGCACTGTTACCCTGTATGTTTATCTTCTGCTTCCATATTTGATTCAAGCATTGGCCACAGGCTCATTGGCTTTTTAGGCTGTCGGTCGCAGCATCTGACACTACCTCCGAAGCGATACAACGAGAGATTTGTATCAAGGAAACTGAGCTCACTCAAGAGATCATCGAGATTAACAATCAAAAGGCCGTGTCGGAAAAGGCCTTGCAGAGCATCGCAGAAGGGCAGCTCTTAGATGACCCTCAATATAGCACCGAAGCGATTCAGCAACTCCAAGATCAAGATGCTGGACTAGATAATTCTCGAAAGCTACTAGAAGAGCTGCTCGCGGAGGTTTGCCACGTGAGCATGGAGCAAACGATCACAAATGTTGACATTAGTGACGGTGGAAAGCTCCTCGTCGGTCTAGTCAATACCGATGATGATAATGGAGAGGTTCGTCAGGAAATTCACAATGTTAAAGCCACAAGCCAAGGCAAGGGGATCGTGGGAATGGCCAAAGGGTTCGATGTTAATGCGTTTTTCAAAAACTAGCTGTACCATGTAGCAGCCAGAGAATAGGTTGCTACCCTGAATTAAACGCACTTACATTGTCAATCTGATTTGATAGAATAGTGTTGTCGGTATCTATTAGGCTGCAAGCCAGTTAGCGAAGAACAGTCCAGATTCTTGGAGTGCGACGACTGGCAGTGAGTGCCCAGAGAAACGAACCATGGTCTAGTATACTCCACGGTGCTGACACTGGGCTCTTTAGTAGAATATTGTGCGGATCACCAATGGCTTCCTATGGTTCGGACAGTAAAATCACTTTTCAAGCTCAGGATCTATGATCCGGGATAAAACTAACATGCCTGCTTCCACATATCTTTTGTCCACAGGCCCCTCTACAAGGCGGTATTATGGATAGCACCGAGATTTAGGCAGCATGATATATAGAGATACATGCTATTCATCTTTAGAAAAGAATCAGGGGCCTAATAATTCAAAGCTAATATATTAGCCTTCTGCCAGGCCATTCCTACAAGAGCAAAGTAATAAAAGTGGCAATGACAATCAATACCGGAACTTCAGAGACACCCAATCGTCTACCATCATTGGACTCTGACTCCGCGGTGACAGAAGGGCTCGAAGTGGGCGGCTCGGTCGCCTTTGCAAATTCGGCGCTAGGATAATCCCGTACATTGCTCATTCCAGCGCAAAATCCTGTAAAGCTCGACGCCGTGGTAGCAGCGGCAAGATTTGTGTTAGTCGCCGTTGAGGTAGAGCCGGCCGTATATCTTGCGCAAGCAAGAGCTGCGCTGTCCAAAGCATCGGGGACATAATACGTCGACGAATAGCACGCGCAGGAGGCTAAAGCAGATGAGTCTAGTGCGATTGAGCTGTGACTTCCACTAACAGTCCAGGAACAAAGGGACATATAGCTTTGAAAGATGCTGCAGCCCAGTACTGCGATCGGTGTTGTGGTGCTAGTTGCGAGCACTGTTCCTTTCGATGGTGTGGCAATACCCGTCGATGATGTGGCAGTACCAGTCGATGATGTTGATATGGGGGTTGTGCTGCCATTTCCTGATAAAGAGGCAAAATCCCCAAGTAGGCCGCTAACAAGATAGGCCAGGTCCGTAAGGCGGTCTACCGGTTCAATTAGATGGTTTAAAAGCGGAACTCCTGTGAAGAATAGGCTTACTTGAAGTTGAGAACAACGGGGCATTTGAGCCACTGCCTGATGAGCTGCTATCGGACGTATTCGGTATGTCTTCGCCGTTGTTTGCTGATCCACGAAAGTTTTCAGGGTGCACCGCTGCAGGAATTAGAGAGCGATCAGGTGCTTTCATTGGCGGTTTTGGTGGCTCTCCCAGCCCGGGTCTACTAGGAGGCAATGCTACCACAGTAGTTGTAGGATAGAGAACCAGAAAGAATAGACACAGAGGTCTCAACATTTTGCAGTAAATTGAAAAAAAGAGGAGAATATGAAGCGGAGCAAAGTCTACTGAAACAAGATTTCAACCAAATACAAGATTGAGGGACATGGTGACCTTATAGGGGCGCGAAAAGTCTTCTACGGCTCAGATTACAAAAGAGCTTTGGTGAAAGTTGGGTGGAGTGTTCGTGCATCACCTGAACTGAATTCAATCGCATCGAAATATAAGCAATAACCAAATCATTTTGTTGATATCGGCGGTAGTTTGCGCAGATCATGTTCCGAGCGGTGCTAGCGCTACGTGGTCGTTCTCCTATTTACGTAGTTAGAGTCACTCTGCCCAAACCAACAGGCGACCTGACCAATCAGAACACTTTTTAACCCGAGACTACTTCCATAGGCACGGCCTTGTACCTCGAGGGCGAGATAGGTAGATAGGTAGCCCTGGGGGTAGTTCCAGTCACATTGCGCCCCAAATTATAAGCAACCCGACCAATCAGGGGGACTTTTAACCCGAGACTAACGCGGAAAGACCTCGGGAGACCGTGTGCGTAATTTACTATACTCTTAGTGGAGTGGGCCGCAGCGCTCGGGCGCCGATCCATATCATTCTAGTTTCACACACGTGACTAACTATTGCGCTCACCTAGATTTGAGCGTAAAATTCATAGAGAAGATTATGCTTGGTGAATTGTTTGTAAGTAAGTAACTTCATATGAAATGTTAGAAGTGAAAGTCAATTTGACCGATCAAACTAAAGGAGTGCACAAATAAGTTGCCTTAGCTTAGAGGTTTTGTTTCTACTCAGGGTTCCATGTTGGGAAAATTGTGACTTTATCTAGAGCCCCATGTGTCATGAAACGGGCTGAACTAGTGGATTTCTTCTCGCGAATCGGACGACCACACGTGTTGTGGAGTGCGGCATGTCTACTCGTATATGACCGTTAGTGAACCATCGCTTAGATTAGGGAACAAAGCGCGCGGCAACACGTGGATCTACATGATGACTTCAACCTTGGAGGTACCTCCTGAATGTGTTTGAGATCCTTGGTAATCAGCGACTTCAGCAGGACAGTCGAAGTTCCAGACATTCTTTCTAGGAGATTCAATTCACTTGAATAAGCCACTTGGATTCACTATGCTTTCGAGTCGAGATACGATGGCCCCGGCTAGAGACACAAGGTTGATAAAACGGACTACCGTGAATATCTCCGGAGTGAGCGCAGAATCCGGTGGAAAATTATTTGCAGGATATGCGGATAATAGTATCAACAACACATACCACGGTGGGACACACTACCATCAGCATCACGGTAAGTTCTTGGGTAGAAATAAGACTGAGCTTCGTTTTAATCATGATACCCCTAGAGCGGCCTGAAACCCCTCCGAGCCCCTTGTCCACTGTCCCCTTCACGCAAAATCCAGAATTTATCAGTCGCGATAATCTACTCGATCAGATTCACGAGAAAGCCTCGGCTCCAGGTAGCATGGTAGCGCTTTTCGGTCTGGGCGGTGTCGGGTTAGTAGAATGCAGGCATAAATAAGATTGTTGCTCATAACTCGATAGGAAATCGCAACTTGCTATCGAATATTCCTACAGGGTACGATCCCAATCGCCGTCCACATGGGTCTTCTGGATTCATGCGAGTAATGCAGCCCGGTTTGAGGAAAGCTTCCGGGACATTGCGGACCGAATTAGACTTCCAGGCCGCCATGATCCCAATGGAAATATCTTAAGGCTGGTACAAAATTGGCTCCTGGATGGGAGGACAAGCAAATGGGTTCTGATCGTTGATAATGTTGATGACGACGGATTTCTTCGCAAGCTCTCTGCAACGGATCGGGAGGGCCAGAGAAATGGTCGAGCCAATGCCTCGCCACGGCCGCTTCTAGAATTCCTCCCGCAAAGCTCGAATGGCTCAATCCTATTTACCACTCGAAGCAAGGAACTAGCATTGAAACTCGTCGATTACAGGAATCTTATCGAAATCGAACCGATGAAAAGATTTGAGGCTCTTAGACTTCTGCAAAAAAAGCTTGAACTGCGAGAGGAGAGCGAAGCGAGCGTCAAATTAGTGGAACAACTCGAGTTCATGCCACTGGCAATCGTACAGGCAGCCAGCTATATCAAACATCGAGCACCCCGTTGCTCGGTATCGCAATATCTAAAGAAACTTCAGAAGGGCGACTCCGAAGCGATCAAGCTTCTTAACGACAAGGCAGGGGATCATTGCCGAGAGTGGGGGAAAAGAACTCCATTATGGTTACATGGCAGATATCTTTTGACTATATTCGACGAACAAGACGGTCCGCAGCAGACTTACTCTCTCTCATGAGCTTTTTTGATCGGCAAGGAATTCCAGAATGCCTTCTTGGAAAAACACGTGAGCTGGATACAGATGATGGATTTGAGGATGACCTTACAACTTTACGAGACTTTTCATTCATTTCCGTAAACAACGATGGCACACTTTTCACGATGCATAGATTGGTGCAATTGACTGCACGTTTATGGCTGCAATCTCATGGAAAAACAGAGCGGTGGAAAAGACGATTCATTCACAATCTATGGCACGAGTTTCCCATAGCGAAGTTTGAAAACTGGGAAAGGTGCCGTTTCCTTTTCCCCCATGTGAAATCAGCTATATTGCATCAGCCAGAATCACCAGATTCTCTAGCACAATGGGCTACGCTACTTTACAGAGGCGCACTATATGCCTCGCAAAGCGGTAACATTGCGGAGGTGAGAGAAATGGCATCTAAATCAAGAGAAGAGAGGGAGAGAGTTTTTGGTGCCAACAGTGAAGATGCCCTCGCAAGTACTGCGATTTTAGCGACAGCATTCGATCTCGAAGGCCAGTGGAATGAGGCCGAAAACCTGTTTTTACAGGTGATTGAACATCAGAGGGTAAAGCTTGATGAGGACGACCCTGAATTGTTAAAGAGTATAGAGAACCTGGCAGAGACTTATTGGAAACAGGGCCGACAGGAAGAGGCAGAGAAACTCACAGTGAAAGTACTCTCGTTGCGTAAGAGGAGACTCGGCGAAAACCACCCCGACACACTGACGAGTATTACCAACCTAGCGGCGACGTACTGGATTAAGGGCCGATGGAAAGAGGCTGAGAAGCTTCAGGTGCAAGTGATAAATACTCGCAAAATAAAGCTCGGTGAGGACCATCCTCATACTCTGGAGGGTATGGCCAGCCTTGCGTGGACATATTGGAACATGAATCGGTGGGAAGAGGCCGAGATGCTCCAGGTGCGGGTGATGCGAACTCGCAAGATAAAGCTCGGTGAAGATCATCCTCACACTCTGGAAAGTATGGCCAGCCTTGCGTGGACATACTGGCACATGGATCGGTGGGAGGAGGCCGAGCTGCTCTTTGAGCCAGTGATGAAGGCTCGCAAGACGAAGCTTGGTGATAACCATCCTGACACACTGGAGACCATGGCCAACCTAGCGTCGACATATTCTAGCCAGGGCCAGTTTGAAGAGGCCAAAAAGCTCCAGCAGCAAGTGATGGAAAGTCGCAGGACAAAGTTAGGTGATGCCCATCCCGATACTCTGACAGCTATGGCCAGTTTGGCTTCCACATTGTCGGAACTGGGCCGGTACGAAGAAGCCGACCAGCTTTTTACGCAGATTGTGCAAAAGCGCGAGATATGTCTCGGCGAGAACCACCCCGATACCTTGACCAGTATGGCTGGCCTAGGGTCGGAGTATGGGAAGCAACATGGTGGCAAGAGGTTGAGGAAGTTTTGGTCAGGGTGGTGGAGACGAGCTACATAAAAATCACCGATAGCCATGTCTCTGCGCTATCGGGTATTGCCTGGAAATGTTGATGTCAACTTTATAATTCTCTTATTGCGTAGCAGGCTCTTTGGCCAATTATAAATCATGTTCGTATGATATATCTTGCGCTGAAGCTTTACAGTTTTCTATTCAGCGGCCTGAAACAAATGAGGTGAGATCCAGTGTGTCCTCGAGGGGTGAGCTGCTTTCGAACTCTACTGTAATAGTAAATCCCAGTAACCACTGTACTATGTGACAATACAATACTGCGGCTCCCAAAATGATGCGATTTCTTCAAGAATTCATCCACTCTAGGGTTTTGGTGGTAGGGTCAGAAAAGATTTGCATAATGTTCTTCTACATATAAGCTGGACATGTTATTCTCTAGCTTTCAGTAACTTTCCCGTGCGTCAAAGGTTTCTTCGGCGGGTGAATTTAATTTTGAAACCCGCTTAGTTTGCTTCAGAATTTCAATTTCGTCATCTTGGTCGAGAAAGCGTCAGGAATTTTGAGATTGGAATCTTTATTAATTGCGATGGTAAACATCATCGACACATGCAAATCCCGAGCCGGAACCCTGGACATCATAGATCATGCCCAGGTGATCATCGATGTTTGATGTGGACTAAAGAGAATCATGACTGCACGGGTTACGCTTGGTTATTCGGCCTGTGCAATAGAGATGATAGTTCAACCTCGGAAAATAGGCACCCTCAATTTAATTACCGGTATTCATATTCCGCCAGAGCTCAGTGAATTGATCAACAAACGGTGTCTCTACTGTGTTTACTCATTGCACTGACGAGGCTTCGAAATTAGCATGCATTAGCGGGGCTGTTGGCACGTAGAATTGATATTCCGCGAGTATCAGGAATATCCTTGAATAACGTGTCTGGGTCAAAGCTGTGGTCTTCAAAGATCTGCTTCACTACCCGCTTGAGCTCGGTCGTGTTGAGTCTGCCCCAAATCATTCCTTTCAACACTGGTAAATAAGGATAGGGCGAATTATTGTGGATAGGGATCCTTTTGTGGTTTGCTGAGGTTTTATTCTGAGCTGAGCCAGTTGGGGTACAAGAATTTGATACGAAATAGGTGGCCAAGGCCTTCAATCCAGTTCAAACACGGAGCGATAATGGCACAGACTGTTCGAGGATCATTACACCCTGCAGGTGCCGATACGATCATGATTAGTTATGGGGTTAGAGAAAATGCACACAGGGACCCGCAACATACTTACTCTTCTAAGCGATCGAAAAAGAAGAAACGACAATTTTGGGATGACCAGCCAATAAGAACATGTCTTAGACCGAGGAGAGGTCTGTGCAGAAAGTACGAAACTTGACTTCGGGCACATATTTGCAATGAGTATACAGACTATGAATGCAGATCTCAGTCTTTGGATGTAGCGCATAGACAAAAGTGACCCCTGGCCAAGTTTCGCCTCCAACGACCGAAGAGACTACGTAGATTGGTGTAAGCGAAATTGGCCTATTTCCACGGTGTCATAGTCCAATAATCTTTGGCATGAGTTGGGTTTCCACAAGAGCTGACCCATGGACGTTGGCACGTGCATAGAATTCACGAGTCGTTCCTTATGGCTGGAGTAGATATACAGGGGTATGATGGGGGCTTGTGATACATATTCCATCTCCCCGCTTTTGATCTATTCCTCCACTCACCATCCTCACTTGGTCCAAGGGTAGTCATCAGTTTACCGCCCCTGCCCTCTGAGTTAGAAAAACCAACCTCACTAAGATCAGGTTGTCCACTGCTCCCTACGCCTTTTTCTAGTGTTTCGGTCTCCCACCATCGAATCTAAGATGCGACTTGTCTGGAAGTCTGACTGCTGTGACACGTGTCGAAATAGGAAGGTCAAAGTAGGTTCAGACCTTGATTCGAGTATTGCTAAGTATTAAAATTTGCATATAGTGTGACGGTGAATATCCTATCTGCCGCAACTGCTCCAGGAACAAGCGTACATGTGAACGTACCTACCAAAAAGGTCGTTTGGTCCGTCTTCCCCAAACAAAGTCGCTTGTTCTGCCTAAGCGGCAGTTCCCCTGCACGGTAGGAAATCTGCCGACAAGCCCATCGCAGGGCCACTTATATCAGCAACAATTCCTGTCATGCTTTCTGGCCGACTTTTTTCCGTCGCAATCTAGTGGCCTTCAGATCTTTTCCTACTTCGAAGACTTGTGCAAGCATCACGGCGAAAGCGACTATATCAATGTCGGCTCTTCCGCCCTTAGCTTGGTTTATTTTGGCCAAACTCATGGAAACGAGCATCTACTGAAGTTGAGCCTGCAATACTACCACTTATTACTGGGGATGGTCTGCATAGCTAAACAACCGACGGAAGATGTCATTATTGGCGCAGCACTTCTCAGCATGTATGAGGTATGTAGTTCAAGCTATGGTGTTGAAATCCCATACCTAAGGAATGATCAGGTTTATAACCCAGTCGAAACAACTTCCTGGACGATCCATGTGCGCGGCGCATGTAATCTTGTTGCGACTCGTGGACCAGAAAGCCCCATCAACCCGCGTCTATTATGCTTAGTGCGAACCATAGGGGTAAGCAATGTTTTTATAAATTTTAGCTCTCTAATAACTTACAGTCTAGCAGTTCTATGAGAGCTTAGGTCGTCGCAAAACTACATTTCCACCGAGCCCCCGATGGAATGAGATTGTTTCAAAGACTGAGCCATTCGAGCAACTTCTGAGCATTATACTCTCTCTACCCCGGCTTGAGGAGCTTCATGACAAAATCGAGCAGTCTGAATCTGCAAAACGTTTGTTCCTTAGCCAGCTCACAACCACATATTCCAAACTTCGAATGTGGTATCTTGAATTTCTTAATAGCCAGAAATTATGCACTTTTGAAAAGCGAACGGCTAAACCTGGCGAACTATCCTTTGTCGCACACTACCCCGAGTTGAGAGACACATTCCCAGAGGTCATCATTTTCTCAAGTCGCTATATCTGCCAACTACTTCTACTTTGCTGGACAGGCTTCTTCGTGTTGAACCACGAGACTTCTAAGTTTGTAAGAACGTTCAAGACCACGATCGAGTACACTCAAGATTCACACCTCTTATCGCCCGCTCAACATCAATGCCCATGTCTTAATAACGAGTCTACGATCACCGAATGGTCCGGTTCCTTAGATCAGGAAACGGATACGGGGATTTATTTGGTTGAGAAATGCGCCGAGGTTTTTGCAGAGCGAATATGCCAGTCAATAGTTTACGCAGACAAATACTCCTATGCGTCTGCGATGAAGTTGATGATTATATCTCCGGTGTGGATTCTGCAACAATATTTTATTGATAAGAAAGACTATCAGCGGGCATTGTGGTGCCGGTGTGCTCTCGAAGCCATCCCGCCTAGAAGAGTGGGCTTCGGTTCGCTTCTTGCAAAGCTTTCTGTCCAGCAGTACCAGGAAGTTGGTGGCGGCAAGAGGTAAGAGATAGGTTGCACAGTTGCAAAGGCCTGTAATTTATTTCGCTTTATCTGAGACTTTTCCCATCTCCTTAATGTACAGGGGAGTCTGGCCAATCCATCTGTTGGCAGACTGGCTTTAGCAGAAGCCAGGGGAAGAGAGAGAGAAGAAACTTTGTTTACTCCGAACGGGCGACGGGGCCTCTAATAGGCCCAGCCGTCCTGTGCTAGCTGACTAAGGTCTGATGCCGGTCACACTGGCTTCGAAATTATTCCTATAATCTTGTACTCTAAAGGAGAAGTCCTATGTTAATTTCCGCCCATTCTTAGCTAAATCCATGTATCGGAAACAACCAAATCAATGGTCATGAGGGGGAGGCAATAAGATTTATTTGTCTGCTCTCGAAGACGTCAAAGCCATACCTGACGACCGATACTTTTAACTCGTCGGAAGCAGGTTGTGGTCTTGAGTCAAATGGGGTTCCGCCAGAGCTGTTGTATCTGATGACGATGGGTGAGTCTGTGGATATCATATGGTGTTTCCTTTTGCTGATCAAGTGTCCCAAACGCTGAGCCGAATACTATGAAACAGTCATTTTGGCATGACCATGTTTCCTTTCAGGCCCTGGAGGCAATGTGCTTATCTCACATCGAAGAGAAGGAGGACAAACACACGCTTACTTGTTACCGTTTCTGCGTCTATATGAAAGCTGCCGCGTTACTTTTCCAACTGCCAAAGAAAGATCGGAGTGTACCACTTCAAAGGCATCTTGAACAAAGTAAAAAGCAATATGAACATGAGGTACATAACGCTCTTTCCAAGACAGACTATCTTGCACCGCCAGGTATGCTTCTCTTGCAAGAATTTCTGTCAGGTGTATGTTGGACTACGTTTTCCCCGTTCAACTATATTGACATTATCAGGCGTACGGCTAAGTTTTTGCTTCAACTGGATAAAGCGCCTGCACCAGGTGAATTCAATTTTAATCGATTAATTAATTGATTGATGCTTACATCAGGTTCAGCTATCATGATACTCAACAACTTCACCGCCAAACTATTCACCACAACACACGTCTTACCACATCAACACTCACATATCCATTCGCGCTGAAGATGAAAGGTAAACAACTTGAGGCACGTTTCCATGTTCAATCACGCATCAGTTCCGAGACCACATCGGCAGCGCTTGAGGACTTGGAATAGGGAGTTCCTTCTTTATACTTATTTGGGATGAACAGATAGTCTTCCGGCCATCCCGGCAATCTGCCACAAACAGAACGAACTTTTTCCAATACACACTGGATGATAACGTCAGACTTATTTTACTCACGAGCCAGAGCAGTCGAGTCCTTACCTGCGACCAGTCTGTGCCATCAATGCATTCGGTAGGTTCAACAGCAGCGTCCGTAAAATCGCACACAGGCAAACTCCATCGCATTAACTGCCACGCAGGAATATCAGCGCCGGATGTTTGCGGAACCCAGTCGAAATATGAGTTCCCGTCAACTTCGGATACCCATTTGTTCGTCGTTTTCTGAATCAAGTAGGCAGATCGGGCGATGTCATGGCCATTGAACCCATACTCTGCTGCCAACTTTTCAATCCCTTTCGGGGCCTTAATTTTAGGAGTGTGGAGGTGGTTCTGGAGCTCATCCTTCAGAAGCTGTTTGAAATTAGCATTAAAAGAGATAATGAGGACACCGGATCATTTGGAAAATCATACCAGTAGAAAAGCGCTGCCATCAGGGTTGCAGTACTTGAAATCCGAACTATCTTGATTCTCCGGTATGCTTCCATTCTCGTCGCAAGGATGGTATTCAGAGCCATCTCTATACAAGATCGCTTTGTTGTCAATCTTGACAATAATAATGAGGTCTTTCAACCACAGCTGGTTGATCAAAGGAGCTGCAACAAACTTCTTCAAGTCTGCGTTTTTCGGCATCAGGGAGCTTTCGGTAGAGAGACTGCTGACGCTGGCAAAATTGCCGCTCTGCAAAATTCGAGGGATGGAAATAGGCTTGGTCACCCAGTTAGGGTCAGCAGGGGGCGTATGGAGGAAAAGAGTGTTGAAGAAACTGTCTAAACTGTTCGTGACAGCGTTCCGAATGCTGTCTGCTTTATCGCCCAGCTCCGCATAGGTATCAAACTTAAGATCCGCCGAGGTTGTTGAAGAGAGTGTGGCTACAGCACCAGCTCCAATTGTCGCAGCGCCTGCGGCAATACCCGCCATCGGGTTCACCATGAATGCAGCAATAATGCTGGCCGCCCCGGCGCCAACAGTCAATCCTGAGGCTGGATCAAGAGTAGTTCCTGGGTCAATGGAATGTGTGTATTGAGTGACCATGCTGGCGGTTTTGAAGGCCATGCTGTCCCAGACTTCTCCCATCACTCTATGCACGATTCCGAAGTATCTTGCCAAATTTCGGACACCGTATAAAGCCTGTGTGCGGTACATCCGATTGTCGCGACAAAGGTCATTATCATCAAGGTTGCCCACGGTACAGGTCTCACGGGCACTGTCATATTAGTTAGAATTGATGATAATGATAATTCTCTGCCTGCAGAAAACTTACTTGGTGCACTCCCATGTGTAAGCGCCGTCCTTCTTGAGTCCTTGATAACTTGCCAGTACACGGGCCACGCCACCAACTTCTCCGTCACCACCAGGCCACTGGAAGTCATTGTTCGGGTCAAGAGCAAGCTTTTGATACCAACCAATTCTGTTTGAATCCGAGTGTTAGTTCATCGATTATAGCCTTGGATTCGACTGGATACATACGTCGTAGTTAGCCATGACCCAGTGTCCATTTCTTTCCAAAGATCCTGGTTGAGGCCGCTGAAATCGCTGCAAATTTTCTCTTTGCGATCGTTATCATCTAGTGGCCAATGTTCACTAGGGTTTTGCATTAGTTTGAGATCCAGCAATGTTAATAACTGGGTGAACATACCTGTAACCATCAGGTAGCTCGTCACCCGCATTGCCAGTCGGAGTCGGGCTGATAGGAGGTGTTCCCGTAGCTGTAGGCTGATCAGGTAGCGTGAATGAAGGTAGCCCAGGATCCTTGGTCGGGTCCCCGTCGTCCACAGCGCTACTATCACTGCCAGGACAAGTATTAAACCATGTATATGCCTGCCATGGTAAGTATTCACCGCAACCCATCTGACCATTATCTCGGAGGACTCACAATATTACTGCGAGGAATAACGTTGTGCATGTCGGCGCGACCTAGACCTCCAAGATTTGGGAAGAACAGATTCGCCTACATCAAATCAGTCAGCAGCCCCTGATACAAGCAACAGTTCACCTACTCCTCGGTCAGATCCTTGATAGCGTGGTCCATCAAGCAATTCCCATTGCCAACTAGATCCCGCAGTAGGAATCTGGCCTTTGTTAATCCAGACGAGCGTATTGCCGTTGAACTTATCCACCCAGAGGAAGTCAACAAGACTATCACCTAGAATCGATCAATCAATATATGGTTTATAATAGGGCAATATTATGAGCAAAAAAATACCATTTACATCGGCCCACTGATGGTTAGCCCGATCGTAGCCCTGCGTGCGCTTGACTTGGCCTTGGGCCTCGAACTGGTTTTCGGCCTTATTAAGCCAGCCAACCGTTCGTCCATCTGGCCTATGGATAATGATTAGTATCGGTGGTGTATCATTGAAAAGAAAACCGTGAAACTCACTCCATGCAAAGGTAATCTGCGCGTCCATCGCCACTGAAGAAGTTAGTACCATGGTCTGAGATATATGGGTAGAAATTGGACAAACTCAAGGTCAGCCACCCTAACTCCGATATCATAAAGTCCAACTCCCCACCCTTGGGTACATTTAACGTCTCCGCTGACAACTCCTTTGTAGGTAAGGAAGCCACTCTTGATATCTTCATTCCAATGATTGATCCAGACCTCCGCTGCACCGGTCTCACGATCGACTGCCCAAATATCACACTATAAGCCATTAGTCAAAGCCGTTAGAATTCATACCTGAAAACGGTCTGGGTGATGTTTAACGCACTTTACCATCGCCATCGAAGTCCGCCAGATGAATACTCTTGCGCTCTCTTCCTAAGTTGAAGATTTCGGGTCCTTCAGGGACCCACACAGGGGGTTGCTGAATGTTTCCGTAAAGCAAACCACGACCGGTAGGAGAGACCCAGATCTGTAACAAACATTAAATCTCTCAACTCATCGTGAAGTACGCAGAAAAACTTACATAATCATCTGCACCGGTTCCACGCCAGTCACAATAAAAGTCGCCGTCGCCTACTTGATCTTGTTAGCGAAATAATAGCGTGAGGCCAAAAGGTATATGCGACCTTTAAGGGTCGTTCCACCCTCCCCTAAATTCTTCCAGACATGGGTATAGTGGTTGTAAGTGTCCGCATTCTTCACGGATTCAATCCAGACATAATCGACACCTCTGCCTGGGTATACCTGGCCGAACTTGATGCGATCCCTAGCCCCCTCCACCCCCATACCGGCATGTGTGACACCAATTCGTCGCCACTCAGGAACAAGACTTCCTTTGCCCGAACCACGCTGATTGATGTATGTGGTCACTTTGCCTTCCTCATCTAGCCAGAGCCAGTCGGAACGGAAGTCCCCATTGATATCGACAAGGTGGACACCTCGTAGATCGCCCATACCTTTACCAGTGAAGACAGTTCCAAGATCCTGCCAGTAACCACCGAATTCCGCTGTTGGTGCCTCTTTCTGACCTCCGTTTCTCCAGCATTGTATGTCACCATCATTTTTGGCAAGGCAACTATGAATGTCAGGGCTTAGCCTTGGAAGACTATGAGTATCACCGGTAACTTACTAATCGAGGCGACCATCACCATCAATATCCCCGAGTCGTACATTGGCCTGCACTAAATCCCCCCCAGGAGCAGCTTTGAGGAGACCGATAGACTTGAAAATCGGAGGGCTTCCACCTTGGTTGATCGATGCGTACATAGCGCCCTCTTGGCTGATACAAATGAAATCGTCCAATCCATCATTATTGAGGTCACCCCAGCGTACACCTAATATATTAGAATAGAAAAAAGTAAAGGAATTGCAGATTGATATTCAGTGTACTCACCTCGCGCAAGACAATTATCCTTCACATCAATCTCCACTGGATTTCCAAATTTTCCATTGCCATTGTTGGCAAACATGAACGTTCCTTTGCCATCTCTAGTCCAGACAAGCTCGTCCAAGGCTCCTTCACGGTGGGCACCTCCCTGATTAACTAGTTGTGCGTAGTTAATACCTGGGTGGGTATCATCCTCAGAGCTAGTGATGCCAATTTGGTGAATACGGCCCATGCTCTCCGCGTTGTGTTTGTAGTCACCATCATCCCAGCCACTACCACGCTGAGTCTGTACCTTTCCTCTGCTGTCATTTCCACTGCCGAACTGTTTCTCACAGGTGGTGTCGACCCAGTCGCTTTCGCCAATGTCTTTTGGGCTTTGCAGATATCCTTTCTTCTCGGCTTCTTGAATCGCAGCCCACCACACCGAGGCCATCTTCACATATCCTTCATCGGTTGGGTGGGTTTTATCGACAAGCTCCGTAACCTTAATGAAGTCATTCATCTCCGCTAGAACGATACGTGCACCCTCCTTCATGCGAGCAGCTGCGATTTGGCGGTACTGCTCGTTAATCAAGGGTACATTAACTATACCGTTAAGCTCGTCGTTGACCAGTAGAGTCGAGAGGATGATTGTTGTTCCAGGGATAGCATCATATAAACGAGTAAGGAGCTCATTCAATCTCTCCCCAGCTGTATCAGGGAAATAATCCTGGACAGCATCGTTTGTGCCAGCACTGCGGGCAAAGCAAGTATGTTAGCATTGACAGATTATGGGGTATGTCATAGGAGAGCTATACTTGATCAGAATAAGATTCGGGGCTTTGGGGATAGTCTTTTCGGCCTCCTTGGCGACCTCGGCAATTCGGTATCCAATGTGCCCTTCGTTGTCCTAGACAAGTGGCATGTCAACTCAATAAAAGGTTTTGCTGCAATCTCTGTGCCGTATACTTACATTATCCTTCATATCTCCGGCCTTGAGCGAGCCAACCATGTTGACCTCCCATCCAGCATAACGAAGTTGTTGGCGGAGCACTTTGCGGTATCCATTTTTATCAGATGACTTGTACCCGGTGGTGATCGAAGCCCCGAGAGGCATGATTCGTAAAGGAAATGGCTTGTCATCACGAGCTTTAAGGTGGTGAGGAGCGTTGGACCTATGGTGGTCATAGTGATGAACATGGTGTGAAGGGTGTGCTAAAGTGAGTGTAAATAGCCCTAAACAGACGATGAGTATGTTCATGAGTCGCCTCAGGCGCAAACTCGGCTCCATGATGAGCTTTGGAAAATTCAATTTGCATTGTAAGAAGATAGGAATCCGCTCGTTACATTTTATAGTTCTTTCGATGTTGAAAATCAGGGGCTAGGCGCAAGACTACTTGTCCTTCTAACAATCGATACGACCAAATCCTGTCAAATTCAGCCGTACTAGTCGTGATCGTTTGAAGCACATTTATAGTGGATTTTTAATTTCCGACATTAGGCGACCTTCTCGGTACTTGGCAGATTAGATTATGGCAGCGGAGAGCTCCTGTTTTCTCCTTATGCTCGTTTTGGAATAGAACGCCCAATAGACGACTGTTCAGTATTTTCAAATCCTACATGAACCTTACCTCCCTGCCAAGGCAGTACCAGAGCTGAAAAAAACTCGATATTACCAGGCACTTGGAGCTTCGGTGCAGGCAGACCACTATGCCCGGAATCTGAAATTGCAGGATTTGAAAGCACGGTCCCTCATCCATCCCGCCGAGCGTGGGGTCTAAAAACCCTTCCTGGTCAGCCTGCCAAGCGTGGGGTCCAAAAACACTCCCTGTTCAGCCCTGTTTACTGTTAGTATCTCTTGGCATCGCGCCAAGAGTTCGCATTCCACCTTTCCGACAGTCGTTCGTGTGGAAGGATTGGCCAAAGCACAGCCCCTTTGAAGTATCAAGCCCTGAACCTAACGACTTAGCTCCTTTCTGTCGGGTCTATTGAGGAAAATGTTTCACTTAACCAGAGGGATCGTGCAATTAAATACCGTAATTGCTGCACGCCGCTTAGAGCAATGATTGCGGACAGTTTCAATTGGCCTTTAGCGTTGCAGGTGGAATAAATAAGATCTATGTCACGTAAGTAGGTTGAAGTGGAGCTTTCTTTTGTACATCCGTTGTACACCATGACTATCTCTAGACGAGTTATGCTATGTCGCTCTCGGACATTTAGTCTTTTACGCGACCATCGTTGGATACTGGGCGTTACAATACGCAATTTCGTTAATATTAAGGGTCCGGTTGTTCGGGCCAAAAGTAATTTCGTCTTTGGCCTCCGTACTATTCTTGACTTCGATATACGAAAATGGTTTCTAGAGAATGCTATGATAATCAAGAGAAAAATACAATGATTCATCGAGCAAAAAACGAGAACCAAAAGCAAAAAGAACATACAACAGTAAGGATTCGCTAGTGGTCACCCACCTAACTACTAACTTACCGGCGTGTGGCTTAAGTACGGCTGAGCGGACGGGAAGCCCTGTTCTCCACACCCTGTGGTCGTATGTGCATGATTTAGTATTGAAGGAAAATATATAGTGGAATGGGAGATGCTCGATGGCAGTCTCAGACGGGTCGACAAATGGTGGCAAGAAAACCCAACAACAAGTCAGGTTAGGAACTCTAGGCAAATGAGTCTTAACAGTGATAATCGGATGCTATATGAAGGAGCATAATGATCATAAATCTTGAATCAGGAAATGAGTGGCATTGTTGTAACTCCCTCATTCTCTACAGTCGTAGATTGCCCATATCCTTTCCTCGAGGACATTACTGCCTGAGGCAGTAATCATACAAATCTCGTGATTTTTCCCACTACAATAGCACTGTTTAATAGTGTAGATACATTGGCCATACACTAGTTTAGAATCTATGCGAGTATCACGAAGTTCGCGTAACTACCGATCTGACTCTCCTAGCTAAGCTACATTTCACTATGGTTGAACTAACTACTGCTTCCTGAAACACGCGTTTTCCTTGAATCTGCACATAGCCACCTAAGAGATCACGTCGAAGGGTGCGCTGTCATCGGTGCTAGATGTTTGACTTAGAGCCCTGTTAACCTAGAGCTGAAAAGAGCTACTTGTTGGATTCAAAAGTTTAGGAAGTTATATTTCAACGTCGGACAGAACACGAGATGGAATATACAAATTATTTTGGGGACCACATCGATCACCCCGTAGCCGAGGATTCTTTCCCACTGTAAGAAAGCGGTCTTCGCAGCTTTACCGCTTAGGAACTTGCGATTATAAGGCCGAGTATGCATTTTTTGGGCGAGAACCGTTCTTCAATGAGAGATACGTATACAAGGTATTTATATCGATCTATAAACGTATGAGCTGTGGCTTCAGCTTATAGGGAATTAATATCTAAGGATTTAGCGCCTACACTGCGCCACTAGTAGCCCTATAGATCAAACAATCTCTTGGACGTAGGTTAGAAGTCTGCGTTGACCGTTGAATTGCTCAGATTTCCAATCATATGGAGAGCTTTAGGATCAACGGAAATTTGTCAGATCATAGGTAGGTATACCTTATTCAGATCTTAATGAGGCATCAATATATTTAAGGACTAAAGTCGCATTTGAACTAGAATAATAGACCTAGAAAGGGGGTTTGGTTTTGATCGTCGATAATATTTATGGCTAGATATAGAAGCTTAGTAAATATGAGTGCTCTACAATTTTACCTAATAGCCAACAATGGCGTAAAATCTTTCATATTGTAGGTGATAATCTTTGGCAACACTATATCGAGACTAGACCTGATCCTCGGATGTTTGAGCATTTCTACGATTATCTTTAGATACTGGGCGTTACAAGAAGTGATTTCGTTCGTAAGGTAATTTTATACTATGCTGCTCCGCTTTTTTTTTAATTTCAACATAGCATAAAGCCGAGTTCACCCTATCATCAGTGTCCAGCACCTAGAGCGAGCGCCATCAGAGAACGACGACCTATATAAGTGGGAGGGAGTCTGAAGGCCTAATATAGGACGAGCGCTTTCTCGACGACACGGTCAGATACGACGCTGTACGTATACTGGACGTACGCACTAAACGCACACGCGGCAAAGAAACGAAAGAGTATTTCTTGTAATAAGAAGACCTCCTATCCGAAGAGGCTGAGTAGGTGATAGACTGAAGCGTAGTGGGATGTGAGGACCTTATCAAGGAGGTTGAGCAGAGACGGAATAGCATACTAGTGCCAGAACACGACGAAGATCAGATCAAACTGGCCGAAACCGAGACGAGAATAGATAGCGAATATCATTTTCGCCTCGCTTCCTAATCAGTTAGCAGTCACTTCAGACTTCATGTTATCCTCACTTCCGTATCATCATTTCGTCGACATTCTAGCGCTATGATGATTGAGAGAAAATATAATGATTTTTCCATCCAGCAAAAACGAGAACCAAAAAAAACATACAACAGTGAGGATTCGCTAGTGGTCACCCACCTAACTACTAACTCACCGGCGTGTGGCTTAAGTACGGCTGAGCGGACGGGAAGCCCTGTTCTCCACACCCTGTGGTCGTATGTACTTGCTTCAGTCTGAAAGGGGAATAGATAGAATTGATGGCAATGACATAAGTGCGCTCTAGAATGGTTGCGAATCAGGCTGTATGAGACCCCCTTAATATACGAACTCTTTGGGTCTAGCCTAAACTCTATACAGAAAGCACAGGCCCGGCCCTTGGCTTAGCCAATTGAGCTAGATCCCTGAAGGTCGTGGTAAGTTGTTGGAAAAGATCGCAGCGATTTGCAGTAATCAGGTCTATGAGCTCTTCATATTGGGTCTATCTAGCCTCGATGATTATATTATCTAACCACAAACCCAGCACGATTCCAAAAGGACTCCTATGCATGCTATTAGAAGCTCCTTTCGACAATACCAATATAATATATTCAAGGCATAGTATTCGTATTTACATCGCTGCGTGAAAAAGCGAAGCAATTCTTCATAATATCAATAAAGGAAGACCTCGGCGTTTCTCTTGAAGTACTTATACTTAAAGCCGACTGTCCATACCAGTTCTATAAGGGTTTGTTCATTTTAAACTACGGGAAAAGATATAATTATACTACGATACTACTGCCGTAAGGTTAACAAAATCAATGGACAAACTCTAACCATCACCGTATATCTAGCGAACACTTGCCTATAAGAATTTTAATTACTAGAAGTATCATATTGAGTGAGCTTATATTCGCCTTTACCAACGGCAATAGATACATCCGTAAGCTATCCTCTACTACCCTCGACTCTAGTCTTATATATAGCGGCATTTCTGTTTAGCGTGACAATTTAGGTATTGATAGCTTGAATCAGAGCCGTCGCCGTATCCTCTTTTATATATTACGCAGCCCTTATTTTGGCCTAGCTCGAACTTGATATTGATAAACATAGCACCGATAGTATCTCTATGACTCATGGGGCCTCCTAGAAGCGTTACGATTAATAATTGGCTTATAAATTCCTATAGCAGTTGGTAGCCTCTTTCGTAGCTATAATCACTAGCACTGGTATTAAAAGGTGGCTTTTTGGTAATCTATTTGACTTGAAATGATATACTGTAGTAAGACTTTTCTTCGTTGTCCGTCATCATCACTACCACCATACCTATACTCATGACTCAAGCTGGGATTAATCCAGCAAAAAGTGACCTATTGAAATCCCCAAACAAGAGTGTCCCTCAAAGCCCTTAGTCCCCGTGAATAAGGCCCAAAATACCTCACATTAGTATCACTATCCTCCCACGAAGACTGACTTTCCTCACGCTCAAGAACAACCACTAATCGCTTTACTAGTGTTTCCGAACTAGGAATATATATTTCAGGGGCCCCAAGACTCTGCAGCGTAAGCGCACAGCTCACGGCGTTGTGAACAAATGCCCATGAACGACAGAGAATTGATGAGAGACGGTGCATGTCCAGGAATGACTCGACCGCTTCTGCTGCGCGGGCTATACATTCATTTTTCAGTGTTTCTGCATCGATGCCATCTGGAGTTGTTGTCTCCAGCGTCAGTCGACAAAGCCTCGTAATACCATAACAAACATGAATCCGCAGTGCTAGCCTCTCAAGATGATCCTGGAGGGTACGGCAACGGGATTTATGGAGAAGGAATGGTGCAGCAACATCTTTGTCCAGAATTTCCTCTATGCGGTGCTTGTCGGCTACTATTGCGGTTTTGGTTTCAACATCTTCGTCTTTTCGTGCGCGTTCGAGGAGGATTTGACATAGTTTGAAGACTGACTCGGCGAATGAGTGATAAGCCGGTCTTTCCCCGGTTGGATGGTCGTATGGGATGCTGCTGCTTGGTTTTATTCTGCTCGGGGGTCTGTCGTAGGTGAAGGAGAGAAAGGTGTCTTGCCAGAGGAGCATCCACCTTTATTGTTTTTTCTTGTTAGTTACCACAGGAGTAGAGAAAGGATAGAATATGTATACCAGAGTCGCTTTCTTTGGAAATGATTGGCTGCTGCGCTTGGTGAGTCTGGTGGAAGGGTCTCCTCATGCAGTCCAATACTTTGCGCGAGACGCATTGTCGCACCTGCGATCGATGAAATCAGTGAATCTGTATTCTCATTTGTAGATTAATTTCATAAACCTACCCATCAAAATCCAAGCACTATTTGTGTCAAGATTGTTGCGTAGACAATGACCTATCAATGCCATGGCCTGGATCTGATTCATGTCTGTATTGTTGAAGAAGTTTGAGTTGCGAAGGCACTGAAAAGACGAACAGACTAGTGATACCGGTATCAGTTAGCCTATATTTCCTGCTTTTTATCACGCATAAATGAAAATGAAATGTTCTGGAAACCATACTAAAAACCTTGGATCGTAGATCTAGTTCCTTGATCGGATCATTCGAGAATTGAACCCCACACGCTAGCACAGCGAACAATAGTGCTAGCCATGAAGAATCTAGATCCTCAAACTTCGTTGTCTCGTTCTCGAGTTGAAGTCCGGCTCGTCGGTCGAGAAATGCAAAGAGAGAGGAATTAAATTGCTCGTGCGTTACTAGAGCTGGGTAGAATGGGTAGACGGTTGTTTGATAGATCTGCCAATACCTGCGAGTAACAATTTACATTCAATAAAGATCTCCTGCAAATTTTCATATTCAAGCATTATTTCATGCTTAGTTCGAGGAAGTACCTACCGAATGATATCGGAATCGTCAGGAAGGGTCCGACAGACCTCACCTGCGTCAACATCAGGTCCCCACAGGCTCGTAAATGGATACGTCCGAGGCACGACTTGATCCAAGAAAAGGTTACCAGAGAGCATTGCGTCACCAGATACACTTCGACAGCCCAATGCTGCCGGTGAGTCAGAATGACTACCCAAGAAGATGGTGGCTCCTGTGGCATTCTCGATGAAATGTTTCCCTGAAGATTTTGCGGGAACAAAAGGCCTAGTTGAGCACCGATTGGGCCGTTCTGGGCTGGCCTGAGGACTGACTGGCTCAGGCCTCATGCTGGTGCTGTAACGATTTTGTTGAAGATCTGCTTTGAGAGAAGAGATTTGCTCTTCGATATTTTCCAGTCGTTTGATCATGAGGTCGATGCCGGCTGTATGAGCTGTAGCATGCTCATTTTCATATTCGGCGTGATCCTTTTCGGGTATACTGCTAGTGAAATTGTCAGCTTGAGTGAAAAGTTGGCTTGATATCAGTGAGTCTAATTCTTTTGGCTAGGTCTTGGGGAGCTAGCATGTGTACCGACCTGTCCTGGTCCATGCTCAAGCATGAAGAAAAGAAAGAAAATTAACATGCCTTCCACTCTTTTCTGCCCGTATAACATCTTCCTCGGCTCGGCCTCCGTCTAGAACTTTATTCAAAGAACGGCTTTCATAAGATCTAACCTGACGATCAGAAACAACCGGTCCAGCCCGTGAGCCACCATTCGTTCCAGGATTAGGCTCGCAGCAAAGCTCAGGGTGACCTCTTATCACACAACTCTCACATGGAAATTCACCATCACATCTGACTTTCCTATGCCGACAAGGAAAACAAGACTTGATACCACGGACACGACGCTTGCGTTTGAGAAGTTCGCTGACGCGTGTTGTGTCGTATGGATATGGATTAGAATGAGAGTCGAGATTTTCCATTTGCTATGAAAGGAAATTCGTTCAACTGAGTGATAGTATAGTGAACTTTATCTTCCTTCCTTCAGCTAAAGTTGTTGCGATTGTGCTCCGTGGGATGCCGGGGGGAATTCAATTTGGGACATGGCAACTTATGTAACAAGGTTCCCGGACGCTCCGTCCCCATCAAAACTTCAAAAGTTTAGCTACTTTGGCCGTAAAACTGCATGAGTATATATTCACCAAGGACACAAACATGGGAAATTTCACGGTCGGTATTATTGACTAACACAAAAATACTTTCTCATGAAACCTAAACTGGCTCTTGAAATCTTCTTGTATTTGCGGCATATCTCAGAGCATGAGTGACCGAATTGGCAAAGTGAGAACGGACTTCTGAAGACTATCTGCTGTAATTCCAGAAAAAGAAAAATACGAACGTGAGTATCATGATGTGATAGACATTAAATCTGACTTGAAAAGTTGACTGCAAAGGAAATATAAAAAAAGAATCATGTAAAGAACAAGCATATTCGCGCCAATAAAATTAGTCCTATCTTAGTACTTACATTCCTTAATTCCTCTCGGAACTCGACTTACACGACATTCCCAATAACAATGAGGCGTGAATAGAGCTAGTGGGTGTGGCACAGGTTGGATCGAAGAATTTAACGGTGCCTCACTTCATCAATTTAGCAAAGACTACGTCACACCGTGTCGAGGCTATCAAGTAAGAAGGGTAGGATGCCGATTACTAGCTATGTGGTGGCGTTTTGGGATAGGAAGTGTACAGCCGACATGAAAATAAGTTTGTTCCAACGTAATAAGGTGCAAATAATAATGAAGCATGATTGTATGTTAAGGTAATCTACAAGAGGGCGCCACTGTCGCTCGTATTTTTAATACATGAATCCTATCCTCTAAACAAGAGTCAGACCAGTGTAGGAAGCATCGTTGCGCAAAAGCTCTGTCTTGACTCCATCTTTCAGCGACACGGAGTACAGACTACCACCGAGATCAGTCACATAGACAGTGTTATTGGCCTTGTCCAACTTTAGACCAATAGGCTCATGGAAGTGACGCGCCAAAATGGACTTCTCCGTACTGATTTCGTCGCCACCAACATAGGCGCGGTTCAGGGTGCAGCCTATAGGGTGTTCACCACGATCAGTCCAGTATAGGGTCTGAGTCTCAGCGTCAATCTCGAGATCAATTGGCTCGGGCAAGTTGTTCCATAGACGCTTGATATCGGTACGGTTCTCGGCAGTCTCGCCAGCAGGGATATCCAGACCAGCAGAAAAGATCTGACCACGACCAGCCTTACTAGGGCCTTTTTGAGTCCAGTAAAGAATGCCACGCTTAGCATCGACGGAAACACCCACACACCAGTTGGTCATCTGGTCCAAGAGATTCATGCTAGAGTCCACTCGGCGCTGAAGCAAAATCACGTGATTGCTACCATCATAATCACAGCGATGAATGCTAGTGCCCTCACGATCGCAGAAGTAGATTTGCCTGCGGGACTCGACGGCGACGAGCTGCTTCGGTGTATGTACTTTGCCAACTGGCACCATACACTTAACGTCGCCGCCGTTCAAATTGGCGGACCAGACGGAACCATCATGGGAGGCAGTGCTACGGCCCATGTTAGTCCAGAAGATTCGTTGCGTTGACACCGACACATCGATTCCGTCGGGAAGGCTTTGGCCGACCAAAATGGTTGTCAACTTCTGGGTGGCGAGATTCAGGCGCAGAATCTTGCCGCTCAAGTGCACCTGAGAGACCTCCTTGGTATTAGCACCGAGACCGACGTCTAGGAGATAGATATCCTTGGTGGTGCCGTGGGGGTTTGTGGCGATCGTTTCGGCAGGGACAGAAGGGTAGAGACCACCCTTATCGCTTTTCTTCCCTAGACGACCCTTCTTGATATATTCTCGGCGTAACCAGTCGACGGTAGGAACGGGGTCGTATCCCTTCTCCTGAATATAGTTGTCCTCAATGAAGGCAACGGTATCTAGACCGATTTGGTCCATCAATTGACAGGGAAGAGGGCCGTTCCTAAACATTTCCTCCCAAAGAAGATCGATCTGGCTAGCGTCGCTAACGCCCTCGGAGAGAATGTGCATGATTTCGCGCTTAATTGCTGCCCAAAGACGATTGAAAATAAATCTGTTCCAAGGTTTAAGTCAATTTTTCTGTGATACAATAATGGATTTCTGTTTCTGAGTACATACCCAGTTGATTCGCGACGAGCAGTCACGGGCAACATGCCGCACTCGCCTAAGACGGTCTCCAAGTGGGGGAAGATCTTCGGATCGGTCATACCGGAGGTCATCAGCTCAACGGTACGGATAGCAGGAGGCATAGTATAGTGAATGTTGAAGACTTTCTGATGGCGCTCAGGAGTGACATTGACAAGCATCAGCTTCGACTTGAAAGACGAGCTGTTCGAACCGATGTAACAGTCTTTGGGAGCGAGTCGATCCAGCTTGGCCAGAGTATCAATCTTCAACTGTAAGATCTCAGGTACAGCCTCGATGATCAACCAAGCATCGGATACAGCTGACTCTGTATCGGTGAAAGTCTTGCAAACGCCAAACATCGCGTCAGTGGACCCCTCTAAGTCGACTTGAGAAACCTGAGGTCCCACTGCCTCGGTGCTCTCGCTGGGATGCACGTGAGCCTTGTGGATGCGAGGCATCAATGAGAATTCGACCTTGTGAGTTTCAATATAAGCGGCGGCATCGTGGAGAGCGACAGGCGAGGGATCTTGGATATGGACGCGGTAGCCGGCTGCGATGAAAGTGCAAGCAATGCGGCGGCCAAGGACGCCGCCGCCGATGATAACAACTGGGCGCTCTGTGCCGGGCTTAATGGTCATTTCTGTGGTGGGTTGGGATATAAAAGAACAAAAAAGTGCAGTGATGTAGATATTGAACGTATGTGTAGAGAGGCAGAAAATGGTAAATGATGCAGACTTTGATTTTTGAAAAAAAAAAAACTACCAGACCTAGTACAGGCTTCTCTTATATATATGGAAACATTTTCAATCTCACCTATTTCAGACCTCGATGCATTGGCTTCTAATATTTTGCCAGAAGCCCAATGAGAGAGAGAGCCATGAGCTACAAGTGGTGTAACACAAGTATTTGGTTGGGGGTACTTTGGACCCACTTCTTTTGTATGTGCTTGAATCCTGCTTCCGGAACTCGGCATATAACGGGCGATCAGTATCAGGGATACAATAGAAGGCCGGTTATGGCGGCTGATTTGTCGTTGCGTGTTTGTCAAATTGGTAGATTCGGGGTCAGCTAGACCGTAGTAAGTTCGGGCGAGAAGGGATGTTCGGCCTCGGACTCGGTACGGAGACGCTACGGAAACCGTTCGGATGACTTCTACCGCTGGGTGGCTGATTGCCGGCTATACCGGGCTCCACTTGATCTTGTTTTACAAGTAATGTTCTTCGCCGTAGGTTTTAATTCGGATTTATGTTGACTTTAGCTGTTGAACTAACCATTTTACCGACTGACTCATGGCTGGAAAAGGTATGGAGGCGACATGAAAATGGTAAATTGGGAATTTGAATATCTTCTACTACGTAACATTCTCGGGGTATAAGTTAATGGATTGTTTTAGCCGAAACCAAAAATTGAGAATCGACAACTTCATAAAGCTGTCGGAGGTAGGTGTCAAAATCGGTGTCTTGTAACAAAAATATGGTATGCAACAATATATAGCATTCGGTGTTATGTATTTTGCTCTCTAAAATGTATAATAGGATGGAACATGGATCTCAATGGAACATCCGATTATTTTATATACGGCTCCACAGTCCAGGATATTCAGAGTCAATCAGGGTATTGAGATTTGGTGTTTGCTAGGTAAAAATACATCAAATATTAACTAGTGGCCTGGAACCTCGCCATACGTGAACAATAGCTGTCGAGGTAAACTGTATTGCGATGCGAGCTGATTGTGTCCAATACGGTATTTCTGTATTCGCTCTCCTAAATATTGATATCGAGAATGCGATTACGTAGCTTGAGCTGCAAAGCATAAAGGGTTGACATTCCATCTCATTCTCCACTCCGTATTGTCTATCAAATCCTATTATTTGTACAATTGATCACATCCACTTTCAAATGCCTGGATCTAACAAAATGTCCTTAAAATAAGAAGACCTGATCCGTAGCTTTGGAGACTGCGCTGGGATCCTTCCAGCCAAGCTCAGAGAGTGTCTTCTTCATGGCGTTAATCATAGGCGGGGGGCCGCATAGCAGTGCCTTATTTTCGGCACCGGCAGGTGGCAAGTAAGTTTGGATCAGGTCCTGAGAGATAAAGCCACGATGACCAACCCACTCGCTACCAGCCTGCGAAAGCACGTACTGAACAGAGAATTTATCAGGGTTCTCACGGGCAAAGGTGTCAAGCTCCTTGCGCAACAAAATGTCTTCCTCGGTATTATTGGCGTAAAGCAAGCTCATTTTGGTGGTGTCGGACTTGTCATCGCAGATAGCGCGGATGAGCTGGTACATAGGGGTGATACCGGTACCACCAGCGATCATGCCTATCTGATTTGCGTATGACGTGGTGTACTGCATGGCGCCCTTAGGACCACGGATCTCGATGGTGTCACCGATCTGCATTTGCTCGAGATGTTTGGTCATCTGACCCTGGGGGTAAATCTTGATTAAAAGCTCAATGCGACCTAGATCGGTGTTATTGGAGACGGGGGTGTAGGAACGAGACACGCTCTTTCCGTTGATAGTGGCGCGCAGCGCAATGTGCTGTCCTGTGGGGAGACCAAGAATATCTTCTGAGCTGGGAAGACCGAATGTCAAGCGGTAGACATTAGGGGAGACAACTTCCTTGTGGGTGAGAGGGAAGCTTCTGAACTGGCGCGGGTCAAGAGGAGGTTCGGCGATGGCTTTGCTGGAAACCTTCTTAGCGGCGGTGGACGCTAGATTCTTGCGGAAGATGAGCCTATTAGGGCGAGAGGTGCGGTGAGGCACGTAGTGGGTGAAATCCTCTTGGACGTCAATCTTGTGCGAAATCCACACAGCCAATCCACATGTGAGAGTAAGCTGGGCGACACTGGCGATACCAAATCCAGACCAGAACTGCCCAGAGGCGTTAGGACGATTGGAAAAAATAGCCGAAACATTCTCAAGCAGCTTCTTGAAGATAGGTTTGAATTGTCCCCATCCGTCTGTATAAGCAATGAAAGCCACTCCTCCTAGAGTACCGGTCGTGCCAAGCTTAAGCAGGGAGAGGGCCACAGAGCGAACACGACTAGAAGCAGAGTTCTTGACAGCGACGACAGTGGTCTGTGCAACTTTTTCAAAGGTTGGCTGGTAGATCTCAATTGACTCGGCGTGTTCCTAATCGAGTCTGATCAGTGGAATCTAAATAGAAAGGATGAACGAGTAGAATCCAACCTCATCAGGCAAGTCCCCAATAAAATATTGGGCCAACTCATTGCGAGCCTCATCGGAGTGACCAGTCTCTTCAAATGCCTCCGTAGCATCTGTCCCAGCAACCTCAATCAAGATAGCACTCCCACCAGGATGGTCTTCAAGATATTTGGTCACATCGTAGATTTTGTTGTGAATAACGATCCAGACATCATCTGGTTTATTGTGTTGCTTCACTTCTTCAAGTGTATACATTGTGATAGAATTGTTTAATGAAAGAAGAAGAAACCTCAAAAGATTTATATACAAAATGCGACCAATGCACTCCACTCGGCCCGAGAAAACAGTGAACAGCCAGTGAAACGGCAAATTGACCCGTCGAAGGCCAATCACCTTCCTCTTATTGGAACGACCCCACCAAATATTCTTTCGTGCGAATTTCGCCCGTACATCGGATTTATGCAATTCGGAATGTCATCTAAACTGCTAGCAGCTGGCCTCCACTCGCCTTGGATAACTCGGGGTTGCATTTTACCAGAATTCGGCCCGAATCCAGATATTTAAGAACAGGCTGATGGTCTTGGAGGATTGGCATGATCAATTAGCACTCGTCAATCATGCTTGCTGCACCAGAAACACCACTGAACTCTGATCCCCTGTTCTACTTGATCGGGGACGAAGTGTCAACAGCCCAGACTGTGACACTCGATGCCAAATGGAAGCTAGAAGATGTCAAGCGTGCCGTGGGAGCCGTTTTCCATGTGGCCGCGCCACTAGGTTTGTCGCTTCCATAGATTGAGACGACATGAGCTAATATTCTTAGGCTTGAGCTTCCACTACGGTGAAAACGAAAAAGACCTCTCCACGGTGGAGGAAATCTTGCGTGCGCCCTCATCACAAACCTTGCCTATCGGTCTCCGTGTCGATGGCCAGGCAGTTCAAAGCCCCCAAGGTCCTGAAGGCTTGCCTCTCGTTGGAAGCTTCTACGAGATCTTCCCCGACCACCTGGGGAACCACTATCGGCTGTTCCGCAAATACGGCCACGTTATAAAAACCACAAACATGGGCAAGACTACGTACCTGACCGACAGCCCCGAAGTGGCGGCCATTGCCTTGACCGAGTCTGTCTATATGACCAAGAAAATCAATGAGAATCATCCTCTCTGGGGTGTTAAGGATAACACAGCTATCTTCATTGGAGATACTGAGACGGAGAACTGGAGGCTGGCCCATAAATTCTTGCCGCCCGCGATGGGCCCCAAAGCAGTCCGCCACTACACTCCCTTGATGCAAGAGTGTGCACGGAAATCCTTCGCAATTTTCGATGATCTCGATTCCAGCGGCCAGTCCTGGAATGTGTACCAGTACATGCTGAAGCTTGCCTCGCAAACCATCGGAAAGTTTTCGCTAGACGCTGACTTCGAGCATTTCACCGCTGTTGACGCTCCCTTGCACCCTATTGTCACCAACATCGCTAGCTTGCTATCTCTCAACAAGAAGATCACCTCCCGAGGTGAATGGTACCGCCATCTACCCTTCGGTGACCCTGCCCGTTTCAAGCTTGTCCAGAAGACAATTTACACACTTCTCCAGGAAAGGATTGACCTTCTTAAGGGGTCTGGCATCGACGGTATGCCCATGGCCCAGGCCGCAACTGAGGCATCCTGTGTGGTTGACTATCTCCTGAACACCGTTGACGAAAGCGGCCAAAAGTTCCCTGAAGGCCTGATCGTCGCTAACATGCTGATCGTCACTGGTGCTGGATTCACTACGACCTCGGCTCTAATGTCATGGCTCCTTTACTGCCTTGTCACGTACGAAGGCGCCCAAGACCGTCTGTACAAAGAGCTATGTGAGCGTGGCATTACCAACGGGGACGTTGAATGGACCCCCGAGCTGGCTCACAGCCTGTCCTACCTCGACTGCTTCGTTAAGGAAACTCAGCGCCTGCATAACGCCTCCTTCCAGCCCGGCCGGACAACCAAAACTGACGTTGTTCTACCCGGTGGCTACCGTCTCCCTCCTGACAGTGTGATCATTCCCAGCATTTACGCTATCCACACCAACCCCGAAATCTGGCGTGATCCCTTCCATTTCGACCCCGATCGCTGGTCTTCCAATGAGACCAAGAATATGCACCGTTGCGCTTATATTCCTTTTGCTACTGGCCCTCGTGGATGCATTGGATTTAACTTTGCCTTGCTTGAGGTTAAGATTCTGCTGTCTGAACTTGTCTCCCGCTATGAGTTCACCCGGGAGGGTCTCGAAGCTGTCGAGTATGATCCTGAGTTCCAGTTGATCCGTCCATTGAACTTTTATGTTCGGGCTAAGAAGAGAACTACCACTACTTAAAATGTGAAGCTTCGTTATTATATAGATTAGGGTTGGCGTTGACACGGCTTGATCATTTTTTACTCAACTACTGGATGCCGAATTGTCCTATGTACTATAGAACTTGGACTTGATCAAAACATTAGATATCTCATTCAAACACTATCTTCTTCGTTTCAATTTGCCTAGAGCTAGATATTTTGTTTGACAGTGGAATGCGCGCGAGAAGGGTGAAATTGGTCTTGTTAACTTCCAACTTCCAGCAGCGAAATCAGAAACAAACATCACAGGTTCAGCCCGTGGATCTTCTTCAGTAGCACAAATATTTGGCTCAAGTCATTATTTTCTGGCGTTTCGTTGCAGGCTTGCTGCACGATCAAAATGAGATACAGTCATTCTTCGATGAGATTGAAGCAGAACCACGAGACCTTTTAGGACCTGTTCATCAACGGCTTATCATGCACTACCTAGGCGTAGTTTCGATCTCTCCAAGACTTTCATGCCAGACATATTTTGAAAAGAGACTTTCAAAGTGGATGCTATTTGAGTATGAATTCAGGAGAAGAACAAAAATAGCACAGGCAAGAGAGGCTCCAGAAAATGCGTTACTCAGAGTCCTACAAACTGATTTCAAAGCAGCCAAGCCATCGCTTTTAGCAGCATTACAAGAGCGACCAGCTGCCGAGGAAAGTATCAAAACACTAGTTGAGGATTGGCTCAAGGAGGGCGTTCCGCAAAATTCGGAATGAGTATCAGAATCTGTAGAGTGAGATATATTCTGCAAACAAGGGTTACTGCGAGGATATAGCAGCTTTTTTCCTGCCCAATCATTCATAGTATTAGGTCGCGGCCAGCAGACCATCGACTTGTCAGCATATTAAAGCAACGTAGTGAAGATGACGAGGTGAAGAAATATGCTGTTTATTACTTCCAATAGACCGGAAGTTTTTCTTAGTGTGAAGAAAAGATGGCATCTCTAATATAAGAGGCAAGGGCCATGTCAAGTATTCTCGCGGGCAACACGAATTGTGGGGCGCAAGTTGAGGCAATTTTGGACTTGCTAGAGATCAGCCCATCACTAGTGGGATTGGACGCCAACTGAGCTAATATTAGCAATGTTTCTATGGCGTTGCAAAATAAATACAAGCAAACTTCAAGAATGCGATATCATGCACTTCAAAGACACCAGAAAGTAGACTTTCGCCTAAGATATGTCGCATCGTAGTTGCGCCTCCGCCTCTCTCCCGACAATTACATTACGGTGAAGATTGTAAGATCGCTCTATATAGATGCGAAAACGCGTGCGGCGTGCGGATTATCGGTATTAGGTGTTGGGCTTCGTCTTCATGATGCATATCACCCTTGCTCATTACTACCACAGCGTAAGAAGCAAAATTTCGACTAACTTGGGACTTATTTGCTTCAATAAAACAAGGCAGGAGACTTCACAGAGTCACATTCCTGGTCATCGGTATTTCAGGAATCGTGGTGATGGTTTTAGAATTAAATTCGAGGTTGTTTCATCGTTGTTTCGGCGGCGATTTGCTAATGTGTCCCACCCAAGATTCACCTAGAGGTGTACCAATCTTGGTTCAATCACCGTGATGCACGTATTTTGGCTGCAGTCCCTATCATGGAGAGCAATTGGCAACGGCATCTTGAAAACATGTAGCGTTTAAACACTTTCTTTCTTCAGCAGCTGCGAGAATGGGAGGCGGGAAGAAGACCAAACGTGAAAATTAAAATCTCTACAGTAGTCAACTATTTATGACACTAGTATTCACACACTTGTAGCGAAGCATAAAAATGCTACACTGGAAAGAGATAAACAAAAAAAAAAAACAAAGATCACGAGGAAGGATATAAACGATTGAAGAAATGCAAAAAAACATGTGCATCATCCGTGAATCGAACACGGGCCTCGTCGATGGCAACGACGAATTCTACCACTAGACCAATGATGCTAGTTGATATATTACGCTCCAATTGAATGCTTCCTGATCCAAAATCATAATTGGTATGCTTGGTTAACACTGTTCAACTTATTTCAAACAACATGAACTTTTTATTGACATTTTTGGAAGCATCAGCGGTCTCATAAATTTCCTTTTGACAATACGATAATCAAAGATCCACGTAATTCTCAAAAACTGTCTGTGAATGACAGGATCGTGGGCACCGACTTGTTATATATTTGGCACGGTGTTGTTCTTCCCCGTCATCATCCATCTACTATGGAAACCCAAATTACTACCTATAGCTTGCACAGGAGGTGCTTCCGAAATGCTTTTCATTAATACCACGTTGACAACGAGTTCCTCTTCTACATCGACTGCACCAAAAATATCGACATCGACCGCCGCGATTGTGACAAATGCTTGGAACACAATGAATATCCCTGCAATCGAGTAAGTGACTCTATAAGAGTCATGATGGTATTATTACCCGTGGTTCAATATGACCAGCTCCTCCTAGGAGCATAGGGCGACGCTGTCGACCTTATCACCCTCTTGAAATAGACCACCCGCTTCTGGGCGCCGAACAGAGACTGGATCTGGAATCTTACGACCCGCTAGGTCATTGGGTTTGCCGCGCAGAACCCCCCAGGGCATTCTAAGGCGCAGAGCAGCTCCAATGTATGTACCACAACTTGCGTAAGACTGGTGATGAGCATCCGGTCACTTCCATGGATGTATATTACCGAAAAGCTTCTTACATACGTCTTAGCCCATGACAACAAAAAACGTTTCGGGAACCACTACGGGCTCACGATGCAGGCCCGCATGCTGTGTCGTAAGCCTACACCCAGATTCAATTCCTCGCTGCTTTACCGTGAGAATGAAACCTTGATGATTTAGTGAAATGAAACTAAAAGTAAATTCTGCTTCACAATTCGCGCCTAATTCGCTGTAGATGATTCTATAACCGAAGAAAGTCATCTGTCTAGTGAAGAGCAATGAATCGGTTTGGGATATTTATGCCAAATGTGAGACTGACCGTAGATTACTTACTTTTGTCTCTTTTACAGATACAGTGATAACTTCTGACTTGACCAGTCAGGAGTCTGTCCGAAAGAATCTAACTTTGATAACTTGAGAATAGATATAAAAATTACGAAGTGAATATTAAAACTAGATTAGAATAAAGACACAAAATTATTCTCGACAACAAAATGCCGACTGGCCATAAGGACTCCGCGAGTATAGATTATTTCTTTCGCTCTTTCACCCCAACCTTTTGAAATATCCACGGACTATCCATTCCCTCCAACAAATCATATGCAATAAGATCAGCATTATCTTCAAGCGTTGTCGGTCCGTAGTTCAGAACCTGGCTTAACAGATTCAAATAACCTCCAATCAATGGCACACCAAGAAACCTGAGCGAATATTCAGGCGGCACGCGAGCAGAGATCAGCAAGTTTTCCACAGAGGAAGCCTCCGGAACCGGATAAGTGATCGCACTGGAGGGCTTCATTATTCCAGCACCGAGGACAGACCAGGCAACAAACTCGCGCGGCACGGCCTGAACTTTCTCCCACGTCAGAATATGCTCTGGGAAGACATGAATGCTAAATCTCAAATTAGCTGACCGTCCAAATATTCCTTTCAAGATGACCATAGCAAGTCCGGAATACCACCAAGACATTAATAATAAACAAAATCACTTACTAATCCACGAGCATGTACTTCTGAGTCGGAATATCCAAAATACCCATACCAGCAAGCAACCAAACCCTCAAAGGAGATCCACGCTCGCGACCAATTTCCTGCGCAGCCGATAGAACGGCATCGACGATTTCAGGTAGGCTACTTCGACCCCACGGCGAGACCGACGCAAGTCCAGCCGAGTTTACAATAGCATCGCACTTGGTGCGGAGAGCTGCCTCCTTGATTTCGGAGCTCTTTGTTGCGTCTCCACACTCGATACTGAAGATCTCGTCTTGGACACCTGGTGCGAGCTTTGATGGGTTTCGGATGAAGACAGAGACTGTGTGGCCTCTTTTTATGAGGGCTGATAAGATGCGGGAGCCTAGAGTGCCGGTTGCTCCTAATAAAAGAACTCGCATATTGGTTGGGAAAAGTAATGCAGTTAAATGAAGGTTATTATAATTAAACTTGAACTGGTGAGTAAATACGAGAAAATCATGACGCTATATAGGTGGTCGGGATAAGTTTGTGCCGACGGATGGTTTTGTTGTAGTCTTGTGGCGTGAAGGAGCGTCATTCCGGCTTCGGGGTAACTTTGTAGTTCGTGTCGCTGCGACGGACCGTTCGCTTCTCGGCTGACTGCTGCGGAGTTACTATATGCAGTCATAGACCGTGGCCCTAATTTTGTTTACCTTCATCTTTGTTATAAATACTTAAATTTTGAGAAACTGGGTATGAACATGGAATAAACCGAAGGTTCACGTTCAAGGTGCTTTTCCCAACAATAAATTCTAGTAAACAGTGGTTGGCAGAGTTCACCAGTTGACGGTATGCAGACGTCCAAGGTTTATTTCCGATGCGATCACAGCTTTCCTTCCCTCGTTCATGAATTGCCCATGAACAAGTTACCCTAGTTTTTCTTTTGACGCAGGGGCTATTGAATCACAGGTAGAATGCTAGACTGGGGCTTGCAGTGCAATACCACGTGAAACACGCAACAATAAAAGATAACCCTGCACTTTATTTGGAGGAGCTCTTTCAATCCAAAATATCAATTGAAATCTCTGCTGCTTCACCGAATAGAGACTGTAGAGACTTGGTGAAATTATATGAAAAGGCTCTCTTTTATTTCGCTCGTTTCACACCATGCAGGTCGTATTAAGGGGGCTTTGAGCATGTTCTTTACTCTATTCATACTGTAGTTTTACAATAATAAGTCTATACAGTTGGACACAAGCTAAAACCAAGCCAGGCTATACCGTTACTCATTTGGTCATATATTCTCATTTATTCACTTCCATACGCTAAGTAAAGTAAGGCAAAAAGGTCGCGTGGTTGTGCGGGCGATAAATCCTTGTCAGTGACAAAACAAAAACAGGCATATTTCACTACAACATCATAAGGGGAAATTCATTTGCAGTAATATTGATCTCTATATTATCTTTCGGATTTAATTTTGAAAAGGAACAGGCTTGAAAAAAGTAAAAGTAAAAAGGAAAACGGTTCCTCTACTCAAACATCGTAACTTCGCAAGCCCTTGTTATACATCGACTTGATGGCCACATCCATCATATCAATAAACCGATCAAGATCTAGAAAAACATCTTCGGAATGCCAATCACCATGATCATTCAACTCAAGATCTGCTGCATGCGTGCTGTAATAATCATGACCCCGAAGCGAGGCAACATTTCGGAAACCCTTGTGATTAAGCCCAGGAGGCAGAATTTCCACCATCGCCGATCCAGGAGGCAGGAAGATACCATGTGTGAGCCCTGCTCCATGGACACCTGCGAGGATATCTATTTCCTGAATGATCTTCAATTGATCTCTGTAGGAGATAGCGGCGAAGTCAATTGATTGGACCCTCACTAGAGGATACTGATTTTTGATTATTTCCAAATATTCGGTAGTATTGGCGAGTTTGCGCCCGGATGCTCGGTTGATGAATGTCAATGTGATTTCTTCGTTTTGACGTGGCTTGGTCCCGTTCAGACCGTACAAGGTCAAGGCTCGATTGACGAATGTATTTAGGAGTGTTGACTTTTCGCAGGAGTTGACTTCCCAGTCACCTTGCCAAAGCGTGTTTCCCCCACCTGCAAGTGGCAGAATGAGGTTCTCGTAGGTTGTGTCACTTGGTAAATCCTTGATACGTAGGACTGGCCTATTTGAAAAGAGAGACCACATATCGAAGTATGGACCATCTGGGTGGTCATCGAGAATGAAGACTTGTGTATTTGGTGCATCGCGTTCGGTGTCATAAAATGGGGTAGAGGCTTTGGGTTGAGATGTAATTTGTAGAACGTCCATGCTCAGTGTCATGGAATATATCTCCATTAACGAGTGCCAGTGGTTAGTGGCTCCCTCTCGCTTGATTAATATGGTGTAGTTCTCGGTCTTCTTTGGGGAGAGTTGGGATTCCTCCTCCATTTGAACCCAGCCATCTAATACAAAGTAGGGACCGGTGTTATACCAATATCTCTGAAGATTGTCGAGGCTTGGAAAGCTAGGGGCCTTTGGGAACACTGTTTGTTTCAAATCCAAATTTGTGTCTTGGCCCAGCTCGCACTGTAGATAAAATTTGCCTCCGTCGGGGTCAAACTTGGCTCCCTTACCAAAGCAAAAGAATCCCATCGATCGTCCACAGTCCGACTATGGAAGCAGGTGAGAGCCGACGAATGCTTGGAGTATTGTGTTCTTGATTCACGAAGCTTTTCGAGGAAGATCGTTCCAAACCGCTCTGCGCAAAATTATAATTCTGCAGGAGCGTTAGTATACTCGATAGGAAGACCCAGGAGCGTTAGTATACTCGATAGGAAGACCCAGGACCTGCTGCTCTGTGCCAATGGCGATAAGTGTGTCTGAGTGGTTGAATCTACTTGGGATTGGCAACAATGAAGTGTACGCAACCAAAAGTATTGTGACTAGCACAAATAATACAAGCAGTGGTGAGCGACGACTTTGACGGCTACTACTGAAAGCTATCGCGAGCATTTTCCTCGAAATTTGATATTATGGGTGGGAGTATTTAGAATAAGTCGGTGGTGCTGGTAGCTCTAGACAGACAGAACACAATAAAGATCATCTCGTCTCCAGATTGAAAAGATGATCCTCTTTACTGTGTTTCTTTCACTTAGCTATCTCTTTCATCCAGAAGTTGGTTGAATGCATCGTGAAAGACTATTAATATCCTTGCCATCATCGCATGTCATGGCCCTGTCACTCGTCTCTTTGTCAAGATCAACCCATATAGGAAGGTAGGAGCCGAATAAACTAATTCGAAAATCAGTTTAGATATAAGCTGTCAATAATTCGAATGCGGGAAACGAAGGTCGATCTAGCATGAGAAACAAAGACGACTCAACCCTTGTATAGCATTGGATCCCCCTGTCCCCGAAGAAATCCGGAATTTGAATAGGCTCTAATATATCTTGTCCAGGGCTTTTTCAATATTTAGTAGATCCACACAACTATCCGCTTCTAGCCAGCAACCTGTGAAAATCTGTATACGAGACTCGAAGGTAACTCCACCAAAGAGGCTTTTGAAGCTGGATTTCCAGAGTCATGCATTGCTTCTCCTTGATTAATTCCGTAATTTTTGGTTCTATTTGTCAGGTATTGACTACGTTGTACTTGTAAAAGTATTGAAGACACCTTACAAAGACGAACCTGAAGAGCTATAAACAGGAGTGACAATGAGAAATAATGAATATCATAATTTTTTAGTCTGACCCACCAGAACATTCCACTGTTTCGTGCGAGTAGAAATATATGCCCTCTGTTCTGAGATCTGCCGCTCAGTGAACCAATTTCCATGAAACCCATATGGAACCCTCTGCGGCAGGCAAATCCTTGCCACGACAGTTCTCATATCACGGGAATCAATGACCCATAGCTCGCTTTTGGAATCATTGGAGCACACCCCATCCTGTATCTGGGATTCATCAAACATCAAGGTTAACAAGTACCCGTCATCATCACCCTTGGAGTTATGCCGAGGTATGAATTGGGGTTCTTGTGCATACCACCCCTGTGGAGCTTGGAATATTTGAATCGGATCTTCAGGGTCATTACTAGCCAAGATCTCTGTGACACTCCGGTTATCTACACAACCCACAACAGGTTGTGGTTCCTGTTGCATGCCGCGCTTGATCAGCACCTGAACGTTTGCTTTGACAAGACAGTCTATCTTCATGCATTCGCCGCTTTTTGCGCCAAACATTGCGTCAGTTGAAGAGCAGCCGTATATGAACGTTGGCGTCTTGTGCGAACATGAGATTGGCATCTCGAAGGGGATTGAAGATAATGCCCATTGATGAGTGATGGTGTTCTTGTGTACTTCAGACAGTAAGAATCGGTAATAATATAGTCGACTATCGCTCCCATTTTCAAGCAGGTGTGAATCAAGACTCCCGTAGATTCCGCCCATCGAGTACAGCATGTTAGCATTTGAATAGCGGCATGCAATCATGTTCACAGACTCAATTTTATCCCCTTGAAGAGAAGAAGACATCTCATCCCAGGTAGCGGCGGTGTGAAATATAAAACATGCTTCTGTCTCAAACCAGCGGACCATGACTGGGTCGTTCCGGGCAAATACCCCAAACCGGGACGGTGAGCTCGCATCATAATGTATAATAGGCCTTCTTTTGATAAGATTGAATGCATCCAGAGACACTGGCAAGTCCAGAATCACAGTATGGTTCGGGGAAACTCCAAAATCATGCATGAACTTTGGACTGGATATCCCCGGAACCGGAGCATGCGAGGCACAAGCTAACTCTCCCATTTTCGGAATCACAGAATACCAGACGAACGGTGGCATAAAGGAAGATTGAAATGAGATAAGCTCCCCTGTTATTTGATCAACGCGTGGCTTGGTACGGTCAGCCATGATCTCCCCCTTTCATCATGAACGACGTACATGAGCAGTTGTCCAATCCTTCAAAAACCCCAACAGCCCGCAACGTCCAAATCTGTCCGTTTCAAATTCCGTTCTGTCATTCTCGTTCTCTGCCGAGATTCCATTGTACCAACCAACAGTTTCCAAACCCGGTAGCTGAACCCTCATAGGCGGACCTGTCTGGCATGTCGCCAATGCTCTTCTATCGTGGTATAGAACAGCTGTATTTGCAACGCTGATTCTATGTATAGAGGAATGAGCCAAATGAGACCATAAAAGCAAGAACAAAAATCGACAAAGTTTTACAAAAGTTACCAACACCGAATTAAAAGGATTCACCAGCGTTGATATACTGGGCAGTATGGGTCCACGCACGGAAACCGACTTCCCAGCAAGGAAAACATCTGTCAGAATATATCGATTGACAAAGCAGGGCTCAACTGTGGACGGTGTTTTTCGAAAGAAAACCCCGCTTAGCATGCCGTCGCCGTCGAACATATGAATATCACCGCTTAGATCGTCAGAACTCGGATTTCCTCCATTACGGATATACTGTCCGCCATGTAGCTCGATCGGAATTTTCCCGGTATATTTGCAGGGCTCCAGCTTGCGCTGGGTTTGAACCGGTGCAAAGTTTCCACTCAGACAACTAGAAACAGTCAGCCATTTATTAAAGATTCTTTGTCTGTCACTGACCTGTGCTTATATCGATCTGCTCTAACATCAGTTTCATCCATTTCTCACAACATGAAAGCTCTTAAACAGCACGCGGCGATCAAGTTCAAATCGCCCTTTGGAGAAATGGTGATATGTGATGTCACCAAAGATGGTAAGCGGCAATCGAAGCTAACACCGGACGCCACCAGTGACATCACAGCTATTTACAATTCCGATCCAGCATCGGGAACATCGATCTTGTAATCGAAAATATGCATGTAACCATATGTGCGTTGACCATGATTGGCTACCGGAGTATTGTTGCGTTGAAGTGGTGGAAGCATTCAAGAACCAGGACATCGTATAAATAATGGTTACTTATACTGTCTCTCGTGCCCAACCCTCGGTCCAAGCAAAAAAGAATGGACCCCGCTAAGAAGAAGGTAGTTGTCATTGGTAAGAAGCCGGCTCCGAGTACTGGATCGCGCTGACGAAATTATAAGGTGCTGGCGTTGGAGGTGTAGCAGTGGCAGCTAGACTAGCACAAGCTGGTGTGAATGTGTCATTGTATGAGAAGAACAACTTTCTGGGAGGCAAATGTAGTAGCATCAATCGAAATGGATACGTAAGTTGACGATGACCCGCCTCACGCTCTCACTGACTTGCTAGCGTTTCGACCGCGGTCCATCCATCATGTTGATGACAGAAATCTTCGAGGAAACATTCCAGCACCTTGGTACATCCATGGATGACATGAATATTGAGCTTCTGAAGTGCGAGCCGAATTGTATTACCTGGCTTCATGATGGGGAGTCATTCACAACCTCGACTGACTTGGCTAAGATGAAGAATCAAATCGAGAAATTCGAGGGAAACAGCGGATTCCACCGATTCTTGGATTTTTTGCAAGAGGCTCAAAGGCATTATGAGAAGAGCTTAATCCACGTGTTGAAGAAGGACTTCCCGCGATTATTATCTTTGCTCAGGCCAGCGTTTCTACCTTACGTGTTTCAACTCCATCCCTTTCAAAACGTCTGGGGGAGGGCATCGCACTTTTTTAAATCTCACTCCATACGCCAGGTGTTTACTGCCGCGACAATGTATCTCGGCATGTCGCCTTTGGATACACCAGGGACATACACCCTTCTCCAATATTCAGAGCTAGCTGGGGGTGTTTGGTATCCCCGAGGGGGTTTTTATCGAGTAAGTAGGGACATGGCAGACCAGAATTGAGGCTAATTGAAGCAGATCGTTGAGGCTTTGGTCAATATTGGATTAAGACTAGGTGCCGACTATCACCTCTCAGTTCCAGTAGAAAGAGTGAATATTTCCGAAGGGAAAGTTCAAGGCATTTCGCTCGCGTCAAGCGAGGTAGCAGCAGATGCTGTCATTATCAACGCTGATCTTTCTTACGCTTATAAAGAGCTTCTTCCTTCACTTACGCCGCAAGCGGGAAAGAATAAACAACTCTCTTGCAGTAGCATCTCATTCTACTGGTCCCTATCCAAAAAGGTGTTGCAGCTAGAAACCCACAATATGTTTCTCGACAAAAGTTACGGCCAGAATTTCTATACCCCTGGATTGCAAATGCATGGAACTATTCGGCCCTCCTTCTATATACATGTACCGTCGCGCATCGATCCTTCGGCCGCACCACCAGGCAAGGATGCACTAATAGTTCTTGTTTTGGTCGAAAATCTGGGCGATACAAACCCAAGTGACAGGCAAGCAAAACAAGACATGGAAAAATTAGTGAACGAAGTGCGCAACTATGTGATATCGACAATTGAGAAACGAACAGGTGCTGTCGGAGTCCAAGGCTTCATCGAAGATGAGATTATCAATACACCATTTACTTGGCAGGATACATTCAATTCGGAGAAAGGTGCGATATTTGGCATTGATCACAGCTTCTTCAATATCCTCGCATTTCGACCAAAGATTAAACATGACCGTCTTCAGGGTGTGTACTTTGTCGGTGCCAGTACCCACCCTGGAGCTGGAGTGCCCGCTAGTCTAGCGGGCGCAAGGCTCACTGCAGAAAGGGTACTCGAAGACCTTCATATTTCTGTACCTTGGAATATCGCGACATGTGAGAAACTCATGGCAAGTCCCTGTAATTTAGATCGAGGTTCATCATTCTCAGCCAAGTGCGTGGTGATTGTTATCTTGTTCTGTTTGATTTATACGATTGCACTTCTCTGACCAAATCACCCAATGAAAGCTTGTTATCTTGCATTTATAATCGAAACTATTATGCATTAGCGACATTCATGCAGGCACACTTCGGGTATAGCAACGGAGAAACCGGATTCTGGCGGAACGTATTTATCGATCGCGATCGATCGATCGACAAACCAAGATAACCGCAGCTTAGGCTCCTTTGCTTTCAGTTAAAGGGTGCTTTCTTGGTAAACGCACAACTCATTACGCTGACATTGTATCATGTAGCTTCCCGTGGCTCCTATTCGCTGCTTTCCATTCACTCAACCTGGTTGCGCTGCATTAGGCCAGAAGAATACGTCGCATTCGTTTTCGTTTAAATGCATTAGGTGCAGTCAACAAGACTTACGATATACAATGACGGGTTTATCTTGGAGTTTTACTCGTGAACATTGTAGGCTGGTAAGCACTAGTTTCTTGTATTTCCCTTACATTCCAGTTAGGCGCGGAAAGTAAACCCGGCGTCGGTCACAATCTGACATTAATAACTCCCCGATTTCAAAGGACCTAAGACGTGAGTGATCCGTAATTTTGGTTTCTCCCTGCTCAGTCATCAGTCAGCACCATCGTGCAGGACAAAGAATTCCGAGCTCTAGTTTCATTCTTTCCCATGTCCGTTATTTTTGCAGCGCCTTATTGCGCCCACCCTCTCCAAAAATGGGATATGATTATTGTCTCGTGTGAGTCTCGAAAGATGGCAAATAGTCAAGTACTTACTGTTTGTCAGTCATTTGATATGGACCATCCCTCCAGCTGTCTTGATGACAGCAGCTTATTGGCCTTTTCTCATCAAGGTCGAACTCTACAAGATAACAACCTTGATTGCTGTACGAGCAACCTTGTTATTCTGTAAATTCGCTGCTGACGATGACAATAGATTGCAGTTCTATTCACCATACCTTGGGACTCATATCTTATCCGCAACCGTATCTGGACCTATCCAACAGATGCAGTCGTTGGCCTCACCCTTCTGGATATACCACTCGAGGAGGTATTTTTCTTCGTCATCCAGACTTACTGTACAAGTTTGCTCTATGTCATTCTAACAAAGCACTTGGTACTTCCGGTATATCTGTTGCCAAGAGCGAGTAGTGCCAAAAAGTTGGGATCATTGCTTCTCTTTCCCGGGATTGCAGTGGGCGCTTTATGCTCAGTTCTGGAAACTAAAGTTACTTACCTGGGCCTCATAATTGCATGGTCACTCCCCGTGATAGCTTTGCAATGGTGAGTCGATCACTGACATTGAACTTCCGCATTTGCCACTAATGAGGGTCTACCAGGGTTCTTTGTAGTGACTTTTTGTTGAATATGCCAAAGAGACCCATCGCTATCTCTATCATATTGCCTACTCTATACCTTTGGATTGTGGATTTCTTTGCTCTCCAGCGTGGAACGTGGGTGATTGAACAGGAAACAAAAATCGGAATTCAATTTTTCGGATTCCTTGAATTGGAGTAAGATTCACAACCCATCGCTCGATGTCAAATTTTTGACTGACTTTGATCAATAGAGAAGGTATATTCTTCTTTGTAAGTAACATTATGGTCGTTCTAGGCCTGGTCACAGTAGACCACGCCCTCGCAATTGCAGAATACGACGCAATGATTTCAGAGCCAGATGAAAAGAACCCACGTTCATTCAGCCGAATAGCATGGTCATACCTCACAACCCAAAGATCGTTTGACATTCGCTTCCTCGAAGGTTTAGGAACAGCCATCGACAAGCTCGCCCAGAAAAGTCAAAGTATGTACCTGGGTAGCGCAATGTTTCAGGGCAGGCTTCGCACTGATCTAATACTTCTGTGAGAACATAACCGATAATAACCAGAAACATATTAATATTTCTACAGATATTCCTTCTGCCGGGTCATAGACGACCTAGTGGATGAAGCACCCAATCAAGAAGCAGCCCGAGCAAGTATACAAGAAGCTTCTTCACTTCTACATTGGCATTTCTCAGTGAAGCACCCAAAAAAGCCCCTTTACGACTATCTAGAAACAGAAGAAACAAAATTAGCTGACTCGCCTTTGCTCTCTTCGATTGTCCTCCTCCCGGCCTCCCGTTTAACCCTATCTCCCATTTTGGAACTTCTTTCTGGCTTCGAAATGGACCTTCAATTCCCTGTTTCTTCCCCTATATCAACAGAGAAAGACCTGGAGCTCTACGCCCACCGCGTCGCAGGCACTGTCGCAGCTTCTCTTCTGGAACTGGTCTTCTGCAATTATGAGCTGGAAGTTGATCACCGAATCATCAACGCAGGCCAGTTAACAGGTCAGGCATTACAGTTTGTCAACATTGCCCGTGATATCAAGCGAGATGCTGCAATTGATCGCGTTTACATCCCGACTTCATGGCTAGCAGAAGAAGGAATGGGACCAAGTGATGTGCTCGCCAATCCGGATGATTCTCGTCTTGCCAGGCTTGAAGAGCGCATGCTACGCAAGGCATATAGCGTGTATGATAAAAGTGTCGGCGCTAGTAATGAGCTGCCAATCCAGGCACGGCGGCCTGTTCGGACTACTATTGAGAGCTATATGATGATTGGTGAGATGGTTAGGAGAAGACGGAGAGCTGGTGTTATAGCGAATGGGAAATTGAAGGTTCCGCTATGGAGGAGGTTGAGACTTGCTTGGTGGGAGATGGCTGTTGGAAGATAGGAACATATTTTGGTTTTTCTTTTTTTTGGGAATGTCATTTTGACTGATTCATTACTTCATTTAACGTTATTCCTTTACATACCAGAAGCAAGATATTCGCGACCACATATTTTCGAGACTGCCGAGGAGACGACAATGAAAGCTGGCTTCTGCAAGACAGTAAAGAAAAATGAGGTGTCTTGTGCATAATTGGAGTATGCATTTTAATCAGTCATTGGAGTCGAACCCCCACTCGAATTATTGTATTTTTGTATTGTACTTACAAAACAATACCAGTACATATCTCGACCAGATCGGGAATTACGGGTATAACAAGGTGCGTTCGACTGACGCGATGCCTGCTCAGCTCTACCAACCCATCTCCCTTTTACATATTACTCCGAAATGAAAACTGCCATCGTCGTTGGTAAGCAAGATGTCAAATGGCTACAAACACCATACTAAGCTACACAGGAGCCGGTGCCGGCGGCATAGCCACGGCCGCTCGTCTAGCGAAAGCCGGATACAAAGTCACTGTCTTGGAGAAGAACAACTTTCTCGGCGGCAGATGCTCCCTCATTCATCATGATGGCTACGTGCGTTTTTAGATGCCCGTATGTATCGACCAATGCTTACTTACCATTATAGAGATTCGACCAAGGCCCATCACTCCTTCTTATGCCAGAGGTGTTCTACAAAACATTTGCTGATCTGGACACAACGCCTGAATCAGAGGGCTTAGAACTTCTTAAATGCGAGCCAAACTATCGGATCTGGTTCCATGATAACGACTACTTCGAGCTCTCAACCGATCTCTGCAAAATGAAGCCCCAACTCGAGCGCCATGAAGGCTCCGACGGGTTGCAAAACTTCTTTGAAATTCTTGCATGAATCTGGGAGACATTATGATATCTCAATGGAGCATGTGTTGTCAAAAGACTTTCCAAGTCTTCTCGCTATGCTACGCCCGGGCTTACTACTTGAATTGCTTTCTCTGCACACGTTTGAAAGCATATACAGTCGTGTGAAGCGTTATTTTAAGTCCGATAAACTTCGACGCATTTTTACGTTTGCGAGTATGTATCTTGGCATGAATCCATTCGAGGCGCCAGGGACGTATTCGCTACTGCAGTATACTGAGCTTGCGCATGGGATTTGGTACCCGAAAGGAGGCTTTGTGAAGGTGAGCTCATTAGCACCGTTATACTCTATAGACTGACAAGGGTAGATCTTAGAGGCTCTTACAGACGTTGGGAAACGACTAGGGGTCGATTACCGCTTAAATACAGAAGTTACTTCAGTCATTTCTTCCCAAAGAGAAATACGAGGAGTCAAGCTTCAATCAGGCGAAGAGTTGCTGGCCGATACCGTCATTATCAATGCTGACCTAGTCTATGCATACAACAATTTGCTGCCTCCCACGCGCTACGCAGAAAGCCTGACTAAAAGACAAGCATCGTGCAGCAGCATTTCGTTCTTCTGGTCTTTTGACCGTGTCATTCCAGAACTCCAGACCCACAATGTCTTTCTCGCAGAGGAATACAGGGAGAGTTTTGATGCAATCTTTCATCGTCACGATCTACCCGCGGAACCGTCATTCTACGTCAATGTTCCTAGTCGGATTGACCCCTCTGCTGCGCCCGAGGGCAAAGATGCAGTGGTGGTATTAGTGCCCGTTGGCCATCTCACATATGACCCGGATAATCCGCAAGATTGGACCTTCTTGATAAACCATGCTCGGGATGTCGTTTTCAAAACTATCGAGTCCCGAACGGGGGCAAGTCTGAGGGATAGTCTTGTCTTGGAGTCTGTTGAGACACCTATGACCTGGCAGTCTAAGTTCAATCTTGACCGTGGGGCGATTTTGGGTCTCTCGCACTCGTTTTTTAATGTATTGAGTTTTCGACCAAAGGTGAGACATGATATCAAGGGCTTGTATTTTGTCGGTGCAAGTACACATCCTGGAGCTGGTGTTCCTGTTGCTCTATGTGGTGCAAAGATTGTCAGTGAGTGTATTTTGAAGGATGCATCGGGATCACCAGTATCTGGACATATATATTGGACGGCGTTTGTTTTGGTATTATTGGTGTGCGTTTTAACTAGCTGGGTGATTTGAGTCTTGATATTATTTCATATAATTCCTAAACAAACAATGAAGGTATAATTGAGACCTCAGCAGCAAGTATGATAAAACTTGTCGAGGTAGCTGCTCTGCTGTTTTTCTCAAGCTTTGCGAAAATTGAATTTAGAAGAGAAAAAATTTGTAATCTTTGATGAAGTTTTCAGACAACTAAATTATTCAAAAAAGCGAAGTACGTACGTTGGAAGCGGGCATGAGGCGGGTGCGCTTCCCAATATGGAAGCTTCCCTACGACGGAGCTTCCTCTTCTGGAAACATATCCGGGCAACCCCCATTCTAGTTTTCCGCCTCTCTGTCGAATGGAGACATTGCTTGATTTCCTGTGGAAGACCATGGAATTGTGATCATTACATAAAGTGTCGGGTCTGCCCCCCTTTGATGAGAATGAACATAAATGCAGGGGAGGCTCAAATTGGCTACTGTCGAAAATATAAAGAAAACACTCAGCCTAGTATCTTTTCTTGTGACATGTAACCGATAAGAAAGAAGACTCGCATTAGATCGTCGTAGAATAAACTTTCAACCGAAACTCTAGAATCATTCGACAGAAGAAAGATTTGCAGAGCTCCGCCCAATTGGAGACAAAATACAGCTAAAGTTAGACTTCTCTCGACATTCTTGCCAAAATATGTCGGAATATCCGTTTATGGTCAATATCCGCTATCTGGAAGCTATGTCGCTCGGATTGACTATTTCAAGAAACAGGCTCTATAATTCCTCACAGCTGGGGTTTAACAAATATTAATTGATCAATTCCCCAGATCTGTTCCCCAGATATTTCCCCAGATTTGCCCCAGCCCTTGTCGCCAGCCAAAAGATATCCTTTCGAAAATACTCCACCTTACGCCTGCTTGCTTTTGATAGCAAGTATCCAATATTGAGATGTTCCAATTCTTCAATTTCAACTGGAAGTCTCAGGGATGGGCAATATTCTATTGTGCCGTGTCAGCAATCGGCGCTCTTTGCTACGGGTACGACAACACCTACTACAACGGCGTTCTCGCCATGCAGCAGTTCAAAGACGATTACGGAACACACCGTAACGCAGACGGCATCCTCGAGCTACCTTCTTCTTTTCAAGCAGTGACAGCCTCAGCGATCTACATCGGAGACTTGGTAGGCGCCATCATCGCCGCACCAGTCAACGATCGATGGGGTCGCAAAGCCACGTTCTGGCTGGCCTCATTTTGCGTACTGGTTGGTGGTATCTGTCAAGTCGCGGATACAATCTACGAAGATTCAATCATTATAGTTGGTCGGATTCTGATTGGCATTGGAGTTGGCCAATTCACCGTTACATCCTTACTATACATTGGCGAGATTGCGCCCTCCAGTGTTCGTGGACCGGCCTTGATGTCATTTCAATTCCTCCAATCCTGCTCTCAGTTGATTGCTTCCTGTATCAATCAGGGCACGGCGAATCTCAAGAATAACTCTCTATCTTACAAAATTCCTATGGGTGGCCTTATTGTCCTTCCATTGATGATGTTTGCTCTGTTGCCGTTTATTCCAGAGAGCCCTGTGTGGTATATTTTCAAAAACCGCCAGTCGGATGCAGAGGAAAGCTTTCGAAGGATCAATCGCAGTCAGCCAGACTACGACCCGACCGCCGATATGGCCGTGGCTAACAATACCAAGAGAGTCGAGGAACAAAATACGGAATCCTCGTCCTGGAAGTCCTTGGTCACAGATCCTGTCGAAAGAAGAAAAGTCCTGTTTTCAGCAGGAGCAATGTTCAGCCAGCAAGTGTGTGGTATTCTGTTTTTCTATGTGTATGGTGTGGTGTTCATCCAAGCAGTCGGCATCGAAGACCCTTTCCTCGTGCAAATTGCCATCAATGTGGTCCAAATCTTCGCCGTCGGTGCCTCGGTTGTCACAGCCAACAAGGTCCGACGTCGGATTAATCTTATGGTTACCAACGGAATGATGCTCGTGGCTTTCATTGTGATCGGAGCACTTGGCACGACTCCGTTGACAAAATCGTCGCAATACGTCATTGTCGTATTTTCGTTCTTTGTGGTTATCGGTTTCAACTTTGGTCTTGGGCCGTTGGCTTATACTGTCGCTCGAGAGATGGCAGTGGGCGTCAACCAGAACAAGATCATGTCAACTAGTGTCGTTGTGTTCTACTTCACCACTTGGGTGATCTCCTTCACCGCGCCATATCTTTACTACGACGCTGGCCTTGGACCAATGGTAGGGTTTGTATATGCCGGAACTACATGTCTTTCCATGCTCTGGACCTGGTATTGTGTCGGTGAAACAGCTGGCCGCAGCAACTTGGAGATATCCCTCTTCTTCGCTGAGAACATTCCGGTGAGGTCATGGAGGGCGCATATTTTCCCGGATGATTCATTGAATGAGCTCAGCATTTCCGAGGAGGAAAAAACCGAAAACAACGCAAAGGCTGAGCACAAAGAGTTTGAGGTCTGATGGAAGCTAGGTGGACTATGTGTTATTGGCATGTATTGCAGTCTCTACTTTACTATTTCGGGAATTTGAAACCTGCTAGACTGCTAATTAAGTATTCTTTCCTTTCGTCGTTTTTTATCTCTCTAAGGATGAGTGATACCAAGACAACTGACCTGTCTATACAAAACTAGCAGTAATCATAATGAATCGGCAGCCACAAAAAAGGCATCGAAATTCCGGCTTTCCAAGCAGGATAATAGATTTGCAGCATTTAAAAATACAAAGAACTCGTATAACTGGCATTCGTACATATTCAAAATCCCATCCAGTCCGTCGGTATCAAAGGCATTGTCGGATTAAGATTGGTTGAGAAAAGGGTATCAACTCGGCTTAAATCAAAAGTTTCATCAAGCGCATCAAAACCACCATTGATTTCCGAAAAGCTGCAATTATCAAACGTCGCCCAATCTTCATCACTTGCTGGGAGAATCCCATGAAGATGACTGGGTGGTAGAGTGGTAGTTTCGAAATCATTCGGATGAAGTGGACTGTCGGGCGGACGAGTGTAGTGCAGATGAGTGTCGGTGCTCGTAAAAAGCCCAGAGTGATGATTCCGAGTTGGGAGCGAGTTTTCATCTCTGTTTCTTGTTACAGACGCCCTAGACTTTCTCGCTTCTTTGAGAGTGTCTTGTGCTAGCCGGGCCATAACGCGAGCAGAAAAAAAGGTATCGCCCAGTCCATCGAGAACCTCCCGAGTTTGATGGAAACGGTAGTGAGCGCGTTTACGTGCGTATGGGATTTTGCTGTTTCGGAGAGTTTGGTATTCGACCGATATTGCTAGCGAAATGGCGTAAGGCAAAGCAACCCAGTAGGAAATGGAGGGTTTCAGATCTCCAGAAGCGATCGAGAGTATGCTAGCCGCTGAAGAGGATTGAGCATCCGAGCTCGGGGCTCGATTAGGGCCACCTGATTGACTCTGGGGCTGACATGCAAGAATTCGGACAGCGAGATAGAAGATCTCCATTGAAGCTAGAGTTCATGTTTGTAAGCATTGAGTTGAAGCGAGAAATCGACCAAGTTTCTTACCAATTAATGGGGTGTCCACTGTTGTTGCAGCCGTCTCACAAACAAGGCTTTCATAATCGGGAACGGGCATTTCTCCTACATTGGAGTGAAGCACTGGTCGAGGCCGATACTGAGATATTACGTCGTCGAGAAATTTGCATATGCGAAGAAACAGCCGAAAACATGGAAGGTGCTCAGGAACAAAGGCTAGTATCTGTTCACCGATATCGCGCTCATGAATAAGGGTAGGCCTCCCGTTTGTAGCAGCATTGAGTCGATCCAGCGCCCATATACACCAGAACAAACGATGCGACTTCTCTAATGCTTCGGTTTCACCGGGACGTGAGACATGTAGCCCAAGTGTCTGAGATATCTCTACTGCCTGGGCACAGTAGTATGATGATATCTCGCTAGAGCTGGGCTTATCAACGAAAAATGCCAACAAAGCGGTTATTTGCAGTAGCAACATCTTATCACGGATAATCCCGGTATGTAAGATGGACTTGAGAGTTTCTGCAATGCGAGAGCAGAATTGCAATTGAGATATCACACCATCGGTGTGAGCGAGTCTGAGATGGGGTTTCATCGAGGGGTCGAGAGAAGCCACCAGGCAAATGCATTGCTTGAGTGTCAAGGATTCAATATCCTCAAGCTCTTCAATATTGTCGCCATGAATGACGGGAAATATTGGATCAAATTTAGAAAAGTATATGTTGGACATGAGCTTAAACTCGTAGTCTGGTGGGAGGACAGATATCCACTGTTTCTGAAGTTGGGGAAACATGCCTTGCAGGTTGAACGAGCTCGGCAGTGGGAGAGAAGCATAAGTAGTTGATTGGCCATGGTCATCAATACCCAAAGTAGTATCCTGGTGTTTCTCCAACGCAGGCTGGCGAGATACTAGCCAAACGCCAACGTTAGTACGTTGGTCGTCGCTATCAACGGCTTGATTGCCAGTCGCAAAGAAAAACGCCTCTGGACTGAGGTTACCAACAAAGCGGTTTCGACTGCTTTCAGGTGGTCGCTCCGCTTGTTCTGGCGCGTGGCAAATTCCATCTTCTGAAAGGGTTTGCGACTCTGGGACTGAAGCGTAGCCATTGACATTGTTTGTCAGCCCCCCGTTAACATCAGGGTCAGATAAATTGGGAATTTCTGCAAAGCTGAGCGACGAAGCCAGTGCTGACCTCTTTCGGTCATCTAATTGGGTGGTCTTTTGATCATGAACACATCGTTTCTGTGGCATAATGGTCAGTGATAAATTCAAACGCTTAGTCAAGATACTCACATGCCGCTTTTTGCAGGACTCGCATGTTTTGTGAGATAGTTTACGTCTGGACCCAACACCACCGACGGTGCCAGGAACAAATCTATACATAGTTGTAATGGTCAGGTAGTGCCGTGCACTCATTGGGGTGCAGGGGAGTTATGCGGGGGTGGCACCTGATCTGGCCTTGTTTCATGCCTGGGATATGAGGTGTCAATGAGAAGAGAGCAGCCGTGGAGCAGTGAAGACAGAGAAGAGAACAGGATTGCCAATGACTTGGCACGTAAAACAAACAGATGCAAACCTTACTTTTGTCTCATTATGCAATACTAGAATTTCCACCTCACATAACTGTACGTTCCTCAGCATCTCTTTCGTTCAGATATACTCTCTGCATCGGTGTGACCTTTAAATGGCTAATTTATTATACGAGGACACTAGTCGATAGGCACTGCGCTAAACTCTAATAAGGAATGTCTAATTAACCCACGAGATTGGTATGTGGTCGACCACTAGCTAGATCTGCCACTCATACTAAGTGCGTTGTTCCTAGTATGCTTCATGTGTCACTGTCTTGAAAAAGTCATAGTTCTTTTGCGTCACTCTATTTAGTTTCAACTGTTGAATTCCCTTTCTAGATGAGGCAAAAAATATGTATAGAATTGACAGAAGTCCGGAGGATCAAAAAACGATTGAATAATTAACTAACATCATGGTCCAGAGGGGCGAAACCCACTTTTGCCATTGTTGCATGTAACTTTTTTATGCTCTGGGTACTTCTCCATCATCATCTTGAAGAGCCTCAAGTCTTCCACTGCATCAATAGCACTAGTCTTGATTGGTTTCCCATTGACGATACAATCGTACCATTCTCTCAACTCGGCCGTATACGCGTCCTCATACGACGTTTGAACAGATCTGTGGCATTTCTCACCATACTCATTTAGCTCATCGATCTCCACTGTGATCCCGAGACCCTTGACAAAGGGCGTGTCATAGCAGATTGAGACAGACTTGTTCTCCCCAAACCTTGCCACATGAGAGTCAAACCGTGGCACCGAGTCAATCCCGGTCTCATACAAGCAGGTGAAGCGATCACCATTCACTTTGCCCTCATACTCGAACATGGTGGTATACCATCGAGCATTATCTGTGGATGCGAGCACCTCGGTTGGAAGTCCTCCTAGCACTTCTCTCATCAGACTGAGACCATGACTGCCGAGGTTGGCGAGAAGACAGCAATAATCCATCTGGTCAGGGCTAAGCTCGGTGAAAGGAGTTCCCCAGGCTTGACTCAACAACTCCTGCAATCGCTCCTGTCTCTCCTTTCCAGCTTTGGGGGGAATATCATCGAAGAATTTCTTCGGCTCGGCTCCCGACTGAGCAATAAAGTAGGAGTTTGGCCCGATAATGTCACGTACTCTGGCATACTTGATACAGTTGATCGATGCGACTTCGCGCTTGAAAGCTGCCAAGCTTGGCGAATATCGTCGCATGTAACCAACAAAAACACGGGCCCCATTCGGCGCGGAGGATTCCGCATCAATGACTTCCTTTGCAGCTTGTAAGCTCAAAGTGATTGGCTTTTCAACGAATACATGCTTCCCCGCCTGAAGTGCTGCGATGGCATAAGGGGCGTGGAACTCGTCCGAGGTTAGGACCACAACGGCATCAATGTCAGCATCGTTGAATATTTCGGTTGGATCGGTCGCTATGCATGGGATTCCAAATCGATTGGAACAGTGCTCTGCGGTCTTTAAAGAAACATCACAGATGTATTTCACTTTAAAGTAGCTCGATAGGAAGGTGAAGGTGGGAAGATGGACGATTTGAGCCACATCACCTGCACCAATGATACCGACTTGAATAACTCGTTGGACCATAGTGATCACAGTCGATAGAGTAAGATTAATAACCAATAGATAAACTTGAGCAAATACCCCACAATGTTCAATTCATGAATGTCCCCCAGTTGATCTATATTTAAGGATTGGTAGAAGTACGGATTTGGTCCCGATACGGAAGTTCCGCTATGGCGGACTAATCCTCTTCGGGAAATCCCCACGGGTATTGGACCCTTCTCCACATTTTGGTCGACGCTTCGACCTTCCAGTCTTTGCTGACTAGCGGGGATCTATAACCTTGGAAGTCACCCATTTCTTAGACTGCTCACGTGGTTGTAATCACTAATAAAAACCACTTCTTGCAATCGGCTTTCGAAGTCTGCTAAAAATCATCAAAGAACTATCGCAATAATGGCTGCATCTGAATCGCAAGTTGGAGTGGCTCTGATCGGAGGAGGTAAGCCTGACTAAATTGTGGCTTCCTTAGCGTTCACTGACGGATTATCTCAGGAATCTGGGCAAGAGAAGAACACGCAGTGAGAATCTACAGTATCCTACCGGAAAATGGAGTCTTGTCTGACTATGTTAATTTAGCCTGCCATTGAGGCTGCCTCGACTATTTCTTTCAAAGCTGTTTATTCACGCTCAGCTGCCTCCGCTCATTCTATTGCCGAGCAGCTTTCTTGCAAAGTTGATGTCTATTCTGATGATACCGATAGTGGATTTGATGATCTCCTGAAGCGATCTGATATCCAAGCAGTGGTTATATCGTAGGTTGAATTTATGGTACGCCACCTGATGATAAATTAACCGTTATACAGACTGCCCATTGGACACCAGCCACGATTCATTCAAGCCGCTCTTTTGGCAGGCAAGCATGTTCTTTCCGAAAAGCCGGTCGCCGAGAATGTCGACGAGGCAAAGAAGCTTATTCATTGGTATCGCAATGAGATCCAGGGTCCAACCTGGACAGTTGCAGAGAACTGGCGCTTCCTGAAGAGCTACGAATACGCCGCCACACAGATCAGCAGCTTAGGCAAGATCACTGGCTTCCAAGGACGTCAACATGATCTTGTTCCGGAGAATTGGAAATTTAATCGTCAGTCACAACATCCCGAGCACAGCTCATAGGTCTAATTAATTGTCTAGTCACTGAATGGCGACGCAACCCAACCCATCAAGGTGGCTATCTTCTCGATGGCGGAGTGCACTATGTGGCAGGGCTTCGATTGCTCTTGTGTGTGGAACCCGGTCATCGGATCGCCTCACTCTCGGCGTTCACAAACCAGATTCAACCCTATCTTCCTCCAGTCGATACCGCTGACGTGATATTGAGGACAACATCGGGCGTGACTGGCGTATTCCAGATTTCTCGGGGCACTTCATTGCGCGCGGATGAATGGACTATTGTATGTTCTAATGGTTGGATTAAGATTGAGAATGAAAAGGTAACTATCTCTCGCGATGGAAAGATCGAGGTTGTGACCATCACAAACGAGAGAACTGGAGTCCCACCTGAGATTAGAGCTTGGGGCTTAGGTCTCGTCGAGGGCAAAACACGACCAGAGCAGGAGCCGGAGACTGCGTTGGCTGATCTTGAACTGGTAAGTAGTAGTCCACCTCCCACAACTCGGCCACTATTAATACTGATTTTCGTCTCTCAGATTGAGCTCATGCTTAAAAGTGGTAGCCGGGATGGCGCGCCTCTTGTCTGTAGCCACCAGGATATACAGTAGATCATGGTTTCATTCTACTCAAGCATCTCGCCGATTTGGGCTTCAGGTCATCTCATGCGTAACGGTCCCTTGTCTTCTATAGTAGTCACTGTATCATAGCTCAGTGACATCCAATTTTAACAAGACGCTCGTGAAAACCAATTACTTCATCAATTGCTCGACGAGGTTGGATTTTAACAAATTCAGATCTCGAGTCATTGATGCAATGTCGAGTAATTTATCAATTCTGGCTCAAATATTTCTACAATTCCCGCTTCGCATTATTGACGCGCGAGCTACCAATGGAATATTTGCAGCTGTAGTGTTCCAATATTAAAGAAGAATACAAGTGACTAGATAGGGATTAGTTCAAGTGTTCCTAAACCACAGAAAAAGAAGTACTATAGTCTTAAATTTTTGAGGTGATGGTGCGGTGATGGTACATTCCTTAAAGGGTCACGATTCCGGCGGAGGCTGATCGCAGCGGATCTATTCCATGTGAGAACCGACTGTTCCGGTGGAAGCAGTGGATTGGACACATTATTTCACGTGACCGAAGTCAACCCAATTATATGTGCTTGCGCGAGTAACATGAATACAATTTCAGCAATTGGGGATTGATGAACTACCACTATCCCGATTGGGTAAACATCCCGGCGGAACGATAGTTCAAGACCATACAGCTGACACCACACGCTCGAAGCAATTATTTAAAGTCGCCAGGCTTCCTTCACAAATAGGTGTTTCGAGTTTCTTTTCATATTAACATTTGTCTCTAAATCTTTTCGTAATCCCAACCACTCTCATTACCCTTTTGAAAGCACTGTTTAACCCGAATACCGCAATCATGGCCGCAAACACAATCACCGTTACCCTACCTCAGATTGCCAAAATGATCGACCACTCCCTTCTCCACCCGACCATGACTGATGCCGACATCCTCTCCGGTCTCAAAATTGCCAAGGAGGCAAATGTGGCCACTGCTTGTGTCAAGCCATACCTCATCCCCCTCGCAAAGAGAGAGCTTGCCGGAAGCGACGTACAGGTCTGCCCTGTCATCGGATTCCCCCATGGAAACAGCACCACCGAGATCAAAGTTACTGAAGCAATTGCCGCTGTTGAGTGCGGGGGCACTGAGATCGACATGGTCATCAACATCGGCAAGGCCCTCGGCGGTGATTGGGAATATGTTGCTCAAGAAATCGACGCGATCAATCGCGCAGTCGTCAGTCGCGGTGCTATCCTCAAGGTCATCTTTGAAAATGACTACCTTCAGTCTGAGCACATCATTCAACTTTGCAAGATCTGCACTACGCTTGAAGTCGCCTTCGTCAAGACCTCGACTGGGTACGGATTTGTGAAGCAGAGTGACGGTTCCTACAATTACCTCGGTGCTACAGTAAGAGATCTTAAGCTTATGCGTGAGAATTCTGGCCCCAATGTTCAAATCAAGGCTGCTGGAGGTGTTCGTACCCTCGACGATTTGCTGCACGTCATGAGCCTCGGTGTCACCCGTATTGGGGCAACAGCAACAATCGCAATTTTGGATGCTGCTAAGGCCCGGGGAATTGGAAATGAGCCGGTGTCTGTATCCTTTAAACCTATGGCAGAGAAGGCAGGTGGGTATTGATCTTGACATGTCCATGGACTGATGATGATGACGATGATGTTCGTCCTTCCTGTATTCAATTAGACCCGATTGTTTCAACTTTCTGCTTAACATACAGCTTGGATAATATACTCTACACAATTGTACATATCGCATTCCATTAATGAGAATTTCTGCGCTGCTTTTACTGAAAAGTAGTGCGTTTTCTCCCCAAGCTGCTATAACCTTGAAATTGGTACCCCTGTGTTCACCCTCAAATCGAACTACTCGCATATCTAAATCATCAAAGGCAATTAATTATACTCTACGCAATATCCCACCATAATTATATGAAAATTTATTGGTTGTATTTCAGCAAATTATGTGATTATCAACGTGCATCTTCTTGTAGCCTGAGCCTATTTTAAAATGTAATTTACTATCAAAACAGCAATCCTAACTTTACAGGTAAAAATTCATTTGCCACGATTCAGTTCATAAACCAAACTCATTCTCATAGACTTTCTAGTATATTTTGGAGTTGCGGATGACCTCATTACTCAGCAGTGGTGTCGCTTTTCTTACTTCCGCCTCTCAATCTCCCTCTCTCCCTCTTGCCACGTGCCTAAAACTGTAGGCTAAACGGCATAATGGCTATGCGGGGGAGACGAACCAAAGTTGGGAGAGCTTGCGAAAGATGTCGCCGCCAAAAATTACGGGTTTGTTTCCATCCGAATTCATTATGGTTTCCCCGGTCATGTCTGACATTAGTCCAGTGCGATATCCAGCGCCCGTGCACTCTTTGTGTACATGCGGGCAGTGAATGCCGAACAGGATCAGACGATCAATTCAAAGCATTCCAGGCCCCGAGGCAAGACGCGCCAAGGAAAAGGTCTCGGCGGCAGAGCGCATTGGATGCTCGCAGAAAGTCTCAGAGTGGTGAAAATGTTGTCGAGAAGTCTTTCTCTAGCTCCACAATATCGTTGATAGAAGGAGTGAGTCTTTCCATAGAAGTACGTTATATTCCTACTAATATTCCATAGGCATTTGAACTGCATAGCTCTTTGAGACCGGATAGATCGATGACAACAGCCATACCTGGAGGGCAAGACTCCCAGACACTGCAAGCTACTGCAGATATTGACGCCCTTGGAAGGCAGCATAGACTGGATAGATCTTCTTGGGTGAATCCCCTGCTACAGCAATCAAGAGCAGCAACAACAGAGCTTTTTTCGCTTTTACCTTCCAGAGAAGTCGCAGCCTTGCTGGTCGATACTTATTTTGACCGGGTACACTGGTTCATGCTCATCTTTCACCAGGAAGAATTCAGAAAAAAGTGGCCCACATTTTATGACAACCCGTCTGAAAGTATGGCGGCAGCAAATCATAATCCGGGTCTGATCAGTACGTTTCTCGTGGTTATTGCCATTGCTTTGCAGTACACTGGCGAATACAGGCAGAAGATGCTGGAGATGCACAATGCCAACTCCACGGCTATAAAAGAAGGCATCTTTTCGGCTATACGATCTAGATTACTGGATATCGTGTCTTTCAGCTCTATCGAGGCTGTCCAAACATGCGTGTTGTTAGGAACATATTATCTCTACCATGGAAGTCCGAATCTGGCATGGCCGGTTTGTGGCTGTGGACTCCGCGTCGCGCAAGCGTTAAAATTGCATCGCAAGTTACCAACCACAGAGCCAACCTCACTCGCATTACAACAAGAGATCGAAACCCGCAAACGTTGCTGGTGGGCTATCTACGAGATTGAGACATTTTGCTCCATTTCTTATGGATACCCGCATGGCATTGTTGATGCCGATTGCAATGTGGAGCTATTGGACCCATTAGCCACCTACACTTGCCAATCTCCCGCCAGCTACAATGAAATGCATCAATGCCCGGCTACACTTCTGTCTTACAAATATTTGATGTCTAAACTCTCAGTCTTTCTCAAAGAAGTTTTGACTGATCTATATGGCATTGGCTTAAATAAAACTGGAAGCTGGGAGAGGCAAAGCTTCAAACTCGATTCTAAAAGACTTCTACGGAAAGTCGCCATTTTGGATGACAGGCTAGATAAGTGGAAGGCGGAAATCCCCGATATCCTTTGCTTAAGCCAGGTCAACCGTGCGAATTATTCCTCTCCTGAAGAAATGGACCGTGATATCGGTGCCTCTGGCCCCGGCTTCGAGAGCCACATATATCAGCTTCAAGCTCTTGCGTTGGCTTTTGCCTATGAGAATGCAAGGATTCTTGTTCACAGACCGCTGATGACTTATCGCACCAAATTGTGTCAAGACCCTGCATCTGGTATTTCACCTGATACTTTCAAAGATACATTTCAAATGTCTTTACAAACCTGCCGCAATGCCGCGATGAGCACATCTCACATTGGTACATCGCCCGTGTTCTGTCTTGCCGCTGAAACGTATGCTGCGGCTTTCATAAGTATACACACATTCACCGCGGGTGTGATGCTATGCGTCCTAGCCAGTATTGAGCTTTTTACCCCAGAGTCTCAAGAATGCAAAATAGGACTTCGTCGTATACTCAATATGCAAGGACAGCTTCAATCCAAATCACGCTCTGCCCTATCAGCTCAGGGTCTTGAGATCCTACAGCGACTCACACGGTTGGTTATGGAAAGGGAATTGACGGAGATGTTGGGTTCGAAAACCGAAGCCAGCGCACAAGACAAACAACCTGAACTCCAGCCCTCTGAAGACTGGAACAATTCCGTGGAGGATCAACCAGATGCACAGTTGGGTCAAGGCACAGAAATTTTTTACGGGGATTCTATGCCAGACATTGTTGAGAATACGGACATCTCGCAAGCTCTATTTGACCTTGACCAAGGTATGCATCATTATAGTTCCGAGTTCTCAATGTTAGCTCACAGCTTCCACAGTATTATCTGGTCATGATCCGAACGTTCCATTGCAGCCTTGCTTCACCGAATCTAATGGTCCGAACAACACTTTTATGCAAGAGCAAGCGTGGATCTGGGGAGTGGAAAATCCGATGCAATTTAGTGGGTAAGGATAGTGTTTGGAAATCTCATTTACTAGCAATCCACGTCATTGATGGAGCTGACCCGGACTCAACGCACTGAATATTCACCATATCTATCTAATGCCAGATTTGTAAGACACATCCCGTGGGTACATGAAAATGCCAAGTTCATCGAGGCGGGACTTCCGCTTTGGGAACCCCAAGCGGATCCCTGGGATACAGCTCCAGCGCAAAAGAGAAATAATCCGCACACTAGACCATAGAACATCGATTAGTACTTATTAATTTTCTCCATATTATCACATTTGTCTTCACCGAAAGTCTTGGCGGGCAAAACTACATCATAAAACGACACCTGGATCGTCTTCACATAACTCTATACAAGGCCTTTCAATATGCAAGTTCCATTACTTCGTTTGCAATGCGGTAAGTCAAGCTCTAAAGACTCCATAAATCTGGTCTCCAACTGACTAGTGCAGGCGTCAACAGCTATGACTGGGGTAAAGTTCAATTTATAATCTTTCTCACCCCAAACTAAGTCCTATCGCAGGTAAAATTGGTCATGAATCCGCTGCAGCCCGATATGCAGCCGCCACCACTCCAGAGGGTTTCAAAATAGATGATGCAAAGCCCTACGCAGAGGTAATTTTGGACTGGCATTCGAAATGAATGAAGTGGCTAATATTCAACATAGCTGTGGATGGGCACTCACCCCAGTTTGCCCTCCAAAGAAGTTGAGACCCAGCGCACACTGCTCGAAATGATCCAGGAAAACCAAGCTTTGATTTCCACAGAGATAAGTGAGCGCTATGGAAGTCAGCTGCCCTTCTTATTCAAGGTGCTTTCAATTAGAAAGGCGCTTAGTATCCAAGCCCATCCTAGCAAGGAGTTGGCGGAAAAGCTTCATGTGCGCGACCCAGAAAACTACCCTGGTATGTGCATCTGTATTAATTCGCATGGATTTAGCTTCGAGCTGACAAATATTTTCTTACGGGGAAGATGATAACCATAAGCCTGAGATGGCTATTGCCTTGACACCCTTCGAGGGCTTGTGTGGTTTTCGTCCCCTTGCAGAAATCGCACATTTCTTTCGAGCAATTGAGCCCCTACGCACGCTTATCGGATCTTCTTCTACGAGTGAATTCGAGAAAATTGTTCAAGAGAATGGTAACCAAAACGAAGAGGCCGCCGATATAAAGAAGAAAGAAGCGCTGCGCTCGGTATTTACAAGACTGATGAATTCTTCTCAGACGCAAATCAATTCCGCCAGTAGGGATCTGGTTTCTCTCGCCGAGAGCTCTCCAGCGAGCTTCGGTATACTGGAAGGTGACCTAAGGACGAACCCCACTGACCCTGAAGCATTGGCTAAGATCTTAAAACGGCTCAATGGCCAGTTTCCCAATGACATCGGCCTTTTCGTTTTCTTTTTCCTCAACTTTGTCAGACTAGAGCCTGGCGAGGCTATGTTTCTCAAGGCCGACGATATTCACGCCTACATTTCTGGTGATATCATCGAGTGTATGGCATCGTCGGACAACGTCGTGAGATCGGGATTTACGCCAAAATTCCGGGATGTGAATACCCTCACTGATATGCTGACTTACTCTTACGCTCCGATCGAAGAGCAGAAACTTCGCCCCGTTGAATACGATCGTGTTTCCTTGAACACGACAGCTCGATCTGGCGGGTCCACGGCTATGCTGTACGATCCCCCAATTGAAGAATTTAGCGTTGTCAAAACCGATCTCACTTGTGCAGGTGCTAAAGCGACGTTCCAGCCAATTGCTGGTCCTAGCATATTTATCTGTTCACATGGACAAGGCAAAATCACAGTTGGTGGAACGATCGAGAATATGTGCGAGGGTAGCGTTTTCTTTGTTGGTGCCGCCGTTGAGTGTATCATCGAGAACAGTGGAAGTTGTGAACGAGACGATGGTCTCTTCACGACACACAAGGCGTTCTGCGAGCTATCTACGAGCTCTCTATGAAGGCTATTAGGGTCAACCATGATAGCCATACCGACATCCAGGTCACACTGATCACATTGTATTTGATGTAAATTTACGATCCCTCTCAAATGTTTGCGGCAGAGATAAACAAGCCATTCAGTAAAGTCATTTAATTCTTATGTATGAATAAATAGGAGTATCATCGACAGATTCTCAGGCGCAGATATACAATATGATTATTAGTAAACGGACATAAAATTGCGGTTCTCACCCATTTGTCCAATTTGGTCCCTGATCTGCTATAATAAAGATCAGGTACAAACTTAAGTCTAGTGAGTATCATTATTGGAAAAAAATAGATTGCCCCTGAAAAATCTTTTGTTGGAGTTTAATGTGTGCATGTTAAAGCCGATCGTTCTAAACCCCAGACCACCACCAAACTCCTTTCCATAACATGTACGACGAGAGATAAAAGCTGCAGAACGCACACTTGGCAGATGTCTGGACTGTATATAATTCACATTCGAAATAAATGCGGATACTCGCCGAACCTTTGGAGTGCCCAGGACTATGGTTTTTTCTTGTCGGGAAGGTATCCTAATTGGGAAATCAGTGGACCAGGAAGCACCCTTTTCAACGATAGAATGGCTCCACCACATACTGGGCTGAATCATGCACCAAAAACCTTTCGGCATGCCGATGCCGAAGCTGGAAGTCTCCGCCGGACTCGAGATAGTCAGCCGCTCATATAAACTAGCGGCACACATCCTTGGGGCCTGACATCGAAAGTGTCAACTTCAACGTTATATTCATTTACACCACCACGTACAATTTTCCACTTCTTGACCCCTTGGTATCTTTGAGAACCATATTTTATATCGATCGCATGGCTTCATGGCTGTTTGGTGGCTGTACGGCGGTTGTACCAATTTACTTCGATATCAGGTCAGTCTATTAGTATTTGCTCAGATGCGCACGTACCGGCCAATCTAACACTTTAGCAGACTCGAGAATGGCACAATCTGGACACCAAGTGACGAAGAAGAAACGAACTACAGTCATCTCAACGGAACCATAGTGCTGTGTCTGAAACAGGCACTACCAGTGACAAATATCAAACTCCACATGAAAGGATCACATTTCATAAAGTGAGTCATTCCCTTTGAATACTTCCGGTGCAACCTCAGCCTAACATATGGATCAACAAGCTGGACAAAAGCAAAAGAAGAAGAGCAATACAAAAAGTCTACCTGGTGTGAAACCACCTTTTATCACCAAATCTGGAGTTTTCTCTCCCACCGAAATACATCGACTTTATACCCCGGCAACCACGAGTTTCCCTTTACAATAACTATACGCAAAGACATGCCGGAAAGCATTGAAGGCCTGAAAGATTGCTTCATTCGATACGAGTTGACGGCGACAATTGTTGGCTCTAGGGAGTTGCATAAAAAGTCCCAAAGAATCTCGGTTTCCAAGCGACCGAATCCATGTTCACTCGTGGAACCTCTAGTAAGTTGCCTTCCTAAGAACGAAAAATCAAACATCAGAATGACCCACATCATCATAAGAGTATAGAAAAACTTTGGCCTGAGAAAATCAGATACGAGATAAGTATACCAGGAAGTTCTTTCCTTGTTGGCCAACCAATTGCGGTCGACGTTCGATATATTCCGCTACGAAAAGGCGTTTCACCTGTATCAATCAAAATCCAGCTTCTTGAGTACCAAGTGGCCAAATGTGGCAATGGGGAATTGAGTACTCGAGACAGGCTTATTGCAGAAGATTACTCGGAGTGTGATAGTGATTTCCTTTTAACCCAGGATATAATCTCAGAGTGGTTTGCTCTATCTCGGACCTTGACTCCTGTCAAACAGCTTGAACATTGTCTACCGAGCTGCCAGTCGTCTTTCGTAGAGATATCTCACATGTTGAGAGTATTTGTTCAATTACAAAACCCTCAGAGCAATATTTCGCAGGTATTTACTTTCCAGGAATGCACTGCAAGATGAGATTATTGAGCTAACTATTGAAATCATGATCTAGATAACTGCTTGCTTTTCAATTTCGTTGTATACCCTCCCGCAGACCGGCTACAGCTCTCATGCCTCGCAAAGTCCTAGTGTCCAGGATTTCTACCCTCCGCCTTCTTATGAAACGCACACCTCTGATAAGCGATACTTCGACTCCGAGGGCATGGATTTGAATAACCTTCAGAATTTCTTGCGAGAAAGAGCTTCGGGCTCAGAGAGCACCACGGAGGTGGTTCTGAATGATCTATCAGAGGCACCTTGCTATGACATGGCAATGAGATCTGGTGTACCATGTGATAGGGAGAGCCCTCAGTACTGGGGTATTGTGCGTCCCTAGTAGACGAGTATGAAGAAACATGAGAAGAACAGCTCAATATTGAATATAATGGATACAAGATCTCTTTTCTTTGTCAAGTGTTCTTGGCCAGCTAGCCTGCCGACATGAGCATCAAAATGAGTTCAGAGTTAGAAGTATCGCTCTTGCAATAGTATCAGCATGAAACTTCATGCTAAATTTCAATTCAAAAGGGATTGTACTCTTCAAGCAAAGAATAAAAGGTTTCTGTTGCCTTTTTCACCCTACTCACGACCTCTCCTGTCCTTGAATGTATTAGAAGAATGAAGGTTTAGTACAGACCAGTAAATAATTTGTGAGATACCGCATATCTCAATGATCATGAGAATGCTTACAGTACAGTGTTTCTAATAAACACTGCACAACAAAACAAAGTAGTGTTTTCATGGCTAATTACCGTTTATGATAGTCTATCACGACCGATATCCGATCTAGAGAGTAAGACGTAGAGAGATCTCTCACGATGATGGAATCTCTGTAAGAAGAAGGCAGACAAAGACGGTCCTGCCAGATAGTTATAAAACAGTAGGCAAGCTAATAAAGGGCTGAGATCCTTAAAATACATATCTCACAATACTTGATTGGCTTTAGTATTATAATACATTGAAGTATCCCAGAAAATCAATGACTGACAAGGCAGGGTTGATCTAGGGTTTGCCAACACCACGCGGATGCACAGGCAATGACCAGCAATCCTGGGGCTGTGACCCCCATGAACTTTTTATTAAATGACACTGCTTATCAACTTTCGTCTGAAAAGCTTTATCTCTGGAAGATCGGCAACAGCTGATCCCTGTTGGCCAAGAAATACTAAACGCACGGGGATGTCACGATCCAATAGATCTCCATCTACCCCTCAATAGCGATCGTATCGGTCACTAAACTCCAAATCCAATGCTCAACATTTCAGTGCATTCAAATCTCGATGGCGACTGAGGTATATGACTATATCATCGTGGGCGGGGGAACAGCAGGCTGCGTAGTAGCCTCCCGCCTGAAAGAAAAGAATCCCACACTATCAATCGTCATCATCGAAGCAGGTCCCGATGTTAGCAAGCACCCTCTTGTACCAGATGCAGCAGATTATCCTCAGCTTCTCGGCTCGGAGCTAGATTGGAATTATACTACAGTGCCGCAGAAATATCTGGATGGGCGATCGGTCTCTAACCATGCAGGAAGGGCACTTGGGGGGAGTAGTGTCACTAACGCCGGTGGGTATTGCATTGCCGTTCAATTCAAAAGACTTTGTCTAATATGAGGCTTTGGTTGACTAGGGGGCTGGTTCCGAGGCGAAAGAGCAAATTACGATCTCTGGGGACAGACGGTCGGTGACTCGCGATGGAGCTATAGTGGACTTTTGCCCTACTTCCGTAAGGTGGAGTCACATTTTGATCCGAAGGGTGATCAGGAGCAGCATGGATTCCATGGCCCGATGAAGGCGGAGTCTGTCACATTCACGGGTCGCAATTATCCCCTGCGTCCTTTGGTAAAGGATGCATGGGCTGCTGTCGGTGTGCCTTTGGTCCCGGACATCAATTCTGGTGATCCTATTGGATTGGCCGAGGTTGTTGAGAACAAGGTCAGGGGCATGCGGCAGACTGCTGCATCTGAATATCCGCTCAATGTCACTATCTTCACAAACACCATGGTCAAGCGAGTCGTTTTCGAAGAGCGCAATGGACGAAAGAGAGCCATTGGTGTGGAGATTGCAGATGAGGAAATTCGTCTCATTTCTGCAAAGCGCGAGGTCATCATCTCGACTGGTACGTATCGAACACCCCAGATTTTGAAGCTTTCTGGTATCGGACCAGCAGACGAGTTGAAACGTCACGGTGTGGACCTGGTACTTGACTCTCCAGCCGTCGGCCTCCATTTCCAAGACCACCCGGGTGTTGTTCAATGGTGGAAGTTGAAACATCCAGAACGAGGACTCGCAGTTGGATCCCCGGCTTTCAATGATTCCTTGTTCTTCAGAGGTCAACCTATCGATTTTGCGGCAACACAGCCCGTCCCTCTGGACGGATTACGTGCTGCATTACTTCGCGATGATCCAAATTGCAAATTGGATGACCATCCATTGATCTCGCAGAAAGGACATCTAGAAATGTTAGTCTTTTACGCTGGAGGAAATCCCGCTAATCCCACAATTGAGATGGACGGATCTCACATTGCCACTATCGTGGTTGGTATGCTTCCAACTTCGCGCGGAAGCATAACTCTCAAGGACAATAATCCACACTCTATGCCACTAATAGACCCTAATTACCTTGCCACTGAGGCTGACAGGTATATGATGCGTGCTGGTATTCGAAAGATACGCGAAATGGTCCGTGAGACACCAGCCGGGCAGGAGATGATTGACAGTGAGACGGTCGAAGACGGGGCTACATCCGTTCAAGTGGATACTAGCGATGCAGAAATCGACAGTCTTGTTCGACGTCGAGCTATGTGAGAAAACGAGATATAAGAGATCCTGGATGCATGCTGATACCCTGTTCTAGGACTATGTTCCATCCTGCTGGAAGTGCCTCGATGGGCAAGGTAGTTGACAATCAACTTCGGGTTCGTGGAGTGGATGGCTTGCGCATTGTAGATGCAAGTGTCATTCCTGTTCCATTGACAGCACACATTCAAATGTGTGTTTATGCTCTAGCGGAGCAAGCTGCAGATATCATTGCTGATGCTAAAAGGTCTGCGCATAAGCTATGATGATATCAGTAGTCAGACCAATTGAAGTTTCTGGTATATTCTCAAGCTATTTCAAAGAAGTAGACAAAGAAGTCTATCCAAAATAGCAAATCGCAAACAAAAAAGGAAGAACGACAAAGGGTGACGACCTACTATACACAATGCAAACATCACAAACATTTTATCGATAACGCCGTTTTCCCCGCGGTAAATGAACGGCGCGACAAAGAAAAAGAGAAGAAAACATTTATACCAGGCCACTCCCTCCTATATATCTACTGGGTCAACTCTACAATCTCAGGCGATCCTCTCCACCCCATCGATTCATTCCACATAGATCCGAGTGACAGACCAGCCAGCATAATGGGCAACGACGCACCTCCGCCGCCAGCAGGCATCTTCACCCTGCTAGACACCGACCTGTACAAGCTAACGATGCAATGTGCGGTCCTCAAATACTTCCCAGATGTTTGTAAGTACCCTTGATCCAGGTCAGACGCCAACGAACCTAACACGCGCAGCGGTAACCTACGCCTACACCAATCGGACCCCGCACATGAAGCTGCGCCGCGGGGCGTACAAATGGCTCCTGGAGCAGATGGACAGTAAGAAACCAATATGAATTTTTCTCGGCAGACACTAATTCCGACGCGCTCAGAATTAGCAAATGTCCGCGTCACAGCCGAAGAACGCCAATTCCTCCGCGAAAAGTGCCCCTACCTAACCGACGCGTACATCACCTTCCTCGAAACATTCCATCTCAAACCCGCCGAGCAAGTCGAGATCAAGTTCACGCCGACAATAGATTCTGGCAGCGACGATGACGAGGGCAATGTCGAGTACGTCGTTAAAGGGTTGTGGCTGGACACGATCCTGTACGAAATCCCGTTACTGGCACTCACCAGCCAGGCCTATTTCATGTTTAGTGATCGGGACTGGGATTACGATGATCAGGAGGAGAAGGCATACCGTAAGGGCTGTACGTTGCTTGAGAATGGATGTGTCTTCTCTGAGTTTGGATCGCGCCGTAGACGTGATTATCATACTCAGGACCTTGTTATGAGGGGTCTTACTCGTGCCGCGGAGGAGGGCAAGAAGAGTGGCTGGGAGGGTGTCCTGTCTGGCACTAGCAATGTCCATTTCGCTATGAAGTATGGTGTTCCTGCTGTTGGGACTGTCGCGCATGAATGGTATATGACCATTGCGGCTATTACGGATGATTATGAGAATGCCAATGAGTTGGCTTTGAAGTATTGGCTTGGATGTTTCGGGGAGGGGGTATGTTCCTTTTGCTGTCTTGTTTTGTGTGTTGTGGACTAACATGGCGATAGGTCCTTGGTATCGCGCTCACCGATACATTCGGAACTCCTGCTTTCTTGGATGCTTTCAGGAAGCCAATCTCGGTACCGGATCAGGAGGCTAATCCATCTGCTAAGACTTATGCTCAGGTTTACACTGGTATCCGTCAAGACTCTGGTGACCCGACGTACTTTGTCAAGATGGCTCGGGATTTCTATAATGCTCAGAATATCACCGATACAAAGGTCGTTGTTTTCTCGGATTCTTTGGATATCGAGCATTGCCTTGAGTACAAGACCATCGCTGAAAAGGCAGGCTTCAAGCCTACATTCGGCGTTGGAACATTCTTCACCAGTAAGTTTGATATCCGCTGGTTCATCGACCAATGCTAATTGATTCCTATAGATGACTACATCAGTAAATCAACCGGTGAAAAGTCCAAGCCTCTCAATATTGTCATCAAGATCGCAACTGCGAATGGCAGCCCGGCCGTCAAGCTCAGTGACAATATGGGCAAGAACACTGGCGACCAGGACAAGGTCCGGGAAGTCAAGAGAAAGCTGGGCTATGTCGAGCAATCGTGGGAAGAAGGCGATGAAAGCAATCGCTGGAAGAAGCAGCAATAATGAGCCCAGTCAGTCTCATCCCTCGAATTTCAAACTCGCATAGAATTGGGCAGCATCAGTCACTAGAGTTCATTTCCGTTCAGCATAATGTGGCACTTCATAGAGAATAAGAATACATGACATCCTCGGCCAATTGTCTAATCATGAGACCGAGCACCAAACCCCTACAATAAGAATACGAGTAACTGACATTCTCTTCCAAGAGCTTACATTTGGAAGAAGAACCCATCTTCCAATTTCTGAGCCACATCACCAGCCCATGAAGCAGATTGCATCTGGAAGACTTCCTCGCCAACCTCATCAATAGAGCTATACAGCCCTCGCCAGCATTTCTCGATGATATGACTGCAAACATAATCATCTCTGGGAAACTGGGCATTCCGAAACCGGTGTTGAATCTCAACATTATGTCGAACAGAATCCAGCTCTGGAAACACCTCGCTGCCCGTGATGATATGGTACATGGCCGAGCCAACAGCAAATATGTCAGTGATTTCCCCTGCATAATTGAGTGACGGCCGTGGCATGCTGGATTTCGGCCCTTCACGACTTAGACCATCTAGCAGATAGGTCCCTGCACTGTTTTTCAGGATTCCTTGGAAATCACAAAGGATGATGTTCAGGTTGGTGTCCAGCAGGATATTTGAGACATCAATGTCGCAGTGTATAACGTTCTTGGAATGGACAAATGAGACAGCTGCCACAAGTTGTTGGCACCAGTCTAGCCGTATCTCAAGACTAACATTTGGAAAGCGGATGAGGTATTCGCGCATGTCACCGTTGGGATAGTATTTGAGTACCAGGCCGTCTTCGGTCAGACCTTCTGATTGCATGATGGAGGGATGGGGTCCCAGTTTGTAGAGGATGTCAAGGATTCGGGCTTCAACCTTGATGCTTGTTAAGTAGTTTCTGTCATTTTCGTCCTTTGTATACTTGAGGACTTTTGTGCAGATTGGTGATGGTTTGTTTGGGTCATTGGCGACGGGGATTTCGCCAAAGAGTCCCACTATGCATCCGCCGGATGAGATGATTTCTCTGACGCCTGGTGGAAGTCGGCCTGTGAGTTTGGGAGAGCCCGTGAGTTGGAAAAGAGTTTTGGAAGATTCCAGCTGGGAAAGAGTAGTCGTGTCTGCCAGTTTGTATTGGGGTATGAGTGGTACTTGGATGGCTTGCAGCGATTCTGGGGAGAGACTCCAGGGTGTCATGGTGACCTGTACTGAATGAATGAAATTGTACAGGGAAAAGAGATAAAACAGATAAAGCGATGGCTAGAGAAGAATTGAAGCAGGACAGAGACATGAAAACGTGGTATTTCGAGGAAATCTACGAGACAGAGCACCTTCCTTCTCTATCCTCCAACCCAGACAAGCAAAATGCCCAAATAGGCACAGTTTGCAGTGTCTACAAAGACCGCCACAATTCTATTAGTCGTGAAGGTTATTCTATGGTAAAGATGTAATAGCAAGGGCTCAACTGGTAAGGCTGATATCACCAGGACAAAGTCAAAAAGAACGAGGGGTTGAATTTACTTTGACCTGCCACAGGATGAAGAAAGATAGAGTCTGATTATGAGGCATTTTTTGATTTCAAGTAACACTTAATATAGTACAATCGGTAGCCTGAAGACCAAAGCGGTGGAAACAAGAACCAATCTCAATCATAAGACTAAAACATGTCATCGTCAGACTGGAACCCTAGATCCCGATCAAGGTCACCAGTGATCCCAGGTCGAGCATCACCCATAGATTGATGGCGCAGGTGCGTCCCAGGTAGCGTTTCATCTATTCCTTGCAACTCGAACGAGAACGAATCCTGCTCTTGTTCTTGTTGGGGTGTCCTCACTGGATCGAAGGACTGCGTCTTGTTGAATTGACCCATGTCCGTGTCTCGGAATAGATCTTGTGTCCAGTCTATATTTTCGTCTTGTGCAGTTGGTGATACATTGTTTCCATCCAATTTGGAATTCGTTGCAGGAGTCGGCATCTCCGGGAAGCAGTCGATGTCTATTGAGAAGAAGTTGAAGGGGTTGTTGTCGACGGTGCTGGGGTCGGCGAACTGGTCGAACTCGTTGGGGAAGAGAGGCAGAGAAGAATCTTGAGTTGTCTCTGTGGTGGAGTTTCTGGGGGTTGGGAGACCCCCTAGGCCTTGGTTAGGTGTAGCATAGTCTCTTGAGACTGGGGTGTCAGGCTTAGGGGTAGACTGGTCGGTGAGGAGGGGATGGTATTGCGGTATAGGAATTGGATCGTGGCTGCTTGGCTTTCTTGTTGTCAGGGATGTGGCAGGAGCATCGAGGTTGTATTGCATGACCTCAAAAAAGGTGCTGGAGGCACCTGACTGCATTTTGATGGCGGCTTCAATATTGGCGAACTCCTGGTCCGCGGCTGGATATATATCTTTCAGGCAATGCAGTACTTGGATACAACGGTGGAAATTGTATACACTGCTTTCGCGGACAGCCGGATTCTCGGACATGGTGTTGGATAGATGTGCCACGGCAGCGGGTAGAATCACGGTGACTCCAGACTGGGGTAGGAACCGGGTCAAATTGAGTTGATTCAACCCCTGTATAATATGGGTTATTCCACTGGCAGCATCGTGCATTTTTATGCGGGCAGTATTGCACAGCTCAGTGCGCGTCTTAGATTGGTCTTTGACAGCAGCTGCCCAAGGCCGGTGAAGTGCGCTGCTGGTAGCATGATAAAGCATACGCAGCATTGCGCCATGAAGGAGCAGCACGTCCTCGCCATCGCGGAAGTTGTGTTTTGTCTTGGGTATAAATTGTGCATCTTTGGGTAGTGTGCTGAGCCATGAATCAAGCTTTTGGCCGCATCGCGCAAACTCGGACTCTGAAGCTTGTCGGGGGACAAGCGTGACTGTGGTCCGGTTCGTGGCTCCAAATTGACGCTGTGAAGGAGTATATTGGGCAAATAATACCCTGCCAATACACTGACAAAGCTTCATCTTCTCAATAAACATGATAGACAAACGTTTCTGATGTGATACATCTTCCAATTGGCGGCAGCGGAAACTTGTAATAACGGACGGAGCAAAGGGTTCAAAATCAAAGTCTTCTAGACTAAGCATAGGCACATTGCTTGTTCCATCATTGACTTGAAGGGGCCGGCGCATACCCATAGCGATGAGCCGGTCTCGGGAGTATAGGCACCACCAGAGCCGAGCGCGGAGTCGTCGAGTTCTTACATGCATATCGCCTGATGCAGGGTCTTTGTTCAATCCAATAGATTGTGCCTGGGTGTTGCATACCCCAATCCAATCCCAGATGTCTCGCTGCGGACTGTTCTCCGGGTCAGACCAATATGTCATCAAGAGCAATGTTTGTAGGATCACAATTCGATCCTCCTCGCAGTCTAAAGAATATAGTAGCTAAAGATGAGTTAGCCAGGCTCGGGTTCCCATACGCTGGTGTACAAACCCTTAAGCGAGTGAAGAACGCATTCCGCGCGCTCTTCCGAGTTGAGTATCCCGCATCTTGCAGATGTTTAAGATCGACAAACGCCGTACCGACGAACATCACTGCCTGAAACAGCAAAATACTAACGTTTCCTTCCGGATCATTCTCCGCCACGCATCGCAAGAATTCTTGCAAATTTAAAACCGGCATAAAACTATGCACCCACTGAATATAACAGCGAAGCAGCTCGTCCCGCAGACCGCTCTCTGGCAGCGAGAGCGCACCTCGGAACCGCAGGAACTCCAAGTCCTCCGGCGCGATGCGAGCTGGTAGTGGCTTCAGAAATCGAGGCTCGTCATCCAACATGGCCGTCAGCGGATCGAAGTCCGGGTCAATCAAGTCCTGCACGGCGGACACCATATGTGCCAGCGGAAGTGAATGCTTCACATCTGGAGTTCCCAGTGCACGTGACCCGCCAGAAGGATTGCCTTCATATAGCCACGGGGCCTGGGGATCATATCCTGACAGACTGTGGCGCTTGGGTGTTGACTCGAGGCCTGGCCCTGCACTCGGTGACTTGCGCTTCCGAGTGTCTGCCCGGTTAAGGGAGGTTGAGGCCATTTCCTTTCATATAGGGATATTCCTATTATGATAGTATGAGATTGAACGAAATGCAAGAGATTCAACAAAATGAGACCGAATCAAATTGAAGATGACGAAAGATTGCGGTCGGGGAGAAATGTGGGGGAGCCCATTTTGCGGAGACCTTGGCGGCCGGGGAATTCGCCACGACTCGGCATTTATTAGGGCAATTGAGATGAGCATCGCTCGACTCTATAGATCAGGTTAGCCATGGTGGTAGATACCATTGGCTGTGCGTCAGGAATATATTTAAAGTTCTCGCACAGAGCACACAGTGTCACAAAAGAATCAGAATCTCCAATCGTACGACAGGCCCTGAGCGGATATTTGGCGTGTAACAGATTCCCTTTTAAGCATAAACATGGACTCGGATTTACCACTAACCCTATCTTGATTAGAGCGTTGCCGCAAGACTGAAAACCTGGAATAGTGAGGTTTGGCTTTCTTAGATTGGCTGGAGTTTATGAAATGCCATTGCCTTTGGGTGTACTATCGCAGATATATGTAGACTGTAATATAGTAACAATATATAGGAACTTACGCCGCGAGTGCTGCCCTACACATCATCGCAGTCTCAGATTACAGGAAAGATATTTGTCAAGTGGTCAGAGTAAGAGCCAGTGCTGTATTCAATCTAGTTCAGCTAGGTGCGGTAGGGAACATGTTAACCATGGAAGTGTATGGACTGGTTAGGAGTAGTAAGCATGTTTATACCGAGTCTATCTGCCAAAATCTAAGTGGGAGATCATCTACAAGTTTGAAATTCAACTATCACATGGTGTCTTCATCGGTGCATCGATTACTATCTCGAGTGGGAATCATGAACCTCCAAAGTTAGAAAGGGCAAGGCTCCCCGAGGTGAACGGTCGTTTCATATGCATCGTCAGACATGGTATGTAAGTTAACATTATACTATCAAGTTCAGGTTGTTTATCACTGTAGCTAGCTGCCCTCGCACTGTCATTCTAAATAATGCAGTGCACATTGGATTCTACGTCACTCATTACCTGACTGCCGAGTCTAGATGGCCCGTTTCTGTAGCACACAGATCTACTGCCAGCGAGCTTCACCGATAGAGAGCCTTATCCGGCAGCGTTTTGATTGAATTTTGGAAGTCCAAATGTCCTGACACGCGACATCCAGAGAGCAGCAATTGGATTGAACCACACTGGACACCCAGTAATGGCAAATTCCTCGAATTCATGAAAGCAGAGACAGAGCATGCAGGAAAGTACATGCTCTTCCAATAAACTATTGTACAAATTATTCAATCGAAAACCACCGAGCGAAATGTCTATTCAAGCGTTTCCTTTGACCGACGCCGTGTGCTTCCAAAGGATTGAAAAGGGGAGGTCCGAGTCGTATCACCGGAGGTATAAAGGGCGTCAAGATTTTACATGCTGTGTCAAGTCAGAGGCTAATCGTTGAACCGGGACTGAGATGAATGACGACTTACGGAGGGAGGAGGAACTCTCCGAGGCTGCTGTGGAGGAATGCAACACCGGCCTAAAATGATGATGTTAGTTTGTCTGATGATCAGAGTGCCAGGGGCAATGCTGTAGCTGAACATACACCGAAGATCAGGATGCTGCGGACAATGGTCTTGTTCTCGGGGTTGGTGGCCTCATCGTAGATGGTGCTGACGAAGCCCTTCTGGGCGCGGCCAGAGCCGGAGGGAACGATGCGCTGGTTGGGGGCCATTGTGTGATGGAGATTCGAGGATAGAGAACGTGAGTTGATGTTGTTGAAGATGATGATCGGATGTCGAGAAATCTGCGGACTCGGAACGGGCTTGGCGTCACTGCGTCTTTAGCTCCCGCGCGCAACCGTATATCTTTGCCCGCGTGAATGCGACAGCGTCTGCAACATCGGGCCTGGACGTGATTTCGTTTGTTTTCAGCTGCTTTTGCGCGTCTATTCTTTGCCATCGGTTTACTGCCCTCGAATTAGGGACTTGTGGTCTTAGCATTGTCTTTCAAATCACCGTCCTACCGCAATCATGAACGTCGATGAGCTCTTCAAAGTGAGTATGAGAGTATCCACCGGATTTTTGCATATCTAACAAAATAGAAACCGTCCTCCGGAGGCAATGCCAAGCGCAAGTTCGAGCCTCTCCAAGATCCTAGTCCGTTTCCCCTCGCAAAGACGCTGATCGCAACCCTCTAACCATACAACAGATGAAGTCTACAAGTCCGCGAAGCTAGACTCGAATGACGATGCGCGGTCAAAAGGAAAGGCACCTATAGTTGAGGACGAAATAGACGATGGCGAAGCAGGACCCGAGCTTCCTCCGGACTTCGACGAGGAGGATGTCCCAGACGACGAGGAGGGCCGATTCTTCGGAGGTGGAATGGACAGGAAGACAACACAAGCCATGGAGTACATTGATCAGCAAGAGGAAGATGAGACTGCGGTATGGGATAAATGCTCCATGATATCTGGCCAGGTGCTGACAGCTCCCTAGCCCGAGAAGTTCGACTCCGCATGGGTGCGCCGCTTTGCATTGAACTTTGAACGGAAGATCTCGAAGAATGCTGAGCTGCGGGCGAAATTCGAAAGCGATCCTCAAAAGTACGTGAACTGGACGAGATATCTGTACTGGTGCTGACTAGGTTAGATTCATGATATCTGAGGCCGACCTCGACACTGAAATCAAGGGCTTGTCGATTTTGTCCGAGCATTCGGAGCTCTATGAGGAGTTTGCGAAGATGGGATGCGTTGGGTCTTTGATCTCTCTCTTGTCACATGAGAATGCCGACATTGCAATTGATGTCATTCAAATTATCAATGAATTAACAGACGAGGACGTGGAAGCCGAACAAGAACAATGGGATGCTTTAGTGAACGCTATGGTATGTTGAACACACAATTGCATGAGGCAAACACTTACAAGACGTAGATGGAAGCCGATCTCATTGAATTATTGGCACAAAACCTCTCGCGACTGGACGAAGCATCGGAGACAGATAGAGCGGGAGTGTACTATGTGCTAGGTGAGTATGAGAAGATCTAGCGATGAATCAGTAACTAATTCGAACAGGTGTACTGGAAAACTTGGCTTCCCAGACTTCGCACGCCGAGACAATTGGACAGGATGGTTCAATTCTGCCATGGATTATCTCCCGCATCCAGAAGAAAGAAGCCGTCGTTAATCAGAACAAGCAATACGCCGCCGAAATATTGGCGATTCTTCTGCAGTCATCACCAAAGAACCGCTCCAAGTTCATCGAGCTAGATGGTATCGACGTTCTTCTCCAATTGCTCAGTGCCTACAGGAAGCGCGACCCAGTAAAGGACTCCGACGAAGAAGAATATGTCGAGAACCTGTTCGATGCTCTTGTCTGTCTTGTTGAAGAGGACGCAGGCAAGGAAAAGTTTGTGGAAAATGAAGGAATTGAGCTAGCGTTGATCATGCTCAGAGAAGGCAAGTTCAGCAAATCTCGCTCTCTGAGAGTGCTTGATCACGCTTTAGGTGGAGCCGGAGGAGCCCCAGCATGTGAGAGACTGGTGGAGGCAGCAGGCCTGAAGACTATTTTCGGAATGTTCATGAAAAAGGTATAGTCTCTCATGTCCATAGCATTGGTTCAGACTAACATGCATACAGCAAGAGGGACAGAATATTGAGCACTTCTTGGGGATCTTCGCCTCTCTTCTGCGTCTCTTGCCTGGTGGCTCAGCGCCACGTATCCGGACTCTAGCAAAGTTCATGGAGAAAGACTATGGAAAGATCGAGAAGCTGGTCAAGCTGAGGCGCGAGTACGCCGCGCGTGTCTCGCCTGTTGAAGAGGCTATCGCGAAAGAGCGCCGAACCTTTGATAAGGAAGAACAAGAAATGATGGCTGCCGAATGGCTCTCAAAGCGGTTTGATGCTGGTTTGTTCTCATTACAGGTATGTTCTTCTCGCCACTACACCATGCTCTGCTAACAACCCAGACTATCGATGTTATCTTGGCGTGGCTTATTGCTGAGGATGATGGAGCCAAACAGAAGATTCTTGCACTTCTTGCAGAGCGTGATGAAGACCTATCTCTGGTCCGTAGCACACTACAGGGTAAGTAATATGCATATCCTCTTTTGAACAAAGCTAATTTTCACAGAACAACTCGAAGGACTAGGGGAGGAGGAGCCAGGTCAGAAAGACTTCAAGGATATGCTTAGCACACTTCTTCAGTTTGTTTAAGCGATGCGATCCCTTGCATTATATGTACAATAAAATAACCCACGACTCTTTTACTCAACACCCAAGTGATTATAATCAATGCGACTATGTACTGATTTATGTCTATATCGGCGTATACTTCGAGGCGGTGAGAGTAAATTCACGTGACAACTACCCGAAGAGGCCTAGCGTCTAGCTAGCGGGCTCAGAAGCATCAAGAGTCTGGAGATCAGTCCCTTCATCTCATCATTGTCGGGGAGTTTCTATTCCATCCCCTTTCAGATTGTCAGGCTTTAACATACCCCTGCCTTTGACATTCTGATTCCCGCCGATCTCAATCTCCATCACCGACAGGCAGGCTTGCAGCGCGTTGGGTGATTCTTCGGACTGTGCCAGGCCGACGCGCCTCCCTTCGTTTTTTCAGATCAACACCTTCTTCAATCCGCCTCCGACCTGACCAGGTCGCCTTCGATCGCCACCATGGCGGACTACGACGAAACCTACGAGGAGGAGTTTTACGACGATGCGGACGAGGGCATCACCTCCGAAGATTGCTGGACCGTGATCTCTTCATTCTTCGATTCGAAGGGTCTTGTGTCCCAGCAGCTGGACTCATTCGACGAGTTCATTTCTTCGACGATGCAGGAACTTGTGGAGGAACAAGGACAGGTTGTTCTCGATCAAACTCTCCCCCTCACCGAAGACGAGGTTGACCCCGTCGTTGTGCGCCGATATGAGCTCAAATTCGGTACCGTTATGCTTTCACGACCATCCGTCACAGAAGGTGATGGTGCGACCACTATCATGTTGCCACAAGAAGCGCGTCTCCGAAATCTTACCTACGCCTCCCCCTCTACCTGGGCGTAACAAAGAGGGTCATGGAAGGTCGCGAGCGATCATCTAACCCCGATGATGACGATGCGAACGAAGGCGATGCCGACCAGAAGAACCGTGGCACATATCTCCAGTGGGAGCAGAAGCACCTGGAGGGAGGTGGGAAGGAGGAGACAGTCTTTATCGGAAAGATGCCCATTATGCTCAAGTCCAAGTACTGCATCTTGAAGGACCTTTCCGAACAGGCTCTCTACGCCTGGAATGAATGCCCGTACGACTCTGGTGGTTACTTCGTCATTAACGGTAGTGAAAAGGTTTTGATTGCACAGGAGCGCAGTGCTGGAAACATCGTCCAGGTCTTCAAGAAAGCCCCTCCCAGTCCCACACCCTATGTTGCTGAAATCAGAAGTGCTGTGGAAAAGGGCTCGCGACTGCTCTCTCAGCTTTCTTTGAAGCTCTTTGCCAAGGGAGACAGCGCCAAGGGTGGATTTGGCCCAACGATTCGCTCGACTCTCCCATATGTTCGCGCTGATATTCCGATCGTCGTTGTTTTCCGTGCGCTGGGCGTCGTGTCTGACGAGGATATTCTGAACCACATTTGTTACGATCGTAATGATACTCAGATGCTCGAGATGCTCAAGCCTTGTATCGAGGAAGGTTTCGTCATTCAGGACCGAGAAGTGGCCCTTGACTTTATTGCCAAGCGTGGCTCATCACAATCTAACCTGAACCACGACCGACGTGTGAAATATGCTCGCGATATTATGCAGAAGGAATTGCTGCCTCACATTTCGCAAAGCGAGGGCAGTGAGACCCGTAAGGCATTCTTCCTCGGATACATGGTGCACCGTCTTCTTCAGTGTGCTCTGGGTCGTACCGATGTTGATGATCGTGATCACTTCGGAAAGAAGCGTCTTGATTTGGCTGGACCTCTTCTGGCCAACCTGTTCCGTGTCCTTTTCACTCGAGTGACCCGTGATCTTCAACGCTACGTGCAGCGCAGCGTCGAGACCAACCGTGAAATTTATCTTAACATTGGTCTTAAGGCGGCCACACTTACAGGTGGTCTGAAGTATGCTCTTGCCACTGGTAACTGGGGTGAGCAGAAGAAGGCGGCCAGTGCAAAGGCCGGTGTATCTCAGGTGCTGAGTCGTTATACTTTCGCCTCTTCGTTGTCTCATTTGCGACGTACCAACACACCCATTGGCAGAGATGGAAAGATTGCCAAGCCGCGTCAACTACACAACACCCACTGGGGTTTGGTCTGTCCAGCCGAGACTCCTGAAGGTCAAGCTTGTGGTCTTGTCAAGAACTTGGCACTTATGTGCTACATCACCGTTGGTACACCGAGTGAGCCTATCATTGATTTCATGATTCAGCGAAACATGGAAGTGCTTGAGGAGTTCGAACCTCAAGTCACGCCAAATGCCACCAAGGTGTTTGTCAATGGTGTCTGGGTTGGTATTCACAGAGATCCCTCGCATCTTGTGGCTACTATGCAGAACCTTCGTCGACGAAACATGATCTCTCACGAAGTCAGTTTGATTCGTGATATTCGTGAGCGTGAATTTAAGATCTTCACTGACACTGGTCGTGTTTGCCGCCCCTTGTTCGTTATCGACAATGATCCTAAGAGTGAGAACTCTGGCGGATTGATCCTTAATAAGGAGCATATTCACAAGCTTGAGCAGGATAAGGATCTGCCTGCCGACATGGACCCAGAAGAACGTCGCGAGCAGTACTTCGGATGGGATGGTTTGGTCCGCTCCGGTGCTGTTGAATATGTCGACGCCGAGGAAGAAGAGACTATCATGATTGTCATGACGCCCGAGGATCTCGAGATTTCGCGGCAGCTCCAGGCTGGTTACGCCCTGCCCGAGGACGAGACCAGTGATCCCAATAAGCGTGTCCGCTCGATTCTCAGCCAGCGTGCCCACACCTGGACACATTGCGAGATTCACCCGAGTATGATCTTGGGTGTTTGCGCCAGTATCATTCCTTTCCCTGATCACAACCAGTCGCCCCGTAACACATACCAATCTGCCATGGGTAAGCAAGCCATGGGTGTCTTCTTGACAAACTTTGCACAGCGTATGGAGACCATGGCGAATATTCTGTACTACCCTCAGAAGCCTCTGGCTACTACTCGTTCAATGGAGTTCCTGCGGTTCCGTGAGTTGCCTGCCGGCCAGAACGCGATTGTCGCTATTGCTACATACTCCGGATACAACCAGGAAGATTCCGTTATTATGAACCAGAGCAGTATCGATCGTGGTCTGTTCCGCAGTCTGTTCTACCGAACCTACACGGACACCGAGAAGATGGTCGGCCTTTCAGTGGTTGAGCGCTTCGAGAAGCCCATGCGAACTGACACCATCGGTATGCGCAAGGGTACCTATGACAAGCTGGATGATGATGGAATCGTTGCTCCGGGTGTTCGTGTTTCTGGTGAAGATATCATTATTGGAAAGACTGCCCCCTTGGCCCCTGATGCCGAGGAGCTCGGCCAGCGCACCAAGGCACACACCAAGATCGACGTGTCGACGCCACTCCGAAGCACGGAGAACGGTATTGTTGACCAGGTGCTAGTCTCGACTGGCAACGATGATCTCAAGTTCGTCAAGGTGCGCATGCGTACCACCAAGATCCCCCAGATTGGTGACAAGTTCGCCTCTCGTCACGGTCAAAAGGGTACTATTGGTATCACATACCGCCAGGAGGACATGCCCTTCACCCGTGAAGGTGTGGTTCCCGATTTGATTATCAACCCCCACGCCATTCCCTCTCGAATGACCATTGCTCATTTGATCGAGTGTCAATTGTCCAAGGTCTCGGCTTTGCGTGGATTCGAGGGAGATGCTACTCCTTTCACTGATGTCACCGTCGACTCGGTTTCGCGTCTGTTGCGCGAGCACGGCTACCAGTCTCGTGGATTCGAAGTCATGTACAACGGACACACTGGTCGTAAGATGGTTGCCCAGGTGTTCCTCGGACCTACCTACTACCAGCGTCTGCGCCATATGGTCGACGACAAGATCCACGCCCGTGCCCGTGGTCCTACTCAAATCTTGACCCGCCAGCCTGTAGAGGGTCGTGCCCGTGATGGTGGTCTCCGTTTCGGAGAGATGGAGCGCGATTGTATGATCGCCCACGGTGCCAGTGCCTTCTTGAAGGAGCGTCTGTTCGATGTGTCGGATCCGTTCCGTGTTCACATTTGTGACGACTGTGGTCTGATGACTCCTGTCGCGTAAGTTTTTCCCTGAATATCCCATTTTATGCTTGCATACTAACGCCTTCTAGCAAACTCAAGAAGGGTCTCTTCGAGTGTCGCCTGTGCAACAACAAGCACCGCATCTCGCAAGTGCACATTCCCTACGCCGCCAAGCTTCTGTTCCAAGAGCTGGCCTCCATGAACATTGCCGCCCGGATGTTTACCAACAGATCCGGTGTGTCGGTGCGGTAATTCTGAGGTTTCTTATTCTGTATTTTAATGATCTGCGAAAAAAATGCGCATATTCTGGCCTGTTTCTGTGGCGTCTGGGGGTTCGCATTTGAAACTTAGTTCTTCGGCCATACATACTTGAATCACATCGTGCACATTGATGTACCAGCGTATTGATTGTAGTCTATAAACATACTCCAGATAATAAGTAATCCATGTCCTTTGCCCTTAACGTATACCTGACCCCGACAAGCCGACAATCCGAACTATACCTCCCCCAACCTCCTCATTTACATGGCCCAGCCCCCTCGGCCTGTCCCTATATCTAGGATGTGCTGGATTGGTGAGCTTTGGGTAGCTTGAGTCGACGATACATTTTGTTCAACAGCGGCATAGAAAAGTGGGGTTTTTTCCTCGGTGTAAGTTCAAGATGATCGCCATGGGATGTCTATCCGGGTCAATTTTGGTCTCTGATATAGACAGACCCGGTCTCAAAGCTCTCCCACTGCTGTTCATCTGATGCAACCCTGTAGAATGAGTTATTCCTGTCCACTAGTGTTCATGGTATATACCGTAATCTCCCGTCCTTGACGACTTGGTAGCTCTACGCACTTAGCTTAGCAGGTGCCCTCTAGATCGATAGCATAGCACATCAAAGACCCTATAATGTATGGCCAATGTGAGAAAACTTTTTCACTCATCGATATCAGGTTGATTCAATTGATCGATTGATCGATTAATCAGTGTACATATTCGCACGATTCAAACCCCCCCCCCAGTGTACACGGCCGAGTGCCACAGCAAGTCCGAATCCTGGCTTCTTAGTCGGGAGGCGCACGCGGCCTTTGCGGCTTACTTCCGAGCTCAAGTATGTCAGACAGGTGTGATTGCATTGGCCGAAGTCAAATGTATATTAAAGTGTGCAAGATAGGCACATTGTGGTGGGATCCCCTGGACTCGAACTGGACGGTCAGAGTTCTCGTCGTTCGCACGTTCTAACATGATGCCTACTTGATCTGAGGCTTTGTTTGCCTTTTTCTATACAGTATAAAGTACATTGGATGTGATCCGAGTCCAATGGGGGGAAATAGGCCTGGTGCTCTGCTATGATGCATTAGCGGGATATATGATCTGTGCGATGTCATCTGTGCTCTATTTTACCATTGAGAATTATTACTGACGTCTCATTGTCGGTTACTGCTATCATATGTGCTATGACATGCCCCAGGCTTCTAAGACCTGCATGCGCTGTCACTTCGTCAGCCCACTTGCGCCCTCTGACTGGCTTTCGTCTTCCCGTCTCTGGTCTCGGCACATTGAGTATTCAGGATTGCGAGTTGAGGGATCTGGTATCTGAGATGGCTGAGAGGTGTTCTGCCCAGTTCGTCCGTCCGCCAGTCTGCCTGACTGAAGGTGCCTGTTGTGACTGCGCACTCACCAAGAACCACCACCACAACCTATCAACATAAACCATCAGCTCAAAATATCCAAGTCTGCTCTGCACACTCTGCTGAGGCTGACAAAACTCTCCCCTCACTTGATCAGACCCCAGCGCGAAATCAGCGCCCATCATTGGCCACCGCCTGGAGGGCATCTCATCACTGCGCACCACCGCACTGAACCAACCACCATCGGCCAATAACCGCCCAGTCAACTCTGCACAACAATTCTGCAGATTTGGTGGACTCGACTTAAAAGATGCCATAGCCACCCTAGGCAGATTTCTTTCTTCTTTTCTTCCAGCGAGCGTTTGTTGTGTTAGTGCTGCATATTCGATCCTGGCACTGGCTGCCCGATCTCTTTTTTTTCTTCTTTCTTTCTATACTATCTTAATTCATCCTTTCAAACGAGCTGTGCTCTTTGAGATTCTGCCTTGCTCATCTTTCGAATACTATTTACAGGAATTACAGCTTGTCGCCGGTCGACCAGTTCAACTTCCTCAGTTTCTACCACAACAAACCAACTTAATTTAATCTCGCTCGATTCTCTTACAATTTCGTGGACCGGTTCCCGAAAGAGTCAATTATCACGAAACTCCGGCAGTCTCGTTCTACATCGATACTCTTTCACCGCTACGAATTACCTGCTTCAATTGTTCATCATGGCCGCCGTTCAACTCAAGTTCTCCCTCCGGACCTCGTCCAACGTCAAGACCGTCCACCTCGTCGGCTCCTGGGACAACTACCAGCGCCAGATCCCCCTCTCCGCCGAGGAAAAGCCCGGCGCCTGGGTCGGCAAGTTCCGCTTCCAGACCTCCATGCTGCAACTCGGAGGCCGCTACTGGTACTACTACATCATGGACGGCTACCACGTCTCGCACGACCCCGCCGTCGAGTTCACCGTCGAGCCCACCACCGGCCGCAAGCTCAACATCCTCGACGTCCCCGGTGGCAAGTCCACCAGCACCAGCACCCGCAAGCCCCGCGCCAGCGTCGCCACCGGCCGCGCCCTGTCTCCCTCGCGCATCCACCACCCCAAGCCGTCCAAGCCCTACGCCTCCCGCCAGCTCCGCGAGGCCGACTTCGCCCCCACCGTCGACGACCTGACCCGCCGCTTTGCCGGCTCGCGTCTGTCCGATGAGTACTCCTACTCCAACTCGCCGCCCAGCTCCGCCGGCTCGAGTCTCTCGTCGCGCTCGTCTGGCTCAACCTCCCCGTCCTCGCTCTCGTCCATGAGTGACCCGCCTGTCCAGTGCCGCTGTGAACGCTACGGTATCACCCGCAAGGGTGACCGTGTCAAGCTGGACTGTGGTGGTTCCCGCTGTGGCTATCTGACCGAGTCGTCGGATGACTCGTGCTCCGAGTCTGAGTATGAGAGCGATGAGGAGTACTGCCGTGCTCGCAATGCTGCTCGTCGTCAGGGTATTGTTGTTCGTCGGTAGATTCTTACCGTCGGTCTGGGTCTGGGTTTCGACTGAGATCTGGATCTTGTTTTGATCTGTCTGCGCTTGACTGTACTAGTCATTGCGTTTTTTTGATTTTGAAAATACTTGGAAAATGAAAATAAATAAAAAAAAGCCCGAAACCGAGGGTGAACCGGTTTCACGCCGCGGTTGGGCGGGGATGATAATTCTGTTGAGGAAGGAGAGGAGAGGAGAGGAGAAGAAGAAGAAGAAGAAGAGAAGAAGAAGGTATCGACGTATCCTTACATCGATCAACCGACAACACCACTTGGATCATCCAATCCAGCAAATGTGGACGCCGACAAACTTATCTTGAACCGGTCAAGATCCGCTACCCCCGGCACAAGCTATAAGAAACCGACAAGATTCACATGGACATGCACATCCTCCTCGGGGCTCATGTCCATCCAATGAATGCATGACTCGGCATCTCAACGTCAACACAACCAAGGAAGTCACTGCTCATCGCTGTGATGCGCCTGTTTTCCTAGCGCGAGCTTTGGTTAGATAGATCTTACTCGAGATGCCATGAATAACGAGATATGATCTGCATTTGACTTTACTGTAGACGTAAACGACTGACTAATTGCCATTTCTTGTTGGTTTTGTCTTTTATTTTGAACACCCTGTGCTCGAATACGTTGTCTCTTTAAATCTACTACATTTAGTCCCGCGACGCGAATTTTGTTCTTCACTACTTGCTCTCTACTGAATGAGGGCACTGGAGCAGCCATCCTGACTAGGTTAAACAGGCCTACACTCTTACCCATTAGCATTGTTATCATACCCTAAATAGAAACATATAAATATGCAAATCTTCACGACAGATGTTACACTTCTATTCTCTTTGGTTGTTTCTTAGTTCCAGTCAACGTAACAGTAAACATAATCCCAGTCCATTGGCAGCATGACGGGCTTGATGATCCAAAACTCAACTAGTCACTCGTCACAGCCAGAAAAAAGAAAAGAAATATGCTTCGTGTTTATATGATGATTGTCATCTGACCCTTTAGAAACTGCCTAAACATGTCCACTGAAACAGCAAGTTAAGGCCATAGTTAGGGCAAGCGTAATGTGCGCAACTTTCCGCACCTGGCATTCGCTCGCCGTCTTGGAACATCATGCTGAAGATTCAAAGGTCAGGGCTTCAGCCTCACTGTTGGCCTTTTGTCGGTCCTGTCTGCTTGACGAGCAGAACGACGGTAGAGAATGAACTTGCGGCTTGTTGGGGGGGCGGACTTGAAATGACAATTGAAGTTTATTTGCTGGCAAAGTTGAAGAGTCTTCGTGATTGCACGAGTCAATGATGGTTCTAATCTAAGGTATTCATGTAGTCTAGGTAGCATTAGGTGAGTCAGTCTGCCGCACTGGACGGCTCGCAAGCAACCTGATCGCTTAGCGGCCATAAGTTAATTCTCAACACTGGCGAGGTATATAATCTTGAACTACACCTGGGGTATATAACCCAACCATGCCCCTCTTCCCCCAGTCACCGCAACATCATTCACTCCCACCGCTACCACCAAGACCAACGACAATGAGAGAAGGCCTCGACCTCCCCGATTTCGGGAACCTCCCATTCGACCATTTCGTCGTAGTAAACCACCCCTCCCGTTCCTCACCACACATCTACGAGAGCAATTCCAACCTAATCTCTCTATTCATCAAGGCAAACTGGGACACAACATCCCCACTCTCCAAAAACGAGCAAAAAAGAATCCTTGTTGAGAAATGGATCGCGTTAGGAAAATATGGACGAAACGTATCCATCAACCTCACCAACCTATCCATTCAATGATCACCCCCGACTGACCAACCTCCCAGGACTGGGCCCTCGCCATGTTCAATGACCCACTCATCGATCATATCCCAGAGGGGATACCACAAGACCTCCTCTCAGAGGAAGACCGCGCAATAAGCAGCCTCATGTCCACAACCCTCTGGATCCGAACCTGGTTCGGCGATCATACAGATCAAACAAGCCAAGACGCCGCAGACACGGCCTACGCCCGACTCCGGAAGGAAGTGCTACAGCAGGGTCACGAGGATCACCACGTTTTCTGTATCCCCGAGGAACATGTTTTCGAGGATCCGGAGGATCTGATGATAGATGCCCGGTGGGACCGGGATCTGATTGAAGGCGTTGCGACAGGCTGTCCGGGTTCTGTGCCGGGGTATCTACTTGCGGCGCTGATGCATTGTCCTGAGCTGTTTGAGGGGGTATCGGATGACGACTGGCGGCATTGGAAGGGAGAGGAGCGGGCTGAGGAGCTGGTGGAGAGTGATCGGATACAGAAGGCGCTGGTTCTTGTTGCGGATCGGAAGGCCTGTGTGGAGGGTTGGGTGTTGGCCTTAGCGGTGAATCATCGGGGGGAGGTCCTTCCGGTTAGGGTGCGTGGGCGGGCTATGGAGGTGGCGCAGATTGCGGTGGATTGGTTGGAGGGCGAGCCTTTGTCGGATATTGTGGATGATGGGGATGAAGATGTGGAGTTTTATCTAGGGGGAGGGAATGGGTGGGAGTAACTGTAAGTAGTATATTCTTAGAAGCTCATGTATCAACCTGCTCTGTTGTATATAAAAAATATAAATCTGGCCACCTAGGGCACGGGTAGAGCTTATTGGTCGAAGCTTGAGTATATGGTCTGCTCAAGGTCGTGTTGATATCTATCTGATGGCAGATGTAGACTTGTGCGGCATAATAACTTGAACCCTCAATCAAGCAGATTGAGGCCCTTTCCCAATGATTCTCTCTAAGAAATCGAAACCCTCCCTTTGCAACCACCAAGTCTTCGATCCAACCTTCATGAGCATAGCAAAAGTATGTTCTTCCCCTGGAACCTCGGTCATTCCACACTGCACACCGGCCTCCCTCAACTGTCGATACAACTCGCGACTAAGTTCAATAGGAACCATTGTATCCGCAAGACCATGCACAATCCATGTTGGTGGGAAGTCAGCATGGATGTTCTTCACTGGATCAATGCGATCCATTCCTGGATCTGTGGTTTTGCAGTCTGGGTAGATGGCGTCCATGACGGTTCCATTGGCAATCTGGGTGAAAGCGAAAGCGTCGCGTGGTCGGGAGAAATTGGGGCCTTTTCTACCTCCAGCTTCTGATTGGCCTTCCAGAGAGACAGAGCTGTCGGTTGGAATTGGAATCTCTTGATAGATTTGAGACAGGAATTCTGGTTCTAGGTTGGGGGGTAGTTTTGCCGCGACGTGAGGAAGAGGCGTTTTCCAGAATGGGTCGGTGAAGTTCACTGCGCCGTAGAGAGAGAGAATTGCTTTGACTGGTTTAGCCACGTCAAATCCCTGTGTCGAGTGTTAGTACTGGTGTTTCTTGTGGTGGAATCCGTGGATAGAAGCACATACCAGTCCCAAAGCTAGTGTTCCGCCAGATGATGTGCCGAATGCAGCGATGTTGTCCAGGTCAGCTCTGTATGCACCATGGCTGGAAAGGAATTTGTCCAGCTGTCCTTCTTGGATCCAAGTTAACAAATCGCGTATATCCTGCATTGGTCCCTCGAGGATATTCACTCCGGGACATAGCCGGTGGTTGGGAACTAGCACGATCCAGCCCCGGTCGAGGCAGTCTTGCACTTGGGGTAGGGAAACCATCCGCGAATGGCCCAGCATGAAAGCACCGCCATGGATGTCGATCACTTTGTTTTCGGTTTAGTAGAATGCTTGATAGCGCTATTGGAGTGGCACTTACACACTGGATGTTTCTGTGTCGAGGAAGAGGTGGGGAGATATACATCTGTGGTGATTTGACTGCCATTGATCTCTTTGTAGAGAACCGTCAGGGGATTGTTGAGAGACATGCTTAAAGACCAAACGTCGGGTGTCGGCAGTTCTTTATGTGTCAGTGCGGGGACGGAATTCCCCAGTTGGCGATCTCGGCTTTTCCGGGTCCCTCGGATAGCTTCATCGCTTATACTCGCGCTTTTTACTGTTTTGCTGGTTGATCAGATGATATTAGTTCAAAGATTCTAGATATATGCTTTGAGAAATGGTTTGCAGTTATCGTTAAACATACATTGTAGACTATATATATTGGACACCTCGTATGTGATAAATCTTGGAAACGTCACAAAGTATGGAAAGTTTATGAAATAGATGCATATCTTGATATCATGGGGGAAAACACAAATTTCGAAAGAATATCCACACGTTAGCGAAGACATTGTACACATTTTCTGTAGTTAACTTATAGCGAAGTTACCTGTTATATTAGGGCTTGCTGCAATTGACCCACTGCCCATGTAACTAAAGATCTCAAACCTGAGGAATCGACAATACTTAAGTACCTGCAAACTAGTATCATGAAGACTAGCTGGCCTAGAAATCTAGGAACTTCGATCTATCAGAACCGTTTGGATACTGTGCAGACACTGTAGCGAGATCGGGAGCTCCCCAAGAATTTCCCAAGCAGACATGAATTTCTATCAAGACCTTATGACGGAATAATCATCGTCGGAAATAATCAGACGTTCTTTGCATTTATTCTCCGTTGCCTTGGTATAAACTTGAAGTCCAGCCCTAAGTTAAATCACAGGATTCCGCGATGCTAGCAGCTGACTCAGAAATGAGTCAGCGGAGACCAACTGTCCAGGTGCCAATTTGACCCCCTGCGATGGAAGTCATCAACGCGAACACCAAGCAGTTGTTTATTCATCGGAGGTCCGGCGGAAATAGACTCGCATTGGATCCTGGGGGTAATCTTCAACCTAGCTGATCACCTTCCGACGTTCCCAGCACCCAGGCGCCGGCCAACTACAACCCGCCTTGCGACCGCATCGAAAATGGCTCACGGAGCGGAGGACTGCGCAACCGTCCTGGAGCAATTCGTGCACGATGTGGCGAATCTTCCGGCTGAGATCAACCATTTAATGGAAGAAATCCAGGCCAAGGACAAGGTCATACAGGAATGTCGCGCCACTATCAACTCGCGCGACGGCAGCATCCAGAAATTCATCAAGATGAACGGCAGTCTGGCACCAAACCCGAAGGAAGAGCAATACGGAAAGACTATTCTAGAGAACATGGATCAATCTTTCGAACTTCAGACCGAGAAGATCCAGCTTAGCGAGAAAGCATGCGTTCTGCTCGATCGCCAGATCAAGCGGCTGGACGTGCGCATTCGCGACCTGGTCAACGAGGGCCTCCTCACCAATGATCCTCCTCTCCCATCTCTTTTCGACTCCAAAAACAAATACCGCAACCCTCCTAAGGTCTTCTTCCCTGATTCTACCCCCTCCGAAACCCCCGCCTACTCCGCACCTCTCAACCCGACCTCTGGAAATGCGAATCCTATTCTAGCAGCTGCCCAGCGCCTGAGCCAATCCACGGCACCGCGCACTCCCGGTTCCATCACTTTACCAGGCCATACCGCAGTGCGCAGCTCTGCACCAGCTACACCGGCCGCTGCAGTCGTCCACCTCCAGCAACGGCAGCGCGAATCCTCTGCCGGAGCAGTAGATAGCAAACGTCGCCGACTGAACCCAGTCCTCAACACTCTCCCCGCAGCATCATCGAATCTCCGCCAATCATCTCTCGGCCCTGGCACACCCAAGCCCGGCACCCCGGCGGGCAGCCGCGCAGGCAGTGCTGGCCCACGCTCCAGCCTCGGCGTCAAGAAAGCACTGACGAAGAAGGTCGCGCCTCACCACCAAGTCAAGAAGCTCAAGTCTCACCACGGCAAGCCGCTCAAGCGATCTTCCAGCGCGAGTGGTCGTATCAAAGCGTCGAAGAAGTCTCCCAATGGCGAGGGCGATGAGGATGACGACTCTATGCTTAGCAGTGCGGATACTTCGGACTCTGATAATGAGGCCGCAGGAGACGAGGATATGGATGATGATGACGAGGACGAGGGAAATGAGGATTCTAAGGTCTACTGTACCTGTCGTACGGTCAGCCATGGGGATATGGTTGCTTGTGACAATGATGATTGTCCTTACGAGTGGTTCCATTGGAAGTGTGTTGGGCTTACCCGTGAGCCTGTTGGGACCTGGTACTGTGATGAGTGCAGAAGCACTCTGGGCAAGTAACTTACTGTACTCTACTCTTTTGTTTTTGTTCTATGATTTGCGTGACGGTTGATATACCCACGGCGTTTGGGGGAATTTTCATGGTGTTAGCTAGGCCCGGAGGTGAGCTGTCTCTAGATTCATACGTGCTACCTCTGTGCTACTTTAATTTTTACCATTTATCTCATGATACATGTTAAACAGAACCAAATTCGTATTCGTCTAATGTGGACAAATCTGGCTATAATCCTGTAAGACCCATCCCATCCCCAAGTGATGGGACTGCGGAGGTATCCTTCGCAAGATCCCTCCCATATGTCCAAGCAATGAGCAACAAGCCCCCATTCCAGGGAAAGCAAGTGCCCAACCAAACCAAGTCGAAAACGCCATCGCTATATGCACACATATCCCCGTTTTTGTTTTTTCTTACATGCAAACGTGTAGGCACACAGGAACATTCAGTGCGCCAAATCAAAGATTTTCGTGGAACAAGGTCCACTTAGAAACCGAGCCCGTTGCTCAGCCAGGGGTCGAAGTACTCGCAGGTCTCTGGGCTGACTGCGCCGCCGGGCGAGCAGAGGCGGAAGACGGGGCACTGGCCGCAGGGTGCTTCGGTCATGCCGTTCTTCACCAGGTGCTTGTTGACGACGGCGAGGTCGTCGCCTTCGATGGGTGTCTTGCGCTTTTGGTTGGCCTGGATGGCGCTGGGACTTTGGAGGGATCGGTAGTATTCGCCCGCTCCAAGGGATACGAGCTTGTTGTCGTAGCAAAGCATCTCCATCAATTGGACGACGCTCTCGTCTCCCAGCCGAACAGGCGTGATGCCGCTGCTGTTGACGGCGCTGGTGATCGTCTGCACGTTGGGGTATCCCTTGTAGCCGTGCGGGTAAGGGAGGAACATCTTTTCGTCGGACTTGACGTCAGCCTTTCCAGAGGCGGTTTTGAGGCGCTTGTTGCGGCCGCTGTCTGAGGCCGGCACTTCGTACCAGCTCAGTTTGCTGACTGTGAATTCAATAAAGCCGGCGACTGTGTTGATGAAGTTGGCATCGAGTACACCGTCTGTGAACCATGCTCCGCCCGTGACCTCCTCGCTTGGAGCAAGGCCGGCCAGCATGTACATCTTCCGGCTGGGATATTTGACATTGTGCAGAGATTTGATGTAGTTCTTGCTCTCGAGCGATTTGAGGCAGCGGTCCAGGATTGACTTGTGCAAATTCGTGCGGCTTCCGATGTGTCGCACCCAAATGCCTGTCCTGCCTGTCGAGTGAATGACATTGTAAACCATCGCCTCGTCAGGTGTGAGGTTGCGGAGTCTGCAGAGGAATCTGGGTTAGTCTGGGTCCATGAACAGGGTTCAAACCATGTAATGCCTACTTCTCAGCGTCCTCGCGGTCAATCAGTCGCCAAGTCAATTTTCCATCTTTTTGGAGAAGTCGGAAAAGATTTTGATCGACCAAGCTCTGGGCGCATTGCAACAGTAATGCGACGTCATTCTTGGGAATGACTTTGAGATTGAGGAAATCATTCTGGTAGAAGAGGTGGTCCGGGTCGAATTCGTTCACGCATGCATCGTAAAGCTTGGAGGCAAGCTCGGCCACTTGGGACCCCGCGGAGGCCATTGTTGAAGGTGCGGAGAGATCAGGGAAAGTCGAAATTCATATGAGAAGGCTGAGATCTCATATTCAAAGACGCAGGGGTTGATTAGAGCAGCATGGTCGAAGTTGAGTCACGAATGAATCACAAGCGATGTTTTTTTTGGACTTTTTCGCAGCGGGGAATGACTTTGGCCCGAACGGGTTTAGCCCCGATAGCTTCGATGTCAGCGTGGTGGCCTGAACCATCAGGCTGTAGCATTGGAAATTTCGAGAAGCTGCGGGCGACAAAGCTCACCAACGTTCAGTTCTGGTCTTGTTCCCATTGACCATTTCAACTTCCATATCCATATATCACACTCTCATCATGGCTGACGCTTTGAAGGCAGAGGGCAACAAGGCCTTCTCTGCTAAGGACTATCCTACTGCTATGTACGCACCCATACCCCACCTTTTGACAGTGACTCCCGTGAGCTGGACTGATAGATCGCAGTGAGAAATTCACTGAGGCCCTCGCTATCGAGCCCCAGAACCACATCCTCTTCTCCAACCGTTCCGCTGTCTACACCGCTCAGAACGAATACCAGAAGGCTTTGGAGGATGCCGACAAGGCCATTGAAATCAAGCCCGACTGGTCCAAGGGTCACGCCCGTAAGGGAGCTGCCTACCGTGGTCTTGGAGATCTCTGTATGTGAATTTAAACAGTGCTTGAAGTGACATTGCTAACCGACGGTAGTGGCTGCATTCGATGCCTACAGCGAGGCTGTGAAGATCGAGCCTGGTAATGCACAGGCCAAGTCCGGCCTCGATGCCGTTCAGCGTGCTATCAACGCCGAGGCTACTGCCGACGGTGTTACTGGCGACCCAACCGGTGGTCTCGGTGGCATGTTCAACGACCCTCAGCTCTTCCAGAAGCTCGCCAAAGACCCCAAGACCGCTGCCCTGCTTGGCGACGCTGAGTTCATGGCCAAGCTCCAAAAGATCCAGAAGAACCCCAACAGTGTTGGCGAGGAGATCCGTGACCCTCGCTTCCTCCAGGTTATGAGCGTGCTGCTCGGTATTGACATGAACTTCGCTGGTGGCCCCGAGGGAGCCGACTCTCCCATGCCCGATGCTAAGCCCGCCCCCTCCCAGCCCAAGAAGGCGCCCACACCCGAGCCTGAGCCTCAGGATGAGGAGGCCATCGCCAAGAAGAAGGCCCAGGAGGACGGTGATGCCGAGAAGAAGCTCGGTAACGACTTCTACAAGAAGAAGCAGTTCGATGAGGCCATTGAGCACTACACCAAGGCCTGGGAGCTGAACAAGGACATCACCTACTTGAACAACATTGGTGCTGCCAAGTTCGAGAAGGGTGACTACCAGGGCACAATTGAGACCTGCCAGAAGGCTGTTGAGGAGGGCCGTGACCTCCGCGCTGACTTCAAGCTGATGGCCAAGGCCTACACACGTATTGGTACAGCCTACGAGAAGCTTAATGACCTCGCCCAGGCCATTGAGTTCTACAACAAGTCCCTCATGGAGCACCGCACACCCGATGCTCTGACCAAGCTCCGCAACGCCGAGAAGACCAAGTCCAGCTCCGAGAAGAACGCCTACGTTGACGCCGGCGAGGCCGAGAAGGCCCGCGAGCTCGGCCAGCAGAAGTTCTCCGAGGGTGACTGGCCCGGTGCCGTCGATGCCTTCACCGAGATGACCAAGCGTGCCCCCTCCGACCCCCGTGCCTACTCCAACCGTGCCGCCGCCCTCATCAAGCTCATGGCTTTCCCCGGTGCCGTGCAGGACTGTGACGAGGCTATCAGCCGTGACCCCAAGTTCATCAAGGCCTACATGCGCAAGGGTGCTGCCCTCATTGCCATGAAGGAGTACAACCGTGCTTTGGACACTTTCACCGCCGCCTCCGAGAAGGACGATGGCTCCCACGCCCGCGAGATTGAGCAGCAGCAGCAGAAGTGCCTGGACGCTCAATTCAGTGCTCGCGCTGGCGAGACCGAGGAGCAGACCATGGCGCGTATCCAGAACGACCCCGAGGTAAGTACCCACTTGACATCCTCCCCCCCTTGCCATGTTCCGCCCGATCCTAACGTCCTTCCTAGATCATGTCCATCCTCCAGGACCCCGTCATGCAGAGCATTCTCCAGCAGGCCAAGAGCGACCCCGCCGCACTCCAGGAGCACATGAAAAACTCCCAGGTGCGCATGGGCATCCAGAAGCTGATGGCTGCTGGTGTGATCCGCATGGGACGGTAAATCAGAAGTTTGAAGTTTGGAAACGATTGACACGAAACATTTGCCATCATAGTTTATTCCATGTTCCATGTTGCTAAAATTCGATGACCTACTTAGCATTTTATATTTTGACCATGCCACGGCTGGAATGTAAGTTATAAGTGAAGCAACCAAGAGCATTCGTAGTTCCGTTCAGCGTTACTGTAAGGTAATCCCAGTAGCAGACAACAGGCAAGGTATTGGAGTGTCCACACCGACCAGCAACAACCATTGCCCCATCTGCAATCGCATTCGGCGCACTGTTGAACAATCCCAATACCCACTATCAACCGTGTACCACACCTTGACCGTGTACATGTACAAGTACAAGATGGGATTGCATCAGGGAAGACGCTCAAGATATAAGTTACTGCACGGTCCGGCACCACACAACCCAATTTTCACAATGGGTCTCCCTACCAGCCTCAGTAAAGTTTGGGTAGATCTCAGACAGTTCGCCGATCCAATCCCGAAGAAAAAATCGCGAAAAAAAAAAAAAAAAAACAAGCGCCACACACTGTATCAGTGGGCGAGTGGGGATACACGAAGAATCAGATCTCACCGAATCCGTTATCCACCCAATCGCAACAACATTGAAGAGAGACTTTACTGTACAATCCCCTCAGTGCGCACAGAACACTGTACAGTACTAGAGGCACAGACTGAATCTACTGTACTGTGCACTGTACACTGTACAGCATAGTCGAGCTACACATGCACGGCGCAAAGTTAAAAAAAAATAAAAAAAACCGACAAAGGAAGAAAAGAGGACCGGACAGGTGGACAGGGTACTGTATAGGTAGTTTACGATCACCCCCAGGAAAGGATTATCTGCAGCCAGATCCTGGGTTGAAAGATCTAGGTCTATTGTGCTGTACGGTACTTACTGTAGCTTCCAGTGCGAAAAACAAAGCCGGAAGCGGGAAGCGGAGGACAGGAGACGGAGGGAGGGGATATGATGGATCGAATTGGATTACTGTATGCAGCATGCAATGCGCGGAGTACAGTACAAGACTGTACCGCACCGCAGAATATCAGGGAAGTTGGTTTTCGTCAACACCGCTGGTTTAGGATTACATATTGTATACAGTATGCTGTGTGATTTGCTCTCTGGTTGTGAATTGCTTCACTCCAATTGAGTAGTTTGGACCGAGGGGGTGTGGCTCTCTTTTGCCCTGACACTCTCACGAACATGGCATAGTGGATCACCACCGATTCGGGCATAGATCGGAGGTGAGGGTTGAGTTATTGATTTGCATTTCCTCCAGTATACTATATGTGTGCCACGTGTACTCTGGTCCTTTGAAGATATGCACCATGGGCCTCAGGGAAGGAAAAGGTTGCATTCGAGATTGTCGCTGCCTGGAGCTGTAGGGCTGGGATTTAGCCTTGATAGCCCTTGTAGCCTCGGAAATAGCGATCTCCACCTCGACTGGGATCGGAAATCCAATGGTGTCTGTGGCGGTGCTGTCCCACAGCTCGGGTGGAATCTAATAGTTGCTGTTAGTGGCTGAAGCCCCTGATCAGAGAATCAGGAGACATTAGGAGAAGTCAGAAACCAGGAGATTACGAGACTGGCAATGGGAGAGAGGCGGGAAAAGACTGGGAGAGGAATTGGGGGAAGAGAACGACGAGAAAAGAAACGAGAGCAGATCGAGATACGTCATCTCCGATCACCTTCGGAGCTTGCGATCTGCCTCGTTTTCCCCTGCAAAGGGAAGGTCCAGTGGGCTGATTTTTTCCCACTATGTGATTTGCAGAGTCGTAGGACTCGGTAGATTGAGCTGAGTGTCCAATACTGTACTGTAGGCTTGCCCAGTTTCTCCTGTCGCTCTCCACGTAATCACCAGCCACAACTCCCCTTGACGCAAGCGGCTGGGCGACCTGAGCTCCCAATTAGGCTCTCCACCTCTTTCTCTTCTGGTTTTCTGTTCTTTGCATACACTCACCATACACCACATAACCCCTTGTATAGCCTCATAGTCTCAGAAACTTGAGCTTCTCGGTACGTCGGCAACATTCTTCCCCCCTCCCCCTCCAATTCCAGCCACACCCAAGCTATCGCTCTCCCCCCGGCTAACCCACCACAGCCCCAAACGTACCTGGCGACCACCCTGATCCCCCCGTGTGAGAGCCATATTCAACAACCAATATGGCGTCCGCCGACGCGGAGAAGACGGAGATGAAGATCGAGGGCACGATCGAGGCCGCACAGGAATTGCACGATGACCCGCAGTCCCATGTGAACCCCGATAAGATCGAGGAGAAGGTCGTTGCCGATGCGCGTGACGCCGGCGTGCCTGCATATCAGTTCGACCCGGATGCTTCTCCAGAAGACAAGGCCAATGCCGCAAAAGGGGTGCGTGGCGCGCAATGGTTCGAGCTCTGGCGCATTCACTTGGCTGACTTGTTTTTAGCGCTTGCCGCCGGATTTTCATCACCCCAAGAAGCCTGCGGGCGTTGCAGTAATTACAGATAAGGTGAGGGATCGCTCCGCGCCGGTCGTGTCTGGAATGCTAATTCGGGTTAGGTTGATGGGAAAGCGGATTATGATCTGCCTCCCCCGCAATCCGCGACCGCCATTATGGCCGAGGATGCGACGTTGGCGGCGGAAGGGGAGAAGCCGAATGATGACGATTTACGATGGGCGCGCGATCGGACTGGGTGGGCTCCGAAGTTCGTCACCGAGAAGCTGGCCAGTGCTGACGAGGAGGGCACGTTGCTGGATCACCAGGATTTCTTGGAGGCCAGACTCCCTGATAAGCTCTTCGGAGATTGGTATCACAATGCGGCGATCATCGTGTTTGCCTGTATCTCCTCGTGGATGGTGGCTGTTCTGGGAGGTGGGATCGGGTGGGTGTTGATGGTCATGGCAGCATGCAGCACCTACTACCGCACGTCCATTCGCAGAGTGCGCCGCAATTTCCGGGACGATATCAGCCGTGAAATGTCCAAGCAGCGCCTGGAGACCGATACTGAGAGCCTGGAGTGGATCAACAGCTTCTTGGTCAAGTTCTGGCCTATTTACGCCCCGGTGCTTTGCGACACCATTATCAACTCGGTCGACCAGGTCCTTAGTACCTCTACCCCGGCCTTCCTCGATAGCTTGCGTCTGAAGACTTTTGTCCTCGGAACCAAGCCCCCTCGTCTGGAGCACGTCAAGACCTACCCCAAGACCGAACCCGACACTGTTATTATGGACTGGAAGTTCAGTTTTACCCCCAACGATACCATGGATTTGACAGCGCGTCAGATGAAGGACAAGATCAACCCCAAGGTTGTACTGGAAGTTCGTCTCGGTAAGGGTGTCGTCAGCAAGGGTCTCGACGTGATTGTGGAAGACATGGCTTGCTCTGGCTTGATGCGCGTCAAGGTTAAGCTCCAGATTCCATTCCCCCACATCGAGCGTATAGATGTTTGCTTCTTGGATAAGCCCGAGCTCGACTACGTCTGCAAGCCCCTCGGTGGTGACCACCTTGGATTCGATATTAACTTCATTCCCGGTTTGGAGCACTTCATCAAGGACCAGATCCACGCCAATCTGCAGCCCATGATGTACGACCCCAACGTGTTCCCCATTGAGATTGCCAAGATGCTTGCTGGAAATCCCGTCGACCAGGCTATTGGTGTTGTGGCCATCACTCTACATGGTGCGCACCAGCTCAAGAATCCCGACAAATTCTCTGGTACTCCCGATCCGTATGCTGTGGTTTCTCTGAACAACCGCGCTGAGCTCGGCCGTACCAAGATCATCCACGATACGGATAGTCCACGTTGGAACGAGACCATTTACGTTATCATCACCTCTTTCACTGATGCCCTTTCTATCGCTGCTTACGATTGGAACGAGTACCGCAAGGACAAGGAGATGGGTACTGCCAGTTTCGCATTGGACAAGCTCGAACAGGAGCCTTCACACGAAGGTATTTACTTGGAAGTGCAGGCCAGTGGCCGTCACCGTGGTGCCATTCAAGCCGATATCCGATTCTTCCCCGTCATTGAAGGCCGCAAATCCGAGACCGGCGAGATGGAGCCCGCTCCTGAGCTCAACACCGGTATTGCTCAATTCACGATAGAACAGGCTAAGGATCTGGATGGAAGCAAGAGTCTGGTTGGCAAGCTGAACCCTTACGGTGTTCTGCTTCTGAACGGCAAGGAAATCCATATCACGAACAAGCTGAAGCGCACCAACAACCCCATCTTCCAGAACGCCTCCAAGGAGTTCCTCGTTACAGATCGCAAGAATGCCAAGCTGGGTCTTATCATCAAGGATGACCGTGACCTCATGGCCGACCCCATCGTTGGTCGCTACCAGATTAAGATGACCGATATGATCAAGATGATGGAGCGTGGCCAGCAGTGGTTCCATCTTCACGGAGCCAAGAATGGTCGTGCCAAGCTGATACTGAACTGGAAGCCCGTTGCCCTGGGAGGCGTTGGGGGTGCCGGCTACATCGATCCCATTGGTGTGATGCGTTTCCACTTCAAGCGTGCTTCCAATCTACGCAACCTGGAAGCCATGGGCAAGTCTGACCCTTACGCTCGTGTGCTGCTTTCTGGTATGACCCGCGGCCGTACTGTTACCTTCCGCAATAATCTCAACCCTGAGTGGGATGAGGTCGTTTACGTGCCTATCCGCAGTGCTCGCGAGAAGCTGACTGTGGAGGTTATGGACGAGGAGACCATCAATAAGGATCGAACTCTTGGTTGGTGTGATCTGAATGCTTCAGACTTTGTCCGTGAGAGCGAGTCCGGTGAGTATGAAATCGACGATGAGAGACAACCCATCAGCAGCCCTCTCAAGATCAGCGGCGGCAATGCCAAGGGCGAACTTCACTACACTGTTGCTTTCTTCCCTACTGTTCCTGTCATCAACCCCGAGGACGAGGAAGAGGAGCAGGAGGAAGAAGAGTCGGATGCACTCGGTACTCCTGGCCCTGACGATCCTCGGAAGAGTACCGACTCCAAGGTTCGGAGCATGCACGTCAAGTCTGCTAGCGTTGACTCGAAGGCTTCCAAAATTTCCAAGGCCTCCAAGGCCTCCAAGGTTGTGTCCAATGGCACCGCTCCTAACGGCACCAATGGCGATCCCAGCGCTAGCCGCAACAGCCTGGAAACCAATGGATCCCGGCCTGCGACTGGACCCCTATCTGAGACCGCATCCGTGCGGTCGATCAAGTCTATCCCCCGGACTTTTGTCCATGCGGAGGATCTGGAGAAATACGGTAGGTCTCATATGCTTTCCTCCGATTTGCTCACTGCTAACGTTTCTAGAATCCGGATTTATCGTCTTCAAGTTCCATGAGGGTAATCTGGCACATGCTCATGTCCAGCTGGAGGTGTTGATGGATGACTACATGTTCCCCGCGTATATCTCATCGAAGATTCACACTACGACCGCCAAGTTCTCGGATGTTGGCGAAGCTTTCGTTCGTGAGCTTGAGTTCTCCAAGATCACCTTGCGTCTTGTCAACAAGGATGACCCCAAGGATTCGAGTGAGGAAAACACTGTTGCCAAGCTCACCGGTGACACCCTGCCTACCCTCATGCGGATGTTGTACACTCCTACCGAGCTTGTCCTCCGCTCCAACACTGGCGAGGTGAGCAAGGTCACTGTCAGTGCCCGCTACATCCCCACCCAGATGAAGCTCGACCCTACCGAGAGTATCAACAACATGGGTACCCTGCGCGTTGATGTCCTCGATGCCGCCGAACTTCCCGCCGCCGACCGCAACGGCTTCAGTGATCCTTACTGCAAGTTCTACTTGGGCGACGACAAAGATAGTGTGTTCAAGACTAAGGTGCAGAAGAAGACTCTTCACCCGGCCTGGAACGAGTTCTTTGAAATTCCCATCAAATCCCGTATCGGTGCTAAGTTCCGTGTCGAGGTATTCGATTGGGACTTTGGTGACAAGGCTGACTGGCTTGGCTCTTCTCTAATTGACCTCGAGATGCTCGAGCCTTTCCAAGGACAGGAAGTTACTCTGCCTCTGGATGGTAAATCCGGCGTTATCCGCATGAAGCTTCTCTTCAAGCCCAGCTATGTTATGCGCTCCCGTCAAGGTTCATCCACCTTCTCGGGTACCTTTGCGGTCCCCGGCAAGATTGTCGGCGCCCCTGTCAAGGGTGTCGGCTTTGTGGGCGGCGGCGTTGTCCGCGGCGCCTCCTTCCTGAAGCATGGTCTCATGTCCCGTCTCCACAAGGACAAGGGCGAAGACACTGCTTCAATCATGGACAGCATTGAAGAGCCGCAAGCCAAAGGCGAACGCCTAACCCCCGCCGCCTCCATCGCCGAATCTCCCACCCAGAACACCAACGGCTCCTCCCCAAGCAGCCCGAAACAGGAACACAGTCGCAACCGCAGCACTGCATCCCAGTTCGGTGACCGCCTCAGCGTCTTCGGTGGCAACGGCCGCGCCGACACAGGAACGGCTAACATTACCGTCGTCTCGGCATCCGGATACCCTACCTCGGCCAATCTGCGCGTTATCATCAGCCGCCCGACCTCCCGCGGCACAAAGGAACTGCACAAGACGAAAGCGCACAAGAACTCCAGCGGTAGCATCACCTATGACGACTCTTTCCGCGTCCCCAACATCACTGCTGACAAGCAGTACTCCGTCAAGGTCGTCAACCACGCCACTTTCGGCTCGGACGATGTCCTCGGCGAAGGTGTCTTCTTCGTTGACGATCAGGGTTCCGTCGCTGGTCAGGATAAGACCATCGCTGCCGGCGAGGGTGAGGTCGTGATCCGCTCTAGCTTTGCGCCATCCGACTCCAACCTCAGACCCACCACTTCACACTCGACCGCCGGTGCTGGTGATATGTCTGAGGGAGCCGAGAGTCCTGATTCTCGCAAGGTGCCTCGCAGAAGTTTCTTGAGTAAGAGAGGTGGCGAGAGGAGTGTCAGCGGGGCGTAAGCCTTCCTCGCTCGTCTCCCTTCGCCTCAGCTGAACTGCGGTGATGTGAGAGATGAGATGAGATGAGATGAGACTGTCTCTGTTGGTGGAGAGTATATGAAAACATGAGTTCCTTTTTTGTCATATTGTTCGCGTTGGCTTTCTGTTTTCTCTTTTTTTTTCACGTTTTCTGCTATGGTGATATCCTTAGTTTCTAGTTTTCTTTCAAAATAGGGTTCTCACTCTGACCCGCTTTCGCTCTGCTACTGCGTCGAGCTGGATTATAACCTGAATAGTCGAATGAAATGGTTTAGAACATTACGAAGTGGCTTGAATAGCTGAGGTCGTCCTGCACTGTGCTTTGCTGTACAGTACTGTATGTACATGAGATAACAAATCCCTATTTTAAGAACCCCAATCAGAACGCCTTCCCAAAATTGAGACCTCACAATTGACTCCTGCACTGTACAGTAAGTATTGAGGCTCTCCGAATAAATGTCTCACCCGCCCTAACCGGGCCATCCACGATGCTATCCAAAAAAAGCAAAATCCAGTAGTCGGGCGAACCCTAAGGCTGAGAACGCCAAGCACACGGCGGAAGTGCGGTTCCTCGCCAGTTTCCGGTAAAAATAACTTGGCTAAGTTAACTCACTTCATTTTACGGAACTCTACTTAACTTAATACTGTAGCTCCACTCCACCACCGCTGTACCCAGTTCGACTTCGAACGCCATGTCTTAGACATCCCACTCACTAACTTCCCTGCGGAACCTCTTGTCCGGGCTATTGGACTAGCTTGGACTTTGACCCTTCTTACGAGATTGGTGGGCGCTAAGTTGTTAACTTGGTCTTGGCTTGGCTTGGACATGTATGTCATTTCAGTTACGCTGCTATAATTCAACTTGTTTGTTCATCGGAGATGTTGGGGTTCCAGTACAATGACTTTTGTACTGTACGAGACACTTGGACCCCGGCGTGAACCCTTTTCCGAAACTCTGTTGCCTGCACAGCCCGAGATGATCTTTGATCTGCGGGGGGGACGTGGTTTGGAGTACAGTATTGTATGGTAGGTCTCTTTGTATGCGCCGGTGAGTATAGGTGTATTGTCACTATGTAATTTAATAGGTAGTGTTATGTTAGTCAAGTTAACTATGGGCAGCGCTGAGCTAAGCTAGCTGGAATACGGGGGGTCCAAGTCAAGCATAAGCTGGGGCTATAAAGTAAAATAAATTCAATTGCAAATGAGAGACAAATCAAGTATTTTTAGTGTCGAACCTTGGAAGTGCTGGGACTTGGTGGGGGTGTAATTTGGTTAGGTCCACTTGTGTTCTAGACAGAGAGATATTGGGGACATAAGTTATTTAATAGGGGTCTAAGAGTGCAGAGTGCAGTAGACTGCAGGAGAGAACGGTAGAACTCATGTATTGGCCTTGAATTGAGAGATTTTATTATGTCCTTGTGATGGATTATATTATGCACTGTTCTAGTCCTGCCTATGCCTAGACTACGGAGTTCTGTGTACAGAGCTGCATTCGGAAGTGTGTAAATAGTTACCCCCTTCCAACGGTCAACATTCCACGATATTATTAGCCCCAAACGTGGCCTATCGGCAGGCGGTCAACCGAATGCCATTGAAGCCGAAACATTCGCCGAGTCTGAAACTCAGTGCTAAGGGAATTAACCGGAGCTTGCGTGGTGGGTCGTTGAAAAAGGGGAGAGGGGTCTGGACTGGTGTCCTCCGTAACAGTTGGGTCAACAGTTGAGGTTGCAACTGCTGTAGGAGCTGTGCAATGGCAGCTGTAGCTGAAGCTGGAGCTGTAGCTGGAGCTGGAATCTGTTACGAAAGATGGAAATGGGGCAGTCATGGTGGCGTCTGAATTCGTAGTGCTGAAAACAGGAGAATGAAGGTCAGAGAGATTAAATACCGTTTGACGTATCACGGGATCCCCCACCTCTCTCCTTTATTATTGTACATCTTCACCTTCTCTTCCTCTTTTCTTCTCTTCATCCTGCACTTCATATTTTGGTGAGTTATGTTTGGTCGCACCATCCCCTTGCGTTTGCCAATGACGGCAGCTTGACATCTCGCTGTTCCGAGATCGACAGTGGCAATTCACCCCCTCCTCCTTTCACTTTAAAAAAGCCACGTTCTCCCTGACTGACTCCCGTTCAGCAGTATCTTTCTCCTATAATCATAATGGCGTCCAAGGCGATTCCTACTCACCTCCGTGCCCCTGTGGGTGACGGTGCCGAATTCGGTGGAAAGCACCACGGCAAGTCTCAGTCACACATGGTAAGTGCCGAGTCGCGGTTTCCCATGGGTTGTGACTTTGGAGCTCCGATGCTTCATGGTCGTTCGCCCCCTGTCGCATTTCCCTTCATCTTTCTTTCTGTTGCATCTTCGCATTCATATCCCTCATTATGGCTTTATCCAATCCACTGACTCGTGCTGCCTCCCATCAGGCCTTTGAGAATGCCTCCACTAGCGTTGCTGCGTCGCAGATGCGCAATGCTCTCAACGCCCTCGGCGACAGCGTGACCGACCCCAAGGAGAAGAAGCGTTTCGAGGCGGAGATGGATAACTTCTTTGCTCTCTTCCGTCGTTTCCTCAACGACAAGGCCAAGGGTAACGCCGTCAACTGGGATAAGATTGCCCCTCCCCAGCCTTCCCAGGTTGTCGGCTACGACGACCTCGGTGCTGAGGCCTCCGTTGAGTTCCTCAACAAGCTGGCTGTTGTCAAGCTGAACGGTGGTCTCGGTACCTCCATGGGTTGCGTCGGTCCCAAGTCTGTCATCGAGGTCCGTGAGGGCATGTCCTTCCTCGACCTGTCTGTCCGCCAGATCGAGCACCTGAACCGCACCTTCAACGTCAACGTTCCTTTCGTTCTCATGAACTCCTTCAACACCGACCAGGATACCCAGTCCATCATCAAGAAGTACGAGGGCCACAACGTCGACATCATCACCTTCAACCAGTCCCGCTACCCCCGTATTATCAAAGACTCTCTCCTCCCCGCCCCCAAGAGCTTCGATGCTCCTCTCCAGGACTGGTACCCCCCGGTCACGGTGACGTTTTCGAGTCCTTGTACAACTCCGGTACCCTCGACAAGCTGATCGAGCGTGGCATCGAGTACATCTTCCTCTCCAACGCCGATAACCTCGGCGCTGTGGTTGATCTCCGCATCCTCCAGCACATGGTTGACTCCCAGGCCGAGTACGTCATGGAGTTGACTGATAAGACCAAGGCCGATGTCAAGGGTGGTACCATCATTGACTCCGATGGCATGGTCCGTCTTCTTGAGATCGCTCAGGTCCCCAAGGAGCACGTCAACGAGTTCAAGTCTATCAAGAAGTTCAAGTACTTCAACACCAACAACATCTGGATGAACGTCAAGGCCATCAAGCGTGTTGTTGAGGAGAACGAGCTCGAGATGGAGATCATCGCCAACGAGAAGTCCATCCCCGCTGATAAGAAGGGTGAGGCCGACCAGGCCATCTACCAGCTCGAGACCGCTGTCGGTGCTGCCATCCGTCACTTCAAGAACGCCCACGGTGTCAACGTTCCCCGTCGTCGTTTCCTGCCCGTCAAGACCTGCTCCGACCTGATGGTCGTCAAGTCTGACCTCTACCGTCTCGAGCACGGCCAGCTCGTCATGGACCCCAACCGCTTCGGTGGTGTCCCCGTCATCAAGCTCGGCTCCGACTTCAAGAAGGTCTCTGACTTCCAGAAGCGTATCGCCAGCATTCCCCGCATCGTCGAGCTGGACCACCTCACTGTCACCGGTCCCGTCAACCTCGGCCGCAATGTCACCCTCAAGGGCACTGTCATCATCGTTGCCACTGAGGGCAGCACCATTGACATTCCCCCAGGATCAGTTCTCGAGAACTGTGTCGTCCAGGGTAGCCTGAGAATCCTCGAGCACTAGATTTGATAACCCCGTTTCGACAGCCATTGCCATGTCTGTTTGATTCACCTGCTCCGGTGCATCGAGGCTATGGATTCAGGGTGCAAAAGAAGTACTTGTATTACATTACAATAATCCAGCGTCTTTTTTTCTTTCTTATCTGATTGTTTTGGGTCTTGGGTATTGGACACCCCTTTCTTTGATTTCCCCAAGTACTGACAGTCTGGTCTATCCTCAATGCATCTCAGTATTCATTTAATCCGTTTCATTGTAGTATTTTCGATATGAAGTTATCCGTAGAGACCCAATAGTGGCCAAATAGTGGCAACCACAGAGACGCGTACGCACTTGGAAGTACATGGATACAGTTAGAGCTCGTAATTTCGCCTAGCCCAAACACCCAACAGATGAACAATCCAGTTGTGTATTTCTATCATCATATCAAATCAAAATAGACTAGCCATGCGTACACAAAGAACATGATAGGCGGGTAAAAATCCGTAATGATCTCAAACGACGTCATCTTCGGGCAATACGAGCCACCCGATTTGCTCACTCCAGCGCAGAAGAGCCACTCGGCGATCCTGGCAGTTCACTTATATTCCTATACTTCCTGTCCATCCCCTTTATATTCGACCTAGTTCCGTGTCGACATGCTTTCTTGATTGTACAGTGTATCTTTACCGTTCTCACTCTTTATTCTTCACTCTTTGCTTTTCTCGCCCTTTGCTTGTATAAAGTTTTATCTACTTCCTCGTCAGGACTATCTCGATACGTACCGTTACCGCGTACCTGAAGTACATCTAGTCACAGTACATACTTGTGCCTCATTTCTCAGATATTCTCATCGAGATCACACATGAGTCGGCTTTGGTCTCTCGTTTTGTCCTCGCTTTCGCTTCCTTCTGGTGTTTTCTTGTCATCCGGGTGCAATGACTGAGTCCCATCGTCCGCTTGTACTTGGTCCTTCGCCTACTTCTGATGACCATGACCACGACCACGACCGCGACCACGATGATGACAACGACCATGGAAGTCCCGCTCCCGGCGAGGGAAAAGGCTCAAGCACGACCTGGAAGAAGAGGGTGTCGACAGCCTGTCTAGCGTGCAAGCAATCAAAGCGAAAGGTTCGTCCTTTCCTTGAATATTCTGCTTCACGTATATCCCATATCATATTCATACTATACTATACGTACCTGCGTCAAAACCAACCTTGCCAAAATACTAAATCAATCTGATTTATGCATACAGTGCTCAGGAACAGCTCCCTGCACAAATTGCCTAGCCTTCAAACGGACTTGTATCTTCGACGAAAGCCTCGACCAACGCCGCCGCGTCGCTGCGAAACGTACCGCTGACGAACTCAGTTATCATCGTGACCTCTTGCAGGATCTTTTCAGGTTGATCCGCGAAGCTAATGAATCCCACGCGTTGCAGCTGTTGGATATTATTCGGGAGAATGCCCCGTCGGATCGCATTAGGGCGTTTATAGAGGAGACGCTTGCGGGGCTGGCGAAGAGTGTTGGTGTTTCGCAGCCTGCTTTGGGGTCGACTTCTGCGTCGGCGTCTGGGTCTGCCTCTGCCTCTACATCTGCCTCGGCTTCAACGTCTCTGTCTGCCAAATCAGAGACTGAAAAGGAGACTATTGCCAGGTTGGAAGATATGCGCAATTTGATCAATGTCGAGGGGTCGAGTCCGACTTTTAGACGGAAGGTTATGGATATTCATTTCCTCTGTGATGATGCGCCTTGTTCTGTTCCTGCGAGGCCGTGGACCAATGTTACCCAGGACTCGGATTTGGTGTCGCATCTGGTGTCGTTGTACTTTTCTTGGGATTGGCTGCTGACTGTGTTCTTGGACCAGGCGGTCTTTTTGAGACATATGGCTCGTGGGGATTTGGGTTCGGAGTTTTGTTCGCCGTTTCTGGTCAATGCTTTGCTCAGCAATGCTTGTGTGAGTTCTTTTCCTTTTCGGTTCTTGTCTTCTGATGTTTGGGGTTTGGGGTTTGGTGTTTAGCTAGGATGAAGGTGGTTTCGTTTGGGTGTACTGCTAATACGCATGCTGGGATAGTATTTCTCTGAGTTCTCCGAGGCTTATGTTGTTCCTGGAGAAATTTCTTCCAATGGCAGTGATTTCCTTGCTGAGGCTGAGAGATTGAGGAATGAAGAACCTGAGCAGCCTAGTTTGGCTGGGTTGCAAGGAACGTTGTTGATGTATGAAAGGTGTGTATAGACCTGATTTTGACTGTCCATCGCTGACGCTGGGAGATATTCCATGTCTCGTAAAGATGACCTTGGATACATCATGCTTCACGAGGCCATTCGCATGGGTGAGTCGCTAGGACTGGTTGGCAGCAAGGGTCCTAGAGTCGCATTCAGTGAGTTGTCCAAGGACATGGAGATCTCGTGCCAAAGAACCGCTTGGGGATTATTCAACGTCGACACGTGAGTTCTACTGTAGACTTCACCTCTTCATATCAGACTCATCACCACGCAGAATGGTCCATACAGGCTTCCTCCGTCCCAGTCTGATCGACCATGTCAACATGGCCCGTATCGGCCGCAATGATGCCGAAGACCAAGCTCTCTGGCGACCATATCCGACCCATCGCAGTCCGCGCCCGTCGATGTTTAGCCAGTATTTCGATGAAGTGTGCAATTTGTCCACAATCGCTCGGGATATCTCGCGCAGTATGTTTGCAGACCATCGGACGAACACCGCAATCGGCTCTTTTCAGCCCCAAAGCCGAGAAGAATTAAATGACCGTATACGGCGTTGGTATGATCTCCTCCCTGTCGAGTTTGACACTCAGGCTCGCCCAGCTCCGCATATAATTTTGCTGAAGTATACGAACACCTACCTCGTATCCGACCTTCGTCTGCTAACGGAATATAGAATGCGCTATCACACCCTGGTAATAAACCTATTCAGCTGCATCTCAGATGACGAAGTCCCCGTCTCAGCTTTCGAGCCCAAGACCCCAGAAAGCACACCCCGACACACCCCTGAGCCCAAATACAACGCCAGCGAGGTGACCCAGACAGCAGCCCACGGTATTGCAGCCCTCACTCGGCTGCACCGCCGTGAATTCGGCGTTGATCGCGCCCACAAATTCGCCATGTATGCGATGAATTTGGCTCTATTCACGATGCTGGAACAAAGCACCTTTGATGTCCTCGACGAGGATTTTCTCTCATTGGCGAGTGCATTCTCTGTTGTCGCGAGTCGCTCTGCGCTAGGTCGGAATTTGTTCCATATTTTCCGGCAGTCTGTTCGGGCGAAGGCGCAAGGTCATCGAATTCGGGATGCTGTGGCTGTTCCGGACGAATTGAAGGATTTGTTCGACGAGGATTCTTCGGGAAAGGGCCATAGTCGGTTTGACGATTATGCTGAGGGTTTGGAGAAGCTTAATCGCGATTTGAAATACCATGGAATTGGGGGGAGGGCGAGCTTGGACTACAAGAATACCCTGGGCTTGGGCTCTCGGATATGCTGGATCGCTATGAGAGCTTGAGTTTGGGTAAAGATGATTTGTTGGCTGAGAGGTGCAGACCAGCTGGATGCTAGTCTTACCGGTATTTCAGGTAGGTATAAAATCTGAGTGGCGAGATGACGCTGATTCCATACTTTGTATAGATCTGCGCCAACCTTGACCAATGTTGAGCAGCAACCCAGCAATTGATGACGAACCATTAAATTACCCCGGGCGACCCCAAACGTCAAATTCCAATCGTTCCACGGCAGACAGCAATAACTACGTTTTTTTTCCGCCTGGCGTGAAGCCGGTTGGTTGAGATATGTCCTCTGACGTCAAACAGGTCAGCTTTGAACGACCCACTGTTAGTGGCAATTTCATTACTTCGACGTCTACTTGCTCGACTTTGTCTGCTTCACACTGCACCGGAAAATCAAAGATTTGATCACCTAATCGTTCGCAGCTCGTTGCCTGTCTTACAATTTCTTGGAATTATATCCTTTAACCACATAGCCCAAATACTTGATATGGCCGATCGTGATGATGAAACCCCCTTTGATCCAGCCAGCTTCGGCTCCTGGAATTGGATGCCACCCATAAGTCCAGGCCCAGCTGAGCAACTACCGTATCCGACGCCGAATTCCTTCTCGCCGTCTTTTCAGGCTCCCAATGCGCCCGCCTCTTACCCACAGCCTTACCCATCCGCAGCATCGTCATCGTCATCGGCGCCGGGGTCCGCCTTCAGACCTGTGCCCAAGGTGGCCATTCCGCGCCTGGCGGGACCCGAGACGGGTTTTGGCGGGCGCCGCCGCTCCGCTCGAGCTTGTGAGCCTTGTCGCCAGCGAAAGATTAAATGCGATGGGCTCAGGCCAATCTGTGGCCAGTGTGTCTATCACAATCACCGGTGTTTGTACGAGGATGTCAAGCGCGTCCGCGACCAGAAGCGCTTAGGCACCTTGGCGAAACGCGTCGAGGCCTACGAATCCCTTTTACGAGAACTGGAGGGAGAGGTTGATTTGCCCACCGCGCGACAGATCAGGAAAGTATTGCAGGTAAGCTCGTCCGAATCCACCGCTTTTGAGTCTGCCTCTGAGCATTCTCCCTCCAAGACTCGGATCTTCAACTCAGAGTCCTGACTATTCAATTTTATTTTTTTCTCTTTGGCAAAGACCAAAAACGCCGTTTCGGATCAAACCCACGATGCCTCCGATGATTCATCTACCTCCTTGGGTTCGCTCAACGCGATCGACCAGGTCGACGAGGACCTCAATCGAAGTGAGAGCAGCCGCGCTGCGGGCTTCTTCGGGAAGAATTCCGAGGTCAATTGGATTCGCAAGATGGAAAGCGGAGTGAGGATGACCAGTCCGCCAGATACTTATGGTAAGTCTGGTAGTCCTGCGAATTCGATGAATCCCTTCCATCCGGACAGCCAGACTTCGGGTCTGCAACAGAGGCTTGAACCTGCACTTCCTACCTCTATGATGGATTACCACCTCGACAATATTGATATCCCGTTTCTCGAATCCTGTGATCCTTACGCCTTGCCTCCACGAGAAGTGGCTGATCGCTATTTCGACGCATACTTGACATATGTTCATCCGACCTTTGGTGTAATTAGAAAGTCCAACTTCCTTGCCCAGTATCTGAGGTTCTTTGAAAATCTCTCCACAACACCGTGGCCGCGCAAGTGGCTCGCCATCTTGAACATGATATTTGCTATTGGATGTCGACATTGTCGGCTTATGGAAAATGAACACTCCGTGAGCGAGGAGGATCTGGTTTTCCTAAGCAGAGCACGGCTCCTAGGCTTCGACGTTGGCGCTCTGTTCGAGCACAGCGATCTACAGCAAATCCAGCTTGAGGCTTTGATGTCAATATACCTCCTCTGCCTAGGACAGGTCAACAGGTAGGCCTCATTCCTTTCCATATCAAACACGGCAGTCACTAATCCTCTAGGGCATCCAAATTCTCCAGCATGGCTCTCCGCTCGGCGCTATCACTCGGTATCAATCTCCGTCTCACAGACACTCAAACACCAGCAGCCTCGAAAGAAGCCCGCGGCCGTCTCTGGTGGTCCATCTACTCCCTGGAGCACTTGATCACATCGGTTACCGGCCGCGCCTCGGGTGTAACGGAAAACATGTGCTCCGTACCAGCCCCATTCCCTTGCGAGGAAGACACCTTCGACCATCCAGAGGCAAAGCGTCTTCTCCAAGACCCAGTCTTGCGCGAAGCACACCTCCGTCCAACCCTCTTCGAATCAGCCAGCCAAGCCCACCCCCAGCCATGGACAACCGCTTGTCCACCATGTCCATCCCTCTACCTCCACTACAGCATCGACTTAGTCCTCATCACCCAAGCCCTCATGAACAAAGTCTACAGCATCGAAGGCATCCGCCGAGGTCCCTCCAAAATCGAATATCACGTCCAAAAGTTCGGCCTGAAAATGGATCGCTGGCTCGAGAAATTATCCCCAGCATATCAATTCACCCTCCCAGAGGCCGGCCCCTGGCACCTCAACCACTCCCAACTAGACGACCTCGCCGCCCCCTTCGTCCGCGAACGAGTCTGTCTAGCAATGAAATACTTTTCCGCCCGAATCTCCCTCTGCAGACCTTGTCTCAGCCACATCCACCAAAACACCAACACAAACACCAATTCCAATATCAACACCAACACCCAAACCCGCACCCGCTCCTCCACAAACACTCGCTCCTCCACTTCCCCAGCCCCCAACAACCCCCAAACACCAGAGCAATCCCCCCGCACCAAACTCCGCATGAAAATGGCCACAGAATGCCTCCAAGCCTCCTGCGCCCTCATCTCCATCCTACCCGACACCCCCCAACCTCCCCTGGCTGGCGCGCACCGCGCCCTGGTGGAGTGTCCTACACTTCATAATGCAAGCGACAGCCGCGCTCCTCCTAGGTCTCTCCTACCGCTCCTACAACCCCACCTCGCAGTCCTTCACAGCCTCAACCTCAGCCTCGATATCGACGCCGTCCGACCCGCTCACCCCCGCCACGCCCGCATCCACGGGCACGGTCTTCCCGCCTCTTCTGGACTCTGATCTCGGGACGGCTATTGCATCGGCTAGGAAGGCTATGTTTTGGATTCATACCACGGCGCAGGTGGATCTGGCGTCTAGGAAGGCGTTTTTGCTTTGTGAGAGTGTTGTCAGAAGGGTGGCGCCTGGGTTGGGGCTTGATTTGAGGGATTGGCCGGATGGGAGTGCGTTTTTGGTTGATTTTAGGGATGGGAATGGCAATGGCAATGGCAATGGCAATGGCAATGGGGATGGGAGTGGGAGTGGGAGTGGGATGGAGTCTTTTGAGGAGTTGATTGATTTTGAGGGCGGTGTTTTCTAGAGATTTGGCTGTTGGTAGCGTGTGCTATAAGTATTGTGTTTCGGTGTTTCATTCGGTGTTTCATTCAGTGTTTCAGTTTCAATTTCAGTGTATGAGTGATGTTGTTGTGAGAATATGATAATGAGACATGTCACTTTTTCAATGTGGACGGAATAATGGACAGTTGAGATTAGGAATAACTATATACTATACGATAACATTAAATATGTAGAGCAAACGAAATACCAAAGGCTAATAAACAATAATGAGAAACAACGTTGATGCCTCAGATGCCGATAACGCACGACAACGCCGACAAACCACAAACCACAAGCACATGATATAAGTTAAAACACTTCACGGACATGAAAAAAACTCAAATGCATAGAGCAAACAAAACACCTGTATCAACACCCGCAAATTCTTGACTGGAATGGGATGGACAGATATTTGACATGTAGTAGTAGTCACAGGAAGGAACTAGGTTGGCTGCGGTTGCATTTGGATTTGGAAAGTATGCTGGTGCTCGTGTTGGGGAGCAGGGGGAGGGGGTGCCTGGCTGCGTGGTGGGATTGGTGCTCGGCGCTGCTGCTGTCCCGGCATTCCGTGGACGGGGGACTGAGCTTGTACAGGGTGTTGCATTTGTTGCTGCATGGGAGATTGCATGTAGGGCTGTTGATGCGGGAGAGGCCGAGGAGGGTGAATAGGAGATTGGTGATGCATCTGAATATGTTGCGGCATTGACAATGACGGACCCGGTTGTTGAGACAAGCCATTGGGAAGGTGCGGAGGCTGAGGAGAAAGATGCTGAGCCTGTTGATGCATGTGTTGGACTTGCGGCTGGCCAAGATGCTGGCCTGGCTGACTCTGTTGAAACATGTGAGTCTGCTGCTGCGGCAAAGCCTGACCTTGATGCATTTGGGAGGGACTCGGAGCCGGGCGTTTGCGCAGGTCATCATCCACTGCAGGGGCTGCATGCTTTTGCATGGTAGTTGTGTCGGCGTTCTCATCAAATTGACCTTGGCCATCAGTCTGTGTCTGATCCCCATTGGCAGCTGCAGCGGCAGCAGCAGCAGCAGCCGCCGCCGCCGCCGCCACGTCGGCTTTACGAGGTCTTCCACGAGGCCGACCAGTGCCAGGTGGCTTTGGCTTTGCCGAAGATGGCTTCCTCGGTTTAGGCGGCGGCAAAGGTTGACCAGTTGCAGCAGCCCACGCAATCTGGTCGGCCTTGCGGGGACGTCCTCGTTTCCGCTTCAATGGAGTCCCATCTGGCCCAATAATAGTCGCAGGTTTGCCTGGCGCTGGAGCACCCGGGGCGGTGGGTGTCATATTTGAGGTGAAAGAGGCTTGTCCTGGCTGGTTCATTCCAGGAATTGGCTCTCCATTTTGGGCTGCTGCTGCAGCCGCCGCGGCAGCCCTGGCGGCTACCTCTTCTTTGCGCGGTCGACCACGACGACGCTTCGCAGGTGGAGCGGCAATATCACCACCTGCTGGCACTGAAGGAATCTGTCCTTGTCCATTGGGGAGAGTTGGAGGGATAGTGGGAATTGCAGAAGAGATATTAGCAGAGATATGGGGTTGCGGTTGAGGAGGCTGAGCCACCTGAGCCGGTTCGGGCAGAGCAGAAGCCGACTTTTTAGGTTTAGTCTTCTTCTTAGGCGCGGCAGGACTTGTCTCATGGTTCATGAACGGACTCTCCTCTGCCGCAGGGACCGTCGGCAAAGCTGTCTGCGATGTTGCAACACTGGCTGGATGCGATGGTGGTTGGTACTGGTGGAACTGAGCTTGGTGTGGAGATGGTTGGAACTGAGTTGGCGGTTGAGCGAACTGTGTCTGATGCTGGGCGAAGTGTTGCGGTTGATATTGAGATGGGTGGAACGGAGGTTGGGAGTGTTGAGCGAATGGCGATTGTTGTTGATATGGGTTCTGGGCTTGGGCTTGGGTCTGTTGCTGCAACTTCTGCAATCTCTGCTGTTCCAAATGTTGCTGCTGTTGTTGCCGCTGTTGTCGTTCTTGCTCCTCTTGCTGCTCCTTCTGATATCTTACTATATCCTCCGCCTCTTGACGTCTCCGCTGCTGCTCAAGATGCCTCTGTTGTTCCCGCTGCTCCCTTTCCAACCCCTCCTGCTTTATTCGCGCCTCTTCCTGCTCTCGACGTCGAGCTTCTTCATCGGCCTTTTGTTTTTGTAACAGCTCCTCGCGCTCCTTCTGCGTCCGCTGCTCTATCCGCTGTTTCTCGAGCATCTGCTGGTGTTGCTGCTCCTGTTGGTATTGCGCAACCCTCTGCTGGAGGCGATGATCCCGTTCAAATTCCTGCTGTTTTATTTGTCGCTGCTGTTCCATCATCTGCTGCTGCTGCTGCTCCATCCGTTGATGTTCCAGACGGTGCTGCATCTGCTTTTGTTGTTCCAACCTTTGCTGCTGAAACTGCTGCTGCTGAAGTTGGTGCAGTTGCTGGTTTGTCTGTTGAGGTGACTGCGGTTGGGACTGAGACGGGTTCTGTCGTTGTTGTTGCATAGCAAAAATCGAGGGAGTCGCCATGGACGGGCTGGCGGAGGAATGGCTCTCTCGCTGCTGGTGTATACCAGCGTGAGGAAGCCTGTTCATCGTCTGCTGTGGAGAGGGAACATTCATGGGATGGCCATGGGCTATTCCGGAAGGGCTAATTCCCGTTTGAGGGCGAATATGCGCCATCGGGTTAAAGCCACGTTGAAGATTCTGCAACGCCATGGGATCCGGGTTACGAGACATCAAATCCGGGGAGCTTTGCGGCGCATACTGGCCTGGAAATTGAGCGAACCCGCTGCTGGCGGGGTACCCACCCAGTGAGCCCGATGTCGGGGTCATCTTACGCAAATCCGGCGACTGCGACGCAGTAAAATTTTGCTGAGTTTGCCTTTGAAAAACGGGCTTGGTACCCGGGAAAGGACTACCGTGCTGCGGAAGCGTCGGGCCAGTGCCCATCAATGGCGATTGACCATGGCGTGGAGGCTGCGGACCCAACGGATGTTGCGGCTGAGCTTGATGCGGTTGTGGTTGAGGCTGCTGCGGCTGCTGAGAGTGGAATGGATGACCCGAATAGTTCATCATGGTGAGTATTGATATAGCACCACTGGGCCTTGCCGTAAGCGGCAGCTGAAAGAATGATCGCTTTGTTAAGCGGGAGACATGCAAGGGAACCCAAAAAGAAGAAAAAAAGTCCCAAAACTAGACTCGGGGGCCAAATGGAATGTTAGACCATGCGACTACCCCAGATGTAGCTGTCGTTCGCGCCAGCGCCGACAATGCTTGAGAATCGCCACCTGAGTCGCGCCGAGGCCGCGTGTTTGTTGTTCCCGCTCAGGCTGTCAGGCTGTCAGGCAACAAGGCGACAAGGCAACGAGGCAACCAGTGAGATCTTTCCCAAAACAGTTTAGCGGCTACGGCGGCCGAGTCTGGCCGATCTGCGCAGTTCGAGAAAATGAGTCGGTCGCGCACTCCAGGGGATTCAGGGGGGGGGACAAGCTGAGGGGATCCAGAAACCCAGCGCGACAGGTCCCAGCCTATTTACTGGAGGTCTAAGCAGATGGCCGGACACCTCAGCAGTAGCTTGGAGATGAAGTGGATGACGCTGGGCTGGAATCCTCGATGGTAAAAAAATAAAAAAAAATAAAAAAATAAAAGGAAAAAACGAAAAAACCAGATGGAAAATCTCCACATCACGTGAGCCGATCGGGGCCACTCAATCTATAGTGGAGTTGCGAAGTCGATGGGAGGCCCCCAAGGGTGTTGATGCATATTCTAGTCAAGAGAGATCCGGTCGGTCTCTACATGCTGATCTGGTTCAGCTGGACTCTGGCGTCTGAACTAGCATTAGGCCCGTCGTGGTCTGGTTTATGTTCCGCAATCCTTGCGAAAGCATATATACACACACACCCCCTATAGTGCGACCCAGAAAAGTCTCGGCAAACTATACATTATGCGGATTTCACGACATCTTTGTCGTCATCTATTCCCATATCCGCCAAACACGGGGCAAAAAACAGCTTGCCAGACAAAATCCCTTTTAAAGTCCCGAGACTGACCATGACCCACAAAATCACCACAAAGAGGGAGAGGATCTGCTTTCGTTAGCCGATTTGAACCCTGCACTGCATCCAACGACATGTCATACCGTGCCGAGAATATTGAAGAATTTCGAGGGAAGTTCACTGCCCATCTGGCAAGTACTGAGGGCAAAGACGCCCAGAGGGAAGGTAAACCCCCACCAGCCAATATTGAAGGGGAATTTCTTGTTGTGAGCGATCGAGGCGATGGCAAAGAAGAGCCAAACCAACCCAAATGCCCACAGCAGCAGTGCCACCAAGAAGCCCAGAGTGTATAGCGTGGGACCGGATTCTGCCTGGAGGGTATGAGTTTGGGGAAAGATATTCTGAGCACATTGTCCGAGTTTCATCGCCCTGCCGAATGGTCAATTTCACACGAAACACCGTCAATAAGATACACATAGAACTCACCCAAATCCACCGGTCCCCAATGGACCCAGCGGCAGAAAGACAGTCACAATGACTGTCTTGGGCGGCAATTTGTGGAGCACCAGACGCTGAAGGTAAATCACCAGAACCATCAACGCAAGGGGCAGCCCTATACCCCACAGAACATAACTGGCGATCACTGTCCACAGGGCATGTTGGGGATCAGGCAGGATCTCCGCCACCATGGCACCCGACGCCGCGGCCACCGTACAGGTGACAATAGGGAGCAGCCAGACGGCAGTCATGGACGACAGGTGCATCTCCGCGCCACTGGCCATTCTAACACGGGTTAATCTTTGAGTTGGCTGCGCCATGGACAGAAAAGCGATCTTACAGTGTAAACGGCAGAGACAGCGCCGTCAGCACTGACACGACGGCATCGAAAATCCACAATCCCCACGCAAAATACGCTGCCCATTTATCCCACGCTGGGACGCACACGAGACAGAACATGTTCACGATGGTAGCCAGACCCATTGGAAATGTCCCGATGAACATGGACTGCACCGGGTGCTGGATCATATCCCGGAATACCTCTGGATAGAGGGTATATCGCAAGATTGAAAGGATACATGCAGTTATGAAGAAGACCACGTTCAGGGCGAAGATCGCCACTGATGCCCAATAGAGCCAGTTCCCATTGTAGGGCAGATTGTGTAGCAGGATCGACACGATCCCCGTGCCCATGGTTACTGAGAACCATCTACATACATCGGTTAACCGCTGAACCCTGGCCGAGTGGATGTACTGTACTTACGACGGGGTGAAGTTGCGCACGACTTTTCTCCAGCCGTGGTCATGTTTGCATAGCACTCCGGACTTCTGGCATGGAAGCTCCGCGGTCGCTGGAGCGCACACCTGAGGTGCCATGCTGAAGCCACCCTGAATTGGTCTGTTTGGATTTGACGAAAATTTAGGCTCGGGATCTCACATTCGGGATTTTCGGCCGGCGCAGCAGAACTTTCGCATCCACTTGACTCCACATTCCGTTGCCACTTTGGGATGCAAATGGCCTCATTCTGATTGAGTATACTGTTCGTCTTGATATCACTTGGTGTAGGCCTTATGTAGTGACGACGTGGTCATAAAATTGCAGTTCACAACAACAATATATATCCACCCCCGGTCCATGATATCAACAATTCCAGCATAACATATCTATTTCAAACCCCGAAAAGCAAAAATAAAGAACAATTTGAAAATGTACCCAATGCAACAAAACCCCAGGCTCTAGATAGCTAACAAGATCGACTAAACTCTACACCCCAGATCGGCAAAAGAATGACACTATTTAGTCCAAGTAACAGGTCGTGCATCAACCAGCTTGGTAGCCTTCACGTCGGATACAATCAACGGCAGTTCAGCAGTCAAATCCGACGTACCCCGTGAATTTAATCAATTACCCCGCCATGATCTCGTCCATACATGTACATCCACGTGTATAATATTATCGTTCCTCGGAAGTACGCCAATCCGATCGGAAGCCGATCGGATATGGAATCCTCGTGGAGTGGAGAGCCGTCATTCTGGGAAAGACTGTATAACGCGGATAGAGAGGATGGGATTCAAGGGCGGATAAGGGGCAATGACGTCTCTGGAATTATTCTTTCACTTGGGCTAAAGTTGTGGATCCTGCCATTCTACTGCTAGGGCTTTGGTCGCTGAATCAAATCGGATGTAGGTGAGCACTAGATCACGTCTGTCGCGCTGGATTAGCTTTAGGAGAGTGAGTTGTAAGTTCAATGCATTCTCCGGGGGTTATCTTGTCATTCTGACTTGTATATCGGGAAAATGGCCTGTTCGGTTCACAGACTCGTTTGTTCATGGGTAAGCGCTATATTGGTTGTCATCTAGGTGATGGTACCTCATGTTGCAAGGTATGTATTCGGTAATGTAGATTAGCAAGACGTGTGCTCACGTAGGAAATGAATAGTCCCTACCTGATCAAGCAATATGTCACAATATATTCTATCTAGAAACGTTGATCAGGATGTACGAATCCAAAGATCTTTTATACATATCCCAACATATAACGGATCGAAGTATTGGGATTATGTTGGTCTGACTTGTAAGACAGACTACTACTACAATCTATAATATCTTCAATGAAGATTACTGCGAGGACAAAAATTCCCAAAGAAGAAGTATAACAGAATAAAAAAATATACTTGATTACTTTAGAAGACAGACAACGAATACACAAATATCGACACCAAGACAAGCGATACCACGACAAACACGTCAAATATGCACGACACAGAAAATAAACAAAAGTGAATCCCCAATTCCACTCCCCAGAGTCTATTTACAGACAAAAGAAGAAGCTTTAGCAGAGTCACCACCAACAAAAGTCATAACCTTCGGCCAAGGACACAAACCAGCCGTGCGCAACGGAGGCTGCGCACCACCCGTGGCAGAAGGCGTAGCAACAGCCCTAAGAGTCTCCGGCGCAACACCCTTCTCCACCCAGTTAATCAGAGCCACCATACTATCACCGGGATACCAGCCAGGACCACCACCACAGTGCTCGACACCGGGGGCAGGGAAGAAACGATAGATGTCATGGGCCTTGGGGTCGCGCTCCAGAACCTGGCGGTAGTAATGCTCCGTGCCATTGAAGAAGATGAGCTGGTCCTTCAAGCCGTGCCAGCTGATCATCTTGCCGCCGGCGTTCTTGAACCGCGTGAGATCAGGATCGCGGGTTCCGATTGCTGAGGCGTATTCGTTCACGGATTGGCGGAAGAAGGTGTCGAATTGTTCGTAGCCGACTGTTGAGACGTCGAATGTGCTGTTCTTTTCGAGGAAGAGTTGGATCCACTGCGAGGAGATGGAGAATGGAGATGTCGTGCAGTCTGTTAGGGTTGTGCAGTTTGTTCCGCCGAGGTAGGTGAGCGGAGATCCGTAGGGGAGTCCGTACCAGAGGGGAGAGCCGTCTGAGGCCTTTGCGCCAGCCCAGGTCGCGGCTGCGATTTGCGCGGCTTTCTTCGAGATCTTGAGCGTGCCGTTGGGGGACGTGCAGTTGACTGTCTTGCCAACGACGGTCAAGGGGTCGAATTGGCATAGTCCCTCCATGGAAATGATGCCGTCTTTGACGCCGTCAAGGGCATCACATGCGTCGATTGCACTTTGTGTCAGAGCATTCATCTCACAAGCTGAAGGATAGTAGTCTATCCCCGTGAATTAGCAAAGACACTTTAGTCAACCCTGCACGAAACAGCCGAGACTTACCAAGCTCCTTCATCACAACTTGAGGCCAGTACTCAGCAGGAATAAACTTATCCCAGTTAATTGCAGGCGCGCCGGCCAGAATCCCGTCATACTGAGTAGGGTATCTCTGGGCCATCATATGGCCCTGTCTCCCTCCAGTGGAGCATCCGTTCCAGTATGAGAACTTAGCCGGACGACCATAAAACATCCTCGTGGCAGCCTTGCCCAGCGAAGCAGCATCGTCCAGAGCAACGGAGGCGAAATCGTTCAGATTGGGCCAGTTGACGTTGCCCTCGCTGGCCAGAGCCCAGGACTCGGTACTCGCGGATTTACCATGCCCACCGTCGGTGGAGACGGAAGCAAATCCCTCAAACGCAGCCTGGCTGTTGTGGACCAGTTGGCCTGTGGTGTAACCACCGCCGCCCATTCCTGCGAATCTTTCGTTCCAGGAATGCAGGGGCAGGGTGATCCACGTGGTGACATTATCGTCCCAGCCTGGGTGCGTGTAGTTGACAGTCAACTGGCAGACGGCTACAGTACCGTTCTTGGTCACATCGTAGTGGTTAGTCAGGTCGGATGTAGATGGCCACGCGACGTTCTTGGACGTGACGTCGATAGAGGAGATCTTGATGTTGGGGAGATCGAGGGTGGAAAAGGTTTCCGAAGTACAGGATTTGGAGCTAGGGCTTGCTGCAGCTACGCCCAGCTGGGCCACGGCCAGGTATGCGAACTTTGAGAGCATCTTGGGGAGATGAAGATGAAAAGATCGATCGAGCAAAGACCCACTGGAAGAAGTTTCTAAGATATGGCTCAGTGTTTTAGGGCCTATATTCGTGGCGTCGGGGATCGACACTAAGTATGCCCGAAAGAGGTAGCTTCGATGGCTGTGGATTTCGCTATTTACCTAATTAAGGGATGGACGGGGAATCACTAGATCTCGCGGTAAGCGGAGGATGCAGCATTTTATACATAAGGTGTATTTCATGTCTTCCGGAATTGGATAGCGTGTCTGGGGTACATATAAAAGACGGGGTAATCGGGACAGAGAATCGGCATGTAGCTGGCAGGTCTGCAGACTAACAGGGAATCGGACTGAAAATTAACATTGGCACAAGGAAGATTTGCCGAAGCTTTGCCGGTCTGCTTTGGTCACCGAATTGGGACATGATCGGCTTGGGGAGATTGGTGTGGGGCGATCTATATTGAACGAACCCCTGGGGATCGAAACAGCAGGTACAGCTTCAATTCATTGTCGGGTGAGAGTCATGCTGCAGATATAAGTAGGTTCTGCGGCTATAGAGGACGCGGTAGATTATCACCACGTAAAAAATCAACATAGGGATAAAATTTCCACAGCTATCAAACCAAATGAGATGCGCCCCGTGTCAAGCTCAATCTACAACCCAAGCAAATGGTCAATCGCTTGCTGGTCAACAGGAGCTTTAGCAAAGTCATCAAATGAACCAGCAGCGGTAACCGAAACAAGCGACTTGACAATAGCAGCACCCTCCGCAGCACAAACATATTTATCCTTGAACGCACACTCCGATTCCAGAACAGCCCACCCATCATATCCATACTGCATGAGCTTGCCAAAAACACCCTTGAAATCAACTTGCCCATCACCCAAAGCCCGAAACCTGCCAGCACGCTGTGTCCAGTCCGAAAACCCACCATAAACACCCTGGCGACCATCCGGTCGGAATTCGGCATCTTTCACGTGGAACGCTTTGATGCGGTCGTGATACACGTCGATGAAGGAGAGATAGTCCAAGCACTGCAGGACAAAGTGGCTTGGATCGTAGAGAATGCATGCTCGCGGGTGGTGGTCCACAGCCTGCAAGAATCGCTCAAAGGAGACGCCGTCGTGCAGGTCTTCGCCGGGGTGGATTTCATAGCAGAGATCAACGCCGTTTTCGTGAAACACATCCAGAATCGGTTTCCATCGAGCTGCGAGCTCTTGGAAGGCTGTTTCTACTAGGCCTTCGGGGCGCTGCGGCCAGGGGTAGATGTATGGCCAGGCGAGGGCGCCTGAGAAAGTGGCATGGGCTTTGCATTGGAGATTTTTGGATGCTTGGGCGGCTAGGCAGAGCGTGTCGGTTGCCCATTGTTGTCTGGCTTTGGGATTGTTGCGTAGGTGTTCCGGTGCAAATCCATCAAAGAGGGCGTCGTAGGCCGGGTGCACGGCAATCAGTTGGCCTTGGAGATGGGATGACAGCTCGGTCAATGTAATTCCGTGGCTTGTAAATACATTCAGAAGGGATAGGCAGTAGTCTAGGTCTGTAGCTGCTCGTTTGATATCGATAAGTCGTATATCTATGGGTAGTTGGATACCCGTGTAGCCGTGACTGGATGCCCATTGGCATATCCCCTCTAGAGAATTGAACGGAGATTCATCAGAGAGATACTGAGCAACGAAAATAGCCGGTCCTTTGATTTCTGGTCGTTGGGCCATGGCTGAAACTGTGTATCGCTGTCGAAGTAATGGAGAGGTTGGGAATGTCATGGCGGGGTTTATACGGGAGCAAATATAATCTGATACGGTTGCCATCTCTAAGTACGGCGAATCTAGGACATTGATAATGAACTGTTTGATTTATTGATGAAGCTTGACTATGATTTCTCTTTGGCGATAGCCCCGGGAGCAGACGGCATCAATGCCCCTTCGGGAGGCTTGTTCTTGCTCTTGAACTCGTCGCTCATTTGTTCAAATGTCACCCATTCCACTCCTTCGTGTTTATTAATATACTCAATGATTCTGTATGTGTTAGTGTAATTCAATTAAGGAAAAGTCAGCTGAGAGCTCACCGTTCATGCATGAGCAATACATGAGGCCGACCGGAGACATCCGGATGGATTGTCATTGGGAAGACAAACTCATCATACTCTCGATAGAAATAGTCGAAGTGATCCTGCATCCAATCATCGGTTAGCTCAGACCCTTATTTAGAGGAAAACCAGAAACAGACCTTCCAGATATCCTCAACATCGCGAGGATTCACCCAGCCATGGCTATTAGCCGAGTTCTTGATGAACATCATAGGAGGTAAATCATCGATATACCAACTCCCCGGGATCTCAACCAGACCAGTGGTAGTTCCCCGAACCAGAGGCTTCATCCAAGTCTCCGCTTTCTGACTGTAATCAATATTCGTCCATGTATCTCCCGTCCGCAGCCAGTACATCTGGCAATCTTCATGAGACATGGAATGATCATACTCAATTCCATATGCCAGCAAAAGCTCGACCATCTCCGCACTGGACTCCCACCATGGTGCGACAATGCCGCGGGGAGGCTTTCCGCAGAAATCAGTCAGCAGATTGTACGTTTTGTCGAGGATGTCGCGCTGTTGTTCGGTGGTGAGACTGGATGGATTCTCATGTGTATAGCCGTGCAATCCGATTTCGTGTCCGGCGTCGCGAACCATTGCACATTCTTCGGGGAAGGTCTCGAGCGAATGACCCGGGATGAACCATGTTGCTTTGATCCCGTACTTTTCCAGTAGTTTCAGCACGCGGGGTGTGCCAACGTGTCCTGCCCAGAGACCTACACGGTTTATCGTGGTCAGTATTGAAGTGCTTTGAGCAGCTTGGTATGGTACCTCGACTGATGTCATTGACACTGTCCTCCCCTCCGTATGAGCCTAGCCATCCGGAGACTGCGTCGATGTCAATGCCATAGCCAACTAGAACGCGCTTCTTGCCCATGTTGATTGGACTGGATTGGAGAATAAAGAGAGGTTAATTGCTTCAATGAATAGGCTGAAGAGATGGCAGAGCAAAGGAGATGGGAGTATTTAAAGGATTTCCCCCATCACAGGCCAACAAAGGTGGGGGTTGGCTTTCCCCTCCTATCCAACCTTGCGATAATGAGGAGATGTCATCTACGGAGCTTGATTACATAGTTACAAACTATTGACTGATTTGATCTTGTTTTAAACTTCATCTTCCGCTGTCTAAGATGGGTTGATTCTGCTCTTCTTGCCTCTTTTGTAAATACTTAGCAGGTGAGAAAAAGGTCATCGTGATGCAACGAAAAGACCAATAGTAAGTATCGAGACAGGATCAGAAAAACAGCTAGTAAATGGAAATACACAGTTCTAGATAAGACAATCAAAGCTTTCCCCTGGGCAAAACCCAAGATTCAAAATCAAGAGATTCAGTCCCGACATAGATATCCCGCTGTAGCCTACTCGTATTCACCTAGAAAACAAATGTTAGCATGGTCGTATAGATATAGTTCTAACAAGGAAGTCCATCTCACAAGATGAGGACCAAGCTCCTCCACCGACCTCGCACCAAGTAGACGCATGCACGTCTTCATCTCCTCGGACAATACTAAACATCACACAGTCCATGTCAGAAACCGCAACACGAGAAACGAGGAGAAAAATTCTGACTGACTCTGCAAAGTTCGTTCCACCCCCTCCACACCACCAGCTGCAAGACCCCAAAGTGCCGGTCGACCAATCCCAACAGCCTTAGCACCTAAACACAGTGCCTTCACGGCATCAGTACCCCGACGTATCCCACCATCTACCCAAACCTCCAATTTGTCAAACACAACCGGACAGTACGTCCTAATTTCAAGAAGAGTGTGCACAGCCGGAGGCGCCGTATCCAGCGATCTTCCACCGTGATTCGACAACACAATAGCCTTAACCAAAGGCGCATGCCGCGCCGCTAACAGTGCATCCTCGTGCGTCTGGATCCCCTTGAGAACAATCGGTTTGGTGGTATGTCCCGCCAGCCATCCCAGTGTCTCCGTCCACGTCAGAGAAGGATCCGTCCCAGCAAAAAGCTGGCTACTAACACTTCCAGCCGAATGAGCTCCCACTTGCACGTTGGCCCGCTCGTCGTCCTCCCTCTTCCCGGAGACGGGTGCGTCCAGCGTCAAGACAATAAACTTGATACGGTCTAATCGATTCACGCGCGCCAGCATGTCTTCGCTCAGTTTGCGGTTTCTCTGCACATACAGCTGCCATCCGAATACTTGGCTTTCCGGTGCATCAGAGACGATTTGCTCTGGTGATAGAGACGAGTTGTTTGCGATGATCTGTGCGCTGCCGAATGATTGACATCCAGTTGCTATCCCCTTCTCGCCTGCTGGATGGCCGAGACGCGCCATTGCTGTTGGGCTGATGAAGATTGGGAGGCGGACTTTGTTGCCCAGGAGGGTCGTTTCTAATTTGCATGTCTGGCAGTCGATGAATATCCTCGGTCGGAAGAGGATCGAGCGGTAGGCGGTCGTGTTGAGGGTTTTGGAGATTTTGTCGTCTGCTGCGGAGTAGTAGTACGCCCATGCCTTTTTGCTGATTATTTTTGTGGCGGCTTCTTCGATCTCGTTTAGATTCAGGAGAGATGACATAGTCATCTGGGGTTTTGGAGGAGGGTCTGGGCTGGTCATCGGATTCGGGATATCTTGGGATTCTACAGGCCCTAGATGGGACGATTTGATTTCGTTCAATGTTTCAGGGGGGTGAATCATGTCGAAGTCTTCTGTGGCGTCCTGTCCTGCAAATTTGAGAATCGCCTGCGCTCCGCCGGGATGACTGTTGAGAAAGTCTGTAACCTAGTCGCTCTTAGATTTCACGTTGAGAAAAGATCGACGGAGGGAGATTCTCACATCGTAGACATTTCCGTATAGAATAACCCAGCAGCTTTTGATGCTGTTATGCTCAGACACTGATAATATGAGCCAGAAAACTGTTATACTAAGATTGCAAATGCTGACCTTCAGATTGGGAAATCATGACGAGTGACCTTTCTACCAAATTGGACAGCTAGCATAGGGGAGTCAATTCAAAATCACAGATTGCTTAAGAATAGCTCAAACAGCCCCCACTCTCACATCCTGATACTTATTGCAGCTCAAGGTAAAGCTCCTACAACAGCTATCAGCCCCCATCTTTGGAGCTACGGTGTATGATCAGGATCCACATGAAGAGTAAAAAATACACTGAACGACTATCTACACTCAATCTACCACAGTATCCATGTCCAGAACCCAGGACTCAAATAATCATCAATCACAAAGCATCATGACCATGAGTCTCAAACGGCAACCCAAGACAGAAAACCCCCACGGCAACCCACAACGCCGCACTAGCATAAATCGGAGCAGTAGTAAATCCAGTCTGGGAGGATATAATACTAGCAACAAGGCCACCGAAACGAAGCAGTGCCGCCGCTGTTCCGGCGCCTGTGCCGCGATGCGGTGCTGGGAAGGACTCGGGCGTAAAGGCGTACATGATAGCATACTCTGACGAGGGCTTGGAGTTAGCAAGGGTCTTGTCTGAAAAGAAAAATATATTTTTTGACAAACCAAAGTTAGCCAGTAGGCTGGTGATGCTAGAAAATGCCAGATCGGCTGCTGGACTGTTGACGCCCACGTAGGCGAAGAGGAAGACGGCTGTGACGACGGCCGATATCCCCATCATCCAGCGTCTTCCTAGCCGGGTGTTGACGCATACTGCAGCGGAGAGGGGGCCTAGGATGCCGACTGCTGATGTGATGCAGTAGTTGCGGTATGTGAGGTAGAGGGAGGAGTTTTCGGTGAATTTGGTTGCTAGGTAGGATGGCAAGAAGGCGAAAAATAGGGGGTATGCGATTCCTGACTTTGGGGTTAGTATGAATGATAACTTGAATTATAGTGTGACATGATGGAGGTCATCTCACCAACTGTTAGCCAAATTGCCCAAATGATCATCGTTTGTCGGCCGAGTTTGCGAGTCGCGAATAATGCCCGGTAATGCTCGCCTCGGAAAGCCTGCATATTTTCCTTTACAACCTCCTTGGTGGTTAGGGCTGTTTGGCCTTCGTGAATGGGGTTTCCCATTTGAATGTCGATCTCTTGGAACATTGATATTGTCAACGGTTCTGGTTTACCATTTTGTCTCGCGACGTGGTTGACGGCATCTACTGCTTCCTGATCCCGACCCTGAGAGAGAAGATATCTTGGAGTCTCGGGTAATTTGAACACGAAGATCCGAACAAAGGTGAATGCAAGAGCGAGACCACCGAGGGTGATCAGGGTATATCTCCTGTGAATGCGTCAGCCAGGAATATGATTGAAATCGCGAGACTCTTACCATCCCATATTCTGACCACGAGAACAAGTTTCAGGCGTAGCATCAGTCGGGCAGCTGAAATTCGCCAGGAACACCCAAGCGACCAATGATACAATCAATTGACTCAGATTCCACCACGCCGACAGAGCCGTGAGCAGATACTGATGGCTTGAAGTCGTTAGCAAGACAAAATCAATGATTTGCATGTTACTCACCTCCCAGGAACAAATTCCAAGAAGATCATCGAATCAACCGGTACGTTCCCACCAGCGGCAGTCCCAATAACAGCCCACAGAGCACTGAACGCAACAAAATTCATCGACCCAGCAGCTGCACATAGGAAAACTCCTGCGATGAGCAGAGTGCAGTTGAACGCGGGCTTGCGACCCATCAAATCACTGGAAATTCCCCAAAACGAGGCCCCAAGGATCAGCCCAACGTAGTACGCCACTGAGCTGTAGCTGACTTGGACAATATCGGTGAACTCTTGTTGGATCGGCGGTTGTACACTCCCGATTCCTTGCGATGCAAACTTGGCGGTTGATGTTAGTTGAGAAGCAGGAAGAGCGCGAGAGGTTTCGTACATTATCGACGATCCATCCGAAGCCAGTTACTACAAACAACTTCCATTGAAACCTGCGATCATCAGCATTTTCTCTGTGAAGTTGTCGACTGAGTAGAAGATGTGTCTGCTGTGCATGTACATACCAGCCCATTCCAATCTCCTCCATACATTGACCGACCAATTCAGACTTCAGGCGATATGACTGCGTGGTCGAAGAGCCATAGAAATTCTCAACCTCCAGATCTTTTATCGTAGTCATTTTCCCAACACCATGGTCCAGACATTGGTTTTGCTCTGGCTGAGCATGTTTCTCATTGACTTGTATATCATCCATGATTGTGAATATGTGCTGCGTGTGAAGAAGTTCTGCTCATAGCAAGCATGAGGCCTCGAATACTGGTCTCTTTTAGGGCTTTGTGTTATAGCTGTCTCGCTCTTGATTGGCTGCTGCTATCGGATGTTGATCTGATAGAGGCCAGACTTCGGAGAAGATTACTACTTGCTACTTTCAAGAGTGGGATGGACGATACCGGTATCCCACTTTTGATAAATCCGGGGACATGCGGGATGGGAGAACTTGGGGTAACTTACGTTGACACACTATAGACATGGAAGCGATTAGATAGTAGAATTGATCACTTATTTTACAATTCATGTCTACAGTAGCCTGGGAAGTAGTGAAAGGAAGATAGAACCAGTGCACAGGGTCAATCCGTAACAATTTATTTACCTGCTCAAAGACATAGTAAACAATGACATCCATGCACGCATCATTTCAATTGAGCTACAAAACCGAGCTTACATCTCTAAGCACCAACAGCAGCAACAGCAGGCAAAGGTTCCGGCTCCCTGTCCTCCAAATCCCTCTTATACTTCTCCGCCCGACCATAGCTTTCCTTGTAAGAGGCCGTAACCATATCCTGCACCGTGATCGGCCCATACTTCGCCAGCTCTCCATCCTCCCGACAATTGGGCAAGCATTCGCAGATATAGTCCGGATTCCCACTGAAAAAGAACGGAATAGAATACCGCTCCCGTCCGGATTTATTGATCACGCGATGCGTGTTGGATTTGTACTTGTCGTTTGCCATGCGCATGAATAGATTGCCTAAGTTAACCACATACGCCCCCGGAACGGGTTTGACCTGTTTTGGTTTCGTTAGTGCATGTCGGAATACAGAATACAGGCTGTGCTATCGGTTCTGGCAATGTGGGACTGGGACGCTAAACTCACATCTAGCCATTGTCCAGTTGGCGCATCCAAGACTTGCAGCCCGTCTACCTCGTCCTGCAGCAGGAGCGTGATGCATCCAAAGTCCGTGTGGGCGCCAATTCCACGGTTCAGTTTCTCGTCTGTGTCCTGTGGTTGCGCGGGATAATGCAGGTAGCGCATTGTGGCGACGGCGCCGTCCGTGAGGGGGTCGAAGAAGGTCGACTCTACTCCTAGGGTTTGCGCGAGAACGCCGAGCACGTCCTTCGCCAGCGAGAATACCGCGTGGTAGTATTGCATTGTGGTTTCCTGGAACTCTTCTTTCTCTGGCACAGAGGAGGGCCATTGGTTGGGGCCGCTGTTTAGTTTCTTTGCCAGGTAGTATGGGTGGTCGGTGGGGATTTCTTCGCCGATGTATAGGCCTTCTTTGAGCTCGGGGCCGGTTCCAATTTCGAGCATTTGCGATCGTAGGAGCTCGTACCCTCTGTTGAAGGAGTTGTGGTCTGTTCTGTCAGTATGGCTTTGTGATTCAATTGGCAATTGAGTCGATTCTCACTCTTGTCAATCTTGAGCTTCTCCTCTAGTGGTAGATCGAAGAAGCGTCGCGAGCAGTTCATCACCCGGCGCTGTAAGTCGAGTGGCACTCGGTGGCCTGTAATCTGGAAGAAGCCATTATAGTGGCAACACTTGCGCACTTCATCAATCAATTTTGACTTTGCTTCGCTGTCTCCTCCGTAGAAAGGAGAGAAATCTAGAATTGGTGGGGCTGTCGGGACAGACATGGTCTATGAGGAAGTGTCGTTGATGGTTTCCCTGGAGCAATTGGCTTCGAATATATTTCTCAAAATATCATCTTGGAGATACCCCCGTTTGCAAGTTCGCAAAGAACCCCGAAATCCCCGCATCACTCGATGTTCCTGGATGAGGATATAGATGGGGGCTGCCAAATGCCAAAGATGGGGGTTAACGCGTCCCGTCCCGATAAGAGATGTTGAGGAGACTATCACATCTATACTATACACCAATAGGTCGTATCTAAGTAGCTCTTTTCACATCGAGTCTTGGAAATGCCCCATGTCAAGGGATTGGAATGTTGTACCGCATGTGAAGTATTTATAAGTGTCCGATCGCGTCGGCTTCGCGCCAGAATTCTCCTAGATGTTTAGTTCAACATGTCGGAATCTAAATTATATCACGATGTCAAAGTTCCAGACCCCGAAGTAAATATTGGGGAAAATGCTCCATACACAGACCATGAAGCCGAGAGATCTTTTGTCAACAAGATCGATTATATTGTACTGCCAGTGCTGTGTTTGGTAAGTAGTTTGTGTTTAATCTAAAGAGCAATCGCTAATGCATGACTCTTTGTCGGATCTAGATGTACTTCTTCGACTGCATGGATCGAGTATGTAATCCGACTTGTATTCCCGCAGCCTACTAATAGAAATAGAGCAATTTGGCAAATGCGAAGACGGATGGGCTTGACGAAGATTTGCATCTGGTGGGAAATGACTATTCCCTGCTGATTCTCCTTTTCTATATCCCATTTGGTATTTTCAATTTGCCATGGAATCTGCTAATCAAGCGATACTCTGGTCGACTCACGCTCTCATGCAGTGAGTTCCTTGACTCGTCTCTCAACTGTGCATCGCTCAAGACTGATTGAATCCAGTGTCGGTGGCATGGGGAATCCTAGCTCTCTGCCAATGTGCCGCCAAGGGCTTTGGCTCTCTGCTAGCCATCAGACTTATACTCGGCATCTTCGAGACCGGGTTCTTTGCAGGGGCAACTTACTATTTGACGCTTTTCTATACCCGAGGAGAAATGGGGTTCCGTTTGGCTATCATTCAATCGTTTGCTGTTCTGGCGTCCGCTTTCAGTGGCCTTATCTCTTTTGGTGTATTCCAGATTAATGATCCTGCAGTGAAGGGGTGGCAATGGCTTTTCATTATTGAAGGATCAATGACCCTTATTACCGGAATTGTTGGCTTCTTCTTGCTGCCGGATAGTGCACCAACAGCCTGGTTCTTGAGTGAGAGGGAGAAGGCGGCCGCGACAGTACGTCTTCTTCGGGACACTTCCTCCGAAGTGAATACTGCGTTTGACCTGAAAGCTTGCTTTGAATCATGGAATGATTGGAAGTTCCCGGTTTGGTGTTTGATCACGTTCACATATCCTGTTGCGTATGCCACTGCAATGAATTTCTTCCCTTTGGTAAGTCTCAAGCCTTGCTTGCCGTTCTTGCACTAACAGCCGCAGATTGTTCAGCGACTGGGATATTCGGTGGTGAAAACGAATCTTTGGACAGTCGCCCCCAACCTGGTTGGTGCAGTGTTCTTGCTATGTGTCGCGAAATCTTCAGACTATTTCCGAGAGAGAACCTTTCATATTATCTTCTCCTTGACAGTGTCGCTAGTGGGCATGATTATATTGACCGCCATTGATGTGGAGGGCAACAAAGGTGTGGCATACTTTGCCTGCTTCCTCATGGCAGCCGGCTCCTACATCCCATCATGTCTTGTGCATGCATGGCACAACAATAACAATGTTCATGAGAATTCCCGCGCCGCCAATACGGGCCTCTTTGTCGGGTTAGGAAACATCGCAGGGATTTTGAGTGCCGGAACGTTCCGAACGCAATATGCGCCCAAGTAAGAGCCTTTGCTTTTGCCTGAGAAACTTACTGATGGGTTCAATAGGTACTTGCCCACCCTTATCGCAACGTGTTGCTGTAACGCCGTTTGCATTGTTCTTGTGCTTGGACTCGGCAGCTGGATGCGGATGGAAAACCACCGCCGAGATCATAAGCAGGGTCAATCGATTCGAGAGGCTCAGGTTGAGACTAGTCAATTCCGAGACGGCGAGAATAGTCCGGAATGGAGATATTTCCATTGATTTGGGAAGCGGTTGCCATGTTGAAGTATGGAACTAAGTTATTGCCACGCAGCGGATGGATTTGAAATGACTTGATGCTCATGATAGTAGCACAATAAATCACATTTTTGCATTGGTAAAGGTCATAGCTTGACTATAGTTCAATCAGCATCTAGACCGTCCCATCCTGTCAGGTAGTGATGCAGCAGCTGATAAGCGAAGACCTGTCAGCGCCGAGTATGCACTCGTTAGCGCTTCCCCCGCATCCTTATCAGTTGGACTCGGCGTGGACTCCGACTTGGACTTGCATTTCTCTTGAGAAACTGTTTCTTTGCGACACTCATGATGAAAACCCATGCATGCCAGCATCCCGGGTGTAGCAAGAGCTTCACCCGCGCAGAACACTTGCGCCGACATGCCTTCAACCACGAACAGCCACGCAATGGATATACTTGTGAGCGGTGCTCTGTTCATTTCCAGCGTCCTGATTTACTAGGTGGGAATTGTGTGTCAGGTGTCAGTGGAAATGCTAATGACAATAGCGCGACATATGGAACGGCACACCAAGCGCGACCAGGAAGCTGGAGGCCCCGGGCAGGGTTTACTCAAGACGCGAAAGAGGACCAGACGGGCAGCAGATGGTTCGATCTTTGTACGGCCTTCTCAGAGACAGATTCGGAGCACTTTGAACTCCTCGGACTCGGCGAATAGTTCGGGCCAGGAACTGGAAGACTATCAGCCAGAGACAGGTCTGCCGATATCACCACCAGGCTCAGGCTCGGATCCAACGTCGATTTCAATCGATGAAACAGACCCGTTTCTGGCGCCATTGATTCCTATCGGCTCCTATGAGCCCTACGTCGAGCCAATCCCTGGACAGTTTGATGCTGCGGATGGCTCGTTTAATGTCGAAGTAGATGGGATAGGGGATTATTTTGGCATGGATACTGGTAATGTCGCAAGCTTCACACGATATCCTCACTTCTGACACTAACAGCAACCGACTTCAATCTACCGTTTGCTGCGACTTGTAACTATAATTGGCTGTTTGACGTTTCCTCTCTCGACGACGCTTTCCACCAACTGGACTCGTCTGGATTCGAAACAGTCGCCTTTCAAGAAATGAACAACATGCCAATGGAAGATCCAACTGAAAAGTACGACGGTCCCTCGGCGCTCTTAATGGCATCCATAATGGACAGAGAGCCGCCCTTCCAGCAATCCATCTCACCCGCCCTCCCCAGTCTCCCCGATCTAGACTGGATGTCAGGATCCGTGATGCTAGATCCCAACCCTCCACCTCGTCTACCACAGATAACCGAAGAAGCCCGAAAAGGAATCATGTCTGTAGTAGCACACGCGCACCCAACAAACATCGACGGCCACCCCATGCTCCTCGACTCCCCTCTTCTCTCACGCGCTGCCCTGCAGAGCTACAGTGATCTCTTCTTCACTCGCTTCAACACCACATACCCATTGATCCACCAACACACCTTCAACCCAACCAGCGCAGCACCAGTCTTCCTCGCCTCCATCCTCTTCATGGGCGCCACATACAGCACCCGCGAAGCCCACCAACTAGCAGTCGAGATCCACGACACCCTCCGCTGCCAACTCCTCTGCCATCCCGACTTCTCCCCGCAGCCCAATCTCTGGGTCCTGCAGTCCATGCTCCTAATAGACTGTTTCGGTAAAATGCGAGCAGGCCCGAAGCAGCGCGAGCGCGCACAGCTCTTCCACTGCGTCCTGATCAAGCTCATCCGCCGCAGCACCTGCTGCACCATCCGCTCCATCCCAACTATAACCCAATCCACCGATCTAGACCTCGTCTGGCGCCAAGCCCTAGAAGACGAACAACGCAAAAGAGTCGCCCTACACTGCTTCATGTGGGACACCCAGCACGCAGTCCTCTTCTCCCAGTCCCTCTGCATGTCAGCCTTTGAAATCCGCTCCTCCCTACCCTGCAGCACAGCAGCATGGGAAGCATCCACAGCACAAGACTGGGCGCACCACGCCCTCCGAGAAGAGCCCCGGATCTTCCTCCCCGTGCTGAAAGGCTACATCACCCCAGCCGCGACGCCCCGACCCCGAGATCTGAACGTCTTCGCCCGCATCGTCATCCTCCACGGCCTGATGTCTGTCTCTGCCGATCTCAAGCGCCGCGATCAAACAACCCTCCGCTCCGAGACCCCCGATCGTGTCGGCGCCTGGACTCCGCGTATGGGCCGCTCCTACGATCTCTGGAAAGGAGACTTCGACTCGGACTGTCTGGCCATGAAACTCGCGCAGACCGCCTCGCCGCGCCAGTTCACCGGCCTCAAGATCTCTGGCCATGCCCTTTACCATGCTGCGTACCTCGCGCTGCACGTTGAAGTCCTGGATCTCCAGATTGTCGCGGGGGCTCCCCATATCCTGGGCCGGTTAGTGACGGACGCGGATCGCGCGCGCTCGCTGCGCGGTATCACCAGATGGCTGCAGGAGGACGCTGGGCCGCCATGTACGGCTGCCCGACAGGCCGCATCGCTGTTGCAGGACTCCGTGCTGAGTTTGAATGAGTGGGAGCAGGCGGATTCGTTCCATTTCCCGTGGTGTTTGTACCTGTGCACCTTGGCTGCGTGGGTCTTTCACCGTGGACTTGATCTTACCTCTGACGAGAATCGCTTGTCGACGGATTTGTCTTCATTGATTGTTATGATGACCAATTGTCCGACTGCGTCGGAATTGGCGGCACTTTCTGGAAAGTTTTGTCCACGACCGCTGGCGGCGGCGATGGCACAGCAGTTGGCTACGGTTCGATGGGCAGTGGTGCACGACGCGATGAAAGTTCTGGTCAATTTATCCTGATGCTTTGATTTGTAAATTGGCCTATTTGTTCTAAGTTATCTCATATGATATGTTGTTATATATGCATCTCCCCCATCTACGCAGTAACCTCAACGCCATAGAACGGGTAATCAGTATACCCCTTCTCCGCCGGCTCAGCCCCGTAAAACGTCGACCGATCATACGGCGCCAAAGGCAATCCCTCCCTCAACCGTCTCGGCAAATCGGGATTCGAAATAAAATACCGACCAAACACCACCCCATCAGCCCCATCACCCGCCAGCTTCGCCCCGGCATTTTCAGCATCAAAGTTCCCAGCCGCCAGGAATGAAATCCCCGCCTTCTTCAGCGTCGGCCGGAACACATCCAGTGAAGGCCTTTCCGTCGTCAGCGATTCCATCTTGGCCTTTTCATCAAGCACCTCGTCAAACCGAGGCTCGACCATGTGCACATACGCCGGTCGAGATCCCTCCGCCAGACCGGCGATCATAGAGCACAGCTTCGCCCAGTTGACGCTCGCGTCCGAGTCCCGCGTATCCTGGAAATAGTTATACGGCGACAGCCGGATTCCCACGCGGTCAGCGCCTATCGCCGCAGTCACTGCTTCGATGACTTCCAGCACGATACGCGCTCGCTTCTCGATGCTGCCGCCGTACGAGTCTGTGCGTGTGTTGACGTTGTCGTGCAGGAATTGATCGAGCAGGTAGCCGTTGGCGCCTATCCATTTACTGACATTAGCCATTGCGCATAAAACAACTTGCTTCCGGGTGGAATTCTCTCACCATGGATCTCGACTCCGTCGAACCCGGCTTCGCGGGCGCGCTTGGCCGCCGCGACGTATTCGTCGACTGTTTCTTGGATCTCGGCGATTGTCATTGCGCGCGGTGGCGACGCCGCGTAGGCGCTGCCGTCCAGGGCATTTCCTGTTATGGGGATTTCGCTCGCGCCGAGTACGTCTCTTCCTTCAATGAAGGGGGAGATGGTTGCTCGGCCGACGTGCCAGAGTTGGCAGTAGATGAATCCGCCCTTGGCGTGCACTGCGTCGGTTACTTTCTTCCAGCCGGCTATCTGGGTCGCTGTGAAGATGCCTGGGACGCCGGGGTATCCGGCGGCCTGGTGCTGTTAGCTGGGTTTCGGTTTGGGGTTGGTTAGATGTGGGCTGCACGTACGTGTCTGCTGATTGGCGTCGCTTCTGTCAACATGAAGCCTCCGTCGGTGGCTCGCTGGGAGTAATACTCGACGTTGAGGTCGTTGGGGACGTAAACGCCTTCGGATTCCTTTGATGCTCGCATGCGTGTGCATGGTGCTAGGATGACGCGGTGCTTGAGGGGGAGGGCTCCTAGGCGGAGGGACTCGAAGAGGTGGTCTTTTGTTGCGATTGAGCCCATTTTGGATGGTTGGTTTGGCTTGGTCCATTGTAGTGGTTTTACTCTATATATACCTACTTCTGCTTTTTACTGCTTGTAGAAAGTGGGATGCATGGTGGGATGTTTGAATAGTGGGATGCAGCTCGGTCTTTGATAGTGGCATGGATCGCCCCCACTGTATGGAAGCCCCCACCTTTTGTATGCTCTTAGTTGAAAGTGGTGATGTGGGTGGATTTTATGGTTTGGATGGATTGTTGTAGATGGATGTCGAAAGGATGGAGATATGAATTACCTGTGCAAGATGCTAGTTGAGCTTTTTAGGGCTTTGGAAATGCTAACATGAAAGAAGAACACTGTTAAGAAACATGATTGCGATATGGATAGAAGGCTGATCTGAAATTCTGAAATTGTTTTCTATTGACATGAACAAAGTGAAGAATATCTATAACACATTCCTCTACTACAGCATAAATGAAAAGTAATCCTTCATCCACTGCCCGACACGCTCTCCCTCACTGGTACCCCAGGAATCAATAGCTCCAATATATCCATCCGGCCTAACAATAACAACACCAGCCTGATCCGCCAAAAGTCCCCCAAACCACTTCCGCGTACAGCTATTCTTCTCCACATTATCCAAATACAAAGTCCAACGACTCTTCCGCAGAAGATCCGGCAAATCCGCCATCTCAAACTCCAACTGAGACGAGCTCGTAACCATCGCCAAGGTAAACACATCGGAGACAGCCGTATACCGATGAGACTGAACGAATTCATCAGAAGCAGCGTAGCCCCTCGGCTGCTTCCCGTAAGACCGTTCAGCCTGGGCAGTGATGTTGTCAAAAGCCCCCTCTACATCCTGACAGACATCCCGCAGGAAATCCATCGACGAAGCAACATCTGAGACAAATATGTAAATCTTGAATTGGCCGAGGAGGGGAATATCCAATTGGATGTCGACTGGATTGGCATCGATATACCGCGTGACTTTGGCAGGAGGCTGTAGCATCCCGGGCTTGAGTCTGCCGTGCGTGGATGACGCCGCTGTAAGCATCCCACGTCCATACTCTGCCCCAACACCGGAGATGAACCGGATGTTGTCGTCGAAGTTCTTGGATAATGCCGCCTCGCCCTCTGCAAAGGCTTTGCAGTGCTCGATGTCGAAGTTGATGAGATCATGTGCTATTTTCAGTCGCTCTTCTTCGTAGCTGTGCAGTAGAGACGGTCTGGCGAGTCCCCGGCTGAGCAGGTTGATCTTCCACGCGAGATTGAAGCTATCATGCATGCTGGTATTGGCCCCTTGGGCAGCGAGTGCCGAGTGGCAATGACCGGCCTATTCAGTGTTAGTATATTGTCAATTCCCGATTACCCAGTAGTGAGCCCTACGTCACCTGCAATGAATATCTGTGCTTGCGGGTCCATGAAGTGCTTCGCAACGCGTTGTCCAACAACATATGTTCCAAACCACTCCACAGACTTCCACTCCAGCCGGAACGGCTGCATCGCATCTCTTGCCCGCTGCATCACATACTCAGTCGTCGCTTTCGCCTTATCGACCCGCTCACCGTCCGTCGCGCTCAACTCAACATACAGCCGAGTCATGCCCCGCTCACGCGGAATCCAGAGAATGGACCCGGCCGAGGCTGATCGCAGTGCCACTTTGCTCCATAGATCGGGGAAGTCCGTGTCGATGACGCCTGGCTGGTTAGTTGAGGGTTTGCGGCGGTGGAGTCGCAGACACATCACTTACCATCCAGTACACCCCATGCCGCGTTGGTGATCTCTCCTTCTAGGTCGGCGTCTGGGATGAAGCCTCGCACTTTGGATCGCGCGCCGTCACATCCGACCAGGTAGTCTGCTTGGATCTGGGATGATGTGCCCGTGGACACATTCTCGTATCTGATTTCTAGCTTGTTGGTTCCGGGTATGCGCGAACAGGACGTGAATCGGCTGTTGCGCGTGACGTATACACCCCGTGCTTCCATGTCGTTTATCATGACTTCTTCTACCATACCCTGGTGGGCGAGGAGGATGTATGGGTCTGATGCGCCGACGAGGTGGTCTGGGTAGTGGGTTTGACGACCTCTTCGATGGAGGGGCTGGTCGGCGGTTGATTGCTGTTGTATTTTAGTAGAGCTCATCGGTATTGTCCTTCATTGAACTCACCCAGAATGAAATGTCGTGGACGCGAGCTCCATTTTTCAACAATGGCTCTGCGAGACGGAGTTGTTTAAAGGTCTCAATGGTCTTGGGCTGCATTCCATCGGCCTTGCCTGTGGCCGTTTTATCGGGGCGATCATCGAGAATCACTACATCAATTCCAAAGCGGACGAGATTGCAGCTGGCTCTCGTTAGTCCTGAGATGCGCTGGGATTGTCACCACGACTTGACTTACGCCAGCATCAAGCCTGATGGCCCGGCCCCCACAACAACGACAGTAGATGCATCGACAGGGCCAAGGCGATGGCCTTCATGATTGGCACTTGGAGACATTTTGGCTTGCATTGGACTTATTCGCGGTCTTTCTATTTATTGACGTCTACGCGGGGACTCAACCCCCACTCTTCCTCACCACCGTGTCACGCCCCCATCCACCACTATGTCCGATCCCGTCATGTACAGACTGGCATCACTGGCCAGGAACACACACGCCCCCATGATATCCTCAGGCTCCGCAATCCGCCCATTCATAGCCTCTGATTTCCAGCCCTCGAGAAGATGGGGGAACTAACCCTTAGCAATCAATTCAAACCAATGGCCGTGGAGACGTCACTTACCGCAGCGGTCATTTCTGTCTTTACATATCCCGGCGAGATGGAATTGACTCGAATCCCCTACAGGACATCCAATCAGCACCACTAATACCCAGAATGGATCACTAAACCCACATATTCAGCCAATTCCTTCGCAATGGCCGGACACATCGAACGGACGGCGCCTTTCGTTCCACAGTACGCAGAGCACAACTGGCTCCGCACCGCGATGTGGCTAGCCATACTAGCCACCAAGACGATACTTCCATGTTTCGTGCCATTGGCAATCATCTGCTTCGCCGCAAGCTGCGCCGTGAAGTAAAGTCCCAGCACGTTGATCGACAGCAGATCCTGGTGGTCCTTGTATGTGAAGTCGAGGAACGGAAGATGGCGATTGATGCCCGCGCACGGAACGCAAATATCAAGCGCGTTATTGAACTCTGCTTGGAACTGGGCGAATCCTTGCTGGAGACTTTCTTCGGAGGAGATGTCCACTCTATTGAACTGGTTTTAGCATTGGAAGATGGAAGGGACGTCCGGTGCGCTGCACGAGGGGGTTCTTCGTACTTGTAATACGCGGTGCGAACACCGTAATCCTGGGAAATTGCGTGGAAGGCCTCTTCGGCGGGTTCGATATCGAAAACTGCTACGTCGGCTCCTGCTTCTGCGAGGCCTCGCGCGAATGCTAATCCGCAGCCCCGTGCGCCGCCGGTTACAAGTGCTGTGCGGCCTTTCAAAGAGAACTGCGGTGGTCAGTTGAGTTGGTGGACTACATAGCGTACGGGATTGGGACTTGCTCGTGACATTTTCTTTCGGTATTGCTTCTTCTTGGATATTGGTTTTCTGCGGTCTATCTATCCTCGTAGCTTTTTAAAGGGCTCGGGTCGAGCATACTCCGAACAAGCTAACCCCCATCTTTGAATATCGCTGCAGTGGCTCGTCATTCTGGTATCAACATGCAGTTCTTTTAAGTACTCCACCTCATGTGCGATTCAAAGCTACCTCCAAGTTACACCAAGACTGAAAATCACCTCGCGACCTTGTACACTCACACTTTCGCAGTGTGTCACCATGACCTCCCCAATTCACATCAAGCAGCAGCAAACCCGTACAGAAACATGCAAGTTGAACATCATTATTGTTGGCGCGGGCCTTGCAGGCCTCGGTTCTGCTATTAGCTGCGCTCTGGCTGGCCACGACGTGCAGGTCCTGGAGGCGACGCATGAGATCCGCGAAGTCGGCGCGGGAATCCAGGTTTTGCCGAATAGTTCGCGCGTTCTGCAGCATTGGGGGTTGGGAGAGGCGCTTCGGCCGTACATGACTTATCCTCGCGTTTGCAATTTCCTGGGGTGGAAGGGGAATGGCATTTCTTCCATGGATTTTCATGAGTCAGAGAAGAACTATCCGGGTACTTGGTATCGGGATTTTCACCGTGCGGATCTGCAGCTGTGTCTGGTTAGAAGGGCTGTTGAGCTGGGGGTTGTGGTGACTTGTGATGCTCGTGTGGTGGATGTTTCTGTTGGGGAGGATGGGGGGACTGCGACTGCTACGGTGGCGGATGGAAGACAGTGGATTGGCGATTTGGTCATTGGGGCGGATGGGATCTTTGGGAAGTTGACGGAAGGTCTGTTGGGGCGTGTTGATCCGCCAGTGAAGACGGGTGATTTGGCATATCGTCTTTTGTTGTCTACGGAGGAGATGCTCAAAGATCCTGATCTGGCGGAACTGGTTACGGATCCTCAGGTGAACTATTGGCTTGGTCCGGATGCGCATGCTGGTACGTTTTTCTTTTTGATATTCAGACTAAACTAACAATTCAGTCAACTATGTTCTTCGAGGCGGAGAGCTATTCAATATGGTCCTCCTTGTGCCCGATGACATTCCAGAGGAATCTCTCGCTTCTACCATTGAGGGTAACGTGGAGGAGATGTGTGCACTGTTCAAAGATTGGGATCCAAGGTCAGCCCATTTGCTTCACGTCGGATACCCACTGACAATATCAGGATCCCCAAGCTCCTGCAGCTATGCCAATCGGTCCAAAAATGGCGGCTTTGCATCCGATTCGGAGATTTCGACTGGACTCATCCATCCGGTGCGTTCGTCATGCTGGGCGATGCAGTCCACGCAACATTACCATACTTAGCATCCGGGTAAAATCAACTATCTCCCCATTTGAGACTACATCCCTAACAATCCCAGTGCTGGCATGTCCTTCGAAGATGGAGCAGTTCTAGGAGAATGTCTCTCCCGCCTCCCAAACAACCCCAATACCTCCAAGACCTCGGCCGAATTCCTACAAGCGAAAAAGCACGCCCTTGCCGTCTTCCAGAACTGTCGCAAACAGCGCACGAAAATGGTCGTGGAGCGTGGCAATGTCCAGCAATATCTGTATCACTTGCATGATGGCCCTGAGCAGCAGGAGCGAGATCGCAAGATGCAAATGGTGCCTACGCCGGAAGGTGAAGCATTAGCTTGGCGAGACCCCGGTTTGGCGCCGAAGTTGTTGGGTTATGACCACATTTCCGATGTATGTTTTTCCGCTTCATTGATTGATCAATCGTTAATAAGAATAGGTCGATGCCCATTGGGGGGATTGCTCAATTCAGTCCAGACTGTAGTTTCTAATTGTCATCCAAGCTGTGTCGGGGTCTATCAACATCCCTGCTTATCGACCCCCATTCTTGACTCTCGGAATAGATCCTAGTCACTACTTACTAGCTACGCACTAGCTCTGGAAATATATCAAAAGTACCATTGAGCCTATCTTATCGTTCCAACCCCCCATTCTCGTGGGATCCCCGCATTGCATAGTTGGAGTCAACTTGAACTATATAACATATAGATATAGAACAACAATAGCACACTCTACACTTCTATAACCAAACCCAAAATGTGGAACTTCTTCAGCTCCCCCAAACCCCCATCTCCATCTCCATCCCCTCCCAAAACCCTCCCAGCCTCATGGTACCACTCGGAAGCAATGTACCAACTAGAAAGACGCGCCATCTTCTCCAAGCACTGGATCCTCCTCACGCACTCAACACGCTTCAAAAACCCCGGCGACTACCTCACCTTCACCATAGCCAACTACCCCATAATCCTCATCCAAGACCGCACCGGCAAAATCAACAGCTTCCACAACATCTGCCGCCACCGCGCCTTCTCCCTCCTCCACAAACCCTCCGGCACAACCCCAATCCTCAGCTGCAAATACCACGGCTGGTCCTACAGCCTGCAAGGCACCCTCTCCAAAGCCCCCCGCTTCGACAAAGACACAGTCCCCTCCTTCGACAAATCCACCCAATCCCTCCTCCCCATCCACCTTCACACCGACAAAGCAGGCTTCATCTGGGTAAACCTGCAATCCAGCCCCGGCCCAGACCAAGACTGGAACGCCGACTTCGCCAGCATCGATGACAGCCCCCGCATGCAGGCCTTCGATTTCGCAGCTGACTTCGTCTTCGACCATTACTGGGAAATCGACCTCAAGGCCAATTGGAAGGCTGTCGTCGAGAACTATAATGAGTGCTATCACTGCGCTACCTCACATCCGCTTATTAACGGCGTTTCGGATCTGCCGCGCTATCGTGTTGAGCCCAAGGGGGCCTATATGGAGCATCATATTTTTAATAAGGAGGATGCGGATAGTCAGTTTCGACGGGCGATTACGTTTTTTCATCCGACTACTTCGGTGACGGTGACGTGCGTTTCTTTCGTTTCGTGTTCTTGTCTGTGCGTCTTCTTGTCTGATTCATGATTGCTGATAATGGTATACGTACTGTAGGGATAAATTCTTCTATATCCAACGCATGGTCCCCGTTTCTGCTACGGAGAGCAAGATCGAGAACGAAGTTTATCGGCATCGGGACGCTACAGACGAGGAATTCGAGAATATCAATGCATTCTACAGACAGGTTCTGGCCGAGGATAAGGAGCTCTGTGTGGGCGTGCAGCAGAATCTGGCCGGTGGCGTGTTTACCAGTGGAGAATTGCATCCGAACAAGGAGAAGGTATGTAATTTCAGTTGTTAGTTATCTCGATCAGGAATTAGCCCTAACGTTTGAATCGCAGGGTCCTATCCACTTCCAGAATAGCGTGCGGCGGACGGTTATGGAACACAGACTGAAAGAAGAGAAATTGGGTTCTGAGATCTGGCCTGCTGCGCCGGTCTCGTCCTCGACTCAGTTTGATGAAGAGGAGGCCTTTTGTTCTGCATTGGAGGCGAAGGATTGTATATCTAGACCTGAGTTGGCGTGGTGATCTATCCAACTTGCAGTACTCAGTCTCACAGACCGAGACTCGGGAATGGTCGAATGGTGTATGATGTTTGTAACTTGTGAAATTCATTCTGGTATTATCAATATCAAATAGCCATCCATAACATAGTAAATACATAATATCAAGAAAGATCATATCCCGTCACTCGTACGCAGTACGCAGTACGCAAGTACATATACATCCAGGTCCAATTTGGCTTGACGGACTTGGCGATGTCAATTGTCTTGTCAATTTGTTCAGTTGTTCAAACCGAGAGGATTCTCCGCAGTCTGCTTTTTGCCTCCAACACTGGAAACTCCATTTTGGATTCCCTCGCCAGTGCCCTTGGTGGTATTTCCCAGACCCTCGGTGGCGCCCGAGACTGTCTGCCCCAGACCGGATGTTGCGTTGCCGACTGTCGAGCCGAGGCCACCGACTGTGCTGCCGACGGTGTTTGTGACACCGCCGACGGTTTTACCGAGAGTGTCGCCTAGACCGCCGAGGAGGCCGGCTTTGCAATCTATTAGTATGATGATATGTGATGATGGTTGATGTGGTGCAGACTCACGGTTCTGGTTGTTGTTGGACATGATGATATGGAAATAAAATAGGAGAGTGGTTTTGAATGTATGAAGTGGTCTTTGGAATGGATGATTGTTTTCTACAGTAAGTTATGCAACGGAACGCGAAAGAAGAATTTATATGTCAACGCCACGAATGCAAAACCGGTTGCCGACCATGATCTAATGGATGCAACATTCACCAAGCCACACCTGTCATGTGAATCCAGCCCCGGGTCAGTTGAGCTCTGGCGAATCATAATATCGGAGATGAGACGAAGATCATGGATGGCCACTTGGTTGGGTTTAGTATTGTTCGATCTGACGTCTGACGTATAGGTCTTGTGGGACAGGGGTGTGATGATTGGTTGGAATGATCCGATCGCGGTGGGTTACTGTAGTGGCTGATACGGTATTTCTTGCATGAAGTTGTTTATATTAAAGTCGTGTGGCGAATGGGAATGAGAGGTGAGGATTTGTTGCGATGTTCCTTGCTGGGGGATGATGTCATTTTATATTGTGTGGAGTCGGTCGATATTAACTGTGATCTCATCTTGCCAAATCGGCTGAAGCTTTGTTTCTTTAGGAATCCTATGGGAAGCTGGATTGCAGATTGTGTGTCTACTGTACACGCAATTATGATCGGTAAGAGGGAATAGTCAATCAAAGACTGGCCTTTCCCCGAGTTTCATATGGCATCAACAACACCAACAGTCCAGCAACTATGAAGAGCGCTCCGCTGACATAAACCGGAGCAGAGGTTTGGAGATCGGCAAACATGGCTATAATAGGCGCCATGATGCCAAAGATTCGATTTGCAGATGCCGTCAAGGCATTGCCCGTGCCTCGATCCTTGGTCAGAAAGATTTCAGGGGTATATGCGTAGAGCACCGCATAGAGCAAACTGCTCAAGAAGTTGAACGCACAGTTCCAACCGAGGAGAGCATTAGACGTAGTCGCTGTCGTCGATCCCAGGAGGAATGCCCCCGTCAACACCGTTGAAGTGCTCAGGGCTCCCTTCCGGCCGAATCTGGGTAACTCCACTAGGAGTCCACCGAGCAGGCAACCGGGGATGCCCATCACAGCGATGATCAGCGAGTTACGATAGGTGATGTACGTTGAGCCATCTCCAAACTCCGCGCCACGCGATTGTTGGATGTATGGGAGGAACGCGTTGTACAGCGGATACCCAAGGCCAATGAAAGCCCAGACCAGGATGATGAGGGTAGTCGACCACGCCCGCTTGGGGGTGTCGAACAACGCGCGGATATGATCAAATCGGACCTTTTCCAGGCGTTGACGGACGATATTTCCCGCTGAGATGTCTTGCGACTCGCCCTGGTCGAACTCATCCAGCTGTCCCTGGGTCAAATCGGTCGACTTCCCATTCCTCCTCGCAACCTCGTTCACAACTTGCACTGCTTCTGCGTTCCGCCCTTTACCCATGAGATATTTGGGCGACTCGTAAAGAGTAAAGAAAGCAAATCGAGTCACAAACATGATCATGGCTAGTCCACCCATTGCAATGAGAAAGTATCTCCATCCCATGTTATCAGCCTTGGTACACCCATCGCCAGAATCACAGGTCCTGTATCCGAGCAACGGCCACGCGATCAGATTGGCCAGTACCTGAGCAAACGCCCAGTCGATAGACAGGACCGTCAACAGGTACTGATGCGAGCCAGGCAAAAATTCGAGGAAAATAGCCGAATCAACCGGCAAATTCCCACCAACTCCCACAGACCATAGTGCCACAAAGGCACACGCGGCGCCAAAGTTCGGTGATCCAGCGGCGATCAGACCAAATACTGCTGTAATGCCGATCGTCAGATTAAATGCCCACCGCCGACCGAAGATGTCACACCCGAACCCCCAGAATACCGCACCAATCAGCAATCCTATGTTCTGTGATAGGGTAAGCAGAGGTGCTTTGGAAGGGTGGAACTCGTAGGATATCGGTGGGAGAATGAGAGATGTGACGATAGGCCATAGATTATCACTCGCCCACCCGAACCCAATGACCACGAACAGTTGCCACTGATAGCGGCCCATGCCAATACTTTGGATTGCACGGTTCAGCACTTCCGCTTTGCCAATGTAGCTTGTTTTCTGGCTCTGGCTCTGGCTCTGGGCTGGTGTGTCGGTCACGGTTGGCTCAGGGCCGGGATGTTTGAGCGAGTTTGACATGTTGACGTTGGAGTAAACAAAGATGGCTCCTGAAAGTTGGGATCATGTTGGGGTTATCAAGTGCAGTTGGAAATCTTGAATACGATGAGTTGCACTAAAAAGTTGAGGTTTCATTGGGCGTGACTGGCGTGATTGCCCTGCAGTGTTGTGTCAGTCATGTCCCCCACATCACGTGGAGGGTTGGGGAATTGCAAGGGATATACTGTGAATGCAGATCAGTAGGGATTGAACAGATATGGATATTCTGATGCGGCAAATATACTATGTGTTGGCTGGATATCTGTTCTATATACACAATGGACTCGGTTGAGGTTGTTACACCCGTGGGCCATGACCATGACCATGACCACCGTTCTCTTTGTGAACCAAAGGACAAGTACCCTTGACCTTGACAAGAGTAGTAGGGGCAGAGTAGGCCGACTCAGGAGCAGTAGGAATGGCAATAGGGGCAGGTGTGGTAGCAATGGGAGTAGAGGAGGCAGTACCGACAGTCTCGACATCAGCAAGAGAAGTCTCGGTAGCAGTAGCAGAGGCAGACGAGACAGGGCTGGAAAGAACGGCAATGGAGGAAGCAGTGTCGATAGCCTCGAAGCTGGATGAAGCCACAGCAGGAACAGACGAGACAGGGCTAGACAGAACAGCAATAGAAGAGGCAGTACCCATAGCCTCGACACCACCAAGAGAGGTCTCGGTAGCAGCAGCAAAGGTAGAAAAGACAGTGCTAGAAGCAAGAGCAACAGAGGAAGCAGTACCGATAACCTCGACGCCACCAAGCGAAGTCTCGATAGCAGCAGCAGAAGTAGACGAGGCAGTGCTAGAAACAACAGCAATAGAAGAAGAAGCACTTATAGCCTCGACACCAACATTAGTGCTGGATGGAGTTGCAACAACGGTAGACGAGACAGAGCTAGAAGCAACGGCAACCGAGGAAGCAGCAGCGGGAACCTTGACATTAGTAGCGACAGAGTCGGCACCAGCAAGAGCACTATAGGGAGTAGCGCCAGGGTAGAACGAGGTAGGGATAGTAGGAATGGGAATAGAGGAAGCAGTACCAAAAGCCTCAGTGAGATCCGAGGCCATGGTAGCAGCGGAGTAGCCAGTGGGAGCAGAGCTCTCGGTGACCGTGGTGGTATACGAGACGTAGTCCTCGCTGTCCTTGATGCAGCTACCGGAGCCGTAGGCGCTCTCACAGGTATTGGCCTGGTACGAGCCGGTCTCGGTCCACATGGCAAAGTCCTCGATGGTCACGTCCTTGCAGGGCGCTTTGGCGGCACACTTGACCTTGACGGGGCCGCGCTCGGCGCCGTTGGACTCGGTTCCCTTCCAATTCCTGACGGTCACGTTGGTCAGTTGAACACCGTCGCCGGCGACTGTGCTCATGCTGCTCCAGGCTCCGTCAATATCGAGGGAGTAAGCGTTGCCGTGACCTGGCTTTGTTAGTCTCATCGGGAGTTGGGTGTTATGGGGACGAGGTCGTCTTACCGATGAAGTTCTCAAGAAGGAGGTTGTCGACGTTGCCGCTGCCTCCGTTGCTCTTGATCATGTACATCTGGTTAGAGGACCAGGTGTAGATGTTGCGGTAGGTGATGTCGGTGATGTTAACGTCGGTGCCGAGAGAGCCCATGGCACAACCACCACTCCAGTTGCAGTAGACGTTCTCGACCAAGATGTTCTGAGCGGGAGACTAATACATCGTTAGTACACCTCTCCATGGTATGCCAGGAGCTGTCGACAAAAGAGAACATACCTTGACAGTCACACACTCATCCTTGTTGGTAACCTCGACCTATTTCAATCAGCATAAACCCTAATCCAGAGATACCCATCAACAGTCACGCACATCATGAATCCACAGATTGGTAGACCAGACATCAATACCATCAAGTCCACCCAGATTACCACCGCGAATAGCCATATTGTAGACCTCACCGTTCACACAAGTATCAAGAGAGAAGTGGAAAGCAGGAGCATCAACCAGAGCAAGATCGTGAACGGAAAAGTCGGTCACATCATACAATCTCAAGATGCGAGGGCCACCAGCCGATCCGGACGTGTGGAACTCATATCCCAAGCCCTGGATAGCACCCTTGGAGGTCGAACTGAACAACTCAAAGTCGGTGCTGTGCTTGATCATGATCATGTTTCCTTCATCGGTACCGGTCCGATAGATGATACCGTCCAGCTGGATGGCACTGTTCTGACCACTGGAAAGCGTGACCCACGTCGAGAAGCCGTAGTCTCCAGGAGGGACATATACTACACCACCGTCCCGGCACGCAACCCAGGCGGAGCTAAGAGCCGGTCCGATATCGTGTGTCTTGTCTGCAACGGCGCCGTAGTCGAGGACATTGCAGGTCTTAGTGGCGGACTTGGTTGCGACGGATGTTGTTGGGCCGACGGAGCCGCTCAAGTACGCGTTTGTGAGCAATGGCGCCAGGCCGATTGCGAGAAAAGAGCGAAGAAACATTATGAAGAATTGACCAATACAGAAATAAAAGAATGACTGAAACGAAAGAATGGCTAGTAAAGAAGCAAAAGAATGAAAGGCTTGAAAAACTCGAAGTCTGACCGGATGAGATTGACTATATATGCTTAAACAGCCCCTGAAGGCCCTGAATTCTTTATCTCAAACATCGTTAGGGCTGCAGGTGGTCATCTCCTAATCGTGTCCGGGCCAGTCGACTCGAGTCATGTGGGGGATCCAAGACGATTATAGTAGGCGGCACGGAGCAAACAACGAACTGCTTCACATAACCCGTGAGGTCCACATGGGGAGAGGGATGGTCAGGGGTGCACGACAAGAAATTACAGAGAGGGGAGGTTGAAAGGGCCTGTTGTGTTGAGCGATCTCCGGGAAAGGACACTAAGAGCCGTTCTCAAACGTTGTCTAGCCCTATCACAGTTAGCGTGTTTCATCGATAGTTCGTCAACTTGCTCTCGGCTCGAGGCCTTGTCGGCTAAATGTACTCGCGTAACGTCAGGGGCAAAGTGTTTCACGCTGATTCTCATCGATTGATTAAGAGTTTGATATGTGGATAATAGGGCTACGGCTGGCGGTGCCTGCTCCTCGGCGCAAACCTTCGTTGGACTTCTGCACTGAGTTTGGAACCTTAAAGACTTATTTGTGTATGGGTCTTCATTGAGCACATGGTCTATTCCATAGTGGATTCGCGAGCCGATGGATCAATAGACGGTTGTGGCACTCCACAACCCCTGCGACTGAGGCTCGGAAAAGGGCTTAAGAACGGTAGGTCGTCTTTTTCAAATGGATTATTAATATTCGCAGTAAACAGCAACTTACCCGCTTGTGATCGTAGCTCTTGGGGATTTTAGAGTAACAGTATTTCGGATTTTCTTGCCAAGATCTTAGCCTTTACAGTATATTGTCAATATCAAGTGAGAAAGTGAATTTGCGGCCATTGGACTGGCTGAAATATTTTGGTATTTGATATTGGCTGTAAAATGGTTTAGATGACACAACCAGTAAGTGATATAACGTTATATCGAAGAAGGGAACCTGAAGGGTACAGTGTCGGTAAGCCTTGTATATCATCCATGGGTCGTGTCAGTCATTCGATACACCGCTGTTTCATACAGTAAGCAACTTCACCCCGACAAGGTATATGTTGAAGAGGGTACTCTGAAAAATAGACCGTAATACCAATGGCAGGAATACATATCAACGAGAGAGGGATATTACCCTACTATACGAATATCTTAGACAAGAGCCCAAGCTACGAGAAATAATCAAAGTTCAAAGTGTCTGAATTGTCCAACAGCGATGCAAGCAAACTAGCTTCGGAGCAAACATAGCCAATCCCCAGCCCGCAACAAGAGTCACCACATAACGTAATTATCCAGAGAAACTCCGACTTTCAAGCCAAGGCCCAGTCCACATTCAAGACAGAGAGCCATTCACAAGCGACCACATCGGGTCCAATCCCTCCACTCCCACATTAATATCTTCATGCTGGCTAAATATCTACATTTAGAGCATGAGACGCTCGACCTGGAGCTTGATCTCGCGGATGGAGGCAGCGAGCTCACTGGCGTCGTTGGTGGTGATGGAGACGGCGATGACGGGGCGGGAAACACCGGTGGCACGGCCGAGAGCCATCTTGCTGGGGACGTAGACGTAGGGAACGTTCTTGTCCTCGCACAGCAGGGGGAGGTGGAGAATGATGGGGAGGGGAGTGGTGTCGGCGGCGAGGACGACGAGCTCGGAGGTACCGCGGTTCAGGGTCTTGGTGGTCTCGTTGGCACCCTTCTTGATCTGGCGGTAGTGACCGGCTTGCTGGACGAGGTCCAGGAGGCTCTGGGAGAGAGTCTCGTCGGCGATGGGCCAGGCTGGGTGGTGTTAGTCGGTGTGCGTCACGAAGGACTGGGGAGGGATCTTACCGGCGGTGGAGTCTTCGGCCATTGTTGCGGTTGATAGATAATTCAGAACACCAGATCTTGAAAAGAAATGGCTCACTCAGAGGATCACGGCCTTGTTGTACAAAGGAGGTAGTGGGTTGGTTGAGGTGGATGTTCAAAATTGAAGATGGGAAATTTTTCTGGGATGGAAATGGCGGAGTATGCTCACCGCCTGCTGATTTGGGCAATCACTAAAGATTTCTGCTCGGTCACGTGCTATTTCTGATTGGTCATTGATTTTGATGTGGATGCCTGATACATGAGGCATGAATATCAATCAGCACCCTTTAAGTAATATTTCCACTGAGATTACCATGACTTTTGAAGAAAATAAGTTGCTAACTGATAAATGCGCCTCTCTACACAACCAGATAATATGGCGATATTCAGCTTAAACGAGAAATCGTAGGAGGATGACGATAAATAACCTGCGGCCACAAGAAACTCGCAAGCAACGAATGCAATCGAGGATAAAGCTTGTGAGCCGAAACCCTCGTCCATCCGACTTCCGATCCAATTCCATTATCCGGCTCATCCTGTACATCAAACCATTGCATATCAAGCACATTCACATAAGCCATAGTCCGGAGATAATCACCTATCTTCCATGCATCCGGAGACGGGGCTTCCAGGACAGAGTCTAGGGCCTCTTTATCCACGACAACGGGGTATCCCTGTCGGACATAGGCGGGACAATATTCCCCGTACAGGGATTTCATGAGATCCCGATGTTGGCTAAGGAGACGGGAACAGAATCAGCACTTTGTCTTCCTCTGCATTCTTCGGTCAACGTCAAACAGTAAGGGATTGTGATCTGTACCGCCAGACTTCCTCGTATGAACAATTATCTAGTGAGGGGTGTGATTGGATATTCCATTCAAGTTGGCCCAAAAGAATTTGTCCATCGCCATTCTTGTTCTCAAATTCGGGATCGAGTAGATTCATTTCTGCATATGCTTTCATCCGCTCAAGGAAGCTCTCCCAACGTGCATCATCGTCGTAGTAGCATGTACGGTAGAAGAAGAAGCCCCATGTATTTTGGTCGACGTCCGCCATATCTTTGCGGACGCGGGTGGCATCTGTCTTGAGAGTGGCCATTCTTCACCAGAGGCGAAATTATAGACCAAGAAAGAGAGAGAGGTCAAAAGGGCGAAGTAGTGTCCATATATCGAACGTCCGTGTTAGAAAACTGCGATTTAAGGAACTAAACCGAAACAGGCAAAACTAACCAGATACAGTAATTCATGGGCCCGCCGCTTACAGTTGACAAGATATTATGAGAATGCGGAATAAATGCATCGAAAACTTTTGTTCGTTGATATGTAATGTATGTGTGAGTATTGAAAACCTCAACCTATGTATGTACTCCGTAGTATGTATGCTCATAATGACATATGCGTTGACACGCTAAAATCGCAAGAAATGACAAATATTTACTCGCCTCTGGCGGCGCTGACAGTGGCACTGGCAAGTCTGGATCGAGCGCGCAGCGCGGGACCGTACTTGTACAGGATGAAGGGAATCAAAGTCAACAAGGTGGCAATGAGAGCCAAGAGCAAACCAGCGTACTGGCTGCCGAGGTTGTGGAAGAACTGCGAGGCGAACAGAGGTGACACAGCGCCGAGGGTGTTACGCATGAAACCCTGACCGGCGATGGCGGAGGAGGAGTGCTCGCCGTAGCAGTCGGAGGTATAACTGTAGCAGGACTCGAAGATGAAGAAGATGCCGACGGCGATGAGGACGAGACCGATGTTGGGGCCGATCCAGGGCAATTCCTTGTACTGGGTGAAGCTGTAGATGAAGAGACCGACGGGCAGCCAGACGGCTCCGCAGAGGGCACCGTACAGACGAGACTCGGGGTCGACGACACGGTTGGGGTCGGCGGTCAAGGCCTTGTACTTGCGGATCTGGAGGAAGTTCAGAGCGAAGCCGATGGTGGTTCCGATGCAGAGGGAGATGTATGGAAGACCGGAGACACCCTCACTCCAGCCACGCTTCTCCTGGAAGGTGATGGGGATCACGGAAAGGAAGAGGAAGGCGAGGAACCAGGCGAAACTAATCCAGAGACCAAAGGCAAAGACCACGGGCTCGGTGAACAGCATCTTAACGGCCTTGACGGATGAGTTGTGGAGCATCTGCTTGATACCAGGGGCCTCCAGGTCATTGTGCGTAACGAAGCGCTCATCACCGGTGGACTTGCGGAGAGCCTTTGCACGCTTGGCAAGGGCCACACCTCCACGGGTCTCGATGAGGAAGATGGCAATGATGATCACGAGGGGAATGTTGGCCAGACCCTGGATACCCTCAACCCAGCGCCAGCCCAAAGCCTGGTCAATGAAACCGGCGTAGATGGGGGCGGCAACGGTACCGAAGATGGCAACGAAAGAGAATGAGGCCATGGGGATGGCACGGTGCTCGGGGGTATACATATCACCGAAGGTACCACCAACCAGGATAGTACCAACGCAACCGAAGAGACCGAGCAGAGAACGGCAAACAAGGATAGTGGCAATGTTCTTGCCCAGGGAGAGACCGATGAACATGAGAGCAAAGCAGACGTAAGCACCCACGTAGACGACTCGTCGACCAGCAAGTTCACAGAATGGAGCCAGGAACAGGGGAGCCAGGGCACAGGTGAAGTTGAAGCAGAACAATCCCAGCTGGCCAATCTCTGTCGAGGTTCCCAGGTCCTCTACCATGCGTGAGATTCCTGAACTGTAAGCTGTGGTGGCGAGACCGATGAACAATGTCATCAGACAAAGTAGAGCACTAATGAAAGCCTTGTACGCTCCACTCCAGTTGAACGGGTTCTGCTTGTCTCCCTCGACGAACTCGAGGATGATAAATTGCTGTCCATTGTGTTCGGTAGGTTTTGTCGCGGTGAGAGGCAGGTCGATGTCAACCTCTTGCAATAGGCTGTCATATTGTTGTGATTGCTCCTCGGAGAGCTCATCCCGATATTTTCCTCCGACAATGAGACCCTTTTTGGAATGTTCCGGGCGAGTGACTGCTTCGGCAGTCTGAACATCCTCATCATGATCAGCCGACACAGGCTGGGGATTCTTTGATGCCTTCATGATTATAGGTGTATATAGGCGAGGAGGAAGAGAAGGAGTTGAAGAGAACTGGTCTGAAAAAAAAATCAGAGCGAAGAGCCCAGCATATAAATTGGGGGCATTAGGCTGTACGTCATGCTCCAGACTCCGGAATTGATGAGAACTGGGGCTGCGGGATTATACGGAGAGCGGAGGAAAATTCAAGGAATGGCCTTCCAGAAAGTCAAGAAAGAATCATTCGATCAATCATGTTACCAAGTGACCAGTAAGTGGGTACGAACCATTCTACATGAAAACTCTGTACCTGGTCCCTGAATCACATCTCGATCGGATGTGCTTCACTTACAGTATTACCTCCAACGAGCACCATCCTTGAACTTCCAGTTCCCGTGCTCCCCCTTCTTTCTCCATACTGGAGGTTGAACATCTGGGGTGTGGCTTCATGTCTCCTCAACATCCTAACACCAAACAGGCAATGTGGGCCAACAGATTCTCCGACCTACTGTAATAATAATAGCGCCACGCTGTAACCAACCGACCATGTCTCGGACGATAACCAGAGAGGTCAAGATTTGCGAGTATACTCCCGACAATGAACCGAAGATCCTCCCGAGCCGAGTGGGTCTGGAGGATCCACTTGCTGAAATTTACGTCGGTATGCCGCATGCCGAATGCCGTGAGAATTGCGATGAATAAAGCAGACACATGTATAACGATGCATGAAAAGAAATACGTAGATAAATAGAACGACATTCGAGACATTCAGGAATACGCAGAGGTCGAAATCGCCAAATAAAGTTTGCCTGGAAACTCTCGGGAAGTTCCCGATTCCCAAGAAAAGAAGCCGGTGAGGCCGAGTCCAGCAGAAACCCCGAGAATTTACCCCGAAGTTGATCCCGAGGCTTTGATTGGCTGATACTGGATAACTCCACTATAGATTTGCACAACAATTTCCAATAACATCAGGTGCTTAACTGTTGATGTTCCTGTACTCTGTACTCTGCCCCCAACGCTCGTATGCATCCCACGCCCTAGACGTTTGGGGCCCCGAGGATTGAATCCACTCGGGGTTCTCCTCCACTCTTAAGTCACCTCCGTACGAAATGTGCCGTGGGGGATAGTAGATGCCGGGTGAGGCACAAGACCAAAAGGGTGAGGTTGCATAAAGGGCATAGCGTGTATGTACAGTAGTGATTGGGCTTGCAGGACTGGTCGACCGAGTCATGCTACGGATCTCGCCTGACAGCGTTCGGGCCTCGTCCGAAGCCGTGGTTCCAATCTTCCACGGTGAAGCTCTGCGTTTGCTTTCCGGCTTGACCCGTGCTTGTATCAGGCGGCTATACCGGCTCTTCGTTTTCCCCTTTGGTGGTTTTAATGCATCCACTTGGCTGAGAAGGGAGAGTCTGCACGTCGCACTGAATGTCGGTGTTGGTCGAATGTCATCGCCGACTATACCTGGGCGTTGTACAGTATGGCTGGTTTCTTGACAAGATGTATATCTGTATATAAATATTGAGGTTCAAACTTTGTTAACGCTGCAACTGTATCTGTCTATCAAAATAAACACTCAATTCCTTCGCTCTTTCAGCCTAACCTTTGCCACAAGACTCTCATTGACAGGTGTTGGAACCCCAACTTCCAGACCCCGTTTCACCCAATACCCATTAATGAACTTAATTTCTGTTTCGCGCCCCGCCCGAAGGTCCCACACCATTGAACACGTAGTATGGAACGTTTTCTCGATGATCGCATTGACGGTTGCTTCTAGCTTGTCGACTGCAAACCGCTGCTTGAGGTCTGAAACGTGTTGCAGCTCTGGTAGTGCGCATACCACATTCGAGATCTCCGTCAAGATCGCGAGTCTCGTTTCGGGGATTGAGAAAAGGAAGCCGTTCTCGGCGTCATTCAAGGCACACAATGGGTTGCAGAATGCGTTGACGGCTAGCTTTTCCAGCTGGATTTGGAGAATTTCGGTGTGGGTGTATGAGGTGGCATTTAGACGCGGTGAGAGGGGGAGATTGGCGAGGAGGTAACTTGAGGCGTTTTCGAATGTTTGGGTTGGGTCTTCTGTCGATCTGGGGATCGGGCCGAGTGACGTCGCTGCGTGCCCGGTGTGTGTGACATGGAAGGACTTGTGTAGTGTGACGCCATGAGAGATGACTCCGACTATATAGTTCGGGCGATCGATCGGATTGGGGAAGAGTTGCGTGTTGACTTCGTCGATCGTGCCACTGCCATTTTGAAGGAATAGGATGTTGGAATTGGGGGTAAGGCGATGTTGCAAGGGTCGTAGAGCAGAGACTGTCTGTGTAGTCTTTACGGCTACTATGAGGTTTTCAATCACACTATTCTGCGCGGAATCACCACTGCCCTCCGCGTCTGAGCCTTGGTACCAGTTTCCGTTACGGAAGACTTCAAACTCATATCCTGTATGTCCGATCCTATCTCCTTCTCTTGTCTCTAGAAGGATTTGATTTCCGTTTTGGCGGTAGGCGTCGAAGAGGGATTGGCGGTGGCAAAGAAGGGTCACGGAAGGAGGTCTAGGACATTCAAGTAGAGAGTGTGCCGCGAATGTCCCAATACTTCCGAGTCCGAGCACATGGACCCTTGGTCTCTCGGCTTGGGCAGGAGTATGCATGCTGCGGCGTAATAAAATCGCTCGGTAAGGAGCCATGCGCAGAAGACTATACATCTGAGGCGTTTCACCGAATTTCAATCACAGTCTGTCTCTTTATACATACTCAACAGCATTGTGATTATCATCAAGAGATTCGATCCTATTCTCACGCCCTACGCCCTGGACCCACTTTTCCCACGATGCGGTAAACTGGATGTGCGCGGACTATCAACTTCGGAGTTGACGCCGATGATGTATAATCGAAGTTCAAACATCAAATTTGTTCATCTCTTACCGCGGAACACAGAATTTGGTTGAAGTTCACCCCTGGCTCCTGGCTGTGAAAATCCAAGGACCCACATCCACGCCCTAGGGAAATAACCTTAATATTCATCGCCACTTCACTTTTCGCCACAAGATCTCCAGGCACGAATAAGAAGGAAATTTGATTGATTGAATATAATTTCATTTTTCTGTAATTCCGGAAGCAGAGAGTTCCACTTCCTTTTCAAGAACCGGTACATCTTCGGGCTGGCAATGCAATCTGCGGAATGCCGAAAGCCACTGACCATTGTCCGCCACAGTCTGGTTCCAATTATCCTCACAATCGTACAATAATCGTCGCGATTCTTGCTGGAACATATCATCTGTTGGAATGATACCCTGCTTCATCTGTTCTTGGGCGTAGCGGCTGAGATGCATTGTAAGGATCTCGGTAAAGGAGCTTAATTCCGACTGAGAGGAGAAATTCTCCGGTAAAGATTGAACGGGCTGGGAATTGTCCACCCGATGTTCCATTCCTGCGTTGGATGAAATTTGGAAGAAGTGGTCGCGAGAACCGGAGCCTGTCGCAGAGAATGGGACGATGCTCCGCGACTCGGATCCAATTAGATAGGGTGGCAACGCATTCGTGATTTGTACAGCGATATGAGGTGGAAAGTCGTGCTCACCATGCCAGTCTACCATACTTCGTCCTTCTTTGTAGTGAGCTGCAATGTGATCTGCGCGCTCGTTCCAGCTGTTCATTTTCTGGTCGCAGATTCCACAGCGAGACGTGAAGTCCGGTGTTTCTAGTTTCCAATCATCGACCATGGGCATGACATCCAGTTCGTGCACCAGCCGAAGGTGTTGAACAAGATGATCCTTGCGGCGAAAAACTCGAGGCTCGGTTGAGTCTCCGTGGCAGGCTTGGTGATGATGTTGCTTGAGGTGATCGGTGTCTGGCTCCAAGACATGGCAATAGGCACAGTGCCGACGCCTGGTAGTCATGGAGAAGGCTGCCCCTCCGTAAGGGGCGCATACCCACGCTTCCAGATTTAGATGCAGTGATTTTTCGTGTCGTGTCCAATCGTATTTGCTTTTGAAGCGATCGCAGCAGAACGTGCAACAGAAGCTCCGGTTCTGATCCGTTCCTAGTTTGGCTGAGCGTGATTTTTTAACTCGGCCTCGGAATTTTCGGGATCGAGAGGCAGATGAATTGAGGGAAGAGCCAGAGGTACCGGAATTCTCGGAGTGTATCGAATTTTGTGATGACTTGCTACGACTGCTTTCGCCGCTATTGGAGGATGCGACCTGGCGATATCCTCGGAAAGCATCAGCAGGCTGCCGAATGTCGCCTACGTTAGAGCGTGATAGAGCTCTAGATTTCTGGTTTGGTGTTGTTTGGAGGGCATTCATAATTGCCGATAGATCTGCCGGTTCATCCTCCGGAGGGGAATCTTGCCATCGCTGCATCGGATCACGATCAATGGGTGTGCTAGGACTAGGCGATATATAAACCGGTGTCGAAGGATTGCCCGATCTTCTGGTTGAGTAGCGACTCCGATTCCTCGGCAAACCTCTCGGGGATTGAATACTATGCCTTGTGCGGTCACGAATTGCCTCCAATCCCGGGCTAGCACCTCTGGATTGCTCAGCACTCGAAAGACTTGGGTAGCTGTCTACTTGTTCGTCCAAATTCCAGAAGCCACTCGGATCCAGGGGGCTATCAAACACCCCCAACTGTGGGGCTGCCATGAATCTCAGATCTTCTGGCAGGGGGTCGTCTGGTTGGGCGCTATATTCTTGAGTTGTAGATGAGTCAGGCAGGCTGTTGCTTGAGGCGTTGAGATCCAACATGGACGGTGAAATTCCCAGACTTGGAATCGGTGACTGCAGAGCGTTGTCATGATGATCTAAATCAATCCCTTCAAACCAATTCCATTCAGAATCCATGTTCACTTCACTCTTTCAGCAGGCGCAATGTGAAGTGGATTGACGATACCCACATTCAATTCCCGGCAAGGCGTATGGATCATCCGAAGGTTCATCTGGACGTTCAAACATATTCCAGGGGACCTATAAAATACTTGCAGTTAGTGAAATTAAGTCAGAGGGAAGGAGTGAATTAGTAACTTATCGGTCTTCTCGCCGATTACGTAACGACTCACAGCGCCAAGCTCAGTGACAGCAAGAGTCAAGAAAGTTGGGACGTGAACCAAAAAGGCTCTCCCACCACATTGCTCCAAAACTATTCTTTCCTAGCCTGATTGAGAGGTCAAATTTCTGTAATGCCGCATACTTTTTACAATCACCAAGTCAAAAAAAAATGAGTTAGTAAAGCATCTATTCCGTACTGTTACGGTACTTTATCCACTTCTACGTCATTACAGTTGAGAAATATATAACATTCTGACATACCGAAAATCACCTTAAAAATTGATTCTTAGAGGAATTATGTTATAATAGACGAATGTATTGCATACAGAACTTGAACAATCTTGGGTAGTAGCCGGCAGATACCCCATAAAGAAGGCAGAGAGACCTATCTTCCTGTCATAGGATATTTCGAGGAGCTAAATTCATGTGGCAGAGGATAAGATCGTAGCGCTGAAAAGACAGTTTCGGATTATAGGAGAACAGCCGGCTATTCAACCACTTCTCTATCTCGTCAGGATTTACGAATACTAGATCTTCAGTGTTGGGAAAGAGGAGCCCCTGGTAAAACCCTCCACATAGAGAGCTAGGAGTGTGCAGTGTTGTAAAATAGTCAAGCATGCCCGCAACCTTTTCGACGGCGCCTATTTCCTCCAATCGACCAATGACCTTTCCCTTTATAAACTCATAAGTTATGAAGGAGTCGAACAACATCCGGGGTAACTCCACAGGTGGGTCCAACTGAAACAGCCCATGAACTGAGGATCAAGATATCCAATGGAACATATGTCCTGAAAATCTCACACGTAGATCCTGGCGCGTGTTTTTCAACTGGTGGAGTCTTGGCGGTAAAGATGAATGCATACCACAGTTTCTCGAGTATCATCTCCCGGAAGAGGACTATTCCGATCGACCCTTGGCGCGCGCCGAGGAGCAGCTGAGACAGGCTTATATCCCAACCTTGTAACGATTGTTCTAACATGACTCAAATTCAGCTTGAGAGCTAACTCTACTTTGAGGGTTTTCATCTCACGCCCATTTCGAACTTTCTAGACGTGTTTAATGCATTCTCGTCTTCATTTCACTTCTAGCAAAATCAGACAAACTTGTCAATACCAATATCAAATTCGCGGCATTTTCTTCACGGCTGCTCCTATGTCTCACCTCCCCAAGGATTATACTTTCGCGCATCACCTTTATGAGACCATCGAAGAAGTGGAAAAACTGGAACGCTTTTTCCGTTGCCTGAATCGTCTAGGCACTGCCTCATATTGATCCTATCATGAATCTCCTTTCACTTATCCTGTTCCTTATAATATCACTGGTTTGGTTACCCTAAGTTACTGTCGGTTCTATTTGTTCAAGCTACCTCGGGATGTGGATCCACGAACTTTTTCTGGGGTCCGGTCAACGGATTATCAGGAAAAACTTTTGGAGATTATATTGGAATCGGTGTCATTTACGTAGTTTCATTCTCTGAAGCTATGAAGATCTTACGGCTTGTGTTAGTATTGAAGGTGAAATGTCCAGGAGCTTTGCTGAACGAATCACGAGCTTTGTCTAAACTTAAACCGAAAGGTGAATTCCACATGGTTCATGATTCAAGTGACAACAGATATCGGCAAATCGTAAGTTCGCATAACGCCATCTTTCATCAGTCCAATGAGAAGCTGAACACATCAGACAATGGCTTGACTACGTCAGCTGAATTACCACAAGCAGTAGGCCGAGGTTGCTATACCACGTTGCTCATTTCGTGTTTAATCCGCAATATCCAATAGTAGCTTTAATAGCCCTCCTGCTACAGTATGCCAGGTGAAATATGGCTTTAAGTAACAACCCAATATCAAGGTCTGGCTTGCTCAAAGTTTCAGGGTTGGATCTATGGAGATGACATCATCGCCGGGTATTCGGATATCAGCCCATTTCCCCACACGATATTCAAGGAAGTCAAGGACTTCCAGGCGTCAATTCGAAGCTCTAGAGGCTATTTTAAGAAGACTCGTCATTGTGATGCAATACTATTGCCGAATCGTGAACAGCCTTAACATATAAAAGATCGTCGCCAAGCCGATTATCACAGTCAAGCTTTTATCTTAATTCTTTCCCCGGATTTGAGTAAACCCCTAAAACCCCTCGTCACCATGCATCAAGATGGCTATTCCCACCACCTCCACAAGTATGAACCCCATCCCTGCACAAACCACCGCCCTCTAACAACCCTAGAACGGGCAATTGGATGCCAGCCGACTACAAAGTCCACAAAGAATGGCTAGGCGGAATAATCCACCAAGTCGACCAAACCCAAACACCGCTGCACCCAGTCCTACAAGAATTCCAACATCTCATCGAAACAAACACAAAAGTCTACATGCTCCTGACCTCCATGTTCAAAGAAGTCCCCCGCCGCAACCGCTACGGCCACGACCCAACCGGCAACCCCGAGATCCGCGACTATCCCCATTTCCTACAAGTCCTCAACCACCTACTCACCACCGCCCCCTCATGGACCGACAAATCCCACCGCGTCGGTCTAGTCGGCCTCCCCATCAACGCCGTCCTCGACTGGCCAATGGGCACTCCGAGCGGCTACGCCGCCTTCCTAGACCCAGACATCAACAAGATCATCAAGAAGATCCTCAATGTCTGGGGCGAGTACTTGCGCTCGCCTGCCTCCGCCGACGTCCTCAACTCCTCTTCTAACGGCTGGTTCGGCGAAACCGGTCGTCGGGATCTAACCGCCGTGGCGAAGATCGGCCCCTCCGCCGCGTCAAATCTCCAATTCCATGATATGTTCGAGTGTGACCCCGCCGCTCCAAACCACGGCTTTGGGTCCTGGGATGCGTTTTTCACCCGCCTCTTTAGGGACGGTATGCGTCCTGTTGCGGACCCGGAGGATGGAAAGGTTATTGCCAATGCGTGTGAGTCGAAGCCGTTCAGGACGGCGCGTCATGTCCGCGCCCGTGACCAGTTCTGGATTAAGAGTCAGCCGTATTCGGTTCTGGATATGCTGGGTCATGATGAGCGCGCGGGGCAGTTTGTCGGGGGGACTGTTTATCAGGCGTTCCTGTCGGCGCTGAGTTATCACCGTTGGCATGCGCCTGTTGCTGGCACGGTGGTCGGCGCGTATGTCGTGGATGGGACGTATTATTCTGAGCCGTTGTTTGAGGGGGTTGGGAATCCCGAGGTTGCTGTTAAGGAGATTGATATGGCTGGGCAGGTTACCTCGCAGGGATATATTACTTCGACTGCTACGCGTGCTTTGATCTTTATTGAGGCTGATGAACCGGCTATTGGGCTTATGGCGTTTATTGGGGTTGGGATGGCTGAGGTGTCGACTTGTGATATCACGGTTAAGGAGGGTGATCGGGTGAATAAGGGTGATGAGATTGGTATGTTCCACTTTGGTGGTTCAACTCATTGTCTCTTGTTCCGGAAGGGTGTGAATATCTCTGGGTTCCCTGAACCAGGGATGGAGGACAATATGCCTGTTCGAAGCAAGCTGGCTGTTGTTTCTTGAAAGCGTATTGCATGGAGAGACGTAGATTCACACTGAACATTTACATTTACATTTACAATTACAAGTGACGTGAAATAAGATGGTTCAACTTTCAAGCATTTATAAGCCTCAATTTGATAACAAGAATCTCTCAAAACAAGCAAATAATCAATGCGCAGCCAAAACATTAGACATAGCAACCTCATCTTGTTCACGATCAGATGAGTGCTGATAACGACCCCGAACCCGACGACGACCATATCCATATCCGTATTCCCCAGTAACCTCAGATCGAGCCGCCAACCGCTTTGCAACCTCATTCGCCTCGAACAGGCTCACCAATCTTCTCTTGGAGGGACTTTGGCGAGCGCGACCCTGGCAGACCCGAAGCATGATGTTCACATCATTATCTGGAGCACAAACACCCTCGACAAAGTAAATAGGGTCCCGAGCAACCATATTCATGCGGTGAACTGGTGGGTTTCTGTTCCTGTGTGGACTTGACGGTGGAGCCGAGGTCTGTTTGTTCACCCATGCGTCGACAGCCATTTCAAGTGCAGTCGTTCCAGTTGCGTTCTCGCGGTATAGAAGGTCAGGGCGACGATCCAGGATCTGCTCCAAGGCTCTGTGTTGTCCTCCCTTGACTGCATCGTGGGCGACAGTGTTACCCGCTCCATCGAAGAGCTCCAGGTGTCTTTGGTTGGATGACTGCGCAAGATCTAGGATCAGGTTTGTCATGGAAACGAGCGTTTTGCCCCCCTCGCTCCGGTCGAAGGTATCCTGTGGGCGGGGAGAGTGCTCCAGCCAGCGCGCGAAAGGTGTCTGCGAGCTGTCGCCTGCTCTTTCTACTAGCATTGTAGGGATGAGGCGCTGATCGAGAAGACTGATAAGTCTGCCACATCGCTCGGAGTTCTTGCAATTGCGACCCTCGGCAGAGTGGAGAATCAGGTGTAGAAGATTGTTTGCTCCTGAATCTCGAGTCGCTTGGTTGGCTCCTGCGGCTATGAGAATGCGGGAAAACCGAACTCGATGGAGGGACATAGCCAAGGCGAGAGGTGTGAGTCCACCACTAGATCGCACCTCAATGCATTCAGGGTGGTGGTCAACGAGGTACTGCAAAAGACGCTCGGTGTCATCAGACGGCCGAGACATCACTGCGCAGTGAATTGCAAGATTGTCTGAGAACGAGTCAGTAATTATTTCCATCTCTTGGTCAGTGAACTTACTTCTCGTCTGCAACCAGCTCAACAAAGTCGCTTCGACTCCAAGCTGAGACTGTGCCAGCCTCTTGACGTGCTCATTCTCTGGAATCGAATTCAAGTACTCAAGATAGTACCGTGCTGGGCCAGTGCCAAGGAAGAACTCTGTACTTGCAAGATTGCCTTGGAGGGCTGCGATCAGAAGAGGTGGACGCTGATCTGGGTGTCCGATTTCTCCGCCTCGCCCAGCATCAGCCCAGTCGGCACGCTTGGTGCCACGAATAGACAAGCCGGGATAATATTGATGCTCTTTGCGAGCTTCAACCCCGCAGTCTTGACTCAACTTAGCAAGTGGAAGCCCAGCCCCAGTGCTCTGAATGAGCTTGGAAAGGCAGTCGATGCGACCCAGACCGATGGCGAGTTGGAACTCGTCAGACGAAACTGAGTATACGAGCTTTCCACGAGGGTTGTTCTGAGCGATATCCTTTCCAATTTCCAATAGGTAATCCAAAAGGGGAAGGTCATTCTTATAGATCGCATATTTGACGAAGCTGTTGATTTTAGCACCTTCCTGGGATCCCCAATAAGCCCCGCTGTCTGGCACAATTCTGCAAAGATGCTTTGGCGGGAGAGCGTCGAGGAACAGAAAAGCGTCAAAGTTCTTCGTGAAGGCTTGGAAAGGAGTGACATCACTTTCAACTTGACTGGCATCTTCGCCAACGTTGTCATGAGTGAATGTGTCATCAACTTCATCACCAACGATGTTTAAGCGGTCGTCATCCTCATCCTCGTCCATATCAGAGCTCTCGTCATCGACTGCCATCTCAAATCGCTTCTGCTTGCTTCCACGGGGCTCTTGCACCTTCAGCTGTGCGCGCAGGATTTGAAGAATTGCCTTGGCGGTCTCCAAGTGGCCACGCATGATGGCAATGGAGAGACACGACATGCCCCTTGAATCACAGACAGCAATCTCAAGAGGAGGCTGATCCTGAGTTGCTCCCCACATACCCAGTGTCAGCGTTCTGATGGTGGCAATATCGCCATTCCAGGCAGCTTCAAATCTATTCGATGAATGTCAGCGAGATGAACTACTTTCAATAGAGATAATGACTTACAGTTGCAAAAAGCCTTGCCGACAAGGATCGGTAATGCCGACCATGTTGAAGTTGAATCGAACTCGGAAGAAATTCTTCCTGGGCTCCTTCTTCTCCTCAGGCTGCATCTGAGGAACATACATCTGCCGGGGTTGATCCACAGGGTGAATTTCTTCGTATGTCTTCGCTCCTCTTGCCAACAGCGCGACTTCCAAATCTTTATATTGCTGATGCAGCTCCGCAATGGCTTGTCTCTTCTGAGCAGTTCCTGGTGGATCAGCGGGCAAAATCTGGGCTTTCTTGAATCGCTCCTCAGTGTCATGGGCCTTCTTCCGGCAGCTGCGTAGCTGAACATTCGCAATGAACCTCTGGTAGCTACCGGGAACGAAATCCGCCAAGTATGACTGGTCATCCTTGACAAATATCATAGCATTGGGGTCCCGTGTTGGCGGTCTGTAGCTAGGATCGGCCATGTACCCGGAAAGGGTCTTCAGAACTCCCCGTGTAAGATCAAGAACTGTCTGGCCTGTGTTTTGGTGTCGTTGCTTCCGCTCAGTATTGGCATTGACTCCACGATGGAGCAGATCAACGGCAAGCAAAGGAAGGTCGTTTTCAACGGCTTGCAAAATTGGCTGGTCGACACCGCACTTGAAATCGTCTTCGACATCTCCGTAAATTTGGGATGTTGACCGTTGGGCTTTCAGGGCTTTAACAAAGTCGGCGATTTTGATCTCTGGCTTGGCACCCGCGTCCAGTAGGTTGCTTGCCACTGATGCATTCTTGGCGGCGAGAGACACCATCAAAGGTGAGGTGAATTCAGGCGACCAGTGCGCACCATTGGAAGCCAGATGATTGATCGCCCGCTTCACTGCTGGTTCATCGTGTTGTAGATAAACCTGAAGTAGTTCACTCTCACTTGAATGGGCAAGGTAATACAGAGGAGTCTTTTGTGCCAGATCGGCCTGGGCCGGCGAAGCTCCAAGTTCCAAAAGAGTCTTTGACATCTCTCTCGCTTTCTCCGATGGAAGGGAGAGAGCGAGAACCAAGGTTAAGATTGCTGCCTCCGGACGTTTGCTGTAGTCGTTCAAGATCTTGATTGGCATCAAAACATCGGCTCCAAAAGAGGTGACTAGCTCTTTCACGGCATCAACGTGTCCATGAAGAATGGCAAGATGCAATGGGGAGGTGCGACTGTCCCAAGCAACCACATTGATATCGTAGACATCTGGCTCAAGCTCATTGTCCTCGAGGGTGTCGTATGTAGTCATTTCGGTGTCCTTGTCTTCCTTCTCAACTTTCACGTACGACTCAGATGTGAGCGACATATCATCCTTTGTCTCGCCGCCGTCAATACTCATAGCATCGTCGTTGCTGATTTCCTTCTTGCTATTCTTCTTCTCAGCATCCTTCTTGTTCTCTTCTTCCTCTTCGTTCTGGTTGCTCTTCGCGAGCAAGATACGAATGATCTCAGCGTCTCCTCGGGCAGCGGCGAGATGCAATGCAGTCTTTCCGTCCGCCATGCGCGGGATCATCCGAGCACCACGGTCAACAAGACACTGAACAACCTCAGAAGTGGACGACATGCATGCCAATTGCAGTGGTGTTCGCCCGGTGTAATCCCGACGATCTGGGTTAGTGCCGTCCTCCGCAAGGAAAGCCTTCACAGTTTCAAGATCGTTAGCCACAATAGCTTGGCAAAGTCTTTCGGTTCGGCCGACGTAAGCCATTTCTGTAACAGGTTGTCAGTGGCTGACTTCCACACATACAAGGGTGTAATATTCATACCGGTCCAGTCAGTCTCGGTGATCGGGTTAAAGCTGCCAATCTCCTGACGACCAGGGTCATCCTTGATGAAAGTCACATCACCAGAGATGTACATTTTGCTTTCCTCGTCGGCGACTTTCTTTTCTTCGTCGGTGACTGGCTGAGGACAGAACCCACAACAATCATGAATTACGTGCTCAGCCTCACCAAAGAAAGCAGGGTGACGATGAAGATAAACTTCACGATCCTTGGGCTGATTCCATTGAGCGTTTAAGAGCAAGTCCTTCGTGTAAAGAAGCTTTTCAATCTTTTTCGCATTGAAGTTCTTGCCGTACGGAATGGTCTATTATGGAGTCAGCAGAGCAAGATAAAATGTCACAGAAAGGCTTCTCACAAAAGTGTGGTAATCAGACACTTGGTCCTGCTCTTGCCAGTCGGGGACCTCATCCTCCCAGGCATCTTTGATATTTCCTCTCAATTCTTTACCTTGACGACGACGCATGTAGACGTTCAAAGCTGGGCGACCGCGCTCCTGGCGTCTCTTTTGGAGATAATTATCTCTGTCTTGTGATCCAGGAAGTTTCTCTAGAACTAGAAGTCGGGCGAGGCCTTCAGTTCTGGTGAAGCTGCGTTCAAAAATGGTCTTTTCGAAAGGTCAGCTACATAATCCACTAGATACGTATTCACACTCACCGGATCGATTTTCGATCTGTCAAGTTGAGGCCAGTAAACCTCAAATCCACGATGGGAATACTTGGAAAGTCGATTCTCATAAGACGGTGATCGCCGCGTCAAATCAATCTGATTGAATTGTGTCATGTACGCAGCAATTGCACGTGGAGATGCAAACACCTGTTTGCCGTTGTAGGCAGCGCAAGATACGTCAACATCGAATCCGGTCAGAATCTCAGCGATGGAACGATAGATTCGAAGAACAATTTGGACGTGTCGGTTGGGGTATTGTGAAGCAATTGTGATGGTGTTCTTTGTTCGGATAGTCGTGGTCTCATAGAGGATGGTGTTGCGGATCTTGTCTTCGATATGTTTGATCTTGTCCAGCGCCTGTTCCTCGGTCAAGCCATACAAGAAAAGATCCACATCGGACGCGGGCGCAAACTCTTCATGATAGTACTGACGCAGGCCTCGCTTGGAGTTGCGATATTTCTCTGGGACTGGCAAGAGGGAGGTTACGACAGCACTGCCTGCAGCAACCACATTTGACCAATCGATCTCACTGAGTGACCCTTCTGTGAAAAGAGCGAAGTTGTGTTGGAATTCATCCAAAGACGGCACGACTGCAGGTGAATCATTTGACCTTCTGATTTCATCACTCAATGGCAAGATATACTTCTCTCTTTCCTCTGCTGTCTCGGCTTCCAGGTTCCGTGCCCGAATACGGATGTCTGTGGCCCGATTTTGATCGTATAGAGGCACAATGTTGACATGATTGTCTTGGATGGATGCATGGGATGGAGCTTGAGCAAATGTCTGACGCAGCACTGCATCATATTTGACATAAGGCTCAATCAAATCTTTCATGTGCTTTTCTGGGTTGGATTTCACGTAAGCCAAGAAGTCATTGTGCTTGGCCGGGAGGGAGGGCAACAAAAAGGCCATGATGAATATTATTGGGATTGAGGGTATCTGGAGTAAAGGGATTGAAGTTGAATAGTTCCCGGAAACACAGAAAGAAGTGAGGTTTAAATAGAAAGAAGTTGATATTCTGGCTTGTTTTAGTTCGACGCTTGGCATCAGGGGCCAGGCAGCCTTAGGCAACAGACCCACTACTGCGCATCCTCAGCCAATCACTTTCTGCGAGACACAACCGCCAAGCTTTACGGGATCGTGCACTTTTGACGCTCAGGGTTTTTCTAGGCAGAATTGCCATTGTGCCTACAGTCCGAGACACAGTATTTTGACGTTCAGAAGACCCACCTGCATTGATAACCAATCAAATCCATGTGATTCCACAAGTCATCATCCTTGCAGTCAACACGACAGGCTGTTGCCTTTTGCCTGCCATCAAATTTGCTAATATTGTGGACCAAATCTATTACTTGTTGAGTATAGGACTTAATCTAGATTTTCAATATGAGTTAAATGTCAATGTAAGACATTTGGGGGCTATCAAGCTCACCGATTTGGAACTACGTACAATAGCACGAAGATGGTTCAGAGATTCTGAATGCGAATCGATGTCACCAAACAAAATCCTTAGACACAGCCAATTTGGGTGTGTTCGTCGCTCACAAACAATTTTGGACTCAAGTCGACCTTCTCATGGGTGAACCTTGCAATTCGCCGCTGGTGACCTGTTCTTTCAAAGAATTACATCTGGTGAGTAATGAAATCTTATCTTAGATGTCCTTAACTGGGCTCCTGTTACTGTGTACCCTGTAATAGAGATGCTATCTAGTCAATGTTGGATTAGTTTCAGAGTCTAACCTCAGCCCCATATTGTGTATCCCATGCAAATTCGGGTATTGCTTGAATCTTGCTTGACACACGAATTCCAATCATCTTAGAAAAACGCCGACGGAGATGCTTATGTTATTTTTTAGCCCCAGCTATGCTTTCCACCCTCTTATTTCGACAGAATGACAACCTGGCTGGCAGACAAAGATTGTTGAAAATACAGACTCGAGCTCTCTGAATCTTCGTTACTGTCACAAGCCCAGCAAGCTCGGAGTTCTCCCCGAGCTAGCAATCTCGAATTGGAGTCTCATCGCTCGGCAGTTTCTGCGTGGGGTCAACTAGAGAGCCGGCATTCGATCCCGGTGATTGAATTCGGGGTCTGATCTCGCACGCTGATTGGCCAGTCTGCGACTATTCAAGCGGATCGGCATAAATGAAGAAAAATCTCAAGTTTCATGACAGTCATCGTGTTGAAATTCTTCTGGTATTCAATAGCAAGGTATTGAATATGGAAGTCCCACCTGATGGAGGTTATGGGTGGGTGGTTGTTGGTGCGATCTTTTGGAACAATGCACACCATTGGGGTCTTGTCTCGGTGAGTTGCCCGAGGGAACGTCAACTTCATGCCTCGTGGTAGACTGACGCTGTTCAGAGCTATGGTGTCTTCCTGGCATATTTCTTGTCAAACTCGGATTTTACAGAAGGTACTAGTCTTGACTATGCATTCATTGGGGGACTATCCGCCTCGCAGGCACTACTTATGGCACCGCTCGCGTCTGTTATCAATCGGCGGTACGGTCTGAAAGTTGCTATGGGTCTGGGTGTTATCCTTGAAACTGCAGCACTGCTGGGAGCGTCGTGGAGCACAAAGATCTGGCAACTATATCTTAGTCAGGGAGTCTGCTTTGGTTGGGGACTGGGTCTTCAATACGTATCGACGATTCCACTCATTCCGCAGTGGTTTGGGAAACGCAGGAGTCTGGCTGCAGGCTTGGCTGCTGCTGGGAGTGGCACTGGTGGCCTGGTATATTCTTTGGGATCTAATGCTATGCTCGAACGATTCGGTTACGGCTGGACATACCGCATCCTCGCTATGGTGCAGTTCGTTGTGAACTGTGTTTGTTTGCTTCTCATTCGAGATCGGAACAAGATGACTGGAACTAAGACTTCCAATCTTAAGATCTCGGACATTCTCAAGCGATATGAGCTGTGGCTGTTTTGGGGTTGGAGCTTCTTCAGTGTTATGGGCTTCATGATTATCTGGTACTCCTTGGATGATTTTGCTCGTAGTCTCGGTCTCAGCTCACATCAGGGCTCTGTCGTCACGGCGATTATGAACTTGGGAACTATCATCGGTCGATCGGGCACAGGCTATGTCAGTGATCATCTCGGGAGAATGAATACGGCGTCTTTTGCAACCTTCCTTACGGGTTTGCTGTGCCTTGTTCTTTGGACTTTGGCCAGGTCTTATGCTGCAACCTTGTGTTTTGCCTTTTTTGGCGGGTTGGTGTTTGGAACATTCTGGATGGTGAGTGTGCTTTGGATAGGGCTTACATGTGCCTTGGTACTAATTCGAGACATAGGCCGTGGCTCCGCTCGCAACAGAAGTGGTTGGTCTACGATACCTGCCGTCTTGTCTGACACTCACATGGGTTGTTTGTGTGATTCCTGCCACTTGTAAGCTTGAAACCCCGCTTCAAACATCGATCGTTGTATGGGTGCTAATGAATGACAGTCGGAGAGGCAATTGGTCTTGAACTCCGAACCACTGGAGATCGCGAATATCTCCATGTTCAGTTGTTTGCTGGCTTCATGTATATTGGGGCCTCAATTTTTGTGTTGATCCTTCGCGTTTGGAAGATATCCTCTCTTCCCGGTTCATCCAGCGAGCCACATACATTGGTAGACTCGAAAGAAACGGTGATAGTTTCTGTTGAGGCGAGCAACTATCGAACCACCCTCAAGCGGTGGTTGAAATTACACAAAGTCTGAAGTTGAGATGGAACTGGGTTTAGTAAACCTGTTCTAGCGAGAAAGGACCTCAACCCACAACACCATTGAGATTTTAACGACATGCATAATGAGCATATATACAAATGAATACAATAATACTGTCAAATCATTTGCTCAGCCATTTCATTATGCAGGAATACACTTATTGCTGACGGAAACATGATAATGACCTTGCACATGCGCTGTTATGATCATCCTCCGTTAACGCCATTTTCCCTCAATCGCATAACAGTGTTCTCACTTCACCGTAGGATCCATGCATCCTTACGCTATCTCTCATCAGAGACAATCCCCGACCCATTGCCGTATTCTCTCAACTTCCCTTGGATTTTGCACGAAAACCGAGGCTCATATATATCACACTAACCCGAAAAGGAAATCCTTGAGAGCGGACCCTGAATGCCAACCCTCGTCGCTCTCTGCACAACGCAAAGTCCGAAGCGAGCGGCCCAATAATGAAGTTCCTGTCGGCTAAGATTTTAAAAGGGGGTTTTCAGTCATTCATTACCCCGGAATTCACATAGACAGCCACGCTTACTTCTCCCCCAGGAGATTTAGTGGCGTCTCCCCGCTTCAAGCTGATCGCCACTTGGCAAAGACAACCGAGAACAGGAAATGTCTTGCACCTTACGGAGTACTATATCCTCCATTGCTGGGCCGCGGACCTCCGGTCTATCCGTGATGTCCGTCTAAGCGACCCGTTCCACTTCTATCTTGGCAAAGGACGAAGGAATTAAAATGGACGATACCCCAGGCTAATCTAGTTAAGTACAGGAGGAATTTTACAGGATGAAGTATCGGATTCTACTGAGCTCATTGCTTCTAGGCAGCCAGGCTTTGGCAGCTCCTTCTCCCAAGAAAGATGAGACACCTTGTGTCAGTTCACTCGGAGGTCTCCGAGTCTTACATTACAACAACTTGGGTCCGCAGAATAACGGCACCTCTGCTATTCTTGCTCAGGACAGACTGAGCTATTCAGACGCTGTTACCAAGTGTGCAGCTATCGGCGAGAAGCCTCATCCCTGGTCTTCGACATGCTCGAATAATCAGACTGAGCTTGGTTACGAACTGGACTATCTTGTCTTGATGGGAGAACTCCGAGATCATGACTTTCTGTGGATCTCCAATGATTCAAAGCGAGGGAAGAGCTGCCATGCTTTGTCAATCTCTCAAAAGAAGCTTGTCCAGAAGTCATGTAAAGACAAGTATCCAGTCCTCTGTACATCCACTCCGCCTCCGACAACCGACCTGGACGGGACTGCCAGAGACTCGACAAAGCTGGTCGTTCAATCCAAGGATCTTACTGTGACAGGATATCGCGATGCTCGGTCTTTTCGTTTCCTCGGTATCCCCTTTGCCAATCCCCCCGTCAAGGATTTGCGCTTCGCTCCACCACAAGCATACACCGGCCCCAAGAAACTTGATGCGACGACCATGGCGGACGCGTGCATCCAGTCTCTTTCAAGCTTTGGAACACTGGGCGTTGGCGGAACCTCCGAGGACTGTCTCTATCTGAACGTGTATACTCCAGCCCTTCCCGCCGCCGTAACCAAGAAGACCGCGCTCCGCCCTGTTGCCGTTTACCTCTATGGAGGTGCGTTCACAAAGGGTAACGCTGCGATGGTCGACTATGACGGGGGCAACTTTGCCAGTCGCAGCGATGTGGTTGTCGTCACTCTCAACTACCGCGTTGGAGCATTGGGTTACTTGTCTACTGGGAACCTCACCACCGGAAGTTACGGTTCCCACGACCAGATCATGGCATTGAAGTGGGTTCAGAAACACATCTCATCATTCGGCGGTGATCCCTCCCATGTCACTGTCTTCGGTCAGTCTGCCGGTGGACAAAGTACCGTGGCACTGCTCTCTTCAACAGCAGCAAAGGGCCTCTTCTCCGGTGCCCTGGTGCAGTCCGCACCCATGGACCTCCCATGGTTCCCTCGCGGTCTCTACGCCAATTATATCGCCCCCGAAGTAGGAAAGGCCGTCGGCTGCGAGAATACCACTTCGGAGAAATCCTTCCTCGACTGTCTTCGCTCGGTCCCAGCTTCGAAATATCTGGATAACTCAACCGAGTTCCAGGCTGCCACAGCCGCCATCTCATCCAGTATTGCCGAGCACTTTTACCAGAATACAGTCCTTCTTTCCGCAACAGAGCCCTTCATGCCAATGGTCGACGACTCCGGCTCCGGTGTCATCGACGACCAATTCCACTCCCTCCTCGCATCCAAAAAGCTCCCAATCCGAGTCCCAACAATGTTCACAACCGTCCGCGACGAAGCAAGCCTCTACACAGGCCGCCAGGTCCCAAACCTTGGCTCTTCCCAGGCTGCCCTGGACCTCCTCCTGAAAACAACATACGGCAGCGTCCTAGCCCCGAAAATGATCGCTTCGGGCGCGTTCAATGTCGTCAAATCGGACTCTGATGGTGTTCGTAATGCGGCTTCCGCGGCGCTGACGTTTAGTGAGTGGACCTGTGCTCAGGGGTATCTTGTCAATGAAGCTAGAGCGGTCTTGCCGTCTCTGTTTGAGGTTGAGATTACCGATGGCCATGTCCAGACGACGGTTGGTGTGCCGGATATTTGCTCGCCGAATGGGGACTATAATGCCTCTTGTCATTCTTCTGATGTCTTGCTTGCGTGGGGCACGTTGAATTCAAAGACGAAGAATGTGGATCCGTATCGTGGTGATGAGGAGATTCGTCACTCGCAGCTGCTTCATGATATCTTTGCTTCGTTCTTTAGGACGAGGGATCCGAATCCTGATTTGAGGGTTTTGAGGGCTCGGGGTCCGGCTTATGCTGCTACTGTTGGTGTCTTTGCGAAAGGGGAGATGATTTCTTCGCATTCTTCTCATGGCCATGGTGGCAAGGGGTACTCGATTGAACAGTATCGTCCTTCTCAGCGGAACTTGACTCTTTTGGGGATGCCGCCATCGCAAACTGGTAACTTTGAGGACTCGGATCAGTGTGCTGTTTTCCGGGATTATGGATTTACTTTCCAGAGGGCGAAGTTTACTGATTAATAACCGGTTGCAAGTTGATCTCTATGTTGTAATAGTGTAATACAATCATTTTCTTGGACCATCGCAGCTGAAGAGAAGAGATTATTAGTTGCAGGAAGCGTGCTATGATCATGTTATCAGATGGTTTTAAGTCTTGTTGGTGAAGTTGCTTCAAGAGACAATACTAAACTGGGGCTTTTTATCTGTTAAAAGTTACGATGTAAGTAGTGAGATGTTGACGACCGAAGAAGGTATAATATAGTTAGATAATCTTTGAATCGATTACTAAGTTGTTTAAGTCTGAAGATTCTTATTCATGTGAGAATCCCCTTATATACCGTAAATCTCTGCCTCGAGCCAGTCCTAATAAGATTTCCTAGATAACAAATTATTGTACCTACCGTTATAGCTTGTTTATAGTACAAACTATAGCCGGCCACTATAAATCTTAATATTTCCCCTTGTTATCTAAAGTATTATTCCACACGACGGCAAGCGGGGGGCCAGAAACGGCGCCTTTTATTTCCAATTGAGATACTACTTTAATCTACGTCGTTAAGCCCGTTCTAACCGACTTTACCTATAACGTAGGCTAATCCCTAGCGAGTTAATATGTTAAGATTATAGAGTCTTCGGATATATCGTATAACACGATACCAGTATCTCCGCCGCTAGTTAGTTATACTATGAAGCTATCGAGAAACCCTCCTATTCCTCCTATTACGAGCCTATTACGCTAAGCACCTCCCTTATTTTACTAGCATTATTTTACGCGGCCGGAGAAGACATCGTTGGCCAATTTACACCTTCCTTGCATCAACATCCGTCCGGCCAGCAGGGTTTTGATTCCGTGGTTGAACGTGCAGATAGAAGTGCATGGGATGAATAATCTCCGGACCGTATCCACTACCAGATCGAGTGGAGGGTTAAATTTAACAATCGAGTTGTGGTCAAGAATACAAAACAGGACCTAACTCAACCGCCTAGATCCTGCTGGGAACAGATAAAAGAGGACGCTTGTAATATTCTACGACGGAAGGCAGCTCGTGACCGACGGGTGAGACTGGATGATACTGACATAGTGTTATCGGTGAACTCTCAACGGGACATTGACAATCACTTTGAAGGTACAATACTAGTTTGGACAGTGGTGGAGAAACAGCTACTAGCGTGGGCCTATCTATTCCGTCGTGGCAAGAAGACCGGCTTCAGATATCGATCAACTATATAGAGGACAGCGGGCCTCTTCCTTGCAGAACAGACAAGAGAGGAAAGTCATCGGTGACCACACGGATGCTCGCTGACCGAGACGCTCAGATCGACGCGGAGCAGCTCTCCGGCCAACTTTCCGTCCGGCGTGATGTGTATTGTATTATGCGATTTCCCGGGCCTCCACGAAGGACAATATGGCTGGCAAGATCCGGAGGGAAAAAGGCACCATAAATTGCAAACACACCATCTGAGTAGTGAATGATGAGTTGATCCCTTCGATGCATACATGCCTTGGTATATAATGCCGTATCCTGGGTATAGATTCAGTTAGGGATATGGAGATGTGGAAGAGTTAGGGCTCAGTGCAGAAACAGTGTCTGCAGGTAAGGGATCCAAGAAAGTCGCCAGGAAGACAGGGAGTGGAGTCGGTTGTGATTTAGCAAGGCCCTAATCTCGAGGAAAGACAGAGCCACCATGGGGCGTCATGATTAGCCCCGGGTTGACAGATTTCAGGTCGATCCGAGACATAGGATATTCTTTTTCGCGGGATTTGATTGAATCCTTCTTCAGGCCGGGTCCTCGTCTACATAGCTGAGACGAGTCAACTGTCATCTATATAGCACAGGAAGACCACGCGCTGTGTCTTGATTTCCTCGATGATTTTCACTCTGACAGAATCGATCGTTATAGCCACGCCTAGCTATGACACCGTAGTTTCGTCACTAGAACAACCCCATATAGTACTATAATTCGTCTTTTTCCCGTAATAGCCGCTGTCTCTGGTTCCATGCCTGTTGGTATAATAAACCAACTTGAGCAGCACCCTCGGCCGCTAGATAGCAGTCTCGTAGCCGTCCTCCTATGATCTCAACATCACTAAGAGCATGTTCAAGGCTCCGCTTGATTAATGATCCGTCAAACCCACTCGTCAAAATAAACGCTTTATCAATTTTGGTAGCGATCATGTCATCCCGAATATCTCCGGTAGGATTGTCTACACAATTGTCAGCTAACAATTTTACCCAGACGGCCCACTGGCAACTTACTCGCAGCAACGAGATAGTTATGAACATTTTGCGCAATGCTTTGAATGTATCTCATCTCTACTGCTTCGACATCAACCCATGACAGCACAGCGGTGACGTCGGGGTCCTTCAGATGCAGAGGGTATTCGTTATGGTGATGGTCCTGGTGGTCCTCGACCCCCAGCACTTCGCGATCAATGTTATCTCGTATCAGCATACGCGCCTTCCGGACTTCTTCCTGCAAAGCGGCTTTGGATCCACCGAGCGAAAGCCAAGTCTGTAGGATTTCCGATCTTTCAATGGCCGAGCGGGTTATATCCCGATCGAGACCGGCACTTCCCCAGGGGTCCATGGGGAGGCGCCCATTTCGGGCCATTGGCCGGGGACTCACATTGAGACCTTGCAGGTCCAGATAATATTGTCCTAGGTCCATAATGAGATATTTCCCGTCCGCCTCTCGTGGAGTCCCATCGCTGCTATATGTTGATACGGCCATTCGGCTCATGGGCTTCACCAAAGATGTGATTTCAACCTTCCGGCTCGCTTCGAGGAACAAATCCACCAGGGTTTGGTTGAAAAAGCCCGGGAGGGCGATGACCGCCGATTGCATATCAATGTTGTGCTTGGTGCGTGCCTCTTCCCGCAACCGCGTGAGGATATCAACAAACGCATCCTCCACATCATTCAGCATGAACTCCCCTAGTTCCGATCTCTTGGCGCTGCGAAGCCGAGCCGTGATGCCGTGCCAAGCACTGCAGACGCACTGCCGTACCCAAGACAGGTTCGCTGTGTCATGGCTACAACAGGGCAAGGACGATACGAGCCTTGCAAACAGCTTTACCACAGCATTGGAAATGCTGGAGGTCCCTTCGTTCTTCCGGCCATATAGGGCGTCAAGCGTGCCGTCGCTCCATGATTTTAGTCGCAGCCGGAATAAATAGATGCTGAAGGGATCGTCTAGGTCAGGTTTGATACTGGCTAGCAACGTCACATTATCACTGCTATGCGCATGTGCGACAGTTCTAGGATTCTGGTCAATAGTCACCACAAGGGGGGAGGGTTGGTGGCGGCTTCATCGAAGCGATTTTCGACACGTACATCAACTCGGGCCCGAAATCAATGCCGATGGCCTGAGGGCGGGCGGCAAAGATTGTGTCTACAAGGGATATAACGAATCCCCCGCAGAGAACCCATCGCAGCAAACACACCATGTCGGATTGATTTGTATACCACACAGGTCAAGCAAGGGTTTCAGGCAAGGCGAAAGGAGTCATAGTCATGAGTTCCGTGTGAGTCTTAAAAATGCCAAGGGACATTCGGCGCTACTTCACATCCAGTGACACACCACCAATGAAGTGATGAGTTGCCAGTAAAAGTGAAATGAAGCCCCACCTCAGCTTCGCCTCTGGGGAATGGTGGTGGATGGGCATTGGAGGTATCAGAGGTATTCATTTACAAGTGAATACATGACTGAAGTCACTGTGTAACCTACGTACGAAAGGAAACATACGCAACTCCCGGAAGAGCTCCATGTGTTTCGGCAAAAGCGGCGGAAAGTTGATCGGAGAGTGGATCAATTACACGGGTTTTGCGACGTACTGTATGTGATATGAGAAGAGTAAGTCTTTCGTACCTGATCCTGTGCATTTCGTGTAAATTGGTCTATTGTTGATGTTAGGCTCGCCAGGATCGGCCGTTAGAAATATTTGAAACTATTTTTTAATATTCCTTGAGGCAGCGGTCTTGGCTCAAATAGTCGAGTGTGAAACGCTATCAATTGCCGAGCACCGTACGACACTAGTGCGACTCCGCTTCCGTAAGATATAATACTTCTTTCCTCTTAAAGATTTAACGCTTCTATTTACCTAGAATTCTTCGTTATATACGTTAGAGATAGCTTTCTAAGATAGTTCCTGTGAGACTACGCTAGTCTCGGGGTTATAAGTGGGTAAGCGAGATATATGAGCCGATATAGCGTATACAATAAAAGGGTGTATATTGTAAGAAAGTAGTCCGAACGCTGATTCCTCGAATCAACGTTAGCTTGCTATTCATCCCCTGAGTTCATATGACCCTATTAGGTGACAATCACGTGAATAAGTATGACGTTATCTTAAGGAACTAGGTTAATTCCTCGAGTCTTCTAATATTTAGTAAGATATATATCTATCTCTGAGTGTCTCAACAGCCCTAGTTGGTGGTGGTTCTGACACTATATCGATGAATCTAGATGTAGTAAAAGGAAGGTTTCCGGCAAACGGGTTACCCCCTCCCCTTAGTACCGCACCGGTTAAAGTATCAAAATTTCATCGTAATCAGCGTTATCAAATTCTGCCTACCTATATATAAGATGGCATTGTTTTGTCCCAAGTGTTCCAGGGTTTAACTGATACATCCATCCTGAAGAAATTTATCGAGCAACTTCTCCGGCACTATAGAAATAGCCCGAGCCGAAGTCTATACAAGTAATAGATATATATCGCCTCCTTACATCACTCGGATAGAATTAAACGGACGTGCTCGGACGCTAGCGTAAAACTAGTGTATTTACCTGTATATTCTCCTAATTTAAATCCTACCAAGGAGTTTTTTTTACTACGCTCAAAGCCTTTATCTAGCGTAATTGGCTATCTTACGAAGAAAATCCAGAGTAAGGATTCGATAACTTCCCCGAATAGAGTGTTGATGTTATCGGTGCCAGGGAGAAAAGCACCGAGGAATATTTCCGACACGCCGGCCTAGCTATAGATATATAGCACTACTGTGGCTCGGTCACGGGAATTATTGCGAACTGCGTTATATTTTGAAGTCCGCCAACATTCAGAGATACGAAATACATGAAACTTTTGACACACCAATATCATAGTACCAATGCACTGATAGGGTATCCAACAACCTACCAAGTCGCAACCCTGCAAGACATCCCAAATATATCGATCCATCTTCTCTGATATCCAGCTCCTCAATTTCACAAAGGAACCTTTCAATATATTTGCCAGCGTCGCTAAGTTTCATGATCAGTGCAATGGTGCGTTGGACATCGAGAAGCCGGGAGGTTGGCGGAGCTACCGTACGATTGAGGGCTTAGGGTCAGCGAATGTGTGACGAGAAACAAGGGGTCACGTAAGAAAGGACTACATTCTATCGTGTGTTCGAAATAGATCTAACACCGCCGAATAGCCGGTGGTAGTCCAGCGTTAGAGTGAGAGCATTCATAGCAGTGTCGATTTGAGATCCATCAATAGGATAAATTCTTCCGGGATCGAACATTTCCAAGATCCGGAGGCAATTCTTCGAGTCGCTCTAGGCACAACATTAGCGCCATAAGTGTGGATCTTTGCAGCCCTAGAGTGGGGGGTATCCCGAAACCGAAACATAACTATGCTATTCAAGGTGGCCAGACCCGGTCATGAAGTCACGGTGGTTTGTTATATCTCAGTAACTACTGTCCATTAGCATCAATCCTTCAATATCGAATTTTCTCTATGGAACTCCTGGTCTGGCCTTTACCGTCCCACTGTTTCGATTGGATGAGTATACGTCATAGCTTCAAACGTGCTGCCCGCGTGTTTCCGAATACCGTCTCCGGCCTTGGAGTTTATATAATAACTGGCACAGTGCATGTCATGGTGTAATAAGAGTGTCATTGAGACAACAGGTTATCTAATTTACCCTATAAATATAAGGTCTCTCTCGACAGAAAACTCAGCATTTCCCGGTATAGAACTTATTCTCATCCTTCATCAGACGAAATCCCTAGTATTACTTCTCATCGCCGGTCGAGTTCTACCAATATGCGCGGCAAGGTTTCCTTCGAAGAGGCCTATGAGATCCCTGCCCTGGCAGACAGCAGCCGTGACCAGGCTGCTTTATACATCGCCCCTAAGGACCTCGACCGATACTTAAGCGAGATCAAAAATCCTACTGGTGGACGGTTCGATATTTCCAACCAAACTGGTATTGGTTATACGATCTATTCGTTGACTGTACCCGGTGTACAGGGTATCACCGACAAAACCCAGGCAGAAAAGCATGCCACCGACGTGAACAACTGGATCCACAATGAGATCAAAGATCATCGGGACCGTATGGGCGCCTTTGCAGCCCTCTCAATGCACGACCCTGTACAAGCTGGACAGGAACTCGAGCGTTGCATTAAAAAACTCGGGTTTCATGGCGCACTGTTGAACAACTGGCAGCGCGCTGGTGCGGATGGGGAGACCTACATCTTGTACGATCATCCGTCCTACGACACCTTCTGGCAGAAATGCGTTGAGCTGGACGTCCCTGTGTATCTGCACCCATCCGCGGCCTCCGGAAAGGTTTATGATACCTTCTACAAGGACCGCCGCTACCTGATCGGACCTCCTATTTCATTTGCCCAGGATGTGGCTCTTCATACCATGGGCCTGATCACGAATGGAGTTTTCGACCGGAACCCGAAGTTGAAACTGATTCTCGGTCACTTGGGTGAGAGAATTCCCCAGGATCTCTGGAGAACTAATCATTGGCTCGAGGATGTGGAGCGTCCTCTTGCTGACTCCCGTGGCGATACGATGTCCCGGAAGCCTCTGTTGCATTATTTCAAGAACAATATTTACGTCACCACGTCGGGTCATTTCTCGACGGAAACCGTCAAGTTTGTCTGTGATTACTTTGGTGCGGACCGCATCCTGTTCAGCGTCGATTCCCCCTATGAGAAAGTCGAGGTGGGCGCCGGCTGGTATGATAGGGACAAAGACAATTTAACGAAGGCGCTTGGTGGCCCACAGGAGTATCTCGACGTTGGGCGCGAGAATGCTAAGAAGCTTTTCAAGCTGGGCAAGTACCACGATTCAGATGCTTGAGAAAACATCATATATATCCCACGCGAGACGTTGTGATTAGTGACTGGGCCTATGTTCACGCCAATTTGAAATCCCGAATTCGGATACCCAAATGAAATTGTGGACGCCATGTTCTCCGCGGAGATTGGGTGTATCTCTTCAATGAAAACCTGGGAAAGGAACAGTCAGACATGAGCTGTCGCTGCCTCCCTCGCGAAGGCAAGGGCAAATGGACATTAGATCAACATATCACTTGGCTTCGAAAGTGTCGGTAGACTGGAATTTCGGTGCCAAGGGCGCGGCCTGAGTAACCAAGGGAGGAGGCAAACGAGGTATTCCGTTCCCATAGATTGGGCAGTTCAGGTCGGTAAGCATCATCGTGATCATCATTGTTGAAAAGAGTGAGCCATATCCCCAAGGCAGAAGATGCCACTGACCTCGGGAGGAGTCTATCGACACGGTTATGTCAGCATCAGGTTAATTGAACTTTGTGATTTATTGATTGATTGATATAGATAATCTTTGAATCGATCACCGAGTTGTTTAAGTCTAGAGATTCTCATTTGTGTGAGAATCTCCTGATATACTGTAAATCCCTGCCTCAAGCTAGTCCTAATTAAATTTCCCAGATGAAGCATCATCATGGATACCGCCTCGGGGCGTCATGGCTCATTCACGGCATAAATTATGGCCGGCCGCCATAGGTGGCCGACGCTTCGGTACATTGAAAGAGAATACAGGATATTTCTGCTAGAGAGTCTTTATGAGAAATCTCTTTGACCAGATCATTTGAAGATGCAGCCTCGCTGTCGATGGCTACCCAGTCTAACACAAAATTCGTAGCAACATGAACGCTCAAACATACGAAAGAAAAGAAATTAAAAAAAAAAACAAATCAAGTATAAATCGCCAGAGACAGATACGCCGAGAACAAGATGGAAGAACAATGCTGTCGTAGTATAAGTCAGAGATATGATGATAATGCAAGTGGATCGTAACGTAGATCAAAAATGATTTGTCGAAGAGTCGAGAGATGTTGCAAGTGCAACCAATGCATAATATCAACCGTGGTCACATAAATCATCATTCATAGATCGGCACTCTGCGCGAAGGAACATATCCTGGATCTTCGTGCACTGTTTCTGGAGTGTATCGCTTTGCAGCAGCGCTTCTTGGGCTGGCCCAGCCTGAGGCACGATGGAATCCTGCACTACTGTATGATCTTGGCCTTTCGGATCCGCTGCCTCCACTACCTGGTCGGCTGCCGCCTGTGCTTCCACCGCTGTAGCTTCCTCGTCTCATTTCCTCTGCGGCGTAGGGATCTAGATGGCGGGGGACTGCTCGGGGTGGGGGCGGTGATGGTGCTCTGTAAAGAGGTGGGTCTGGGGCTGCTGGGGCTGGGACGGATTCGCCGAATATGAAATCGCGGAACTTGACTCCCGCTCCGGCTCTTGAGCGGGAGCGGTCTTTGGTGTGCACTCTGGGTGAAGACTCGGGATGGGATCGGCTAGATCGGCTAGATCTTGAGGAGTGGCTTTCATGACTACGACGCTGACCTCGCGGTGCTGATGGTGAGAGATCTCGCACCGGTCTGCGTGTGTATGCCTCGTGGGAATGTCTCCTGGCACTGCTGCTAGAAGGGGGTGATAGGTTGCGTCGCTCGCGAGGACGGTGCTTTGCTGCACGCTCCTCGGCCTTACGGTGAGACTCGTCGGACGATATATCTGAAACATCCGGCATCTTGCCAGTTCCGGGGCTAAGCGGGTGACTCTGGAAAGTGGCATGGTCTCGACCCCTTGAGCGGGGCGGACGCTCAGGCCATGGGGGTGGAGATGAAACTCGCGGAGTTGAATACCCTGACCGAACGCCTGGTCTATGTCCCATGAATGAAGAGTGCTCTGCACTAGGACTGGGACGTCGATGACGATGTCCAGATCTGTCAGCTCTATCAGCTCTGTCAGCTCTCTCAGCTCTACCAGCCCTCTCGGCTCTGTCAGCATCCGCACGACTTTGACGTTTTGATTCACTACGTCGCGGAGAGCGGAAATAGTCATCTTCATCTGGCAGCGGGTCTTTTCCACTGAAGTGATAATGGTATGTTGCAAAGTCTGGAGGCGATGCGCGCTTCGAGTGTCTTTTCAAGTAATCGTGCTCTAGTCGTCGACTCACACCTTCATGCCACTGCAACATTTCCGGGTCTGGCTCAGAGGGAAAAGCATCTCTAGGAATGGTTTTGGGAAGAATATGACCATCTGCATCTGGAATATCCCACAGACTGACAGCATTTTGTAGATACTGTGAATGTTCGTCCGGGTCCATCAGCAGCTGGATTGTCTGCCATCTGACAAAGCCATTTGGGAGCAAAGAGGGAACTGAGGGAGGCTCGTAGGGATTTGAGGAGGGTTGGAGACTGTGAAAGCATCCTAATGACTGATAGATGAAAGACAAAGCCTGCGACTTGGTCTCGAGGAATAAAGGGTCGTAGTTCCCGCCGACTTTGCGATAGAAGCTCGCCAGTCGCTCGGGGGTGATATCCGTAGTCCCGTTAGAGTCAAATGTAGGCTGATATGTCCGCTCATGTCAGTATCATGCTTCTGATCTCCACTTTCCCAGGACTTACCAGCAATTGCGCGATCCCCAGGCACAGGTGCTCCAGTAGTGGGGCTGGGCTTTTGTCGGGATTGATCAGCGTACCCCAAATCTCTGCAGAAGACATGGTGAGAAATATGCAAGGCGATTGCCATGAAGATTCCAGTGGAATCCAGAGTCGGAAGAAGTCCAGAAGCTTCAGCCCAAAAGATAAAGAGAGAGCGGTCAGGCACGGGACCCACTGCGGGGGAGAAAGAACGCGAAGTATAGAAAGTAAACAATTCGGATGACTTCTGAAGGGGCTTACGGAGTGAGGTCTTGTAGAGTGAATAGCTGGGTATCTGACCAGCTGAATAGCTGAGATGATACTAAAAACTACAGGTGATCTTTCCCGTGACTCACTCCCACTGTGGTTGATGTTTGAAGCCTAATGTGGCGCGCAGGGTGACCCAATCAGCGGGTGATGGACTCGGGCTGAGTAGGAACATTTGTTGATCAGGAATAGTATGATTGTGGCTTTTACTGGGCCTAAGTCTGATTAGGTACTTGATCTTCGGGCACTTCAACCACGCTATTGAGGTCACACCATGCAGCCGGTCAGAGTATAATTCGATTCCCATAGTCTCCGATAGTCTATGGTTCGCCACATTCTCTCATGTCACAGATGAGGTCACGGTCTCCTTATGCAGTCCATAAGGAGAGGTTCGGCCATGAGGACATCGCATCAGTCATAGAGGGATCCATCAAGTCAAAATCAACCTCGGGCTGTGCGAGGAACTCCTCCATACTCTCTCCTAGGAAAGACATATCGTTCGCAAGGTTGCCAGGTGCAACAGCATCAGGCACAAGGCCCATAAGACTCAACTCACTTGTTCTTCCACCTGTAAGAGTGGGCGTCGTGGAAGACTGTGCACCGCGCCGATCGGAAACAAAGGACTGATCGAACGGGAGAGAAGGCCGCGACTCAGGTGTACTCTGATTGTCCAAGCACTGCCGGACACATTCGAGATTGTCATAAAACTCGGTCGCGGCCAGATTCCCATGGTTACTCATTGCCCGAAGAATCTCGAATTCTGCTTCGAACAAAGCAAAGTCACCGCTATTTTCGGGATATACTTGGCTGGAGATGAACATGATAAGCGCCGAAGAAAACGAATAGTGGGCATAGAAATAGCCGAAAATGGTGAGCGATCCGTTTGTCCACTCTTCCACAATGAGTGAGTGAGTATGTCTTGCTGCGTGTATGCAGGCATCGCTGAGCGTTTTGATGGTTTGACGGATATTCGCGTGGGCGGCATTTTCTTCGGGTGCCTCTGAACTCGTACTCTGAATAAGAGCATACAGAAGAATCGGTCGACTGGCTAACATAATACACTATACTCAATTAGCATGCAATGATCCATGTTTGACTCGACCATCACTCACCTGGTTGAATTGAAGATGTAATGATATTACATTCTTCGGGTTCGGACCTTCACGATTGAGTCTGATTTTAGGAGGAAGGGCGCAAGCCCACTGCTTCAAAGAAAGAAGAAGCTTCTGCTCGCGCTGCAAGAAGGATTCTGGGTGTTTCTTTCGGCTATAAACCCGGTCGATAACCTGCCCTGTGATTCGAGCAAGTTGGATACTGGCAGTCAAGAACTCGGTATCTGAGAACTGCTCGTTATTGATGTCACTGGGCACATTGGACGGCATCGCGACATGGATATCCTCATCGGCAATCTGGATTGGCCAGCCGACTTTCGAGCCATACATTCGGTCGAAAACATAGATTCCCCACCATAATCTTGTTCGATGCTGGCGGTCGACTGGATCAGGACATTTAGACTGTGGTATGTCATGATTCAACCCCAAGGTCAAACCCAGACGCATGGCACTGCCAACAAGTAGAAACGCCGAGTGGCGTCTATTAAGGAAGAATGAATATAGCGACTAAGGAATCAGTAACTTATCATGCAAATAAGAGACATTCTCACATACCAACAGCAGCAAAGCCTCGATATGCGTCAGGCTCGGACGTTCAGGCAAAATGGGAATCATCGTCAAGGCGTTGACATAATAAGCAGCACCAGGAACATTACATTCAAGTGTCGAGTTCGATCGCGCGGAATATACTTCACCGAGAGCAAACAAACCAAAGAACTTGCAAGTCAAGACTGGATCATCGAAATTCTCGTCGCGGTAGGCATTTTCCAGTTGATCACTGGTCGACTTGCGCAGGACCAGATGATATACCCGACCAATCTGGCTGAATACGATCTGAATCAAAAGCCGAGCCTGAGGAAGACTCGGCCATTCAATTGCCGGGTTACGAAGTTTCATCAGCGTTGACTCGGGTGTATACTGTGTCCGAGCCATGTGAGTTGTTGTCTCGTTCTTGGTCAGAACCTTGCGAAGTCGAGTGGCGAATGCGGTACATGCTGCTTCTCCGATATGAATGGGTGGTGATGATGGATCATAGGGTTGGAACCAGGCCCGTTCTCCCAGCATTGGGTTTTGGACATGTCCATCTGCAGCTGGTCCATCGGTATCTAGAGAAGATGAACAAAGGTCTTTATGCAGAATAATAAGGATTTTATATATACCTTGGTCAGGAACTGACACTTCTCTTGGGTTGGAAAATCCTGGCGACTGAGACAATTGATCTCGCAATCGCTGGTTCTCTGCTGCAAGTTCCTCGATATAACTTACCCCGTTAGCTTGGCCACGGCCGAAGCGAAGGTGGATCATACCTCTCATGCACCTTAATCTGGCGATCTCGATTCACATAACTGCAATCGGTGGGGCAACCGGCTTGTCGGCATTTAGTACAAGGCTGGCCTCCACTGCATTTGATTTTGTGGGAATGGCATCTTTGGCAGCTGGTGATATCAGATCAGCGGTTTGAATCTTCTAGAACCTGCCACACTTACGCGATGGATTTCTTTTTCTGCCGGCGAATGGTCGGAGCAGTTGTCTTGGACACTTTCATTATGAATCTGATTCCGGTCTCGATGTAGAGGAAAGAAACGCCAGGGGGAAATTTTCTGAAGCCGAAGTCGACGGTCGGCAGAACCTTATGTTGCCGAGTGGCGACGTCTGCGTATGGCATCTTGTTGCGATATCGATAACTTCAAATATTAAGGCAACAGCTGAAAGACCGTAACTTTAAACAAGATCATTTGGCGAAAGAATCTCATCTAGGGTGTATGTGAATGAGTTGTACTATAAGCATTTAGTATTGCCCATCTCTGTGGCTCGGCTCCTTTCGGGAAAGACACTTTTTGCCGACCCCTGCACATTTCACATTCAGATCAACCAAGCCTCGTGCCTAATTTACGTACCTATCTTGCATATCCATTATATATCTTCTACTCATATCAATCTTTTAGACCCAAGATCCCTCCAAATTACCCAAGGTCGTCCCAAATTGACCCGTGGGCTGGTTACACCAGAGAACAACATAAGCCTTCTTTCTATTGGCTTGTGTTCCTAGTAAGTGAGTGTCTCTTTCGACGCCAATAACGTGGAAAAACCAGGCTAATCTTACGTACTGGTATGTATCGGGATTGATCCGAGCAAAATCGGCCTATCCCTGTCAACAGTCAGGCCGTTTGAGCCGGTGATCTCCCTATAGCATGAGTTCGAGTCCACAGGTCGGTCATGTCGGGTACACGCAGTAACAGGGATTTGAATCCTCGGTTCACTTATTTGTTTTGTAATCAGCGTCTTCGGGGGGATTTCCGGGCTTGAATCCCTGCTCAAACCACAAACATCAGTCTGCTAGTCTCTAGGTGGTCAATCGATTGGACGCTAGTGTATAATTCTTGTGAGCCCTGGAAGCGAAGCACCTCTAGTTTGTTTCCTTTTTAATTTTTTACAGTACTTTCGTTTCACTTGTTTTTGGGACGCTCATTCACATACTGTACGTATGATCTCCCATAGGATCGATCTATACCATGCAACGTCTTATTACAGATTTTGGATCAAAGGCACTGACGTGTCATTTGTTGGCTGGTTCTTGATTGCTATTTGACATCCTCTATCACAATGCCATATTATCATTTTCTAGCCCCTTGCTGCGTCTGGAATGAGGACGGGAATGCGTCGGCTTATTCTATATATTACATTCTTATGAAAACACCACGTGATACAAAGCTCGACTGAAATCTGTACTTCAAGAGCTTACATCTACTTCCTTGAAGAAATACATCTCACCGCTCATTATTTTTTGCGTATGTCTTTCGATAACAATCCCAAATAGCTATGTGCGTGTCCTTTGTTCCTCCAGTAGCTCGGGCAAGGCCGATTGCAAGTACCCTGAAGAAGACAGCGGGGGTGCGACTGGCTATCTCACTGTAATTCATTGCCAAATGTGATCGTTATGAATGTAACTTGCTTTGCTACATGACGCTGAATTTGAATATGCATGAGCCATTTATATATAAATCAGTAGGTCACTCAATAACTGTCGTGCTGACTCAGTCTAACACTTAACTATCTAAGGGGCAAGTATCACTTAAATGATTTGAACGTTCATTTCAATTACAATTTGAGGATACTAGCTTCGTTTCCAGAAAATCGTAGAGCATTATTTCGTGGCTACGTGTTCTTCCGTGGTGGTGACTAGTAGATCGGGGACATGAGTTTTGACCGACGCAGACCCTGATGCCCCATACGCGAAGAACAGTATTTAAACAATATAGGTTGACCCCGGCTAGCCATCTAGGATTACAAGAAGTAGAATCATGAAGGCCTCAAATATACGCTTCGTGGTCAATGCCTCGGAGACTTGTGTCTTCAAGACCCACGAGACAATCGATGGAGTGATTCTATTCTCACCGCACCAAGATACTTACATTGACGACATCAAGATCTCTCTTCAAGGTATGCTAGTATGTTTCACGGATAGCAGGATCCCAATTCACACAATCAACAGGCTCAGCAAGAACCGAAGTCGAAAACATGAACACACATATCCCACTTCCATACAACGAAATCCGAAGAACATTTCTTCGCATGGATATAGCTCCACTGGACTATCGATTAGACACAAGTATCCTCGTTTCTGGCAAGAAATATGAAATCCCATTCAAATTCATCGTCCCAGACCAACTACCCATTCACGCCTGTCACCATGGATGCGCCAATCCCCAAATCCACGAAGAACACCTGCGCCTCCCCCCAAGTCTCCTTTACCAAAAACGCAAGCAATTAGCCCACGACATGTCACCAGAAATGACACAAATAACTTATGACATTAACTTCACACTATGGCAGCGAGGCGGCAAAGGAGGGCGATCTAAAAAGCTCCAGGAAGTGACATATCCAGTTCAAATCCAACCCACGCGAGAGGAACATCCTCCAATTTTGATTTCAGAAAAGAACAAACACTACCAGCTTCAATCTGAAAAGGCGGTCTTAAAAGGCGTGTTGCGGCATACCCTAGGCAAACTGGTTGTGTTTTCCACCCAACCACCAGCAATCCAACTCCACGGTCCTCAGCCACCTCAAGGTGCTTCAACCACGCTTAATATCGATATGCGGTTTCATGCCACATATCCGAGCCGCGGTCCACCGTCTTTGTTAGCGGCGCAATTCCACCTGAGAGCTTTGACATTCTTTGGTCTGGAGCCTTGGGAGAGTTCCCCTGATTTGTCTGACGTTTCCACATGGGGTTCTCGTCAAGCTTTTTGGCCTGAACATGTGGCTTTGAATGCCGATCCGAACATTACTGTGGGTTGGAAGTCTCACATGGAGAATGGTCAGGCGGTATTCACTGCTTCAATTCAGGTGCCTGTTTCACTTCCGTGCCATCGATATTATCCAGTCACTTTCCACTCATGTTTCATTTCTCGTGTCTATGCGGTGAAGATGACTCTCTTCTATCGGGCACATGAAAAGGCCAGAGGAACTTCGTCTATATCTTTGTCTGTTCCGGTGGAAATTTGTGCTTGACATCGGGTTGTATGTATTTTACATCCAATTCGTTAAGACTGGTGTTGGTTGGTAACGATTTTATGATATCAAATGAGCATTCATCAATAATGATTTCCATTCCTCACAAGAACATTCTGTTGCTGCGACAGTAGACTTTTTGCTACCCACGCACGTGAAGGTTCGCTATAGATCGATCACACCCGGGCATCACCGGACTATCAAATGCTAATTAACGGCTTCGACGGCTAAATCTCCACCAGTTTGCTTATATCAGATTTTATATCAACCGTGCATTGCAAGTCAGATTAGTTCGCATTCCTAACCTTTAGTTTGGGGTTGGGGCATTCTATGATCGACATGCCATCCACGGGTGGCATTCGACACAGCCAATTGTTTTGCGTAGGGCATAGCCCGGGGAATTCCAGAGCGTACAAACAGCGGGAGCCTGCGAATCATAGCTCTATTGGGATCCCAGCCTTTAATAGCCTGCGTCGCCCGTCAGAATTCCCCTGGCATTCATTATTGTGGCCCCTCTTATCTGGACAATAAGTGCTGTCGATGCCCCTATCTAATCTTCTCTTTTGACACAATCTGTTACTTCCTCCGACATCCATTCAAGTGTCTGAGTCTGGCTTCATCATCGTCAGTTTGCTCTGAATACAGCCGCACTGGTCCTGTCTCACAACCAGGCGGCATCCCTTGACTCGTCGGTCAACCCAGCATCACACCTCTCAAATCACTCCACCAACTTGCCACAACACACTTCATACAGCATGGCGCTTGTCAGAGATCCCTGCTTCTGGAAGCGCTTCTCGACCGCAGTCCACATGGACGAAGAAGCCAAGGCTGTCGACCAAGGAACACAAACCACACCAGCTCGGTAGGTCCCCCTTCATCCCTGACTTGCATCATAACACTAGCTCACACCTTGCAGAGCCTCATGGCTATCCCGCGAGCGACGTAAACGCAAGAGATCTATCATCTGCGGGTTCGTCATCTTTTTCGCCATTGTCTTTGCCGTCGCAGCTGGTGTGATTGTCTGGTGGCTTGCCAAGAACCACTGGCTTCAGCCTGGACCTGATGAGACTCCTTGAATATCAATGACCACTCGTGTTGGTTTCATTTGCATTGATTAAGCGTTTGAGTTGGGATTCACACAAGGCGTTATGGGATTTCTGCATGGAAGGAGATATACCCGCCACTTGCTCCAGTGGCTTGCATTAAAGATACTTAGATAGTTTCAATATATATACAAAGTTATCCAATATCAACAGTACACTGACTCGATTAACGATGTTCAGTCTATAACCGTCTTCCTATCTTCTCCAAATCGCCTATCTTCTGAGCGCATGCACCTGCCGTAAATGGACTAGTAAGCGGTGTTATCACCGCGACTTCACCTCTTTATGTTCTCTTTCTCTCTTTCTCTCTTCTTCTTCAACTTCATTTAGTTCGTATTGATTGGGTTGGATCTTTGCCCTTATATCTAACTGTCTACTATTGAGCCCAGACTCACCCCAAGGCAAAAACCGGCTAACCTCGGCCTTATCGCATTCTCCACTTCCCCCGCATAAATAACCCCAACTTCTCTTTCCCTTCACACCGCAACACAACACCATGTTACCTCCATTCGATTACTTCACCTACAGGCGTCTACGGTTAGTTAAACTATGCTAAAGGAATGGCAGAGGCCATTAATTAACTTCCTACAGAGCCCAGAAACAAAAAGAGCGCGAACTTCGCTTTACAACCGGTCTTCCGCCCTACTACCATCTTCGGATTGGTGCTGCAGACAAGAAGATCATCAACCAACCTATCGAAGAGCTCGTTCATGATGTGCAGGACTCAGCTGTCTCCGCTCTGGAGGTCTTGCGCACTTACGGCAAAGTCGCCGTGAAGGCTCAGAAGGAGTCGAATTGCATTACTGAGCTGTTGCTCCCGGAGGCCGAGTCGTGGCTGGAGACTGATATTAACCTGAAGGGTCCTCTTGCTGGAATCCCTGTTTCTCTTAAGGATTCTATTCACGTCAAGGGCTTTGATGCTTCGGTTGGGTACGCCGCTATGGCTGGTAAGCCCATTCTGGAGGATGGCGCTATGGTCAAGTTGTTGAAAGATGCTGGTAAGTAGTTCAGAACGAACGTGTGAGCTGAATAAATGCTAAGCTTCTCAGGGGCTGTTCCATATGCTAAGACTGCCCTGCCAATTACTCTCCTCTCGTTTGAGTCGACCAACGGACTCTGGGGTGTATGCCGGAACCCGCATTCACCTGGCTACTCGCCCGGTGGCTCGACCGGGGGAGAGGCAGCTCTGTTGGCTCACGGTGGCCGTATCGGTATTGGATCTGATGTCGCTGGTTCTGTTCGTGTTCCGGCTGCCTGGAGTGGAATTTATTCGTTGCGCTGCAGTACCGGACGTTGGCCCAAGGGCGGCGTGAGCACTAGTATGCCCGGCCAGGAAGGCATCCCTAGTGTCTTTAGCCCTATGGCTCGCACTCTGGATGATCTCACTTATTTCACTCGTTCTATCGTTGGGATGCAGCCTTGGAAGTATGATAATACAGTGCACCCCATTGCCTGGCGCAACGAGCTCGAATCTGAAGCTAAGAACAAGCCTCTCCGTATTGGTTTGATGAGCTCTGATGGTATGTCGCATCCACGCTATGCTCAAGTTGTAATCTAATCTAACCTTTGCAGGCGTTGTTCCCCCAACACCAGCCATTAAACGTGCTATCTCTACAACCGTCGCAGCCCTCACTGAAGCAGGCCACACTGTATCAGAGATTAGCACCCCACCGACGGCAGACCCCTTCACCGGTCTGAACCTCGCCTCGCAGCTTCTAAACGCGGACGGCTGCCACCACTTTAACGCTCCATTGAAGAGCTTCGAGCCTTCAGACCCAGGCGCCATCCAACTGTCCCGCATCGCCCATCTCCCCAGCCCCCTTCGCTACCTCTACTACCTCTACGTTCGATATATCCGCCGCGATGCAGTGTCAGCAGCCTTAATCCGCAACTTCGGTCCCAAATCCTCTGCTCAGCTCTGGACTCTCACAGCCCAGCGTGAAGCCTTCCGCGCCACCTGGCATAAGTGGTGGGATGCTGAAACCCAGCAATTCGACTTCATTCTCTGCCCCGTCAACGCAACCCCCGCTCTGCCCCACAAGGCCATGCATGATGCCGTCTCCTCATGTGGTTACACTTTCCTTTGGAATCTACTCGATTACTCTGCCGGTGTTCTGCCCGTCGGTCACGTAGATGCTGTCCGCGACGCTCTCGTCACGCCCTACAAGACAGCCCTCAAGCGCCTGGGTGCCGATCACGGTATTTCCCGCGGTGCGTGGAAACATTACGACTCCGTCAAGATGGCCGGTCTGCCTACTGCAGTCCAAGTCGTTGGTCGGCGCTGGCAGGAGGAGTCGGTGCTGGGATACATGGCCGTAGTGGAGAAAGCCCTGGACGCATACCGCGACCCGCAGACTGGACTTGGTTGCAGATATACCCTGCTCGAGATTGATTGAATCGGTTATATTATGGACCGGAAATGAGTGGCAGAAAGTGGTTTCTTTCTTGTTATTTCATCCGTACAGCAGTATGCATGGATTTAGTATGTTCGTACTCCGTACATTGATACGACGTTATCTGGACTGTATACTTTACCGCTCTCCTAGACAATGCTTTATTTACTTCAACTTACGCCCACACAAAACTCCCATATTGTAGACTGTATCCTCTACCTCGCGTATTCGTCATGCAGTGTTACCCTCTTCCTCCCCCTCTTATCTCACCAACTGCAGCACGCGTGCCGCGCAATACGAACCTGAGACGACACTAATCAAAGCAATGCTGATCTATAGCCCAACACCCCCACCCCCACTGCCGACACCGCCCTGTGATTCGCTTACAAGCTGCAAGCCGGCGCAGATGCAAATGCTCTGCATTTGGCAATGCTGCAGTGTTTTCTCGATTTGATTGTTGGTTTGTTGATTCGTTCTTTTTTGATTGGGCCAGATTTTCTCTTGTGGCCTCTCTGTCGGCTTTTGCAGGGTTAACGAGGGCCCTGTGCTAATCTTTTCTTACCGGGTATCGTCGCTTATACGTTTTATTTATCTGATTATAGTGTGAATGCCATTGTTTCTGGTGCATCTCCTCGGTTGTCTATCCGTACTGTACTTTGGTATGGTTTGCTTATTGGTTGGGGATTACTATGTATTGACTGACTATCTTGGGTTGAGACTATAACCTGCATGGTGATTCCGTACTTTATTGCCACGTCTGCATGGTCATTACTGTTTCAGGTTTCGACTAATGCTATATTGATGCGACTGCAACTGTGAACAATCTACAGACTAGGCTATTTCGGAATTGCTTCCTAGACCAGCAAATGGGTTTACTGTCCTGAGTGGATTGCTAAATTGGGAATTCGGAGTCCGAAGTTCATAATCCTAGCGCCGGAAGTGGGCTCGCAGTGACTAGTTTAGCGTCTTATTTTGGTCGGCTCTAATTTGCCGATCTACCCGTGCCCTGCGGCGTATAGTATGGCCTGATGCTTTCCAGTTCTATTAACTGCCGTATGTGAACCTTGTCATAGGTCCTAGCGCACGGAAATGAGGCGTTAGTGGGTACTAGTAGGGGTGAGCGCACTAGTGGCTAACATGAAAGAAAACCTTCCAGACCGGAGAAATGTACGAGACTAAGAATAAAATTAGTCCATACCGAAGAGGTAAAGTATACGTTATAACGTTATAGTCGAAGTGACCAAAAAGGGAGTGAATCTGGTCACGGGAGCCCCGCTGTAGATCCACGGGCTCTTCTGACACTCCCCACTCTCCACCTTCTTCACGATGCTACACCATGGCCTCGAGAAAGAAACAGCCGAAAAGGGATGGCATCCATTTCGTCAACGCCAGGCCAGCTTCCGAGGCTGAGAAACTGATCGCTCAGCGTCTGGTACGCGCCCACGTCGGCCGCTGGATCTCCGACCAAACAAAAGACCGCTTTGAAGCTGCTGTGCGCCGTCCAGTCCGCGACTCTTTTTCCCCCTTATCTGCCAATGACCCTGGTGTCGGTCCGTCCTCGTACGCCCTCTCAAGGCACGCTGGCAATCGCAACCCCCCTTTTTCCTTCGCACGGCCTCCATCCCCGTTTCCACCGTCACATAATAGCGATAGCAGTGACAGCTCCAGTGGGGAAGGCACTGTGAGTGTGATTTCCACAGAGAAGCTTGGGGTTGTGCGACGGCGCAAGCGGTCTTCTGTTGCTCGTGAGATCTCCGGTGTCTTTGATCCTTTTCATACATATCCCTCGCCCGCGCACTTCGATCCTGAAGTAGTCGATTTGTCGGAACGGTATATTACAACAGTCATCTGGCCGGGTCTTGCACCGCGGCCGAATCATATCAAAGCGGCTGGTGAATCATGGTTTCCCTTGTCTATGGCCGACCCCGCATTGTTCAGCGCCTTCATGTTCGGATCGCTATGTCATCTGCGCGTGCAATGGCAGAACAATTGGGTGCCGGGGACGGTATTCGGCCCGAAGCAGCAGCAGTTATTGCAGCAGTGTGAAATGGAATCCATCAAGTTGATTAATCAGGCTGTGCGGGACCCCACTCGTGCAGTAAGTGACGCTGTTATATTGAGCGTTATCTGTATGGCGCATCATCAAGCCGAGGAGAAGTCGGTTTATCGACATGAGAAGACGGCTTTTATCCCACCGTTTCCTCGATTACAATGGATTGATGTGTATGGGTGTTTACCACCCAACATGATCCATATTCAAGGCTTAATACAGCTAGTCAAGATGCGCGGCGGCCTACGGAATCTTACAACAACTGGTCTGGCCGCGACAGTTTGCTTGTATGACCTGACCTGCGCTATTGCTACCAATTTTGGACTACCACTAACCTTCTCAGTTCCGCTATTCTCACCTGCAGTTCTCTCTGTGTAAACCCAGGCTCTGAATTCTGGCCTCTAGATGAAAACCGCATCGGTATGAGCGTCCATGAAGTCCTCGGCTTCACACCATCAGACACACAGCATGGCTTCGCCCGTCTACAAGGAATAGGCGCAACCTACGAAATGGCAGATGCCTTCCAGGCAGTCCAAACATATATCGCTATTATCAAAGCCAGTCCAACTTCCACGCCAGACGTCTCCCTCCTTGCCGATCGCCGTAATATAACACAACACACCCTTATCTCTCTTAAGCCTGCTTCGGAGTTGCAGTCTTTCTTCTCGCATCCAAACCATGCGTCTACATACGAAGCGTGTCGTCTCGCTGCGCTCGTCTTTGGCGTAGGCGTCATCTTCCCCATCCCTGCTCAGAATTCGCCCCTTCATACCCTAGCTCGCAGTATCCAGTCTGTCCTCCTTGAGGCATCCTCTTCTGCATTGTGGTCTTCGCCTTTGACCCGCTTTGCGCTTATTTGGGTATTGACTTTGGCCGGTATTGCGGCTCACGGCGCGCCCGAGCGTGCTTGGTTTGTTTCTGCTTTGGCCGATATCACTCGTCGCACTGGCTTGTCTTCTTGGGGAAGTCTTAAGTCGGTCCTTGGCTCTATGCTTTGGTATGATGCTGCTTGTGATCTGGCTGCTGAGGCTCTCTTGCTTGAGGGACAGCGTACGTATCAGCAGCAACATCAACATCAGCGTACAGATAAGATTGTATGATACTGCGCTGGAATCTCTCGGAATTCCTGCTTATCAGAGCAGTCGCTTGCAATGCTGTATCTGCTTCGAATCTTCCTATTGAATCACGCACGCATACAGACATAAATCCAATTGCACTCCCACCGTTGCCCTTCCATCGAGATATGAAACAGGGCCACACGGCTGCACACATTTCACATACCCTTACTCCCCCTTACTGAACCATGCGAATATATTCATGATACCCGTACAGTGACAGAACAGTCTTGTACAAATGTGCTAATTACACTTGACACGTTAACATTTTTTCTTTTCTGTCTCCAACTCCATCTCTTCATACTTTCTTTCTCCTTCTCCTTGGATGACACACGACGGATTAATCAATAATAAATCCCAATCCATTTGACGAGCGGCTTTGCCGGATATTTTGCATTCCATCGTTTATATCTACTAACTTTCACTCTACATACTTTGCTTGAGGTTGACATTAGAGATATAATATTCAAGATCCTCATACCACACTTTATTCCTATGTCATGCAACGTTAAATAAGAATTAAGTACCTCGATACCCGAGCTAAGCGCCCTCCTCTCAGAATCCAGACTAAATCCAGAAACAAACGCCAGTCCCCACGGGGTAAGACATAAGCCGAGACACGATCGTCATTCCTACTGCAGGATCGCGACGACCCGCACCGGGTTAAGACATTTCATTTTATTCTCGGGGGTATTTCGGCGGAAATGCAGCCGAGGCGTAGGGCTGAGACATAGCTTATGCTCATAAAATCAAGTGGATGGGATATATATATACAATAGAGTAGACTCGACGAAGGTCGCGTAAGCTGAGATAACTTATACATTGGTATTCTACAGTCCCATGGACGTTACGTGTCCATGGCCAGATCTAGATGTCGACTGATATAAAGCACAGTGCGTTGACTGTGCTTTTTTTTATATCGGGCGCCAGAATTCAACGGCCTTTTCTCGTACGTGGGCTAACGGCCAGCCATTTTCCCTCTCTATGCGTTGGAGAAGGTCGAAGATTAGATTTTGGGCGAGGGGGTCGTCGATCCATGAACCGCCTATGTCGTGGACTTTTGTTAGTCATGGACTTATGGATATTGGAGGTGGGTGAGGGATTACTTACAGCCACGCAGGACGTGGGAGGCTGTGATTCGTAGGGGAGGATCATCGTCGGCGGAAAGGGCGATTCCGAAAATGAAGTAGAGGTTTTCTATGAGGTCATGCTGATGTTTGTTAGTGGTGTTCTCGCTATGCGGTAGAAAATGTTGAAGAAAGTTAAGACATACCTTTAATTTGACGGGTTGTTCCAGATGTCTCATTTTGGGACTCCAGGTCTCCAGTTCACGAATGAACATTAATGCCTTGGCAAGGCAGACATGCTGTATAGCAGTTGCTGTAATAGGAGAGCCATCAGCACAAACTCGCAACCTCACAAATCCACATCCAACACGAAGAGGAGAGCATACCATGCCAAGAACTGGTAAACCACGCCACAGGAAACGGCTTCCCCCTAGCACGATCCGGCGGCGTAACATGCAAAGGCGCGAAAGACTCCGGCCTGCTAAGTTCCCACTCGAGAATTCTCTGCCGAAGCGCCTGTTCCCCCACGGAGCCAAGTCGGCCCCCGTAGTTTCGGCCCGAGACATTCCAGCAGAAATCCACCGTCTCGGCCAACAACCAGATCGCGCGGTTGGTCCAATCGCCGTCGCTCAGGACGGGCTTGGTGACCCACCATCGGCGGAGAACATCGTCGAACGGGGCGAAGGTTAGCCGGAGGCATTTTTGGTACGTAAGTGCAAATTGGATGTCTTGGATCACGAAGAGCCAGAAGGAGGCTGTCGCTAGGCCGCCAGATATGGCGCAGTCGACGTGTGAGCTTATGTAGACGGAGCCGGCTAGGAGGTGGCGTTGATAGTCGTTTGATGGGTTGCAGGCTTTGTTGGGGGTCAGTTCATTAGTTGATCTGGGGTTGCATATCGGCTGACGTACAGGAGACTTGTTCGAAGAATCGGAGCATTACTGTTGATGAAATGAGAATGTCGATGCCAATCTCGAATTCCTGTTTGTCGAGGACTGGGAGCATGATGGAGATGCAGCGTTCATGATACATGTCTTCGAGGTCCGTTGGGAAATTGCTTGTTGTTCGGGATAGGTGGCAGGCTGATACTGCAAGACATGCATATAGAAGTAGAGGAGATGTGGTCGCTCGTTCGACTACATCGGTTGAAAAGTGTCGACGAGGGTCGCATGCGTCAAGCTGCGATGTTAGTACAACGTGAGACTCCATCTGGGGGGAACTTACCCATGGTGCGAGGTGCTTTTGGAAATGGCGCAAAAGATACGCCTCGTTGATATCAGTCAGTTTGGGGCGGTTGACAGGTGTCGGAGTCGATGAATGCGAGGTTGCGGAGTTGGACCGCGAGCCAAGTCGTGAGTAAGGAATAACCAGGTTTGGGGTTGCCATAGATGAATCCATCGCTGATGAAGGCGTTGAACGAGCTTCAGATGGTGATCGTGATGCTGATAGTTGCCTTGCTACAGGTATAACATAGTATTCAGCCGCGGTCTGATCTGTTTCATCCTTGAAGTCGACTGGAAGGTCAGTATAACGTATACCAGTATGAAGAAGAGAAAGACATACACTCCGAGCAAGTCTCAACCCATATCTGATCCTCCGGAAAGGCAAGGTCACTCTCGCCATATCTTGGGGGTCCTTTTCCTCTTAACGAAGGATTTTGACCATGTCGAAATGACACTTCTTCCGACTTGCCGGGAGCCGGCACACATTCGCGGCCAGATCGTTGGCAGCGGAGACATTTCAAACCGGATTTATCACCTTTTCAAGTTAGATGATGAACGAGAAAAGAAGAAGGAAAAGATTGACCTACATTTCAGATGGCGCAGACGACATGTGAGGCTGGAAAACGTTAGCGATCCATCAGCTCATCGACGAGAATACTAACCATCCCCTCATTACGCCAGAGTCCAACGGGGAAGGCTTCCAGAATCAATAGAGAGGCCCGAGGGCATCTAGATAAATATGACCGAGAGGTGGGGGGTTGGTAGATCATTTGCGTATGTATGTTGGGGTATTGTCCAGCCAGCTACGTTTTGTTGGAGATTAGCTCAAGGAGCGGAGCCCAGATTGAAAATATACTGAAACTCGAATTGGTTGAGCTGGAAAGGAATCTCTAGATGATACCCCGAACAGGAAAACGTTCAGTGCAACACTCCCCCCACACCAATGTCTGGGCAAACGCCTGCTGAATCTGGTTGGACCAAGTCCCCCACAGCACAAACTTTGTGCCTCTCCGATCGTGAAACGATCCTTGCCCGAATGAGAAGGATCTCGGATGTGGTGAGTCGGCTTGTGTCGGGAAGTCGGCATGAGAAGAGTAAGAATTAGCGAGTCGCCTTGGCCAAGTGAGTACGCTGCAGAAGTCTCATGGTCGAGACCACTTTTTTCTGTTGAAGGGACTGAAATGACAGATGGGGTCAGGAGAGACAAGAGGCAGCCTCAACAGCCAATGGCACCGAGACGGGATGCATCCCGCAGGATTGGTATACAATCCGAGCTCAGGGCCAGAACCTAAACGGGCGCAACAAGCTTCAGCGGGTTGATATTAGCCTCCCATGTCTAGATTTCTCTCCTTTTCATTTGCCTGAAATCTTCACCGATTCTCTGGTTGAGACCCGGCGCCGAGAAATTTGCTGCTCGTGCGTTACCAGGACCACATGGACCACATGGGAAGCAGAAGAAATTTGTCAGGATTGGACCGGACACGCCGGGATCGACTCGACAAATCCCGCAAGTTCCCCTGGTGGGTCTTGGAAGGCAGGGAAGACCGGCACTGTGAGCAGTTAATTTCACTTGAGCCGTGGATAGTATACTCCGGACCCGTCAAACCCTGTCGATCTTGGGGGAGGGTTGTCTCCGAGGCATTTGAAGCCGAAGATATGATTCGATTGTATTTGATGCTGCAGCAAACCTAAAATAGAGGGCCAGGAGAGTAATATGTGGGTAAGAGCATTATCGAGCTGCCTGATTGAGACAGCTCCGAGAGTGAATCCCGGAGAATGATGAATATACAAATATGGCACACTGGACCGTCGACAGTTGACCGTTGACCGTTTGGAAAGTTGACGATGGTCCAAAGTGTCAGGTGACTGCTGCCTCAGAATCCAGGCTGCCAGACAGGGATGATAGTCACGAGATAGTCACGAGATAACATACATTTGTCATTCTATCGAGTGTTATCAACACAGCTTCCAAGCAGCTAACGCAGCTAAAGCAGCTAAAAACTAGCAGCAATTAGTGTTGAATATATTTCGTTTCTGAATCCCCTCATTTTCCCTTCCCCCTTTACCCCCCATGTACCATGTCCCTCCCCCGTATCTCCTTCCTTGAAGGATGGGAGCGCAACCCCGCCTATCCCTCCGACGATGAAGACTACCAGGATCTGCCCGAGGGGTCTGTGTCGTCCTCCTTCCCCTCCACCTATAGCAGACTGAACTTCAATCCGTATGCGGGTCCGGGCTGGAACGAGAGACCAGAAGATCACGACGATCGATCCACCTTCTTGGGTTTGTCGCCGACAACTACGCGCGAGGGACGTGCTTCGCCCGCGCCGGTGTCTGCCCCCGAAGTACCAGAGCCACATGAGCCCGTACACGTAGAGGTGCAAGCGCATAAGGAACCATGGGCGGATACCACGGGTGCTTATGAAGTGAGCGCAGCGAGGAGAATTGGTATGTTGTGATTTGCCCCGTGGGGTATACTCTATCCCGTGAACTGAGAACCTGATGCTAATTGGTGCTGAGAATAGCTCAGGTCTGTACCGCGGTTGTATACTGTTTCTTGGCAGCCGGTGTTGTGTTCGGATTTGCAGCTATCAAGCCGGTTCTCATTCGCGAGAATGTATACCGCAACCTTTGTACAGAGGCGGAGCTTGAAGAAGGGGTGGATGTATGCGATAGACAGGAAATCAGGTAAGTAGTGCTCTTCCAGGCGGCCTCCTCTTCTAACTTGGACAGGTTGAACCTGATGTTCACCATCGCGGCGGTTGTGACCAATGTCTCGGCCCTGCCTGTAGGAACCATCCTAGACGCATATGGTCCACGCGTGAGTGGAATTATCGGCAGTGTTTGTCTTGCCGTTGGAGCACTGCTCTTTGGAACAGCACACAAATTGCCATTCGATGGATACATCCCTGGATATCTATTCCTTGCCTTGGGTGGACCATTCGTGTTCATCACATCATTCCATCTATCAAATACGTTCCCAGCACGATCAGGTCTCATTCTGTCCATGCTGACAGGCGCATTCGATGCCTCGAGTGCCCTATTCCTGATCTTCCGCCTTCTAAACGAACACACCGACGGCCTCGTATCAATCACCAATTTCTTCGCCGTCTACCTCATCGTCCCGGTGTTCATCATCATAGCGCAAATCTTCATCATGCCAGCAAACTCCTACAAGACAGCAGGCCAGCTAGTCCAACATGCCGAAGAACAAGTCGTAGACGAAACAAACGACCACATAGACGATAACATTACCGACCAAGACGAACGCGAACGTCTCCGCAAAGATAGACGCCTCCGCCGCCAAACAATCGTCAACCAAATCCAAAGCCTCCTAGACGACGGCACTGCATCCATCGTCTCAGCCACAACAATCGACGACACAGTCTTCCACATCGACCCCCACCGCTCCCAACCCTCGAAACCATCTCCCCCACTCCAACCCAACCCCCAACACCAGCCTTCCCAAGGCGGCGTCTGGGGCGTCCTCCACGGCCGCAGTGCCCTAAACCAACTCCGCACGCCATGGTTCGCCCTGATCACAGCATTCACCGTCCTAATGATGCTGAGAATCAACTACTTCGTCGCAACCCTCCGCAGCCAATACAGCTTCCTCCTCACGCCCCACACTGCCAAATCAATCAACACCTTCTTCGACATCGCCCTTCCAATCGGCGGTCTCCTCTCCGTGCCGTTTATCGGAACTTTCCTCGATACCTTCCAAACCCGAACAGTCCTCTTCATCCTAGTTTCCACGGCCACTGCTATTGGAATCTTAGGCTGTATTCCAGATAGTTTGCCAGCTGCTTATGGGAATATCATTCTCTTCGTGCTGTACAGACCGTTCTATTATACTGCTGTCTCGGACTACGCGGCCAAGGTCTTTGGCTTTCAGACTTTCGGTAAGGTATACGGTCTTGTGATCTGTTTGGCTGGTGTGGGCAATTTCGCGCAGGCCGGTTTGGATGGGCTTACGCTTATTGTTTTCGGGGGAGATCCTATCCCGGTTAATGTTGTGCTTACGCTTCTTGTTGCCCTTGTTGGTGGGGGGCTTGTTGGCTTTGTTTGGGTCATGACGAATGTCTTGGAGAGGGAGAGGGTTGATGCTGCGCAGAGTGGACACGGGGAGAGAGCCCCTTTGCTGCGTGAGACTGAAGGAAGGAATTATGGTGTTTAAGCTTGAATTGACCTTGATATCCTTGTTTATATGTTCCGCCAGTATATGTTTTCGAGTTCGACTATGACCAATTCACAATGAGATATGATTTTTAAGTTACGTTATGAGGAAAGCAGTGAGTACAGATTCAATATCCTATATGCATGAATGAAATCCAATCCGAATAACCAAACGAAGCTCTGGACTTGCATGGGTATAAAGTAAACAGCAGATAAAAACCTCCCAAAAGATTAAAATTAGAAAAATCCAAAATTCCCATCAAAGGACAACGGGAACGTGAACAGCCCCTCATCCATCATGTTATTCAATGTGAAGAACGGATCTCCAAATCCAGCATCAACGCCAACCTCTGCCATTCCCATCGGCGGTGCCAGTTGCATTCCGGCCACTGACATATCGGGATATCCCTGCGTCACGGTTGTCTGGATATCGGGGTATGATTGCGGTTGTTCTGCTTGAGAATAGGGCTGATAGTAGGGTCTTGACATGAGACTTGGATCTGTAGCCGAGAGTGTGACTTGGGGTTGGTAGGATGGCCAGGTTGATGGCGGTGTTGTTCTCTTTGCCTGAAGAGAAGGGTCGGGGTAGCTGTTGGAAGAGGGGGTTTGCATTCTTTCTGGGCTTTGGTCGGTTGGGTATACTTGACGTTGGGAGTTTTCAGTTGAGGGTCTGTTGGCTGGGTCGCCCATCGCTACTTCGCTTAGGAAATGGAGGGGTGTCATGCCTGGCGCCATCTGCTGTCGTGGCTGTGAGGGTTGATGTGCCGCCGAGAAAAGTTCTTTCAATTCTCGGCCGTGGTCTCCTTGGTCTCGTTTTTTGACGAACCAATTGCGGAGGAGGACTAGGATGTTTCCAAATTTCGCTAGGACGCGGCCGCCGTCACGCGCTGCGCCGGCACGATATTGTGCTATCACTTTGTCGAGGTAGTAGTCCACTTTGAGACTCTGCACATCGAGAATCTGGCCCAAGCGGCTGTCTGGCGACATGTAGAGAGAAAATATCTTGATCAAGCCGACCACTGGGTATGATGTCCGAGCTATCGATGATGTAGGCAGAGAAACGAGCCGATCGATATCAATCGAGGTGATGATGTCGAGACTCTGGTGGATAGAGCGAATGGTGGAGGTCAGAGCATCGATGACTGCAGCGACAGATGTGCTTGGCAAGTCCTGCGGAGAATTGTTTACGGTGTTATAGTCTAAACTCATGACCGACTCGTGTATGAAGATACTCAAAACACTCTCAGTATGAGCCATTGGACCTGGAATAATGTTAGCAGAATCCGGCACTGTCGAAATTATACTCACCAGTATAGACCTCGCGTGGGATCTCAGCTCTCCAGCGTGATAAGCGGTTCTCAAAGGCCTTGATCTCATGCCAGGCCCTGCTATCTGCAAATGTGACAATAGAGCCAACATCATCTGAGGAAAAGTGTACACCAGCATCTTCCATGATATTTCCCAGTCTTGCCCACCACTTCAAAGTCCGATCTGAAGGTAGAGCATCTGGATGATTATCTAAAATCTCAAGACATTCATCCATATATGGCTGCCAAGTGACGAGATGCACTCGCCTCAAAGCTGCGGCCATTCTGTAGGAGTCAGCATTACACCGACACATTGATTCTAAAGATACTCACTGGACAGATAGATAATAGCACCCTACCCACGTCCTCCTCGCCTCTGGCCCTTCAGGATCGAATGCTGGACCCGAAGGCTTTTTGATGATCAAATCACGAATCATGTTGAACCCCTTCTTATTCACCGACAACCGACGGTTCATACCAAGTTCCATTGCCATCGCCACAGCCATCTGCGTCGTCGTATAAAATTTGATCTCATCAAAATTGTCCGGTGGAATGTACCAAATAGTGCCAACCAAGATGGCTTGAAGCAATTCCAAAGTCTTGTGTCCCTTGACAACAACCTCCTCAGCAATCGAACGGTAGTGTTCGTTGAGGAGCGTCATTTGCGCCTCAGGATTAAAAGTCCCAACAGCAATAGCCATAATAGCAAGAAACAGAAACGGCTTCGTCCGTCTCACTTCAGCCATACCCGTCCCCGGAGTAAACATCACGAAAGGAAACTCCGGTGCCATCTGATGGACATACCTCTCAAAGGCAGAAGTAGCAGTCTTCAAATCAATCACCCCGCGATCAATCATGTCCACAAACTCCCCCACAGTCTCCTGCTTCGCCGCATCAACAGGTCGCCGCCACTGCTTCGCAGTCGGCTGACTGGGAATCTGCTCAGCAGATGGACTCCCAGGTCTGGAGTACCGCGGCCCAAGAAGCCCACCTCCAGCGGGTTCCTTCGTCTCACCACTATGGCCCCTCTTCTTTCCCGCCAAGGTCGTCGACTCCCCAGACCCAGAAAGCCACCGTCGACTGGTAGCAGGGTGATCATCCAAAGACGGCGAGCGCTGCGTCGTCGCCCCAGCCCCAGACCCGGCAAACAACGACCCAGTCGCATGCGACGTCTGCAACGTCGCGGTCAAAGCATCGATCTTCCTCTCTAACTCCGCAACCCGACTGTCTGTTTTCTTCTGGCGCTTGCGCGTCGGCGCAGTGACGATACATGTCCGCCGCGCTTTCGCGCACCGCTTACATGATCCATCTGGGTGGTCTGGGTCTGGGTCACAGCGGACCTTGAGCTGGCGACAAGGTTCGCAGGCGCGAGCGCGTTTCGCATCGCCCAGCCCGTCGTTTGGGTCCGGCGATTGGGTGGCTGGTGTGTGTTCGGCGCCTAAGCTGTGGCTGTGGCTGAAGGATGCTGGGCCTGATGGGTCCTGGTGTGGGTTTTGGTTTGGAATGGCGTGTATGTGCGACGGTGGCTCTGGGTAGTCCGGGGCTACGGCTGTTGATATGTAGCCTCGTTGGGGGGCTCCGTCGCGGGCGCGCTGTAATTGCGGGTCGATATCCATTTGGGATGGATGTGGGATTTGGCTGGTTCAATTGCGTCTCTATATCCATTTTTTGTGTTAGCCTGCGGGGTTTCTGGTGTTTTTCGCTGCCATTTAGTGGTTGTATACCACGCTTGCAGGGTGCACTCGATCCACGCGGAGGACGGTAGTCGCAAGCACCGAACACCGATATCGAGGATCAACGGTCCCAAAGAATTGTGGGGGGTCCGGGGTCAGACTAAACAAATAAATGGCACGTACCTTCCTCTCAAACCGCCTTGGTACCCCCAGGGCTGACTGTCACTCGATTCAACTAAAGTGAAGGAGGTTCTGTCGAGGTCGTCCGATGATTTCACCGGAGGGACACGTGACTGGTATCAACCAGACAAAGAACTACACAGACTGAATTACGCGACGGCTTACTTTACACTTGATTTCGATTTTGGTTCAATTCAGATCAACGCTCAAAGGGATATCAGAAACACATGTCCCAAGCGCCACAACGCACACAGAAGAAGCACGAAAGCAGGAAACTAATCGGACGAGGAAATATCTCAAATATTACTAAGAATCCCGATCCAAGCGTATCTAGGATAATTTGTGCACAGGACATTCTTCCTTCCTATCGAACCAGTCCACGATGCAGTGACTGTGGAACTTGCATAGGCACTCGAGGCGGGCCAGGGTCTGCCCAACCTCATAATCCTCCATACAGATCGTGCACTCGGCCGGTTGACCATCTCCACCAAGACAGTCCTTCTCCGTAGCCACAAATTTCAGCATGCGGGCTTCGGGAGGCGGAGGGGGCAAAGGAGGACCCTGCTCGGGCGAATCTCGGTTTGCTGCAGCTGGTCGCAGGTAACCTTCGATGCAGTCCCGGGTATGGGCCTGACGGGCCTCCATGGGGTGCTCCGGGCTGAGAGAAGGGAATTGGCGTCGACATACCGGGCAGAAATCGGCCTCGTCAAAGGCTGGACGACGAGGCAGAGCGGCATCACGGTTGGAAAATGAGCGGTACTGTCGGGTTCCGGGGATGAAGGGCTGTCGGCTTTGGGTCAATTGTTCCAGATACTGTGGTCGATCACTGGAGCCCACAGTGCGACGTTCCTGGCGAGGGTCGTGAATTTGATGATCACGCTGCATCGGGTTAGTAACTGATCAATACAGAGCAAGACTAGAACTGACCGATAGATTTTGAAATGCGGCAGGCATAGTAGAGGAAAGAGAGTGGGTGGAACGATGGCCTGATCCTCGGACATTGCCGAAGCCCAGAGGATTTGGATTAGGATCTGGCACACAGGGATTGCAGAGGCGTACTTCCTCGCCTCCCCCAAGCGCGGGGTTGATGGTCGATGATGGTGTGGCAGGCTCATCATCGGTAAGATCAACTACTGGAGGTTGGGACGGAACTGGCGAAGATTCAAGAGGGTCGGAATCAGGAGGACGGACAATGAATTGCCTAGGGATAGTGATCCGATGAGGGGAGCAAGAAGCGCATACAACTCTTCCACATTTTCGACAATGATGCTTTCTGTACCAAAAGCTGAACACGGTCCCGCAGATCGGACACTCGGTTACATCCGAATCAGCCTGCCAGGTTGGGAGTGACAAGTCGATGAAAGCCTGGTTCTGGTCCGAACTAGACATGGCTTGCCTTGGCCAATTTTGTGGTTCGCGTCGATAACGCCTGGGTGGTTGCTGTGAAGCAAAGGAACGAGGCGTTTCAGGGGGGGAAGAGGAAAGATCAATAGCTGTGGCATATGAAGAGCCAGCCGAGGCAGAAATCGAACTCCGTGTTCGAGACGAAGGTATCACCATCGAGACAGATCGATGCGGCAAAGCAGTGCGGGAGCTTCCCCCGTTATCTCGGGCTGGTCCAGCCAACCCTCCGTGTGACCACGGCCTGGTGTCCTCACCAGTACTTGTCAGCCGCCTTTTCCGGTCTGATCCAGTGTTGGTCGAGAACGTTCGTTGCCTAGAGCTCCCTTCGAATCCACTATAGCTGGCAGGCCCATGCTCCTCTGGTCTTTCGCCCATTCTGCCAGCCGGTACCCTCGGCGGCGTACCTGACCCAGTGGGGCTGGATGATGCAGTGCTCGACTCGGGCATATTATATCCTCTTAAGTTCTCAAAGATGAAAGTTGTCCCACCAAGTATTATCCAACGCAGGCAACGAGATCAATCTCGGCCGTCAGGGCGACGGGTCTTCATGGACCAGGTGGCGATAAGGATGGACGATGGCCGATACTAGGTTTTTCGACAGGTTTCGACCAAGAAGATTGATATTTAGGAAGGACAATCCCTATGCAATCTCAGGCTCAACCTCAATGACGTTGACGCCTTTTGCCGAAGATTGCATCCAATAGTGAGAGGATGATGCTTATCATGGGGCCAAGATGTCGTTGGGCAAGGATGAGGTCTCGTGACTATGTTCTCAGACACCAAAATCGTATTATTGCTGCCGGCAGCTGCAAATAGGTTTGTCAAGTGAATCAAGCAGAGTGTCCTGCATGAAGAAAATTGAAAGAAGGAGAAGAGGAGTCCGTGTTGTAGCGTGATGTTTGGCACTGTTATCTTAGGCGGTGAGGAAGGTGGCGACTGGCAAACCCCGGCCCGATCTGCCCGGATTGCGTTTGGGAGCCTCATACTCCGCTATACCGGTCTATCCTATGGTGGTTTACACGCTATTGTGAGCTGGTTAGCCTAAAACCACAGCTTCTTATTAGTGAAGTAGGGATGACAGGCACCTTATCTCTGGCAGTTCTTTCGCATATAGCCGCCTCCCCTTGCATGACATCGGCATAGGTACAATGCCACACAGGCCCTTGTGCAGCCTAGTCTCAGATTGAAATCAGATTCAATGTAAAATTGAGCGGTAAGTAAGGTATTGTGAGACAATAATGTGCATCAAGTCTGAGGTATAGGTCAGAAAATCTTGGATTACTTAACAAGTACGGAGTCAAGCAAGCTGAACAATATGCAAAAAGACAAAATCCTCACTTATTATTATCGCAATACTCAAACTATATTCTGAAGGATTCATACAAGAAGGAGAAATAGAAACAATGACAAGTAAAGCCTACAGGGAACAAGGCAGCATGAATTCGACAGTCAGAGCCAGTCCCCATTAGGTGTACCTCGGGATCACAATCAGAACGCCGCCGCAGCAAATTTTAGAAAAGCAGGCAATAGATAGACACAAGAATGAAAGGAAATTCGTAGGCGTGTCATTAAGGCGCCAATTTTGTGGTATGACAGTGATATGGAGGTGGATTGGGGATAGAAACAACTTGAAGGGAGGGTGGGGTGATTAGGGGGAGAAAGAGAGCAAAAGGAAGATAAGAGATTAAACGCATTGTTTTGCATTGCTTCTAGTTTTCGTGGTTCGCAGCTTCATCCACAAGTTCCGCCGAACTACCAGCAAAGGATGGCTCATCCGGGCTGGCTTCATGGATGTTGTCATGTGCGCGATGTTGCGCTACATAACCCATACTAGAAGGCCGTTCACCTCGTCGACTACCCTGACCCGTGCCATGACTAGACGCTATTGACCTTGACCTGGAAGTGGAGGTCATTGATAGACCCCGTTCCCGAGAAGGTGAGCTACTATCACTGAAGGGTAACCGGGCGGTAGGGGAGAGCTGAAGGTGGTTTCCAGAGTGGACGGATCGTCTGTCTGGGCCAGGCTGCTGTTCTTCGGAGATGGTCTCGGTGACGACCGGGAGTGATGTTGAGGGTCCATCTCCTTCCTCAGCCGGTGCTTGGGTATGGCGAGATCCCTGTCGACTGGGTAATTCAATGCCACCACCAACGGATGTGTTGAGCTGGGGTAGAACCGGCGGGAGTGTTCCACTTAGTCGCTTAGATTCATGTTCGCCATCCAGATCTTCATAGGGAACATCGCCTGTAGACACATTGCGGGAGTGACCAGCACTGGGAGCCTCCGGATCGTCTTGATAATGCTCGTTATAGTCACCACCAGGCGGGAACATGCCAGGCGGGGGTGCTCGAGCACTTCGAACCACCTCGAATCCCTTGGCGCTATCCTTGGTCTTTCCTTGGAATAAGCCTCGGAACCAGCCTGTCGCAGATGAGACCGGTCCTGTGGGGTCAGCTGGGCCGGTTTTCAACTTTCGCGTGCCGGTATGTGAGAGTGGGGGACCCCGGACTCCGTAGTAGAAATCGACCTCACGGACGGCATAGTCTTTTCGTGATTGCCGTTGGTCGTCCAATTCCAAATCATCCTTCCCTGTCGGTAGATATGCCGGCACGGGTGTTGCACGGCCGGACATCGGGGCATCTCCGATTTCATCGTCAGTATGGGCTGCTCGGCGGAGTGATCTTGACAAGAAACGTTTCGAGGGACTCTTGCTCGGGGCCTTGCCCTTCTCAAATGACACAGTGCCTTGAGGTCCTTTTCGTCCAGGACGAGGCGGTCGGTAATAAGGATCACGAGGATTCAGCCCTGTCATGGTACCGCTGCTGGGGGAACTGGGGAAACCAGGTCCAGGGTAAGCTGTTGATGTAGGTGTTGGGAATCCTCCACTCGCAGCGCGACTGTGCGTGCCTCCTTGGGAGCTGGCATAATCAAAGTAAGCACTGGCTCGGCCATCACTGCCTGTGGCGCGGTTCAAAAGGAGAGCAGAACTGCCGGATAGACTGCGAGGACGGGATCCATCGAATTGGGCAGACAGACGGTCGTCACCGTGTCCAAGCATAGCGGCCTCTGAGCCCATACTTTGTCGCGCAAGATCCCGACGTGGAGTACGTCTGGAAAGTTGACGCATGCCGAAGACTTTCGCAAGACCACCACGAGTGGCTCCACCAGCACCAGCAAGTCGAGCTAGAACCTCAATCAACGTCTGCATGGCATTGAGGAAGAATCCGAAAATCAGAACCATAGCATGGAGCACTAGGATCAGATATCCAATCCAGCCTCGGGCGGCCTCTGAGACTGAGAGCGAAGGAACAAACACCACGCTGAGAATGACAGTCAAGAAGCGCACTATGGAGAAGAGACAATGATAGAGGTTCATGTGAGTGGGACCAGAGAAAGGGCGGAAGGCGAGCAAGGTAAGTACAGAAACGACTTCGCAAATCGCCAGCATTACTACCTGTGCAATACCGGAGGGCTGCAAAGCACCCACCGCGACACCTCGAGCAATATTCAAAACAATCGCAACGGCGGCAAAGGCAGCGGCATCATCGCAATAGGTGTTGTAGAGAGGGCCGTACAAAAGTACAGTAGGCAGGTCGTCGAAAAGGTGTGATTTAGGACGTGTGGAGACGATGACTCGGATGAACCAAAGGGAGAAGCAGACGAGTACTACAATCACCAGAGCCGCCAGAGCAACACTGTAAGCGGGGGATTGACCAGCTATGACCAGCTGGAAGAAGGAAAGGGAAACAATAGGGAGGAGAAGGTAGTTGAAGACCATGCGGATAATGTTGCCCAAGGTAAACGGCAAATTTCTGGCGCGCAAATCTTGATCGGTGTTGTTTGCCAATTCACGGCGAAGCCATCGAAGTCCAAAGGCGATCTGAACCAGTAACGTGACGCAGACCAAGATGACCAAAGTCCAGATGATCATGCCCGGCCAGATGTCCTGGGATGATTGCATTCCGACCAGCTGGTTCATTCGGTCCAGGCCGTATGTTCCGTTGACGGCATAGACTCCATCGACAACCGGATTCCGTCCACCGGGGTTGACGAAACTTTGGTTAAACATGAGAGTCGACCACGCGCCTTGGCTGACCGCAGGCTGGTAGAAACCCGGGTAGTCCAACGAAAGCGCACCTGTCAACACCACGTATTGAAGGTACTGCAGACAATCTGCAAACCCGGGTGTGACCAAACGGAGAACATCCTCGTCGCGGCCGTAGTTACTTGTCCATCTAAACAAATCTGTCGTACCCCAAGGGCTGTAAATGGCAGCAGTGATCGTGGCGACTCCCACCAGCAGCAGTATGACCAGAGGCACGTAGGCGATTGCATTTCTCAAAGGCGCATTAAAGTCAGGCGTGACTTTCACCGTCAAGCAGGCCAGCTCAATCGCGGAGGCGTCACCGGAACGAAGCTTGAACGAGGGGTTAATTGTTCCGAAACGGTATGTCGAAAGCATATCATGCTGAACCGAGAATGCGTGCAAGGTGGACAGATCGCTCCTGCAAATGAATATTAGAACAATGTTACGGCCTGGTCGATCGATCATAGCTTACATATTGTAGTCGAAGACGGGACCCATCGGCAGGGTACCTTGTGTGAGGGAGTCGCGAAATCGTGAAGCATTATTAAAAGGCGAAAAACTTAGTACGTTGAACGCCGTCAACAAGGTGGTGTACTTGTAATTCGTCGTGCTCAAGTCCACGATCTTCCCATCCGTCCAGTTCGGATTTGTCCAGTCCGCAGAGTCCATCGCGGGATAATCCGCCGTTCGCGACATGGTACCCGACACATTTCCGTAGACCGTCACGCTGAGTGGGTGTAGAGAATTGGTGAGGTTGAATACGACGGAGACGTTGGTGGGGACGAATTGGAGCTGAAGAGGGTCCGACTCGAGGATTGTTTTCGACAGACAGTTGTCAAAATCCAGCAGGACTGCGGCGGCGTGGGAAGCGAAGAAAATAAGACCGAGCATCATCATCCACCACGAGCTCCACGCTTGTCGGCGTTTGGACGTATCGCGCCAGGGCCGACCTTGCGAAACGTGTAATGCCTGTCGCGGGCAGTCGTGTGTCCGTTGAGCGGAGACTGGGAATCCATCCCGTTCAATCTCCGCGTAGTACATGTCCGCTTCGGGCATCCGGGATGACCTCCTCGGGGAGGTCAACCCCCTGTGTAGATGATCGAATCCACGTTGTGTTGACAATGGGTCGGGGGTGTGTCGGAGGTCGTCCGCATGCACCCCGGGGAGATGTCGAAACGAAGGGATCAGGTACAATGATGGGGGGTACGCCTCCAGAATGAGACACCCGTGAGGAATGACAAAAATCAGTTGGAAGGTGAGAAGGTGAGAAAAGTGATGCTGCGCCTTGTTTGGTCTGGCCGGGGTGGAGATGGCTGACTACTCGGTATGCCCAGGGCCTCCAGGGCTAAATATAGTTGACTTGTTTCCTCTTTGCTTCATGTAGCGGGTTTCTGCTAACTTATGTATTATATGTTCTCCTATCTCGATTGCTCCCTGCCAACTGGGTCATCCCTTTTCCATATTCCATATTTCATATTCCAGTGTCCACGATTGTCTGTCAGAAATAGTGACCGGCCTTGCCTGATCGGCACTAGACTCTGCACCGTTACGTGTACTTTTCTACTCTCTCGACGACTTTCTGTTTGCCTAATTCCAGTTCTGATTTGCGTTACTCGCTATCTGCCGAATTAATGGGCATTTTGGAGGTGCCCGTGGTGTGTCCCTGGTGGGTGGGAATCAGTCTCAGTTCCCCGTAGATTGTCTCACTTGATCCAGCGGCCACACAAAATGCCATCCGTCACGTCAATATCGGATAAGACAAATCGGTGATGCCGTGAAACCCAGTGGACGGGGAGTTCTCCCGTAGCATTGGCGTTGTTTCGGGGATGTGAAAGCCACAGAGACTTTTCCATCGGAGAGCAACAAACCCGTTTGGGCAGATTGGCTTCGGGGATGGGGTCGATGCCTACAGCCACATTTTCAGGGTCCAATGCCCTGCGCCCTATGCACGGTAGAGCGGGTTCGCGGTAATAGTCTCGGTTTGATGGTGAGACAAGCGTGGTGGCTTGGCCTTGCTCGTATATGGACTGGAATAGCCTCTTGGCTGGATGATTCAAGTCATCCGTAGGAGTCTCATGGAAATGCATAGAAATTGAATTCCAGAGATGCAATGCAGTCATGCTATCCCCAACAGAAATGAACCTTGACAGTGGACGGAGTAAATAGCGAACATAGCGTAACTAAGCAGATCTCTCGGAAAATGTCTGAGTTGCCCGATCTGCTGTCCATTGAGACACAGTCCCAAGTGCATGGCAAGTCAGAATCTTGCGTCTCTTCCTAAGGGTTCAAATGTTGTGTTCCTCATTTATTCCTCCTCTTTCCATCAAGAATCGATCCTCCCTGTTCCTTCCTCGAATCACAGTTCTTTCTACCAATCAGATTAGACAAGCTTCCCATGGCCAAGTTTCCATCATGACTTGCAAGAGCAGATTGAGGAGCATGAAATAACTGAGCCGACCTCACAGGTACTCAATAGATCCCCCAGCACCGTTGACTGCTCGACAGTCCTGTGTGGATAGTCCATCTTGTGTTGAGCGGGCCTCAGCAACTCATTCCGGTCAAAAGTCCAAGCCTTTCAATAACTATCTAGGACGCATCTCATCTCCGTTGAATCCAAGACACCCTATCCCATGCCCAGCTGCGAACACAACATGTGCCCGCCGAAAACGCCATGCCTCTGAGCATGTCCGAACTCGAGATCTAGTTCGACGATCTGCTGTCTCCCATGGATGGACCCTACGGATACAAAGACAGCATTGTTGCCTTATCGGTGGAGCATACTTTTGAAAGGGATCAATGAGAATGATCACCGCAGAAATCATGAGATGGAATAGGAAACGAGGCAAGTTGCGGGCCGTCTTAGCGATACACCGCTTCAACGGTTGTTGAAGGACATGATCAGGGTGAAATGCGGTGACCACTAGTCAAAGGCATTCATTCCCCTTTGGCAGGACAGTGCATGCCTGATAAATGGTTGGAAGGTCCACCCCTGCCAGAATTCCAAGATCGTTGTGGCCGAGGCTTCAAGCTGGCACCGGAGCGGTCTATGTCCAATGTTTCGTCCACGATTGTACCGAAGTGGGAACGAGAGCGACACGCGACAGCTAGAATATGATATCCTCTCTCGCTGTTTTGGACATAGTACGATGATGGTTATATACTTTTGGTACCCCACTGTCGGTTCGCTATAGGGAGCCCCGTGCTTGGTTCATTCCCAGTGACCGGCAATAAGACACGGATTTAAGGGTTTGAGAAATGGGTCAAATGGGACTTGTATTTGACAGAATGTTTGGCTGTTTCAAAAGACTTGACTTTTTCCTCCCCAGACAGCGCACACCATCAGAATTCAGAACTGAATCCGAAATGGAACCCCCTCCGCATAATATTACCGGTAGCGCAGACCAGACTTTACTCGCGCACTCAAATCTATCATCGGCAGACAATTGGCAAGGGCTGATGGACGCTAAGGAACGCCGGAAAAGACAGAATCGCATAAATCAACGAAGTCATCGTATGTATATTTTTGCCATCAGTGAATTTCCATGATCCTCTTCTTCAAGTTCTAATTTTCATTCGCATCAAGGTGAAACAAGAAAAAGAACGCAGCTTGGAAATGGACAGTCAACGAGACCAACGAGACCAAGTAGTCTTCGTTCCTTCCCTCAAACTAATCAACCCGAGTCATTAGCTCTCATGGAGCAGCCTCTCAATGCTCCTCAGCAAGGGTCAAATGAGCCATCTTCAGAACTAGACTCCCTTGATACAGCCACGGGTTCCCTATTCTGTTATCGACCATCGCCTTCTGACCACCCACCTTCATCCTGCCCAGACCGTTCGTCGTCCTCGGTCATGACGACCCTCTGGTTCAACATGCCATGCAACCTAAAGCGAACAGCATTAATAGAGCTACTGGCCACCTTTTATAACAGCTATACCATGAACTGTCCTATGTCCAGCCACCTCCTCACCGTGACAAAAATGAACGTTCATCGGGCCTTCGTGTGCAACATGCTTTCCCTTGGGATTACATGGGAATGGATGGAAGAGGACTCTACATCGCCACTCAATGTGGTAGGGCCAAACAAAGACCTCGGTCTTCTCCCGAATAGTCTGTTGCCAACATCTCTTCAACGAAGTAGTGTGCACCATACTTGGATTGATTTATTTCCTTGTCCCCGTATGCGAGATAATTTACTTCGGGCTGGCAATGAGTGGGATGATGAAGAGCTTTGTACAGATATTATGGGTTTCTGGGATAACAATGGAGCAGATTCTCACGGGCTGATCGTTTGGGGTGAGCCTTCTAATCCTCAGAACTGGGAAGTTCAGCCAGGTTTCTTGAAGAAATGGGGATGGATTCTTCGGGGCTGTGACGAGATAATCAAATCCACAAATCAGTGGAGAGCAAAGCGAGGGGAACGACCGTTGTTCTCGGCATCATTTCTGATTTCCTCTTAAAAGATGAAATGTTTCTTCTTTGGCTATTGACCTATAAAAGATAGTTACGGTACATGAACCCATTCAATGCCAATATTTCCGGACAGGATTTTGAATATACTGCCATGCCTCTTCAAGCGCTTGTAGAACGTCATCGGGAAGAGTATCTTTCTCAATATCTGCTAGGTTATTCTCCAGTTGAACAACGCTGCTTGCTCCGATAATGAGAGCATCGCCATGTGAACTATTGAGCTGGGAATGGTGCACCAGCCAGCGAAAAGCACATTCAGGAACAGAGAGATCGTGCTTCTCGGCAGCCTTCTGGATGATATTAAGGGCTTCAAAGGTAGTTTTGTCCCAGTAACGAGCATTCATGGTCGCACTCTGCTTGTTGTTAGGATCATATCGTGATCCAGCTTCAAATGAGGTTGTATCGTATTGGTAGCGACCGGTCAATACACCCCCGGCTAACGGCTGGAAGGCATACAAAGCAATGCCGTAGTTCCTCAAACATGGAAGAAGCTCGGCTTCGATCGCACGATGCACCGGGTTATAGATGCCTTGGTAGACAGAGGGACGGATCCATCCGTGGCGATCGCAGATCTCACATACTTGCGCAACTTCCCAGGACATGAAATTGCTCAGTCCGAGACGTTTGAACTTGCCTTCACCGTGCAGTCTATTCACTTCGCACAAAGTGACCTCCAGGGGCGTCTTTCGATCAGGTGCGTGAAGATACCACAGGTCGACTTGGTCGCATTGAAGAGCTTCCAGGCTAGCGGTCAACGCTCGTCGCAGATCCTCTGGACTGAAAGTGTAATTCTCCGTGTCCCCCATGATCTTTCCGGCGGAGGGATAAATTTTGGTCTGCATCTTTAGTCCTCTCTCCTGCCAGGAACTGTTTCCGAGGAAAGTCTCGGATGTCCCTTGCGCATATATGCGGGAAGTATCAACCTCGCGATGACCATGTTGCTGAAACTTGTCCAGGACATCCTTAACTTCTTTCGGTGTCGTTTGTCGACATCCCGGCAATCCTATCCATTGATCAGTGAGAGTTTGGTCTGGTAGACTGTGAAGGATCGAACTGACCAGCTTGACCAATGGTCATTGCGCCAAATACAATTTTGAGGTCCGACGATTTGCTAGCCATGATGAAGGTCCAGAGCGATAGAAATGGACAATGAAGAAGCGGTTGAGAAAGTCAGCGCAATGTTCAAATTTTTGGAACCCGAAACCTCAACTCTTGGTCTTTTATATCCTTCCTGTACGCAAGAAATCAATACAGCAAGCTCTTTGAGAGGTCGTAGTTCCGGCCTTAACTCCGTTAAACACGTACAAGCGTTACAAGCGGTTCCACTTCTTGTCAGCCAGATCGCCACTTTATATTAGGCTCATGATATTTCAGCCAGTGAGAGTGTTTAGTTTAACCTTAACCCCGAGATTCAGAACCCAAATGTCCCAGTCCAAAGTCCCTGTGCAAAGAATTTATTAACAAGCTTCATCCGCTGTTGGTCGGGAATTTGCCAATCTCTTCTTCCAAGCTTCCAAGGTTATAACTTCAAGTTAACATAACATCAACAATGCCCAATTCACCCATCCCCCTCCCAAAGCCCCGTCGCGTCGTGACTGGCCATAACAACGAAGGTCTCGCAACCGTTCGACACGACTCATACCTCAACATCCAGCCCTACGGCGATGGTACCAACTTGACTCCCTTCTGGTACACTACCGAACAACCGGCAGATGTGAGCAGGAGTCAAGACAAATCCCTCCTGACTCCAAGCGGTCTACCAACTGGTTCGGGCTTTACTGCCTATGATCTCCCGCCTCAGTCCGAGGGACTTTTCCATCGCTCTATTACTCTCGACTATGTCATCGTTGTCAAAGGGAGTGTGGTTCTTGGTCTTGATGATGGGTCTAGAGTCACGTTGAATGAGGGGGATGTGGTGGTGCAACAGGCGACGATGCATAGTTGGAATAATGTCTCTACGGAGTGGGCTCGTGTGTATGGCATTATGGTCCCGGCACAGGCTCCTACTATTAATGGGAAGGAGTTGGAGACTGTTTGGCCTCTTTAATGTCGCTTCTGTCTTTCTGTTTTTATTTTTATTTTTATTTTTCCTGATATTTGACCGGTCGGTTCAGGAAGGAGGGGGACCAATGCAATGTAGGGTTAGCCCCCAGGTACGCAAAGTTATAGAGTATTCCCCTTCAAAAATTGGTCTTTGAGCGTGAATATACCACAATTATGACATATATATATGAGTTACCATACTCCCTTGTCAGTGTCTTATCACAAATCCCTCATGTTTATATAGCTGGCTTTTGCAACCGTCAAGGGTATAGCACTTCTATTAAATGCGTTCGGGTGACGGCGACAATATGCCCACATTGTCCATATCACTTTCCTCGGCGGCAATGGCTAGTGACTGTTGGGGCCCGCCGGGTACTACCACTGGAGGGGACTTAGGGCCGTGTTCGCGATTACTTTGCTATGCTAGTGTGCCCCAATCCCACAGAGGAATATGTCCGCCTGGCCAGAAAAGATTCAAGTCTACAGATGAAGTCGGCAAGTTGTCCGTCCGAGTTTGGCTTATGATTCTACATAGTACAAAGCATACAATTAGGAGACCACTGCATTAGGTGTATTCATTCATGTCTTCTAAAAGTGCAAATGCGTAACAAATCATAAAACCAATCAGATGTACAACAAGACCGGTGAAATCGTACTGTAGAGCTAATATCATGAACATCTCCATCAGGTAACGTGCTCCTTTTCCTCCTCCTTGGGAATTCTGACCCAGATCAAGGTGATCAATGCCGCGACCACTTCACACGCAAGGGCAAACCACCAAATGGCGTGGATGCCCGTGAGGCCGATATTGCCATCCGGCCCTTGATCGACTTTGGTGCCGATGGCATCGGCGACGGCTGTCATCACGGCCGAGCTCAGGTTTTGCATGGTCACTAGCAAGCTACCAGCGCTGCCTTGGTAAGAGCGAGGGACATTGCTGGTGATGTAAATTGATGCTGCGGCAAAGGAGAGATCGGGACCAAAAGTGACGAGTGCCACGCCTGGGAAGGAGAGGGGCCAGTAGGAGGTGTTGGGGGTTTGTGGGAGGAAGAAGGCAGGTCCTGTAGCAAAGGCGATCATGGCGGCGAGGTAGATGTAATGGCCGGGAACGATGTGGAGAGTTCGACTGACAACCCAGGTCGCTAATACTCCGACAATGGCATTGGGTAAAAGGTAAAGTGCGACGGTGAGTGGGCTATTCTGTTGAATTCGAAGCCAGAATTGAACTGCGTAGAATTGCCAGCCACCCTGGAAGCCTCCGTATCCGATGAAGTAGGCTATCATCAACGGGGTGAATCCTTTAATCTTCCATAGGCCATTAGGGATAAGCGGTCGCTTTACCCAGCGCTCGATGAAGAAAAACGCAATCACTAGAAGCACCCCAACGATGACCAAAGCGTAGGTATATGGAATCCACTGAACCACAGAGCCCTGGGTAAGACCAAAGAGGACCAAGATACAGCCAGTGGCAACAAAGGCTGCTCCAATGAAGTCGAACTCGCGAATAGTCGGCACATCGCCGCCGACAACGTCAGCGACCGGAAGAAGCGAGGGCATGGCGTACCAGGCGGCTACCAGGCACAGTGCGCAGATGATAGCGTTCGAGCCGAAGATCCAATTCAGATGGGATTTCAGTGCGCCGCCCTGAATACCGCCCAACCAGAAACCAAAGGGGGCTGTCGCTGACATCGCCGAAAATACTCGATTTTTGCGCAGGCCAGGATTATATACCCTGCCGAGGACACTCATCGACCCGGAGACCAGAACACCCACGGCCAGTCCTTGCATTGCACGCACAATGTAGAAGAGGATTGCTCTACTCGGTGTCACAGAAAAAACGCCGACGATATTCCAAATAGTCAGCCAGGCAAACGCTCCAATCATCAGCGTCCGTGGAGGGCTGAGGTCGTTCAAGGAGCCAGATACTATCACCGACAGACTGAGGGGTAGCGTGAATGAGCCGAGAAGCCAGGGAAGCTCGCTGTTGCTGATCCCAAGCGCGCGTTTGCACTCCTCCTGGTTAACGGTGATATCGCCCAGGAAGAAGGAATACAACAACAGACCGGCAGAACAGACCAGAATGAAGATCACCTCTGCTGTGAAACTGCCCAGCTCCGGGGGAATTCCTTGAGACTTAAAAGCTGGACTACCGGCTTCTTCATCCAGATCAGGCATTCGTGTTGGCGAGGGATACCTGGCCGAGCGGCGGGTTCCAGTACGCTCCATGCGAGAGGGCGCCTTTTCCAATACATCGTGCGAGTCTCCATTCTGATGCTGATTGATGGAGAGAGTTCGCGAGAGATGCTCGAGAGCTTCTCCCATGTGCGAGTCACGGCGACTCCTTGCCGTTGGCAGTTTTTGTAATTCTGCGACAGTCTCCGACCTCTCTAACTGAGAGGAAGTTCTTGTCTCATGGCTGATGGCTGGTGTTAATACCGAGTCTGGAGTTCCCACTTCTTCCTCCTCCACTTCGTAGCTTTTTTTGTGGTCTGGTTGTGCCATCTTCTCTCACGGTGGGATTTGAAGGTCGTTAGCCACTCTCAAATTGAAATCACACACAAAAACAGACATCTTCTAAAAAAAAAAAAATTCGTCGAAGAATTGTTAAACGAGTGGAGCCGGGAACGTCACTAGCAGCGACTTTAAGCAAATTATCGACTCTTCACAGTGGAAGTCGGAAACCAGAATCCTTGATGAGTAAGCGCATCAAGTTCACCTTCACCTTGACCATGATCTTCTTTTCAGATCAGAGAAGTGCACATCTTCTCCCTTCGTGCAGTTTCCAAGATCTCTCATCAACTGAGAAAGCATCTGCATCAAAGCCAGTGTCTTCTCTGGTGAATCTGGCTAAAGCGTTGCTTGCGCTAAGCTCATGATAGCCGCTAGTCCACACAAATAGCTTTGTCGATCTAAAGTTCATTTCTTCGGCAGCGGAACTTTACTTTACTTTGTTATCTATATAATCCAATTATTTATAACAAGCAATGCGATCACCGCACTGGTTTCTCCGGTGCCCAAACTATTTTCTATGGTACTTCTGCTTTTTGCCATTACTTGCTTGACTTAAGAAAGCATCTTCCTTCCTTCGTCTTCCTGTTGGACCACATCGGAATTATTCTGCACATATGGGTTACATCCGTACCGTATCGGTCTTTAGAGAATACAGTACTGCTAGGAGTAATAGGAAACCAACATTTTGAATATCATTTGATTGGCTGGTACGAAATTCACTTGACAAAAGCATATGAAGGTAGAACTCATTGCGAAAACAGCTGTACTCTACCGGAGGTCGATAGCGTATTTATTGTAGTTTTATCATTAGATCGCAAGTTAGATGTATCACCATAGGGACTTCGAAGCAAATAATCAAGGAATTTGTTCTTCAAGATTGCATAGCGGCGAATAGAGGATTTAGTAACATTGGGAGGAATGAAGCGGTAGGCTCGACGAATTGAGCAATCTACTTGCCGGCTTTGAGGCAATTAGTTTTCTTTGCTTGCTGGTACTAAATGCCAAATGCTCCAAGCATCTTTAACCTGATTGGTTATATTAAGCTGTCAGGCCGGCCCGGTGAACCATCTCATCACATTCTCTTCATGTACAACTCAGCCTAACAGTCTTCCAGTCTTACTTGCAGCAACGTAGTATTTATGACCTGTGATTTAGTCTTCTCAGGGTGGCTGCATGATCGACATGTAGGCATGTCTTGGCTGGTGACTGATCGACAACCAACAAAGAAATCAGTTGAACCTATCAGCGTATACACGATTCCAGATCAAGGTATTGGACTTTTAGCCTGTCACAATGTATGTTGCTGCCTAGTATTGACCCAGTAGGGTTCCTCTGAATAATACTTTCTTTTTTTCCCCGCTCAAGTTGACCCTAACATCGATATGAGTTCCTGCCTGGCTGCACTATATCAGCCAACTTTCTCACTTCAGTCACTTCCCCACGGTCCCTCTCTCACTCGAGTCACTTCTCCACCATCCTTTCTTCTCTCACTTCCATTCCAATTCAATCATCAACTAACACCAGTACCGTTCCAACATGGACCACCTCCGTGATTCACTGCTGAGTTCTCTGCCTAGAGATACCCCTTCTACCGCGATGGCCGACTACGCTCGCCGAGATCAGGAAGGCACACGCCAGTCTGTCGCTAGGGGTGAATTCAAAGAGGTTCGCGAGATGGCCTTCGACAATCGCACCTGGGTCGTGACCAGCCGATACTGCGATATTGGAGCTGGCGTCGACTCACTTGAAGTCCACATTCATTCCCTGTGGCATATGTACTACGAGCTTGGCCGAAGCATCTCCTCCGAGTCGCCTGAACATGAGGGAATAGTTCTTGATATCCTCCGCATTCAAGGAATGGGGCCGTTGACCAGACCTACACGAGGAAACCATGGCATTGACATCGCGAGAACCGTCGATGGTACACTGTGGACCGATCTCCCCTTCTTGGTCGGCGACATGACCGACTTCTGGGTCAAGCACGGTGCTTCTATGTCGGGAACACACCGTCTCAACTTTGCTACATTCCTGGCTAAACTTGCATCTACTCGTGTCGCGAAGGATCGGCTGTGTCAGGTCGCTCTTTTGATCTTCCGTGCGCTCTTTGAAACTCCACGAGTCCTTCGTTCTGGGGAAGAGTCTGACGAGGAAGACCTCAACCGAGGTACCAAGCAGCTTGAGGTCTTTCATCTGTTGCCAGCCGCTATTGCCTGGCTGAAGCTAGCCAGTAACAACCTCCTTTTGCTATCCGACGTGTATTGGAACGACTGTCCTAGCCATCTGAGCAAGGGTGGTGAGGATTTCCTTGAATCGGAGCTCGGACAGCGATCACCTGCTGGGTTCTCGCCATGGCGATATATGTTCTGGCTGAAGCGACTTCATGAAATTCAAGACCAGGCCAAGGAAGCCAATGAGAAAGCCCTGGAAGAGCTTGCCGATAATGGAATCCAGTACATGGTCAACACAATCAAGCAAAAGAACTCGGAGGTTCTCAGGGCTTACAAGAATGGTGGCGATTTCTTGCATCAGGACAAACATCTTTCATGCCTGAAGCCCCTTGCACTCGTTGAAGAGCCAGAGTCGTAAATCCTTGGGGCAAGGTTCGAAAAAGACTCATGTCATGTAGACCGTCTCCATTTCTCTCTGTGTCTCTTGGCTTCTTGAGTCTCCAAATTGAATATGAACCTCTCTGTTTCTTACCGTCAACGTTTAATCAAATCAACGTTGTATGCGCTCTCTGTCTTTTAGCGCAAATCATTTGCAAAATTAAATGCCTTTCATATTCAAATTCTACGATACATCTATCTAGATGTCCTTTAATCATGCCTCTACGCAGTTAGACTTGGGCGCACGCAAAGACCATCTACCTAAATAGCTAACTGTAAGTCCACGATGTAATACCAAGAATATGGTGTATTTCTGAGATCATTGCCTTCTCCAGATAGGAAGTATCCCCAACTAGGGACACGTAATAGTGGCGATTCTAGATGGGGGCGATTCAGCGCTGGCTATCCAACACGCATGAAAGTCAGCTTCTTCTGTCCTATACCGTCACATGAGCTTTCTCACCTCCAAGGTGCCCGAGGCTGCGATTTCATTTGCCAATCACATTCAGCCAGCAGAAAACATAAAGGAGAAATAGAGCCATTGGACAACCGCCCGGGGGCCATTTGACGCCGATGTCCCGAAGTCAGGTCCCCTACTGTAGGTAAAGTTCATGTACGTAGTAAACCATAAGTACCACGCGTGGCCCCGTGCTAGGCGTCTGGGCAAAAAGGGATAACGCTAGGGAGATCACTGGGGTTTGAGTGTATCCACCACTCCGTCTGTACCTGCTTCGTCTTACTGTGAAATCACCTGTCTATCTCCACTCAATGAATTCCGATGTTATATACTATACTAAGCTTAGAACTAGTTCTAATAATAATGACTGTCAATTTTGACCTTTTCATCTCATAGGCCTCTGAGGACGGAATTTATCATTCAACCACTGAGATTATTTCAGCCTTGGACGAAAAGAACTAACTCTGGGTCGGGCCGGTCCACTACAGACTTGGCGCATGAACCTGGCGCCTGAACAGAATTGATCGCCGGATGAATCGCCGATCAACGGTTGTCGGTTCCAAAGGCTGAATTTCACTAAATGAACTATTATTCCAGAGCCGACTGCTATTTGACGAAAAAAAGAAACGAGAAGCCCAATTCATAATTTGGTTTTGGGTACCCTTCAAAAACTCCAGGTAAGATTTCGGAGCTATCTATATACGGAGCATTGCGGACTCAAATTCGTGCATGTACAACCCACGAGACTCTCAATTTCTGTCAGCGTCGGACAAGCCTACGGATTCTTTACTCTACCCTCTTGTTTTATTTACGTACAGTGAAACTAGGTCTCGCATCCTTTTACACTACATGGAGAAGCCTGCAGTGTTACATCGCATAACTGCCCCAGTTCGTCGAATTTTGGCCCCTGCCTTGCAGCAGGCCACAAGGCTTTGTATGCAGGGCTTTGAGGCTTACCGTTGGGGCAGATCAGCATGACCCTGAACATAGCCAATGATACCCTTGCCGGTTCTATACTCCAAGAACGACCAACATACCACATTCGGGGATCTGACAATCATTCCTCCTTGCAATATCACCGCGGATGTGCAGTAAGGCCACCCAGCACTTCAATATGGTAGTATTGGGTCGGCTGCCTTGATCCTTCTGCGTGGGCATCACATCCCAATGTGGTACAGTTACTAACAGATCAAGAAATCTACCTCGATGATCATGCTCACTATCACGTTGAGTTCTTCCGGTATGAGGCATATCCTTGATGAGATAGCTTGGATGATCCTTCGACTGCAGCAGCGTTCCTGATGACTGCATCAAAGTAGAGGATGGTATTTGTCAAATATCACAGGAAGAACCCAGCAGTGTCTCTATAAGACAGCTCCATCGCCCTCCCATTTTGAAAGTATCAATCTCATCACCACTTCAATCACCACTACTATACCGCAATCTTCTACAAGGCTCATCATTCACCATGCAAATCACCAACATTGCCATTGTCCTCTTCGCCGCCATGGGCGCCGTAGCTACACCCATCGCAGCCGAGTCGGACGGTCTTGATGCCCGAGACACACAGCTGAGCAAATACGGAGGAGTAAGTTCTTCATATCAGCTGTCTATACAGAGATAAATTAACCTCTCTGAACCACTTCACAGGAATGCAGCTTGCAACACAACACGTGCACTTACAAGAAGGGTGGAAAGGACCATGTTGTCAATTGCCCCACGGCTACCAACAAGAAGGTGAGCCCCGATTCGATTTCCGGCCAGTTGATCTGTTCTAACCATCTGATTCTTGATATATAGTGCAAGACTGATCGCCACCACTGTGAATACGATGACCACCACAAGACCGTCGACTGCCAGACCCCAGTTTGAACCAATTATACGTCCATGAACAGAATCTGTGACTGTTCTTGCTATCCCCGGCTCAGTATTGGTCTGAGATGGCTCGTGTCTCTCAGTGCCCATAGTCTTGCGTCTATGATGGCTTTGAACAAGTAGTGGATTTTGTCGGGACCGGGATGATGGTTTCGTACATTCCCGGGGTTTCTTTTTGATTACTGTTCTTTTTATCACCACACTCGTTCAGTATCTAGCTAGCTCTACTTTAATCAACATTTTGCCCATTGATTGCGAATCCTATTGAGTAGTATTGCTAGTAAAAGTGGCATTTCTGACAATTTCTGAGGTCCAGGATAGTATCTGGTATACACAGAGCAAAAAAGAACCGTTGACAAAATAGCACCCATTTGTCGACCAGATTTTAACTAAAAGGAATGATACTGAGCCCTCGTTAAATGAGAAAAGTATAAAACAACGGCTGGTATGCCAGGGCAGGTTTCAGAGGCACTTCAAGTTGGTGTACAGGACTTTCACAATTTTCCCGTGCAGCTCAGCCTGGCAGGTGGATTATCGATGCCATTCCCATTCATAAGTCTTTGCTGACAGAAGGCTGGTGTAGTATACTTTTCTCACTCATGTATGCTCAGTAAAATAATTTATGGCTTGGATGCCCGGGGGAGGTTTTCAACGGATGGTGCAGGAATGGGGCCGTGTCTTGACAACGCTGGCTGAACGACCTTATGCATTCACTCTGCGCATCTGTCCAGGTCGATTTCTCACTATCTTCAAGTCTCTTACCGTCTTTGATATTTCAAAGCGTATTGGAATTGATGGCAAAGAGGTCGATTTGCCCGCTGGATTCCTACCTGGCATTATCAGTCACCCTATCCCATTCCAGGTCAATATCAGACCGCGAACTGAGCATTGTGAGATGTTGATAGATACAATTAAGACAGAGGATCCGTGGATGAAGGGAGACTCAGACATCTTTGACGCGATCGGTCCTGGGCATTTTTGAAGGATTATCCCCCGGGACTCCTCGGTCAAGTTCTCCCAGAATGATAGCATGACAGATTTTACATAAGATATGTCATAAGACCAGTAGTTAAATATCAGAGTCTACGCTGACTCGAGGATTCAGCGTTCAGTTTATTTTCTATTACAATGCCATCAATATTGCATAAGTTTGATTATACTCTATCTCACTCACCCAACTAAAAATCCAGAGACAAGCGTAATCCCACAGCTGGATAGGGAAGTTACGCACTATCGGTCGCTCTTCTTCGGTCTAATTAAGCTAGGTATACGAGGCCTACCAATTACGCAAATCACGATATGAAAAAGATCTCCCTTATAGCTCGTGTGAATCTTTAGGGATTACGTGCACTTATCGCTTAGGGAAAGCAAATCATTATAGGTCTCTCACTGTTTAAAAGCAGTAGAAGACTTTTAGCTTATCTTACCATGAAAATGAAGTCTCACTTAGTATAAGGTTTAGCATATCAAACCGAATAGAGGGAAAGTTAGAGCTTCGCGAGGGTCAAAATTTTAATAGCGCCAATATACTCCTATATAAGGATACGATCGCTACTATGTTGAAATCTAGCTAGTTTCGCCCATTTTCCCTTGACACGAATTTGGCCTCTTAAGCGCCGATTTCTACAGCATCTAGCGAGCTTCGACACCGACCACTTTCTTTCAAGGCCCTCCATAAGCCTTGGGAGGAAGTGACATATTAGCCACGCTGAATTTGAGAGCCATGAAACAGCTTTTAAACACCTAAATCGGCGGCAGCTAGCATGAAATGACCTATGTACGTCAGAGGCTTGTCGGCGCTACACTTTGTAAACGCCTTTAAATAGCCATGGAATGTGTGGCTAAAAATGGCCGGCTTGGCGGGAGTAGGTTGTGGGGAATGTGAAGCAAGACACACAATGCAAGATCGGGATTTGTGAATTATTCTCTCTCAGGTTCAGTGCTGGAGGCCATTCCTGTCAGAAGCAGGGCATTCTCATCACCCCAGGAACAGAACCAGGTGGCTTAGTCTGACCCAAGGATAGCAATTTCAGTTCCAAGGAAAGAGCGATATTGGGTCTTTGATTTCCATAGGCTGATGTCTCAGAATGATTCAAATAGTAATTTGATGTCTTGAAACTTTTACCCGATATTCACCATCCTTCTCAATGTCTACCTGGGTATCCTGGATATGTTGGGGTTATATTGGCAAAGCTTGTAGAATGTGTCTCAGGTGGTGTAAATAGGGATGAAGTTAACACATACTTCGGAAGTCGGGTGGGTAAGTAAGCAGACATGAACTTGGACGTCAAGTCTGACAGATTGATGCGGGGTGGTCCGAACCTACAATCCTTACATATTTCTCTCGGACTTCCTCATGGTAATGGCAGGTCTGCCGATGTGCGTGATGGCACGATGATGACGGTGTAGACGTTGACTCATGGTGGACATGCAGATGGCGGTGTCGACCATTGCAGATGCATTTACAGTTTACTCACAGCCCCAATGCATATTGTTTACAGCTTTCATAGAGTGTGTACTCCGTAGTCCATTCACAATCCATGTATGCATGGATATCCGAGTACAGCGAATGGGAGGCGCGCAGGAGGACAGGGATCCGGCATGCCGCTTGGAAACGTCCCTGGCAACGGTAAGACCAAAGGGGCAAGCCGCTGAACTGGACATTTGATCAAATGCCAGATTGAGAGGCTGGGATATCTTAGCGCTGAGCCACGAGGTGTCAGGGTTAGGATGAGGCGCCACAGGGAGCTAGAAGATAAGGGCGTCCGAGTGCACTCGTGAGCATCCGTTGGGAGTTGCCTGTCCCCGTCAGGCCCAAGTCAGGTTCTCAAGTTATCCAGTGTCTGGATACGCGTCAGAATGGGAATGCATCGTGTCTCATAGGAAGATCACAGCGTCCAAAGCGAAAGACCTCGTCAGCGACCCGCCGCCCCTCTTGTCGTCGCCCGATTGGGACTAGCGCAGTTTCACTATGAGACGAGCGGGTTGTCTGTGCTGGACGAGATCTTTAATTAGAGGTTGGTTTCAGAGGAAAAGGTGATGGGAGAGGGGACCGGATAGGGTTATATTTATATTCCAGTCCGCAAAGTGTCGCCCGTAGCTGCTTGAGTCGTGTTATTAATATGAAGTACCCCCCAGGTACTTCGTCCACCGCAGCTCCACAGCGGCAATCCTGGTACCTGCGGAGTACTTGTATCGCATCCCCCCCTGATACAGACATTCCTCTGGTCTACGGGCTGCTGGTCCAGCTTCATTGTCAACTTCCCTTGTGCCAATCTCCCCCGAGGTGAGTACGAACTACGCTATTTGCTCAACTCTTCACATCCTACCTTATCGTCTACCCTGGACTGTCACCTATTACCCCCCCGTTCCCCACACCGGTTGACTTGGACTAATTTTATTTTGTCTCAGTGTCGCTTTCCCAGGGAAAACTCACCCCTCTTTTCTCTAGTAAACACTTTAAACGCTTGGTGAGCCCTTCAGGGCTTCATCTTCGCTTATCAGCCCCTGTCGATCCCTGTTCCGCCTGGGGAAGGGACTCCTTTTGACGAGGACTGGTCTCCTTGTCTGTGCTTAGATCGTGCGATGTGGACTGGATCTACTCAGTACCTAGTTTCTCGATATGCCTCCCGATGACCCATTCTCGTTTCTGCCCGAGCAGCCTCGGCCCCAGCCTCAGTCCAAGTCCACAAAGTCGCTATGGAGGGAGAAATTGTTCTCCAAGTCCAAGAACAAGGGTGCGTCGCATCAGGAGATCGCAGACTTCCTAGGCTCGGCTAGGGGAGCGCCTGCACCAGAACCGGCTCCAGTTCCAGCACCGCCAACGATTAACCCGCGATACCATGCGCCAAATGAGGCTCGCGCTTCTCCGTCTAATGATGTCTCCGTCCCTGCGAAGCCAGCCCCACCCCCTCCTCGTGACAACTATGCCGCCTTTGACTTCTCACAACAGTCGACGCAACAACAACAACTACCACCGCCAACAAAGCCCCGAAAAGGCAAGGGACTCCGGGTGGAATTCTCAAATAAAACTCCAGCCGTAATCGGGGAAGGGGGCGATGAGTCGGAGACTCCCACAATTGAGATCTCACGTGCGCGCCAGAGATCACTCAGCAGCAGTGCGCTGTGTGGAAATGAGCCCGAGACCGAACCCGAACCCTCAGAATCACGATCCAATTTGCCCGCGCTTCGAGTGGACACATCGCTGGGCGATGGCAGCGCGCGACCTCGGCGAACGGCCACGAGGCGGGACCCCCGTGGGGACCCCAGCTGGAAGCCACCCCTCATGCATAACGTCCAGGATGCTGATTTCTTAGCCACACTGCCTTCGAGTGCAAACGGCTCGCGGTTATCATTCCGGGGCGATTCCGAGGAAGCTTCGTTTGCGCAACGCGTTCGCGACAAGATGTCGGAGGAGGAAGGCCGTGCATTGCACCGTGCGTATGATGATGATACGCCTTCTCCTGGGGCAGATTATGAAGACCTACCCACTCCTCCTAGTCCTCCCAGTCCAGAACCGCCGCTGAAGGAGGATCATGTGTCGGAATCTGGTTATGATCCAGCCCCATTGTCGGTTACATCGTCTGCGCCGTCGGTCTCTCTATCGATGCAGTCAATTGTACACTCCATTCGCAATCCTCCAAGCCCTGTCGCCTATCGCAAACCAGAAAGTCTCAGTCCTGTTGATTCTCGCATGCCCCCGAGTCTTACACCAGGTAGCCCCGGCAAGGTTTCGCCAACACGCGCTAACCCACCACCCCCGGAATTGCCTCCCTCAAACCCCGCGTCACCTCCCAGTCGCGAAGAACAAGAACCACCGCGCAATCCCCAACAGCCCAAGTTCTCTTTGCGCAATGTCGCCAATCAGGTCAATGAAACCGCATTTGCTGAATTCAAAGAGTATAATGCGAGATATGAAAGTCTTATTCAATTGGCAGCGGAGAGTGTCAAGCCGCTAGTCGAAACATCTCTAACAGAATGGGTCCGGGCTGCGATTTGGTGGTTCTTGCGAGGAAAGACACGATTGGAAGCGTATGCTCGCTCCCGTTCAACGGCGCCGCCCAGTCTTGCTCGACAAGCCGTGATCGATCTCGGAAAGGCATTATGGATTAATGAACACATCGTTCCCAGTCACAGTGAACTAGCTAAATACGGGCCTATGAGCGTTGACGCTCTACTTGCAGTCACAAGCACTACTGGCGACAAAGTTCTGGCCGATCTTCTCAGTTTACACCAAGTTCTTTCTAACCACCTTCGGTCGCTTTCCATGTCTATCAAGCGAAACAACATCCTTGCAGCGGTTGTTTCAGACGATGGGTCTCCTACTCAATTGGACACCACTATCTGGTTACGATATCCTTTCTACGCTCCTGATGTCTCTGCAGTTTTGTCTGGCGCAGCAACAAGATCGATGTTGGCAGACAGTGCCAGCAAGACGCCAAGCCTGGTTCATATGATGCCTCTCAGCGACACAAGCCGTTACTTCAGCTACGGTAATCTGTTTGTGCAAGTCTGCGTAAGCTCCAATGACGACGATGGGCAACAGCAATATGCGATGCCCTGTGTATTGACCATCGTTCGCGAACGCGCAGACTGGTACGTTTGCGCGGCGATCACTAGTCAAAGTCAGCTTGTCAACATCCTGATTCAATCTGATCGCAAGCAAGGACCCACATGGGAGGATGTGGACTGGCAAGTCCGGTCCAATTCTATGAGTGTCAAACTTCCTCGAGGATTCGAGTTGGATGTTATGTTCAAAGAAGAAGATTTCAAAGCACTGTGGAACATTGTTAAATATACCCAAAAGTCGGAAGCCAGTCTACATCCCGAGGCTGGTGAGACTGTTGTCTTTGAGAATACTGTCAAGATGTTCCAGTACATGGACCCGGGTACTCCCCGGGCATTCCCTCCTGATCCCTTCGAAAGGTGTCGGGTCCGTCTGTTTGAGCGGTCTGTGACTGTGACAGAAGGCACTGGGACTCGCAATGCGCACCGGGGCTTCCGTCTTGTTGTCTTGACTAGTCCCAAGGTGAAGACTTTGAGCAGCATTCGTCATATCCTGGGTCACGGCTCCCCAATCGTGTTTGGTCTTTTGCGTGGAGAGGACGGTGCGCCTGCTCTTCTTCTGAAGGTCACTGAAGATGGCCGCCAGAGATCCATGTTGATGACTTTCCACGAGGTGGAGGAGCGTACCAGTATTCACTCTGTTCTACTCGGCATGGTTCCGACGGAAACCGAGCTTAAATCACCCGACATACCTATCTCCTCTTACTGCATTGAGCAACCAGCAGACCCTGTCACTGGCCAGCCTCCCGTGAAATATGTGCAATTCCCCGCTGGGAGTGTGTCGGTCATTGATCAAGAACATGAATACGTTGAGCACGGTTATGGACCTACAATTCTATCGGAACATTTGAGGGCTTTCGTCGCTACCGAATGGGGCTCTGTTACAGACCGTATCAACTTAGGTGGGTGTTTTCTCTTCGCGGTTACTATTTAATCAATACTAACTCCGTCTAGGTCCTGGTGAATTGAAGATCGGCCTGGATGTTAATCGTCAGAATAGCATGAGCTTATTCCGCTCAGCGCAGCAGGACTTGACTCTCTCGCTCGCGGATAATCTGATCCGCCCTGAGATGTCAGCGCAATTAACGAGCTTCTTGGAGAAGATTACTGTGAAGCCGATGGTTCGCCGATTTGAGTTCCCCACGATGCAAGGTATGTTTTTTTTTTCTCATCTGGATTGGTAAACGCCATACTAATCAATCCTACAGATCTTCATGCATTTGAGCAAGCTGTCACTGGCTTCCAGGTTCTCTACGATGGGTATGTTACATGACTCTGATATTCGCATATTTGCTAACTTGCCCAGAATGGCAACATCCTTTACCATTTCCCGCCGGCGAATGGTCGTTCCCATTTACAAGAAGTGGGAAGCACCCCTGGCTCGAATCCAGATTATTCGACAAGAGAAAGTCGTTCAATTGCTTGTCTTCTTCGCTGATTTCCAACACGGCAGCTGCATGAACTTTGTTCTGAAAGGCACTGATCTCATGGAGTCGTTCACCCGGTCTGGCAAATTTGGCATTCGCCTTGTAGATGCCAAATTCGCACTTCCTAGGAAGGACGAGGATCCCTCTTCCAACTTTGTCTGTCTGGACATGCCCGAGTATCCTATCGAACACGACGATCTTGCCATTTCGTTCGATACAGACGCTGGTGAGTCCACCCTCCCCCAAGTTGCCAAACATATACTAACAACTCAGCCCGCGCCTCCTTCCGAGCTGCTCTGCCAGGATCAGTGCGAGAGCCCTCCCGCATGGGCTCCATCCGCCGTTAATCTCCCACGTGACTGCTTACGTGTTCCCCCTCATTTCCCCCACATCCTACATGTTTTCCCCGTTGGTGTATCATAACCTTCTCTGTGCATACAATTCAAGAACATAGCATATCATGCATACTAGCGAGTCCATTGGCGCTTCCACGCGTTCCCTACACGCTGACGATGCCTTCAACGTCGTCACAGATGTTGCCCCTCCAATTCACCTCTCCACCACATTCCGTTACTCAGATGATCCCAACCAATTAGTTCCTTACGCTGATCTCTCCGTATGCCTGTCTTCCATAAAACTCCCCTGGGAACATCCATATCCTAACCCCACGTAGGCAACCAGCAGCCCAACAACCCACGTTTACTCCCGCGCCACAGCCCCCAACCCCTCCCGCCTGGAAGCCATCCTCTCCTCGCTCATCCACGCCGAATCAATCACCTACTCCTCCGGCCTCTCAGCCCTTCATGCAGCCCTCACCCTCCTCAACCCCCGCCACATCTCCGTCGGCGATGGCTACCACGGCTGCCACGGTGTCATCGCCCTCTTCACTCGCCTCACAGGCCTCAAGAAACTAGAACTAGACTGTCCCCCCGACGCCCTGGAAAAAGGCGACGTCATTCTCCTCGAAACCCCTGTTAACCCTTACGGCACCGCTTTCGATATCGCCCACTATGCCGAGAAGGCCCATCAGCGCGGCGCCATCCTCATCGTTGATTCGACCTTTGCCCCGCCCGGCTTGCAGGATCCTTTCCTCCACGGTGCCGATATCGTCATGCACTCCGGCACCAAGTACTTTGGTGGCCATAGCGATATGCTCTGCGGTGTCCTTGCTACCAAGAACGCAGACTGGGCCAGCCAGCTGAAGACCGATCGCGTCTTCCTTGGTAGTGTCATGGGTAATCTGGAGAGTTGGCTTGGGGTGCGCTCGCTGCGCACGCTGGAAGTCCGTCTGCAGCGCCAGAGTGACAATGCTACGCGTTTGGTGGCTTGGTTGGATTCTTGCTTGCGGGTTCGCGACCCCGAGGCTAAGAGTGATGCGGCTGTTGTGCAGGCCGTTCTCAAGCAGATCTTCCATGCTAGCGTGCAGAAGGTTGAGGGCGATTGGTTGGAGAAGCAGATGCCGAATGGCTTTGGGCCCGTTTTTGCTATTGTTATGACTGAGGAGCGCTTTGCTAAGGAGTTGCCGGCCAAGTTGGGCCTGTTTCAACATGCTACGAGTCTTGGGGGTGTTGAGACGCTTATTGAGTGGAGGACTATGTCCGATGCTACTGTTGATCGGAAGTTATTGAGGGTTAGTATTGGATTGGAGAACTGGGAGGATTTGAAGAATGATTTGGCTAGAGCCTTTAGAGAGTTGATTCAATAGATCGGAGGTTTATCCTCTGCCGTTTGTACATATCTTATACTCAGGCGCGGAATTTACCCCGCATTGACCCTTTTATTGGCCGCTTCGATTCTTTCTCTCACCTCACTTCTCAACTTGAACTCTTCCTTCCAGACTGTCGTTGCTCTTGCGCCCAGTTATCATGTCCACCTTTACAATTCACTACTTCGCAACTGCTTCCCAATATACAGCGAAAAACACAGAATCCCTCGCTGCACCACTCCCCCTCCCAGATCTTTTCAGTCAACTTGAAAAGCACTATCCTGGAATTGCGGACAAGATTCTGTCCAGCTGTGGTGTCAGCCTCAATGGCGAATATGTCGATGTGAAGGAAGATGTCGACGTGGTGATTACGCCTGGAGCCGAGGTTGCCATTATTCCGCCAGTGAGCTCGGGATGAGTCTTACCAGAGGGTGTCTTTGATTGTATATATCGAATGGGGTTTTAATCGACTGGTCTCACGCCTTTTGCTGGTAACAGTGGATTCGATGTGAAATGATGAGCTTGGTTTTACATGTAATTGAGTATTAGGGCGGACGCTATGTATATAAAGCAGACAAAAGAAATGAAATGAATGTCAACGGCTCTCCATCACCATATAACTCAGACCCTCTCCAGTATTCCCTGGCATCCCCTTCCATTCCCATCTCCCTCCCATACACTCCCTCCCATACACTCCCTCCCATACACTCCCTCCCATACACTCCCTCCCATACACTCCCTCCCATACACTCCCTCCCATACACTCCCTCCCATACACTCCCTCCCAAGCATACCCAAATACCAGTCTTACTCAACAGCCTTCTCAGCAAGAACCTTCTTCTTCTGCTGCCACAAACACACCGAACAAATAGTCGAAAAGAAAAACAAGATACTAACCAAGTTCACATCAGCATCAAATCAACTTCAACCGTGGAAGATAGAGAGGGACAAACTCACCAAAGAGCAATGCTCAGCCCCCAAATAGCCTTCATCTCAAGACAAATAGCCTTGCTAGCCCCAATCCAAGAAACATAATCCACCTTCCCACTCAGACTAGCCAAATACCCCGACAACCGGCTCGCGAACGCATACGCCGTGGCATCTTTGTCGCCGAGCTCCGCCAGCGTCTCGCATTTCAGGTACGAAAGTGGCTTGCCGATTATCACGGCTACGACGATCAGCGCGATGAGGAGGAGCAGGTCGAGTACTGCGCACGGTAGGAAGGGCAGGATGTCGTCTTTAAAAAGGATTGTGCTGATTATGCAGTATATGGCGGCGATGCAGGTCTTTTGTTTGGCACTTTGTTGGTTTTTGGTTCTTGTTTGGTTAGGGTTGGGGAATGGTGCTTACCACGCTGATTGTGCCAATGACTATGTTTGGTGGCGTGGCGTTTGATGAGACGATGACTGAGATGAATTTGGCTGTCATGCCGATTATGGCGATTAGGGAGCTAGTTTGGAAGAGGCGTGAGATGAGGAATGTTGCGCCGAGGGCTCCGTAGCGGCTCATTTTGGGTGTTGTTTGAGCTTGGTGTTTGGATGGATAACGTATTAGGTCTTGTTGGACTGGACAAGCGACTTTTTGATTAATGCAGATGCAGGTTGATATAGTCGAAAGGACAACTTCAAGTTTGACGAATTGAGAACTGAAACTGAAACAAAGGAAGTAGATTTGAATGAAGACGAAGCTGAGGAATTGAAATCCTACCCGGTCCAGTCCTGTCTTATATAGCAACAAAGGCATCGAACAATGACCTCAACATCCTCCAGTCTAGATCCTATGATTAATTTAGCAGCAGTCAATTCTAGACCATCTATTGACCCAGCTCTGCCGTCCTCGCTTTGTGCGTTACAGGCTTTCTGGGGATCAAGCGCCCCCGGCTGAGAATGTCCAACCCGACTGGTTGCTCGCGAGAGCTGTATGCTAGATCTGGCGATCGGCATGAATGACAGCTAAAGCGACTCTAAGCTCTGCGTTCTAGACGGCTCTGCCTTTGCGGAAATATCTTTGGTTCTTGCTGGGTCCACCCCGGCGCTTAGGAGAAACCCTAACTGGTCCCCGAGTCTTCTCGGCCACTCGTTTGCTGGGCGTTTACTCATCTGAAGCAGGCGCTTATCTGTAACTGGGCGATTCATCTGCATTGTAGATCTCGTTTCATCATTGGTACTATTTATTTTCTGCAATCTGTTCTTATTGTCCGATGCGCGTGTGGACAGGGATGAGGTTAATTTCACGAGTCGGTACTTCTATCAGGGCGGATCGCCTGCGATCTATCTATTTCTTGGACTGCGCCTCATTTTTGATCGATTCATGATTAATTAGTTATTTACTTGTTCCTGGATACAATTATAGATGAGAGCATGTTCCGACGTTTACTCGTGCAATCTCCAGCCACCGCTGGTCCGCTTCTGGAAGAAGCCATCAGGGTCATAACGCTGTCTCGTCTGCAGGGCTTTGGCCTTGGACGCGGGACTGATACGGCCCCAGTAGTCCTGGCGGTAGTATGCATCGTTCATGAACAGTGGGCGGTACACATCAGGGAGGAGACCTTCGTTGATGTTCTTCTGGACTAGGTTGTCAAGACCTTGGTAGAGCTCGATGTTGGCGGCGTCGATTTTGGAGTCGTCTATCGAGAGGGCGTACGAAAAGTCCAGCTCGATGAAGATGTATGGAGTGTCAGTGGGGACGTCGAGGAGATCCTGGGATTCGTTAGCTATTGTCTCGTTGATCGGTATTGGATGGATTATGTACTCCGCCACGATCCTTGGCCTTCTGGGAAAAGGTCTTGGGCACGGGTTGGAAGGCAATTGAGCCCAGAACTCCAGTTACTTCCAGTACGGACTCGGTCACGTTGAACCAGTGGTCGTAGTACTCTTGGAGCACGTCTGCGCCAACGGTCTTGTTAGGGAGAGGAGTGGTCTCGGTAGCGATGGTGTAGCGTTGTCCGCTGCTAATAGTCAGTATATCTTCGTCATATCGCTTGATGTTCGACTCACTGGAGAATGAAAAAGTCATTGTTCTTCAGCAGATCATAATAGCTGTCCCATGTCTTGGCGGTAGAAGTGTGCTCAATGTCGGTGAACTCATCGAAAACCCCAGCAGGGGGCTCAGGGCCGTCATAGAAGACGAACATGATCCAGAAGTCAATGACCAGGCCATGCTCAGAAGTCAAGATGATCGCTGCCTTGTCATCAGGGTACTCATCGACAAAGTTGCGAAGAGCCTTCAGAAGCTGAGGAGTCTTGTCGGAGGTGAAAATGAAGTTTCCACCCCATACCTTGTGCTCTTGCGGGTGCGTCTGCATGGTGTATGCAGTCACCACGCCGAAGTTGTTACCACCTCCCTTCAAAGAGGCAAAGAGATCGGTGTTCTCCTTTTCGTTCGCATGAACAATGGTGCCATTGGCCAGGACAACTTCGTAATCCTTGACATTGTTAGCAGCCCAGCCGTACTGGGTGCTCAGGAAGCTCATTCCACCTGAGAGTGTTAGATTGTCATTCATCAACGCTGAAACCCTCACATACCTCCAAGCATATATCCTCCAATCCCGACACCTCCCAGACGACCTCCAACAACACACCGTCCAGTCCCATCAAGACCTTTCTGGGCCTCCTCCCAAGAAAGTCCAGGTCCAATAATAGCAGTGTTGTCCTCAGGGTTATAGTCGACTTGATCCAAGTTCTTAGTCGAGACCAGCAATCCATCTTGGATACTGGCGAATCCATTGTTCGGCATATGACCACCAGACTTGACAGCAAATAGAGTATCCACGTCATGCAGGTTCTTGATGACCTGGGACATCTCCGCTGCGCTAGATGGAGCGGCGATACAGGTAGGCTTGAGATCACCGCATGCCGCAGACCAATATTCGGTCAGATCGCTGTTGTAAGTGATTGAGAGCGGGTACTCGATGTCGATGCCTCCGTTTTTGAGTGTTGAGCAGATATCTGCCATTGCATGGGGAGCAAAGGCCGCAATAGATAGCGCCGTGGCGCGCCATCTGTTGTTTCCGAACATGTCCAAGAGAGTGTGGGTGATATAATTGAATATTGATAATATAGTCAAGAATTAGAAATGGTATAACGAGAGAACTGTAGGCTCGTGTAGAACCCTGCGGATACAGATCAAGTTAAGATTGAATTGCAGGATTGGGATTCAGTATATATAGTCATCCTGAATAGCGTCCTCGGGGAATATTTCTCAAGCCACCCAGTGGATCCAGCGAGAAGGGATCTGATCCACCGAAAAGGAAGGGATTTCACCTGAGCAGCAGTTCAGTAGCTCCATCGAATCCAACCGAGGGTCCACTACTCCGTACACCGGGGCAAGGTACAGCAATCGGGTATAGATTCCGGATCCAAACTTTGAATTTCATTTGTGACGAGTTCAGGATAGACTTTGACAAAGTAGGGTTCGGCATAGATGCAGAACAAGCACATGGGTACAAACGTAGCCTCGGATGAACTACGAACAGGGCAGAATCCAAACGAGTCAGCGTTCGGATGAAGCATCTGCATAACCGAGATGACTTTCTGCGCCGATCGAGGACCAGATAAGTATAGCCATGGAGCGTCAACGGCAGAGCAGGGGGTGAACAGGGTATCGCATGCATTGGTAGATACCGATCGGGCAATTTCCGTGTCCATCGCTGTCATGGTCGTTAAGCCATGTCCTCGGGCCTATGATCGACGGTATATTGCTCCGATGTGTTTTGACTTGGAATTCACCTGGCCTTCTAGATGCAATGGTCTGCCAGCTCGCAAACCACACACTGCTCTAATCGCATTGGCGAACTGATTTTTCTCCCAACTCCTATTTGAAAGTGGAGTGAAAGTGAGACACTGATCGTCAGGCCCAACGCAAATCGAAGAACTTGCGGGGGATTTCCCCTAAATGGGTTGAAGCGCCACATTCGGGAGACCCAGCTCGCTTAGGCCGGCGAGGAAATGATATTCATGACCTGTCAAGTTCGACGTTCTGTAGATCGACTTGGCGAAGTCTTTCTCAGGTTCGCTCTCACATGAAGTTGCGCTTCTCTCCGAGCCGGACCAAACGATGGCTTAAACGATGGCTTAAACGATGGCGAATACGCCGGGGGGTTCCACTGCTTTTTTCAAAGTGATCGCCAAGTTTCTCTTTGGGATATATATGCACGTACAAGCCGTCTTCCCAAAAAGTACCGTGGGGGTGGTTCTTCAGGGTGTTCTGTTGCCGGGGTAGTTGCACTGGGTTGTCAACTATCAGGGCAACATCTGAGTGGACGAGCACAAAGTATCGGATGTACATGAATTGTACCGTAGATAGTTATACTCGGCCCTTTTGGGCAGAAAATGGACTCCGATAGGTTGTGAAAGCGACAGCGAGTCGCACACGACACCCCTGTCCTTACCCCTGTGAGCTGCCGATCTCAACGAGGTCGTCGGGTCAGGGCGACCGGGGCTCGGGCACTATTGTCCTTGGCGAGGCCGGCGAGGTGTCTGAGGACATGCTGGCTGTGGTGTATTTCATGTGGAGTTCTATTTGCACAGTGAATAATAGCCTATTTTCGAGTGTCGATCATGTTCTGAGAATAGAAACATTGCGCATTCGCCTCGATATCAATGGGAGAAACTAACACAACAGCGTTAAAATATAAACAAGGAGCTATCATACAAGCTGTTATACATTGATGTATAGAGATGGGTTTTTATTGTCTCAAAAGAAGCCAAAATAGTCTGTACAGAAGGCTTCAACAGTCTTCTACGTATCGTCCCGCAACCATTTTATTTGAGCATAGTCTCAGAGCTATTGTTTCCTGCTGAACTCAAGTTGATATCTTACTCAGCCCAAACAAAATGTTCCTTGAAGATGCGTTGATCCTACGTATACTTCACAGCAACACGATTGGTTGAATCATTTGCACATACCGCCCAGGGCGGTAACAGAACTGCAGGCAGAATGACTAGTTTTCCAACTGGAACCTTTGCAATTACCATGTGTTAGCTCTGGCCATGGCACTTATGAAGATAGGGGCATTGCAGAAACTAGCAGCTGTCCGAAGAGCTGGCTTGCAGTCAACATGGCGACAGCGCGTAGGGTGCGCCCTCACTGCGCCTGCGCGTCTTCCGCTCACGGCGCGGCTTTTGTCAACCACGAATTCGTTCAAGTCAACTGAAGCTGTCGAAACAGAAGATACAGTATGTGGTACCAATATGTGGTGTATGAATACGTACTAAATATCTCTCTTGTGCAGCAGCAGTCATCGGTAGAGACCGAAGCACAGCAAAACACCTCCGACCTCCCAAAGCTCGTATTCGAAGAACATGGAGATATTCGCAATTACTTGTCCCAATGGGCGGCACAAAACCCATTGGACATGGACCCAGTGCGACAACTCCGCTCTCTCCGCTTCATGAAGCCAACCATCGGCGCAATGCCTAACAACCGAGAAGCGTCGGATGTTTGGGGTGTGCAAGAGAGAAGGAATGAGAACACAGATGATGAGGTCTTTGGAAATGACCACCTGGAGCCCGGTGATCTGATTGTCCGCTTGGATTCCTACGGCGCGTTCACCTACGGCATCTATGTGCGATCCGTCCACAAACAACGGCAGTTTTACATCTCTAATGGCAATTGGCGCATCTGCAAGGCTATCGAGTTTGACTATGCCATCAAAGGATTTGCCCCACCTGAACTTCTCGAGCCGTTGATAGAATGGTTACCGGATTCTGAAGCCATTCCACAAACAAATATCCAGACAGTCCCTGAGGGAGGTCTCCCTAGGCCAGTCGGTGCTCCTCTCTTGACAATGATGGACAACTTTAAGACACATATGGTGGAATTCTATCGAAAAAATTCTCATATCTTGGACAATCTGCATGAGTTGGTAGCAGATGATACCGAAGTTACCTGCTTGACCCTCGAGCAGTTGACAATCAATGCTCTAGATATCGAGGAGGCGGAACTGAACAGTATCAATATGTTTGCTATCCATCAAGCTGTCCGGCGCCATCCCTTCCTGATTGAAAGAGACAATATCTCAGTCTTCAGCCAAAACTATCTAGTGCAACCAAAATCAGTTGCCAAAATGGTCAATCAGGTTGTTGAGTGGACCCATGAACACCAGGAAGGCTTGGTTCGAGCTGTGATGGGCAAAGAAGTACCAGGCATTAGAGAAAAGCCGATGCAGCAGTTCCTTTCCAAAGCGCAGCGGCTGATTCGCATGAGCAGAAATGTTCGTTCGCCAACAATCATGTCCAGCGTCGGACCATCTGCCAAGAAGTTCAAACCTGGTCAACCTGAAAACCCTTTGGTGTACCGGGAATTCGCTACCGAGAGTTTCACTGCAAATGATCAGAAGATTCTTGAGTTCTTGCAGCTCTATGCGGTGCCTTCGACTGTCATGCCGTCTGGCACATTGAGATCAACAGCTACGCACATTATGCGAGCCACGGGCATGTATAATACCCTTGGTCTTAGTGAGGCTTCAACCCGCCTGTTTTTGCAAGAAATAGGTGTCATCGCTCCCTGGGAGAACCTTTACCCTCTTGATCAATATTTGATGCTTCCTGGACACGGTGGATCGATCTCGAAGGAGTTGGAACAGGAGGAGTTAGAAGAGACTTGCGCCAACATGACAGCCGATCAACTGCAAGATTCAATGCAAGATTTACGAAAGGATTGGGGTGATCTACCAGTCTTTTGTGTGGATGATGCCACAGCAGAAGAGATTGACGACGGTGTTTCCTTGGAAAGGATCCCAGGATCCGACGATACATTTTGGGTGCGCGTTCATGTTGCTAACCCAACTGCCTTCTTGAACCACGATGACGATATCATGCGAAATGCAGCTTCGCGAATCACCAGCACTTACATCCCGGAACGCTCTTATCCCATGCTTCCGAAGTCTCTCACTCAAAATCACTTTAGTTTGCAGCCTGATCGGCCTGTCCTCACAATTAGTGCCAAGATCAATTTACAAGGAGAGATCCTCGATACCGAAATCATTAACGGGAGAATTCACAATGTCATCACAATCACACATGGCACACTCAGTGACTACTTCAACAAAGGCAGCAAGATTCCCAGTGAGACTTGGACGGTAGGCGGCGAGCATACCAAACCACAATTACCCAAGAACAAAACTGTTCGCGACACTTTGTTGCCCGAAGACGAAGAAAAATTCAATATATTGCGCCAACTAATGCTCGCACTTCGCCAACACCGAGTCAAGAATGGTGCTATTGAGCTAACACCACTGCAAGCCAGAAGCTCTGTCTCAGTCCAGATGGGAGGACCAATGAAGCCATACGAGATGCAATCCACCACAGGACGCTACTACCTCGGAGACCCGATTATCAGTCTCGGTGTACACAACATCGACCCGTACGAGGTCCGGGATGTCTCCAAAGATAACCTGATCTCCCTGATCATGAACCTGGCTGGTAGCGTGACCGGCCAATTCCTCGCCTCCCGCAACATCCCCGCTGTCTTCGATGGCACATGGTATGACCCGGAGTATGAGCGCCTCACCAAGGAAAACATCTTCGATTTCTGCGGTTCGCATTACTATGATCTTAGTCCGCCCTCGCATCTCACAAAATCTACCCCGATCCCTCACCATACCATGGGTCTGGACGCGTATGTCAAGAGTACCAGTCCGCTGCGTCGCTACTGCGATATCATCGCGCACTACCAAATCGAGGCGGCTCTGCGCTTTGAGCATGAACATGGTCGTCAGTTCGATGCCCTCGTCGAAGATCCCGACTCGACCGAGCCTGCAATTCCAGAACAGGAACCAGAATCTGCCAACACGGAAACAGAGTCCGACGAACCCACCTCTCCTGTCTCGACGTCCACCGCCATCCTCCCCTTCTCCAAATTCGCCCTGGACGCCCACCTCACGTATCAGGCCCCAATCCAAGCCCGTATCAACCAAGTCGATGATTTCTCCAAGGAGCACTGGACTTGCATGTTCCTCTTCCGCGCATTCTATTTCGCTGAATGTGACCTCCCAGAAACATTCCCCTGTGTGATCCGCATGCCACGCACTCAGCTGAAACATGAAGACCCCGCGTACGGGGCTTCGATCACTAATCTCGGTTTAGATTGCATAGTCACTGTTCCTGCGTCTTTCCCGGATAAGGATGAGCTTGATGTCTTTTCGCTGGTCGAGGCCAGGATTATTTCCGTCGATATGGCTACTCTGCGGGTGACGTTGGAAGCCGTGAAATTCGTCAGGCCGTTTAAGAGAACGGGTGAATGGGCTTGATCTGATTGATCGCGTGGAATGTGGAATGAGGAATGTTTGTACTATATTGTATTATATTAAGGCATCGCCAATCATAAATAGACTCTGTATAATTGAGATGAGAATTGCACTATGTTTCATACGGAAGACCTGTAGCTCGCACTATCTGCTTCGACTACTCGCACTATCTCACTAGCTCAATGAATCACTCCGGCTGTTTGCAGATTGTCATGCAGTCTCTCGTCCTGGACTCTCTGCTCCATAGGTTGCGAGGCTTCTTTTGGGTAGTAGAGATACAAGACTTCAAACACGAGAGCGGACATCGACGTGAAGCTGTATTTTATCAGCGCTGGGAATTGTGCCATGGCTCTGGACGACTTACAATGCAATGAAACTGAATGCCTCGGCAGCATACTTCCGGCTACAGACTACCTCGCCGTTCCAGCGATGTACGCTGCAACTAACGTGGTTGAACTCCAAGGCCAGGAAAATGAACGATGTGAGCCAGCTGGGAGACAAGTATTAGCCCCGGAATACTATTCCGTGTTTCTAGTTACTCACAGATATGAAATTACCACGTCGGAAAAGAGTAGAGGGAGGACATGCCATCTACGACGATTGGCGAAGCAGCTTGTGCTTAGGACTATGGCGTTGATGATGGGAGTTAGGATGGACTGGATAAAGTTAGTGGCTTATTTAATAGAAATTGAGTCTGACTTGAACTAACAATGACCAATGAAAAAATCACAGTCAACGTCTTCGTGTTGACGACTGCCCAGGCAGTGATTCCGAGCACGACGATTGAACTGATGCACTGGATGATATGGGCGATGGTGGAAATCGTGCCACAGGGATGTTCGAAAAAGCTCAACATTTTGAAATCGGGCTTGAAATTCGTGTTATCAACAATTACTTCCTTGGGTAGTGTTCGAGGGGATAGTGTTGGCTTTTATTTCAGGGTCCAAAATGTATGATATCACCACATCGGGTGAACCACAGAAAGAGCTCCTTGGCTTGATTTTTGGTAAAAATGGAATCGGGTATGATTTGCTCGTCTGATGTATTCATTCCCCCTTTGACCCATGACCAGTCTGCTGTTGTATAGTTACTGGCCTTGTGCGAGTATGCGATGCTGTCGGAGGTGCAGCCCGTTATGACCCTGTACTTGGTCACTTTGTAGGATGCCGAACGTATGTTTAGTAGATGGAACATAATCTATATTCTAGTATTATAGCATAAAACTAAGAAATATCGCCTTGTTCCTTATCAAGTTATGCTTGGGAAACATTGACTTCCACGCCTTACGGGATGCATCGTGAATGACGCGGTATTCTCGCCGCAAATGGGGTTCTGGCGCCAAGAAAAGGGTCGTGGAAAAAGAACGTGGGATCTGGAGAATGAGATTAATTATATAAACGATCTACTGGACAAAGTCTATAAATGACAAAGAAAGGTAAAGAAAAGAGAGCAATTAGAGCTCAGAAATCGACCGGGCCCCTTGATCGGCTTCGAGTCTCCGGCATGATATACTTCTCCCCCTGAGGAAGTCGTTTCTTGGTCCGAACAGACGGCAACAGGTCAGGAACAATGGAAAACACAAAGAATGCGAAGATGAGCGCAGCAACTAGTCAATGTTAGCTTTGATCTTATCTCAAGGCGTCAACATAACAATAACATACCCCATTCCAGGACGGCGCCTGCATTCTTGCTCGTTTTGGAGCTCGATCTAGAGCACACACCGAAGCCAATGGCGACTCCAAGCTCGCAAATGATGAAGACAGCTTTGAGATAGAAGCTGACGAGCAAGATGCGAGCCTGGGGGTGGTACCATCGGCCCATGTGAATATATTCGAGACACACGAGAATAGCGCAGACCACGTAGCTTGCACTGCAGATTGATTAGTTAATTCATCACTTGCAGATGAGAAGGGGATCATACATGAACATGCCCAAAAATCCATAATGAAGGTGTTGGTGGTGCTTCGTGTCAAAGATGGACAAGAGAATGACGCCCAATGCGCCAGTGAGCGCGAAGAAAATCGAGCCGATAGCACATGATTTATCGAAAAGATCCCTGTTGCGTGCCAGTTGGCCTGCGTGTCGAAGCCATCGCTCGGACAAAAGCGATAGGGTCATGAACACGCCGGTGACGACGCAGCCGGCGATGAACAACGGCTTGAGTCTTTCGGCGCCAATGTGAGAGATATATCTGACTTAATTAGGACTTACAATCGAAGATGATATGCACAAGAACTCACGGAATTGACAGCTCAGCGCTCATGGTGGTATAATGTGGCTTGCCGTCCGCCGCCCAGCAGGACAGCATCGCAACCAGCATCGCTGTTTAGTCAGTATCAAGCAGAATAAGACATCTCTGGAATCAAGTCTCACATAGCCACATGCATCCTGACACCACGGGGAACAGCCAAAATGAAAGAATCCACATCTTGCGTGTAAGAGATTTTACTCTCCGAAGCGGAAACCCGCGGCTTTGTTTGTTCCTGTCTGAACGAAGGAGTCACCAAAGTAAAATGATTGGATGCAAGGGATCCTCAAATGAATGAGGGTACTGACGCCCTCTGTTCCTGCAGGAGGTATGTAAGGGGAAAAATGTGTCGCGACACACGACTTCTTGGCAGATCGTCGTCTCCACTCGGGGCTTTGTCTTGTTCGGGGCATACAGTCAAGTTACAGATTGAGTGGGAAAAAAAAAGAAACAGGTCATGGCTGATTGTGTTGAGATCAGCTTTGCAAGTCGTGGATATAGATATGTCTAGAAATTCCCCATGGCCCGTATCAGATTCTCCAAGGTTTGATCGCTACCTTTCCCGGCTGTCTGGGCATTACCCTTGCTAGGAACACGTTGAACAATATAATCCGCTGAAAGAGAAGCCACATCGGTCGCAGACCACATATCGCTATTCAAATGCTTGAAAATAGCAGTCACTTTGGTAGGAACAAGGGAGGGTTCCGGATCACTGGATTTCAAGACCAACTCAATGGTCCGAAGAAAAGCTTTGCAGAGTCGACCCCAGCCGAGACTCATGTGCCAAAGGCCAACAACACAGCCTTCGAGGACGAGGGCCCATTTTGGATTGTGCGCGTCGAGTTGGGTGGTCGCGTGCACACCTCCTAAGCAGAAGTAGTGTAGCATCACGATTGGAATGGACTTCCAGCCGTGACGGTGTTTGAACACTAGAATGAGGGAGCCGAGGGTTTCCATTGCTTCGAATTTGACGTGGTCGAAATCGATTGGGTGATCGGTCAGGTCGGCGGTTGGGTTGACTTTTGTTGTAAACAGGGTACTCAGGGAGATCAGAGTTGCCTGGTGATAAAAGCTGATGGGTTCGGGTCAGTAGAGAGTATGAACCTGGAAGGAAAATACCTACTGTAAGCAGATAATATGAGGGGTAGTATTCTGTTCAGGTAAGATAGATGGAGGCAGACTTGCTCTCCAGGCGACAATTCTTTCATATAGATCGTAGCAGTAGTCCTGTTCCTCTTTGGTCATAGTTCCGGTGAGTTTGAGCGAAAAGGTTGCAATTTCATTTACGATAACTGCCAGGGCACTTCTATACCGCAACGTTGTATAGTAGTTTGGCCGGGTGACCGGATAGTCGAATGGATAAGGCTTCCATTCCATATTCTCGTCGATCTTGGCGGCCTGTTCTGCGGAGCAGCGTTGTAGTGGAGGTACCGGCCAGTGAGAGACTTTCCTGTAAACCTGCGACGCAATTCTTCTCCAGGTTAGTAATTTCCATCGAACATGAAGGGGATACCCACGCTTGAACATCAAAGATGGCCCACGAGACCATTTCTTGGGACAATTCTTCCGAGGAAAGCTCGGTTTCTTTCTCGCTACGTGCGCAGCGTTCAACCGTATCGAAGCCTGTTTGGACATACAATTTTGCTCCGTTCATGATAAACTGCGTGCCCAGCCTATCCACTCCGAATGTACAGGAAAGCAATCCGAGCAAAATTCCGGATTGAATTGTAGGAAGATCCGGGGTCCCCTTGTCTTTTTCCCAGAGCCGCTGGATCTGGTCATATAGCTTCTGTCCTAGGTCTTTCTCCTCTCGGCGGTCAGTGATCCGGTTCAACCTATAGGAAAAGCTCTACATTTTGTTAGAGGAAAAGATCATCCATCAAGCAAAAGAGACATACACAGCCGAAGAAGAGCAGAACATAGACCAGCAAGTGAGAACAGTATCTTCCCGGGTGGTGAGTCTCGAGATCTTGAAGAAACGATTCTTGATCAATCAGATTCCAGGTCGGGTTCTCCCAGGTGAAATAGAATGACAATAGGTGACTGGCGGTGTCATTTTCCACAATCAACGTCCAATACTGGATTGAGTTCACTTGAACTGGAGGACCCTTCGTAATTGGCCGTTTCAACTTTGCCTCTTCGGACATCGACTCAATATACATCTGGCTCAGCGAGACCTTCGAAGTTGGCACTTGAACATGGTGCTTGGGCAGTGACTCTGAAAGGAGGATATCCGAGAAGATTTCTGGAGATTTTGTAAAGTGTTTCTGTTGGCTCAGTGGCAATTCACATATGTAAGAGCTGATCTCGAACCTTGAGGATATCGTTGACAGAAACTTTTTGATTGATTCTAGCCTGAGAGATAATCTCGGCCAATAATTCTTCATAAATCTCGACTTTGCGTTGTAGCGATACAAGCTGAAGCTTCTGATTATCCCGTTTCGATCCAGTATAAATGCAGGCCCTGTCTAACCGGATACAATTCCGGCATCTAGGACGGCCCCCGTCACATTTTGCCTTTTTCTCTCGGCAAGACGAACAAGCCGATATTGTCCGCAGATGATTGATTTCGGGGGGCTCATTTAGTAAGCGGGGAATCGCAATCTTGCCCGCGACATCATCGCGAGATGTGGAGGTCGATTTTGACCTGTGGGAGGCGCCATCCATTGGGTCAGGGATCGAACTGGGTTACTGGCCCAAAGTGCTGCAGTCCACTCGCACACAAACCCGTATCCAAAATTTTCGGGGTCTGGATCTTGTCGTGAATCTGGCGTGCCAAGCCAGGGGTCACGTGCCTGGGATATAGATCACATTGCGAAGTATGGACTAGATACTGGAGACTGCGTGGCAGGGAATTCTTCACTTCTTCAGTTCTGAATCTCCTATAGTAGCAACAATGAGATCTATCCGAGCACGTGCAAAGTGTCAAAGACTTCAAAATCAAGTGAAGTCGGAATTTCATCACGTGGGGTAGATGCAATGACGTAACCCAGAAACAACTTACCTAACTTGGCTGAGGTCCTTCAACGTTGACTTCTCCTCATGCCCTGCTGTCTTGTGTAAGCTGCATGGTTTGTGTCTTGTCCAGATACGTCAGTATGCAAGTTCTGTGCTCTGGTCAAACTCAGTGGTAGAATTAGCCACAATGACAATCCAGCCTTATACGTCGATCATTACGAACCGCCACACAAGTTGGGAGCCCAGGCATGGAGATCTACACGATGATCTCATGTCTGATATAGCACTCCGGTTGGTTCAAAATGACAAGGATGAGAGTATGTAAGATTCCCTGGAGACTTGGCAAAACACGACTGCCTTGAAACATGACGACATGTCTGTACACAGACTAAACTTGGCCCTAAACTTGGCCCTGAACTTGGCCCTGAACTTGGCCCTGAACCTGAACCGGTAATCAACATGAACATGGATGGCGTCCTGTTTGCTCATCACTGCCTCTTTCAGAGCCTGTGACAGAACCCTGAGCAAGTGGCTGACATTATCGATGAACCTATGCCAATGATAGAGCTGAAGGCGTTTGTTCTTGTTGACATTGCTTGATGGAGTGTAGGAAACAAACGTCACTTATTTGTTTAGCTGTCACATAAATACTCTCACTTCTCCCCAGACTTTCTCTTCTCCACAACCAACCCACAAACTTCTTCAATCATCATCTAAAACTCACATCTTTATCTACTTTCATCATCATCATCATTATGGATTTCGTTCGTAAGGCTGAAGAGGCCTTGACTGGCAAGAACAAGGACACCAAGGAGTCGACTCAGTCCGCCAACCATGGCCCTCACTCATCCAAGCTAGCCAACAAGCTTGATCCCCGTGTTGACAGTGACCGCGGTAGGTCCCACCTCACTCCACCTCCCCCACCTGTCAAACTTCATACTAATTGATACTCTTGCTGTAGACAACCGTGCTGCCCACACTGATGCCCACCACACTGGTGTTACTGGAACTACCGGCGCTACTGGAACTACCACTGGTACTACAGACACTACTACCGGAAACACTGGCACTGTCCACAAGTCCAGCATTGCCAACAAGCTCGACCCCCGCGTTGACGCTGATGCCGCCAACCGCACCAATGTTACTTCCACCAGCTCAACTGGAACTCACGGTGTGAACACTACCCACGGTACTCACGGCACTGCCGGAACTACTGGCCTGACCGGTACTGGTACTCACGGCACCCACACCCACGGCAGCACCAATGCCGGCCCTCACGACTCCAACATTGCTAACAAGGCTGACCCCCGCGTCGACTCTGACCGCGATGGCCGTGCTAAGCACGATACCTTTGGCACCACCGGCACTACTGGTACCACCGGCTCCTCTGGTCTGACTGGCTCCCACGGCACCACTGGCCTGACCGGCACTGGTACTCACGGCACCCACACCCACGGCAGCACTAACGTCGGCCCTCACGACTCCAACATCGCCAACAAGGCTGATCCCCGCGTCGACTCTGACCGTGACGGCCGTGCTAAGCATGATGCCCTTGATTCCACTCACGGAACTTCTGGTTTGGCTGGTACTCACGGTACTGGCACCACCCACGGCACTTCCGGCATGACTAGCACCCACGGTGCTCACAACACCTCTGGAACCGGCGCTACCGCTGGCCTGGCTGGCACCCACGCTGCCACCGGCACTGCCCACACCGGCAGCACCAACGTCGGCCCCCACGACTCCAACATTGCCAACAAGCTTGACCCCCGCGTCGACTCAGACCGTGATGGCCGTGCTAAGCATGATGCCTTTGGCACTACTGGTACTACTGGTACTACCGGTGCCTCTGGTCTGACTGGCTCCCACGGCACCACTGGCCTGACCGGTACTGGTGCCCACGGCAGCACCAACGTTGGCCCCCACGACTCCAACATCGCCAACAAGGCTGATCCCCGTGTCGACTCGGACCTCGATAACCGTGCTCAGCACCAGTCGCACTCTGTCGCTGGCACTGGCCTTGGAAGCAACACCCACGGCACTCACTCTCACACTTCTGGCCTTCAGCCTGAGTTGCACGGTACTACTGGCACCACTGGAACTACTAGCTCTGGTCTGACTGGTTCCGGTCTGGATTCTCGTACCCACGGTGCTCCTGCTGGTAGTTCTTACACTACCTCTGGTACTACTGGTGGTCTTGGCTCTACTGGCCTTGGCTCTACTGGTACTACTGGTACTACTACTGGTACCACCACTGGTCCCCACGACTCCAAGATTGCCAACAAGCTTGATCCTCGTGTTGACTCTGACGCCAGCCGTGTCCAGCAGGATGGTTTGCAGCGCTTCTAAGTGCAGCATAGCCTCTCTTTCGGGTGGATTACTTTATTCTTATGATCTCTTTGCCCACCCCGATTCAGGCTGCTTGTGATAGTGGCTTCTGGATCTTTGATACGATGTGACGACCTTGATTTCAGCAAGCAACTTCGTTTTTTCAGATAGGATACACAAATGAATACTCTCTTCTATTTCAATATCGCTCCAATGATGTAGTTGTAGTTATTATACATGAGTAGAGATTGATTAACTTATCCTCTAACCTCTGACCTTCGGTCTTGGACCAAGTGGTGACTATATTCGATATAATACAGTGATTTATACATTGTTCCTGTTCGATGCTCGGTTTTCAACGACTCAAATATCAAGCATCAAACATCGAAAACCTCTTTGACAAGAGCTTTCTTATTAACTGTGATCCGTCAGCATTGTCATATCATCAACCTGCAATAAAAGAGGACCTGGTACTTACCCTTCCCCATCGCATTCCTAGGAATAGCATCTAGAACCTTCATCTCAGACGGGATCTTAAAAGCAGCCAGAGAATCCTTCAACGCCCGTCTCATGTCCATTGGACCCCATGATTTCCCACTCCGACCTGAAGAAGCAGCTTCGGGATGGAGGACTACGATAGCAGCGACTTTTTGTCCCCATTTTTCGGATGGGAGGCCGACGACGGCTGCTTCGACTATTTGCGGACTACATTGTGAATGTTGGTCAGTGGGGGGTTTGCTTTAGGGGGGAAAGGAAGGGGAAACAGACAGTGAAAGCAACTCCCGCTCAACCTCCAGCGCGCTGATCTTCTCGGCGCCACTCTTGATGATATCGACACTTTTCCGCCCTTGGATGAAATACATGGGTCCCTTGGCCCAGTCGCCACTGGCGCCGGATCCAGCGCCCTGGACAATCTTCCTTGTTGCGACATCGCCGGTGCAAAACCATTTCTTGCTTGTGGCATCCCCTTCTCTTTCTCCCTGTTCTTCTCCGCCACGGTTGTCAGTAACAAATGCCTCCCGTGTGGCCTTTTCGTTGCCCCAATATTCACTGAAGATAGTCTCGCCGCGTAATTGGATCTCGCCTTCGCGTTGTCGCCCTTCGGAGTCGAGTTCCTGTCCAACGGGTATGACCTGCCCGTTCTCTGTGTCGACTAGACGCGCTTCTACGCCGGGTAAGGGCCAGCCGACGCTGCCGTCGACCCGGTCTTGGTTGTCTAGCCCGCAGCTTATTGCCATGCCGACTTCGGTCATGCCGAAGCGTTCCAGGAGGATGTTGCCGTTGCTGAGATTTGACCAGGAGGTTTTGGTGGGTGTTGGGAGGGCGGCTGAGCCGGAGATGTTTAGGCGGAGGTTTGAGGGGGAGATTCCTTCTTTGGCGGCTTTTTGGGTTTCTTGGGGGAGGGTTGGGAATGTGGTTAGGAGTCTATTGTAGATTGTTGGGACGGCGGTTAGGAAGGTTATTTTGGATGAATTGTTGTTTGTGGTGGTGATGCTGGTGTCGGATTGGAATGGTGCTGCGAGGCGTTTCCAGACTTGGTCGGTGTTGAAGGGATACATGAATTCGATAGATGAACCTGCTACTATCGGTGCCACGATTGCGTTTACCACGCCGTGGATGTGGTGCAGTGGTAGTAAGTGCAGGAGGCGATCATCGGGGGAGTAGTTCCACGCCTGTAAGAGCGACGAGGCTTGAGCTGCCAGTGCCGATAGTGGGATGAGTACGCCTTTCTATAGACTGTTAGATGTCTGCTCCTTCTTGGCTGGTGGTAGTGGACTCACTGGTCGATTGGTCGTGCCAGATGTGTATAGCATCATTCCTCCAGAAGGCTTCTTGGCCTCCTCCAGGGTGACCCTTTGCCGAACAGCACCCTCTAACAACTTCTTGCGGACATTCAATATAGGCTCACGATCCAATCCCTGACGCAGCACTTCCATAGCCTTGTCCGCATACTTCTCGGTAGCAAGCAACACCTTCGCCTGCGAATTATCAAGAATATACTTCAACTCCGCTGACGGGAAAGAAGGCGACAACGGCAATGCAATAGCATCACTCGCAAGGATCGCCAATAGCGTCACTGCGGACCAGTCAATAACCAGACCGATCACTTGAAGGTGAAGGAAGCACCGTACCTACGTAGTCATAGCTATTCTCCGCCAGAAACGCAACCCGCTCACCAGCCAATTTACCCTGCGCGTTGGCGTTGGCGTTGGCAGCTTTGCGCTCGAGGTCCTCCTTCGCCGCAACGACGTCGGCCACTAGACTCCCATACGTAAAGGAGCGGGCGGAGACACTATGAACCACAGCTAGACTGTCCGGATCGTGGTTCTGCAGCGCGCGGAAGATGTGCGTGTTCGGGAGTGTCGATAGCTGTCTGAGCGCGACGGGCATGCGACTGCGACTGGGATTGAAGCGCGCGCGTCGGCTGAGGAGCGAGATCAGTGACATGGACATCTTTGGAGGATCAATTGCATTGCAATTGCATGTGGATTGCAATTCCTGCAGGGCGTCGCTTGGTGGGAGGCACTTGGGGGGAGGCAAGTTGATGTCATGAGTGAAGTTCCGAAATCACAAACATCCGATTGGGCCTCGTTTGCCCTTCTTCATCTCTCGCTCCTCGCTCCCGATGCTGCCTCGCTGTTTGCCGGGTCTTTTTCCCCGTCGTCTGTTCTCTGTTTCAACCAGGATGGCTTCTATGACTCCGTTGGAGGATGCCATGCGCGATAAGGTCAGTGTTCTTCCCCGGTGGTGGCGTGGTGCTGGTACTGGTCAAACGTGCAATGCTCACTCTTCTTCTCTCTGCTTTAGATCGCTCATGCCTTTACCCCCTCTACGCTGATTATTCGCAATGATTCTCATAAGCATGCGCACCATGCTGCTATGGAGGGGTCGACGTCGAAGGAGACGCATTTCCAGTTCGTTCTATGCCGGCCCCTGCCTGTGTGAAAGAGTCGGGCTAACAACTGCTTCTGTAGTGTGACGATTGTTTCAGATTCATTCGAGAAGAAGATGCAACCAGCTAGACATCGAATGGTCTACGCCTTGTTCAAGGAGGAGATGGCTCGTGAGGGTGGACTGCATGCGCTGCAATTGAAGACCAAGACGCCCGCGGAGGAACAGCGAGAGAAGGAGAAGGAGAAGGCATAAACAGAACAGAGATTTGTGTGTTCGAGTATAGCCAGATACCCCTCGAATGCATTGCATTGCTTTCATTCACTGTACACTACACCTACTATTCCAGGTACTGTTGCACATCCTGCACATCAAGATCAGACACAAGAAATCAATTATTAGACGGTATTACATAGTTTCCAGCCTCAAACAGGCCAACAGAAAAACAATCTAGTATATACATTCATGCGCCGCGACCAAGGCGTGGGAGCGGGCAGCTGTACAACAGAACAGCTCAGCAAAGACAAAAGAGAAGCACAATTGAAGGCATTGCTTTTACACAAGAGAAAAAAAAAAATGAAATGCGAGGGTGGTGGTATAACAACGAGGGGAAAGACAAAGAAAAGTTCGAGAAATCATGGAGATCAGTTCTTCTTGTTGCCCTCGACGACACCGACGGCGACACCGACCACAATGGCAATGATGATGACTGCGAGAGGTTAGCGGGGTGCAACAGAGACCGAGAATGGAAGAGGGCAGAGTATAACTTACTAACGATGATCAGCGCATACCATTTCCAGCGACGAGCGTTCTTGGCGCTCTGAATCGCGCTGTCCAACTTGGTGTTGGCTTGCTCCACGTTGCGGTGTGTCTCCTCGGCGCCCTGGTTGATTTGTGCGACTGCCGGCTCCTGCTGCTGCACCAGCTCGGCGACTTCATTGTACAGCTGACTGAGGGCGATCAGGTCTTGTTCGATCTTGCGGATGGCAGCGGAACGCTGCATGGTGGCCTGGCGGGCATCGTTGGCCTGGCGAGTCCGGGTACCGGGAACCTGTTCGGCCATTAGAATGATTCCGGGGAATTTTGCGCGCTGACACCTGTACGTACCACAAAGCTCTGCTCTTGGCCCATGAGCACGTTCTGCACACCCTGCTCCAACTCCTCGGGGGTCGCCTCGGGGTTGGCAATCTCGTATCGGCGGCGCACTTGCTCCTCCAGGCGCTTCTGGAAGTCGCTCTGTGTGCGCTGGTACTGCTCGATCTCCCGGCGGAGGTTGCGGCTGACGTTCTCGACCTGGCCCGAGACACGGCTGTCGCCGGATCCAGGGGTCTCCTTGATGCGCTTGAACTGATCGCGCAGGTAGCGCAGCGCCGTGTTGATCTCATCCTCAATGTAGTCGAGTGTTTGGCGCGACGCCTGGTCCTCCTTTCCGGTGCTCGAGTCGAGGAGGGCCTTTTGGGCGTGTGCGAGCTGGGTCTCGCGCTTGGTAGTCAACTCGGCGATTCCCTCGTTCAGCTCCTTGCACTTGTTCAAGATTGCGGTTGGACCGCCGCCGCCGGAGGGCTGGTTCATGTTGGACATTTCTATTCGTGTCAGCGCGGGTCGCGACGCCGTTGAATTGACACCTACCGTAGCCCCCGTTTCCAGACTCCATGGCCCCGGACTGGTTGTAGCCACCGCCATACCCATAGCTTTGCTCCTGGCTGCCGTAGGGATTCTGCTGCTGGCTGCCGTATGGGTTGTACTGGCCGTAGCCCCCTTGGCTGTTATCCCCCAAGCTCTGGTACTGGGGAAATCTGCATCAGTCCCATACATCCTTAATTCCGGATCCACCAGGCTCACTCACACTCATGATTGCTTAGAAAGATTGAAAAAAAGAAAAAAGGGTGGTTTGTCAGGTGCAAAGGGGGGGAGATGAAGGAGGGAAGGGTGAGACGGGAGATGTGGAGGCAGAAGCGGTAGCCAAGACGTTACGTTCAAAGGTGAAGAGAAGAAAAAGACAATGCAGAGAAGTCCAATAAGGAAATGCAGGAGTAAAATTAAGCAATTGGAAAATGAAAGGGTCTCCCCTATTTTAGCAACTCCTTACGTGGACCGCAGAGATTTGGTTTTCGCAGGGTACTGGGTACTTGGCTTATGCTGGTGGAGTCCCCTCTGAGACGGGTACCCAGTACCCACGTCAGGGTCTGCACGTCATGATTATCGAGAGCTCTACAGTACATGTAATGTGAATCGGTGAATCTGTGAGTTCCAATGCCGCAGTTAGACGCTGGACTCAACTTGGGGAAAAGCGCAATTGCACTCCGAAAATAGAGACCAATCAGCTGAAGCTGCCAATGCTAAGCCTCAGCAGATCCAGTTGTAGAGATCGCCCAAGACCCATTCGGATGCAGGTGGACTGTAGCTATTCTAGGCTTCAGTCAATTCAGTCAATTGCCCCAAATATCCCCAAGATCCTGCGAATTGGGTTGCAGGTGAGAGCCGCTGGACTCCAAGTTTAGGCGCCCATTTGCACACTTCCCCGTTGAGTGCTGAGTCACGTACCTATAGATCAAATATAGGATATTCAAGGCATCTCAATAATTAGACGAAGTAGATGCCTAGCAGGCATCGATAGATACTTCAGGTCACATTCTACCTACTTCCAACATTGACATCATCTTGTATAAGCTCTCCTAGGCACTACACATCCATCGCGTGTCATTCCAGAGCCTGAGACATACCGAATCCAAACACTAATCAGCCAAAACACCAAGCAAGGATGGAGCATCAATACGGCTGAGCTCATCCCTGCACTGCGCGATCATTGTTTCACTAACGTTACCTTCAAATCTTGGAACTCATTGATAGCTAAGCAGAATCTCAATGGAATCCTCAACTCGATCTTCCCCTTGAATCTGCGGGGAACTGCCACATCGCATCGGATGTCGGACTACCGGTGGAAATAGCTCTCAATGTACATGTCAGTATAAAGCGTCAACTGTTGAGCTGAGCGTAGAGTGCATCTCCATGGACGCGCTATGTCAACTGCGGTCAGCCCCGGGGGTTGTCCACATCATCATTTATGCAACTTGTCCGTATTCGAAGATTGGTGGCGATGTCTTGGGATGAAATGAAACACTATCTGACTTTCGGCTCCTTTCTCAGTGCTTATGAGCTTGCTGATTGGGGGTTCTTCTGTAGAATTGGACAGTAGACAGTACGAACAGACTCGCGAAACCCGACCAGTCAGATATGGTCCAATGCAGGGCAATGGAGGGAGTGGAGAGAAATCAATTAAAATCATGGATTTATTTATGTATTGATTTATTTATATAAGTATATACTACTATTATGATCATAATCATAAACACGTCTCCGGATGTGCAAAAGAGAAAACCTGCTCAAGATGCAAGCAAAGTCCGACTCCAGCGGAAATGAAAGATGCAGTCAACACCCATCACAAAAATGCAGGCATGAAACAAGGTGGGAATAGGGCAAATAAATTACAGAAAACACCGGCAGCACCGACACTCAAGCGAAGAGGGGATCTTAGATCTTGGGTGCGGACTCGCGGCGGGATGCGCGGCGAGACTCGGCGATGGGAGCCTCGGGCATATCGTCTTCCGCGTCCAGGGCGTTCAAGTCGTCTTCCTGGGAGTTGAGGTGGTGGAAGACCATGTAGAAGATCAGACCGCAGATGAAGGAGGCGCAAGCCAGACCGACGAACATCCACATGATGGCGGGGTCGAAGGCGGCAGGGGTCAGAGCCTCGGCGATGGCGGATCCGAAAGCGTTGGTGAGCAGGTACATCGACTGCACAAAGGACTTCATGCTGGGGGGTGCCTTGGTGTAGGCGTACTCAAGACCGGAGACAGAGGCGAAAATCTCGGACACACCAATGAAGACGTAGGCTGGGGTCTGAATGGCGATGTGAACGTGGTTGCCTTGGGCGGCACCGTCGATTTCGGAGGCAGCGCAAAGGGGCTGGCCGTAGCAGGGTCCGGCGGAGTAGATCAGGTGCTGGACAATGGCGGCGTACATCATGGCCAGGGCGGCGACGATGAAACCAAGGGAGATACGGGTAATGGGGCGGAAGGGAATCTTGAGGCGGCGCATCAGGGGGTAGACGCAGGTCTCGAGCAGGGGGATGAAGACGATGATGGAGATAGGGTCGAAGTTCTGCATCAGATCGTTGGGGATACCGTGACCCTCCATCTGACCAGCCTGGGTGACGAAGTTACCGGAGAACTGGCCGTAGACGACCCAGTAGATGGGGTAGAAGGCGAAGACACGGCAAGCAATGAGGGCACGCTTGAGCTCGTCGATGAAGTGGTCATCCCAGGGAAGAGAGACCTGGGCTCCTGAGTTCTCGGCTTGCCAAGAAGGCTTGGGAGCATCCATGTTGCGGTTGCGGACCATGATCCAGAGAGCGCGGAAAGCGTCGGTAATAATGGATCCCTGGGGAGGGCGGACGACGTAGTACTTGCGGCCGAGAATGATCACCAGGGTACCGACCATGAACATGCACAGACACAGCAGGTAGGCGGACCAGAAGCCAATATAGAGCTCCATGTAGGGAGTAGCGAGGAGGGACAGCGAACCGAGGTTGATACATCCGTAGAAGATCATGTAGATACGCTGGATAGTCAGGGCAGGGTCGATAACGACACGCTCACCCTTCTTGGTGGTGGTGATGGCCATCTTCTTGCGCTTGTACTGGTCGGCGATCAAGGGTGCCACGTTACTCTTGATACCACCGGTACCCAGACCGATAATCAAAATGGCCACAATGAAACCACCCAGTCCGGAGCCGTGTTCCAAGGCGGAGGGAATGGATGTGCAGACCAGGATGAGCAGACCGACCATGTAGACGAAACAGAAGAGCACGATAGTCTTGTACTTGCCAAGATACTGATCGGCGATGATGGCACCAATAATGGGAGTGACATAACACCAGAACTGGAAGAAGGTGGTGAGACCGGTGGCACCCTGGTGAGCCATACCGAGAGCACCGCGTCCTTCACTGCCATCCAGCGGACGCTGGACGTAGTTCTGGAACAGACCAGACATTCCGTAGTATGTGAAACGCTCGCACAGCTCGACCACGGCCACCAACCACGCGGAGAGGGGCAGGTTCTCAGCGACATGGCGCAGAGAAGTCTTCTCGTAGAGAGTAGGTTCTCCGCCATCAGGAGTCACCTGGTTTTCCTTGTCCAGGTCGGTGTCCATGGCACCCTTTTCATTCACGACGATCTCCTCGATGGGGGCATTGTTTCCTGATCTGAAAAAAATTAGGGTTAGAGTGAGTCAGACAAATTGAGTCGAGTCGAGGCACACATACTGAGCAAGCTCAACCTCACGCTCGGTCGACATAATGGCTATAGACCAGCGGGTTCTCCAAAGGGGTAGGAGAGAGGGCGATCAGAGGGATAGAGAAGAGAAAATCCGGGCGACCACGCTCTTATGCTATATATGCAATTTTAACGTGCGAGGCTCGGTGGGGAAAATGCTCTTATCGAACCGAAAAGTCATAAATAATAATAAAAAAGGACTAAATCTCCCTCATCTCCGCCGCTAGATCCATCTGAGAAGGTCGCCAAATTCATTGTTCGCAGCTCGACCGTGGATGCGATCGGCGGTCTCTATCGCACAACGGGGAGTGGCTCGCTCGATGGATGTAACCCCACGGCATAAAGCGGAAGCGAACAGAAAGTCGCAGATGGCGACAAGCAATATGCCGAGCACGCGCAGAGCGGAGCTAAACGGATCAATCAGAGGTCGCGCTTAGGTCTGGCATCTGGTGTCTGGGGATTCTGGAAGGGCTAGTCCGTTCCTCCACTGTGACCGTTGGCGAATCACATGGCCACTTCCAGTCGGAGATTGCCGGTGAGGTTGAAAATTTCCCAGATGAGTAGAGTACTTCCGGTGTCTTGCCACGAGATATCCTTTTTTCGCCCGGAGTCCACTCCTTACTCCGGAATCAGGCAACGGGTTATGTTCGGGATCTGAATTTTTGACCGATGCGGGTATCGCGTGATTCAGGCAGGGTGAAGGGTGAATCATGATATTCGACAACATGGCAGTGAGGTACACTGAGGTACATTCCAGTCATGTCGACATACCAGCTGTATCCTGTTTGCGGGTGGTGCTGTGGCAAGCAAAGTTTGGACCTGTTGCTTGTTAATTGCTTGTCGGGATCCCCTGGTCCGCCACTCTCGCCGCATGCAACGTTGGGGCTGTTCCCCGCGTGCTTATCGCCTCTCAACAACCAATGCGCGTCAAAGTCCCTGTCCACTCTGGTTTGAGTTTCGGAGATGTCTCATTGTTGAGCTCCCAGTGCTACATACCCCGGAGTTGTCCTGCTTTGCTGGGGCGATTGATCCCACGATAGGTTCCGCGACAGGTTCCGAGTGTCCATAGTACTCGTATCCAGCCAATGCGAAGAGTGCATGGGAGTCGTCGCTGTTTTCGGTTGCGGTTCGGTTCAAGCCGTGATATCCGGGGTAATTATTCTCTCGTAACAACGTGTCTTAGTGTGTTCTGTGCTGTGTTCAGATGGTGAGGTGGATCAAAGCCAAGACTCGTGATAAGGATTGGTCATGATGAGTAGTCAGTGATGGTCAGTGACCTTGATATGGTCAGTAATGGTCAGTGATGGTCAGTGACATTTCATGTATCAGAGTCAACAGAGTCACACAACATTGAGTGCAGACAAGAAGTCAAAATCCTCCAAGCGATCACCGGGGACACGGCCGCATATATACCAGGCATGGCCACGCCCTTGGCCGCTTGGCCTCCGACCTCGCTTGATAGGCTTCCACCAACAGCAGCCCTCATGGTCAGCAATCTCTCGTCCCCTCAAATGGCGTAGAGCCCCCAAGCCCTTGGCTGGTCTGGGCCACCAATGTTATCAGCCACGCTAAAAATTGGCAATTGGGGGTGATGGGGGGACGGGAGATAGGGTCGCGTGGGAGACTTCCTGGAATATAAGAATTCAAGAAAATCCGACTCGGATGGCTACGGTATTTCTATGGGGCTCGCTGGTCGACCGCGCGTCATCAGGGCTCTATATGATCGCCCCTATACGGACAGATATGATCGCCATGCTCCTCTCAACGCCGATGATGTCCTATAATTGGGCACTGATGCCTACCGCAGCGCTGAATACGGGCATACTTGCTTGCTTCTGGTTTAGTTTGCTTTAATTTGGCAGGTTCACTGCTCCGACATCGCTCGGCCGACGACCGAGATGGAGTTACGGGCGACTTCTGGGGATCGGAATTCTGATATTGCGACATCCTTGGCCAGTCAGAGGGCTTGTATAAGTGATCCACTGGTGATTATGCGCTCTCGGGGGTCTCCGGACGACATCCAGAGTCGGAGTATAAGAAATACAGAGTCATACTTGACAATTGATCTACGAGGACATCCATTTTCAACAATGAGTCACGGAGTTCTTTCCAATTTGACTGGCCACAGATGCCCAACTCGAAGAATATCGGGAAATCATCGGAGAAAGACAGCTTAGGTCTTAAAATCCGAGCATCCCTTATTGGCCAACAGATACAAGCTTACCATCGAGTGTGAGCTACTGCAAGGTGAACAGGCTAAGCTTCCACCCCTGCCCAATCCATCTCCGTTATCCGAAGTAGTTGTACCAATTAAATGAAGCAGAATAAGTTAAGCAATGCAATGACTTCCAAATTTGATACCATCTATCCGGCCAATCTGTTCCAACCAATACAGGTATACCACTAAGCAATATTCTCCGGCTCAGGCTTCCTCATAATAGGAATGATAGGCTGAGGAGGCCACCCCTCCGAACAACTCTCCTTCAACAAACACTCAAACGAATAACGACCCGACCCAATCCACACACCATCACTCTCGCCATTTTCTTCGGGCAGAACAACCAGAGCCCTCGAATTACACGGAACAACCAGTCCCATCTTAAACCGTCTCTCGACGACCCTCCACTGGCACTCTAACCGCCCATAGGCAGTCTGATAAACCACCTCGGCAGAAGTAACAGTCCCACCAGGAATCGGAGCAACACGGATCTCCTTCCATCCCGGTGAAAGAGGCGTAACACCACCAACACTAGAATGAAGCCAGTTGATGATGGACCCGAGAGCGTAGTGGTTGAAACTGGTCATTTCACCGGGGTTTATTGTTCCGTCTGGAAGCATACTATCCCATCTTTCCCAGACTGTTGTTGCCCCCATAGTTATTGGATACATCCATGACGGACGGTTCTTTTCTTGGAGCATTCTGTAGGCGATCTGAGCGTGGCCTGTTCTCGTAAGTGCGTGCGTTATTATTGGTGTTCCTGCGAAGCCAGTTGCTACGCGGAATTTGGCGAGTCGGACTAGTTCCACCAGTCGGTTTGCTGCTGTCTCTTTTTGGGATGGCGTTGGAAATAGGTCAAACATTATTGCTAGGCTTAGGGCTGTTTGCGTGTCACCGACTAGCAGGCCTGAGGGGGCGATGTATTTGGCTTGGAACTTGGTTTTGAGCATTTGCGCGTCTGCTTGGAAGCGTGTTGCGTCGGCTGTGTTGCCTAGGACGGCGCTGACTTGGGACATTGTTGTTGTCACATGAATTAAGTAGGCGTCTGCTACTAGTGTTCCGTTTGTGCGGGCATCGCCTGGCTCGATTGGGGGTGCTGTTGGATCGAGCCAGTCCCCGAGTTGCCAGAGGGTTGAGTCCCATAGACCGTCTGGTCCTCTGCGAATGCCACGGTCAATCCATGCTAACATGCTAGGATATTGACGACGGAGAATATCAGTATCTCCGTATGAGCGGTAGAGATCCCACGGTGTCAAAATTACCACATCATCCCAGATTGCTTGAGGGAGGTGTGGCCATAGCTTCTCACTGATGACATTGGGAACAACGAATGGTGGAACACAGCCATCTCTTTCGAGAAGTTGCTCTGCTGCGACATCTTTGAGCCAGTCTCCTAGCATTCCAGCCGTGTTGTACAGAAAGCTGGCAGATGGAGTAAAGATCTGAATATCACCAGTCCATCCGAGGCGCTCATCACGCTGGGGACAGTCCGTAGGGATTGATAGGAAATTGCCACGCATACTCCACCAGGCATTGTTGTGCAGCTGGTTGACCATTGGGTGGGAGCAGGAGAACCATCCCGTCCGGGCCATGTCAGTGTGCAGCACGAAAGCCGTCAAGTTGGTCAACAGATCTGAATCTTCGGCTGTCCAGCCATCAACTTGAACGTAACGGAACCCGTGGAAAGTGTATTGCGGTGACCAATCTTGAAGTTCTGCACCACCGCAGATAACTTCATCTGTACACGCTGCATGCCGCAATGGTCGCGTACCAAGCTCGCCATGTTCCAGGACTTCTGCATGTGTCAAGGTCACTTTACTGCCTGGCGATTTATTCAAATTGCCAATGCGCAGCCGACCAACCAGATTCTGACCGAAATCTACCACAGTCTTTCCCGAAGGGGTTTCAATCACTTGCACAGCTTTGATCTCTTCGGTGACTCGAACAGGTGGTGCATCGGGTGCAACAAGAGTTGCAGCCGGGAAGGGCAACTCTTGTACAGAGATCCAAGGGACTTTGTCCGTTTCGAGAGTAGGCATGTTCCAATTAGGATCTTCCTCGCGTGCATCGTATACTTCCCCATCATAGATTTCACTCTTGACAATGGCGCTTGGGCAACAAGTCCATGTTGAGTCTGTCACAATCGACATGTCAGGCTTATCGTTTTGAATTTGAATTTCCAGCTGAGCAAGCGCTGCCAAACGATCTCCGTATAGCTGTCTGCGCCCACCCTTGAACCCCAGACGAGTTGCATACCACCCCTCGCCGACCTCGATAGCAATGACGTTTGGGCCTTGAGGATTGAGGAGTGGTGCGACGTCGTAAATTTGGTAGTTCAAACGATGATTGTAACTGGTCCATCCTGGTGCCATACATTGATCTCCGATTTGGCGGCCGTTGATGAATGCACGGTAAACACCTAGGCTGGTGATGTAAAGGCGCGCTCGATCTATAACCGCATTTCCAAGATGGAAGGCTTTGCGGAATCGAATCGGTCGTAGAGGACTTTCGGGTTGTGTGGGCTCTGGGCTTGTGATTGGCACGCCGATCCAGTCACTGCGGAAGAGTAGTGCACTTTCCACTGTTTTCCATGGTGACCAGTCTGTCACGTCTTGAAAGTTCCCGTATGCTCGAACTCGAATCTGGACGCTTTCGCGCGATTTCAAGCATTCGCTTGGCCAAGGGACCAGAACCGATTCATTGCTTGTCACTTTGTATGTCTCTCGAGACTTGGAGTCACGGAAAATCTCGATTTCGTAGGCCACCTGCTCCCATCCCTTGACTGTCTCCTCTGATGTCAAAAATCGCCAGGAGACACGGGGCGTGGCGACTCCGATCCCGAGCCCTGTCGAATGCTGTTCGACAGTGGGGGCTTCGATGAGTGGAAAGGCCATAGTGAAATGAAGCCTTGAGAAATTTCGAAAAGAAACAGCTCTGAGGCGCCACTACGGCCCCTCACATATACTTATAGGTCTCCGGGATTGTGGACATGCACGGAGGGAATTGACACGAACACCGAGACCACATCTCCATTGGTGTTCTTGGGCGGAAATTCTGGGCATCGGCCAAACCCCCCGTATACTTCTCTTTTCCGGCGTTCTTGGGCTGTGATTGGTTTGTCGCCGCTATAGCTCCACCGAGATGACTTTTCTCCCCCATGGGGAAGACGAGACTCTCTTTCATAGTTATATCGAGTCTGTAAAGACTGTACTCACGGCTGAGCGGCTCGGATTGTTTAGGATCCGGTTGGTATTCCGACTTCTATAAATACCGGCCTTCTTGCAGGCAGAATGCAGATATCGGATACCTAGTTACTAGCGAAATGGTGCCATTGACTCTTGTTCTGGTTACTCTGGTGGTTGCTCTAGGTGGTTTTGTCTATGGGGTAGACTCAGGTATGCTGATGAATGGTTGATCATGGCAGCACTAACAGGAATAGGTATCATTGCAACGACGTTGGCTCATGATACGTTCAAGTATTCCATGCTGGGCCCAACTGGGACCAATGCTGCTCTTACAGGTGCCATCGTGTCTTTGTATAATGTTGGCCAGGCAATTGGTACCTTGGGGGCCGGATACTCGGCCAACAAGTTTAGTCGACGATGGACCATATGTGCCAGTGCAATGATTGGTAAATCTCTTTCTTCAGCTATCTGACTTCTGCTAACTTGGGCTCATGATAGCAATTGTTGGTGCCACCCTCCAGACTGCAGCGGTAAATGCAGGCATGATGATCGTTGGACGTTTCTTCGCTGGGATGGGATGTGGAATCCTTCTGGCTGTCGTGCCCACCTATATCGCCGAGATCTCGCCTGCCCAGCACAGAGGAATGATAGTTGGTCTTCAGGGATTCATGATTGCTATCGGCTTCTTTATTGCCAATTGGATTGGCTATGGTGGTGCATATGCGAAAGGAAACGCTCAGTGGCGGATTCCGCTTGCAATGCAGATACCAGGACCCATAGCTTTGGCCCTTGGATGCTGCTTCATTCCGTATAGTCCTCGTTGGTGTAAGTATATACCAGACAAGCATACCAAGAAGAAGGACTAACATCTTGGAGTGGTTCGACAGGAACGGTATGAAGAGGCTCGCGCCGTCTTGACCACCTTGCACGGCCACGACGAAGAAACGGTAGCTCGGGAACTCGGGGAGATCCGACACCATATTCAAGCTGAAATGACTCAAGGGCCAAGTTTCAAAGAGTCCCTTACAAATCTTCTCTCTCGTCGATATCTCCACCGTACTTCGATGGCTTGCTTCCTTCTCATCATGGGCCAATTCAGTGGTTCGTCTGTCATCCAAAATTATCAGAGTAGCTTCTATGAAGCGGTTGGATTCACTGGTAAAACCTCCTTGATGATCAGTGGTATCTATGGTATCATGGGTGTCCTTGGTCAGGTCATCTACCTGTTCTTCGCTGCTGACAAGTGGCCTCGCACCCGAACCTTGTGGGTTGGTTCTGGTTTCTTGTCGGTGATGATTGCCATATGCATGGCGCTGTCGGCTTTGTATGGCGATGCAAGCACTGGCAATATAAGTGGCGCGAGAGCTGCAATTGCCATGATCTTCCTATATTCCTGTGGATATGCTGTCTTCTTCAATGCGACGATCTGGGTGGTGCCATCAGAAATTCTTCCGTTTTCTCTTCGTGCAATCGGTATGGCTCTCGCGGTGTTCTGCAAATCTGTGTCGGCCATTGTCTTGTCCCAGATTACACCCACGGCACTTCAGAATGTCGGTTGGCGATACTATTCTCTATTCATTGCCACTAATATGGTTGCGGCTTTTGTATACTTCTTTCTGTTGCCAGAAACCGGCGGTAAGACTCTGGAGCAGATTGAGGAATTGTTCGGGGACATCCTTGTTGCGGACCAAGTTTCCAAACTTGAGGACGGTGAAGCCAATGTGAAGATTGCAGAATCCAAGTCCTTGCACGTCGAAAGCGCCGTCTAATTTTCGACTGTCTGAGCTTCAAATTGGACTCGGATTTTGGATTTGATCTATGGGTGTGTGATTATAGCCATGAAGCAATTATATTGAGCTGAATCCTGTAGCATTAATCCAGCAGCCAATCAATAGCATGATTAACAAGAGCCTCGCTGGTAACTTTTTCGTCATGTAACAAGTCAGATAGGCCCGGCACCCCAGGACCAAGTTGTATATAGTCCATTGTTTGGGAAGTGCCAGGCATCTGTGGATATTCTGCAGTATGCTCGATAACTACGCTCGCATGACGTGTTATGGTACGTTCTTTGCCCGCATCAGGTGGCATTTTCGGCATTTGGCGCTCAGAGAGATCGGATGAATGCTCAGTCAGGAATCGGGACATCCAGTTATCAAGCACAAATGGATCTGATATCGCATCCTGGCAAGAATTTTGAAACTTGCGTAGTCGTGCCACCTGACATGGTTAGTTTGGCTTCTGATTTTTTTGCATTGGAAACCTACAGAATGATCAACAACAGGCCAATATGACTTGATTCTCATTAAATATTCGAAGTTTGAGACCAGTCTTTGTCTTGCCATAGCAAGTTCCTCGGTAATGTCACTGAAAAGTAACGCGTGGAGGTGAACGCAGGAACTTATCACAGCAATGTGGCCGTAAATGAAATAATTCAGATCGCAGCCTTCAATATCTGTGCTATGTTTTATTATTTCGGAGACGGTGTTCGCACTTTGCTTGCATCTGGCTGCTCCTTGAGAAAAGCTCGAAGTCTCTCGGTTGCTGCGTGCGTCAAGGAAAGGGAAGAAGAGCATTTGGCGGAAGTGGTGACGACCAATGTGCATTGCTAGAAACGTTCGACCAAGCCGACTCTTGACGCAAGACAGAATATTTTCCATGTTGTATTGTAGATTCGGGGGTAAGTTTTTCTCCCACTCATCCAGACTTTTTTCAAGCCGCGTTGCTTCTATGCAATAATCATCAAACGGTATCAGGCCTTGACTTAGCCGTCGGAGAAGTGCACTGGTCTTGTTGAAGATTTCTAGCGTCTTTGCCATATGCGCCCACATATTGCACGGTGAAAGTGTTTGCATTGGAACTGGGTCGAGACTAGCAAATGCCACATCATCCACTTCCAGAGGTGTGGACTCTGGGCCATGCGTAAATGAGACCGACTCGATAGACATGTCTGTTGCCGTCCAATGACTCGCAATATGGACAGAGAGCCAAGTGCGCCGATACTCTTCTTGGCGCATTATAGTGGCATCCTTTGGAATGACCGGCATCCCCAAAGCTTCGGCATGCAACCTAGCGAGTCCGCTGTAGATGTGCTTGGCTTTCGTGTTGCCTTCCCCGCCATAGTAGTAGCCGATTAATATCAGGGCCTGTACCGTTTCCAGGCTTGGCGTGGTGATAAATTGGTGAATAAGAGTTTCCACTGCGGATGCACCTAGCTTTCCCCGCTGACCACGGACGATATCATTGTAGTGTGGGTGGTTGGAAAACCTCGCAGCCAGTGCGTACATGGCATACACCAAGATGGGTGGTGCTTGGCCTTCATGTAGTTGACGCATAAAGCTTGCTTCGTGAAACATGGTATGGGCCACATTATGAATGTAGCGAAAATACAAAGGAACCAGTTCATGATAGAGCTCCTGGCCGGTTTGAACGGACATCTGTGGAGTATTCATGATCCTTGGAGGGCTATTCGACTGACTGGGGTTCCCAGTGGCTTCTTCGAGACTACATGGGACCGACAAAGATCGACATGGTCCGCAGGTTCGACCATTGCCTGCTGGGATGCATCGTCTTTTTCGTGTGCTAACATCCTTAGCATACCATTTTCTATGGATGATATCGTACCTACCGGCAACTCACACAGGCTCCCGCCCTTGCTCTCTTGTGAGGGGCCTGCATGCCTTTCAGGGATTCTTGATCCCCAAAGAAAGTTGACTCGAAGTACACGAAGTACACAATTGAAGCTCGAGGTGGGCTTGATGCTGAGTCATCATATACCCGCAACATCCATTGAACCCGCCAGATTTCCAAGGTTGGAGATCGATCGAGTTAGTTCCCAAGTTGCTTCTTCGGCTTTCCTGGTGAAGTCGAATCGTTGATGTTTACAATGGTCTCGATTTGGAAAGTAGGATGATGGATTAATTTGAAGTCAATGATCCTCTGAAATCCTAGAGAAGCAGATATACCAAGCTACACATCGCGATATGCATAACATACGCCTTTCTTCGGAGTCAATAAGCTGCTCAAATCAACATCGACGCTCACAACGAAAGAAAACAAAAGCATAAGATACCCCTTACATAATCCACCTAATCCGGAAACCCAAGGTAGATCGGATCGAGAGATCGACATACAAGATCTCAAGTCTTGAGCTCGCTAAACAAACTCAAACAAATAAATCATTCCCTGAATTGCAATTCACACCGTTCAGCTTTATACAGAATGCGACTCTTCGCCTTGGCTACCATGGTTGCTCTCGCAAGCAGCGAGTTCACCTGTATCAAACCAGTCAACCCCATTCCAGCTGGGTTTCCTGGTTTATGTTGCAAGGATCTGATCCAAGCTCCATTATTAACCTTCTTGTACACTGGCAATACATGTATGTTTCCTACTATCTTGTGTTCGTTTTGGAGTTTCATTCTAACTGCTGGACAGGCACTCGCGCGAATGAATTGAGCAAGGCCGATGACGGGAGTACCACCTATAGCTCATGTGAGGAGGGTGAGCGTGCAGCATGCTGTGATCCAGTAAGTTTGAACTAACTTGGTACAATGGGACCATCTTGCTGATTGTTGTCTAGCTCTTGTCGAAGGTGAGCCTGGCGACGAACATTGCTTGTGTCTTGCCTTCGTCGTGAGAGGGGTCTATTTTACCCGTCAATGTTTATAATTGTCTGCTCTTGGAAGCGGGACTTGACGGAGTCGACATAAAGGTTTAGAATAGAATTATAGAGCTTATATGCGATAAAGTTTTTGAACATCGTTTTGGTGAAGAGGTGTAATTTGACGACGTCAAAGAGGATCATTTTCGGTTATTTCGTACCATTTCTACTTGGAACTGAATGTGGTATTACTTGGTTTGATTTGAAAATGAAACATGGAAATAATCTTTTTGGTTTTGGTTATTGGCAGGGAAACATATATATAGACCGACTGATTATCTATGAAGCTATGTGCACCGTGTGGATCCGAAAAAGCTCAGTTGCAAGAAAAAGGTCGCATAACTATCCTTCACTAGATAAGCAGCACATCCACTCTTGTTTAAGATTTGATAGGCAATGGAGAGTGGGTGGGAATGTACTCGTCAAAGTATCTCTCCAGTATCAGCGACGAGTGAGAAACCAAGATATTCACAATTCTATAAGAACTACTGTTGAGACTACAGACCTTGGACTCACGTCGACAAAGCATCCATCAATAGGTCATATTTGTACTCCATCTAGAGTAGGGTAATGGGGGATTTCTCCCGGACATACAAGACCAAGACACGATCCGAACGGCATAAGCGTAAAATGTGTTTGGTAGAGTAAGATACAAGTCGCAAGTAATCAGGTCGTCACTGCAGAACTATGCAGTGGGGGTGCATAAGAGAGTAAATGGGGTTCCCTATGTCATTTCACATCGCGCCCAGCACCACCCATCGAGTCCAGTAATAGCAATACCTTCGCACTCGATTGTTTGGTCCATTATCGTGAAATCCGCGTCCTCCACATCCCCGTCCCCGTCCCCTTTTTGCTTCTTCTTCATAGTTCGTCATTGAATTCGTCTCGTCCCCCTTAGACGGTGTACTTGGCCTTGGCGCGCGTGCTGCCGCTGTGTGCGCTGTCGGTGTGGCCCGAGAATTCCACCACATCGGCCTCCTTCAATCGGAGCACGTCCTTGAATCGCTGTCCGATCGCCTCGAGGATCTCCTTGCCCTGTGCGGGTGTGCGGGTGTTCTTATCGCCTTGGATGCTCTTGCCGACGGTGCGTGTCCATAGACCAACGCGGTAGAATCCCTTGCGCACGTTCACAACCACTCCCATGACTTCGTTGTCGTCGTCGGTCTCGAGGGTCTCGCCGATAGCGGAGAGCTGGGCGTGCAGCCACAGTTCGTCGATGGGGACCGATCGCTTGTCCTTGAATTGGTAGGACCACTTGCCACCGTGCTTGTTCTGGGGGTCTTCCCACTCGGGCCGTACGCCCTTCTTGAAGAGATGGTAATCGGCCTTGAGACCGAGTTCGGAGGTAGGAGTGATGTTGTTCTGGAGGCGAGGGGTTAGTGTTGGGTGGTGATCAGTGGTTGGGCTGGACATACGTAGATGCCCCAGAATTCTTCGACGGAGCTGAAAGTGACCACTTCCTTGAGGAGGTCGTTCCAGTTATCACCCTATGAAAGTCATCAATATCAACTCAATGAATCCATCCAATATAGTTTACCTTTCCACTAGGGGGCTTGGTGAACCAGAGGGTCCATTCGTGCATCAGAGGGTGCTTGACGTTGAAGTCCTCGGCGTTGTGGAAGACGGTTACCGGCTCACCGGACTCGACCTTCTCGACAGGCGCAGCATTCTCATCGGCGACAGCCGGGGTACCATTCTCGACGGCGGCCATGTTGCGTGATGTGGGGTGGGAGGGAGAAGAAAGGTGAAGATGTCGGATGAAAGGCGGGAGAACTTTTTTAAGGGAAAGCGCAATCAGCTTTCACACAAAGAAAAGAAAAGATGGTGGTCAGGAGAGAAAGGTCTGCTCCAGGCAGTGAATGGTGAGTTGACAATTAACCGCAAAGATGAAGTTTTGGAGTTCGACAAAAATTGCCTTCCGACGAACATCACCGCTTTCCGGCCATACAGAGTACATAGATCATTTTCTCTCATTTTCATGTCTGCATGATTGTGATGTTTTGTTGATTATTTTATGTTTTTAATTCTAGATCTTAGTTCTGATTTTCACTTCTTTCAAATCAAAATGAGTAAATTGTTAACATATTACAACCTTTTCCTGCTGACCAAATACGACTACATGCCTAGGGTGTATAACAACCCAACCGAAAAATCCCATATGAAGCGCCATGTAAAAGCAGAGAAATCATGACAGACCAGGAGGCCAGGGTATCTCTAGATCAAGCCCTCTAGTTATCGTCACCACTGTTCATAATGCTCAACAGGCAGTTCCAGCCTAAGTATCACGTTAGTGACTGGTCTACTTGACCAACAATGGAATGCTACTCACCTAAGCTGACCACATTGACCACCAGAACACGCAGTTCTGGGGGAACAAGGGCAAAGTTGGCTCCCTGCACAAAGGGCCACACCATCAGGTTGGCTTTGTAGGCAGGAACGAAGGCACTGTTCCACTTCTCCAAGGGGTCACTGCCCTCCATGATAGCCATTGAGGACAAGAAGCAAGTGAGTTGAATGGGGGCAAAGCAGATCTGATCAGCTGCGACACGTGCCATGGTTGTGGTGGTTGTGCTCTTGAGGACGACGTGACGCTGAAGGATGCCAAACCAAGTGGTGGCCACGGGACCGAAGACGGCTGGACAGGAACATGTCAGCAATTGCAGAGTTCAATGACAGTATTGTAGAAAGAGATATGTAGCCTACCTCCACCGTAGAGCGCCATGCGCCCAGTTCGGCCAAAGTCGTGCTTCTCGAGACCGCGGCGGTCAACCGCTTGTTGTGCTAGGACATCACCGCTACCAAATAGGATCTGTGTTGAGATGAGTATGACGATGACAAAGGGAAGGAGGGATCGAGGGTCGTACTGCACTGGTGATGCTCGCAGTGAGGATTGGCCTCTTCGCCAACTTGGACTGGTACCTGAACCAAGGTTAGAGGTGAATGCAATCCGTGGTGAGTGGTGAACAAGGGGCTTACCAGCGAAGCATGATGACAACCGATATGCTTATAGACAAGCAATACAGAAAAGATAGGAAACACAACAGAACGCTGAACGAATGCAAGGAAGCTGGGGGAACGAGGATCTTTAAATTGCGGAGAACGAAGATGCCCTGTCGCATTACTCGATTAGGAAGTGCAGCCGCCAACCAGATTTTAGAGTGACGTAGGGGAAGGGGATATTTATGCAAGTTATGAAGTAGATTCGCTTGCCTGAAGCTGATATATATGTACGCTGTAAAGCTGAATACACGTTATATTCTCACATCTCCCTCCTCTTCATACTTGGCATCGTCGCGAGTGTCAGTGTTGTAGTTCTTCCTTATCCACTTATCAGCTCGGAGATCTAGTCCATCACGTGACCGCTATCACACGTGCCCACCCGATTGGGACGTTAGGGCTTAGGTCTCCACTAGGGCTCTCACTCGCTTAGCCCACCCGCCGCAAATTTCGGGTCAACAGAGTGAGCCCCGGTATACCACGACGACCAAACCTCAATTCGACAACCCTCCCCGTCACTCAAAAACATCAAAATGGCTGACGCTGCTCCCCGTGGACGTGGTGGTTTCGGTTCGCGCGGCGACCGTGGTGGTGACCGTGGCCGTGGTGGTCGTGGTGGCCGCCGTGGCCGTCGTGGCCCCAAGCAGGAGGAGAAGGAGTGGCAGCCCGTCACCAAGCTCGGCCGTCTCGTCAAGGCCGGCAAGATCACCTCCATGGAGCAGATCTACCTCCACTCTTTGCCCGTCAAGGAGTACCAGATCGTTGACTTCTTCCTGCCCAAGCTCAAGGATGAGGTTATGAAGGTACGGATCGACAATCGCAGCAGGAATGGGATCGGAATCGAATTACGACAGTTACGCACAATGCGCACAATTGCGCAATGAGACACCGAGCTCTCTTTCTGCACCCTCGAACAACAATTTCAAGATCAAAAGAAGACTGACGCAACTTTCAACCTACAGATCAAGCCCGTCCAGAAGCAGACCCGTGCCGGTCAGCGTACCCGTTTCAAGGCTATCGTCCTCATCGGTGACTCCGAGGGTCACATCGGTCTCGGTATCAAGACCTCCAAGGAAGTTGCCACCGCAATCCGTGCCGCCATCACCATCGCCAAGCTCGCTGTCCTCCCCGTCCGTCGCGGTTACTGGGGTACCAACCTTGGTGAGCCCCACTCTCTGCCCGTCAAGCAGAGCGGCAAGTGTGGTTCCGTCTCCGTCCGTGTAAGTAGCCTTGTGCAGGAATTCTATGGTGCAAAGGATTCGATTTCTAACCGAGAATTTAGCTCATTCCCGCTCCCCGCGGTACTGGCCTTGTCGCCTCCCCCGCCGTCAAGCGTCTGCTCCAGCTCGCCGGTGTCCAGGATGCCTACACTTCCTCTTCCGGTTCCACCAAGACCCTTGAGAACACCCTCAAGGCCACCTTCGTCGCTGTTGTCAACACCTACGGTTTCCTTACCCCCAACCTCTGGGCCGACACTAAGCTCATCCGCAGCCCTCTTGAGGAGTTCGGTGACGTCCTGCGCCAGGGCAAGAAGTACTAGGTCCGCCATGATGCATGATTTTTGTTCCACAATTCCAACGGGTTTCTTTTAAAAATTCTCCACTGTGCTTGGTGAAATATCGTGTGCGGGAGACATCCCGTACCACTGGATGTATCTAGAGGGACACAAAATAGCGAAGTCCACGGTCTTGCCAGCCATCTTGTTTTGTGTAGATACACCTCTTGCAGGTGTCTTGTAGAGTGTCCTTGAGCCTCCAACAGAGCCGCATACTTTGATCTGTAGTCTAAACCTTATTTCGGGTCGACTGAGCATATGATATTATGGACAATCCCTAGTCTTCAATGCCATTGAGGCTGTTCTGTTCTGTCCATAACAATTCCGTCCAACTCCAGTCCGTGTTGAAAGTCCCAGTCCCAACATGATTGGTTCAACATGGGTAGATAGTCTATGAAACATGATACCAGAGTGTACATATATCGTCAAAGACAAAGACATACACAATCAAGTTGTCTAGGAACAATCTACAAGCAATGCTTCCCTCATACTCCTTCAGCTGAGAGCAACTCGGACCTCAGTGCAGGCAGTACCTGACGACACCTTCCTCTCCGGCGCATTCCCCTTCTGTTCCTCTACTGTCCTCTTTCGTCCTCTTTCGTCCTCTTTCGTTTCTCTACCTTCCATCTCTTTTCTGAACTTCCTCTCATGTCTTTCTTGTACCGTGCCTCGGTTCGGATGTGATCTTGAATCATGGAACAATATCCTGCCCACTGGAAGAGCACTCTCATGGGAGTGGAGTTCTGGAAAGACGCCGCCATTTACGAAGAAGAGGTTGCGAAGAAGCGTCAGCAAGGTAGGGGATCCTGCATTCTTGTTTTCTCGCTTCTGGTCTTGTTGTCATCCAAGACTCGACCAACTAACATTTCCAGCCCTAACTCCGAACCTGCTCAATCAGTCCCCCGTCAACATGGCCTCAGGACAAGCGGGCACAGAGCAAGCGGATACAGAGAAAGCTCCTCATCTTCAAGACATCCCCAAGAGACGTCGCCGTCTTAGTACGGCGGATCTTCCTACAATTTCTAGTCTCCGACGTCATCCCAGCGTGAGGAATACCACTGCGCGTATCAAAGGACTAGCCCATCATGTTCGAACTCGTTCCTTCAGTGCTGCGACCAATCTGGATCGGAAACTGTCCATCGATACTACTTCCAAGGTCTTCGATGGTCCCAAGAGCACCACCGTTCATGCTACTGAGATCTTGTCTCCCCCTCCGATTACTCCTCTCGGCTCACCTACCACTTCGGATCTGGCTACGCCTGTCAAACCGATTCTGCTATTCCGCGGTGGTACATCTTGGGGGAGCTCCCTCGACTGAAGTCGACTCTGGGGCTGGATTTGTTCTCTGCTATGGACGTGGAAGAAAAGGATGATGGGATTCTTGCTATCGTTGAGCTGAAGCCGCTTTGCGAATTTCGGAATCTGCGTTCTCTCAAGCTCACTGGCATGCTCCGCTCATATCAAACGTACATCTGGCAGGCTGTTTGGCTGAATACCAAGCTCGAAACTCTGGATTTGGGGATGGCGCTTGAGCCGGACATCTTTTCTGCTCCAAGCACTCAGTGGAAACAGATCAAGACCGGGTGGAAGATGAGTGGGAAAATGTATGCTGATCCTGTCTACTAGTAAGTATATCTGGGCTAGCGTTGCAACACTTGACTCATCGCTCTTAGTGGACATTACGGCACTGGCGAATTGAACCCGGACATTGGATACGGCGAGTACCTCGACAAGCATGCCATCGAAAAGGCCAAGATCCGGGCCATGGCTATGGGCCTCTCTGTGAAGCGTCTGCAGATCAAAACTATCTCCTTTTCTGGCTTTGTCGTTGATGCTGGTCCCTTCTTGCACTGGTTTGACCCGAACAATCTGCGAACTATTCACTTCAAAGCGCACTGTGTGGATGCTGGATTGTGGCTACCTCGCAACATGCGCAATGTGACTATTCGCTTGTCTAAACCTTTTGACCTGGAGGCTGTTCCTATGGGAATGGTCAAATTGAACTTGTTGAAGGATCTGAAAATGATCACATTGCAGAGGGGGCGCAAGGTGAGCCAGGTTGCTTTTGAGCAATGGGAAGAAGAAGAGTGGGATAGTATTTTCAGGCCAACGTCCAGATCTTCTTCTGGGTGAGATTCTACATTCACGATTCATGATTAATGAGGTGTTCAATACCCAGGAATAGGAGGTAGTTTTCAAATATCATTCCATAGCGAGGCAGTCTGCCAATTAACTTTGGGTACATTTAACGAAATGCAGAAAACAAGCATCAAGGAAAGAGAGTAATTCCGACTGGAGAGTGGAGAAAAGTAACTTGTGCGTGGAAATCATATCAGGTACCAAACACATTCTGATCAACTGAAAAGAAAGAACGAATGGCAATCCTTCAAGAATCATTCAGTGTGCAGCATAACATACTGTACTTAAGCGCCCTCTTCCTCGATGCGAATGGCACCCTCATTGCCAACGCCACGAGACCAGAAGCCATCCATGAGCAGGGTACTGTAAATGTGAGTAGATGATCATGCACGGGGTAGCAGCAGCAACAACTTACATTCCTTGCGAGCTATCATGGGCCAGAAGAAGCCAGTATCCAAGGATTCCCTGAGTCCAGACATCCAGAATGGCAAAAAGAACAGTCTCCGTATCGACGCTGAGCTGGAGAGCGAGGGGTCCAGCCGCGAGTGCACTATCAATACCGTCAGCACTTTCATCCTTGTCTGTGGCTACATTGAAGGAGCCTATTTCGAGTACTCACATAGGGTACAACGCCAGTACCAGAATCGCAGACCCAGAAACAGCCCCGAAGAAGCGTCTCGTGCGCACATCCTTGGTCTTCGCTGCTCTCTGCGCATGGAATCCAATATGGTGGATCACGACCAGGTAAGCGATGCATGAGATGGTCAGCCACACCCAGCGTTCACGGCCGTGGTTTGCATATGAGCCGAGTAGGCCGGTAGAGAGCATGACCAGGTCGGCAAATATGGCTAGCAGCAGGTTCGCACCTGGCAGGCCGGAGAGTAGAGCGAAGTTGATAAAGATCAATGGAGTTGTTAGGGCCCAGTTAAGGTAGCGGAGCCAGAGGATCTGGCGGAACACCTGGGTTGTTGTGTCTGGGACATGTTTGTGCTTCTCGTGGAGCTCGCTGAAGCTAAAGTTGCTTCCAAGGTTTGTGGCTAGGGCGAGGTAAATGATGAAGGAAATTGTGGTTGTGATTGAGGTTAGAATATGGAAGATTCTCTTTGACTGGAGATATTGTTAGTACAGAAGAGTTATACTATGGGTGGAAGTGGAAGGAAAGTGATGATGCATAGATGTGGGGTGTAGATCCGGGGTAAAGATCAACTCACCAGAGGAGCGCGAGCTGCCAGAAGGTAGAAGACCAGCGAGGAGACGCCCATCAGCACCGTCACTACCCTATTTCCTGGTCAGTCTGTTCTTCATTGTCCGGTAGAAGCCCTTACCAGAGAGTTCGCATGCCCACATCGTGAATCTCCTGCCAGGTTTCCAACCCCGGGATCACGGTGGGGATGGGCGCCACCGAAGAGGTGGTGGCCGGGGCCGTCAGCGATGGGAATTCGTCAAATGGAGGAGGAGGATATATCATGATGGATATGTGATGATTGAAAGATGAAGAGAAAGAGGAAAGAAGAAGAGGAAGAGTTGTGTCCGGTAAATCAGGGTCATGATTGGCAAAAGCGTCATCAAAGTTGACCTGTCGTCATACTCAGAACTTGATCTCAACATTTTTACTGCGACTACTTGCTGGGACTATTTGCTGGGACTATTTGCTATGACTATTCGATTACCCTACAGTAATGCTCTCTTGGTCTTCTTTGTACAGTGGCACAGCGTAGAGCGGAATTAATGATGGTCTGCATCAAGTCTATAGTACAAAGGGTATACAAGGCATATCAAGCATTTGCCTCCAATTCACTCACCACCGTCTCACACCGGTCGCAGATGGTATTTTCCACTGGTTCCGCAACCGCATAACGCCAGCACCGGGGACATTTACCTGCCTGTGGCGCGTACACGTGAACAGTGCCTGGTTGGCCACCGAGTTGGAAGGCTTCTTGGTACTGCCATTCGGCTTCGGTGATTTCAGTGGAAACAGGGTCAGCCTGAGATCCGAGAGTGAGGGAAGATACAACAAAGAGGTCGGGGAGTTCGGAGAGGTACTGGTGGAATAAGCCTGAGTTGCTGGGGAGGGCGAGGTGCACGAAGGATTGCAGGGATGAGCCGAGTTGCTTTTTGCTGCGGGCTTGCTCCTGCAAGTTCTTGATGGCCGAGTGTACCACGGTCAGCTCTTGGTAGCTGGTGTCCAGGGAGACATCCTGCCATTCCGGGGCGGGTGCGGAAACCAAGCGCTGCAAGGGGTGCTCGGTCTGGGTGCGAATGGCCTCGGGCGTGTGTTCCCACGTTTCTTCCACGAGCAGTGGGGTGACGGGGGCCAATACCTCTTGGAGGTGACGGTAGATGTAGAACAAGGTCGTTTGGGCAGCCCGGCGGCTCAAGCTATCTGCACCCAGGGTATAGAGACGGTCTTTGATCGCTTCCATGTAGAAAGCGGAGAATTCGAGGTTGGCCCATCGGTTCATCATGTTCACAGCCTTGTAGAATTCAAAGTTGTCACACGCCTTCTGAGAGGTGAGAACCATGTCGGAAAGGTGCTTCAAGGCAATCCGGTCCACTAACTGCAACTTCTCATATGGAACAACGTTTTCGGGTCGGAAATCGGCGAGGGCGCCCAGAAGTAGCTTGAACGTCACACGGAACTTGTGAAGACTGGTGTTGACGGTCTGAAGAACTTGCTTTCCAATCACTACATCCCGAGTATAGTCGCTGCTGGCCGCCCACATGCGAAGAGCATCGGGGCCAAGTGCGTCGTAGACAGGTTCCGGGTTCTCGACTGGCTTCTTTCCTTTGACCTTGCGGGGCTTGAGAGGAGGCAGCAGAGTTCCATCCATGATGGTTTGCGGGGCAATGGTATTTCCAATCGACTTGCTCATCTTCCGGCCATGTTCATCCAGGGTGAAGCCGTGGGTGATGAGGTTCTTGAACGGAGCACGGGGGGTTTGACCCTGTTCAGAGCCGAGCTGGTGTGAGATATAGGTCAGAAGACCAGACTGGAACCATCCACGGTGCTGGTCGCTACCTTCGAGATACACGTCGGCAGGGTGACTCCGGCCTTCAGTGGGTACATCAATCTCTGCCCAACTGGTACCGCTGTCAAACCACACGTCCATGGTGTCTGTTCCACGTCGATACCCTGCTCCAGATTCATTGCGCAAGTTTGGGGGAATCCATGCAGCATCATCGGCGCTATCAGTCCACCAGGCATCAATGCCCCGCTCTTCAATCGTGGTCATGATATGTGAGACGCTGTCCTTGGTCAAGACCGCCTCGCCAGTGGTCCGGTGGTAGATGGCGGGAATGGGAACACCCCATGAGCGTTGTCGTGAGATACACCATTCACTTCGATTCTTCACAAAGTTCTCCAGTCGCTGCTTGCCGCTTTCAGGGACGAAGCGAACATCGTCCAGGGCTCGAAGGGCACTTCCACGGATGTCCGCTACGTCGGCAAACCACTGCTCGGTGGCCCGAACAATGATCGGAAGCTTCGATCTCCAGTCATAGGGGTACTTGTGCTCGTACCGATGTTGTGCGAGCAACTGATCACAAGATGCGACATATTCCAAGACTGCTGTGTTGCCTTCTCCGAGAACAGGCTTTCCGGTCAACCGAGTTGGATCAAGGGGCATCGCTTTCTCGGTGAATCTGCCCTCGTCATTGACGGGAGCAAACACAGGAATTCCACGGGCAAGACAAGCTTCGTAGTCATCCATTCCGTGACCAGGCGCACAGTGAACCAAACCAGATCCAGAATCAGCAGTGACAAAGTCGGCGGCGATGATGGGCTGGGGCTGAGCTTCTGGGCCCCTGAAAAGAGGTCGATACGTAGTTTTCTCTGCTAATTCCGATCCCATGATAGACGGAATAATGATGGACAAGTCCTCATTGAGCGTGTTCTGCAAGTACTCAAACCGGGACTGAGCGATGAGAAGATGACCATATTTCTCTGACTGAACAATCGTGTATTCCAAAGACTCATGGACAGCAATGGCAGCATTGGCAGGCAGTGTCCAGGGTGTCGTAGTCCAAATAACAGCACTCAATTCCTTTCCCCTGAGAAGAGGGTCTTCAACAAGGTGCTTCGGAACATCGACCAGAGGGAACTTTACCAGCGCAGCGGTAGACACATGGTCTTCCTGATATTCCAGCTCTGCTTCCGCAAGAGCCGTCCCTGTTGAAGGTGACCAATATACTGGCTTGAACTTGCGATAGATAAGACCTCGATCAACCATTTGCCGGAAGATACCCAGCTGGCGCATTTCAAATTGTTTGTCCATTGTCTTCCAGTGATTCTGCCAGTCGGCCATGACTGCAAACCCACGGAATCCCTTCATCTGTTCCTTCACGGTCTGTCGGGCTAGCTGGCGCGCTGACTTGCGAATTACAGCTGCACTGACTGACCCATTGGCAATGTCCATATCGCGTAGGCCTTGGAGGGCTTTGAGTTCGATCGGAAGTCCATGACAATCCCATCCAGGCACGTAGCGCACCCGTTTGCCTCGACCTAATTGTACGCGACAGATTATATCCTTCAAGATTTTGTTGAGCGCATGTCCAATATGCAATTCGCCGTTCGCGTAGGGCGGACCATCGTGGAGGACGAAAGGGTTATCGGCTGGTCTCTCGCGACGTTGCCAGGCGTAGAGGTCATCGGTGCATCGTTTTAGATACTTTGTTTGATCAACAGGCGAGACTCGAGGGGGAAACGACGACTTAGGAAGCTTTAAAGTCGATGTCCAGGAGCGGGGGATCGACCGCGCCAGTTCCGGCATTGTCCAGCATGTCGGAGGAGTGAAAGTTCGGAGCGCGGAGTTTCACAGTTAAGTATGGACCACCGAGCTTCGGCTCGCAATCATGGATTTTGGTAACTTTGGATTTAATATGGGATGTAAGTAGTCTTTGGTACTCATATTTGCCTGTTCATTTTCTTCTCGAGGTATTTCTTTCCTCATTTCTCATGTTCGCGTTGAATATATATCCTGTTATGTGCTCTATATAAAGACATCTATGAAGCACCCAGCCAATTCAACCATTGAAATACAAACGTCCATTCATAAGTCATCATGCATTGAAAAAAGCTAAGTATGTACCAATACCACAGAGATCAATACACGGTAAGACAGCTGACAGCACCATTCTTGAGTACCTCAAATAGCAGACCAGGGAACCCGAAAAGCTCAGTATTGCCCAATCCCCCATCTTGTCCATCTGCACCGCTCCGAGGGCCCTTTGCAGTACTCTCTTCCCAGCCTCCGAGGAATTCTACGCTGCTCTCAGGGCTGTCACCCCACCCTCGGTTGAGAACCATTGGTCGCTGCAAAGCACGCTCTTCAGCGGCACTGGCATAAGCCCCTTTCCAAGTTTTGCGCAGCCGCTCGGAGATTTCCTCATAGGAGGATTCAGAGGATAAGAAGTTATCCGAATCACCCATAGGGATGACCCATCGGCTTCGACGGTGGCGGTTGAAGGGATATGAGCCTGGAACATTGCCATGGAGAATGATCTTTGTTACGGCCAACTGAGACGAATGTGGCTGTGGTAAAGGATCTGGCGTACTGGAGTCTGGAAAAGCAGGACCGGGTATGGTTGGGTATGAGATAAATGCATCAAATCCATGATGGAAGAAGTTCAAAAAGCATTCTGCGGGTAGCGATGTGGGGTCTCCGATGAAGGCTGCAGCTTCATCATCTGAATCATCAGTAACACTATTGTTGGATGAGTGATCGGCATCAGGCATTTCGAATCCTCTTCCTGGGGATGGACTTAAATGTAGTTCACCGGCAGCGGTTGCACGGTGAATGGATATTCGCCGGTCGTTCTTACGGTAAATCGCATCAGGTGGCCCAAAATCGGCAATCAAATCCTGAGCAGTAGTTTCTCCAAGAGTGATGCCTACAGGAGCTCCTGTTCGGCGAAGGACTTCAAGCTTGCCAGCCCCAAGGACCTGCCACTCTTCAATCTCGTCTGCAAGTGACTCCCGGGATTTGCCGATCAAAGCAGATGAGCGAGGGTATTGAGGTTGCTGTGTGAAGAGCTTTGATCGAACCTCTGGCCATGAGGATCCTTGAAAGATTGACATGGAGGTGGCTGGCAAGGCCGCTGAGGAGGAGAGCAGTGCTACGAAATCACACTGATCAGACCAGGCTGAGTGCTGAAGGGGAAATGAAAACGCGACTCCAGGATAGGATAAAACATAGGTGCCGTATGGAGACTGATCTGCCGGTGGTACGTATTCTCCTGGGTATGAAGGACCAAACAGGCGATTGTAAACGTGCCGGAAGCTAGGGCCATGGGAAGAGACTGGGGGTTCAGATTTGGCCCCCTTAAGTACCTCCTGATTCTTATAGATCAGATTCAATTTGGTGAAGTCAAATACTTCGATCAAACGAAGCCTTTGGTCAGGACCATCAAAGCGAAGGCGCAGGCCATTCAAAGGTAGCTGTAGTACCACGGGTGTGCGGAGTGGATCTACAGAGGAGTATGCAAGGTCGATGGCGGAGTACGTTTGAGGGTATGATTTGACTCGGGTGAGGACATTATGAAGCGAAGCTCCTAAGGCTGTGAAAGTATTAGCAGGAGCAACCAAAGAAGTGAACGGAAGACGTGCTTATAAACCCCAGTCCTTTCCCAGGGAAAATCTGTGCCTGCGAAGAAGTAGTAGATGTAGTCATAGTGGTATGCGATGTGTCTGTTTTCACGACCCAAATCATATCAAACAAAGCTCCATGCGATCAGTAGAGAGCTCGCAACAAGTGAAAGGAGGAGGCGACCTTGGAGACCTCGGGGAGGGGACGATAAGATATGACGATAAGGCCAGCAGACCATATCATGTGATCAGATGAGAGGGGTGTCACGTGGGCTTTGTTTATGTTTTCCCGTTTGAGACAAAGCTCCACTGCTATACACAACGCCGACTCAAAGTCAGACGAGAGCAAGACTTGGTATTGGCTGGTTGAATTTGGAAGGTAACCCTCAGTGAACATAAACTTGTTGCTTCGCTATCATGGCTGGCCCTTCAAGGCCTCCATCCACCCTCCCGACCACCACGAGGAGGTCTGGTTTACGCCAACCGATGACACGACGAGCCGGTTCGGCCGCACCACCAGAGAGACATACAACACCTGCACCAACACCGTCAGTGAGATCGTCTGCAGTTAGCGCTGCTCGCCCACCGAGAAGCCCCGAAAAGCCGAATGCGCCGCCCAAGAGAAAAGAAAGAGAATTTGAGCGCGAGATCAACGAAGACACCAGCATTCATGTGGTGGTTCGTTGTCGCGGCCGCAGCGATCGCGAGATCAAAGAGAACAATGGTGTTGTGCTATCAACTCCAGAGGGCGTGAAAGGCAAGACACTCGATCTGTCGATGGGACCAAACGCAGTCTCAAATAAGACATACGCCTTCGACAAAGTCTTTTCCCCCGCTGCCGATCAGACCGCTGTCTACGAGGATGTGGTCCTTCCGGTTATCAACGAGGTCAGTGAAGTCTGCGTTTATTGATTGAGTGCTTCGCTAATTTTGCACAGATGCTGTCAGGTTATAATTGCACAATTTTCGCATACGGACAGACCGGAACAGGAAAAACGTACACTATGTCAGGAGACATGAACGACACACTCGGTATCCTATCCGACGACGCAGGTATCATTCCGCGTACACTTTACTCGCTATTCCACAAACTCGAGGACACCGAAAGCACCGTGAAATGCTCCTTCATCGAATTATACAACGAAGAGCTGCGCGATTTACTGTCATACGACGACAGCACAAAACTCAAGATCTTCGAGAACGAGAAAAAAGGAGGACACAGTACAATGGTCCAAGGCATGGAGGAGACTTACATCGACTCTGCCTCCTCCGGTATCAGGTTACTACAATCCGGCAGCCACAAACGCCAGGTAGCTGCAACAAACTGCAACGATTTGAGTTCCCGAAGTCATACAGTGTTCACAATCACAGTTCTCACCAAGCGGACAACCGACTCTGGCGAGGATTATGTTAGCTCAGGAAAGTTGAATCTAGTTGATTTGGCTGGAAGCGAGAATATTGGACGAAGCGGCGCTGAGAACAAGCGCGCAACCGAAGCAGGTCTCATTAACAAGAGTTTGCTCACCCTTGGCCGGGTGATCAACGCCCTGGTCGACAAGAGTTCGCACATCCCATACCGCGAGTCAAAACTTACTAGACTGCTACAAGATTCACTGGGCGGACGAACGAAGACATGTATCATCGCCACTGTCTCGCCAGCCCGTAATAACCTCGAAGAAACCATCTCTACCCTCGATTATGCATTCCGAGCCAAGAACATCCGCAATAAACCCCAGATCAACTCCATTATCTCGAAGAATAAACTTCTGCGAGATATCGGAATGGAAATCCAAAAGCTCAAGAGCGAGCTTATTGCTACACGGCACCGCAATGGTGTCTATATGACCCCTGATGCATTCGAGCAGATGACAGTGGAGAGTGAATCACGGCGCATTGTCAACGAAGAGCAGCGCGCGAAGATCGAGTCGATGGAGTCCAGTCTCCGACACAAGGTTCAAGAGCTGCTTTCAATCACCGGCAACTTCAACTCGCTGAAGCATGACAACGAGGAGACACAGTCCAAGCTCAACGAAACGCAAGAAATTCTCGGCGAGACTGACAAATATTGGAAAGATTGTCAAGAACAGCTGGACGAGGAGAAGGCTGTGCGGAAAGCCCATCAGCAGACAGAGAAGCAACTTCGCAACATTGGTGCAGGACTAGTATCTACTCTCAATACCACAATTCAAGATGTGAATGGGTTGCATGCGAAGATCGATCGCAAAGACAACCTGGAAACAGACAACCGACAGACTTGGCAGACTTCTACCGGCGAAGTTTGTGAGATTACCCAGCAGATTGATGCTCGCATGGAAGTTTTCCAGACGCAGCACGCTAAGCTGCTAGAGGGAATGTCAGGCAAAATCCATCGATTCGTGGACACTGAATTGAGTACCGTGCAGTCTGCTCGCTCTCAACTTCAGACTCTTGGCACCTCATTTGACAAAGTTGAGATTGAGGCAAAGAACATCACCTCCAATGCGCACACCGAGATGAATGAGGTACTCGAAGAGATCAAGGTCTTGCGGGAGGATGTCAAGACAAAAGTTGGTGAAGGACTAAACGGTTTATCCGCGGCAGCTGCTCGAATTTCCAAAGAGGTCATTGGCGAGTTCTCCGAGTTTCATACCCAGCTTCACACCTCATACAGCAGCCTTGGCAAGGACTTCAAGTCCATGTTTGAGAGTATGGCTAAGCACCTTGATGAGCAAAAGTCCGAGGTCAACAGACTACGGGTCGAGCTGCAGGCAGCGAACCGCCAGACTGTGGAGGCCAATAGAAAGGCTTCTTCCAACCTTGCTCAGGTTTTGGAAGAGGAGCATGCCAGTGCGCAGGCCGAACGTGACACTTTGATGTCTCATATCCGTGGACTCCTCGAGGAATCCAACCAACGACAGAACAACCGCCTTAAAGGGAAATTCGATACTCTCCGCACAGATATTTCGGCCACGGGAGACTCGCTTGAGCAGGCCACTGCGCAGCATGATAGGCACATCGACGAATGGATCTTCAAGGAGGAGCAGTTCGCTAAGGACGTCTCTGGATCGAAAGATGAGATCAAAACAAGAATGCAGAACGATTGGGAGGTAAGATACCATGCGCCGCAAACTTTTGGATCACCAGCTAATTCTACCAGGCGTTCGACCAACGAAATGCCTCGATACATCGAGCAACAGAATCTGTTCACCAGGAAACGGTTCGCATTGTGGATGCTCAGATGAGTGACATGGGCACTCAAATGGAAGCATTGGACGACTTTGTTGCCAAAGCACGCTCACAGAATGGCCGCTTCCACGAATCTCACATCGGCAGCTTGAATACCATGGCCCAGAATGTCCGCGAATCCCGCTCGACAGCCCAAAGACAAATGGACGGGTTCTCCCAACGGGTTGGTCAATTCAGAGAAGAAGTCAATACGCATACGAAGAACCTGGAGCAGTCCACCGCCCCTCTACCAGGAGAAGTCCGCCAGCCACTTTCAGATATGCGTTCAAACCTCCTGAGTCACCCTATGAAAGAATACGTGCTCACAGGTGCAACGCCCCAAAAACGACGCTACGATTACCCCTTGGAAATGCCCCAGACAGAACCCCACGATGGCCTCCGCTCTCGACACCGCACCTCGAAGCAATTCACAGCTCTCCCTTTCAGCGAAGAAGAGGATCGAAAATCTCCCGTTGCTTCCCCTGAGCCCTCCCCAGCCAAACCCTTTGTGTATCACGATACTGCGGGACAGGTAGGGACCCTCTCTGTTCCCTCATCCGCAGCCCCATCTTCCAACACTGGCCTTAGGGAAGTCGATCTAAACGTCGCCAGACCGGTCGCGTGTGACGAGGACGCTGGCATGGCCACCAACAAGCAGGAAACACCCGCGCTGAGCACATCCCTGGATCTGGACGAGACACCTGAAAAGGAAGAGCTGGAACAACCCGTTCGCAAGCGCCGCCGCTCAAACTCCGCGATGGGTGAGAGTAAGGTCCCGCAGAAGATGCCGAAGAAGATGTCTAATATGATGGAGGGTCGCGAGAACCAGATCCCTGCAGGTCGGAGATTTAGAAACCGAGGTTCCGATTAGAGCCTTTTCATGTTTTGGGGGGTTTTTTTTTCAATTTTCAGTTTTCATTTTGATACCCGATGTCGCTGGGCCTTTTTGACTTTTTTTTGGCTGGAGTTGAGAAAACAGTGTGGGTTGGTCATTCTCTTGTTTTCTTATGTTGAAGTGCTATAGATGGCACCATTATTTGACTTGGCGTTGTTGGTTCGCATCGGTATTCCTATAGGGATGCCTGATTCATCTTAATACAGTATTGATCTCCCGTGGATAGCTTCTTGGTATGTTCAATGTAAATCAAAGAGGTATCTGGCCCGAGACTGGGAATTTGACTAAATGTAAACGCCTTTCCCAGATGCGCCAAAGCAAAAAGGGAGAACAAGTGTCACTGTTGTTCATCAAAGCGTAAGGATGCCTCCTCTTCTAGTACCACATCTTGGCCTGCATTCTCAGGAGGATCGTGTTCCAGTTCCACTTGTTCATCCTGCTGCGTCTCCGCTTCCGCAGCGTCAATGATAGTCTGGAGCTCGCCCATCCGTTTCGCAAACTGGTTCATCATTTCCTCCAGTCTTTGCGCACCCTTCTCCTTCCCGGATACTTCAACTGGCATCCCACTTGTACCACGAATCTTCAACATCACTCCCTGCCCTGGTGATTCGGGAGTGTTATTCTCGAATGTTGGTGCCGGCATTACTTCTGTATCGAGGACCTGCCACGACGACGAAAAGCTTTGTGCGGATGACACACGGAACTGAGGATGTTTGCTGGCTCCAGCCTGTCCCTCCTGTGGGGGTATAGATGGGTTCGCTGGTGATGATGACATGGACTTTGTTCCACCCTTTGGTGGGTCTGTTTGCTTCTGTGCTGTGTTATTTGTAGGCGGAACGGGCTCCATGTCTAGAATGAGGTAGTTTTCCCGGACCCCTGGTACCGGTGGTGGAAGCAGTGTGGTCTTCTCCGGGTCAGCTTCTGGATCTGAGGGGTCTTTTGTCTCGTGGGGATTGGATGCGTGGGGTTGTGAGATTTGGTCTTTCTTGGATTCCGAGAGGGCATCTTGTTGAGCAGTTAAGCTGCGCAGAGCTGCTTCGGTTACGATGTCCGTGTCATCGTCGGAGAATATGTAGTGGACGTTGGGGTGGTAGTAGTCCGATGTATGGGCGTCTTCGACTAGCGTGAAGAAGGGTTGGAATGTGGGGTTGGACGGGTGTTGTTCCTGGACTTCGGATTCTTCGGTACTATCAATGGCTCCATCATAGCTCGGGGTGGTGATGATCTCTTGCGGGGGAGTTTCGTCTATGGATGGACGGCTCTCGGGTGTCCCTCTTGCCTGTCGATCACTTGGCCTTGGGGCTGTTTCTGGTCTCGAGAGCACTTCTTTGCGAAGAGACTGCCGAGAGGAGGAGGATGATAGGGGCTGCCGATAGGGAGACGGACTGTTCTGCGACATCTCCAAAGCCGGGACTACATGATTGAGAGGACGTCGACTGTCAAGTGCGGAGAGCTCTTATCGATAGTGGCACGTGACGATTATCGATATCAACAAGTCCTTTCCCAGGCTGCCTCCCATCCTCTGAAAGAAGCTGTCTTCAAAAGGTTCTTGAGATGTAAGATAACCGATGATGACAGCGTCAGACCTGACACAGTTCAGACCGGCTGTAGCCTGATTGGTCATAAACCGCTTGAGATCTACAAGACTCGAAACACTGGAACAATGATGATATTCAGATCGCTGGCACTATGGATATAGCAAGAAAGACCATGCTTCGAAGAAGATATCATAATTGATCGATCCGCCAAGGCTCCATGCTTTCGCGTTGTATGCTCGTTTGACGACATCTGTGTCCCACCGAGTCAAGTATCACCAAAAAACAAAACAAAAACAAAAGGGTATCTTGAATTTATCCGCAACGCCGTAGTCAATATGTAGGAGAAAGAATCGGTGGTCACTCATTGTCCTTCTTCCATTCGAATTCTGGAGACAGATAGTTAGATATGACCATAGAAGGAGAAAGAAAAAATAGGCATACTTTGTCGGCACATTGGGCAAAGACCCTTGGAAGACTCTTGGTTGATCCAAGTCAACAGACAATGCTGTTCATATACGTTAGTCAAGCCTCCCTCTTCGATACCGATAGTCTCACCATATGGAATGAGTGCCCACAGGTTCCTACCACTGTAGAGCAAAGCTGTTAGCATTTCCGATCGATTGTGCACTGGATAACAGGCTCACTCACAAAGCGCGCATTCATCGCCAGGAAATTTGCAGGTTGGACAAGTGCCATCGAATTGAACACGACAGATACCACAGACTTCATCTTCTGGGATATCCCAGTGCCAAGTAGCAATGGCATTCCACTCTTTCAGGGTAACCTTCATACTGTGGGGAGTTGGAAGGTCAAGAAAGCCAGGGCCCGATAAGCGGTGGTTATCAATCATGTGAGCCCTCTTCTCCGCACTCCTCACTTGCGCCATAGTTGACCGGTTATTGCTCTATTTACCCTCTTTTCTCCCTGCAACCATGGCTTTCTCTGCCATGCGGTCCTTTGCACCTGTTCGCTCCTTTCGAATGTCGACCCCAGGCCAGGTTCAGTCGCGCAGCGTCTCTTTCTCCTCCTATCTAGTCACCCCCAAACAACTCAATGAAGCTCTCAAGAAGAACCCCCCGACCAAGATCTCCACCTCGCCGCGTGTGATCCCACTTTGTGCAGCATGGTTCATGCCAAATGATCCTGAGGGTCGGAAGGGAATTGACTCGTTCCATAACTCTCGTATCCCTCAGGCTCGGTTCTTCGATCTCGACGCTATCAAGGACCCTGATTCCCCCTACCCACACATGCTGCCAACATGTGAGACCTTTGCAGAAGCCATGAGTGATCTGGGTATCCGTCGCGACGACGAAGTGGTGGTCTACGATACTGCCGAGCTGGGTATCTTTAGTGCGCCCCGCGTGGGCTGGACATTGCGCGTGTTTGGTCACCCCAATGTTCACATTCTAAACAACTACCGTCTCTGGACTCAGGAAGGCCTTCCCACGGAGAGTGGAGAGCCTGCCCCTGTGGAAAAGTCCAAGTACTCCGTGCCGACCTACGATTCCAGACTGGTAATTTCCTTCCGTGAAATGAAGGAACTGGCTTTGGACTACGGCAAGGAAGGAGCTGAGCCAGTGGAAATTTTGGATGCCCGCTCCTATGGTCGTTGGGCTGGAATCGACCCGGAACCTCGCGCTGGTCTATCATCTGGACATCTCCCAGGATCGAAGAGCATGCCTTTCCAGCAACTACTCGATCCCGAGACTAAGACTTACCTGCCTGGCGATGAGTTGCAGAAGGTATTTGAAGAGCACAAGGTGGATCCATCTCAGACAATCATCAGTTCTTGTGGTACTGGAGTGACTGCCTCTATCATTGAGACTGCCCTAGGTGAGGCGGAATTCGGGGACCCTCATCTTCGCCGTGTGTATGATGGCAGCTGGACGTAAGTGCATCTCCCACTGGATTGAATCCCGGAACCTAGTTCAATTATGCTAATGATAATAGTGAATGGGCGCAGCGAGTCAAGGAATCGGATGGCCTCATTAAGAAGGTGAAATCATAGGTGTTAGAGGGACAGCTCTAGGAGGAACTCTCAGCTCACGAACGACATGATATCTTTTACTCTTAGATTGTATCCCAGAACATAGAACCTCTCAATCTCTTAATCTCTCAGTCTCTGAATTCTTCTCATCTGTCTCATCTGTCTTCGTCTTCGTCTTTCGTCCGTAGCTGACTAAGCACTTCTTGTCCACGCAGCGCATCAAATCTCGCGCTTGCTTTTACTTCAAACAAACCGCTGGGACTACAAAGATGCGGATGGAATATTCCTATCAACAGGCTTCTCATCGTGAGTGAAAATCAGCTCATTCGTTTGCGCTACCGACACCCGCCTCCCCCCACATTCTCCCATGTCCCTCCAACCTCCCTGGCTCTTTCATAGGTGCTGACCTTTCAGTCGTGGTCAACACTTCCAGTCTTCCGATATAGGGCGCTTTTAGCCCTGTATCTCACCTTCTCTTACATCATGTCGACCGGACGCAAGGTCTTTCATTGTGCCGTCGATGAGACGGCCTTGTCTACCAATATTAGCGAGATCAAGAAATGGACCACCAACGGAGCAATCGATCTTGTTGTTCCTCTCTACAGTGAGTCACTGGCGACGGAAGCTGGCTCAGCTGCTTTGCGCTTACTCTAACTGACATCTATTCCCTAGCCCTTGAACGTCTCCATGCGCTGAAGCGAGCCGGATCTCAGGTCGCTATTAACGCCCGCGAGGCTGTGCGCTTTCTCGACCGAGTCACCTCTGGCAAGGACCATATCGCCGCCGACCGAGTGCTGCTTCAAGGTCCGATGGAACAATATGATCGCTGGGAAGAGGCAGAGAAATTCTTCCTCCCGGAATTCGAGGAGGAGCCCGAGGCGATTGACGACGCAGTGACCAACGGTGAAGCGACCGAGCCCCTCGCAAAAGAAACCATCGCCAAGACCGACCAGAACGACTTGTCGCAAATGCTCCTCTCCAAATTGAATTTCAAGAAGGATCCAGAGGCTACGTCGATCACTTCCGTCGGTTCCCCCAGTGGACCTGGCTCGCGCACGTCCTCTCGCAGCTCTCGCACCAGTCCTGAATGCGCCCAGCATGAATCAAGCAATGGAACTACGAAGAACGAGAAGAACAAACCATTTTCCCACCAGCGCTCGCTCTCCGCATCCGTGATCCCGACCGCACCGGCCGCCCTCCGCCCTCTGCTGAGCGCCTTGCTTTGGCGCCTGCACAACGGGCCCGACGCTGATAATTCCGCAAAGACTTGTATTCTGATTACCAACGACCGCGCGACCCAGGTGTGGGCGCAAAAGTTTGGAATTGGCGTCAAGAACATCCTTCAATTACGTACCGCCATCCAATACGAAGAGCGAGAGTATAAGAACCGCTGTAAATACGTCGAGAAGACCCAGGTTCAACCCACCGAACCCAAGACTTTATTGGCCTACGAGGAGGAAAGCGACGAGGATGAGCTGGTCTTCGTTCCACGTGGTCGTGGTAAGAGTGCGCCTCGTGCTTCGCGTGGTGGCCAGCGCAAGGCTCCTCCAAAGCCTGCCCCGAAGCCTACGTCTGCTCCGAGCGAGAACCCCGTTGAAGTTCCCACCCAGCCTATTGACCCTGATTCGTTCAGCCGGTCTTTAGGTGGCACCACTAAGCCGTCCACCGTAAATGTGAACACGCAACCTGGTACTACCCGGGGGAACTCGGGCGCCTCTCGTCGTTCCTCTAACGGACGCCGAGGGGGACCTTCTCGCGGTGCACGAGGCAGCGGCCGTGGCCGGGGCAAGCTCTGGGTTCCTTGATTGCACGGGTGACGGTCTACCGATTCTATCATTTGATGGCATGACGTAGACTGTGTTGAACCAATGCATCCAGAACCGGACAAGGGTATCTCTTTTCTCTTTGCAGGACATCACATCTTGCTGTGATTGCTTGATTGCCCGCAGAGTGTGTTTCCCTCTCTCATCCCCGGCAACTCCAGACCACGATCGGATCTCGGACTATCTCGACCTCGAACAGGACATGCATCCAGTGGAGGATTCAATCCGCGGCTTTGTGCTGCATGGATTTGTTGAAGATTGTCCCCTTTGCCCTGTTTCCAAACTCCCCCTCGAAGGAGGGCGATATTGAAATGTTATTTTGGAGGGAATGATGATAATTGATTTTGTTTCATCTGCTAGTTGCACATGGTCCGTAATGTAGTGTAGTGGCCTCTTATGAATGAGTGATGCGAGTCAAGTGAAGTATAGAACGGGACTTCCCCGCGTGATCGTACATCACTTGACTTTCCACTGCAATTTCGCTCTTCTCTTCTTCAACACTCCTCGAATTTCTTACTTTGCTACTTAAGACTCTATCCACACTACTCACTAGTCATCTACTCCTACAGATCAAATACAACCTCAATATCATCATGTCCGTCGACCAAACCCCCCTCAACCCAACCTTCGAGCGCCGCAACTCGTTGGAGAAACACCTCCAAACCCGCCCGGACATGCAGGATCTCAAGAACCGCCACATCCTGCTGGACACAAATGTGGCCCCGTATATATCCCAGAGAAACGTGGCACACGCTGGAAAATGGCATCACTAACGCACCCTCAGAGCTCTCCAGTCTGCCCGCCAGGAACTAGATCGCCAACGTGCTTCTGATAGCTTGAAGAAGAGCTTGGAGAAGAGGCCCGAGAAGGATGAGCTGGTTGAGCGTATATTTCCCCTTTCTGTTTCCTATCTCTATGTCCTTCACAGCTTATTTTAATACTCTATGTTATTTCCGACTTGGTATGCTTGACTTGATCTATACTGATGTCATCAAGGCAATATCCTCCCTGCCACATCGGCCGCACCCGCGCTGCAAGCTAATGCTCGCGAGCTCGAGAAGCATATGCTGGTCGATAACCTCGAGCATAAGATTCAGAAACGGCCGCAGCCCGAGGATCTTATTTCCCAGGGTATCTTGTCCGAGGATGAGGACCCCCGCTCCGCCTGATTTCCTACACTGCACTACACACTACCGAGCTGGCTACTATACTGGACTCGATGATTTGAAATGAGCTATGGACTGGGCTATTGGTGGTATTCTCTTTTTTCGCCCATTCGTTAGGAATTGGAATTGCGACTGTTCCTGTCTTTACCGCGATGTGGTGATGTCACCGTGATGGATCCACTTGATTGTCAATATCAAATATCTAAACCAGCTGCTGCGTAGCGACTCTAGTGTAATTGCGATAGTAGAATATGGTCCCAAGCTAGAGAAAGGGCTAGTTATATGTGGGCTGTTCTCTGGCTGCCACCTACTTTGTCGTGCCCACCAATTGCAGAGAACGTGATATCATTCAATAGCATAGATCATAGATCATCTCGTTAGAAAAGTATCTAGCGACTCTACACCTCAACAGCAGCAGAAAGATCAGGAGTCCACCCACTAGGCCTCTCACTTCCCCGAACAAGAATCCCATACGCCGCCCTCTCGACCTTTTCAACACTCGTCTGCATTACCTCTAGCTTCTTCGCCAGATCGCGGAGCATGTTATGGCGACGAGGTACACTAAGCGCTTCAAAGTCTGCCCGCATAGCGCGTAGATCAACGACGATATCACCCTGCGACGGTGCGAGTGTCGGTGCTTTGGATTCTGTTGCGGTCTCGTCGGTCTTCGTTGCGGCGGCGTTGCCCGAGCTCAAGGATAGAACGGCAAAGCGCATCATTTCTCCCGTAAGATCGAATAGACCGAGTAGGTAATCTTCTTCGGTGACGAGGATTTGGGCGGGCACGCGAGCGGTGACTTCGGCGTGGGAGATTAGTGTTTGCGTGCGGAGGTAGTGATCGAAGGAGACGGCTTCGATGAATTCCTGAATTCCTGGGCTTAGCTGGCGTTGGTAGCGCCAGCTGTTTATGCCGAGTTGTTCTGGGACGACGGCTTCGAATAGGGCGTTGATTTGGTCGAAGCGGACTTGGTTCTCTTGGGCGATTTTGGGTGGGAGGGGCTGGTTGGTTGCGCGGACTCGTTGGAGGGCGAAGATGCTGCATTTATTAGTTTAGTGTGAGGCAATTGAGAGCGAGACATACATCTTCTTGCTCAGCGCGGTGATGTCGCGGCTTTTCTTGATGATTCGTTCGCGGCGGTCATGGTGCTCGTCTAGCTCATCGCGGAAGTTCTCAAAGATGGACAACACTGTAGGGGCCTCTGCATCAGCCATGGCTGTATCCTTAGGGTGCAGCTCCAGTGGCTGACCTTCCCAGTCGCGTTTGGTGCCCATTGAACAAAAAGTTGGAGGTTGCTGAGTTGAGCTCCACGATAAGAGATAGAGATATCTCCGCAGATCTTCACTTCTCACACTATGCTGAACTTGAACTTGACATTCGACTGAGATCGTTGGATTCCATTTCGATACAATTGCTGAGCTAGTGACATGTAATGCTAATGCTACCTTACAAGGTGATATCGCAACTAGGTCAGGCTTATCCCACAACCTCACAGGATTCCTGCCCCAAATACCGATACCTAATGGGGGTCTTACCAAGACCAGTCACAATGATAGTTTGCTCATCCCCAGGAACAATGTCAATTGCATTGTCCTCAAGGAGAACACCTTCCTGCTCCTCAAACACAAGACATTTGACTGGCTTGCGGGCATTGATAACCAGCACTGTCTTACCAGCTTCACCTTCTTGTTTCTGAATGTCCAGCTGTCGTCCAGTCAAGTTGAGATATTTAAAGGGTTGTGGCCAGTCCACATCTCGTGCCACGATCTTGTTGTTGACCCACAATCGGGCTGCGAGGACATGTGGCTCTGGCTCAGCAATGTGGTCAATTATACCGTCGGTGATGATATCCGTCGTTCCATTGGCCGTGATGGTGATATCTTGGTGTACAATCGGTGCTCGAATATCGCGACCTGTGTTGACAGACAGGAAGCGTAGCTCAACGCTGCCACGGACTGTCTCGGGGCTGTTGCTGGCAATCCAGAGCTCATATTTGCTTGCCTTGGGTGGTTGGGCGTGTGCGACGCTCCAGTCGTGGTGTTCTCGGCGGACACCAACGGCGATTGGGTTCAACACTCGCTTTACGGCATAATAGGCTGGCTTTGGTTTGAGGAAGTAGTCCACAATTGCCCAAGAGATGGTTGGCCAGCAGTCATTCAGTTGCCAGAGGAGGGCACCACCACAGTGGCGCTCATCGCCCCATTGCCGGCGCCAGCCTCGGTAGCCAAACATCATTGTCTCGGCTTGTACGACTTGGGTCAGGTAGATGTAGGTCTGCATATGTTAGTTTGATACCGACCGGGACGGCGTATAGATCTTACCTCGAGGTCTGTGGCAGTTCGCAGATTTTCTACCAGATACGTCGCCAGTCTTCGTTCATGCCCATCAGCCTTATTGTGGAAATCAATGACATGAGACTGAGGGAATTTGTCTTCCTCTTTCTCGACAAAGTAATCGATTGTGGACACATGTGGGAATGCCTCCATTCCAAACTCGCTGTTGAATCGACCACCGAGGGTATCGAAGATTTGATATTTTTCTTGCGTACCGTGCCACACTGTTGTTGTCGTTAGTAGATCCTGTGCATTTGGCGCTGATATACTGACCGTTCCATTGATGCATATCACCGACTGTCTTATCTGACGATATCTTGCCATCACCCCATGGACTTCCAGGATGATAGAATGTGCTAGGGGAGTGTTCAGCCACCACCTCTGGGAGGAGCTTTTCATAAATGTATCGTGCCGGGAAGTCGGTCTTCAACCAGCTCTCGGGGTCCTTGTCTTCGTAGTTGTAGGTCAAGCCCTCTGACTCTTGCACCTGGTAGTCTTCATTGTTACCAGCATAGAGTACAATAGATGGATGGTGGCGCATGCGCTTGACGTTATAGATGGTCTCTTGACGGACCGATTCCAACATCTCAGGCCATGTTGGATAATTTCCGCAGCCAAACATGAAGTCCTGCCAGACCATCACGCCTAGCTCGTCGCATGCTTCGTAGAAGGCGTCGTCTTCGTAAATGCCACCACCCCAAACACTACCATTGTTAGTTTTCTCACATACTGCAGATTAAGAGGCTGTCATACCGAATCATCACTTGTCTTCCAGCCACCATCAACTCTATCCAATTGCGGTATCGCTCCGCACTGACGGCTGGCAAAAGACTGTCGGCCGGAATCCAGCACGAACCACCACAGAAGATGTCCATTCCGTTGATGCGGAAGAAAAATGACTTTCCATGTTTGTCAGGTTGCTGGACAACCTCAGCAGTTCGGATACCAAACTTCTTGTTTGAAGAGTCGACCTTTTCACCATTGCGAAGTAGCACCACCGATAAATCATACAGAGTCTGCTCGCCATACCCATGAGGCCACCACAAAGCAGGCTGATTGACTTTGAAAGTGAATTGGGCCGTGTTCTCCGATACGGCAACGTCCTGGCTTGCGATTTCCTTGCCATGCAGCCCCAATTTAAATTGGGCTGTATACTCGCCATCCCCGATGCTCTCCACATCGACAACAGCAGTAATCTCTGCTGTCTGACGGTCCGCGGTCAACTTGACCTGGGGCCACAGACTAGCCACCCGGGCATTGTATACCTCGAAGCGGACTGCGCGCCAGATGCCCGCCGTCATTAGTACTGGACCCCAGTCCCAGCCCCAGTGGTATTGGGCTTTTCGCACAGCCATACGTGCTGGATCTCCGTTGAAACCAACCCATCTGTGCTTGGTGTCTTGTGCTCGCAACTCGCGGGCTTTGAGAAGAGCACAGTCGAACTCAATTTCAAGCGTATGTTCGCCGTCTGCTTCCAATGCCTTGGTGACATCAACTCGGTGACCGAGGAACATGTTATCACTTTCGAGAATGAGTTCGCCATCCAGTTTGACCTTGGCAAATGTGTCTAGTCCATCAAATACGAGCACAATTGCGGATCCTGTCGGGGCAACTGGCTTTGAGAACACATTGCGATAGACCCATGACTTCTCATTGACCCAGCGAGCATCCAATTCCTTGAATCCAATGTACGGATCATCAAGCCTATACGTAACAGATAATCAGTATCACATCATGGATGCTATCTCGGAGAGCTTACTTTTTGTTAGCAATCAGGTCCTGTTGCACCACAGATGGAACATTAGGTACAGATAGCCATTCATCAGTATCCCGGTCCCTAAAGGACCAGCCAGTCGACAAGTTCACGGAATCCATAGTTGATGACAAGAGAAAGCTTTCCCCAGGTTTATACTTTTATACTTGGTTGATGGCCTGAGGTTCTCCACGTGCCTTCCTTTTTGGGACAGGACTCTCCGTGTCCAAGTAGGACTAGTGGTATTAAGTATTACGAAATACACTGCAAATACACCACTCTGACCACACTGTAATTTTCAACAGCCCTCTCTAAGTTCATGCACTTCAGCATGCGGATTTGATATCCTCTAACCTCCTTTGCTAACGGCAGTGACCCCGTCAAGCTTCTAATGCCGTGCATTACTCCCCAGGTCCCTTGGACTCCCCAAGCACTAGTGTACTCCGCTTCTCTCGATTTAGGCACCCATATGGCATTCTGCCCTCTTCCTGCACCTGCCTTGTTTGGGCCATCCGTATAGCCTCTCATGCCACGCTGATTGATTAACTGGAACATTTCATGCATGAAGTCTTAACCGAGCCAATGATCGACGTCAATAAGTGTCCTTCATCTCAGAGGCTTGGCAGCTGATCGAGTTTGGAACCATGAAGTGTTGACTCGGGTATGTTGGAGTCCATGTGTGACATGGATCCTCATCGACTCTATTCACGGCTGCGTTTTTGTTCCCCTTCACTTTCAGTTATATCTTCCAAAAACAGTGTCGATTTCTCTGTCATTGGCGGAACTCAACCATTCTCACCGGAGTCCCATCTCGGGCCCTTGACCAAAACGAGGCATGGCGCCCGCGAAACGTCTCGGCAGTGAATCCCCTCTCGCAGAACCAGGTACGCCCCCTCCTGATCCAAGGTAAGGCTCGAGCCCCTTCATGATCGAAATTCCCTCACGGCGTCAAGGGAACCGCCGAGCTAAAGAGCCCAACATGTGCTTGGTCCAGGAGAAAATGATTGGATTGTGAGAGGCTTTTCCGGTCCAAAGGAAGTCTCAAGTCAGGCAGAATATCTAAAAGCCAGAATGTCCGGATTGGGATTCTGGTATCCATTTCGGCTTTCAGTTCCCCAGGCGGCTTCCCCAGACGATCGTCTGTCTGCAGGGTTCGCTTTTCACAAAGGATTCCCCTACAGTCTGGGGAAATGCCCCTCTCCAACCCCACTACATCCTGACTGTGGCGTGTGAAGAGCATGCGGAAGCGAAATTGCCCAGCGTCACTCTACACCCCTGGTCATGCGCGTGGCACTCGGGTAGAATGATGCAGTTTCGGGACTCACGACCCTGGTCTCTCAATCCTGGTCTTATATGCCGGGAATCACTTTGCTGACGCGGACTCCCATGTCAAGGCCGTTGCAAAGCCGTTGACAAAAAGGAAAGAATAGGAAAGATTATAAAATATACCAAGCAGGGAGATCGTACAACTTTGTATAGAACCAATCAATGCTAACCGGCTGAACCGGACCAGTTGTATCCCCAGACGACAAAATGCGGGGAGATTAAGCGGATCAGCCTATATTTCGTCTATTTCCTTTCGGTTCTAGTGGCTTTTTTGCTTTTTCCTCTTTAATCTTTTGATCCCTTCATTTATGCGTTTTCCTTCTATCATACGATCTTCCATCTCCCACCCCTTATGTCGCCCACATAGTGACCCGTGTGGTCGGATACTAAGCCTCTGATTCTGTGACTCCGAGTCAAAATGTTTCATACATTTGAGGGTTTCGAGAACCCAACGGCAGCAACTCCTGCCCGCAACCGGGCAACGAGTGAACGGCGTGAGTCGATCAGTCGCCGCGTGACAACGCTACGTGCTTGCACATCTTGTCGCCATCGCAAGATCAAATGTGATGGCGAGAAGCCCTGTGAGGCTTGTCGATGGTACAAAAAGTCCGAGCAGTGCCACTATTCAGACCCGCGGCCTTCGCGGAGGTGAGTTGCAGTCTGCCTATGGCTGTATAGTTCGTGAACTAATTACGATCTTATAGACACGTTGAAAAACTATCTACAACCTTAGAGGAATATAGAAGTATCCTCGAGAAACTCTTCCCCAACTATTCTCCAGATTCCCTGGCCAATCTGTCTCGAGAGAAACTTCTCGAGCTCACGACTGTAACGGGGCCAGGCCCGAGTCACTCTCATCATGCCGAATCACCGGCTACGTCGGCCTCAGTAGAGGCCCATGTTTCACCCTTATCAAACGACGATGATAATCTCGAGTCTCTGCAGAGCATGCCCGAGGAACTGCCAGATAGCCGCAATGCTAGCTCCACAGATCTAGTCGAAGGCGTCTCCGACGACGTTAACGCGCTTTCTCTTTCAACCAGACAGCCTTCCTCCTATCTGGGCGTTTCATCCATCCAGGCTGCAATTAAAGTTATCGTCTGGCTAGACCCAGGCTGTGCCTCTTACTTTTCGCGAACACCGCCCATTGTGCAAGAGGCATCTGGCTGGCCCCATCATACTCCTATTACACCCCCACAGCCGACCATCCCGCCGTCAGAGATGCAAATGCTTGACGCTTATTTCCTTTATTTCCAAGCCTTTGCTCCAATGATCGACGAGCGATCTTTCCGAGAGGCGTACTGTGCTGGTCGTCGGAGAGATGACCACTGGCTTGCTCTATTGAACATTGTTCTTGCCCTGGGTAGCATCGCCGCCACAAGCCCTGATGATTTGACGCACCAGACATATTTTCTGAGATGCAAGAACCACCTCAGCATCAGTTCCCTGGGAAGCTCTCACATTGAAACTATCCAGGCACTCGGCCTCATTGGAGGCTGGTACTGCCATTATATCAGTCAACCGAACCTCGCATACTCCCTCATGGGAGCCGCACTACGCATGGCAGCAGCCTTGGGCTTGCACAAAGAGTTTGCCGAAACTCGCCAACTTCCAAGCCCGGCCAAGATCGCCTCAATGGACTTGAAGCGCCGCGTGTGGTGGTCCCTTTTCTGCATGGACACATGGGCTGGCATGACCCTGGGCCGGCCAAGCATGGGTCGATTCGGTTCAACCATTACAGTCAAACCTCCCCACTGCCGAGACAAGGTACTATACTCCCCCCACCCCCCAGACCGGGGTGCGTGTGCTATACTGACTCCTGTTTTGCATAGGAAAACGTCCTTGGCATTCTTCCCCTCGTCGAAAACATCCGCTTTGCCAAGATTGCGACGCAAGTGCAGGAATTCCTGGCTGCAGCACCCCTAGTCAAGCACCAAGAAATGGCTCACGCAGACGCCCAACTCCTTGATTGGTGGGATAATCTCCCCGCCATCCTCAAAGATCACGAGCCCTGTTCCGAATCCATCAATACTGTCCGCACTGTCATGCGGTGGCGGTACTATAACCAGCGCATGCTACTATACCGACCCACACTGTTCAGCTATGCCATGCGCCGCGTGCCTTACATCGCCCTGCGGCTGGAGGAGCGCACAGCCATCGAGAAGTGTCGCGAGGTGGCGCAGCAGTCTATTCAGAATATCGCTGCCACTGCTCAGCTCAACCAGCTTTGTGGTTGGAATGCTGTCTGGTGGACCTTCCAGGCCTCCATGGTTCCGCTGGTCGGGCTATTCCTTAATGATCCTACTGTCGATGACCCGCGTGCCTCGGTTGAGTCCTGCCAGGCGCAGGTGGAGACGGCCATGATGACTCTTGCTCGCATGCAGTCATTTGGACATACGGCGAAGAGGTCGCTGGACGCTATCTCGCGAATATACGAGGCGAGTAAGCGGGGCCATGTCGCTGACCCCGACAGTGCTGGTCTTCTCTCCGGCTCTTTTCCCGCTGGTCGGGATATGCCGGCTATGTTTTCGCCCGCGGAGCCTGCGCGTACTACGATGCCCATGACTGACAGTGGATTCCTTGACCCACTCAGCACCCCCTTTGAAAACGATTCGGGGGCCAGTATCTATGGGAGTATCTGAGTTGGAGTGACAATAATCTGTGGCCGGGCATCGCGGCGGATATTGATGGCCGCAATGATTCTATGGCTTTGCTGACGCCCGAACATGAAAAAGGTCCCAAGTACGGAGAACAGCCGTATTTCGATCCTATGCCTGATCCTGGGTATTTTGTAAATCAGGCCCTTTACTACTGATCTCTACTGCTTCTGGGAGGGTTGCGTTGCATGTTAGAATAGGGCGCATTGGAACGGAATCCCTTCATGTAATTATTCAACATTTTCAGTATGCAGTCAGCTTACCGTCTTTGTATTAGTTCTATTCATATCCAGCAAATATTCTGATACCCCTGACCATGCAGAATTTGATTCTTTACAGCCTAAATGTTTGTTACAGGGGACTACAGTATGACTGTAGAGCAGGTACTTCATCGCTATTCGCCCAAAACCGGTTATTCAGTATGCGGGGATTCAATCATTATCCATAAAATGAACGATGATCATTGGAGTCTTACCACATTTTCTCCCTCTTCTTCTCATTGTATTGTATTGAAAATAGATGGTGATCTCCCTCCACATACAACTCGCAAGCCACACTCTGCTTGGGGATTACGCCGGCCTATAGCTATCTGAACAATACAATACTGTAGTCATAAGTCATCAAAATCATTGGCCAGCTATGAAGGTATCATCAAAAACACAACAAATAATCATAAAGAAGCATAATACGTCGCCAAAAAATCTATCATCGCATCTCGCTTATCGTTATCCTCATCCTCAAAGATCTTCCGAACATGCTGGTTCTGTTTCAGACTTGCCACTCGGTTGAACGCGTTATTGCCAACCAGCCCGCGTCTCCGAAGATCGTCGGTGATGCCTGAAAGCGCACCGGTCAGGTTCAGATTGTCGTTGGAGCCTAGGTAGCCCAGGGTGTTTTTGAGGATGTCGCCGATGCCGACGTTTGCTACCAAGGGGAGCTCACTGAGGACGTTGGTATAGTATGGAATCAAGGTGCCGTTTGAGACGATTGTGCGGGTCATTGCTGTTAGGGCTAGCTTTCCGTTTTTGAGGGATGAGCTTTGCGAGGCGATCACTTCGGTGAGGTTGGAGATTACTGTTTTGAGGTCCACGACGCCTTTCAGTGGGAAGGTGTTGTTTCCTGGTCGGAGGATCACGTTGTCTACGGTTGCATTGCCGATGATGAGGTCTGTATTGCCGCTTTTGAGGTCGAGCGTGATGGTGCCTACTTCGAATGAGAGGGCAGTTGGATTTGGGAGGGTGAGGTTGGCGATAAGGTTAGTTCCGTCCTCTTGTGCTGGTAGGACGAGTGTCGCGTCGTCAATAGAGAACCCTTCGAATTTGTTCAAGGCTGTTGAAATGGATGAGTTGGATGAGTAGAGACGGTCAGAGATCGGAAGACTCACATGGTAGAACCACGTCTTTGTCCATCGTGATGTGATTTTTCAAGACGCCCAGATATCCATAGGTCACACCGTAGAGCGACAGGATTGTCTCCTTCTTGAAGACAGTATCATGGACAAATGTCTGCCAGGTTGTGGCATTCAGGATTGGCGTATACTGGTTATTGACCCCCAAGGTATAATTGCCCTTGATCGTTTGTCCAGGGATGTCAATCGCTCCCCAGGCATTTTCATGTCCATCTTTTCGAACAAAGGTGTAGAATTTGACAGGCTCGATACGAACACCCAGGGCAATTTTCAAGTCCACCTTTGCCGCCAATGTCATCTGTACTGTGTCGGGTGTGGGATGCATCACTTCTGCGTTGACCACCACCAGGTTGGATTTGTTGACCACCAGTTGTGCGATGGCCGGAATAGCAACTAGAAAGCTTCATAGACGTGTTAGCGGGAGAGGAGGCAGAGTATCGGCTGTTGCATACAATATAGGCAAGAAGATGGCGAGGAAGATGACATTGCCGATTAAATAGCACAGCCAGAATCGTCTGCAATGTCGACGGAATTTGTCTTTCTTGGTAGCTGATCTCGTTGACGACTCAATCTGTTCCAGCTTTGCGAGGTCATCCGGGCCTGGGTGCAGGAGGCCCCGATTCCCTCCAATGATATACTTCTCTTCTTCTTTGGCCATGGTGAGGTCCAGGCAAATTGGATCCAAAAGGGGAGGCCCGCTCTGTATATGAAGAAACGCTAGTCTATGAAAGTGTCATATGTCTATGAAAGATACCGAGGACCAGAAAACAATTAAGTTTATAACTTGGACACTCTCTTGCTTTTTGCGGGGGATCGCCACGGTTCAGGCATATCACTTGGTGATATGCCAGGGCTACCCTACCTCTATCTCGCTTTTCACCTGTCAGATACGTAGGCTCCTGGAAACTAGACCAGTTTGGATTAGATACACGGCTGGTTCATGATGCTGGAGTAGAACAGGTCTTATAGCTGGGAGACCTCACAAACCCAGCTGTCCTCATTTGGACCGTCCAATTGCAAAAGGGGCAGTTTTGTTGACGCGAGAGGTCTAATGCAGGCCCCAGCTGTCTTACGGGCTTGGCTATGGGCTCCCTTTGATTGTGGCTGCACGGGCTGAGTCGAGGTCTGGTTCTCTCCTCGGTACCTCGGAGGCTCCCTTGGACCTGAGACGGTGATCTATATCTACTCAAATCGGGCATTGAAGGGGACTTGGTGCTGAAGATCCAGCTTTTGAGCATGAGACCCATCACCCGTGGAGCAGGCATTCTATCCTTTGAATCTCTACGGATCCTCCAATGTCCCAGACCTCAGTTTCTCAACAAGATCATTCACCACCAACGGCCAACGGGCTACGGAATGTTCTCATCGCCCGAAGTTATTCAGACTGCCTTTTCACATGAGCTCCTTCTCGGCCAGACAGAAGGCAAATGAGAACAAACCCCCAGTGGCGTATCACCTGCAGCAGTTCCCAAAGCGAGGACGCTGACTGGCTCGGTTGGAGAGTCTGCCATTGAATCGTCAATCAAACCCACTGACATCAGCAGAAAGTTGATCCCCCGCAGTTCCAAGAATGGAGGCGCTTCCCCCGCATAATTGCAAAGTTTGTCGGAGTGTGACTCTATTGGCGAAGATTCCGGCGTTTTTGGTTCTGCCTGAGCATTTTGCTGTTTTGCTGATTTGCTGTTCTGCGTTGGGTGTGAGTCTCGTTCCTGGAAACCTTGAAAGTAGAGGCGTCGTGCCCGCTGAAACCCTGATGGGCTGCTCGTTCGTTCCCCTGGTGAGGACTGATTGTTTCCATTTACAAGAGAAATTAAACCCAATGCAAGACCAAAGCAATCGGCGGTTTTGATAGACTTATAGACACCCACAGCCTTGACTTAGTTGGATGAAGTTATCCAACTGGCGACGTACGAAATGCACAGACCACCCTGACTCAGCATCCCTAAACAGCTGGGAACAACTCGCGAGTCTCGGGGATCATTTCATCCCATTGCAGTCCTTACAGATATCACAGCTATTTTCAGATCTCACAGGCAGAGAAGTGCTTGCCTGTCCCACTTCGTCCATCCATATCAGCCAAGGGGTTCAAAGGCCACCTAAGGATGCGCGCTACCCGCACCCAACCACTCAGCAATTAATTCTTGATATCGGGCCCTGAAATTCCAGGGTTCAAGCTAAAAGAAGAGAGAGAGAAGAGGAAGAAATGTCTCTCTTCAACTCGCCAGCGCGAGTCTTCTTCGCGGCCACGGCTCTCCGGCTCATCCTCCTCGTCTATGGAGGCTGGCAGGATGCCCATTCGGCCGTGAAATATACGGATATCGATTACATGGTGTTCACTGATGCGGCCCGATACGTGGCCAAGGGTCAGTCGCCCTATGAGCGGGACACGTACCGCTATACGCCGCTCTTGGCGTGGATGCTTGTCCCTACCGCGTGGGAAGGTGCGGCGCCCTGGTCTACCTTGACTTTTGCGTTTGGGAAGGCGCTTTTTGCCTTGGCGGATGTTCTGGCTGGGTGGTTGGTCGTTCAGCTGCTTGTGAGGTGTTATCGATTCCCCGTGGAGCGGGCGTTGCGCTATGTGGCGGCTGTTTGGTTGTGGAATCCCATGGTTGCCAATATCAGTACGCGTGGTAGCTCCGAGGGGCTGCTGGGGGTGCTTGTTGCTGCGCTGCTTTGGGCAACCCTGACGCGGAAGCCCGTTGTTGCTGGGTTGATCTTGGGATTGGCGGTGCACTTTAAGATTTATCCTTTTATCTATGGGGTTTCGATTTTGTGGTGGTGGGATGCTGAGCGGGATGGGTCCGAGTCGCCGAGATCGGGTCTGGTCTCGCGGGTCTTGGGGTTCATCACCCCGTCTCGCGTGAAGCTCACCCTTGCGGCGCTGGCGAGCTTCGTGGCCTTAAATGTGGTCATGTATGTTCAGTATGGCCACCCATTCCTCCAACATACCTTCTTTCACCATCTTACCCGCATCGACCACCGCCACAATTTCTCTCCCTACAGCACCTTGCTATACTTGTCGGCAGCCGGTGAAGCGGAGACACACTTTGAGGCGTTGGCGTTCATCCCACAGCTCGTCCTGGTCGTCATTGCTTTACCACTCGTCTTGGCAAAGAAGAGCTTGACTACGGCGATGCTTGCGCAGACTTTTACTTTCGTTACCTTTAACAAAGTCTGTACCAGCCAGGTAAGTCGGTATGCTAAAATGATTTAAATGGCGACTGATTTGTACAGTACTTCCTCTGGTACCTCATTCTACTACCTTTCTATCTTCCTTCCTCGTCTCTTATCCGCAGACCCGCTCTGGGAATCACGGCCGCTCTTCTTTGGGTCCTTGGCCAGGTATTTTACCCTTGCTCGCAGCATATTCATATTCATGACTAATACAAAAATAGGCTCTCTGGCTTTCTCAAGGGTACAATCTTGAGTTCCTAGGACTCTCAGCGTTTGTGCCTGGACTCTTCCTCGCGGGACTGTTCTTCTTTGCAGTGAATGTCTGGATATTGGGTATCATCGTCCGAGACGGCGGCGACGGTGCGGGTGAAATCGAGAGTGAAAGTGAAGATCGCAAACTACGTTGATGGCAAGAGTGCCATTGACGAAATGTATAATACAAATAGACAGTGCAATTGATTCAGTACATTATTTCGCTTGTGCGAGCTCGGATTACCTTAAATATGTCAACATTGAAATGTCACAGCCCGTATGCCATATTAGCCTCACGAAGCGCCGGATCGTATTGTTTTGCTCGTATTGTCGCAAGGCTGCATGAGTTCATTACATACTCTTCGATCAAATTAGTTTAACATCAATCACATCACGCATGTGAGCCAAAATGTGCCGCATTGCGCCCCCGAATAGAATCCCTAATCGAACAGAAAACCCTCGGAGCTCAGATAAGAATTTTTTAGCATGTTAAGTGGCAGCGCAGATAAAATAATCCATGAATTAAAAGCAAGAAAGATGGGGTATTTGGCAAAGTCACAGAATGTAGACCAACAGAACGCTGCATATCGCTTTGGAAAAAGAATCTCGGATTAGAATTTGTTGACGTCGGCGATGATTTTGTACGTGGCTGCATTGATGCTCTGAGGTCGAACGCGAGGGTAAATGGCGCCGACGATTTGGTTGTTTTTACCATATTGAGGGTATATGCCGTCCGAGAGCTCGACATAGTGCACGTCGGGCCGGCTGGCCTGGAGTACAGTCAGAATATTCTGACTCCATAGACCGGTGCATTCATTGTTGGAAAGTTGGAAGTAAGGATTGAGCAGGGGACAGGTCGAGTCCAGATCAATATAGCGAATCCGAATGTAGTCGAGATGCGGCATACTGGCAAGGCTCTCCACTGCTCCGATGATCATGGACTCGAAGGTATAGATAAAGTTCATGTTGTTGATTCCAGACAGTTCTTGGGTAGGGGATATAGTGGCAGCTTCCTTTTTGCCGGACTCATCGCGACAGCATGACTTGACTACAATGTCCAGGGACCCCAGGCGGGATACCGTGGTCATCGTCTCCAATTCGGCTTTCATGGCATCGAAGAAGCACGCGCAGATTCTTCCTGTGAAGGAAAGAGACTCAAAATGTGGGGCTGATTGGCCAAGTAAGGTACATATTGGTGGAAGCACAGCCCGAGAAGTGAGGATCGAGCTCTGCGTAGCGTCTTTGTTGTTATAAAATCCCTCTAGCGTCAGGTTGAGATGTCGAATTGTAGACGGGGGACGGATCAAGATGTGCATCATGGTGAGATAGGCGTTCGGCTGGGGTTGGGCGTAGGAACAATGCCATTCTCGTAGGCCAGGAAGCGCCCGCGAGATGTGATGCCAGTCTTCAAAGTCGCGCATCAAGTTCCAGGCACCACGCATCACGAGAGTTTCAATATTTTTGAGCACGGGAAGCCGCCGGAAGCTGAAGAATGAAGTAGACCGACCGGGAAGTCTTCTGAAATGCTGGACCATGGGTGGATTCTTACAGTGACCTCCCTCAAGTGTGAGAACACGGGCGGCAGTAAAGAAGTCCTGGGCCAGTTCAAAGATTTCCTCCAGTGTAGCAGTTCGCGATGCGATGTGATAGTGGATTTCGTTTGTGCTTTGGGAATCTGGCTGCGCCCACCAGTCCTGAACGGATGGATCTGCCCATGGAACTGGCCCCGGACGAGTCACACATGGTCGATGGACTCGGTCGCCCCAGACTGGAATCCAAACCTCAATATGACGAACGTGCAGGATAAGATGTGGACTGAGTATAAACCATCGTGCGCATTCGGCTAAACCATCTTGGGTTCCTTTCACCTTGACTAGTAAATCTCAGTTATGACAATGCTTCCTCGTCGGTCACTTTTTTCACATACTGTGTCTGTAGATGCGGCTCTGGACGAGTGGAGTCCATACTCGGCAGATCAAGGCGAGATCTGAGAGGGCCTTGCGCCGCGGATGCCGGAATGCCTTGCTCCAACTTTGTGCAGATGTCTTGGAAGACGCAGCCGCTCTTTCCCCGAAGATATGATCCAGGATATTCTCGTGGATTTCAATAGGCAGGTTTGCGAGCTGAGCTTCGTCTCTGCCGAGGCCGGACGAAGTGGGGACTGCGGGGACTATCTCAATCTCCACGGGGAGCGAGAGGCTATCACGAAAGGGAATCTCTGCACTGGTGCTGCGGGTCGCTTTGCTTGGAACTGGCAACTGGGCTGGGCCCTTAACAAGTGAATGGACCGATACCGGCCGCGGTAGGGCGATCATGGCGAGAGATCGAGGAAGGCTTGGAGGTGGGCGTATGGAGATTCGGGAGTCGGGGGTCTAGAGATGAAGTTCTAGCCATTTCTCACATCAGCAAGCAAACAGGGCACGTCGGACCATGCATCTACCCACGGTGGTATGATTCCAGCTGAAGCTGAAATCGAACCCAGCATCGAGTGATGTTTCAAGGCAAATGCAATATCCCAGACGAACGCGGAGTTGATAAGTGATGAGGGGCGACGATCAGGCGGTTGGGCGCTAAATGAGGCGGACCAAACAAGAGGGGAAGATCAAGCCGGGAACAGTAACAGAAAAAGAAAGAAAGAGAGAGAAGAGAGCGAAGAAACAAAGAGAGAGAGAGAGAAAGAGAGAGAGAGATAGAAAGGAAAAAGGTGGAGGGGAGTCCAGACTTGCACTTTACCTGAATCAACTGAAACTGGAAGATTATACGCCTTTTTCTGCACGGATCGTGGCTTGGCCAGGTGAGCGTCATGCTTTTGAGACATCCAGTTGAGTCGTTGAATAGTTGAATGGAATAAGTGAGTATAGTAGTTTAGAAGGTTGCTAGTCTAGTCGTTCAGTAGTTTAGTAGTTCAGTAGCCTACAAACTCGGTGTCAGTGGATAAATTCACTCGAGACTATAGGTCCACACATATTCAACAGAGTAGAGGGTATCGATGCAGAACAGTACGCTACAAATGCAAAATAAATCCTATCGCTTGCGCCGGAACCGAAATCGAAGTCCATCATCACTGTCCGAGTCTCGCTCGTCCCGAACGCGCTTCCGAGAAACTGAAACTGGAGTGGGATCGGGAGTCGCTTCAGGCGATGCATGAACAGGGGCTAATAGCTCAGCGGCCGGAGTCTCACCAGAACGATCTGGCTGGGCTCTTGGTTCAGAGGCACGGCTCCAGTAGTGCTCGCCGATTCCGAACTCTTTACGCGTCATTTCTTCAAGGGGAACGATCACCGTCTGCACGGTGCGACTACGGGACTCGCCCTTTCGCCGGAACTTCTTGAAATTTTTGCGTCCGTTCCATTGTGCTTCCCAGCGGTCAGATGTCTCTTCTACTCGTGTGGGTGCGGTTCGGACAGGAAGGTCCATCTCTTCGACGATCGCGAGGTTTTTCAACTGGTCGACATCGACGTCGCCCATGTCAGCTGGGCGTGAATCCTCTTCTTCCTTTTTACGCTGTTGCTCCTCTTCAAGGTGCTTCCGGGCGGCTTCTAGGACATCGAGCTTGGGGCGCTTCCGTTTGGGCGCTTCCATTTCAACAGGTGTTTGCTCCTCCGTCCGATTGGGAGTCATCTCCGCACGACGACGCTTCATCGCGCGGGCTCCAGGAAGAAGATCAGAGACCACGTCTTCTTCGGTTTCTTCCTTGACCACATCCAAGAGCTGAGTTGGCTGTTCCGGTTGTTCTTGAGTGTCCATTTCCATGACTTGAGTGCGGGGATCGTCCTCTTCCTCCGGCGCATACATTGGGATTGACTCCATGTCAAAGCCATCATCAAATGTCTTCATTTTGCTGACATAAGGACGCACGCGAGGAGTTCTGCCCCGAGATCGCGATGGTTGACTGGGTTGACTAGGTTGACTAAGTACAGGCTCAGGTGGTGAGACTGACGAAGTACTAGCTACCAATTGCTCACTTGGCAATTCGACCTCTGGAGCAGGCGGAGAGATCGGACTGGAAGCTTCCTCTGTAGGCAATGAACGGCAAAGGGGTGAGGCATCAGTACTGAGGATAGCATCAAGGAATTCTCGTTGCTCAATAACACGTTGATCGGTCATCAAAGCCACCTCGTTTCCAAGTTCAATGGACCATGGCTCATGCTCGCCTGGTGATCGGAAACGAACGAGAACAACACCACCGGAGCCTCGACGCTCACTACCCACGCCAATCCCTCGTGCTGACTTTCTCATAAACTGTACAATTTCCGCTGCCGTTGTATTTCCAGTTTCTACCTGGTATAGAAGAGCTTTGCCCTGACCATTGTTGATTGGCGCCTGCAGATTGTCAAACTGTGATCGATCACCGAAAATGAATGTATAACCCTCGAAAACAGTCAGGCGTGCGGGATTCGGAGCGAAAGCGGAGGCGGGTCTGTTGACAGGCTCCTTGCCGGCGGGTGGCAGGTGTTCATTTGGATCAGGCCAAGACGATTCGAAGTCGATTTCGAGAGGACATAGAGACTCCAGGTTCTCGAGATCACCGGGAGTAGCGGCGTAAACGACAGCATCAATGTATGAATCATTCACAATATACTTGCCATTCACGAGCGCCTGAAGGCCCTTGGCTGTGTTCCGTTTACTTTGAACCACATGAGTGGTGTGGTCAACGAGGTAATCGATGATGGTCTTGATATCAAGGTCCTCTAAGCGTGACCGAATATGGCCTAGAGGGTCACTCGCTCGCATCTCTTTCGAAGAGAATGAGAAGCTGAAAACCACTGGCTCCCATTTGATACTAGCCGACTTGTCAGGCACCATAATATGCTAGAGGTGGCATACATACCGTAGCGTGTGCTGGTATTTGGCCAATTGAATGACATGCTCATCGGCCTTTTCCAACTTGACTTCGCCTTCGATTCTCTTGTCATCGACAATTGTTCCCTTCTTGGACTGTAGGTCGGTTATGGTGATATCGGATCGTGCTCGTGGTGACAACTACTTCCTGTCAGCAACAACATCGACTATCGGGGTGGTAATCGTACTCCATCCTTCGGCTTGACAGCGGCGATCTCGATGGTCATATGCTTTCGAGAGATAGAATTATGATTGACGGCATGGCGGACTATGCAAGAGTCAGTGTCCGATCTTCATACGGTTCACAGTGATGTTGGCCATACCTCCATCTCGTTGGAATCGACCGAATAAGTATTTCTTTCCGGGGCGCAGCCATACGCGCTTCCCTGGACACCGTCAGTTGTTGAATATCCCACCGATCATCACCACCTACCATCCAGAAAGTCGCCGCTCGAATCAAGAATCCACATGTTGAGCCCGCATGTCTGGGGAATGAAGAGGCTCAGGCGCACGTGAAATTGAAACGCGTGCGCACGTGACTTGGCGTCTCTTCCGCCTCGTCAGTCTCAGGTCAGCGCAGAACTTACATGCACTTCAACTATGGAGTCCTCGGGCGACAAGCCTGCCAGTGAGCCTGAGTCGGAGGAGTATGGCACTCTGAAGTACCAACTGCTTGGTCCATCTCTGACGAAAGCGGGTCAGGACTCGGTTGATCAGCAGAAGGTGTGCTAGTAACTGGATCCCAGCTTCTGAGCTATCACTGAACTTGGGTTTAGGTGTCAGAAATTATTTACAATGCCTCTAAGGGCTCCAAGTTCTTCAATCACGAACAAGACCGTGATCGAAATCTCACGGTCAAGATTGAGCGAATCTTGAAAGAAAAAGCCCGGCTAGAACGACTAGACTTAAGCCATGAATTGCGACGCGCAGATGAATATCTGGCAGAGCTGGAGTCGAGTCGAGATCTTTCTCAGAAAATTGTCCATGTCGACTGCGACGCGTTTTTCGCCGCCGTTGAAGAGTTGGACAGGCCTGAGTTGAAGACAGTACCGATGGCAGTTGGCAAGGGCGTTCTAACAACCTGCAACTACTTGGCAAGGAAATTCGGTGTCCGGAGTGGCATGGCTTCGTTTGTCGCGAAGAAGTTGTGTCCACAACTCGTTCTCCTGCCCCAAAACTATGAGAAATACACCGCAAAGGCCAAGGAAATCCGTGCTATCATGGCCGAGTACGATCCTCTTTTCGAAAGCGCAAGTATTGATGAGGCCTATCTGAATATTAGGGCATTTTGCGATGAAAATCGGATGGAGCCAAAAGAGGTTGTCCAGCGGATGCGTGCCCAGATCTTGGAGACTACCAAGGTGTCTGTTTCCGCTGGAATCGCCCCCAATGCGAAAATTGCCAAAATTTCTTCGAATATAAACAAACCAAATGGTCAATTCCAGGTTCCTAATGACCGACAAGCCATTATGGAATTCATGCGCGATCTTCCAGTACGCAAAGTCAACGGCGTTGGTCGAGTGTTCGAACGAGAGTTATCATCAATCAATGTCAAAACATGTGGTGATATCTATCCACATCGTGCGCTGTTGAACAAACTATTTGGAGAAAAGGCCTTTCAATTTTTGGCACAATGCTACCTTGGCCTGGGACGCACTAAGATCGAGCCCGTGGAGAACCATGAGCGCAAAAGCGTGAGCACAGAGACTACTTTCCATGAAATTGGAGATCGAGAGGAAGTTCGAGCGAAGCTCTGGTGGGCTGCTCAGGAGCTTGAAAAGGACCTCACGCGGACTCAGTTCAAAGGCCGCACCCTCGCCCTGAAAGTCAAACTTCATACTTTCGAAGTGCTAACCCGCCAGATAGCGCCATCTCGCCCGGTGTGTACCGCGAAAGACCTGTATACATTTGCTTTACCCATGCTAGTGAAGCTAGAAAAGGATATCCCCGGTATGAAGCTCCGGCTTCTTGGGTTGCGTTGCTCAAATCTGGTGAGCACCCAGAAAGTAGGAATCAACTTCTTTGGTATAGCTACGCAACCGAAACCTACTGTACAAGTTGCTGCCGAATTTCCGTCCACGGAGAGAAAAGATCACGAGATTGATGCTGAAGAGGCATTTGAATCGGCCGCTCGCCAGGAGATCCAAGATGAGATGAATGACTTGGAAACCCTCAGTCAAGAAACACCATCTGTTCCTGTCGCCCGCGAGCTAACAGAACCTCTGGTCGAGCAATCTGCATCTGATACAGTCGAGCCACCTCCCATGTGGGACTGTCCAATCTGTTCCCGACCCCAGACGGCCGATGATCGCCTGTTCAACGAACATATGGACTTCTGTCTGTCCCGACAAACAATACGTGAAGTAGCGCAGGACACTGCGCCCTCGATACCCCCCAGCAATCGAAAACGGAAAACACGGCAGACTAGTCCTCCTGAGACGGACCCCAAACAGAAGCGACTCTTCTTCCAATAAACCTATATGAGCTCAACTTGTGCAATAAATCCCTTGAATCGACTCTTTCTCGCTTTCACAGTCGCCCTGACGTTTACTAGTGCCCTTAGCGTCCCCTTAGCCATGGAATTTTCATCAATAACAGACTCACCGTGTTTCCAGTCTCCACTTGACAGGCACTAGAGTCGGGACAGAGACAACGGCAGACTCGAGAACCACCCAGCAGATACCACCAGCAAGCCATAGCAATAATTGCACCCTGTCTAGCAAGGCACCGTAGAATCCCATCATAACAGTATCACTTCACTAGTCGGAAGTAAGGAATTCCACGTTGCGGTGAAGCATCGCCCTAAACCCAATCGGGCGGGAATGTTTGCGGGACTTGGACTTCTTCTCTCTCTTTTGACTTCTCCCATCAGGCCACCAGAAGATCGCCCGTCTTGCTTTTGGTGCTTGAATGTTGGATGTGGCACCATGCTGATGTTCTGTGGCTCGCAATGCCATAACAGACCCAGTACTCCCCCGCAACTATGACCTTCGATAAACAAAACAATGGCAATCTCGCCAAACCGTTCACGCCCACCCTCAGCGCTGCGTTTCACCGGAATAAGACTCCTTTGACTCCAAAGCTTGCAAGCCCAAGTCCAGGCCCAGGCTTCTCTGCAGGCCGCCGTCTCGCTCAACCCGATCACCCCTATTCAACCCCCTCCAAAGATCCCCCCGCGGTCCCTCCGACCTACCTCAGTGCCAATATTACTCCACGATCCGGAGCCAGAACCACTCGTCGAGATGGTTCCAACGCTTCCCCAACAAACACACCTGTGCCTGCTCCGCATACACCGTATTCCCAATCAACAATCGGCTATGGCCGCCGAACAGACCGCAGCCCTGCTCGCGGGGTCAAACCGCCGCAATCAAGGAGCTTGAGGGCGCCCACGCTGTCGGCGGAAACTCAGTCGGTCTCTCACCCAAATTCATTCTCCGATATGGCATCGGGGTCGCCTTTGTTCTTTCATGCGTCGGACGCTCGCTCTTCACACCCCTCCGAGGTGGAGGCCCCTCCTATAAGACCTCAGGGGAAAACGACCCCAGCTTCGAGCTTTGTTTACGCAAATGGAGATCAAGAACGCAACTCACTGGGAGACCAGTCGAGTACCACATCGTCTGTTATAAGACGTCGATCTGGGGGTTACCCGCGAACCTTGCCCACTGTCAGACAAACAGCTTCACCCTCGCCTCGGTTGAGTTCAGCCAAGCTCTCGGATGCCACCTCCACTCCACCAGATGTCGCCAAAACTCCATACCTTCAGAACGCGGAACAAGGCTTGGGGATAGTTCACCGAATCAGCTCCCCGTCAAGCACGGTCAGCGATCGGCCACCCATCGGACGACACACCAAATCATCCAGTGTCGACTCGAGCCACCAAGCTATTCCACACGACAGCTTACGATCTAGCCCAGTCATTATATCTGGAAACTATTTCAGCGAGGGATCAGCACCCGTCATATCAGAACAGATCCCGACTCTTCGGCCTCGAATCTTCAGCAATGGTTCCTCCTTGAATGGCTCCACCATCTCAAACGAAACATATCCTCCGGCGCCTTTAAGTCCTGGAAAGTCAGACGGTCCCAGCGAAGCCGCTTTGAATGCGCGCACCGAGCGCAAGATCATGGACTTGGAGATCAGCAACTCTTCATTGCTTGCCATTAATCGCACCCTAGAGCGAGAAATGCGCAAACAGAATGCTGAGCTCCGTCGATTCCGCCGATTGAGTCGCTCGGGCCGTATTTCGATGGCGCCTTCAACTCGCTCCTTCTCAGGCGTAGCCCTTTCGACAACGAGTGAAATGGACGAAGACGCAAGCGAATTGTCGATGCAATCACAGGAAGATATGTCGGATATTAGCGACGAGGATTCCATTGCAGATGATGAAACGACAAGTCCCGGCTCGCTGGCCGAGCATGATGCTAAGCAACGTGCCCAAGACGAGCAACGATTCATGCTTGACCTTGCTAAACACCAAGAACTCCTAGCAGACAGCCAGAAGATGAATCAAAGCCTGAAACGCTGTCTGGGCTGGACCGAAGAACTGATCAGGGAAGGCCAGAGGGCTCTTGAATACAACGTCCATGTTCAAGACGTCGAACTCGGTGGTCGAGTCCTCGCCCCTGAAGAATTAGGTGAAGTTGGCGAGAGTCGCCGTGGCTTACTGAGCCCTTCCACTGAATATGACGGGGTATTCTCACCCGTCGAATCTCCATCTATTGGCTACTCCGATGAGCCATCTATTGCACTATCTATTGATTCACCTGTTCTGCCATCTACCCCGGAACTGACGACATGATATTCCTATTCGCTTCATCTCCTGGAGGGATGATCCGCTCTTTTCTGCTTGTTCATCCTTATTGCACAATACCCCTTTGATGCCTTTTCATCTTGAATTCGTCCTTTCCTTTCTTCATCTGATACAGGCTCTTCTCATTCTTTTGACCCTTGCACCTTGCACCATGTACAATGAAACTTTCGGCTTGGTTTCTTCATTTCTTTCTCCAAATGGTCTATGTTACATATACCCGATCATATCACCCGTTTTAAGCGGTCGTTGTTGGCTACTTTGATAGATACCCGATGTGCAATTATTGTCTGCGTGTGTTTATATTCTGCCTTGTGCTTCCTCACTATGTCCGTCTGATACGTTGATAAATAGCATGAGCAATAATTGACCTATAAGTTCCGCTGCTCAACCTACTGCACAATCCACTGCTCAACCCACAGCTACTGTATATCTTCATAGCACGAAAATCACGGAAACGGACATTGTCCCATCCGCTCCTGACGCAGAGTCTCTTGAATGACCTCAAGCTCCTTTCGCCCCTTTCCCTCAAAGTATTTCGGGCCCAAGTCAGCAGTGTAATAGCCTTGCGGGTAATACTTGTCACCATCATCCCCAGGCAATGGCTGTCCAAGAGCCCACTTGAACCACGCCACAGGACCCCAGCGATTCCAGATTGTGGGCTGCACATAGAAGGGCGCGCCTTCATATATCAGAACCCAGTTTCGGCCATGCTTATTGGCCTTTTCGGCGAACACATCCAAGCGCATGAAATTCGGACGCGGCAGAGCCAGGTATCGAAGATATAACTGACGGAGCTTGAATATCGCGTCGAATGTCAGCTTCAAGAATGCTGGCGGTGGGTTCATCCTTCCTGATGGTTAGCTTATGTTCATATAACATTCACGTTTAATTTATATGATTCCCCTAGGAATACATACATCATGGCACCCCGCAGTCGTTCATCCATCAAGAACGAAACAAAATATTCACCGAGCGGTTTCATAAATCCAGGTAGATTGTAAACCAGCACGTCGATCGTCTTCTCTGAAATCTCCTTGTTGCGTGGATGCGGCCTCATATGCTCGGCCTCGTATTGCGAGCTCCAGGCTCCGATCTCTTCCAGCCAGTGGATTCCATCTTGGAATCCGGTCTTGCCAGATGGGAGGACTTCATAGCTGATGCCTAGTGCATCGCCGAGACTCTTCCAGTAGGTGCCTACGGCGCACTTCTCCATCTCTGTCATTTCGCGCCATTCGTACTGTTTCACGAATCGAATTGGTTCGATGGCGAAGAGGCTCAGTGTATAGAGCATGTCTGCTTCGAGGATCTTTCCGCTGGCTCGGTATCCCTGGTGTAGGAACTTGGTCCGGGCTATTGCTGTTTGTGCTCGTTCTGAGCTTGGGTCGAAGGCCATGAATTCGCCGATTAATGTTCCTGTGTCGGCGTATCGTTTGAAGGACGTGGCCGAGTCGGAGAATTGGGATGTTTTCAGGAGAAGCGTGGAGATGGTTGGAATTCCATATGTCTATTTCTGTGAGACTGTGATGTAGTTGATGTGTTCCCATCACTTACGCGGAACAGTGCAAATTGGAGTGATTTTAGAACGATGAATGGAAACTCGGTCTGCATGATGGTTTTCTGAATAGCCCACGCGTCTTGGTCGGTCATTTGACCCATTGCTTTCCGTGTCGAGTAATATCCATATTTCCGGTGTAGCGTGCCTCGTCTCTGGAATCTCAGGGACGATACCAGCACTAGATAGGTGATTATACCGACTAGAACGCATAGCATCTGCTGCGAAGGGGAGGAAGGCAACAGGGCGAGAACAGCTGCGGCACCTGATAGTTGGGACATAGATGGTGATGCCATATCTTATTGTGACAGAGCCGAAATGAATGGACTCGGAAGATGTGCAGATATAGATATGTCGATTTGGGGTCAGGAGTGTACTACTTTATATGTTCTACCCTCGCTACTAATCAATTATATCAATCGTGATGCACCAGCTTCATGGCAACAACAGCCAAACCGAGAGACTCGTCCAGTCGATCCCCAAGAGCGGACCGAGGAACAAGCAGAGTCCGCGGGGAAACCCCAGAGCTTGACGGCTCCATATGGAATCCTGGCAGATCTAGGTATGCTGTATAGGGCCTGGCACAACAAATGAAGGGACTTCCTGGTGGGCTGACCGCAGTGATAGCCGAGGTTTCGAATCAGATGAGAATCATTCGCTGAAATCCATTTGTTTGGGACTGTGACAGACGACAGACCATCCAGATGAGGCATCAAGCATCAGAATTCACATACTCGGCACATCGGAAGGGCAGCAACCGGTGTCATACCACTTCAATAAGAGAGCAACTGATTCGCAAGAAGTGTCGGAAGCCACAGAAGCCGGGGATCAGGCAAAAAGGGCGGGGGATCAGCATCACATGAAGCCCAGATTGGCTTGTAAGGTTGAGATCCGAAAGGTCGAACGATAAATGATTATGGAATAAGAGTGGAAGAATTTCTTTCAATTGTAGTTCAATATGAAGAATAGAATAATAAAGCATAAAAAAGCAAACTGTGACCTATCGCAGGCATTCGTCCACAAACTAAGTCTTGATATAAGGGATTCCAGTGAGCTTGAAAGCCCTCTCAGTCAAAGTCGGATCGGCCAGTGGCTTCGAACGATTGTGAGGATCTTCTTCGCCGTCCCGCTGGGCGATATTCGATCCAGTATGCTTCGCATTCGGCCAGTGTGTCGTTCCAACCCGACGATCAAAGGCATCTTTCTTACGAAGCAAGTCCTCCTGCGTCGCATCAGCAACAGGCATAAAGCAAGTGTAGACGGCGAAGCGCGGTTGGCTGTTCTTCGGACTCAGGTTGTAGTGAGGCGTGCGGGAGTCCCATAGAAGGAGATCGCCAGGCTCGGCGCTGAGCTTTTCCCACTGGCAGCCGTGATCTTCGAGCCACTTCATGCCGCGCTCGGTGAATCCATACCACTCCGGTGTCCAGGCTGGGATTCGGGCCTCGTCGGCCATTTCTTGGTGGAATTGTTCGGACAGCAGGTGGCCCCCGCGGCACACGATCAGTCCGCCGTCGTCTGGGCCGTTGGGCAGCATATTCACCAGTCCTTGCATGCAGCGGAAGCCATGCTTCTCGGGGTCCTGGTCCTGGTGAGGCCAAGGCTTATTGGGAGCAATGTCGGTCCGACTAAGATGTGGTCAGAATACAACGGCTCTGGCTTGAAAGAGAGGGGAATCTCCACATACTTGGGGAATTGGAAGTTGATGGCATCAAAGGACACAATGAGATCCTCATCGTCATAGATCTTCTCAAAGGCACTGACAACACCTGGCTCACTTCGGATACCCCAGACAAAGTTCTCATGAGGAAGACCATAGTGCAGACACATGCCTTTCTCATTGATCAAGGGAAGCTTGTCTTTGTGCACCGTAGACGGATCATTTCTGTCAAATCCCAGTTCACTAAGATTTTGAGTCAGTTAGTCTAGATGAGACCTTTCTTAGGGGAAACTTACAAGCCCTCCAACCAAGAGTACATCTCATCGGCATACTTCAAAGCCCTCTCTTTGGGAATAGCGCCCTTGACGATTGCGAATCCATCTCTGGTCAAATCATCTCGGAAATCACCAAAGTGGTGATCAGTGCCATCGACACGCATGCGACCAAGACCATGCAGGTTTGGGTTGACCTGAGCAGTCTCAACGGTGGTGGTGGTGGTAGACATGATGAAACGAGTAGTATACAGGTGAGCGGTAGAAAACCAGCGTACCAGCTGCTTAAATGCCCGGCCTTGAAGAAGCTGCGGTCTCACCTCTGCCCACATTGCGCACTCAGCAAATGACACCGTGGATCTTGAATATTTCGATTGGTTGGCTGTTCAACACTGCGTTGGTGGAGGAGTCGGGAAGTGGAGGTGGGGGAATGGGAGACGAGAAATGGGGGAAATTTGGATGGCGTCTCTGAGTAAATAGTTGATAACCAGAGCAGCCTGCAGCAATGATTCATCAAAAGCGAATCATGGCGCCCTTCCGTATCGTGATAGTTGGTGGTGGCATCGCAGGCTTCACGGCAGCCATTGCCCTTCGTGGCCCCAACAGGCAGATCACAATCCTCGAGCAATCGGCCTTGAACAAAGAGATTGGCGCTTTGATCTCGTTGCAGCCAAATGCTTCAAGAATCGTGGAGTGTGAATGGAGTTTAAGCGAAGAACTGTCGCAGGCGCGGCAAATGGTGGATGAAGGCTTTCGGATATACAACACCGAAGGGCAACTGGTCAACACCGTCCCTTTACGGACAAAGGAGAAGTATGGAGCCGAGCGCCTTTTGTTCCATCGCAGAGATCTTCATGATGCATTCAAACGGGCCGCTGTCTCTCCCACGAGGGCAGGAGATCCAGTCACGGTGCGAGTTACGTCGAGAGTTGTAGACTGTGATGTCCTCAAAGGGACAGTCACTCTAGATGGTGGCGAAGTCATCGAGGGCGACTTGATTGTGGGCGCAGATGGAATGTAAGACATGAAATTCTGTGAAGCCCTAAAGCACTAAAAGCTAACATCATCATCTCTTAGCCATAGTGTTCTCCGGAAACACGTCCTGGAGGAAGCAATCAGTCCTATGCCGACTGGGCATTCCGGTAAGCTTGACTAGAGTGATATGCTCTTGCGCCAAACAGCTAATAGTCAATAGCATACCGTCTTATGGTTGGTTTCATGGCAAAATACATAAGAAAGCCGGGCTGATTCCTCTAGATGCCAACAGAAATCCTTGAAAAACAAGAACCCGAATTCTGTGCTCACATCAATCCCCGTGAGCCTTTCACATCGATGATCGTCGCCCACAACTGTCGTCTCATCATGGGCCCCGGAAGGCAGGGCGAGGTTTACGGGATTGTCGCTTTAGTGCCAGATGGTGCGTCCGGGCTCATAGATTTCCAGTACCAGGCTAACCTAAAGAAAGACCAAATGAACGAGGATCCACATGCAAAACAATCTTGGGTCGCAGAGGGAAATTTTGAAAAGATGATGGACACCTTTGCCAACTTTCCGTCCTGGGTCAAAAATATCTTCAAGTATGATCCCAAGACCTTTCTTGTTCTCTCATCGAAGCGTACTTACCATTTGAACAAGACATTCCGCCGATCTGGGACTATGGCAGCTACGAGATCTTGTAGGTTCTCTATCTGATTTTTTTTTTCTCCTTCACTAACCAGAACAGAGCCATTTAAAGACATGGCATCGTGGCCGTGTGATCATCATTGGCGACGCTGCACATGCCATGTTACCAACGCAAGGCCAAGGGGCCAGTCAAGCAATCGAGGATTCGGAAGCTCTGGGGGCTTTCTTGAAGGATATCCTTGAAGCACCCTCCCCTGATGTTCTCACGACAATATTGGAGGTAAGACATTTAGCGAACTGATTCGAACGCAGTTAGTAACTCTACAAACGCAGGAGATCTTCAAGACCCGTTACGAACGTGCGAGTCTGATCCAGGCATATAGTCGGCAAGCGGCCAAGCCAGCAACAGCCGAGGGCAATAACGTCGTGACGATGTATGTATGAGGCCGACCCTTGGCTGAGCATGAACTGACCATTCAGGAAACCGGATGAGTTTATGGACTTCAACTGTGGATATCGTGGGGCCAAGGAATGGAAGCAGCTTAGACAATAGTAAGAAGATGATGTATCTCGCGTCCGCAGTCTCTGGAATATAAGGCAATTAGCCCTGATCCCCCAACCACCATGAAAAAACCGCATATTTCCGAGTCTAAAAAGCCAATATTTCCCCGCAAATGTGGAGAGACCGAATTTACATATGACTCGGCTCCTATTGGACGTCCCAGTGGCTCTGGCTTAAGTGGCCCGCAAAACAATCGTGTCCCGAATGCCCTTATAAACGGCCGACGCCCTCAACGCCCTCAGCGCTCTCAACCTAAGCTCTAATATTATGCCTCATGTCGGACACTCAACCCCCTCGACGCTCTTCCCGGGCTAAATTTGGCACCCATCACTGCCCGCACTGCGGCAAAGGGTATGAACGACCAGACCATTTAGCGCGCCACTTAGACTCCCGCGAGTATCTTTCTTACCTCGGCTGAGCTGTTTGGCTGACGGGGTTTCCAGATCGCAATAAGAGAACCTATCAATGCCGGATTTGTCAGCGTGGATTTAATCGCCGGTAAGTATAGGCTGTTGTAGACACCAGACATGGGGGCTCATGAAGTCAGAGATGTCCTCCAGCGACACCAAGCAGTCCACGAAAAAGATGCCAACACCGGCAAGAAAACATCTCGTCGCACCCGAGACCGAGCAATTGAGGCCTGCAACGCTTGTGCGACCGCCAAATTAAGTTGCGACAATGAAAGACCGTGTCAAGTAAGGGGTTTGGACCATAGACTGGGCCACTGGCTAACTGTCGCAGCGATGCCAATCAAAGCAGATTGAATGTGTTTCAAAGCGCTCTCAACTCCAAAATCAGAATAATGCCCCAGTTTCTCGATTCTCTCCGATAAATACAACGCCAGATTCGAGTCTCTCGGATTTCAGTGTACCACCTGCAACAGAATACTCAGACGGCCATGAAATTTACGACGCCAACTTCGCACAAGATCTGACGCTAGATCAATTTCTCCCTAGTACGGTGCCGGTTTATCCGGATTTAAACAACTTCCCGGCCTTTTTTGAGCAGGTTATGCTTCCAAACGTGGAACTAGAAATTCAACAAGAAACACAGCAGCCTCGGGGCGTATTTGACTTCATGCTCGATACTGATTTCGTGTTCCCGGAAAATGATCTGTTTGATACAAACTTCATGCCCGATCTAGATCGATTATTGGATACTGGTCCCTCCATTTGTGGATCGGACGATCTACAGAATCCCCAACTGGGTGACCATGAGTCGGCGAGCAGGCGAGCAGCTGCATTTCGAAAGTCTTTCTGGTATGTAGAGACTTGCGAGGAAATTGAAAGTAGTTGCATGATTCTAAGTTCTATAGGTTATGGGTGCCAGAAAAGAATCAACATGCATTCAGCGAAGAGAGAAGAATCCCTCTTCGAGATGGGGATACTATCTCTCCAAATCATCGAAATCGGCTTCAGGCTCTCCAAATACCGGGGAAACTATCAATGCACTCTCGAGATGATATCTTGAAGCTGGTCGTGCGAACAGCCGGTTCTCGGCTTTCGGTTTCTTCCTTTCCCTCTGCTGAGTACCTTGATACGTTGATCAAGGTTGGCATTGGGAAGCGAACAGAAACTGATGCATGGATCCATCCATATACGTTCTACGATCAGAAATTGAGACCTGAATTATTGACGGGCTTGGTTGCAGCAGGATGTGTATGCTGTGGGCTGGCATCTATCAACAAGACTGGGATTGTTCTACAAGAAATTACAAGAGTATCACTCGCACAACTTGTATGAATTGAGGCTTTCATATTGCCATCTTGCTTAGGTCTGACTAACTAATTGCCGGATTTCTTAGGTCGAAGATGATAACAGTGTCCTGCGCGATCTGCAGTGGCTACAGGCCTCAATGCTGTGGCTAGATATTGGCATTTTCTGTGGCTATCGACGAAAAATGCAAATAGCAGAAAGCTACCTTCAACCACTGTGTACTGTAAGAGCAATCAAGTGCAAAACACGACCCGAACTAACTTGACAGGCTTTTCGACGTGCTGCGGCATTCGATAGATCCACGTATTCTAACGTAACGCCTTATATAGCCGGCGACGATGAGCAGTCTTTGAATACTGTCTGGCATGAGTGGGTAAGGCAAGAGTCACTTAAGCGGTATGATCTCATGTTTGACTAGTAATATTTCAATGCTAATAGGAGTAGACTGGCATACCATCTATTTGGTCATGATGTAGAAGTTGCTATGGCTATGAACCGCCCAGCTCTCACTTCATATACTGAGTTAACATTGCCTTTCCCTGCTGCAAGAGATCTCTGGCTTGCTCCCACGGCAACTGCCTGGAGAGATCTTTGGAATACAAAGTACCGTATTGCGGAAATTTCGGATTTCAGTCTACGAGACTTGTTATCCGATCCGTCCTTAATAACACATATCCCGGTCGAGATGGACTTTGACTCTGCAAGAACTGCACTGCTACAAGGGATGGCCAGCCAGGTGTGGGAAACTCGCCAGCAAATGGTGTTGTCTCAGGGATCAAGGCCTGATACCCGTGCTATGACTCGACTGTGGCTACAAAGCAGACAAGATGATCTGTGGGCTTACCCTTCAATACCCTTTCTATAACTAAATACTAACTGGTTAAGGTATACTACATTGAAGTCTATACCGGAGAATCCATCACTTCCTCCGCCCGTCACACTCTTACTGAACGAGTTTGTAATGATGTACCTCCACGTCGATATTGACGCTATCCAACGCTTTGTAGGTAAGCTCGGGGAATTGGATGCCCGCCGCGCCTACCCTGGACTTAGAGACTGGAGCCATACAAAAGAAGCACGCACTAGCATATGGCATGCCGGTCAGACTTTGCGTGCTGCACGAACTGTTAAGTCGCATCAGCTGCGTGGATTCGATGCTATGGCTATCTATCATGCTGTCTTGGTATTGTGGGTATATGGGCTTCTCCAATGTGGCGAGTTGAAGCAGCTTGAGGCCAAGACCCCAATGAGTGAAGCAGAATTGCCACCTTGTGTGTCACTTGATGGACCAGAAGACATGGCGACCAAAGCGTTCTTAGGCCACGGAATCGGTCGCCCGGGACTGACCATGACCCGAAGTGGTCCCGGTGGGGATACTTCCATCTTCTGTGAACTCAGCAAACCGCGCTCTATCATGGCTGTTGCTCGTCAGGTTTTAAAGGGGAATTGTCCTTGTCCTGTCCCGGAGGACCGTTTGCCACCAATGATCCAGAACCTGTGTGAACTGATTGAGGACTTGGGGAATCTTCCATAATTCAGAAATCATGTACAATAAATTCCAATCATCGAGTTGAATAACTGAGCCCCGAATAGTCCTCACATAAGCTCTGTTCTCCATTTGCCGAAGTTGTGTCTGGAGCCAATGAGCAAAGCCCTAAGTCCGTCGGATTGTGGGGGAATTCCCCACGGGGTTCCCAACGCCATCGGCAATTGTGGGAAAGTTGAGATGGACCAGCTGCACATTCGCAAGCTGGAATCCTCGATCAGCCACTCAAACTATGCCCATCAAGCTGTGGGGGAGCTACGCTAAAGAAAAAGGGAGTTGCATCTCTCGTTTTCTGATTCTTCACTTCCCCTGACAGCATCCTTCCAGACATATGACACCTTCCATCATGGCTTCTAACGACCACAAGGTTAAGATTGAATTCTTGGAGAACGTTGAGGTTGCAGAGATTAGAACTGGTGAGGTGCTCATCGATGAAAGGGGGAAGTCCAGCGACTGCCTCTGCCTAGTAGCGATCCCAATGATCCGCTGAACTTCACAAAGTGGGAGAAATTCGGTGTCATTCTCAGTTGCTGCTGGTTCTGTACGTTATCTCTTGTACGGCTCCATTCATATTGCTCACACAATCTAGCCATCATGTCATTGTCCGTAGTTGGGGGGTTGGGTGCCATCCTCGGAGTCTTCTTCGAACTGTATGTTCCTCAAGGTCACAGCTCGACGCAAGTAGTCTGGCTGGCGACTTTTCCGTCACTCTTCGTTGGTGTGGGTGAGTATTCAATTTTCCATTCTCAATGCCTTCTTCGTTGATTCTGATGGACTGTTAGGCAATTATCTGATCCTCCCGTTGGGCCTGGTATATGGTCGCCGGCCAGCCACGATTATCTCAATTGTGGTACTTCTAGGCTCCACGATCGGTTGCGCTCTGTCGCAGACCTTTGAACAGCATCTTGGACTTCGCATTCTTCAAGGACTTGCCACGGGTGCCACAGAATCGGTGAGTTGACCCGACTGTTGCATTACAGAGAAGAAGAAAAAGCTGACTTGAAAATTTCGACAGCTGCTCCCCCTCATGCTCTCCGAGGTCACATTTGTGCACCAGCGTGGTACAATCTTTGGTGTATACTGGGCAACGCAAAATGTAGTGACAAGTTGCTTGAATCTGGCCAGCTCGTATGAGGCCGCTGCTCTGGGGTGGCGCTGGTTTTATTGGGTATATGTCATTGCTATTGGGGTTGGGCTTGTCATTGTTGCATTAGGTTGCTTTGAGACAAGATACCAGCGACGTGCACAGATCCTCAATGGGCAGCTGGTCATCACTGATGAGTTTGGCGTCACCCAGATACTCACCGGGGCCCAGGCTGATGCATATCTGCAAATGCAAGAGACAGAGAACGATATGACTATTCCTGATGCAGCACTTCCAAAGAGAACCTATGCGCAGATGATTAGCCCCGTTGGATCTTCCACCAAGAATCCTGTTCGAACTGTGCTGATGGCTTGGTTCCACATGCTCGAGGCTTTCTCTTCCCCGGGTATTCTATATGCGACTCTTCTGGCCTCAGTAGTGCTCGGCTCGTCCATCGGCATCTCGTTGACTTACGACGCCGTGCTTCAAAGCTATGGTTGGCCAGCTAAGAGTGTCGGTCTGATCAACCTGGGTGGTGTATTTGGTGGCTTTGGAGGAATGCTATATGCTGGAGTATTTGGGGACTGGTTTATTCTGCAGATGGCCAAACGCTCAGGGGGTGTTCATATCCCGGAGCATCGGTTGACTTTGCTGATATTCCCCGGTATTCTCGCTGTTGTGTCCCTACTCCTCTACGGATTCACTGCCGAAAACAACGCGACTTGGGGAGGGCCATTCATGGGATGGACCCTTTTCCAGGTCAGCTTTGTCTCTGTGTTGATCTTGTCGACTTCATTCGCGGCAGAGGCCTGGGAGAAGAACCCGGGGCCGGCACTGGTGGCTGTGGTTGGAACCAAAAACATCATTGCTTTTGGTGTCAGCTATGGTTTGACTCCCATGGTAGCTTTGTATAGCTATCCGACTGCGATGGGGATCTTAGCTGCAGTGACCGGGGCCATATTCCTGCTTGGCATTCCCGTTTATTTCTTCAACCCAGCTGTGAGTGTACACCCTGGTCTCAAATTAACGCAAGATTATTAACATATAAACAGTGGCGCCGTTACAAGCAACGACAAGAGGCGAAATAGTCAAATGTGGTTTGCCTATGCCGGTATATAGTGATGGTGAGAATTGTGATATCAAACTTGAATTGTCTCGCCGAGTCTATTGTATCTCCTATGTACATTGCGCTCTGTCTCAAGTCCAAGCATTTTGCAATGAGTTCTAGTCGCAGATATATCGGAAGTTCACCCATATAAGCATGCGCAACTATATCATAACATGTTCACCGTAACATGTCACCGGGGTATAGTTCAGTCAAGCCAAACCAAGCATCAAAAGTCTCACCCCTCAAGGCTTTCGAGGCTGTCCGTTACCAACCTGGCTGGTAATGTTGTAATCACCAAAGCATGCCTCCTGGTACATAGCCTGCTTGTTCAGTTCAGGAAGGGCGCTAAGGAATTTGTCGACTGGGCAGAAACCATTCACTGAACCATCACAGGCAGTCAACCCATCAACGGGCAATGGTGCATTGTTCAGAACAAAGCGAATATAGTCCGTAGTATTAGTCTCGGACGACAAGTCAGGGTTCTTGTACTTTTGCGGTTGGAGATGTTTAAATGAGATGTCCTTCGGGCAGGTCCAGACTTCAGAAAACAAGCGGGCGCCGAAGGGAGTCATTTGATTCAGGTTGAAGTTCCGTCGTGGGGCGTGCGAGACTGATGTAGGCATGCCATGAGAACTATACTTGAAGTAATTCAGACCCAGAGCTGTCAACACAGAGATAATGACATCGTCATGGGACATATCCATGTACATTGGCTGATTGAGCGGGAAGGTCTTGGTATTGTCGTCGTATGTGTAATTAATGCTGCTGTCACTGCTCATGACCAATCTCGACTGCAACCGGGCAGCCAGTTCTTGGACATACCCAATTCCTTGGGCACGACCGCTCGGAGATCCGAATCCGTAACTGCCATAGAATTGGAGGTCGGTGTAGTATTCGAAGTCACGCCATTCCTGTTCGGTGAAGAGCGCACAGAACGAAGATTGACCGAAAGTCGCATACTCGTACGGGCACATGTTGAACATGGCGACAATGTCAAAAGTGTCAAGCTTTAGGTCCTTTGGCAAGTGTGCGGCAAAGCGTTTGTGGGCATTCTGAACAAGAGTTGGGGCAAACTCCTCGCCGGCATTGTCCCCCGGATCTATGCCTTGAGGACAGGAATCAGTCGATGATAGGGTGTTGTTGAAATCATCAACCTCGGGGATGATAACCAAGTTGTATTCCGTATATGAGCTATTGGCTCCAGTATTGCCAAAGAACCCGCTTAGCCACCACCGAGCACTCTCCAAGATGCGAGGGTACGATGTCGTCCGGAAAGTGGGTTTTGGTCGTGATGTGCCATTGGAATACACATTGAGTGTTTTATTCCAGGAGGCATCACCGCCTCCTGCTCGGTAAAGTAGTCGGCCGTACTGGCTCCAGAACAGCGCGCCGGAAGTTGCTTCGGTGGCGGCGCCGGTGGGAAGCAGGGTGTTCGAGCCAAGCAAATACTCCCACTCATTCAAAAATTCAAGAGGGCCAGTACCAATCTTCTTCGACGGGTGCTTCTTTGTGTAGTTGGCTATCTTCTGAGCAAATGTCTGCATTGCTCCGCCATCCAGTAGCCATTGCGTTGGATACCGCTGGGCATGGCGGTGAAGCACATGCACCTGTGACAATTCACATTCTGAAGGGAAGCCCTTGGAGACATTGAATTCCAAGGCATCTGCGTAAGGACTGATATTGGCCCAGCTGCTTTTCATATCAAACCCCGAAGGATACGACAAGCCAGTAGGACCAGCAGCGGCGGAGCTAGAGGAAGCCACTGCGCAACCTCCGCTCGCCAGGGCCAATAGGGCGATGATAGACTGAACAGATAGCATTTCGACCGTATGATAAGTGATCGACTGACTGAATCTTCGGAATCCCCATTTCAACGGCTGAGCGTCTTATTTTATACGTGCAACTGAAGGGAAAGGATCGACCCCGTTCATTCCATAGGTTAGGGGCCGGGAGGCTACAGTAGATTGCAGTAAATTGGTCCCATACATGACGCAGAGGATCGTAATCTTGGCCAACTAGAGTAACATGTCGTGTGAGCGATTGTTGGAAGTGGAGAAAATGCTTGACTGTGACGGACGAACGTTATACTCCGGAAGCTGCCTTTCTCCGTAGACCGACGGTTTCCTGCCAAGAACGGACATCACAGCTTCACTTGTTGACTTTGCTCCGTTTTGTCCGTTTTTCTCCGCTTTCTCCATTTTGGGATGGACAGGCTGCGCTGCTGAACAAAGGAATTTCTCTGTCGATCGCCATGCTCTGCAAAAGGCAAGAGATGTGTCGATCGCAACAACGCCAAACCCAAGCTATACGAGAAGCCCCAACATCCCCTCGTGTACGGAGTATAGTATGAAGTACATGTCCACCGCGGGGAACTATGGAACTAAGAATCAGCTTCAACGGGGAGTCCTGCGCTGCAAGACACTTGTGACACCGACTTTGACTCATCGCATTCGAGCTCCTGCAAGTGGCGCAACACACTGCTGGCAGGATCCCTTGCTGCACCGATGAAAAGCTTCAGCTGCACACCGATATGTACCGGCCCGAAACACTTACTCGCTTACCATGTACCGATCTGGGTCAGTGTACGCCCCAGGGGAATGTGGCGGCTCGTATCCGACACGAATGGATGGGTCCTTCGTGGTTTTGTGGCGCCAAGCACTAGACTAGCTGGGTTGTGATAGCTAAATAAGGCTGATCGTGAGTAAATCCACCTAGAGTACGAACGTAATTCATGTTGAGCCGCACGTGGGTGTCATCTTAAAGCGCAAGGGACGCCCCCTTGAGGCTGCTGAGACTTTCTCGCATTGTTTTGGTTCCTTCGCGCTTCAACGTCAGACATATCAAGTACATCATGCTGGCGCTCAACATTGTTTTGTACGCCCTCTTGGGTACTTCCTTGGCCTTCGCTATTATAGAGCTGGGTCTTTCGGCTTTCATCACTTCTGCATATACCGGTACCCGTGAGGTTGCAACCTGGAACGCCTATTCGGGGTATTCGTACACAACAGTCGATCTGAAGGCCCCGGCCATTCTCGCATTTCTGGTTTTCAGTGCCTGCTGGACTATCCTAGTCACTGTCGCAGCCTTGGTTCTGCCATGGCATTTCTCCAAGAAAAGCTTTGTTAGTGCAAAGCTCAACACTATTCTTGCCTCATGTTTCGTTGGAGTTTACTTTGTCACTATGGTCTTTTGGCTGGCTTGCTTCGCCGATCTCGCCTCCCTGCTTGGTGGTGGAACCAGTGATTCATCGTACTTCAATGCTGTCCTCGCGTTTGGTGTGCTCCTCTGGTATGTTCCTCTAGTTGTTGTCGGCTACTCACCATTACTGATTCATCTTTCCAAATTTAGGTTACTCTTTGTCGCCCTTGTGGTCTTTACAACTCTTGCAATGTGTGGTGTCATGGCTTCTGACTGGGCTGGCTACCAGTCTTTGAGAAAAGATAAGGCTGTTGAAGGGGGCCAGACAAGTGGGCATCCCCCTGATGTGCCGATGAGTACGACCCCTGTGGTTCCAGAAATTGCAGCTCGAGATGCTGAGGGTCTACATAAACAGCCGAGCAGCCAATCGCATAGTATCTCTTCGCCATCGGCCATCCAAAGCGCCGAGCTCAGCGGCGATAGCGTTCCCGATCACCATACAACCAGGGCAGCGCAGGTCAGTCCTGTTTGATTGGTTCGGACAACATCGATTCTCTCTCAGTAGTTGTTTATTCTATAGTCTCTGATGCCACTCTCTGATACCACTTACCGTACTAATACTCTGTTGATATTTACGTTGTTGCTTTGACTATGAATCGTGATATGGATCACGTGATATATAGTATTTCTGCCTTAGGCCCCAGAATCATAAACCCAACTGACCTCATTTCTTTGATTCTATATTCAAGGAAGCCTTTTGTTGTTTCAACTGAGCATGCATTTCCCACTTAAAATCCGGTCAGTTGGCTACCTCTCTTCTATCATTGCTTGCTGGGGATAACAGGGAGAAGGCTCATATCCTTCCGAATGTTCCTTCCCACCCCACTTTATAAGGACTAGGTCTAAAATATATATCGGCTACCGTATGTATAGCAGCACCATCATTTAGTCTATTATGATATCATTAAGTCTGATAAATCCTCAACTAGAGCTGAGCAGACTTCTTGTATTATTTTATATAATAACTCCGGGCCTTCCGTATGGCATCTAAACGTCTAGCTTTCTACTCAAAATTGGCGTATCTTTCTTACATCAATCTGATACGTCCTACACGCCCTCCCGATAATCTTTTGAAATATTCCCAGTCACCTTTAGATTTTCCTATATCGACAATCTCTAGATACAACGCTAAAAGATTGAGTTGTTACCTACGTTAACCTGGTTTAATCGCGTTCAAATCCAGTGAGTGCGTTGGCCAGTCCTCGACAACCACTCCATGCCGTTCAAACTAGTCTTTTGTCTCGTACGCGCTATAGATTTTCGTCTTGTTCAATAAATTATTTCCCTAGGAATACAAAAGAGTAATACATCTTAGTCAAGCGCGTTCGCATACGATTTTGCGGCAAAAGCCCCCATGTGAGTCTTTTTTCAGTCCACAATGTGGGCCGAGGAGGAACAATTGCGTAGTATGATCTGATTGGATATTACTATTATACATGGGCCCCGTATGTATGATGGTTCAGTCATCACTCATGTTCTAGATAAAATGTTTTACCGATATGGAAGTATGCTATGTCGACTTGGTTTTAAATCATTATGCTGCATCTATGTCCGTACCACAGCCATCAAATCCCTATCCTGCTGGGACGAAAGGTCAGGTATAGGCCAATCTATCGCTTGAACAAACTATGGGCATGTCGTAAGATGACCTCCGGTCACTGCAATCAAGGAAAGAACTGATTCCAAGAGGAGGGGAAAAAATGAAATGAAAAACAAAAATGTATGTCCAGGATATAAGAGCCGGCCGCAAAAAAGTACCAGACACGCAATGAGACTACTCCAACTGAAACTGCAATTAAGTTGTGGTCTCTTCCACAGTCTCATGTCCCTCTTCGTGGCCCTGCTTAGACTTCTTCTTCTCCTTCTTGCCCTTCTTGCTCATGGCTTCAGCCATCAGCTCTTCAAAGGCCATGTAATCGCCCTCCTCTTCAGGGTCGCGCGCAGCCTATTTTAAACGTTAGCATGATGCATTCTAGACAGAAGAGATATGCATACCTTAGCGTAAATGTTTCCGGCAATGACCAGCGCATGGGCACGCTCAACGCACTTCTCAAGTCGAGTACGCTTAGTATCCAAGATTTGGTCACAGACATCACGCAAGACACTCTGAATCTCGAACTTGCTGCCACGCCAAGCGGCGGCCAGAATCTTGCCGGTAACCCTCTTCTCGTACTCGGCCTTCTTCTCATCAGTCCAGTCCTCGCCGCCCCGTTCTTCCATCTTGGCCATCTCCTCCATTGTCATCTTCGCATCAATGGCCGTGGAAATAGTAGTCCAAGTCTCCTTAGCAAGAGTACCCTTATCCTTCAGGCGAGAGAAGAAACCAGAAATACCAAGGAATTTCTGAGATTTGAGGAAGGAAGTGCCCTTCTGAACATAGGTCTGACCAACGGCGTGCAGAATCTCCAGACCGAAAGATTCCATTTTCAGGTTCTCAACCTCGAGACGGATCTTCTCCTCAAATGCATGAGAGACATCCTTGCCCTTGTCGGTCTCGGTCCACACGCTCAAACGGTCAATGAGCTTGTTGGCCAGGGTATTGACGCGCTCCTCGCGGGCCTTCTTTCGTTCTTCCTCGAAAGCTGTCAAACGCTCCTGCTGCTCTCGGGAGAGACCCTTCTTCTTTTCCTTCTTGCGTAATTCCTTCTCTTCCTGGGACAGACCAGCTGCCTCCATGCGCGCCTCTTCCTCGGACTTGTCCATCAGTGCCTGCTGGCCGAATTTTGGTCGTGGGGTGCTCGTGCCAGAGCTCTGCTGAGAAGTTTGTTTCTCGGCGGAGCCGGCGGATGATGCCGTAGCTCCGGCCGTGGGATCTTGGGTTTCTGAGGCTGTAGCAGGATCGCCACCGGCAGCCTTCAGCTCCTCGTCGTGGATGTGCAGTTTCTCCTCGGCTGACTGGGCCAGTTCCTCTTCCTCCATCTCTTGCATGGTAATGTCCATGGTCGCAGTCAAATCCTTCATGAGAGAAATCTCACCAATCAGATCAACGAAAGCCTCTCCACCAAAGATCATGCTGAAGAACTCAGACGGATCCTCTGTACAAAGAAGGTCAGAAATGTTGGCGCGGGCACCATGAATATCCAGAAGGAGTACTGACCGAAGCCACCACCAGGGACCGACTCTTCCTTGCCGAACTTGTCATATCGCTTGCGTAGATCTTCGTTGCTCAGAACTTGGTAGGCTTCACCGATCTAAAGTATGAACGTGTTAGGATCGTTGTTATCCATGTCTGTAGATTCATAATCATACGGCCTGGAAGCGTTCATGTGCGGTTTCATCGTTGGGGTTCTTGTCTACAAAAAATGGTCAGAGACGTCATGGCAGTCGCAACCACAGGATCCCTACCAGGGTGAGTGACGATAGCCAGCTTGCGGTAAGCCTTCTTGATCTCGAGTTCGGTGGCCGTGGGCGGCACGCCGAGGGCGTCATAGTAACTGGTATCGGCGACCATCTCTGCAGGCTCAAAAGTAAAGAAATGTAGAGTGAAGCCAAGTGTTTAGGCGGTGATATTTTTCGCTGATATCATGTGGGGGTTGTATGCATGGTTTGTCCCGGGTCACGTGGGACCGAACTCTGCATTTAATTTCGCGGCTTCTCCCCTTTTCCCTTCTCTTCTTCCCCAATCCCCTTTACTTTTTTTCTCCTAATTTTTCCTGTTTTTCTTTTACTTCTTTAATACTGTGCTTTGTCTTTCATTTCTTGTAAGAAGTGCTTGGACGTCTGCACGTCCCTTCCCCAACATGGGTCTCGTTGGCAATGCTGTCTACTTCGCTTTCCACCCTTTGCAACTGAGGTCTATCCTACAATGGTATGCTCCTGGTTCAACTCGCCTCTACGTGATCTCAACTAATCTTCCACGTCACAGGAAAGTTTGGCACAACCCGCCACACGAGCGCAATGAAAAGAACGAGACGGAAAACCAAAAGCTTTGCTTCAAGTTCCTGGATAAGACGAGTCGCAGCTTCAGTGCCGTGATTAAGGAGTTACATCCCGAGCTGTTGCTTCCCATTTGTATTTTCTACTTGGTTCTCCGTGGGCTGGATACCATTGAGGATGACACCTCCATTGACTTGAAGACCAAGGAGCCCCTCCTGCGGGACTTCAAGAACATCCTGACACAAGATGGCTGGAACTTCACCGGCAACCGCCCGGAAGAGAAGGATCGCGAACTGCTGGTTCAGTTCGACTGTGTCATTACCGAGTTCAAGAACATGAAGCCTGAATACCAGGCCATCATTAAGGACATTACTGACAAGATGGGCAACGGTATGGCCGACTACTGCGTAAAAGCAGAGAAGGACACTGCCAGTGTGAAGACCATCGAGGAGTACGACCTGTACTGCCACTATGTCGCCGGTTTGGTCGGCGAGGGTCTTACCCGTCTATTTGTCGAAGCCCAGTTCGGTAACCCTGCTCTGATGAAGCGTCCCAGGTTGCACAAGTCAATGGGACTCTTCCTGCAGAAGACCAACATTATCCGTGACATCCGCGAGGACTTTGACGATGACCGACGCTTCTGGCCTCAGGAAATCTGGTCCAAGCACGTTGATAACTTTGAAGACCTCTTCAAGCCTGAAAACTTGGATGCTGCACTCAACTGTGGCTCCGAGATGGTCCTGAATGCCCTGGAGCATGGCGAAGAGTGTCTGTTTTACCTCGCTGGCTTGCGTGAGCAGAGTGTTTTCAACTTCTGTGCAATTCCGCAAGCCATGGCTATTGCCACCCTCGAGTTGTGCTTCCGTAACCCCGATATCTTCAAGCGGAACATCAAGATCACCAAGGGCGATGCCTGTGACTTGATGCACCAGTCTACTCAGAACCTGCAGGTACTGTGTGACACTTTCCGCCGACTCACCCGTGCTATTCACAAGAAGAACACCCCCAAGGACCCCAACTTCCTTAAGATCAGCATCACCTGCGGCAAGATCGAGAAGTTCATTGAAACGATCTTCCCGTCGCAGACTGCCGAGGCCGCTCAGCGGAAGGTTACTGGCGAGCTCTCTGCCGCCGATGCCAAAAAGAAGGCAGAAGATGCCGAGAACAAGCAAGACATTTACTTCATGATGCTTCTCATGGGCACCATTGTTGCTATCGTCGCTGGTCTCATGATCTTCACAGCTTGGATGATGGGTGCTCGGTTCGACCTTGCCTTCCAGGAACTCCGTAATGGAAACTTCCGCCCACCACCCAAGCAGCTCGAACACCCCGAGCTTTGATTCTCTTTCTACCTCCACGGCGTTACGACCTTAACATTCTAATATTCGATTCCCCCTCCCGGCGGCACCTTGTTTTACTATTCCCGACCGCGACCGGTGCCACGATGTGTATTGATAATAACATACTTTTTTCTTCTTCTTCCCCGTGCATTCTAACCTCTCCCTCCACACAGCTTTCCAGCACGGATGTCAAATTGCGATCCGGCCCTTCCATGGCCGAGGTTGTGCCGAAGAAGTGCTTATATTGAAAGGAGTTTACTCCCTTTAGCCAGTGAGTACTAGATTTTTGTCCAACGGTTCGTCCGAGGTGGCAAACATCCATTGAAGATCTGGAACATCTCCGTATGTGTAGACCTGTTTATAGTTAATATCATCATCATTATTTTATTTTTACCACCTTTTTATGCACCTTTACAGTAGACTTGTATGCATTGTATTTCGATTCACACAATAGCAGCCACTTCTGTGGCCGAGAGAGAGCTGACTAGCGCCAGCAATCTCCCGGGCTCGTCGAATCAGAAATCCCTGTTTTCTCATCCCCCCGGATTGCTGTACTTCCCACCTGCTCCTTGGATATATTTGTTTCATTAGTCGGCAGTGATTGCTAGTTCAACTGCCGGATGCATCGTCGCATTCCTGTCCCACGATTGATTTTGCGGCCATCTTTTGTCCCCCAAGTCAGATTCTTTGGCTCGCCCCGACGCTTCTCGGACACAATGGTTTACAAGAAGAATCAGTCTGAAGCGTCGAACCCGGGTGAGGGTTTACCGCCCCTGTCTCCCAGTGATTTTCGCACTTATAACCGCATGTCCGAGCAAATGGAAGCATTTGTGAGCCTTATCAATCCCAACACATATCGCGCAAGCCGAGGTTTCTGACTCCCACTTAGCACAGCCATTTCCGTTTAACGTGGAATCAACTCTGGGAAGCTTGCAGCAATACTGGCAAGCGACCTAGCGGCCTATCAGCTCGTCAAATGATCATGATGGGTCTGCAGTTCTGCTCGCAGTTGGATTTTCACCACTCCATTGAAGAGCAACACATCTTCCCCGTGCTGGCCAAGAAAATGCCTGAATTCCGGAAAGAACTAGAATTGTTGAGCCAACACAGACAGATTCATGCCGGACTCGAGAAACTTGAGAAGTACCTTGGAGATTGTCGCTCTGGTGAAGAAGACATGCGCCGTGAGGAGATGAAACGGTTGATGGAAGGATTTGCAGAAGTCCTGTGGACACACTTGGATCAAGAGGTCCAGACTCTACGCGCGGAGAACATGCGCAAATTCTGGTCGTTGGAGGAGATGCGTCGTCTGCCTATGTGATGTTGGATATGTTTAATGACTGCCCCTTGATGATTCTGTTTGAAATGTATTTCGCATCGGCTGCATGACCACCTTGCAGTATTATGTTTTCACACTTTACCTTATTTTTGTTGAATATGTTACTCTACTCTCAACCAATTTTTGATCATATGCACTGGAAAATGCTGTTCCTTGGCCTCTGTTGTTTACTGACCCCAGGTCTGACCATCCTTCGTTGCCGCTATACCGCACGACAATGATCAGAATATCACTGACAAGCACTCACATGATTCCACGAAACATGATTGAGATCTGCAGACTCATCCTACTCGCTGATCACCAGATGCATGATTGGCTTTCAACGGCCATCACTCCCCTTGAGATCTTCACGAAAGGAGCTATTCAACCAACTCGGCCAATGCATGAAGACAGTGAGCTACGGCTAAAAGAAGGCTGCTAGCGGAGTGTTCTGCTCGCGGAAGATGATTTTAGAAACAGGCCAATCACAGCGAATTGTGGGGGTCGAGGAATGCGAACTTGTTGCCATCCCTTGGCTGGTATGTGGACTAACTCTTTCGACGCAGTGACGTTGTGAGATACACGTTTCCATGAGTCTCGTGCAAAATAATCTCTCAGCCGCGACGTCGAATGACTATGGCATGTTTTATTCGCGTGTCTGCGTGTCTTGGTACAATATTCCTGCCCGCAATTTCCATGTTAACGCATGCGATGTTGTTGCTCGCCCACTTGAGTTGTCGAATTAATAATTCTGCAGTTCACGAAATGCATGGAATGCAAGACTCGCATACAATGGCTATTGTCCACTTCCAAAGACGTTGTCTGTGACTTGAAACAAGGCATATCTCGTGGGGTGCACACATCGGGATCTGGCGCTGATCTTTGTCCGATCCGTCGTGGCTGTCAGATGTGACTGTGCTTAGGAATGTTGTGTCTAAACGCGCAAGCTCAGATAGAGTCTGACTGCAATCAAGTGTTCTTATGACGATAACGGAAACACAGCCCAATGACGTTGGCTTGATCTGATGCTGGACATGCGGAGCAGGGGGACGAGATCAACACACATACAGTATGCAGGAACACCAATGAGCATACGACGCCTTGCATTGTCACATCAATATCTGGATCATCCTGCTTTTTGTCGTTCATCATCTCTCCACTCTGCGGGTCTCAGGGCATGTCTCAGGGTTCTAGGTCATTGGGGTCACTACTACACCACGAGCCTTATTTCCCCATGCGGGGGGAATGATAATCTGCCGCATGCATTTCATTTGAAGAATCATATATAAGTACTAACAAGACTATCTAAACTTCTCCAGGTATCTCACGTTGCAATTCCGTGCTTTGTCGCAGTATATTTCCCTTAGGATCCGCCCTGCTCCACGCCTACCACCGCCATCATGAAGTTCACCTCCACGATTCTGGCCACTGCTGTTCTGGCTGGCACATCTCTTGCAGCTCCCAGAGCTGGCCTGGAGGACCGTCTGCGAGCCCGTGGTGTCCTTCCGCGCCAGTCGAGCCCCTCGGACAAGAATAGCATCTTGCTCAAGGAAGGCTCTGCCGGAGCCGACGTTGAATACAGCAAGAACTGGGCTGGAGTTGTGCGCGAGCAGCCGCCTGCTAGTGCTACCTACACTGCTGTCTCGGCCACCTTCACCGTCCCCGAGCCTACCGCTACTGACGACTCCGGTGATATGCAGGCTGTGTCTGCCTGGGTTGGTATCGATGGTGATACCTACACTCAGGCAATTCTGCAAACTGGTATCGATGCCTATATTCAGGATGGCCAGAAGACGTACGATGCCTGGTATGAGTGGTACCCCAAGAACGCCGAGAACTTCGACATCACTTTGACGGCTGGCGATGTTATCGTAGCCAAGGTTGAATCGTCCTCGCCGAGTCAAGGTGTTGCTATCATTGAGAATAAGTCCACTGGTCAGAAGGTGACCAAGTCTCTGAGTGCGCCCTCTACCACGGCCACTCTCGGTGGCCAGAATGCCGAATGGATCGTTGAGGATTTTAATTCTGGTGACACTATGGTCCCCCTCGCCAACTTTGGCAAGGTTGACTTCACAGGTGCCCAAGCTAAGGCCAAGGGGGCCAGCTATGGTGTCCAAAATGCCGCGATTCTGGATATTCAGCAAGATGGCGATGTTAAGGCTCATGTCAAGGTCCTCAGTGATACTGAGTTCACCGTTAGCTATCAATGATTCGTGTTTATACCCAATGACTTTTGATATTTGGCGTTGGTGGTCTGGCATTTTATATTACGTGGGTGGTGTTGTTTGATTCTGTGCCTTCAAAGAGCTGGCGGACTATGCCACAAACAGATTCGAGAGCTGTAATGTTTACATGTGACTTCAAGATAATTCATTTCAAACCTGTCACACTTGCACCACAGTATGCCGAAACACATTATCTGGATCATACTGTTGTTTGACGCGCTTTAAAATCTGGTACTTGCTCCCATATATCGCCCTCATGTCCACCTTGTTCGGTTCAGTAAGTGGAAGATAGGTTGATGCCAAAATATTAGATTTATCGGTTCGCATCATTTCATTATGGAAGCTGCGTGCCCATTCCAGGGCTTCATCGAGTCTGTCTGCATGAAGAACAGTAGGCAAGATTTCAATGACAAAATGTGGGACACGAGTGTCCCAGACAGTCGGCATCACAGGCCGGGGAGTGCAAGCGCGCAACTCGTGGATCGCAAACATAGTCGACGGGTCGCTCGGCTTTAATGGCGCATACTTGCTGATGACATCAACGATCTCAGCCGTTAGCTCACATAGATTGACAGTGAGACACAGGCCGTAGGTATTTGTATGACAAATGCGCTGGGCTTGCTCGTTGAACGTAACCATATCAGTTGGAGCAACGGTGCTCACGGCCACGAGGGACCAGGTGCTGACTTTAGACAGCCATTTCTCTCCAGATTCAATGTCTGTAGATGCCCAGACAAAAAGCACGGAGAATACCTTGCCTGAAGATGTATTTCCAATACATTGGAAAAGGCTCAGACTCGATGGAAGTCCGTCTTTCTCTGTGCGCCATGCATCATTGTATTGTTTAATGGTCGCTGCTATATCGCTGGACTCATATCTTATGACGCCTGCAAGGATCTGGCTTCTGATTAATACCAATCTCATTGCAGGAGAGAACTTGATCTGTACCTGGTTCAATGGATACACCTTGATTGTGAGCTCGACGATGATCCCCAAGCATCCTCCCCCACCGCGAATCGCGGTCAGCATCTCCTCATCGGCATCACGGATGACTGCCTGTGAGTCGACCAATCGTGCCTGCAGGATCTGGTCTACTCCAAACCCATACTGCGCGCTGAGCAGACCATAGCCGCCGTGGGTTGCCCAGCCCACGAATCCAACCCCCGGGATGACTGGGTGAGGTGCAACCATGCCATGTTGCTTCAACTCTTGAAGTACTTCCATGACTAGTACTCCACCACCTAATCGTGCCGTGCAGGCTTCGGGGTCAACGTGGACATACGCGATCTTGCGCAGATCTATGGTGACGGCATCATGGACCGCCGATCGACCAAACATGTCATGGCCACCAACTCGAATGGAAAAGGGGAGCTCATTTCTTTTCAGGACAGCGACCAGAGCCGCCACATCTTCGGCTGAGGCAGGTCGTACAATCATCGCTGGGACTTTGCCGTGATCGAGCACATATCCTGAACTTAAAGAGTCGTAGTCCGGGGAAGACGGAGTGGCATAGTGAATGTTTGGGTGTTGCGCTAGAAACTTCGTGAGCTCATCCATGATTCGTAGTATGTTTCGTGCGTTTTAGCGCAGACCAGGATAATTTGAAAGCTCAAAAGCAACTCGATGGCTCTGCGGAATTTTGGATGTGGAATATTATTACCAGACAACGTCCGATCTGAGTTAGTCTGGTATGACTTGGCAAGAGGAGAGCCAATAGTTCTTCCATAGTGGGGGATTCTTAGCTGCATAAGATCCCTCAGATCCCTGAAGAGTTCCACGACGGCGCATCTCAACATCGCAAAGTTTCCGACTTCGGAGACATAAGAAGCCTGTATTGATAAGCAAGTCGGCTTGGCAAAAGGGTTCGCATACTGAACCTCGAACATAAATATCCCTGTTCAGGAGGAGAATTATCGCGCAGTCTACTTGCGATATGACTAGAATCCTCATTATTGGCGCTGGAGAGTTGGGATCTCAAGTCCTTCAGTCTTTGATCCAACACCCATTTAGCCACAATGCCACCGTGTCTGTCTTGCTACGGTCTCAAACAATCGAGTCAACCGATCCGGTTAAACAGAGAGATGTACACTCCTTGCAAGAGATAGGAGTGAAGGTGGTTCCTGGAGACATTGTGCATGATCAAGAATCAACTCTCGTCTCGATCTTCGCCAACCATGACACCATCATCGGCTGCACTGGCTTTGTTTCTGGGAAAGGCACCCAAGTCAAGATCGCTTCGGCTGTCCTCGCCGCTAAAACAGCCCGGTATATCCCCTGGCAGTTTGGAGTCGACTATGATATAATCGGGCGCGGTTCGGCGCAAGATCTCTTTGATGAACAACTCGACGTTCGGGATATGCTCCGCGCACAGCAGACGACTAGATGGGCCATTATTTCCACGGGGATGTTTACGAGCTTTTTGTTCTCACCATCATTCGGCGTGGTGGACTTCGATCATGCTACTATCCGAGCTCTTGGAGGCTGGGAGAATCGAGTCACCATTACCACCCCTGAGGATATTGGACGGTTCACCGCGGAAATTGTGCTTGGAAAGGACTCGGAAGCCCTCATTTCCGATCAAGTCATTTTTGTTGGCGGGGACACGATCGCCTATGGGGAATTAGCTCAATTGGTGGAGAGACTCGCCCGAAAGCCGTTCGAGAAAAAGGTCCTCCTGGTGTCCGATGCACAGACTGCCCTTGCAGAGGATCCAAGCAATGGATTATTGAAATATCAAGTGGTTTTCGGGCAAGGACGTGGTGTGGCTTGGGATCTGAAAGAGACGTGGAATTTCCAGCAAAATCTCACGGCGCAAACAGCCGAGACGTGGGCGAAAGAGAACATCCTGTAGAGTCATTGTATAGTCATTGTACATAAACCGAAGAATTGAAGTATGAGATGCGAATGAACAGAAAGTGGTTGACGATCAGCCCTAAGCAACCCATTTTGGTCACAGTTCGGGCCCTGAAAAGTTCGCCGACCTCGCTGTCCGACACCTTTCACGTTTCTTCTCCCTTCACTGACTTTGTCTCCCACGATGCAAATCCAAATAACCCCAGCGCGGTTTCCCGACGATGCCGCAGCTATTCTCGTTCTATTTTCCGGTTATGCCGCCTCGCTCAACATCGACCTGAGCTTTCAGTCATTCCAAGAAGAGCTGGATTCACTTCCAGGAAAATATGCCTCATCTCAGGGAGGTGCGCTCTTGATCGCTCGAGATCTGTCTCAACGGAGTTGTCCTGTTGATCAATCGGCTGAGTCTTCTACCCCGCCATGCCCCACGGCTCTCGGATGTGTCGCGCTGCGGCGTAGTCCCGATGGATGGTGTGAGATGAAGCGTCTCTATGTTCTCGAGGAAGCACGAGGAGAGCGGCTTGGAGAAAGACTCGTCGAAGCCATCCTGGCACAGGCTCGAGCGTTTGGCTATCGTGGTATCCGGCTGGACACGCTGCCAGAGATGACCGCGGCACAGCGACTATATCGAAAGTACGGATTTGTGGATATCGAGGCATATTATGAAACTCCCATTCAACGGACGGTATTTATGGGCTGCGAATTTAGACATTCCTAAGACTCAATGACCGTCAAGTTGATCGAATACTGGAGATTTCCAACGGACTAAATGTACATAATAAAGGCTGATCGGACGAAAGTTGAATTCGATACACCAGCCCTATGATTTGGGGGCTGAATATTTCACCATTTCAATGTGTGTTTGACCCCGAAATGTCGCGTGGAGAAGTGCTTTAGAGCATCACTTCCAGCCATTCCACTCGGATGCCGGAACTGCAACTCCTGCCACTTCCGCTGATTCATCAAGGGGGGATCCCAGGATGAAACACCCAAGACAACCTGGCAAGCTATGCCATGCACGGGCTGAAGACTGGTCGATCTTCTTCCTCAATCCACTTCGGCCTCTCATCTTTCTTCCTCTGCTCGGCCCTCGGAGATAGTGGTCGGAGATGAACTAGGTCCCGAAACTGTGCGATCAGACATATTTCTATAAATCTGGCGAAGGTCGTGACTGTGATTCATACCTGTAATCCTCCTGTGAGCCATGACGGTGACAGACAAGCCTCTGGATGTCGTTGTTGTCGGCGCTGGAATCGCCGGTCTCTCTGCGGCGATTTCTCTTGGCAAACAAGGGCATCGCGTCGTGGTAAGATGACACAACCAACCCAACTCGCCTGTTGCTGACGATCAATTGAGGTTTTGGAAAAGTCGGCATTCTTGAGAGAGGCCGGTGCTGCTATTCATCTGCCGCCGAATTGTACGGCTGCGCTCCGCTGGATGGGCATTGATCCTCTTGATTTCGGAGGCACATTGATACATGAGGTTTGTAATCGCACTCAATGTACGCTGTGCGAAGCTGATAGTTTTGCCTTGTTAGGTGCACAGATATGGATATAAGGGCGACTTGAAGTACAAAGGAGAGTTCGCGCATGTACGCCATCTCTGGCAAGCAGTGAGTGAGAGATATCCCATGATCATTTCAACATGCTAAATACTGTTTAGGAATTCTACCTCGTACACCGGGTGGATCTACACAATCATCTCAAAAAACGCGCCCTGGAGACAGCAACGCTTCATACCCAATGCAAGATCACCAACGTAGATCTTGAGGGAGTGTGTCCTTCAGTAACCCTTGAGGATGGTCGCATCTTCAAGGCCGACCTGCTTCTAGGCGCAGATGGGATTCATGTATGAGTTTGATGCCGGTTTCAGTGTGGCAAATGTATGCTGACCCTTTCAAAGTCGCAGCTGCGCCAAAGTGTCGCTCCCGGTGCTCCATCTCCGTATGCTGTTGGAAAGTCCTGCTTCCGCTGGCTTTTGCCAACGGAGTCCTTGCGGCAGTACGAAAACACTGTAGACTTTGTCAAAGATCCAGGGGTATTTATAGAATGGGCAGCTGACGACCGACGGCTCGTGGCCTACCCATGTTCTGACAACAAGGTGTTCAACCTGTGTGCATTCATGCCTTCCAAAGAGACCAAGACAGATACTCATAATGGCGGTAAGTTTCACTTGATCTATTGAAATTATGGTGGGCTCACAATTGTCAACAGGCACCCAAGCAGCAGGAGACAAGACGACTATTGTCAATGCTTTTTCAGAGTTCTCTCCGGGCGTCAGAAGAATAATTGATAGTGCGGAGGATAACCTCAAAGTGTGGGATTTGTATGACATGAAGCCGCTACCAACCTGGACTAAAGGCCACGCCGCACTTCTAGGAGATGCAGCACACCCATTCCAGCCATGTGAGTCATGACACAAGAACTATTTTGCCACTTACTGATGACTCAATCTTTGGATAGATATGGGCCAAGGAGCAGCCATGGCAATTGAGGATGCTGTGAGCATTGCGACCTTGCTCCCACCGGGTACTGCGCCGGAATCCATCCCATCGCGCCTCAAAATGTACGAGACCTCTCGTCGAGCTCGAGTTGAGATGGTCCTTCATTACACGCGCTTGAACGGACGGGACGAAAACGACGCGTCTAGTGCCAGAATCACGAGTAGGTCCCTCTTCTTCCTGGTGATGCATTCGGAATCTGACCAAGATAGCTGAGGAAATGCTGGAAGTTATGGGGATTTGCTTCACGCACAACGTTATCGACCACTCCACACAGTTGCTGCAGGGCGAATAGCATAAAATCTTGAATCGACACAGTAAGATGGTGGAAAAGCGATGTACAACCAGCGATCATCAAATATAATGAATTCTCTGCGCAATTTGCTTTCTGAGTTCAATCGCTACTATTCCAAGATTTGTTTTATCACTAGCTCATGAGCAAGATGTTTCTTTGAACACAGACTACGAGTTGGAAGGAACTCTATCCAGCATAGATGCCAGGTCGAAATGGGAATCCCGCAACTATAGCGACTGTGTTTGTATTGTTTGAATAACGTTACTGTCTTGCCTTGGTCTTCAGGTGTCTTCATGCCTCAGGCTTCCAAGCTTGGACCAAGTTCCGTTCAGAGTATCCGAAGCTCATGGCCTTGGCTCTGGGCTTGTCAGTCTTTGTTTCTCCGTAAAGAATGGCGTCTAAATATCTGCAGCCTGAGAAACCAGAATCATTCCGCATCCGACGGAAGCCGGTGTCCAACCCAAACTTAGGGGCCACGTACGCCGATCACCGGGCGGCAGCTGCCAGCTCCCCATCGCTTGTGCCCCTGGTACCCCCGTCACCCCCGTCTTACACCGAGATCTATGGACCGCCCCCAATTTCCAGGTCCCCAAGTCCTGGGCCAATCCCCAGGCCTCGCACGGCAGGACCGAGTGCATCACCGGCCCCTCCACAGCCGACAGCGGTCCAAAAGGCCTATGGTGAGGCTCGGCATTTCCTCGGGGGCCTTATCAATCATCCTACAGAGTCAAATAAACATGTTACCATCTTGCGACACTCTCATGGCTTAGTATTCTATCGTGGAAATACTACTTCTGTCACGATATCAATCTTCTCCGATGCCCCTCTACCCCTTGACCGGACTCTCTGGCTACAGAGTAAAGGATGGTCGGGCAAGACTGGCATGCGGGCCAAGTCGCTACTTCGTTTGCGAGATGGCTGGGTGGATGTCACCCCCGGAATGCCATTACGAGCGGACCAGGTAAATCCGGATGATGAGCGCGCCTGGCAGCGCGACATCAAGAAGTTCAAAAAGAAGGCACCGAGTCGTCCACGTGATACGCATCACCTGCGCGAAACCGCCGTTGTCCGAATTCCCGCTGAGGGAGGCGACGGGTATTTCCAGCTGGTTCTCTGTCAGGGTCTGAAGAAGAAAGTCCTGGGCAATAGTCCTGTATTTCGAGTGCTCTCCACGTCCACCAGCCCGAGCTCCATTCGCGGTGCAAGCTTGAGTACACTGCCTCTTGAGGTTGGTGCACTGGTGGCTAGTCTCTATGCTCAGACTGCTGCCCGCACTATTGCAGCTCCGGCTACAGTCGCGGTTCAATCCACGGTGCAAGCTAAGGTCGATCCGTTTCGTCCCTCATGGGTGAACAAAACTGCCGCTCAAAAGGTCTATGCAAAGAGCGGTGCTCAGGAGCGGGTGGGCGGTATCATCAATGGCCCTAATGGCTCCATTGGACGGTCACCCATGAATCTTGTGGCACCGCAGGTCATTGAGAATAATCCTTTCAGCATCGAGGCTGGTCCCCAGCCGCCATTTCCGATGATATTTAAAGCTCGTTGCCAGCCTGGTCAGACTGCATCTTTTGAGCCCGGTGAATTGCCGAGACTGGCATTAATCAAAATGCCCGATTGGGTGGTGGAACAATTACGGGGATACTTCTTCGGATGGGCTCGATTCGAAGCCTCGTCTAGTAAAGAACCATCAAGTCCATGGTGTCCTGCTATCCTATCCGTTCGGACATTGGACCCTTTACAGGCCGCTCGGGTGAATCTAGCCCAGATTGCGAAACGCGTAGTCGCTCTACGCTTTCTTGAAGATATTCCCATACAGTCCACTCAGGTCGAAATCCGCGTGTTGGGATACCTGCGCGCTGAGATCCCTCCGCCTACGGGGAGCACCACTCAGCAACTCGCTGAAGCACAAGCGGCAGCGACAGAGGCTGCCGTGCTTGCTGATGCATATGATGCATCTGTGGTACAGGATACTTTAAGCCATCCTGCATGGGCGTCCGAAAATCCAGACACGCATGCTTTGCAACGCCAAGCTACTGGCTGGGTTGATCGAGGCCTGCAGTTTTATGAAAATATGCAAACCCATGGGCAGAAACTGGCACAACAGGTACCATTGCATCGCCTTGGTGTACGTTCTGCCGTTGATGGCATCAGAGAAAGCCAAGTGGCCGTCAACGGGTTCTTTATCGTTCGGTAGCCCCTTTTGTAGATACTTGTGTATACGCAGCGAGTCCATAGCGGTATTTAATTTGTACAATAGTGTTAATATATCATCATTCATTTCAGGCTAACATTCCCAGTCTACATAGATCGCTCTCTATTTGTTCAATACAACCACAATCCCGACATATCGCACACACGCAATCCTCAGGACATTCAGATCAAAAGATCATGGTCCGACGGGCGGATCAGAGGCAGCCAAGTTGCACTGGCGGAACAAACGAACCTCGTCCGGTTTGAAAGCACCAACTACCGAGTGAAGGACTCCACGGTTGTTAAACAACACTAAATCATTATCCACCCAGTCATGTGGATAGACATATTGGGGGCTGATCGCTGGTCGCTGTAGGTTGTAGACAATCTCCCGCACACGAGCCAAATCCTCGATCACAGTGCCATCAGCGCAGTGAATTCGCCGCACGGCAGATGGGTGGATCTGCAGTGCCAGCTTGCCCGTCACTGGATTCTTCCAGGTCATAGGGAAGACCATTATCTTGCTCGGGTCGATCGGTGGAAGGTCCGACTCTGGCAGCTCGAGACCTTCGGAGTGCATGCCGAGTCCAGTGGAACGAGACCGAGCTGGGCTCATCCAAATATATGGGTGAGGAGCGTATTCAATCTTGCTCGTCTTGGTAAACTCTTTGTCTTCGGGCGAAAGAAGCTCAAACATTCGCTCGCCACTGACGAATGCCGTTGTGCCGAGGGGAACATCCATTGTTTCTCCCGTGCCATCATCATATAATAATGTCTGACGACGACCTTTGGGGACACTTACAGCCATCAGGGTCGTCACTTGGGGTGGGTATAGATCGTAAAGAGCAGCATCAATGTGCCAGCGATAGAACCGAGTGAAATCGTAGTCTTGATCGTCAGGAACATGATCTTTGTGGAATGTGCGGTGGTGTGGGTGTCGTAGAGTGACTTCCTTCAGCCCTTCATATGAAGGAACAAATCCATTTCCGATGACCTGAACCTGTGGCTGATGGGGAACGGTCTTGAGATCGGGGTGAAGAATGCTTCGTTTAGCGTCGATAGTCTTGCCATGTCCGTAATTGTCAGAGGCAGGATCGAAGCGCTTGGTGAGCTCATATTGGGCTTTGGGAGATAGTCCCTTCTGATTCTTGAAGACGACTACATGATAGCGGTAAAGTGCGTCACGAATAGTTGCAAATTGCTCGTCTAAAGCAGTTAGTCAAAGAACCCGGGAACCAAAAGTGAAATGCCTTACCGGTCAAGGTCTCCAAGTTGGCGCCCTCGATTTCAGCACCAAAATCAATATCCGAGCCTGGTGAAGGCTGGATCGGGCGGACAGTCAGTGGTAGCACGGCCATTTCGGTTGAAACTAGTCGGAATATCGGACTCAGGTGCGCACAACGGGCTATTTAAAGTTCGACAAGCAGTATAAGGTCGGGCCGGGTGGTGAGACGGTGGACGGCGGACACCGGGCGAACCCAGGACTATATAAGAAATCCAGTCGTCGGCACTTGCTCCATCTCGGCTGTTTTGATAAGCTGAGCTCCGCATTGTGGAAGAAAAACGCGATTTGATTGGAAAGAATGGAAAGCTGCATTTCGATAAGGCGGGCGAGTTGAGACAACTCACCCGCAGTCAATTTCTACCTGCTCCGGCTATTAATGGAGTTGACTAAGAGTAAAATGCTGATCGCCCTTGCGTCATGTGTCATGCGTTTACCAAATCTTCCACCAGGGTCCTCGAGGCTGTACAGGTAGCTCGGCCGCTAGAATCTCGTCTAGGCCAGTATGCATATCGACCTCTTCCGGACGCCACGCCCAAGGATCACTCCAGTAGACAATCCGGTGTCCAACATAGAGAACAACAAAAGCTGGAATACCGATGTATGCGGTGAAGAAACTGCTGACGGACCACTCAGAGGGAAAGAAAACCGTGAAGCCATTGATGAGCAACATGAGTATGGAACCTGCCAGGCCGAAATACGCGCCATAAGGCTGGAGCCGTGATTTGTACGGTTGCTCGATCCCTTGGGCTTCCACGGCTTTGCGGAACCGGAAGAACACGATGCAGCAACAAATCCAAGAGATAAAGCCGGAGGTGTTTGTAAAGTTCACGAACCAGTTGAAGACAACTGAACTGGAGTCGCCCAGCGCAAGGTAGGCCAACCCCGAGAAGCAGGCCGACACTCCAACCGCATAGTAAGGAACTCCCCATCGGTTGCAGGATTTGAAAATACTGGGTGCATTTCCAGACATGGCCAAGGAATACAGCGATCGAGAGGACATGTACAGGAAAGAGTTGCCGGCAGACCACGCAGACGTCAATACAGCAGCGTTGACGATATGATCTAACACAGGGATTCCAGCATTCTTGATTCCAATCACGAAAGGTGACGAGCTCACTGTTCCATCGCTCTTGGTCAGGCGAGAGGCATTGGATGGGCAGATCACGCCAATTGCCAGGACACCAAAGATGTAGAAGAATACCAATCGGTAGATGTACCGCCGGGCGGCTCGAGGCACATTCCGTCGAGGGCTTTCCATCTCACCTCCGCTGATCACAATCAGCTCGGGGGCGAAGATGAAGGCAATCGCGCTCGACACAGTGCACTTCAACAGCCCCACGAATCGGCCGGCATCTCCTGTAACAAGGTACTCATTGAAGGGACGCGGGTCTTTCCAGTAATGAAATCCCAGTCGCTGACGGTTAGGGCCTCCACCCCAGAAAAGAATGAAAGAGACCATCAATAGACCAATCAAAGTGATGATTTTGACGCCAGCGAACCAGAACTCGGACTCGCCGTAAACTCGCACGGGCATGAAGTTTAGAGCAACAATGATCACCATCATAATCGTGATCCAAACTGCAATGCTGATAGAACCACTCTGATCCCAATATCCAATCACCAACCCAGCTGCTGTGATCTCATAAGGGACCAGGATGCCGAGAGAGTACCAGTATAGATATCCCATGGCAAATCCCATGCTGCGTGATACGTATCGGAATCCGTGGTAACTCATTGTACCACCGTGTACTGGTAAGTAGGCACCAACTTCCGCAATAGCCGTGACCAGGCCATAAACCATGGCCGAGATGAAGAGGTAGCCCAGAAGAAGCGACGCGGGACCTCCTGTGGCTAGCCCTTGGCCAGAACCAACAAAAAGACCTAATTTGCGTCAATCGACTGATCATTTAATGAGAGTGGTAGGCGTCAACGTCGACATACCAGTTCCTATCGTCCCTCCGAGTGCCATCAACTGAACATGGCGATTCTTCAGACCGCGCTGGGTTGTTGTGTAGCGCTCATCGAGAAGGTCGGCTTCGACAAGAGTTCTAACAGTTTTGCCTTTGTCGCTCATGTGATGCTGAATATCCCCATGGGATACATGGGTCACATTATCCATTCCTGCCATCTCGATGAAGGATGAGATAAATCAGAGAATCCCTAGGGCATGGAAATGGGGATCTGGATAGCTTTAAATGTTTTCCGACGGTTGCATATCAAAACAGACCCTGGACAGCCACACGTGAATTTAATTTGCCTCGTCCCTCATGGCGCAGGGCAGGGGTCAGCTAACCGATGTGACAAGGTTACAAGCCCCGCAAGAGAAATTCTGGGGTAAGCCTCGTGGCGGCAGATTCATTCTAATTTTCCAACTTGAATCGTGAAGCTTCTCAGAGAGGCTCAGATTTTCATTCTGATCTGGCTTCTGATTTTTAGAGGGAGTTATTAAGCCGATAGAGAATCTCAAAGCCCACCACATGGTAGCACCTCAAGTTGCTTCAGCAGACCTTGGCCTCAGGTTATCGGAAATCGATTAGATGAAAGAAATGCAGTTGGAACAGTATCGTGCTATCTCTTCATGATAACTGACAGCCACACCGGCCTAGTTACCGGTTGACCGGAATGGTATCTCAAGTTAACCCAGCCGATGCTGAAGTTAGCATATCATACTGAACGCACATTAGAGCTACACAACACCGGTCCGGCAACCGGTCCGGGGCACACTTTTCATCGGACCAATACGCTGGGCACATCTTCAAGTAATACACAGGACGTGGCCTTATTGGGAAGAGTGCAGGGGTCAAGAAGCGAGGCACAACACAGGGCGTAGATAGTCGGAGCCAGTCCAGATTAGGAGTGGCCTGTAATGGTAACCAATCAGAGGCTTTACACTAAGCCTGACCAAGGCCATCCGAAGTGGGGCTAGTCCAAAACAGGCAATGCTTGCTATCAGCATGGGGAGGATCTGACCTTAAACAAGCTTAGATTAGAAAGCACATGTCAATGTAAATATAGAATACGAGTGACTTGATGAAAGACTGGTGGTAATTGGCGTACCAAGACCCCACCGCATTCTATTCGCCCAATGCTTTTGTGTCATTCCTATCCTCGACTAGCCCTTTTGTACAGACTCTCACAAGCGATTGAGACCTGGGCCATTCATTTATAAGTCAGGGTGAGGCACATTTGATCTTATAAGTTGGTCTACTAAGTACTGTACAGTTGCTTTTTTTTTTTTTTTTTTTTTTTGGCTAACCTCGCGCACCACCAGTGTGCTGGGAACTTTAAATAGTTTAAGTACTAAGAGGCGGTTCGCCACTCCAATCCATAGACGTATACTAAACAAAGCAGCGGTACTGAAGCCAGCAGCAATAATCCCATGAAAGAGAAACACCATCCAAAACCCATACCGTTGAACATGTGATCTAAGGCTGCGACGGCTCCAGCACCAAGCCAGCATCGGACCATATTTGATGCTGCGGACGCTGTGGCGGGTCGAGTAGGATTGAGGTCGGTTAATAGTGTGCTCAAGACGCTGATTGAACCTGTGCTGCAGAAACCCTGGATCCCTTGTAAAACTAGCAACACGGCGAGAGGAACCCGGCGCTGGAGCATCCAGCCATATAACAGCAAGCAAGTGATTACAACAGCAGTAAGTGGAAAAACGATTTGTAATCGAGCCTTTTCAAAGGGAAACTTTTGTGGTCCGGTGCGGACTTGATTATCAGAAGTGTACCCGAGACGATGAGAAAAGCGTTGGTAGTTTCTATCGGCGATTATGCCTGTCAACAAAGAGCCTATGCATCCGCATATCCCAGCGGGTCTGGCCGTCGTTAGTGAGATCTTAGAGTAGCCCTCCTGAAATGAATAACGTACAAGAAACATAGTCCGACTTTCATCGAGTCCAGGTTGTAGAGGCGCCCAAAGAGATTCGCCGTGCTGGTTCCCATCATGATATTGAAGGTGTAATTCAAGCCGAGATGGCAGATGACTATCGCTGCACTCTTGCTCCGGAAGACCTCCAAAGCCCGGATAGGGTTGTATGTCTGGAGCCGTGGGTTGGTAGAATTATCTTGCCGTCTCAGCACATTTGGGTCGACGGAGGATGCCCTTTTACACCATGCTTGAAGACACTGAATACCTGACATCCTCAAGGGAGATGACGGGCAGAAGGTCCCATTCCCTACCAACTGACGCGATGTTTCTGGCACGGCAACCAGATAAAGAACCATATAACTGCCGCTCGCAATTACCAAAAACCAAAAGATGCTTCTCCACCCCTGCCACTGGACTAGGATGCCACCCAAGAAAGGACCGAAAGCAAGTGCTGTCATGAATCCTGCATTCATAGATCCCATGTATCTGCCCCTTTGTCTCGACGCAGCAATATCCGCTGCGACTCCATATCCTAGAGAGAACGTGGCGCTGCTGCCTGCACTTTGAAGGCAACGAAGAGCAAGTAAGGCAGCATAGTTGTCTTGAAGTGCCAACCCAAGATTGGCCATGAAATAGGTTATAAAAGCCAGGATGTACGCGGGGCGACGGCCCCCAGAGTCAGCGAAGCTGCTTAAGAAAGCCGGTGCCAGCCCTTGGACTATCATGTATGTGGTGATAGTGAGGTTGATTTTGCCTACCGTCACTCCATAATAATCCGCAAGGATCGGAACTGCTGGATAATATATCTGGCTAGATAGAGGTGATGCTAAACCCGCCAGCGTGACCATGGTGATAATAAACATCCTCTCATACTTGCCGAATGCTGAGTACACCAGTTCAGGCTCCTCAGAGCCGCCAGCTGCGACCATCTTTCAAGACCAAGGAAGGAAAGCTTTTCGGAACGAGACACTCCCTCACCTATGGGGGCGATTCGAGGCTCTCTAAAAGCCAACCTCGGTCTTTTTCTAGTAAACTCCCTCAAGTGTTCAAAATTTTCGCTGGTCACCACACATTCTGCAGGGGCCAGGGATACATTGTTCCAAGTGGCAATAAGGGATAGCAGATGCTTTTACTGTATGATCCTCTTCACTTCCCCTGCAGCCATTATTGGAGCCACCAAACCCCACCGCTCGTCTGGCATAGCGCAGCAGTGGTGCGATGTCATCCTTGCGTGATGAACAGTGTGGTGCAGGCCATGGTGACTGATTGTTTACTTGGCCTTACCTTGTGTGTGGTACGTTGTGCGCGTCCATCCCCCTAGATGGATTGATGAGTCCACGCCTGGGGGGTGAACAATGAAAGATCCTCCCCCCCTCCCCCCCCCCAAGGGATAGTTCGAAAACCAATAGAGGAGATGATGTGTACAGTACTGTACTGTACAGTGATATTAGCATGCAGGTCTGCAGTGTCCTGCGATGCATCCTGTTTGATGGCTCCGCCAACACAACAGGACGAACTTCGCTGACGTGTCCTTCGATTACCACCCAAATATTTGAAAAGGATTGATTCTGAGGGAAAAAGAGCTCTTGTCAGAACATTTCGCCCAGCTCTCCAAAAACATGACTGTGAGCCAGGTGCCTTCGAATCTTGTGCGGTCAACCGCATCAGAAACACCAAAGTATGGGAATTCGATTGAGATCACGGATATCCTCCAGATCCTTTCCGACACACCCTATGCTTGTTCCACAATTCAGAGGCTAAGTGGAGGAGTTGTGAATGCGACATATCATGGGGTGCTATCACGCCCGCTCACAGATGGAAGCAGTGAGATAATTGTGAAAGTGTCTGAAGACTTTGCGAGTCTCTCTGCGCCGATCGAGCTCCCCGCAAGTCGCAGTGTAGGTCCAGAAACCCCCATGGAGGAGGGGTTCTTAGTTGACGTACGAATGTAAATTAACTCGTCCCCAGATCAAAGAATTTGCCGTACTGGAGGCATTGAACATGGGGTTGTCTCCTGTCATCCGATATGATGGGCTCACAGTCCGGCCGCCTTGCCCGTATTGGCTTTCCTCTGAACACCATCTACAAGTTATGGAGAATTTGCCGAATACCATTGACCTCTCAAAGTACTTTTTGACCCCTGCCGGCGGTGCCATTTCTGATCACTACGCATCCTCCATTGGGCGTGCATTGGGACTCTGGTTGCGCGCCTTCCATGCTAAGACCTCAGAAGAAAGCCATTTAACTTACTTGAAGGCTGTGGGGAGAAACGTCATGAATCGCACTGCGATGTATAGCTTCTATCTTAGTAGACTGGAACAGAATATCGCAGGATTTCCTCACATATTTTGTGAACTTGGGGAGACGATAGTGAGCTATGTGACTAAGAAGCTCGAATGTGAAAAGGGAGAATCACCTGGATTAATTCATGGGGACCTGTCAATAAGGAAGTAAGTGGAACTCCCTTGACCATCTCTGGGACATGAACAGCCTGATAACCTGATGATAGTATTTTGATCTCAGAATCTGCACATAAGTTGACGGGACTAATGCTCGCCCCGATTGACTGGGAGATGTATCATTATGGCCAACAACATCAGGACATTGGCCAGCTTATTGGAGACTTGTGCATTCTAAAGATGTTCAAAGCGTTGGATGTGTGCGGGATCATTCTCGAAAACCTGGCCGCCTCTTACGAAATAGCTAACGATGATGTCGCGTTCGATATAGTCTCTCATATTGGCATACAGATGATCAGTTGGGCGTTCATTAGCGCCGCTGGATGCAGCAAAGATGAGGAAGAGCAATTATTGACATTTGCCCGGGATCTGATCATCAAAGGACATGAACGGGATCGAGAATGGCTGGCCAAGAGCCCCTTGGGATGTTTGTTCAATTGAGGCCCATAGACGGTTTTCTAAATGAACTCATTGAGAAAATGCAGAATACATAGGAAGATCTAGATACGAAGTTATGCAGAAATGCCAAAATGTGTGCCAGGTGAATGCCGCAGCAGAAAATAAGCATTATGAGTACACAGATTGCCAGAACACGGAATGCATGAGATGTGAACCAAAGATAAAGTAAAAGGGATGGGGTGGACTGCCCTGGTGTGCAAAAGCTAATACAAGTATGTGACATTCGGAGATCTCGGTCTTATAGTCAATTTGCGTGTCTCTGCATAGATCTACGTGATTCAGGGACGCCACAAAAGTTCAAGTGCAGTATCCCATATGAGCATCAGATCATATGCAAGTGGAATGCCACTTATTGATGTAAGGAATTGCTTTTGTTTGCGATGTCACAGCATCATCCCCCCTGGTTCATGTGAGTTCGACCGACCACAGCTAATGTGACTCGAAAAAAAAGTTAAAAAAAAACAAGAAAATTTGTATTCATTGCGAGAATTGTGGGTTGGAAATGAGCAGCGACTAGGGACATCAATTGTTCCTTTTTTTCGTGCTTCACCTAGGCAAAGTACGTTGGATAGATATATAATGGTCTATGTTCTACACCATATGATGATACCCGTTAGTCGCGGTGCGTCTATTGTTGTTTCTGATCCTCAACACAATTGGAATATCATGTTGGGCTGGCAGCGATCCACGGCACAGTGCGGTCTGACCCGGTGCATGTCTACATGTACGAAGCGCAGCCTGATTATTCCCAGTGTGGCATGTTCCATAGCACCAGCACCACTTCTCCACTTCCCCCGCATGTGAACTGACAAGACCCTGGATTTGGATGATATCCGACGTGTAGACTGGCTGGGTTGTTCGGGACGAGCACAGTTGATAATTAACATTATGGGTCCACCGTGTATGCTCTGCGCCTCGGTCAGCGCGTTCTCATCTCTTGTGTGCCCTCGTGTGGTGCCTGTAGATTCTGTTAGCGAGGTATCCCAGCTCATTGTACCCCGGGCGCGTGGACGTAAAGGAACAAGATAGTATTCAGACTGAATACGTTTGTGTTCCCCACGCCACCCTCTCTCTACATCCACTTTCCGATCCGATCGACGCGCACTGCGGTCGCAATTATCCAATACGTTCCCGACGGGCCGTGAGTGTGGTGTTGTGAGTACGGGAGTTCAGTCATGCGGTTCGGTGGTGACTATGGGCGCCGGCCGTTCTCACGGCCCGCCTATATACACCCTCGTTGATAGTCATGGGGGACTTTTAACGAGGGGCGACTGGCGACAGCGTATAGCTTCGGAGCACATGCCACAGTGGTCTCGGGCCCCGACGCCGAGACCAAACCAATGGAACTCACAGGCAATCAGGGATTCGATTCGGTCGAGGCAGTGGGCTGCGATTGTCGAGTTGTGTCCGAAGGTGGGCGAATGGTGGAAAGAAGTGTGCACGACCGGGAGCGCAAGAAGTGGAGGAGCAACTGACACCTCAGGTATCCACGTCCAGGGTGTAGTCCAGCACTTTCGACTCGCGAAGATGGACGTTCATTTAGCTTAGCTCCTGACCCGTTCGACAGTATGTTGGAAATGAGGCTGAGACATTTTCCTCTCATTTTGCCTCTTCTCAATTTCCCCTCGAGGCTCCCAAGGCCCTTCGACATAGTCCCGGCTGCCTCTCAGCATTAGGCACTCCCAGTGGCAATCTCTCTTGCCCCTCAACATTCCGCTGCGAATCAAGAATGCCACTGGGAATGGTCTCGCTCCTTTTGCCCCCCCCTGAATGGAGCTTATCTACGGGATGGCCGCACGGCACACGGCTGAGATGTGGTACCGACTTGCGGGTTTTCTTTGCAGATTCGGGGCTGTTGATCCTCATAGTGGTGTGATTGGCTGCAGAGGGCGGTTTGGCGTCTGTCTAGTCCTCGGTGGTTAGAGAAGTGCGCCTCTGATATCACCTTGGCTACCGTTAACGCGCTAGCAGATGATCGCGATGGGAGATAGAGGCTGATGGAGACACTGTCTAGAGGCTACGATGTTTCGAGGACTTCACTTCCTTGTCGAGTATGTCTCCTGCGAAAGAGATCGGAAATCCGTTTATCTCACACCACTTGCCAAGTCATGTCATTGGCCCACCATATCTCCGTAACGGACTCTAGTTAGAACCTTCGACGACGTCGCCCTGACTGGCTCCAACTTAGTTTGGTGGCCCTCCACACGGCCTGTGACTGGCTGCACATCGCAAAGAACCACTCAAGTGGCTCTGCTGTCTGCTGGTCATCCCCGTCTGACTCCACTGCCTTGTTCGGTGGTTTGCTTTTTTTTTCTTTTTTTTTCTCTCTAGTTGGTCGACTCGTGGGAATCTGCCATTTCCTATATCTTCAGAGGTTCCGCTCTGATATGTACATTCCTCTCTAAACTATTTCTCGATTTTCTTCAATATGGGTCTCGTGGAGCGTCGCCCGTCCGGGGAGCAGGGTGTGGACACTACCAATGCCGATCGGACCTTGGAAGACATGGGTTACAAGCCTGAGTTGGCTCGCAATCGCTCTATCTGGCAAGTGACCTTTATGTGCTTCATTCTCTCATCCGTTCCGTACGGTTTGTCTACGACCCTTTACTACCCTCTGGCCGCCGGTGGTCCGGCAAATGTGATCTGGGGTTGGGTGATCATCTCGTTCCTGATCCTCTGCGTCGCCATCTCCCTGGCCGAGATTACCTCGGTGTATCCAACGGCCGGTGGTGTCTATTACCAGACCTTTGTCTTGTCCCCGCTATGGTGTCGTCGGGTCGCATCCTGGATCTGTGGCTGGTCATATGTGGCAGGCAATATCACCATTACCCTCGCTGTGAATTTTGGCACTGCCTTGCTTTTCGTGGCCTGCTTGGATGTCTTTGAGAAGTCCCCGGGAGTGGGCATCACCGATGACTTCCAGACCTACCAGACCTTCCTGATTTTCCTGGCCATCACCTTGTTGACCCACGCCATCTCGGCGTTTGGCAACAAATGGCTGCCGTGGTTGGAGGTATGTATTGCACGTGCCATATTACCCCATGGGGCTCAGAAACTGATATCTTCCCATCTAGACATTTGCCATCTTCTGGACCTTGGCAGGTCTGGTTGCCATCATTGTCTGCCTTCTGGCTATTGCGAAGCAAGGTCGTCACTCCGGCGCCTGGGTGTTTGGTCACTTTGAGACTCAAGCTGGGTGGCCTGCTGGATGGTCCTTTTTCATTGGTCTTTTGCAGGCGGCGTACGCCACCTCTGCGACAGGCATGATCATCTCGTGAGTTCATCCTTTGATGGTGCTGTGGAAAAAGCCGTGCTAATAATTTCAAGTCTATGCGAAGAAGTGCGTGAACCAGCCATCATGGTTCCCAAAGCTATGGTCGGAACTATCGTGATCAACTTTGTTGCCGGACTTCTCTTCTTGATCCCCGTGTGCTTTGTACTCCCTGATTTGACGTACTTGGTCAACCTAGCTTCTGGTCAGCCTACGCCGGCGATTTTCAAGGCCGCCATTGGAAACTCTGCCGGTGCTTTCTGTCTACTTATCCCTCTGCTCGTGTTGGGATTGATTTGCGGTGTGGGTTGTGTTACTGCCACCTCGCGCTGTACATGGGCCTTTGCTCGTGACGGTGGAATCCCCGGTTCGGCGTGGTGGAGTACGGTCAACTCGAAGCTGAACATTCCTTTTAATGCTTTGGTGTTGGGTATGGTGGTGGAGATTGTGCTTGGAGTGATTTACTTCGGCTCTACCGCTGCGTACAATGCTTTCTCGGGTGTCGGTGTCATTTTCCTGACCATGAGCTATGCTTGCCCGATTGCTGTCTCCTTGATCTTCCGTCGCCGCGAGGATATCAAGAAAGGAAGCTTCAACTTCGGAGTGGTCGGCTTGCTGGCTAACATCATTGCTCTTGGTGAGTAGAGCCTCTCTCATTTTCTCGGACATTGCTAATTGTTTGATAGCCTGGAGTATCCTTGCTATTCCCCTCTTCTGTATGCCCACTCTGATGGTGGTGACCAAGGAGAGTATGAACTATGCTTCGGTAGTTTTTGTCGGATTTGTGGCCATTGCTGCTGTCTGGTATGGAGTCTGGGGCTACCACAACTACCGCGGCCCACCAACCGATGCAGTGGAGCACGATGGAGCCTCATCGCGACCCACCTCACCTCTAACTTATGCCGAGGTTCCTAAGGTCGAAAAGGTTCGAGATACTTGAATAGACTCGCTGTGGTCGCGTCTTGGCTGCGAAAGCTGTACCTGTCTCTTAATTCCCCCAAGAGGTCTCTTGCACCTCCGATGTGAGACACTTACATGTATATAACCATAGATACCCTCGCTGTTCTAATTTACCTTGTAGCTTAGTAAAAGCATCTCCATTTATAAAAGTTAACCGACGGAACTAAATTAGATGATTCACCAGGTTCAGAAGTAGATTCGATCAATGAACTGCGAGAGAACTAATCGTACCTAACACAGTGTATTGGATAGCCAAGAAGAAGCAGATGTTATATTCAATGAAACCACTTTCATATATTCTTCTCCTTTGTACCAAGGCTTTACTTGACTTTCATCTAGCGCTAGGAACCAATGGCTGCCACATGGTTCGTCACCAGACAGGTAAAGTCAGAAGTTCCATAATAAAAGGTGTTACCGTCATCTGGCGATTGTCCATAGCTAAGCGTATCTCCATACTGCCAGTAGAGATCAGCTGCGACACCAGTGGCCGACAGCGCCGTCGTTTGCCATGGTGCCTCAATTGAACAGTGGTCGGAGGTAACACCGTACTCCTCAAACAAACATGGTTTGCCCGCAGCTGCACAGGCGGCTCCGTGGGAGGTGATCCAGCCATTGCCCCAGTCGTTCGACGTGCCCCCTTTGAGTCAATTAGCAATAGAACGGGTTGAAAAAGGAAGGGTATGCGTACAGCTTGATGGATAGAGATGGAATGTGGCAAAGTCAATGGTATCAATGTCCAGGTTCATGGTGAAGTTCAATCCCTCGCCATAAGTGTAAGGATAGCTGCCATCAGAGCCAGCGTCCAGCCCGAAGCCCTCTTGAATCGCCGATGTTAGCCAATTCCTGTATCTGGAGTAGTACTCTCGATCACCTACCATCACCAATGGCCACCATGTGCTTTGAATCCAAAGATTTAATGTAGGCACTAGTAGACGAAATCCAGTTATAAAGGACAGACGTGCTACAGCCGTTACAACGGGGCTCGTTGGCTAGTTCCCACGCGAAGATGGCAGGCGAGTTGATGTACCGGGACACGACTGCCTTGATGTAGGCGCGATAGGCCGTCTGAGCCGCAGTATTTGTGTACCAGGTAGTCTGACTTCCGCCAAATGCTGTGACATAGGCCGCCATACCTCCATAGTCCGACCAGTTGTTCACAAAGTTGATGATAAGTTTGACGTTGCGCTTCTCTGCTGCTGCAACCACGTAGTCCAAACGCTGTAGGCCATCCGCGCCGGTATTGATTGTTGCTGTTCCGCCGGACAATAGCTGGTAATAGACAGTTCCGGCTGAGGGGACAGTATTCACATCATTGAACCCCCAGACTCGGAGAATGCGAAGCCCGGACTCGTCCATATGATCTAATACGGTATCCACATCGGCATTATTTGTGAGGAATCCAATCCAGTACGAGTTGGAGCCTGCAAAGTAGCTAGTCTTTCCATCAATCTCGAATTTCAGCCCATTCGTGGTAGGGAAACCAGTTCCTCCCGTGCTAGAGGTCGTGGTGGACGTGGTCTTGGTAGTAGTTGAAGTAGTCTTGACAGTGGTAGTCGACGTGGTGGAAGCCTTTGTGGTGAGCGTGGTTGTGGTTCCACCACTTGATGCTAGAAGAGTCAATACAACAAACAATATTCCGATCCGCCAGGCAGCACTTACATGCTAGGCATTGACTATACCAGTCATTCTGGTACTGACAGACCCAACCTGTTGCGCACACTGTGGTGCCAGTGTAGCCGCTTCCACCGCATTGTCCGTAGGGTGCAACTTGCGCCGAGACCAGACCGGCCAAAGATAGAGCTGTCAAGACTTTCATCGCGACTAAACCTTTCAATTGCTCGCATGGTTCCTGGTTGGATTCACGCCGGTATTTAAGCAACCATGGGCATCGTACCGGGTGAGGGGAGGAAGCCGGGGAAACTTCCCGCCCTGAATTAGGATATCAGACTAACAGACAAGGTCCGGAGGCATCAATCCATTCAGTGATAACGACTCTTTCGTCACAAGCCTTCCGTGTTGTTTGGGGAAACAGAAGAGACAGCCTCGCCGTGACGAATATAAGGACTTCAGGGACGGACTTCATTTCCCCCGCTTCCATCCCTGCAGTTAATCTGGGCAATTCACCCCAAACAGGCACACATCCATTGCCATTGCGGGGTGTTTCATGCAGAAAGGAAATGCGGAGGATTTGTTCGGCAGCGGAGTGCGCTTGTCTTGATTGGTCAAGGCATTTCAGCCGCCGTTGCTCACTTCTGAGGCCGCGTGGGCAGACTGTCAAGACACGGAAGTCCGGATGCTTGAACCGACTGTCAGATGGTCAGATGTTCAGGTGTCAACGGTTAATCAAGTTTCGGATATATCGGTCGGATCTGCCAGTCATGTTTGATCTCGACCGTGATTGGTGATGGTCCCAGTTTGTGCCCTAAAGACTGTCAAGACTGTTCCATCGAGAATATTCGAGGTGTCCGCAGAGTGCCGGAAGGGCTGAGCAATCACCTTTACTTCAGCAAATTGATCTCAGTGTCACTTTTTTCACGGTCAAATGACCCACGACCGGCGAACACGCGTGGCTCATCTAGACCGATCGTGTCTGGAACCACCTGTCTCTTTGGCTCCGTCAATAAGCAAGTCGGGTTTGCGACCCGAGATTCTTTCCGACTTGGCACGGGGAATGAAGATTCGATCGACGCAAATGTTGGCGGAGTAGAACTATTCCGAGGGACGTGGAGTCCAGTTCCGGCGCGTTTACTACTACTGGGACTTGTGCGATGATCCAAAGCAAATTGGGACGACAAGATTCATATTTTGAATATCTAAAATGAACACAAAAAAAAGATCATCCCAGAAGGAATGCTACAGTCGACTTACCCCTGAAGCCCCTGGGACTGGGAGAAGATATCCACCAAGAAAAAAAGAAAACGAGACCGACAGAGGGAAACTATTTGTTCTAGAAAACTCAAAGAAGACCCTCGTCATGCCCGAAAAGCCACCAACTGGGCACCAAGAGACCAAAAAGACCCAAAGACCAGCGAAATGAAAACTCTTCAATGACGTAGGGCGGGTGTGGCGCCCCCCAGAGACCGCCACCGACGCTCTCGGCATGCAATTTGGCAAGTATACCGAGTTGATATCGAGATGCTGCGACACGGCAGACCGAAGATACGGGAGCGGGTCGGGATGCAGTAGTGTGTGTGTTCTTCCACTGCTGTTCAGGACAGATGAGCGAAGGTGAAGTTGAAAGGGTTTCACCCCAGCTCCGGACTCCGCATTTCCCCTCAGCAAACTTGCCTGGAGAGATGCATGGCCCGCCCTGTCATGGGGAAAAGACACTCACCGAGACACACAACAGGAATGAGCTACTTGACACAGTCTGGAGACTCCTCTGGGGTCGGAACGCCCGGGATTTCGCTGACACAGGGCCCACCGGGTTCTCCAGACTCCAGAAAAATACTTATCCGGAGTATCATGACACTGTTCCCAACGGCAGCAGGAGATGGAAAGTTCTTGAAACTTAACTCTCGGGCCCGAGATGTCTGAGGCCGAAGTTTAGCCCGGAATCTCAGCCTCTCGGCATGGCGTTGGCTGGTATACGCCGAGTCGGGTGAAATCGCCACTCGCTTGGAGCCCGACCACTGGCCTCTCCGGACTTTCGGCTATCCGCTTGAATGGCGAACCAGAGCCGATGACCAACTGGAACTGCCTCTGTATGGCTTTTGTCCTTTGACGGTGGAGTTCATCGGGCCGTGCGAGTCGGCGTCGGCCGGCATGTTGCCTGAGTACCATCCTCTTTTGTCCATTTGGCCAGGGACATCGTCATCTCGCGAGCGTCTCTCCACACTTTGCTCCCCCACTTGCAAATGTGCCGTTTTTTTCTTGTTTTCCTGTGGACTACAAAAGGGGCGGTGTTTCTCATGTTCCCCCAGAAGTTTCTCTTGTTCCCCATGGGCCTGTCCCCAATAATCATACTCCTTTCTTGTCATATCATTCACGGCTTGGGTCTCTAGTTTCATATCCAATTCAACTCAAAAAGAGGCATCTTTCCAGCCAGACACATTCCACCTATACATCATGGGTGTCGAGTCTTCTTCCCACCATGGGGAGTCTATCACCCCGGCTCAACAGCCAATCTTCGATTCCTCCTCCCAAGAAAGTCCCATTCAAAAGCCCATGCGCCCTGTGGGCGTCGATACCCCCATTCCTCGCATCACTGCGCGTTCTTTGATCATGGCCCTCTTCGTCTCGATGGGTGGTCTCCTGTTCGGTTATGACACTGGTCAGATTTCGGGTTTCCAGGAAATGAGCAACTACCTGGCACGCTATGGTGAGCTCGGTGCCGATGGCACTTACTCTTTCAGCGCCACTCGATCCGGTCTGATTGTCGGTTTGCTCTCCATCGGTACTATGATCGGCGCCCTCGCCGGTGCTCCCATTGCTGACAAGCTCGGCCGCAAATGGTCCATCACCCTGTGGTGTATCATTCTCAACATTGGACTGGTGGTTCAAATCTCTTCTCCAAACGGCCACTGGTACCAGATGGTCATCGGCCGTTGGGTCACTGGTCTTGGTGTCGGTGGTTGCTCCCTTCTCGTGCCTATGTACCAGGGTGAAAGTGCCCCCCGTCACATCCGTGGTGCCATGATCAGTTGCTATCAACTGTTCGTTACCCTTGGTATCTTCCTGGCCTATCTGATCAACTTGGGTACCCACACCATGGATGGTACTGCCCAGTGGCGTATCACCCTGGGTCTGACCTTCCTCTTCGCGCTGGTCCTTGGTGGTGGTATGGTCTTCTTCCCCGAGAGTCCTCGCTATGAGTTCCGTCACGGAAAGGTAGACAGTGCTCGTCGCACTTTGTCTCTGCTTTACGGTATTCCCGAGAACCACGTTCGCATCATCGAAGAGATGAATGAAATTCGCGAACAGTTCGAAGCCGAGTCTGACGAACAGAAGTGGCATGAATTTATCACTGCCCCTCGCATGTTCTACCGCATTATTCTTGGTATGGTTCTTCAGTCTCTGCAGCAGCTCTCTGGTGCCAACTACTTCTTCTACTACGTAAGTCTCATGTTCAGCCCAGTCTTCACTTGCTTTCTCTTTAAGATTCATTGAAGAAAACATTTGCTAACATTCATTTTCTCAAAGGGTACCACTATCTTCCAAGGCGCCGGTATCTCAGACAGCTTCATTACCCAGGTCATCCTCGGTGCTGTGAATTTCGGAACTACATTTGGTGGTCTGTATGTCGTTGAGAACTTTGGCCGACGCAAGTCTCTTATCTTCGGAGCCATTTGGATGTTTGTCATGTTCATGATCTTCGCCTCCATTGGTCACTTCGTGCTGGACGTTGAGAACCCTACCAACACCCCTAACGCCGGAAAGGGATTGATTGTCGTGTCATGCTTCTTCATTGCCGCATATGCTATGACATGGGGTCCCATGATCTGGGCTATTGTGGCTGAGCTGTTCCCCTCCAAGTACCGTGCCAAGGGTATGGCTCTTGCCACTGCCACCAACTGGTTGTGGAACTTCCTGATCAGCTTCTTCACCACCTTCATCACCAAAGACATCGACTTTGCTTACGGCTACGTCTTTGCCGGCTGCCTGTTCTTCGCAACTCTGATCGTTTACTTCTTCGTCATTGAAGGAAAGGGTCGCACCCTGGAGGAGCTTGACTGGATGTATGTCAACAAGGTTGCCCCCTGGAAGAGTAGCAGCTACGAGATTCCTCAGCGCGAAGATTGGGCCGCGGAGGAGAACCCTTACGGCCACAAGGAGGAGCAGATGTACCACGCCGAAAACGCATGAGTGCTGAATTGCATGAGCCTTTGATGTTTTTTCTTTTCTCTTTTATTCACATTTGGGGTTATTACGGATTTGCATGTCACGATACTCACTTGGGCCTGGCGTACTGAGTGGATTGCGCGGATTTCTTTTCTTTGTACAATCAGACAGTACATACATCTTTTACTTATAGAATTTAGACCAATGTCTACTTGACCTATGACCACCATCTGAGGCAACCACCTTTCACTACTCGTAAAAGCGCTCACAGAATATATACAGCCTCGGTTGCAAATCTAGCAGTCATACGCCGATTAAGACCCCAGAAGACCAGGATCTGTAACCCAACCAACCCCAACCCAGATGTAACCAGACCGATCATTATCAACAAACCTCTAGAGTAACTGGTACAAGAACACATGGTGCGTTAGAAAGAAGCGTCATCATCATCCAAGATATGGATACATACAACATTGGTGATTCGTCACCCCGAAAAATCTGTGTTCCTGCCATGAGGCCTGCAGTAGCTGACATTACAACTGTATCGAGTTAGTTTAGTAAAATATATCACAGAGTAGTAATTGGTCAACCGTACACATCCTAAATGTTCATAGCAGAATGAGTTAGTCCGTCACGCATGGCGATGGAAATATTGCAATTTTTGAAAAGCCCACTTACGCAACACTTATGCTTCTCTCTTCGGGGTTCTGACAGTTCATCTGAATCCAAGCGTTATGGATCGGATGATAACCAACTGCCAATCCATTGACCGTTGTCCATAGACCAAATCTGCCCCATGTTGGAACCTTGTGCTCTATCGTTCTCAAGATGACCAGGGCGATCAAGTAGACGAGAATTGCAAGCATAACAGTCAAGCCTCGTTTGTTCGTCTTATCACTCAACCATGCAAAAAGTAGAATGACTGGGAGAGTTGCAAAGCTCCCGATTGCAGCCAATGAGTTTGCTTGGATTCTAGTGAAGCCAAGTGACATGATAATACTAGGTGTGTAAGTTGTGAGTGGGCTCCACGTAGAGAAGACGCAAGCCGTGGCAATGAAATGTGGCCACTTTTCGAAAGAAGTCAGAGTATCCCATAATACTACCAACGATATCCCAGACTTAGGAGGCTGAGGCGCATGATCTTTTTCTGGACAAGGGTTCCTTGTTATCGAGCCAACGGATGAAGAAGAAGATGCCGAGAGAATGGTCTCACGCTCAGGAAGAAAAAGAAACAGGAAAATTGACACAGAGATGGAAATCAGACCTTCCACTGTTTGTGATTTAGCACATATGCTGCTTGAAACTCGATTCTTGAGGTCACTTACCCAAAAAGATCCATTGCCAGCCAGAAAGATTGGCCTTGCCATTCAACTTCAGCAATCCTGCTCCAATCAGAGGAGAAATAGCCGTCCCCCCGAACATGCCGAAGAAGAAAATGGCGATTCGTTTTGTGAATTCCGGGGCTGTGTACCATGTTGAAAGAGTATACATTGCACCAGGGATGTAGCCAGCTTCGGCAAGTCCAAGAACCGACCTGGTAACCAGAAAGCCATCTTTGTTTCGCAGAAAGATTTGTAAACAGCTCACAAGGCCGAATATAAAAACCTGTCCACTGATCCATTTGCGAGGACCAATCTAATGCCTTTAAATTCATGCTCCCATTCAACAAGATCAGTGTCACGTACCTTGTGAAGCATCATATTTGACGGGATTTCCAGTATGATTACTCCCAAAAACATAAGTTGATTTCCAAGGTTGATCGTGTTTTGGGTCACAGAGATGGCCACTGCAAAATCACCCGTAAGTGCGCTCGCAATGTTTGTCCTGTCCAGCTGATAGCTTGCAAACCCAATCACTAGCAAGGGCAGGACCCTGAAATCTGCTCTGTAAAAGCATTGCGTTAGAATCCCATGGAAGCTTTGTCTCTGCAATAATTTGACATCCATACATTCTCCGATAGACGTTAGAGCTCCTGCCGTCACAATCCTCCTCTGGCCCGAGAGCGTAGGGCTCATTCTGTCTGTAACCTGTCATATTGAGAGTCCCAAAAATATCATCATAGTAACGAAATTCGATCTTTGAATAAACCAAGACCTAATTTTGGGACTTCTTATTCACCACGAAGGGGACCTTGGGGGCCTTGGAAGTCCAACACCTTGTGGACAATAAGATAAATGCACTAAAAGCCAGAAGACACTAGAACTTAGATTATATCCACGACTTACTCGTGTGACTTAGTGAATATGAGTATTATCTGAATTTAAGCACGGGACTATTGTGTCTAAGAATTTAAAAAATGGCAAACGTGTATAAATTTAACTTTGACGTCTTTCCATATGGGTTGAGCCATGATAGAGCCAGAAACACGAGGTCCTCAAATCCTGCCCAATAAAGCTCCAAAGATACATGTCAGTCTCGCATTACAGGGCAGTTCTTCCATTAAAAATATCAAACGATCATCTTGTCATACTAACACCCGATCTGCGAAAATAGAGGATCAGGCGTGGCAGTTGACCTGAGCATTGTTCAGATTGATTGGAACGACGGCATTGGGATTTCCATCAATATCAGCATAGGTATGCTGAGCAGTCAAGGTACCAATGACAGCACCGTTATTCTTGATGACACAACTGATCGATTGTGGGAAGGCAGTAAGCTGGGCAGCATTGGCCTTAACGATGCCACCATTTCCGACAGAAGTGCTTCCAAAGAGTGACAAAATACTCTTATCGGTACCATCTGCGAGGAATGCTACACCCGAATACGCCCCAGACTGGTCATTAGACAGTGCAACGGTGACTTGACTCCACGCGCGAGCCTCGATGGGCGAGGCGGCGGCGAAGATTGCCATGAATGGGACAATGGCAGCGAAAGTGAACTTCATATTGACTATGTTGAATGATATTTGAATGTGTTTTCGTTGTTGTTTCGTGGCAAGAATGGTCACACAGTATTGAAAGGTGGATTGAGGCCCTTGTGTTTTTGAGAGGATGATGTTCTATAACTTGGGAAGCATGTGGACTTTATACCCCGTTCACTAGACTACTGAGATACAGTGTAGAGCCTTGTGTTCCTGCCAATAGAGCTATTATTAGACGGTGGTTCTAAGCACTGACCCGTGAGTAAGGCTTCGAGTACATCAGAATAAGGCAAAGTCGTATAACAAGATGTGATCTCACATAGCTTTGAAGATCAAGATCAGCTGAGGTTCGACTCAAGGCCCCCTGCCTGTGGACGAATTCGCATTGTAAGACAATGATCTGGCATAACGTGGTTGAAATCAGCCACACAATGCACTTAATGCTACACAATGATCTTTATTTATTAAATATTCAGTAGCGGTGTGATAAATTCATAACAGCCATATACAGATCAAACTACTGAATTTTGCACTATTTTATCAGTGATTGAGTCGTTGCGATGAGGGACAGTTGTTACTGTCCTTATTCACTGTCAGAGAAATGTCTTAAGATCTGGGATAGGACTTTCTATTATCCTGCGTAAGTTGTCTGCTCACCTATCGGTCTATTTGTTTTACCTCTAAAACCACTACGGTATTAATGTCTGCAAATTATGACAGTTATTGAGAAAGGAGTTCCTTTACCGGCTTCTTGCCTTGGCATCAGAACATCATGCAAAGCTGACACGAGATATCACTGCGCTTGTTGTCGATTTCGTTTATTATTACCAATGCTTTTAGTAGTTCATGGAAGTCTCAATCATGAGGTTACTAATCGTCGTTGCTACTAACATTGATATTGAACGTGGAATATAACTGGGACAAGATATGGAAAAGTGAAGTTCAGAATGCCACCTAACATCTACCACATCTCGACGTATAACTTATGTTTAGACAATGAAATGACACCCAATTGTCTCGGTCTTAGTGAGTTCACCTCAATACGAAGAGGCGTCACCATGGGAAGGATGCACTCGAACATTTACGGCAACTTCGTATTCTCAACTTGGTGTCTTACAATTTGAGTCGTACACGAGGTCCATCTTGACTTGAAATATCCCAAAGCAAGGGTAAAAACTCAAATCTCAAGTGAGATGACGATCGCGATGATCGAAGATGGTCATGCGCCCACCGTCGGCTAAGATATTGAAGACGGCGATTGCTTCAAACACTCGGGGCACAAGCGAATATGCGGGGACGCCTTACGCGCGCCAAGCTCTCCGATGTTCTTGGACCTCCTCTGCGTTTTTCGCGTTTTTCTTGTTGAGATCCCGAACTCAAGTGTTAAGATCATGGTTTGTCTTGGAATCCTATACTTCGAGACCTACTACATTTCTAGTATAATCTATTCCATAACCCGTTTGCATGCCGGTAGTGTCTCTGTATCAAAAACGAGCACGCAATTAAGAAACTAGTAATTAATAATGGATGGAATCATCCAGAACGATTATAAGCTCTACGAAATACACCTATGAACAGAATCGCTGAGTGCGCTGCAGTATAAATAATTATCGATCTCATGGTTGGACAGGCACGTTGTGCATCCTCGGTCTTTTGTCTTTTCACCCCTCGCTTGTGAGTTGGCGGGGGTGGCTTGGGGCCTGGACCCTGGGCCAAATCCAAAAAAACCTTCTTCTCTCACATTGATTCAGATGCGAAGGTTGAAACATTAGCTGTACTGAATATATGCCATTTGAGCTCTACCACGGCGTGGTGTGCCAAAGAAACTGCCATTGTGTACCTTGAAAAACTAACTTTCAATGTGCGTCTGTAAAGCCATCTATGCTATTTAGCCCAGAAACCTACGATAGATAATATACCCTGTCATTCTCCAGGATCGCGCTGGCTAGTGGGACGGTTGCTCTGTTGAAGGGCATTAAAGGTCCGGCGGGTGGCTGCGGAAGTTAGAGAACCATGCCTCATTTGGACAAGAAGTTATTAAAAGACATGCTATTTCTGATTTTGAAGTGAGATCCATTACATTCCATCGAAGTAACTACACGTCAAGGTTTCAAATTCGTATAAGGCGCAAACTGAAACTGACGTCAGCGACCCTAATAGCAAGGCGGGATACCGCGGAGTGCTGTACGCATATGATATCCTATGCCGCAGTAGGATAAACGAGGCTTTGCAGTACGTAAGTCAAAACTTGCACCTGAGCATCGGAGTGCACAAGCTATACGTCGTGTGCGTATCAATGCTGGGCCATCCCCCGGTGCATCACAGTCGGTCTATGATAGCGGAAATATCACGTATTGGAATTTTTTCAACCAGAGATTTGACTAATATAGTATCTCTAATATATAATCTTGTTTTAAGCGGGAGTTAAGTTTCGGATCACGGTGTGGTTTGCACCGGGCTGAGCATATGGCTCTATGAGAGAGTTTCCGTTTTGGGCAAGGTGAGTTTTTGGTCTGCGAGTAACAAATTCCCTGCTAAAAATAGGTAGAAACATATTAAATCAAATAGTCGGTAAATTCAGCATTATCAGCATGAGTTAGACGTAAGTTCTAGATCAGAGCTTTATTTGGGCGCGAGAACTTATGGATATCCCTCAAGTCGGATTTTGGAGGAAAAAAGGCAAGCATGATGTTAGTTGTCTCATCTCTCGAGAATGATATTATTAGTAGTCCGTCATATTCATTGCGGTGAGAAAGCTCGTGAGATATCATAACTGGTCGGCTCGGACAGGAAGGGTTGTTCTGATCTGAATCACTTAGAAGCAACCAGTTAGCATGAGCAATGATATAAGACTTTGGGTAGAGCCTTGTGCTTCAGGGTATAGTATTAAAATTTACCGTATCAGTCTTTCTGATCTCCGTGTGGATCACCTGAAATCTGTGTTTCGTTGTTCACATGCTGTCCCGATCGGTATCGATCTGTTTTATCTAACAGACCATGGCGCCGTTTAATTTCAATCAACATCATATCTAATGAAACGACGTTAGATCGCGCTATTGAGGGGAGTTGTAAAGAAAGGACCACACTTTTTACGTATGTAGCTCGTCCCCGAGGAATGGTGATTATGACGCAAGGCATAATAAGTCCCTCACACCGGCTATTGCAGAGTGAATTTATATAAAATTAGTCCATGAGTCTGAAAATCAAAGCGTGTGGAATAAAGAATCTAGCAGAATGACAAAGTTCAAACGTAGCTATATCAAAGATCTTGTCGTTAAAATTGGTCCTGTATCAACTATGCTCATGTGTGAGACATTCAATTCGGGTTGACTATTTCTGATAACGTAACAGACCCCCAAGCTGCGCAGACCCCCAAGCTGCGCACCCCACCCAACTTGATTATTTTAAATGGATTTTTCTCAACCAAAACGCCATTAAATTGAATAAACTAAATGCGAGATCTAGTGGGATATAACCTCCTATTATGACCCTGAATTCCACATTCGGAACATCTTGGTACTGCCCTCGTACGTGACTGAGAAAGGGCTAAACCCTGATTTACCTCATTAGATCCTTGCGGTAAATCAGGTTATACTAGCTGCGATATCAAGGTTGATGCCTCTCTAACTGTAAGGCCTTCCTTACGATATATTTGCCTTGTAGATCTAGCATTTTTGCGCCTTTTTTTCTCGTTTTCAGCGCGTAAATCGCTTACTTCTTTCTCGAGAATAGCAGCTGAATGTATTGTGATTTGATAGGCTTTTAAAACCTGATTTATCGCTGAATTCAATAGACTCGGTGGGCTTTTTGAGCGCTGTTTTAATAAGGCTTTTATCGAGGAAGCTTGTTTTTGTAATTGAATATAATTGGAGGGCGTTTTTGGCTCCTACTCGCTACCCCGGCTAGAGGGGGGGGGGTCGGCGTACGCGTAAGAATATTGACTTTCGAGAGTACCCGAGATAGGTTAAAAGGGAGTAAACCGGCGGCGGAGAAGCTATTTTTGATATTCTCCGATTTAAATGCCTTAATTCGCGCGGCTTGGTAGGTATCGAGGAAATTAAGTTTATTAATATGACTGATTTTAGCCCGTATTTTCGATACGATAATCCGACCGTACGCGGCTTTTAACACCGCAAAATAGCCAATATCGAGAGGCTGTAAAAGATAAGATGAATGCGGAGGTATATAAACTGCGATAATATTGTTCTCCTCGCAAATTTTGTCGAATTGTGGTATTAAATGACTGCCGTAGCTATTAAGTATTAAGAGTCTATACTTCCCCTTCGTACGAGAAGTAGTAGACGGAATAAAGAGCTTTTTAAGCTATCGAAGTCCAATTTGATCAGAGGTCTATCTATTAGGACTTATCTCGATCCTCTAGTTATTTAGAAGGTTATCGAACTAAGATTCGATAAAAACTTTGCCTTTAAAAATCACGTATAGAGGAAGCGCCTACCCCGTTGAACTTATACACTCGATTGTAGTTACCTACGCGCGATTTCTAGGCTGTAAAAGTGATCGCCGACCGTATAATTCCTTTCTCGTTATAACCTTTATAGTCGAGATTATACCTATTGCAAATCCCGTCTCGTCAAAGTTATAGATATCGTCAAAATCAATCCCGTATATTAGGATTGTTTTTTGAACGAGAGAAAACCACTTAGATAATAGCTTCGGGTCCTCGTATTTAGCTCGCCGATAATCGTAGCGTCTCGAGAATCGAGTAGATAGTAGGGGATACCGTTTAACGAATTTTTTAACCCAATTTTCGCCGACTGTAGGTAGGGGTATAGATCCACGCGCCGCCAGTAGTATATCTGCTATTTCTCGTACAGTTGACGGGCGGGGAGCTGCTCTACAAGAATCCATAGAGATAATCCATTTTTGAAGCGATTCCTCTTCAATTTCAGTCAATTTCAGCTTTTCTGCGCGAGATATCGCGTGGTTTTGAACCCCATGGAGGCGGTTACGGAGGGTCGATTCAGGTACGTCAAAACAGCGCGCTGCTCCACGTACAGAGGAAAAATCTTGCTTTCGAATAGCTTCAATTGCTAATGAAAGCCTACCCTCTTGCTCAGTACGATTTTGAGAGGATTGAGTACGAATTGGTGGCATGGTGGGTGGTTAAAGAGAAGAGGTTTGATTAATTAACGCGTTTTGGGGTGGGGTGCGCAGCTTGGGGGTCTGCGCAGCTTGGGGGTCTGTTACGTTAGCATAAGAAGCAAATTTTAGTCAGCTAATGTACTGCATAAGTTATAGCAGAATTGTGCTGTGAAGGAGGCCTGGCTCGTTCTAATCTGGATGGAATCTCCACGGAAGGGGGGCATGTATCGGGGTTGGACTTGAATTCCGATCGACGATTCAAAAGCAGGGGGCCATTTTCAACTGCCGAAGCAATCTAGAGAATTCCATAAAAAGCTTGGTAAGCCCGATGGGTTTCCACCAGAGATAACTTCGACTTGTGCACGAAAAGTGCAATTAATGTCAGACGCCAAAGCTTATATAGTCAGGTAGACCCCGCTTGCTGGAATCAATCATAATGCGAGGGATTCATGAGAGTCTTGGGGAAATCATCGTTCCGACTACCTGCCGCGTTTTCCTCAGCAAAGAATGTATGTATACAAACATCATAGACACAAATATCTCAATTTTAATCCTTTATGAAAGAATTGTACCCACTAAGCCAAATTTGCCTTTTGAACACGCTTGCGTTGAAACATCAGAAAACAGAAATTGTATCTGACACGAATAAAACAAGGTCGGTCGAGTAATATACAAACCAGACATAGCGAACCCATTAAATCGCCTGCGTGTCCTAGCATTATGGCGCGTCTCGCCCGCTTACGGGGAAAATCATTTTCCTGGATCGCATCGAAAGTTCAGGTCATTCCATCGGTCTAAAGAAGTTATTTTAAGACAAGAAGTCACTAGGGCCGATGCTATGTGAAGATACGCTCACTACCTCGATACGGAAATGATATGCTAACCTGAGAGTAACCGACAAACCGGTATAAGAATGCGATTGTAACCAATCCATTCGACTTGCATTCTTTGTTGAATTTTATTATCCACAATAAACTGGTGCCTGTTTCATTTTGGTCCCGGATATTCGACCTTTGAACGTATGTGATTGTTTCAGTATGTGGCTCCCTTTTGGCTTGAGCCTCCTCAGCTTGGCTACGGCCACGGAGTTAGCTGAGAGCATTTGTTCAAGCACAGTTTATGTTACAAAGACAGCAACCGCACCTGCAGTATCTAATGCCAGCTCGCCAACATCGGGTTAGTGTGCCCAAAAGCCTTGATCAATGCATTCGCTAACAATTTCCAGCCTCAGGGAGGACTATCACGGTGGCTACCGATGCGAGTGGACAATTTACAGGCATTGACGAGGCCATCGCCTACGCCCAGAGCCACCAAGTCCCCACTGTCACTGTACTAGCTGGGACCTATCCAGCTGTGACCGTCTCTGCTACCCCAGCTGTCGCTGTAATCGGCCAAAGCAACAGCAAGAATGTTTACTCCGAGAATGAAGTGGTTGTGTCTAGCACAGGGAAAGTGCTCACAATTTCAGTCGATGTGACTCAGATCACTTTCAAAAATGTCAATTTCGTTAACAAAGCATCGGCTGATGCTGCGGCGATGATTCGTGGAGGCAAAAATGGGTTCTATCAATGCCGGTTTGTATCCAGTGGCTCGGGGATTGTAGCGGAGCTTGGTTTGGCTGTCATTGCAAATAGCTACATTGAAGCATCAGAAAACATGATTTCTGGAGCTGGAACGATGTACATTTACAACACTGCTATCGTGCCGACGAACAGTTCGGCTACAATCACTTTCAATGAAGGCCATGTTCTTGGAAACACGCTTTACAACTCCACCGTGATTATCGACCACAGCACAGTCTATTCCGAGTCAAGGGAAGGAGTTGAGAGTGCATATCTTGCGGCAGCCAAGGATCCTGGATCTGTCGTTGTTTTTCGCTCCTCCTCCCTAGACAAAAGTATTGCTTCCACAGGTATCCGCTTGGATACAGTCACATCGAATGAACAGAACTTCTACGGTGAATACGAGAACATTGGACCGGGAGCATATCCAAACAATGACGCGGATAGATATAAGTACGTGTCTTTATTGGATCGCTCGGAGTTAGCTCGTTATACACTGCAAGCCGTCCTGGCTGGCGCCTACCCAACGTTTGCAACATCGAGTACTTTATGGATTGACCCTGCCGTCCTGGCTGCGATCGAGAGTGGAGATTTTCTTATACCATCGTCGACTAGCTCAACCGGCGAGATATCCAGCCCGTCATCGGAGTCAGGATCCTCAACATCAACCCCTGATTAGGTTGTCTCAACAGATCCATCGGACGGTCAATATCCAAATATTACCAGCGCCATTGCAGCCATCCCTGACGATGGGAAAGATTATATCATTTTCGTGGAAAGGGGCACTTACCTGGAAAATATTGTCATCAACCGGGAAGGCAAGCTCACTATCCGTGGTGAAACCTCCTTTGAGAATGATTCCACTCGCAACAGAGTCACGATTTCATTCTCTTCAGGAGCTTCAACTAACTCTGAAGAGGATGATGATGATGCCCCGGTGCTTGATATTGAAGACGCAGGTGGGAAGACATCGGTAGCTCTCTACAATCTCAACTTTCACAACACACATCCCCAATCCCCCAATACTTCTACTCTTGCAGCCACCATTTCAGGAACCGTCGCTGCATATGGTTGTTCATTCATTGGGTACCAGAATACTCTTTTTGCAAACAATGGCGTCCAGGTCTTTTCCAATTTTTATATTGAGGGTGCCTTGGACTTTGTTTGGGGGTATTCGATGGCCTACTTCCATCAGACCTATATCGCAACTAACACGGCTGGTGGCTCAATCGTGGCTCAAGGCCGAGAGTCAGAAAGAACTGGTGGCTACGTTTTTGATACATGCGTTGTGACGTATACTGACTCGTATGGTACCCAGTATCAAGAGACTTACCTTGGTCGGCCTCTGTCTGAATTTGGTCTCGTCGTCTTCAGAGGGTCCTATTTGGACAAGCAGATCAATCCTACTGGGTGGAGTGTATGGTCAGAAGAATCTCCACGAACTGATCATGTCACCTTTGGCGAGTTCAACAACTCAGGACCGGGAAGATGGAATGAGAAACGGGTAGCCTTCGCTACCCAGCTAACGGCAGAAGAAGCAGAGGCTTATACTGTTTCCAATTGGATTGGTGACACTTCCTGGCTTGATATGGCCGCATACAGCCTCATCCCATCATATAATCTGGGAGGGCCAAGTCCTACCGGCGCAGACACCGCAGTTTCAAGTGGCACCTCTACATCAACATCCCATTTAAGCCACCCGAAGACTGCTCAAACGCCACCTGAGGGTGCTGTATCAGTTTCAGTGGACGGCTCGGTTGAAGGGACATTTGAGAGTCTCACTGATGCGCTGGCATCTCTCCCCGGGGATAGCAGCCCGCAAGTCATTTTCATGTATGCTGGGTCCTATGAAGAGCTGGTGCCGCCTATCAACAGAACCGGGCCTGTATCAATCATTGGATACACGGAGGGAGATGTAGGGCGCAACTTTGCTGATAATACGGTCACACTTACTTTCTCCCATGGGATTCCAACCTCACCTTTGCCAAATGGACACACCGAAAACGAGACGGCGACTATCTCAACAATTTCAGACCAGATCGCGGTGTATAACATTCACATCGTCAATACCAAAAATCCTGAAAACCAAGATGGATCTTACGCCAATCTGGCTGCGTCCTTGTTTGGAACGCACATTGCGTTTTACGGCTGCAGCTTTGTCGCATGGCAGAACACGCTCTTGACCGGAAGTCCGGATGGCTATATGTACTTTGAGTCGACGTATATTGAGGGAGCGATTGACACTATATGGGGGTATTCCAAAGCTTACTTCAAAGGCTGTACGATTGGAGCCAAGATCAAAGGTGCTGTCCTCACGGCTCAAGGCCGCGCGCCGCCCGCAATCGGCGGCTACATCTTCGATCAATGCTATTTCGGCGCAGCATCTGCCTCAAGTGGTAATATCACAAGTTCCGTATAGCTCGGTCGCCCATACTCGGAAAATGCTCTTGTGGTAGTCAAGTATTCACATCTAACCGATGCCGTGAACCCATCCGGCTGGAAAGCTTGGGCTGCTACAGACCCTCGAACCAATAATGTGAAATTCGCCGAGTACAAAAATATTGGGGCTGGAAATTGGGAAAACAACCAAGAAGCTCGCCAGGCATTGGGATTCTGCGAACTGTTAGAGGCAGATGGCTACACCCTGGAAAGTGTCATGGATTCTACTGACTGGATTGATCTCACATACTGGGACTCCATTTCCGTGCCCGGACCCGAGCCAAGTGTATCAGATGAAGGTACAGATGCAGGTACAGGGACTGGGGCCTCAACGGACTCAGAAACAGGCACGAGTTCAGGCGCAGGGACCGATGCAGGAACATCAACAAGCTCGGGCTCAGATGCAGCCGATACAGGGACCTCAACGGGTTCAAGTACAGGGGCCGGAGCAGGGGCATCGGGTTCAGCCACTGGCTCAGATTCAGCAACACCCACGGGCTTGGGCTCACAAACAGGCTCGGGCACAGGAGTGTCAGGCTCAGGCACTGGATCGGATGCAGGGACGGGTTCAGCCACTGGCTCAGATACAGGGACTTCAAGTTCCGGCACCGATTCGGATACAGGAACTGCCACAGGGACTTCAGGCCCAGGCACCAACTCAGACACGGGTACAGCAACATCCGCGGCTTCAGGCACCGGCTCAGATGCAGGGACCGCGACAGGGATGTCAGGCTCGGACACAGGCCCAGCGACATCAACAAGCTCTGGCTCTGACACGAGCGCAGAGGGAGGATCCGGGCCAGAAAACTCGGGGTCCGGCACGGGATCAGATAGTGGCCCAGATACCTCGACGTCAGGTTCAGATACAAGCACAGCATCATCAAAAGACTCTGGCTCAGGGGCAGGGACCGCGACAGGGACGTCAGTTTCGGACACAGGCACAGCGACATCAACAGGCTCTGGCTCCGATACTAGCTCAGACACAGGGACCCCAGGGACCGGCACCGATTCAGATACAGGAAGCGCGACCGGAACGTCGGGCTCAGGTACGGACTCAGGCGCAGGGTCAAATAGCGGGACAGATACATCGACATCCACAGGCTCGGGCTCAGACACGGGCACAGCGACATCCACGGCTTCAGACACCGACTCGGATTCAGGGACATCCACGGGCTCAGGTACTGGATCAGACACGGGAACAAGCACTCTTCTGGAAACTGGTGAATACGATGGAACAAAACCTCCCTCCGGAGCATACATCGTGTCCAAAACAAGTATTGAAAATACTACGACCTATCTTACTATCAAGGACGCTCTGGACGCATTGTCGGCTTCTTCCGGCAAACAAGCAACGATATTCATTTATGCTGGGATTTACGATGAACAACTTGAGGTGACGGCGTCTGGCACTGTTAATCTCATTGGTTATTCAGAGAATCCAAGTGACTTCTCCAAGAATAAAGTTACAATAATGCACAATAAGGGAAGTGATAACCAAGACGAAGAATCTGCCGAGGCTGGGGCAACTCTTCATGCGGCTGGAAGCCACTTGAAGGTAATAAACATCAACTTGTCAACGCAGCCGATGCAGGAAACAGCAACGCATCCGTCGCCTTCGCCGTGAAAAACTTAAAACATGCAAGTCTCTATGGTTGCAAGGTCATCGGGAACCGTGGCACGTTGTTGATGAATGGATATCTTTTCGTTGCCGGTAGTTATATCGAGGGGAACGTTGATGCGATCTGGGGCAAAGGCGCAGGCTACATCCTGGCATCCACTATATCTCCAAACAAAGACGGGGTCAGTCTTACCGCCGACAAGCGATCAAAAAACTCTTCACAAGCAGGCTTCGTTTTTGACCAGTGCACTATTTCCCCTGCAACGAGCACAAAGCCTCTATCTGAGATCTCCCTTGGTCGTCCTTTGAACCGATTTGCAAGAGTGGCGTACATATACTCTTCTCTGGACGCTTGTGTGCAAGCGGCTGGGTGGGAGGAGTGGTCCTCTAGTAGCCCTCGAACTAGTGACGTCTTATTTGGGGAGTATAAAAACCACGGCGATGGATCAGACACCTCAAAACGAGCATCATTTGCCGTTCAGCTCGATGAACAAGCGGCAGCAAACTTTGAACTAGCTAAATTTTTCCCTGACACAGAGTGGATCGATCTCAACCATGTGAATGCAACTCCGTTTGAGGCCGGCCAGCCAGCCCCAGGCTCCGCAGACACTTCTGCCCCGACATCTACAACTGGGGGTGCTAATCAAACCGGTGCAACGAAGACAGCAACTGAAACATCGACAGCGATCACCAAAATTACAATTGCAGCAGATGAAGTGACTTCCACCGAGACATTTGTCATTACTATCGATTTAGGCACGACTGTGTCCCCAGCCTCAGCGACTAAGGACATTACCTTTGAAGCTACGACAACCATACTCTAAACGGTCACTGTTGACCAATCAACCGCCATAGCTACAAGGACAACATCAAGAACGATTACTATCGCTGATCCACCATCAACAATCACCACTGACAAGACAATCACAACCACGGCTATCGAGACCATTCAGCCAGAGACAAAGACTATTACCTCGACATTAGTTGTCGACATAGGTGATGGAGGCACTAAAACTGAGACAGCAGACAGAGTGACAAAAACTTCGATGGTGACTTTGACCGAGACGACTACGACCAACTCCTGCACAACGCTCAGCTGTGTCCCCGATGATTTCCGTGTGACCCCGAGAGAATTAGCACTTCGAGATGTGGAAGCCAGTTCCACTGTGACTGAGTCCGTCCGAACATCTACAACTCCTACGTTCACTCAACTCGTGCCTACATCGAGTCAGGCATCCTCAAACACAGTCATTGTGACTTCGTTCACTACTCAAACATCCTTGACTACCACCGCAAAGAAGACTTCCTTCATCACAATCACTCGCACATCATCTGTTCGCGAAATGGCAAAGCTTGATACATCCACTCTTACCAAGATTGTGACAAAGCTTGCCACGAAAACATCCATCGAGACCTTAACGGTCCCAACGGTAACAAAGACAAGCTTCAACACTATCACTATCAAGGCCACAAGTCAGCCACCACCTTCTACGACCACAATCACAAAGACCTACACTACAAGATCTTCTCTTGCGCTGCCACCCCGAACGTCTGTCAGTACCAGGGCGACTGTCATTCGCAACACTCCATCTGTAACAATCACGGTTCACCCCACGTCTACATCAACCGCCGTTACCCGCACTACAGTCACAGCCACCAATACAGAAACGAGGTTTCAAAAGGGCGCCACACTATGCTCTACTTGAAGCCTGTCACAAGCAGGGCATTGCTCTTCCAGTCACCAAGAGGCTTTTTTTTTATTTTGGCAATTTCCTTCTTTCGTCTGCCTTCGCCCGGGATCGTCACTGGGCTCAAGGCCTAATAACTTTGTTAACTCGAGTATAACCTATGTCTTTAATATGATTCAATGACAGCAAGCTTTGGTTCGACAAGGATACTGTTCTGTCTCGGCGTTTGGGACCCTGTCCGCAGGTGCGTTTGTCGTAGTTTACCTCATTCACCTTGAATAAGAGGTATCAATGGCGAGACCTACCGATGGCTGTGTGATCATCGCGGTGCACAGTTCCTCAGGGCTTCGTCTAAGCCTCAAATCATTTTTCGTCGCGTCATTGGATCAGCCACACCGGGGGCTGAGATGTTTCCCATTGGCTAGCGCCTTTGGTTTGTGTCGGATCAACGGTTCGGCCGCTCCGTGCTTTTAGTTCACAAGAGGCAAAATCGCTCATTTCAGTAATGTTCCAGAGAATTCCAGCAGGCAACCATGGAACGAAATGCTGAATCTACATGCAGAGGATACGACCTTTTTATCATCATGCATATGAACTCCGGGATTGGTTTTGGCTCTGGTGAGGCAATTTCCGGGGTCTCGGTAGCCCCGGAACCATCTCATTGCCCCAGTCTCGGGCAACGTGGCTGAAAATTGGGCGTATTACCCCGTGTCGGATGGGTCCAAAAAGGGGGATCGCTACCAGGGATTTCTACTTTAAGTCCTTCTAGAACGGTCAAAGAGCGCCGGGCGATGCCCTCCACACTGACATCAAGGTCTCCCCTTAGTCTTGTTGGACCACAGTGGCCACCTTCAAAGTCTGGAGATTTAGCGTCCATTGAGTGGGGACTTGAGGTATAGGACAACCGATAATCGTATTGACTAAAATGCTTGCAACATGCTCTATCTGATGTTATCAAGATCAAGTGCGCCGGGCCGGGTTCGCCGGGCCCGGGGGGCAGACGCCAGCCGGGCGTTCAAAGTGAAGGTTGTCCCCGTGCTCGGGAGCCACTCGCGCCGTTGATTGGTCGAGTGAGCCTCATGGACCCATAATTCCGAGATCCGGTGAAGATAGTCGGCTTAGGTAATCTTTATCCGAGTCTGCAACACACAGTGAAGGTCTTTTCCATACTCTTATTGGCATGTTCCACACAGACTGATTCAATTGAAAGCTCTCCACACTTTTGCGGAGTAGTTTATCTAACGTAATTATAAATCTGTTTATCAACTTTAACCCCGGTCCGACTCCATCGCCACCTGTCACGCGCCAAGGACGCAAATTTTGGTCACTTCATCTTTTGGCCACCTCCACGTTCGGGGATACTTGGTTTCTTTACCTCTCGTCTTCTCGGTCGTTTTTCTTTGACACCCCCCAATCGCCATGAGTCTTCCCGAAGCCCCCCATCCCATTCCGCAACGGTTTGAGGTCGACGATGAGACAGAGATGGAAAAAGTCAAGCACGAGGAGCTGCCGGATGATCCATTCGGAAATGAAGAATCTGGGGAAGTGAAGTACCGTATCATGCCTTGGTGGTGAGTGCCAATTCTATCATCTCATGCATACATAATGGAGTCGCATCAACTGACCAACTTTACAGGCAAGCTGGAATGCGTGAGAGCCCACTCCTGAGACATGTCACTCGCCATGAATCTATGTTCTAAACTACTCTTTTAGTGATGGTTGCCGAAAATATCTCTCTGGGAATTCTGTCCCTGCCATCTGCTGTTGCAACCCTGGGAATTGTCCCGTGAGCACTCTGCATATCTGTGAGCCACATGGGATTCTTGCTAATACAACACCAGAGCATTTTTAATTATCCTTGGACTCTCTGCCATCTCTTGGTACACCGGCTACATCATGGGGCAGTTCAAGCAACGTTACCCCCAGGTGCATAGCATGGGTGATGCCGGAGAGCTCCTACTAGGGCCTATCGGACGCGAGATATTCTATGTCGGCCAGCTCCTGTTCATTATCTTTTTGATGGCCAGTCACATTCTCACGTTCTCCGTTTTGCTCAATACGGTTACAAACCACGGCACTTGCACCATTGTGTTTGGGGTGGTCGGGTTGGTTGTCAGCTTCCTTGGTGCCCTTCCACGCACAGCAGAGAAGGTTTTCTGGATGTCTACCATTTCCGCCCTCAGCATCTTGATTGCCACCATCGTTTGCATGGTTTCCATTGCCGTGCAAGCACCAGATGATGTCGTGAACGATATCACCACATCTCCCACCTTTTCAGACGCCTTCCTCGCGGTAACGAACATTGTTTTTGCCTTTATTGCCCATGTCTCGTTCTTCGGTATTATGTCGGAAATGCAGGACCCGAAAGAGTTCCCGAAGTCATTGGCTATGTTGCAGATTGTGGACACCACCATGTACATTGTGACTGCCATGGTCATCTACTGTTACGCCGGCCCAGATGTGGCATCCCCAGCTCTCTCATCGGCTGGTCCGCTTATGAAGAGGGTCGTTTATGGCCTGGCGATCCCAACGGTGCGTATCTCATTACGAACCTTTCAAGGCTCTGTGCTAACGCCCTATAGGTCATTGTAGCCGGTGTGGTTTTCGGCCATGTTGCGTGCAAATATATTTACGTGAGAATCTTCCGAGGCGAGCGCTCCCACCATATGCACCAGAGAAGCTTGTTGGCCACGGGAACTTGGATCGCGATTGGCCTGGCGACGTGGACCATTGCCTGGATTATCGCAGAGTCGATCCCGGTTTTCAATGAGTTGCTGAGTTTGATCGTAAGTTTCCCCGTCGAAGTAATGAGGTTGTTTACGTTGCTAATATCTATATAGAGTGCCCTATTTGGAAGTTGGTTCAGCTGTAAGTTTGCCAAAAGTGTAGGGAAAACCACGTTTGAAGTGTGCTAATTCAAGTTAGACGGTCTCCCTGCCATTTTCTGGTTTGTGTTGAACCGAGGACAGTGGTTTTCATCGCCGCGGAAGATCATGTTGACGATTGTCAACTTGGTTATCCTCGGTATCGCTTGCGCAATTGTGAGTTCGAGTCCAATTCAAACCAAATGCAATGTTTTTGCTAATCAGATCAGTGTGGACTGGGACTCTGGGTGTCAGGCCAGGCCATCAACGAGAGCTCATCCAAGGCCAGCTGGACTTGTGCCAACAACGCCACTTGATATCTTGCACGATCACCATGAAAGATCAAAGATGCGGCAGCTTTTGACTGCTTGTTCTATACATTTTTTCAGATACAGGCGGTGTTATGTAGATCCTTTGTAAGATTTCTCGAGATATAGTACATTATCAGCGATAAAAGCGAGCCCACTCATTGTACATATTCATGCTCAGTCGCAACTACGTATATCCGTTGTTAAAGCTTTTCTAGTTCTTTGCTCCGTGAGGATGACCGCTGTGCTTTGTCTCTGACAATCCAAGGCATTCTGCCATGTTGAAAAATATATCAATGGAGTTGTAGACTCCACCAAACAGCTCTTGACATGGACCCTGGGCAAACACGGGAACGTCAGTCAACGAGTGGACTCCTTGGCCCGCATCGACTGGCAATGTTCCATTGACCAGGAATCCAGTCACCGCATCCTTGTAAGAAGCATAGTATCCATTCTTCTTATCCTTTGCTGCAGTCGCAGGGGTACGTGGGCCTTCACTATGAACTTGGTAATTCTCCCGGTGATCGGGGAATGCGACAACGCCGGAGTGAAGTGTATACCGCGGATCCCAGCGCTGAGGGAAGTGAACGCCTTCCGAGTATCGCAGAGAATTAGGACCACCCACGGTGTACTGCGACAGTCCTGAGTCCTTATAGTAACCGATAGCCTTGCGCTTGTCGCGGTCGTCGTCTTGTGCATCCATGTACTCGGTGTCGACAGAGCCCGTGACATCGAATCCATGGCCATGGTCGGCTGTGACGATAATGAGAGTGTCATCCAGCTCTCCAAGGTGCTTAAGACGTTCAATCGTCGCACGAACAGTATCATCAAGCTCCAAAAGCTCACCCAGCGATCTATCATAATCCAGTGTATGCATTTGTTTGTCAATGCTAGCGGCCTCTGACATGAGGAACCACCCTTGATCACCGTGTCGCTCGTTGAGGACGTCGATTGCCTTCAGAGTCATATCTTTGAGGCCAGGCAGGTCATCTGCGTCCCGTTTCGAACCATCGGGGTAATTGCTCTGGTTGTGCAGATTGGCTTGGTAAACATTGCGGTCCAACCAGGTAGCGAGATTAGAGGTTGAGAAGACACCCAAGAGTTTCTCATCCAGTGGAGCATCTTTCAAGGCACTGTTGTTCCAGGCAACGTTATAGCCCTTCTGGGAAAAGAGCTTGTAATAATCGCGGTGGTTGTCTTCGCTTTCAAGGAAGTCTTCTGCACCGGCTCCGAGGAGAACATCAGGACCATCCCAGTCCGTCCACTTATACTTGGTAAGACCCTCGTAATAAGCACCGATTACATGGTCATACTCTCCACGGTCGCTAGTATGAGCTGCCAGTCCAGCAGGGGTGGCATCGGCCAAGAACGCGGTGGACACAATCCCGACACCGGCGTGCGGGTGACGGCGACGGAAAATTTCCGAGATCGTCTCGAATTTAGGATCATCGAATGGGTCACTGGAGGAGTCCACATAGACATTCAAGGCATTGACGGTTGTCTTGTGGCCCGAATAGAGGGCAGTCGCGGAGTTGGCTGAGTCGGTAATAAACGAGTCCATCGAATGGGTCATCTGATGGCCAAGTACAGGGAACTTGTCCAGTGCCATTTTTGTCATGTACTTGCCGTTGATGCTGCGATGAGCAATCAGACGTGCAGCAGTAATCATGTTTGTTGTCATGCCATCGCCGATGAACAAGATGACATTCTTCGCGCGACGCTTTGTGGGCAGATCACGAATGAGCCAGTTCGCCACGGTTTTTTGAGTCCCATAGTAAGTCAGAGTTGCTTCATATTCACCTGGCTCATACAAAGCCACTCTGCGGAATGCTTTGGCTGAAACATTGACCATTGAGGGCTTGTTCATGTCTTGCGCAAACAGATCTATTGCAATTAGAAGATGAATAAGGGTACTCAGTTCTCCATGAATAGCTCACCTTCGTACCACGTAAAGTTCCATCCTTCGAGTTTTGGTTCTTCGATATTGAAGTATTGCGCAGCTGGGATAGGCCTACCACCCTTCTTTGCGATAGTGAACGTAAAGTTCTCATCCGGTCCCCCCTCGCGCTTCTCAGAGCCATTTATGGGGGAATGTACTTCGAGTCGAATATCGAAGTATTGACCGGGAAGAAAATCGGCCCTGTTGAGCACCTGCCATCAGTCGCAGAAAAACGCGATGGGGACGGGATAAGAGAAGAGAAAACGCAACCACAGGATTGGGATGCCATGGCTGCGACACGAAGAAGGAACTTAATACATACTGATCTGGTGGAAACACACATCCCAGCTCTGGACAACCACCCAGCCGCTGGAAAGTCTGGGCAATGCTGCCCGAGAACAGGAATGCCAAGGCAGCAATTGAAGCAGTCCGCATACTTATTTCCAAGCGATGATAGGAGGTCGAGCTGGTTACATGTTGACAGGGGGAAGAGGATCTTTAAGTAGATCGTAATCTATGAGCCTCTGTATAGTAGCGATGGATTCTTGCTGTACCATTATCTCTGAGCAACTCGCCCGGTTCAAAGCCCATTGCCATAATCCTTGTTGTCGGAGCTTAGGAAGCTCCGCTCGGAGGTCATATAAGTGACTGTATATCAAACCGATCACGAACATCAAATGGAAATCCAGAGTCCTCAACACGTGCAAAGAACTTGGCGCATGTTTGGCGAAGTCAAGGAGTCTTGCCAAGGTGAGGGGGCGGACAGCCAAGCAAGCCAGGGAAATATCCGGCGTCCGCCAAGCTCATTTTCTTGGCCAGTGATCCCACGTGTCATATTTTGTGGGCATTAAGAAGAGATGGGAAGCCAAGAAGATCGGATAAGCGAGATTTCAGAGACACTATATACGGTCTAGGTGTTAAGGCCGTTTGTCGTGAGTCAAGGGTGCATTTGGAAAAATGAAGCCAGAGGATTCAGACGACGTAAACAAGATGACGGTTGGCTTGGTCTCATTTTGTGAAGTTGAGGCTTGGTGTTTGAATTTGGATTTTTGGCTGATCTGTATCTCTTTCGGCGTAATTTAAATTAGAGATGTCCAACTGTCTCTGATATCCCCAACCTGATCCAAAAGCCTGTCACGGAAATGATTGATCACCATGATATGACTCTAGGCAACACTGGATTCGTGTGGATGGCAGGAGTCAGGCTGGCCACATTCCGCAAGTCTCATTAAGCGACTTTTTGCGCTCAGTGTATCGATTTACAAAATTGGTATCTATTGGGTCATTTCGATGGGTTTAGCTAAAAGACTCTTCGATATAATACAAAGCAACTAACAAATCCAAGTATCTTTCGACACAAGAACTATAAACCAAGTTCAATTACAGGAGACAATATATATAAGCCCTAAACATCTGCAAACTAGGAACCAGCCAACAAGATACATCTTAGTAGAAAAGACCAACTTCACTCTATTCCAGTGACGGGTCCTTCAAAACACACACAGTGGCCTCTCGTGGGTATTTGACCTCAGGTACCTCGGGCCCCAATTTCAAAACTGACCGCGTTTTCTACCGCCTACCTAACTAGTATGTCAGCGTACTGACGATTTATCGCGCTCGTATACACCCAAGTTCAACTTATCACGAGAGGATACTGTAATATAAAATAACATTACGTACATGAAAGGAAAGCCCATGTATTCCAAAGAATATTTCGGTGGATCTTTGCAAATCATGTGGATAGTAGCTGGACCCCATGTGCGGCCGAAAATTTGCACGGCAGATGTAGGCTTGGCGAAGGATCGGATGCCTGGTGCTGCTTGCCAGGCGATGTCTAATTCTTTCCTTAACCAACCAAAAACATCATCTTCACTATGTTTTAACTTAGAACCCACCTACTTTCAGAAAGAAACATGCTCTCTAAGTTACCAGCAGAGCTGGTGCTCTCAATAACAAGTGGTCTTGGTAGTCACACGGATACTCTGCGGCTCGCCTCCTGTTGCCGTGCCTTCTATCAACTTTTGTTACCCAAAGTCTTTACATCGCTCGACCTGATAGAGCACCGCAGTAGCCACTTGAGTCGCCTGGTGCACACACTTGCATTCAAGTCAGCATTAGCGCAAGAAGTACGCACTTTACGTGTCTCCCATGGCTGGCGGCCGACTTCCGGCATGCGATATGAACAGGAGGCCATTCTGCCAGTTCTGAGATCAACCCTGGGACCTAATGACAACCTATCTACATGGGACTGGGAACTCCAGACTCGGGACAATAATGACGCATGGACTGTCCTGCTTCTGGCCCTCTTGCCTAATCTGGAGGATCTGGAACTGCATGTCTATGAAGTTCCGAATTACACTCTCGAGTGGATGGTCAGGGTCGCCGAAAAACAAAACCCTGGTTTGTCTAAATTAAGAAAGTTCTCAGTCGTATGTTCTGGTGTAGATGGTGGCCTCCGGTCATCGCACTTTCTCCCAATACTTCGACTTCCCTCGCTACGCAACTTTTGTGGCCATATGATATGTGATAGTGATAGCTCTGATGAGGAATATGCCGAAGATCAAGCGTTCGATGTGGTCAGCTACTTGCCTGACAATGTTCGGTTCTCCAATATCACTCATCTTCAACTCAAGTCTAGTTGTTCTCGAAAAGGCTTTGCAGATTTGATCGCCGCACCCAAGAGCCTTGAATCTTTCATCTTTGAACATTCCGATGACACAAATTACGCGGATGATGAGGGGATGTACGCGTCGAGATACTACCCACCATTACAAAGACATTGGCAGACCTTGCAAACGTTAACACTGACCGACGAGCGCACCAACAATTATGCGGCTTACCAGAGTCTCGACTATGACTACGTCGGATCATTAGCGGGGTTCGCAGCGCTAAAGAAACTTCGGCTGCAGATATCTCATATACTAGACTGGGACCAAGGCTGGAGTGATCTAAATAAGACATCAAGAAATAAATTCAGTGATGTCTTTCCTCTAACACTGGAAAGCCTTATTCTTGATGGTCTAGAGACAGAGCATACAACTGAAATAGCTGAGGCATTCAAAGACCTGCTGTTAGGGGAGAAAGACCGCTGCCCAAACCTGACTTATCTAGAGGTCAAAGGAAACTGGATGCATGTCCAGCAGTCAACTGAGGAGTCTAACGCGAAACCTCGGCCTATACCTGCCATGTTAGAGGAATTTGCGGACTTCAAGGTAAAACTTGAGTTATCATGTTCGGCTGCGGAAGTTGAGTTTTGTCTACGTGATTTGCATGTTGAGGACATTATGAAGCAGAATGATTTGTATGGCTTTGGGAGTGATACCCTGTGACTGGGTAGTTTTGGTCAATATCCGCCCACTAGCAGGAAGAGGGACCATAATTTGAAAGCTCGTGAACGCTGATGGGAGTCCTATGAGGCTTAGTAAAATTGATCATTGGAGGTCTATGTGTCTTGTTGATTCCAATCTCTGTGTATCTGAACGGCAGAAGCGGGGGTTGGCGCTGGGTATGGGTCATAGAGACCATGCCTTGAGGATAGAAGCTGGTTGACATCACTCCGGCGTGGTGGTTTGGGTATCTTTCCACGGCCTAATCACCAACTGGTTAAAATAGTTTCGAACTTAAGCACATTTGTTTCGAGTTACCTATTGAGAAAGCTAAATCAGTTGAGAAAATCTCCCGGCATCAGAGATATTATTTGAGGTCATGTTCTAGGCATATGCATTAATTTGAACATTATGGATGATGTCATAAACCCACGCGAAAAGATGCCAGAATCGATTTAGCTACTCCTTGCAATGCCGGTCGGGCCTAGAACTGCCTGGCGTTTAGCAAATGAAATGAATCCAAGAACATTATTATGAGCCATGTCAGCTGGAAACGCCTGATCAACTCACAGGTCACAGAACCTGTTGGTACTTATTTTGGTACACCACGGAAATCTGCACCCTTTATCTTTGTATACGAGTCTCTTTCGCGATTTCCGTTTTCATCGCAGTTAACCATGAACTACGGATAGTTGTACGTCACAGATACGTCTAACAAATATAAAAATACGAAGTCTAGATACAGCTTCTCAAATGTTAAGAGTTACGATGCAATAGGGGAATAGTGACGACCGAGAATGTACAATTTAGATCTTCTTGAAAGAATAATCGAGTTGTTTAAGTCTGAGGATTCATCAATTTGTGATGAACCCCTTTAATACTAGAAATCTCTGCCTTAAACTAATCCTAATTGAATTCTCAGATGATGAATCACAATGGTCGCCGTCATGGCTCATTCATGGCATAAACCATGGCCGGCAGCCATAATTCTCAACATCAAATACAAATTCAGACTACATATCCCGTGTATCTAAAGTCTTTCATTCATGGAAAGCCATTCTCTTTGAATGAATAAAGCATATACAAGTCGAGATATCTATTTATCAAGTTTACATTGATATTCGTCTCTCTGTCCTGTGACAATGACTGCATGGTTTCCGTCAGGAAGAAATGATTCAGTGGGCTGGCGGTTTAATGCCGTCGGCCTTCTAGCCGTTATTGGGGAATCATCAATAGCGCCCCACGTATTCGCCTTGACGTCTTCGTGGCTTTGTCTGCTCCCTCGCTTGATTCCTGCACCACAGGCGATGCTCAAGCCTTCCAGACCGACACGTTTTCCAGCAGTACCTGCCAACGTTGTTGGTGTACACTCAGGAACAAGAGTCGGTGAGCTGAATTTTTATGCCGACCTCATCCATCAAATTGGGACCCTGAAACCCTACGAGTTCCATGAATATAGCATCAGGCGTGCCTCAGAATACACAAGTTCTGTTGAGGAACAAATACCTCCAGCTGTTATGTCGATGCGCACTGTCTCACCGCTGGATATCCTCGCCGCTGGATCCTGCGTCTTAACAGTAGGCTTACTTTTTTGGGCTTGTCTAATCCAAGATGGTGTTGCCATCATTGCCCTTGCAGCAATGGCATTCGCGTCGGTACTTGTTGGTCTAGCCCGGTGGCATCGTCCACAACTTTCGATCCGCCCGACGGACACTGTTGTCCCTGACGGAGACATCATTATTCGCACCCGTGAAGGGGCCTTTATTGTTGTGAAATGCTCTGAGGAGATCGCAAGAGAGCTCTACACGGGAACCGAGGAGGCGAAGTATTTTATTGGTGATCGAGTCTTCAAGCTTGTTATGGGTGCAGGAACCGTGGCTTTAATGGTGGCTGTGGTGCTTCTCGGGAATTGCAGTTGGACCATGCAAGTTGCAATTGGAACAGCATATCTTTTTCTGAATGGCGCCTACTGGATTGTTGCACTATTCCCTAAAACCTGGATCTGGGATATCTCTCCTTACGAGATCAACGAGACGACACCACCGGGTCGAGAAAATGCCCATAGACAGGGGACTGGTAGCATGATACCAAGTTATACACGAACCTTGTGGTGCGCTATACAGTCAACGAAGCAAACGAGTTGGATTCCTATCAGCGGAGCGGCACCAGAAACTGCAGCCTGGAAAGAGTGGGAAAGGCTAGCTTATGCCAATAGTGTCAATCCCGACTGGGATGCTGTCGGTGAAAAGGACAGACTGATGCGGGAATTCAGAGAAAGAGAATATCAGCAATATGGAAGAGAGCATGATTTCACTGCTGCCAACAACGCCCCCCTACTGTACCGCTCCGTCGGGAAACGTTGTGATCAAATTCATCATTGCCCTACAAAGCATTGACGGGGCCGAATTGCCCGTTAAATGAATGGAGGTATAACTATCAACTAGTACCTCATGCAATTTATTCTTCATGTGGGTGGGCGAGGTCGTCTAGTATACTCCGATCGGAAGGTATCATTGTTAGTAGCCTTTTGCCCAAATGATAAATCACGTTCTATGATGATCTTAGGCATTCTGGCCTGCTTTTTCGTGTTGGCTAAAGCTCCTGCAATGAAGCGCATCAAAGCCGATAATGGTCGAATGGTAGAAATATCCTTGTTATCATCAATGTTCCTAACGACCTGTGCAAATAGCGCAGGTGCGTAGTAAGGGATGATTGCGATCTCATCTGATTACCCATCAAGATTGAGAATGTCTCTTAAGGGAAGTTTTGTCGATTCTGGCAAGTCCTACAATGCCTGTGAAAAGAGTTCTGCGACTTTTCTTGTCGCTCATACGTCCCGAAAACTTGTCTGCCTGAGCGATAGTCGAAGAAACTGTATGATCGGTATGCATGCAGATCCATGGAAAATTCAGCTCCCTAGGGAATTCAATGCTGAGGATCGGATCCTGACAGAGTCCAACAGATAATATTCCGAGCATCACTTGGGACATCGGAATAGCATTACCTATACTAGGCTAGTCAGAATGTCTTTTAAAATTGCCATTTTTCCTAGATAATTCATTAGGCAGTTTGAGATGACTATTCTGGGTCCCCGTTCAATATTGGTCACTTAATTTTGTCATAAATGGTAAAATGTTCAGAATCAGGCCTACCATGCACATCCTCTTTCTCAGCTTCTATAGCTCGATATCAAGATCATTTCCATCTTTTACAACTCCTAAGAGAGCTTGGGTTCTATAAATGTTGAAGCACACAGTTAATGGGAGTCTAATTGGGACAGTTAATTTTGACGTTTTCTCCAATTCTTTAAATGTGGGTGCGATGCCTGGGCTAAATGAGGTTGTAAGGAAGCAGTAGTCGAAGCTAACAGAGAGGAATAAAAGGCATGTTGACTACGAAACAGATAATGCTGAGTTCAGCGAGCTATGAAATGATGACGGCATTCAGATCAGGCGGGTGATCCAGATCGACGCAAGTTGCCAATTGTAACCTTACTTAAAGTTTATATCAGCCATGAGCCTTAATTGCCATTTTTATCTTACAGAAGCCGTAATCATACAGTCATATGAATGAATACGAGAGGCTTAAGAATATTCCCCTCCTCAACTGCTCCCCCACCTCTCTCTCTCAGTTCTTGTACATCGATCTCTCGAGAAATCTGGCGCATTATAGGGAAAAATTCACGCTCTTCACAATTTTGACAAGGTTATTGAAAAAAAGTAGCAACCTCCAAGGGCCACTATTTACGCAATGGAGTTGTCGGTTTCTCGCGAATCGCAACAAGTGCCCGATGACGGAGCACACATTGAAGTTCCTGGTTATACTCCTATTCCAGGAAGCTACCTGCAAAAGAGGATTCACAGAAGGGCTGGACAGAGCGATTCAAGCCAACTCCGTCCTATCTTAAACTCGTATCGATATCGCCCCCTTGAAGCGGTATCTTACGTTCGACTTCTCTTTCTGTACCCAGGTGATGGAGACGAGCCACTATTCTGCGATATCAAGCATTTTGATCTGAACTGCTACCCACCTTACGAGGCTTTATCATACGTCTGGGCTAACCCTGACCTTTGCTGCCGTCTGCATGTCGCGCAGCATGGGTACGTCAAGATCACAGCCTCTTTGAATACTGCCCTTCGAGACCTTCGTTTCGCCAACATGAATTCTGGTGCAAGAATTCTCTGGGCCGATGGCGTTTGCATCAACCAAAGGGATTTGGAAGAAAAAGAGCAACAAATTCGGCTGATGAACAAAATTTATCGCCAAGCGACATTGGTCTTAACGTACGTTGGAAATGCGACTAAAGAAAGCAAGATGGGACTGGATCTGGCTTGTATACTCCTCCGGTCAGCAAGTTCTCAGTCGCACGAAGTTGAAAATCCGACGTTGGGCGCAAATGAAGCCGAGTGGCGCCAACTAGGATTCCCGGAGCATGATCACCCGAGCTGGCATGCTCTTGGCGTGTTGCTACAGCGACCCTGGTCAAGTCGAGCATGGATTGCGCTGGAATTTTTGTCGAACAAAGATGATCTAATGATATGTGGCGATATCCTGTTTCCATGGACATTACTCTACGGTGTTGTCTTTCATACACTGAATGGAAGACTACCTACTCTCGCCTTCGACCCATCCAGACCGCCTGATGGACCCTTTGATGACCGGATGTACTTCGCAGAGACTCTCCACCTTCTGGGTTTTATGCGTATGCGAGCCTGGTTCTCTAACGGAGGGCAATTGGGTTGGTCACTGTTCAAACTCCTCCAGCGATGCCATGTCCTGGCATGCAGTGATCCAAGGGACAAGATCTTTGCCTTTCTCGGCATTGCTGAGGATCGTGAGAAATTTTCCATAGAAGTGAATTATACGAAATCTGTTACAGAAATCTTCTGCTCCACCGCCATTGCTCTACTTCAGACCTCTCAGTCACTGGAGCTTCTCAGCAGCATTCATGCGAATAGGGGCCTTGACCTGCCTAGTTGGGTACCAGACTGGTCGACGACACCAGAATTCGTCAATGAGCTCCTATATGATGCACCATTCTACCATGCCGGTGGATCAACTATCCCTAGGATCGACATAAAGACAGAGAGCAAGAGACTAGTTCTCAAGGCCCTGTTGATCGATCAGATATCTTCTGTCAGTGGCCTGGTAAGACATACCATAGAGAATGACGGGACTAGTACGTGCCATATCTGGCTTCAGGAATGGTTGCGCCAAGCTATGAGTCACGGGACATATCCTAACGGCGAAGCTCCGATAAACGCCTTGTGGAAGACACTTATAGCTAATTCGACGCATACGGGACATGAGGCTACCGAAAATTACGTGGAGCAATTTGAGGCGCTTAGGTTACGAGCCGCTACAGACTACGCAGTGTCAAAGGGGTATATCTCGGCGGGATTCAGGGATCTAGATGCTATTGCAACAGATCCACTCCTCCCTACTGATTTTGTTTCTCGGCTCGAATCGTTAGACGTCGTCCGACAATCGAAGCTTTGGCGCGAATTTGTAAGAGGCATAACGCGCGCTGCATGTGCTCGCTGTCTTTGCATTACCCAGAATGGCTACTTGGGCCTAGTTCCCCCGAACTCCCGCAGCGGTGATAGCGTCGCCGTTTTTCTGGGAGGTAAAGTACCTTTTGTACTTCGCGCGGTTGATGGCAAGTTTGAACTGATTGGGGAATCATATTTGCATGGGATTATGAAAGGTGAAGCACTGGAAATGAAGGATGTGGAGATACAGGAGACGACACTCATCTAAGTCGAGCACCTAGCTCATTGAGTCTTAGTGTTAGTAAAAGCTCATTAATTCTTGACTAAGCCCTAGTTCTAACTCTATTCCAGAGCCGTTACCTGGGCAGGTAACGCCATTCTAGTAGTAGAAAGCCGGCCAAAATCAGGTATTATTCCGTACGGTATTACGGTATTTTATATTTTTCCGCCCAACTCTATCCGACGGGGGGTGGTAACTCTGGCAGAGTTCAGGTTAGGGTTTCTCCTTCACTATGGGAGAAAAAAAGTGGGTCCCGCCAGGGTTCAGGTTAATTTTCCTCGCCAGGGTTCAGGTTTAGTCTGACGTTCATTCGATTTTTCAGTATACGAGGACACGGTGAGCGGGCGGCCAGAAACGGCTCTCATTGCACCGCCGTCCTGCCGCTCTCGACCGCCTGCCCGTCTCCACCATCCCCTTGCCCCTTCGGGTTTGGTGCCTCGTCCGCGCCCCCGTTCGGGTTTAGTGCCACCTCTGGCCGCTTTTACCGTTCCCTAACCGGCACCTCCATCTATAAAACTCCGCTCGTCCTCCTCGCAGCTTTGTCGACGTACTTTCTCTTCTTTTTCCTGTCTGACTCCCTTTCTCTCGGCCCCCGTTAACCTCTACGCACTAACTTGCCACCTGATACGTCGCCCCTTTCATTTCTACCGGAGATACTGCTCGATCTACCGTTGAGCCCGTTCTAGCCGGCGTTGCCTGTAACGCGGGCTAACCCCTAGCGAGTTGATATATTGAGATTATGAAGTATTTAGATATATCGTGCAATATAATGCTAGTATCTCTGCCGACGGTTGATTATACTATAAAGCTCTCGAGAAATCCTCCTATTGCGAGCCCTTTGTTACGGACATACCAGGCACCAATCAGTATGGGGCCGCAACTTGTTGATGGGCGGTCATGGACCAATCGATCAACCAACCCACCAGGATCACGTGACGAACAGTCAGGGAGGTTACGCCACAACGCTGGGTGCCGGTAGGGCCACTTACGGCCCCCTCAGCACAAACACATATTCTCCCCCATAAGAATATCGGAATTACGTCAGCCTAACCACGTGATCATGCAAGTAGTAGATGGGTATGGTGGTTTACGAGTAGATCCTGCCAAGGCGTATCTACCAATCTACTATCTACCATTCTACCAAGGAAGAACTAGGGATATATAGGACCTCATGTATCTAGTTTAGTTCTTCGTGTTTAATTCCAACATTGTTACTTGTGTCTACTATTCAGAAACCTTTGTGACTCGTATAATTTGATTATAACTTGACAACACCACGGGAAGGCCTATATCTCGGTATAGACTAACTCGGCGCTCTACTTGGCATCGCTCCTCGATACCCTCGAAAGGACTTAGCCCGTATAAGGCCTGTTAGGCAACGGTACAGTTGAGAGACAGATCGTTGAGGTTGGAAGTCAGCAAGACAAGGCAAGTATAACCCAGGGAATCTTCTAACATAGCGACGACCCGGAAGCAAGTGCGTAACACCCTTCTTGCTAAGCGCTTCGGTTATTTCGCTGGTATTATTTTTGCGCGGCCGGAGAATAGTGTCTTAGAAATCCTCAATATATACGCTCCTGATTTGCTATAGACCGTCCGAGGTTGTATTGTATAGCCCCTAGTCGTCTACGTAGGTCCGCTTATTCGTGACTACCTAGGGGTAAGACTTTCGTTATAGTCTATTTCTCCTAACTATTGTTACCTAGTCGACGAGACTTCGGACGATTATACCGGGATATAGACCAATAGCGAAATTGCCGTATTCTAGCCTAGTCTTAATCGATGCTAAGTACTATATTAGAAGGCTAACGATAGTCTATTCTATAGACGGCTGCCGACCACTATAGAGCCGGGTTATAATAGGCCGCTACCGAGGTGTACGGAAGCTTTTGCCGATAGCCTTCGGCCCCTTAATATATAACCGGTATAGCTCTACGCCTTGATATGACGATGAAACGGATCGAGTTAAATACCGCGGTGAATTCTCTACGCTATCTTACGGGAAATCCTTATCTATAAAGGAGATAATAATATCCTTCCGATAGCTCAATCAATCTATTAGTTCCCCTTTCCCTCCCCCCTAACCCTACTATATACTCAACCTCTAACCCCCCTTTCCCTCCCTAAAGCAATACCTTTAGGATTCTTCTAGCTATCTAGCTTTTTAAATATATCAAATACTAACTTTCGCCTAGAATCGTTTCGTCCGTGGAATCCTTTCTAAGACAAAGCTTAGCTATTACGCAATCCCCCTAGTACTTATCGCTACCTAAGTCTAGTCTCGATCACTACTAGTCCGCTAAGCTCTAAATCTAGCGACTATAACTCGAAGAACTAAAAGATTTATTCCTATAAACCCGAGCGATACCCCCTTCCTACCCGCCCGCCGACGGAGGTCTACTTAGATAGGTTATATTCGGAAGCTTAAACCACTCAACGGGAATCGAAGGGCTTAGATTAGATAAGTCCCGTTGTTATTGACCTAGAGCCTATTAACTTCGAGAATATTTCGCAACTATAAAATATATTTAGTATAGATAACCTCGCTTCTATACGATTTGCCGATAATATCTATTAGGAAAAAGAGTATTACCTCCTCGATATAGAATCGGGCAACTAGGATTCTATAAATTTTGCCGGTCAAAATCCTCCTACTATTGATCTTAGAATCCCTACTTAGTATAGAGAGCTTCTAAATATTCAAACTATCGATCCTACAATCCTAAATAACTATACCTCTCCGGTTATCGAACCGACTTAAACGACTACGAGGATTACCGGTATCGTAACGAACCTAGACGAATATCCCGCGAAATCTATTCACTCTTAGAGCAAAGTCTTATTTTTCGAACGTAGACAACGAAATTTAGAGGGGATAGTAGATACGGATTGCTAGCCCTCAATATCAAAGAAAAGCTTAGGTACGAGAAAAAGATATATAAGGATTGGCTCTTCTCGGCCTAAGAAAAGTTCCGTTTATCGTCTAAGCCTTTCTTTCCCCACAGTTCGTACCTAATTCACGGCCCTTTCCGTCGAAGACCGACTATAGTTCCTATCCTAGCTTTTTAAGGGTACGTTAACCTATTACGCTTCTACGCCTTCGAATACCGCTACCGCTTCTCTATTAAGCCAATATAACGATATAAGCGACGACTATAGTTATACGAGCTTAAATATTAAAGCGGTTGATACGCTATATACCTCTTCGAGAAAGGGACTACGGTAGTCTCCGGAGGAAGATCGCCTTTTAATAAAGCTTAGAGACGAGCAAAACCTTGCTTAGTCGGAGGTAGTTAAGCGATTTTTACGAGAATTCCCTAGGCGGAGCGAGGGGTTAATAAAAGTATACTAGAGTATAACAATAAAGAAAAGACGGCTATCTTTCCCTATTATTCTTATTGCTTAATATAATCAATATTAAGACGCTACCGATAGAATCATTAGAATATATAGAATTTTATATAACGGGTCGATCAATTGTATAAGATATATAGTTAAAATATACTAGAACGATTCTAACTACGTATAGGAGGTAGAAATCGTGAGGACTAGGGCTCTATAATTCGATCGGTTATCGCGACTTTTATTTATTAAGATATTTTAAGAAATTTACTTCCTACTAGAATAGTACAATTAGAGCGGATAATAGTATTAGTCAATATCGAAATTTGTTGGCTTTATATTATATAGAGGTATATAGGCTCCTAAATTGGAAAAACCTCGCTAGCCGGTATTAAGGATAGCCTACTAATAACAATATAGTTGATTCGGAGGATCTATTGGAACGCTCTATATACTATATATAACCTATTACGATAGAGTTGTTCCGGTATACTTAGATTTACTATATATAATATATGAGTTTGGGATAGTCCGGAATGACTATATATAACAATACAACGCGGGGAACTCGCGGTATTTTACCCCTCGTCTAAGATGATATAAGCTCGGCCTATAACTATTCTACGTTGAACTACAGTGTAATTCTGAACCCCTCCATAGTTAAGAGAGCGGGAGCTAGGCTGAAAACCGACTAGCGTACACTGTTATTCAGGAAAACGGACACTGTTATTCAGAACTCTCCTCCTATCACTCACATACTATTTTTACTTTCTGAAGGCTGCATGGAAATCACAACAATCTTAATTCTAACTCTGCAAGTTTTGCAATCGCCGTATTCAAATTTGAGTGGTTTTATTCAAGACTGCTATTTCCGACTGTAGAATGTCTAGCCTTCCGACTATACTTACAACCACCCAACTCAAATATATTTCTGACCACAATCCAAGTAGAATACTAAGGAATTATATTAGTACCAAGTTAATACAGATTCAGGTCCTATCCTTTCTGAGTATATGATACCCTGTATTAAGCAGTTGTATACTATCACTACAGTGCCTTAATGTCTTACAATATCGGATTGCTCACATTTCTAACCAGTGTTATCACATTAATCCATAAACAGACTAGCGTACGGTGACATTCAGGGGAACCCATAATCATACTGATATCCACCATTCTACTTCTAATTAAATTTTATATATCCATACCATCTACTATTTTTACTAGATTCTACAATGTCACAATCTAATCACGATCATATAAATTCTGCCACGGAGCCTGAAATTAAGACTGATAACCCCTTGCCGTCGTATCTGCAAGTGCTACCGGAACTTAGGGTAGTCCTATGCATAACCCATGGTTCCTGCTACATTCGAACCAGTCTCTCTCGCCATCTTCGTGACAAACATCATGTTAAGAGTCAACAGCGGCAAACCATCGAGTCCGCACGAGAATTAGCTTGCGTGGCACAATACAGCACTGGAGTCATCCAGCCTCAAGATGGGATTTGTGAGATTCGCGGGTTGCCGACCGTGCTCGGGTTCATCTGCCACTTCCCCGATTGCGACGTTCGCTCTACCAGCAAGGACCGGATCCGCCAACATTATAATAAGCATCATCAGTGGCAGGTCGCGCAGCAGGGGGCG